CGATATTGTTAACTATTGGCATTGATAGGTTCGAGGGAATCAAGTATTTTTTGGATAGCCAGTAAAAGTCCCCATGTCGAACGATAGGGGCAAGTACGGTGCCGTCAACTCGCTCTAGGGTATTTTGGTAAAACAGGCAGTGATGTTTTGCTTAGCTAGCTCACTCAAACTGAGTAGATCATGAGCTATGTTCGGAGTGTGTAGTACTGTTATTGATGTTTTTGTATTATCTTCAAATTTGAATTGGAGATTACCAATGGCGTTGATTGGTATTTCCTTTTTTTGAGCATCGATTGCGCTTATGTCAATATTAGGCGATGCTGAGTGTATGTGATGAGCGGATCTGATAAGGGTTTGTGATGCACCTGAATCGATAAGAAGATGTCCAGGAAGTTCATCATTTGAATGATCCGTGTGATTTACCTTGGACTCAGTATGTATCTGGCCTAAGGTGAAGGTCATACTGATTGTTCAAGTGTATTGTTTTATCAGGTGATTCGTTGATCGAGTCATTGTTCTTGTCAAAAGAGTTATGAGATGTAGACACGTTATTAGTTTTGACCGTTCTTGATTTTGAGTTACTTGCTTTTTGAGGGTTTCGGGTTACAGTCTTGGCTTTGTTTATATTTGAAGAGACTCGAGAAATGTTCTTGTCATCTTTAGGAATCCTTGAGTAAGTAGGCTTACGGCGTTCCGATTCCTGTTGATCTTCATATATGGCATGAATGTCCAGGAACAGTTCTGCGATTGTCATGTTTTGGGTGCGATGACGTGCGTAGCGTAAGAATCTGTATTCCCCAGAGAGACCTCTCATAATTAATTGACATGCTAGCTTGTCATTGATAGAAATACCATTATTGTTTAGTCGCTCGATTGTATTCGTGATCTTTGTTTCAAACTCGACTGCTGGTGTACTGCCATTGTAGTGGATATTAGTGATCGTTATCAGGTCATTAGCATCTTGAGTATCGGTTTTATTTTTTCAAAGCTTTTCGAAAGACCTTCATGATATCTGTATAGTCAACAGATAAGATGTCTTTGACCCAAGTAGGTAGCAAATGAGGTGGAGCAAACGTTTGAAAAGTGTTGTACAAGAAGGTTTGTTCGTCGTATGTTACCTCACGTATAGGTCTTCCGTCTGTCGTCGGGATAATGTCACCGAGATTTGAATTTTGTAAAAATTTAACGTAAGTTCTGATCCAATTTAGAAAATCATTTGATGATGTTAAAATTGGTGGTGGTCGAACAGATTTGTTGACGGGTGTCATATCTGACTTCGTTGAAGGTGGCTTGGTAAGTGTGTTACCGGGCTCGGAGGGTGTGGCGCTCAAAGACGTTCCCGCAGTTGGTGTATACTGTGTATACTGTGGTTGTGGCCCAGGTGGATAGTACATGGGCGACATTTGATAAGGTGTGTACGGCATCGTATATGGGTGACCGTATATTGGCCAACTGGATGGATTGGCTTGATTTGTAGTCATCATGCACTGCTGTGAGTACGGGCCATTCTGTGGCAATGGTACTTGAGCAGTGTGAGGAGAGGCATGATGAGTGTTCTCTGAAACATCTGTGGGCACAGGTGTTGTTTCTTGTTGAGAATTTGCCTTAGTGGAAAGCTTATCATATTCGTTGATTTTGGAAGCTGAACCGTCTAATGGATCTTGATTCGTGTGGACTTCTTTAGAAGTAACCGAAGCACAGGCGCTACCATGAGAAATGGGTGAATATTGAGCTGAATGTTGGGATTCCATTTTTGATTAAGGCTATAATTATTGGTATATGGTTATACTAGAAGTTCTCCTCGTCTTTCTAAGAATCCAGAAAGAAGAGTCAATAATTCTACTTACAAATATTCTTACTCTTTCTGTTCCTTTTATACATTTTCATTCATTATCCTATTACATTATCAATCCTTGCGCTTCAGCTTCCACTAATTTCGATGACTGCTTCTCATTCTTTATGTCATCTTAAAACACCGTGTATGATAATATACTAGTAACACGAATACTAGTCGATGGCCGATAGTTGTATTTCGTTCCAACACTTGTGAGATCCCTTTTCAGTAGTCGATAATATTTAGCATTGTACAGAACAGCATCAATCATAATCTTATCAAAGACCATAAATTTATCTCGGATAAGAGAGACATCCCACATCTTGTGAATATCCACCAGTGCGAGAAAATTGCCAGGTTAAAGGCAGAGATTTCTCGAATGATTAGGTTCAGTCATATGACTCAATTACGTAGGTATGGTGTAAAATTATAACCTGAGGTTCACATGATTTAGTACGACTCCGTGGCCAAGCTGGTTAAGGCGTGCGACTGTTAATCGCAAGATCGTGAGTTCAATCCTCACCGGGGTCGAAACTTTTTACTGCCCATGACACTTGTCAATGACGGGATCACGACGATCCATTGACGAGATTGCCCTTCGAAATGTAAGCGCTGCTATTAATTTAACTTACTACTATTACTGCTACCCAGGTTTACATAATGGTACAACAAGAGTTTGTCTTTTTCGCCTGCTTGTAAAACATCCTGGAGCTTGCAGATAAACTCTCCGACTTGTCAACCAGGTTGTCTAGCTTCTCGCCTCTCTGCAACACGGACTCGATGGTCTTGTGCAGAACGATCTTAGTTTCGTCCAATTCTTGTTGGACACGCATTATGGAGTCGGCCTGGGATGGGTCCTGGTATTTCGTGATGTAAACATCCAGCTCTTTCAACTTCAGGTTGTCGTTGGTCTCTGTGATGTCCTTCCATTCGACAGGGGGATGTGCCACCAAGTAGTCGTCCATGATCTTGTTCAAAAGTGTGTATGCTGGCCTCACAGGGTACTCCTTATCGGTGATGAGCACGCCACAACAGCCCTCCGCTCTGCTGTACACATGGCCTATGTAATTACCCTCTTCGATGCTCTGCCTCTTGCCCGCACTGGTTCTGGCTGCCACCGTCTCAGAGAAGAACGTCATGAACTGCGCGACTCCGTTTCTCTCAAAAAAACCAAACTGCGACAAATCCTTCACAGAACACAGCTCTAGTGCTTTTTCGGTGTTGTTTCTTAATACCCCGATGTAATAAATCTTCATGACGATAGCGTCCTTCCTTGCGGTCCGTGCTTGTCCAAGTGGAAGGATCTCGCACACTCGTATTTGGGCGTATTCTTGATTTGCGGTTGGATTTCCACCTATGTCACTTAGAACGGATTGGATAAAATTTCGAGAATATCAAAAAACTCAGATATCCCATTAGTAATTTTGCAATTTTGAATTCAGGCCAGAAATCATCTATCGAAATCAATGATGCATCGCGCTGGATTACTGACGGCTCGCCGCTTGCCACTTTTGAGAAACACTCTAAAGCCACTGAGATCTTATTCAACAAGAACGTGGAAGCCCACAGACGGTCTCAACAAGAGGGCACTTGCTTTGGGAACTCTCGTAACCATTGGCGCCATTTACGGGACCACAGGATCTATGATAACATTAGAAGGTAAGGATAGGAAGAAGGAGAGTGATAAAAAGGATGTGAAAGAGGAAAAATCCGTTCAGCAAGTGGAGAGCAATGAGAATAAGACGCAGCCAGATTTGAAGAATCAGGTCCAGGATTCGGAGAAGGCACAATCCGCCAAGGACCAAGAGCGTAAGGAATCTGTGGAAAAATCCGACTCCAAGACGCCGAAAGCCAAGGAGGCAGAGCACGAAGGCGAAGAGGAACCCAAGAGGGAATCTGCTTACGACCCAGAAACTGGAGAAATAAACTGGGATTGCCCATGCCTTGGTGGCATGGCTCATGGTCCTTGTGGTGAGGAATTCAAAGCAGCTTTCTCATGCTTTGTTTATTCCGAGGCAGAACCTAAGGGCATCGATTGTGTGGAAAAATTCAGAGGCATGCAGGAGTGTTTCAGAAGATACCCAGAGCACTATGCAGAGCAAATCAAGGACGAAGAAGAAGCCGCTCAAGCCGCTGCTGAAATGGAGTCGACTAACAATCAAGAAAAGGCCGTTCCGGAAGCTCAAATGACGACGCCGGAAACTTCCGCTGACGTTAAACAGGAAGAAGCCACTTTTGAACCAATCCTTGAAGAACACCATTCAGAGCATAGCGAAAGCAACTCTGATAGTGAAAAAGATAAATGATGAAGATTGACACTATTCTCGAGGTTAAAAAAGTTAATTTATATTGTTACATCACAGTACATTGACCAACTTGTAAATAATCAGCTATTTCTGTAAAGAAACCCTCTAAAAGAGACAATTTTTCAATTGCCACAAATAGATTGGTTTGAATGATTCAGCTTCTTTAAGCCATAATATATCGTCCTTGATGGCAACTTCTCGCACAACATTGCCAGACCTAACTTCAAATATTGGCGAAGCAGTCTCTCGCGCACCTGCGGTACCGCCATGAACCGGCAGCTTTGTGAATTTGTTATCCAGTTTACGAAACAGTATATTATGATCGTCACAGTAGTCCTGGACCACATCCTTGAAAGTTGACGAGATATTTCTTAACGGAATATTGTGTATTGTGAAAGATCGTTGATCCGCTTGATTAATGCCAATGGCATCCGTCAAAGAAAAGCTTTCATCATGTAGTGGCGCTAAAGATGGGCTCAAAATAAACTCGCGGGATTTCTTTATTTCGATGACTTCCAGTGGACTAGGTGAATAGAATATTTTGTTGATAAACCAATCGAACCACCAAAGAGCTTCTGGATTGAAATTTTTTGGCGAGTACAGGAACCATTGATACAATATCTTATTAATCTCATTAAATATACCCTTGATAATTATTCTGAAGATATGCTCTGGAAAGAGCGATTTACACTCAGAAAATTTTCCCATGAAATAAAAAGATCCATCTGTTGTATTTGGTTCTTCCAATTCCAGAATAGGATCGAAATACCTTGACCATAACTGGTCGATAAAGGCCGGAAGAAAATAATCGTTTGCAATTGTAAAGAACAGATCTTCTCCGAGAACTTCTCTAATAAAACGAAAATCACAATCAAGAATGGGACTCTGTCGATGATACCAATTTGAACAATAGTCGGTGAACCTTCTTTCCACCGCATCTCGGAGAGTACTCATCATGCTATCACTTAAAATGATTTCGAAATCTAAAAGCCAGTGCCTCGGGGCTACGTTTTCATCAACACAAACCCTCCAATCGTCAATGGCTTTCATGAGCTTTTTGATGACATATGATTCTAGGACGAAGTCTTTCATATTAACAAACGAAAGAATAGGTTCATAATCTAGCAATAAAGTGAGTACGATATCAATATTTTTTTTAGCGACTTCAAAGGATTCCCAGTACCGCGACAAGACAGAAACAGTTTTGAAGATAACCGATTGTGTTTTATTCAACTGGTCAACGGATGAATCCATGCGATAGGCTAGAAGATCAACAATCGGAGTGAGCATTTTCAAAATAACATTTTCGGCATCCAACGGATCCCAGAAAGAGATTTTACTTATTTCAACGGACAGTAAAGACGCGATTATTCTATCCACTAGATCGATATCATCCAATTGCATTATAACCCCAACCTTATCAGCTAAACAAAGATCACTTCTTGTCGTGAGTATGATATTGTTAAGCTGAGATTCCTGTTGCTCTAAGCTTTTAATATCTTCCTCAATAGTTGGGGTTCTCAACTGTAGCTGTTTTATTTTCCCACACACCTCAGACAATCCATTCACGAAGCGTTCAACTTGCATACTAGAATTTAAGAAACCATTTTCAGTTTTAAGCTTACTTTCTAGCTCAGCTGAAATATCGAATAGTCCAAGATTCCTCAATTCAGACAGCTTTTCGAGTACGTTGTGCTTAGCGCTGAGTGTTTCCCCAGATTTGAAAGCCACTGCCTTTGAAGTACTATCGAGTTCATCATCAGAGCTTTCATAAGGATCATGTGAAATTCCGCTCAGCATTCCCAGTCCAATGTTTTGGGGCCTCCGTTGCGTTTGAATTGGTTCCGTAATGCCAGAACCATTAGCGCCCAGACCTTGTCCTTCAATGTATCCCATTTGTGAAAGTAGTTTGGCACCAATACCATATTTCTTCACATTTGGGCTGGAAGTGGTTGTTTTATTGCCGAACGGATGCATTCCAAGGCGCCCAATATGTCCTGACATCGAGTCTTGACTTTTAATCATGGTCTGCACATAGTGCGAGTTTCCTTCAGACTGAGAACTCTGAGACCCAAATACAAAAGGCATAATTTTTCTCTTTTTAGCAGAAGTGGTCTCATCTGAATCTTTTTCTGTGTTCATTATACGTTGTTCATTTGGGCTGTACTCAGTTCAACAGTCAAAGAAAATGCTTACAAAATTCGGACATTTTTTTTGTTAAGCTTGACATCCAGATAAAGATGAACAAAGCAGCGAATGAACAGCTCATAGAAAATGCAAGAAGAACTCTAATCAAGGCCCAAAATCTATGCCAAAATTCAAACATAAAGCTATCATCCGTAATGACCACAGTGTCAGAATGGCAAAGATATCGATCAAAACTACAGTTCGTTACTGAGTGTATTCAAGCCCAGGGTGATTTTCTACTCAACGATATTCTAATCAAGGGGATTGGATCTGGTTTGATCGACAATGAATGGTCAACTGTAGTACTCACAGAACTTGTCAAAGAAATGGAACACTGGCAAAAAATACTTGTTGAGAGAATTGAAAAGTTGGACAATATTTCCAATGATCTAGATAATGAGCAGCACAGTAAACTTGGTGACTTCATCTCCCGAGAAAGCGTACGTACCCTTCAGGAAAAGCTGAAAGAGGTTCCCGTAATAAGAAAGCAAGTGGACAGCATCAAAAGCCAATACCAAATAATGCTGAGGAAGATAAGGAACCAGCTACTAGGTTCAAAAATCTATAAACTTAAGATGGAATTTGAAGATAGTTTTGGCCTCGACTGTAAGGATACTATAAAAATTGAAGAAAATTTTACCTCAGAAGTCAGACATATGGAACAGGAATTGGTAGAATTTCTAAGATCGTTTACAGATCATTTCGATAAATGCAAAATGTTGGTAAACACAGAGTTATCTGATGAGGATAAAAATGATCTATTTAAAATTGTACAAAGAGATGACAGTGAACTAGATTCAATCATGCATGTGTTAGAGGAAGCTGCAGACGAGGTGATCTCTTTTACTACAGAAGCAAAGGCATTTCTCAACCAAAAAGAGGAGGAAAAAGAGGTCCTCAAGGCGTCTATTGGGAAACTACTGATGGAATTAAAAAAACACGAAGAATACTTGTCCGTTTTTGAAGGGATATCAAACTTGATAGAAAAATTCAAATCGTCTTGCATGCAGGACATCCAAGAGGCAAAGGAACTACATCAGTTTTACGAGAAATTCGAAGAAAGCTACTACAGCTTATTGAAGGAAGTTAGAAGACGTAAGGATGTAGCTTCAAAGATGTCTCGCATCCTTCAAAACTGTGAAACACAACTGAGAGATCTCAATTTTGCTGATATCAAGGAACGTCAGGCGTTCTTGCTTGAAAATGGTAATTATCTTCCGGAAAATATTTGGCCCGGGGAAATTGATGACTTATCACCGCTATTTACATTAGAGTACCAGATAAGAAAAATATAGGCTATTTACAGGAATTTGAATTTTCTAGGGATCAAGAAAACGCTCTCATTTATAGTTTTCTTCCAACTTCACGAAAGTCTGTAGTATTTCGTCAGTAGATAGATGCTGTAGTTCGCGTGATTCTCGGGATCTTAATGCAAATTTTTGCGTCTCTATCTCCTTTTCTCCAACCATAATTAGGTAGGAATAATTCTTAAGTATCGCATCTTTAATCCTGTAACCAACAGGTTCGGCACGATCATCCATGTCTACATTAAAATGAAAGCTGTTGAGCTTGACAGGTTTATCAGTTGCTGTTTCTTCACCCCTTAACCTCTTTACAATTTCTTCAGAAGCCTTCATCATGGACTCACTTTTTGTATTAAGTGGGATTACCATGCACTGGCGAGGATTTAACCAAAAGGGCCATTTGCCGTTATTAGAGTCAATTAACATTGCCATGAACCTTTCGATAGAACCAAAAACAGCTCTATGAATCATAATGGGTCTCTTGTAGGTATTATCTTTATCTTTAAATTTCAAATCAAATCTCTCTGGTAATTGAAAATCGAGTTGAACCGTTGCTACCTGATGGTTCTTGCCATTGTGGTCTGCTAAGAGAACATCGATCTTAGGTCCATAAAAGGCTCCATCTCCACTATTGATTGACCATTCTTTCCCCGACCTGTTGAGGATTTCAGTTAAAACTGATTCTGCGTGATTCCAAACATCCAAACTACCAATATAATTATCTGGTCGAGTGGATAGTCGAAACATATAGTTAGTTGGTTTTCCATCCTTTCCCAAAGGGAAGACCTTGGAGTAGCAGAGATCAATCAACTCCAGACACTTCGAAATTTCAGCTTCCACCTGCTGCGGAGTACAAAATATGTGACCATCATCTTGATGAAATTTCCTGACTCTGGTGAGACCACTGAGAGCTCCGGATGCCTCGTTCCTGTGTAACGGAGAGAAATCAGAAAACCTTATTGGAAGATCATTGTACGATTTATCAAATCGCTTGTAGATAACACAATGACCAGGACAGTTCATCGGTTTGAGACCATATTCTTCTTTTGCAGTATCCTGTCCCTCCACTCGAAACATATCCTCTTTATAATTCTCCCAATGCCCTGACTGTTCCCATAGAGATTTGCGGTAAATTAGTGGTGTAATGACCTCTTCGAATCCATATTTATTTTCCTGTTGTAACTTCATGAAGCCTACCAGCTTATTAAAGATCTTGGTTCCACCAGGGAGAAAGAATATCGAACCTGGAGATATAGGATCGGTAATATAAAGGTGCTGCCTGTTAGATATATCATGCGCCACGCTAGCGATCGTATCTGTAGGTTTCTTTGTACAGTACTGCGAGACTCTCAGAATGTGCGCTGGTGATTTTATTGACCAAATCCTTCGATTCCACATCTATGCCGTGTCTCGCTGTTTTTCAATGCAACAGGATATTCATTAATCTTCCCATTTATTTAGTTTTTCAAACTTTTGTTTTAAATGAGTGCGGATTCTGTAAAACATGACACATACGGATAATAATTGCCGACCCTTTGCCGTATATCTGTAAAAAGCACTACAATTCATTCACAGTCGCCCAATGATGAAACGTGAATCATTATTCTGGTATTCTAGATGAGTCACATTCGAAAATAGTGACAAACTCTGAAAATTAGGACAAATTAGTGGACATTTTGTTAGTAAAGGAGCACATAGAATTAAGATGAAAAGTTCTAAGTAAGTGACCTTGTCTATTAACTGTGAGGATATATCGCTGAGATACCACTGAAGTGGCTCTTAAGCAAAGGTTATAAATATACATACTTAAAAGGTATGATTAGTCTTGATTTCGAATATTGCTTCAATTCGCGTATTTTGGACTTAAAATTCAGCCTCAAGGTAATTTACTAAGCTTTCCCACTCACCCTTTTTGAAGTCCGAAATTTTCCCTTGCCATTTCCCACCTTTTTTACCTCCTCCTCCTTTTAAAGTAGAGACTATTTCGGTTAAAGAAGCAGCAATGGAAGCGATCTCTTCTCCAGAATTGGATAATATCATCATAACACCACTATTTAAGTGTTTGTCCCTGCCACACAAGATGACCTTATAGTCTGTTATGCCTCTTGATGATAACTTGGATGTCAAATCTTTGTTAATCTGAGTTAAATAGTCGAGTCCCCCATTTTCATCACGTACCACAAATCCTTGTCCCGATGTTTCGATAGATTTGATTAGAGCCTCCGTTTCCGAGAGAGCCACCTCTTTCATCCAGTATTGCTCCTTCTTTGATGTTTTTTGAACAAGATCGCGTTGCAGCTCGACTTTGTTTGGAATGTCTGCTTCACCACATGATAAAAGTCCTTTTGATAAAGTTAGGACCGTGTTTGCGAAACTCGCATACTTCCAAACACGCGATCCGCAGGTAAAGTATAGTCTGGAGTTAGTTCCTCTCACACTAGTTTGCGAACGTAGAACTAAAATGGAGCCTAATTGTGTAGTAGATGTTAAATGGGTACCGCAGCAAGGATTTGCGTCTAGGTCACCAATGTAGATTGTTCTCAAAATGCCCTGGGACAAGTCATAATCGTCTGGGATCTTTGAGGCGTCTACTTCAGAGTTCACCTGTATGTCAGCAGTTCTCTCAACCACCGAAATTTTTTGAGGATTGATTGTAATGTATTCATTGCATAAAACGGAAAGACGAGAAATCTCATCGTCCGTCAGTTTCCTGTTTAATTCAACGTAGTTAAATACGTCAGACGGATCTATTATTGGTTTCTTGTCCGTGGGAACACCACCCATCGACCAGGAAACAGTTGAAAGACCCCATTCTTTTTCTAATACTGCACTCAAGAGATGTTGTCCGGTATGTTGCTGCATATAATCTAATCTTTGTGCCCAATTCAAATTCAATTCAACTTCAGTACCAGGCTTTATGAAGCCGTTTACATGATGCATCGCATGTAGGCCATTTCTGCTAACTTTAAATACATCCAATTTCTCGCCAGTCGATGGGACAAGGAAGTTGCCAGAATCGCTCGGCTGACCACCTCCTTCTGGAAATAATATGGTGTCCTTTAATTCAACTAAATACTGCGCTTTTTTCTTGGTAGGTTCGCATGATAGCACGATCGTTTTGAATTCCTTAGACAAAAAGGGGTTTCTTTGGCAAGCCAAAGCGCCAACAAAAGTAGGTACTGAACTCTGGATAGCCATGTTACTAGATTGTATCTATGTCAAAGTGGCAAAACAAGTGGTTTATTTATGCTAATTGATCTTTGCAGCCATACATGAAGATCATCATCACATACGAACTTCTTATCGCTCACGGATAAATGTAGCATCAATCTTCTGCAAGGATGGGCCTAAGTTAAGCACTAACTTCCGTCTATATGATGTCTCATTGTTGGTCTGAATGGGGTTTCCTTCCAAATAAATTGTCTCGAGGTCAGGAAGCTGTTTTAGTTCATCTCCTAGAGATTCAAACGTCTGATCCACTTGATTGAAAGATAGCCATAGATCTGTTAGATTCTTTAAGTGACCGACGTTCTCAACTTTAGAGATCTTATTGGAGGTAATATCTAATGTTGTGAGCTTAGTATTGTGCTCTAAACCTTCGATTTTTGATATAAAATTGTGAGACAGATATAACTCCTCCAAGTTCTCCAACTCATCCAGACCTTCGATCTTCTTTAGCCCATTTGATTGGATTGATAGAATACGCAAGTTTTTGACGTAATGAAGATTCTGCAAGCGTGGAATCAAGTTCTTACCGAGCCACAATTCCTCGAGGTTATCCAGTCCCTTTAAAGAGGTTTCTGATATTTCCCTTACCTTATTTCCCCCTAATTCCAAATTTTTCAAGGTTTTCAGCGTTCCTAAGTTTTCTATTACGGATATGTTGTTTTGAACAAAGTATAAGTTCTCTAAATTCACCAACTTGTCGAGATTCTTTATGTGCTTTATTTTGTTGAAAGAGAGATCCAGGCTCTTGAGATTGACGAGCTTATTAATGTTGCTTGAAATGTGTTTTATTCGGTTATCATATAGATCAATATCTTCCATTGTTTCAATGGGAAGAACGTCTACCTCACTCATGCTTTCAATGAGATTCTGTCTAAGACAAAGTGCTCTGAGTCTGTAAAATCTGTATAAGTTCAGATCTTCCATTGATTGAATTCTCAAATGTACTAATTCAATTGCTTCCACATCCTCGGGTAGTTCCTCAGTCAGTTCTGCATCAGGGGATATGTATTCAACATCGTTATCAGGAATGACTTCCCTACTAATGGATGTATGTGAAGCCTGGGATTCCCCACCCAAAGCATTGGCTTCCGCTGATATCAAACTGGATTGCATGTTTTCTTCACCTGCAGACATGTTTTTTAGCTCTTGTTTCAAGCTCTTTCTCGTATGACGTTCGAAGGGAAGTTTTGTTATGTATATATTTATATTTGTAACCTCTGTCGTCTATACCATTGCGATGTCGTCTCTGATGAGAACGTCCATAAGTTGACTGATGACCGTAAACAAGGCAACAAGTGCTGATGGGGGGGAGGATATAGCTTGATTAACATCGAAACTTCCCCCTTGCCATTGATATTAGTTTTCTGAGAGATATTAATTCCAAGCGCACTTGGGGGGTGGAGTTCGCTAATTCATTCTTAAAGGCAGCATATATAAGTTTAAACAACTATGACATACGAATATTCTTTCCAAAGCACGTTAAACCCGGGCGTGAGTCATCAAATTACATTTACAGGAGGTTTATTCTGTCTTTGTGTGCTAAGCAAAAGTCCAGTACGTAAACGGGGCTAGCATCATTCGCCGCAAGCATAAAGCTCACATGCCAGATCAGTTAGCCTCAGGGTTGGAGGCAATATAGTCAACTGCCTCCCCAACAGTCTTGATTTCGTCGGCAACTTTGTCTGGGATCTCAATGTCAAATTCTTCCTCAATGGCTACCAACAATTCAACGGTGTCAAGTGAGTCTAGACCTAGATCCTTAGAGAATTGAGTGGCATTTGTCACATTTGCAGAAGCAGTACTCTCATCGAAAGCTTTCACAACGTCAATAACTCTTGAACTGATTTCGTCCTTGTTTAAAGATGAAGAGTAAAAACGCAACGGAGTGGCAAGAGGAGCCAAAAATCTAGCTGGGGTAGCTGATCTTACAGATGCTGCTTTAAGGGCAATTGGGGCTCCACGTAATACTGATCTGAACATAATTTTAGGGTTAACTTTGCTATCAAAATGTAACTGCAATGGGAAATATTCATGACAAATACCGGGGCATTATTTCCTCTAAAATTTTTATGATGGCCAATCACAGTGAACGGTTGAATCGTAGTAAGTACATAAATTATTATACAGTATAAATAAATACCGAACTACTGTGGTTCTTTTGGTGTAATTTTAATGAGTAGGCTTTCTAAATGAATTCGTCGTGGTCTTTGGTTTATCAGCTTTAGGTGCCATTTTACTCGGCGGCTTTCTGAACAAGCTTATTTTTGATGACTGAACAGAATTTCTGGAAATCGAATTGACTCCGGCAGAATGCTGAGAAGCGGTCGTCGCAAGTTCGGAACTGCCCCTACTGTGCCCACTACCAGACGAATAAACGGATGCAGCGCTAGACATGAGCGCCATCTGTGGTGTCAATAAATCTTGCTGTAACTCAAGGGAAGGTTGTGTTGCTTGAGTCTGGTTGGAACGGATCCGACTAATTAAGTCTTCATCACTTTCACCTACCGTAATATGATTCCGCTCAATCTCATCAGCGAAGTTTTTCCGGTACAAATTGAGCAGCATTATGTGAGTTTTCTTTAGATGAGATTGGCACATTTCACCATACAAAACCAAACATTTGTTCAATGTCACTGCCAATTCATCGAATGTTGATTTTAATAAACTTAATTGGTTCTCTTCAGCGACCACTGCACCATCAACTGTCAAAAAGAACTCGCGGTATTGCGAGACACCACCATTTACTGGTGCATCGATCGTACCGCTAATATTACGAGACAACTCCGAAAACGCTCCAGAATAATCTCCGTTCTCTTTGATCAACTTACAACAAGTGTCTTCTAGACCTGTCAGATCTTGAATTTTGAATTGCATTGATTTAATTGCATTTTCAATCGGAGATAAAGTTTTCTCAGAGACCTTCTTGATTTCCGCTCTGTTCATTAGCGTAGGGAAAGTTGAAGTAGTTTCATAGGTAAATTCCTTAACCCATAAATCAGTGACCGATGACGCTCCTGGCAGCATCCGCGAACCACAAAACGTATTCAGGTTTCTGTTTTCAATGTATAATCTAATTTTGTTGTTGACAGAATTCTTTTTGTCTTGATTGATGAATTTTTCTGATAGACCAAGTTGTGGCTCAACTGCAATAACATGTATGCACTTACCCATTGGTGGATTCACCAAAAGGTTATCCATCTCTTCTTGTTTTGTAATAAGCCTGGAACCTGGGTGCGAAAGTAGAATCCTACTTTGCATTGAAGTAATGTGTTCAAATGGCAACCCTTCATATATGAAAGATTTTTGCCTAATCGAAGTGGGAAATCCAAATCCAACAAATGTCACTTTGAAATAAGTCGGAATCAACCTGTTTACAGTTTGCAAGTCATTGTAAAGCCTTGATATATTACCATGAACTTGTGCCAACGCGTTCAGATCATAGTTGATTTGCTCATATGCCTGTGCAAGTTCCTTGTAGACCGTTAAAGCTTTCTCCAGCTTTAGTCCTCTATAGAAATTCCTTGCAGCTTCCTTGAAAAGATACTCCCTTCTGGCAAAAGAAGATTGAACTGGCAGAGGTGGAAATACTACGGCTGGGAGACTATCATTTGGATCCCATTCATATGTTCTCGCAAGAAGCTCCAGACTTAGAGCGGCTTGAACGTAATCTTTTTTCTTCATGTTGTAAACATATAGGTCATTGATCAGCTTGTGGAACTCTTCTGGCCTCTTTGCTCTCATCAAGTAGCCAAAAATGGTAATTTGATGAGCAGTTCTATCATCGTCAAACTCAGCATCCTCAGGGATAGCATTGGCATCAGAAAGTACATTCAAAAGATTCCGTGCCATCTTTAAAGTCATGACGACTGGACCGAATGCTTCATCTTCTCTCTTGATATGGATTGTATAGAGTAGTGCTCTCATGTAATTTTCAAGTTCATAATCTGTGGGCTGAAATTTACCAGATTGAAATGCAAAACATAGTTCTGGTAATGCTAAATCCATGACAGGTGTAAGCGTTTTGAAAGCGACCCAGCAATTGACAATAGTTCCCCAAACAATTTTGGCTCCGACACGACGTGCTTCGGCGTGCCGCTGGAAAGTAAATTCTAGAATTTCCCTTATGATCGTCTTGTCTCCTGTCGCTATGAATCGTTGATATCCTCCCGCTTTTTGAACTCCGAATCTCAACCACACCTCGCTTCCGTCAGTTTTTTGACCAAGAGCGTCCCAACATTCTTCAAGAAGTGAGGCTGTCGTTTGTCTATAATCACCCCCAATATTATAAACTGCCTTTCTTGGAATTTCTGCCAAAGAGGTAGGATTTGATGGTATATGGTTACCAATCACTAAAGTGGTTTTGAAAAAGTCACACCATAACTTCACATCAAAACTTTCCTCATCAACGTCAAACGAGGGAATCTTATACTCGATAAGAATGTCTTTACAAAGACTTAATAAGCATAAAGAGCTTCTCATAAATAGTTCATTCAAACTTAACCATCTCTTGGCCGGAAAGAATTTTCCCTTTAGGAACAGCTTGACCGTGTGAATAATGCTTAAAAGATCTTCTCTAGCAAACTGATTGATGTAAAAAACGGAGTCAAAATATCTATCGTTTGAGCATTGTTTGATTATCGCCATGAAAGATAATGAGTCTCGCAGTATATTCTCCGCAATTTTCGTAACCGAGGCAATTATTGTTGCTAGCTCGATCAAAGCTTCAACAACGATCTCTTCATTGATGATCGAATCTACTGTAATCTCTGGAAAAGGGTGAGAAACTGGAAATAACGCAGTAAAAGTTCTTCTAAATTTGAACAAGTCCTTCTCTTTGCAGAATTTGCGTACCAAAATGAAAAACCGGCATAGGGTAGGCAATAACCGCACTAAGTTCCTTTGCATGACTTCGGAAGCATATGTAATTATGCTAATTAAAACACCGTTAGCGAGTCTTATGGTAGACAGGTCCAGATTGTCATTATTGTAGCTGAAGAATGGTTCGAAAGACCATTCGATCACATTTGGTATAAATTTCATTCTTTCTTCATCATTTGATTTCGATTCGAATAAATATTTCTTCAATGATGGGCCAATAATTAAACGACGCATTAGAAGTAGTTTAGCATTAACAAAGCGCTGCTCTCGAACAGTCATTGGTCTCTTCTGAATACCAGTAATCCTTTCCTTCTCATGACATGCTTGAAATAACCTTGTAGCGAATTCAATCAGTTTTTTTGGTTCGCAATGTTTGGAGAGGGCAGAAATCCATATGTCAAACGCATCTAGAATGGTTACTTGGTCTACCAAAGTAGACTCCTTAGTGAAGCTAAAGAAGTGGCATACTGCCTCAAAGAAATTATCATAAGACTTCAATAGGTTTAGATGTTCATGGTCCCATGTAATCAGGGATATTTTGAGTAGGTAAACGGACACGCGACACAAAGAGCGACCGTTATAATCCCACTTCGTATGTGACTCTCGGAAATAAACTGACGCATAGTTGATAACATGAGGGCCTAACTTTGAAAGCCTAGCAATGTTTTCTGCCCTAGACTTCTTCATAAAATCATTGAAGAGATGTCTAAAGTTATCCTCCCGAGCAACGACGACGTCTAAGAAGTGAACAAGTGCCGTAAAAGCTGTAACTTTAAGTTCCTCGGAGGATTTCTCACCCTCAGAAATGTGTGCAATGTAAAATAGTTCTAAAATTTTCATAAGGAGAGGATCAAAGTGTTTAACTAAATCGGTTAAAGGTATCGTCTTTAGACCTCCAAGAAGATGAACAGCTTTTTCTTCAAATTGCCCGAAATTATCAGCTTCCAATCTCAGAGCTAGAATATCAGTCACGTTTGTTTTGACATTGTAAGTTTTCCCAACATATTCCGTCATAACCTCTATTTCTACTAGGGGCTCACTAGATGTCGACATCAGCTGAAATACGGAGTGTTGCGGATATTCTATGATTGTACCGTTGCGCTTGATATAAAATTTGGATTTTGCCATTAGGTAACCGTTTAAATAGGCAGAAACTCTCAGAGTTTCATTATCTTGCATTTTAGACAACCCGTCAATTCTGATGATCTCTCCCACCGATTCACCTGCTTTCACAGACACAAAGAGCCAATTCGATTTAGATTCATCATTTGATCCTTTCCTGAATGTAATATCCTCGTTACTTGTAGATAAATGAATTGATACACTTGAAACATTCGTATCACTCGATTTCAAATTGAAGATTGAAACTTTTCCTAATGTCAAATAGATTCTGTCCTCTGGGGGAGATAACGTATCGTAAAAAAAGGTTGGAATGCTTTGAATAGCATTCATATTTGTACTCAACAGGCTCGACGAATTTGAATTCCGTTTCACCTCGCGCACTGTTACTGATAAACTTATGGCTCGGGGATTCACAGCTATCCCTTGATTAGAATCAGCAATTATTCTATCAATTAATTCACCCCATCCATTGTTTCCCTCACTTTTCGAAGTTGAATATGCCGTTCTCCCGTTTTTGAGGCCATCAATGGATTTCGCGCTTTCCTTGCGCTTTGAAAAATAGGATGCAAAAAGTTCAATGTTGAAGTGATGAGAAGTGCCACCTGCCAGCGAACCCTTTCTTCTTGTGAAAACACGCGTAATATCCACGACACCTCCTGCTAGCCCTTTATTTATATGTGTGATAACATTTGGACGACTCGACTGGAAGGGAATAAATGGAGCCTGAAATCCCTTGGAAGGATCTGGGGACTGGATCTCTATTTGAATGTTTTCTTGCAAGATCACAGCCAGATATATTTTTGTGTTATCTATTTCTGCAGGTGGGATGTTATTAAAAAACGCAGCTGATATACTATCAACCGAAACGATATCGTCGCGATTCATGTTCAAAATGAATGGCTCAGTTAAAACCTTCTTTGCTGTTCTCAAGTACATGAAGGCTGACAGATTTTGAAAATTGGGGTTGATCCCTGGACCGCTTTCAACATCTTTAAAATCTACCAAAATATTAGAGCGATCCAATGAGTCGTACTTCATATTAGCTGGTGGTTCCATTTGTAACTCGACAAAATTTGCACTTGGGAAGTTTTTGCTCAACGCACATAACATACTTGAGCATGAGAGTAATTGAGGAGTGATTTTCTCATATTCATATAGTTCACCTGTCTCTATATCACGGCATAGTACGCTACCATAACCCGAAGAATCAACAATCGTGGTACCATCGAAGGCATATCTGTTTCGCATTCCTTTTACAGATATAAATTTGGCGATTTTATAAGATAAAGCGCTTGAGAATTTGATAAGCTTTTCGAGTTCCTGCTTGGTAGTTAAATTGAATTCTAACCTAAGACGGATATCATCAAGTCGATAATAAAGCTCTGCCAAATGTTCTGCGGTCTCGAATTCACCAAAGGAATACATGGAGTAGATATGGGACACAAGAAGTGCCAAAATGGGACCCATTTCTCCAATAACTCCGTAATTTAGCATTCTGTAAAATGGAAAAGGAGGACGTTTCTTCTTGATAATTGCCGAACGAAATTCTAAGACATCGTTGCGACTCCACTCGCCTGTTAAATCGTACATGCATGACAAATCGGGGTTTGAGGATGCACTTTTGAACTGCGATTCTTCCGGAAGTTGTAAAAATGGTAAACTGCTAGTTTCCTCATCGTAATATAGATGGACGAATCTCTTCGGGAATACTACAACTTTAAATTTTTGTTCGGGCAGCTTATCAGTATAAGAAGAAGACCTGCTAATAAAATCTTCAGGAAGTGGTTGCCAGCAAATGTATCCTCTGCACCATTCCTGGTCTGTGGTCTCTTCGAACACATAAACTTCATCACCTGGGTATAAGTTAGAGAAGTTGTCATTTTGAAGTCCTAACTGAGGGTGCTTCTTCAATGGAAGAAATTTATTTACGATACGGCCATGTATTAGACCATTAGTAGGTACCCAGTCGAAGGAAGTTGCCATGTTGAACCCTATGAGTTCCTCGATGAAACTGGTTGAGCGAAGAATGTGGTATAAAAAAAAATGAGAACTTCGATCGACCGTCCATACGTGTGCGATGACTGAGTATAGACGGTTGATAATTCAGTTTGAATCGTCCAAAGTCCGTTAGACAGACGGCCAGCGAACCTAGCAAATATTCAAGTTAATTAGCGGTGGGTAACAATGATTCGCGTAACGGGAATATTGCAGGGTTGTAAAATAAGATGCGACTTGTCGCGTCGGAACTGGTTTCTTGACATTGATGGAGATTTCTATTAAACTACATTCATCAACATTAAATATGCGTAGCAACTTCGACAACGTTCACGTTGCAACTGAATTTCTTGTCAGATTCAATAGCATACAAATTTACACGAAGGCAGGTTATGTGAAAATCAGCCGTAGACCGTCAACAGGGGCGAGGAAATGAGATAATCTGTCGTTGTGTCAGTCAACTCGGAACTAATACTATGACAGGAAGATATACTAGGGTTGACTATCTTTTTTCTTGAAGAATGAAGATTTCTTTACATATGCATTTCTATTTATTGGAGAAGGAATATAGGACCTTTCTTCAGGGTCTATCCCAGCAAGTTATTGTGATCGTTTCTTTATTCGAACAATGATGGAGTCAAGCGCAATCCAACAAAGTTCAATTCTGATATATATATCTCACATTGAGAGCCATCAATTATCATTCTGGTTTCTGCTTCTTTGTACTGTTGTGCTCTAGTTCCTCCAGTAAGAATTTTAATCCATGAATAGCAAATTCCTGCATATTGAAGCATCTGTCCTCACTCCCCGTTTTGTATGTCTTCGATACATCTCTTGTAGGGCCTGATATGCCATAATAAACAGTTCCAACTCCTTGATCTTTTCCTTTGGGGACCAGGTTGGAGGATGCAGACGCGAAGCCAGTTTCGGACAGTGTGTAAGTGGCACCCAGTTCAAATTTAAGATTTCTAGCCAACCTCAGAGCGACATCGACACTAGGACCTGTGTAGTTTAAAATATCTTCTTCATCCCATCCGCTCAACTTTAATCTACTTTTTAAACTGTACACGAGTGTGCCCCCATGAAACCACTGCGATGCGCCGGGCACCGATACTAAGTAGCTGGAGAGCAGACCACCGCAGGCTGCTTCACTAACAGCGATAGTTTCTTCACGCTCCTGAAGCAACTCAGATATACGCTTGACCAACTCTGATGTGTTTGGTGGGGGGAATTCTGCTGTCATTTCTATTTCATCAACTTGGGTACGTTTTTTGAACAATCAACACGTCCCGTTTCCAAGTGCTTTCGCTACCGCGTGTTCTTTGTTAGACATAAATAGGAAAATAACTGAACCATGCACAAAAAGGTAACCAAGCTAATATTATCAAAAAGCATAAGGTTGATAACACTTTCTATGAGCCAGTTCAATTAGCGATAGCTGATGCGGGAAGTTATGATACACGTGACCTGCGTGGTAAATGATCACCTCTTAAAATCTCTGGCAAGAAGGTGGCAACGTTTCAATCCAATTCAAACCCCATTGATATTTAATAAACAACTCAATTATGGGGGAAATTGTATGCAAATTTAGAGCAGGGCTTGCTGATTTTGATGAAGATTCCAGAATATGTACACCGAAACCACTCAAGGGTGAGATAATTGTTAAACCATCGGAAGAAGCTGATGGGTTTTACGATTTTCAATGGAAACCAATTGAGAAAGTTACAACTGGAAATGTTGAGCCAATAGAATTGATTTTGATTCCGGGCGAAACAAAATGGCTCACTATTAAATCCTCAAAAAGTGGCAGAATCTTCTGTTTAGTCTTCTCATCAGGGGAGAAATACTTCTTCTGGCTTCAGGATAAGAATGAGGGCGCATCATCATTGAATGAGTTAAGCAAGGCAGACAAAGAGATTGTAGCAAAATTGGAAGGTATTTTGAAGGCTGAAGAGGAAGAAGTATCCACTGGGGCTAACAATGAAGATATTAACATGGAAGATGAGCAAAAGCAGTCTTCGGAAATTTCCAACCAGTAAGTACGTCTTCACTCCTTGTAAGTTAAACAGCTGTGATGCTCATGTATACTAACCCTGAAAATCTATTTCAATAGACCTATTGGGCACGTGTGTGACTTTTTAACTAAATCAGTTGTGATTAAGTATGTACAGTCGCTGGCAGAAGACTCTCCACAGTTAGAAGCGCTGCTGCAGCATTTGCCGGAAAGTGAGTCTCGCAACAAGGAAGCGCTCATAGAGTGTCTAAGGGGTCCCTTTTTTTTTCATGCTGCTGATACACTATCAAAATCGCTGCAAGAGAGTTTTGAAGCAGGTTTGACTATCGCCAATGGCTTTGGTTATGAGTATTGCGATAACGGTGTCCTTGGTCTGATCAAGGGGGCAAGAAAGGAAGGCCTAAAGGAAGCAAAATCGCAGTCAAAGTCCAAAGATAAAGATATATAAATACGTGAATATATATCGCTAATTGCATGCAGTACAGACTATTTGCATTCTTTTATTTGCTTGCCCACTTTACAGACCAATCAAGTTTGTCACCTGCTTTAAAGGGAGCTACTATTATACCTTCCCCATCTGAAATACTATTTGGCACAACCTGCTTTCTCTTGAATATGATTGCTTCGTCAAGACTCTTTAAATCTTCTTTCTTGACACCATAGAACTGAAGACCAAAATCTGATACGAAACCTTTCAATTTATCAATGGAGTCTTGCTCTTCAAAAACTTGTGCCAAGTATGGAATTGCCAAAGACTGCGAGTAAACACCTGCACAGACGTTAATGTGCCTGGCTTTGTTGGAAAGCGGGTGTGGGGCAGAATCAGAGCCAAAGAAAAAATATGGCTTTCCTGAAATTGCAGCAGACACCAACGCCCTTTTGTCCTTTGGTAATTTAGCAACAGGCTTGCAAAAGTTTATAGGATTTCCTGCCCAGTCATCAATGGTTAAATACAGGTGGTGTGCTGTTATTGTAGCAGCAACCTTGATCTTTGCCGGATCAGTGATTCCTTTATTTATCATTTCTATCGTTTCAATCGCAGCAGCAGTAGTGCAATGTTCCAAAATAATCTTCAAATTTGGGAAATCCTGGTGCAGTTTTTTTAGCGCTGGTAGAAAGGATTCTTCTGCATTTAGAACATGAATATCATTACCATTTTCACCTGTAGAAGGCTTCTCGCCATGTAAATTTAAAACAAGTCCTTCCTGCTCCATTGCATTAAAAATCGGGTAAAACGCGCTGAAATCATTTGGATCAACACCGGAAGAGGAATTGGTTGTCACGCCGGCTGGGTAGCATTTAACACCATCGATGGCGCCTATCGATGCAGCTTCGTGAATTAGTTCTGGTGTCAAATCTTTTGATAAATAGAAGCTCATTAAAAAGGTGGTTTGGGGTGCTAAAGCCTGCAGTTGCTTTTTATAATCAACCACTCTCTCGATGGTTGTGATGGGAGGTTGCAAATTAGGCATGATATAGGCAACAGATATACCACCTTGTCTTACGGTAGGAGTAATCAGTTGACACATAGCACCATCCCTTAAATGAACGTGCATATCGCACGTCACGCCTAGGTTGATTTCTGACATATCTTCAGAGTTTATTGTACAGAATTAACAGAAACTTGAGTTAATTCATTTCACGACGTTTTTTTTTTTTTGAAAATTTTTGTCCATTATCTCATCTCATCTCTTCGCTTCGCTTTGACGGATACCACGGTTTAACTTCAACGGGAACAATAAGCAAGAGGTTTGACCTGATACCAAAAATGGGCGATTCATTTATAGCCCCAGCTTTGTCGACGGTTCAGACTGATGAGGTTTTTGCATTAGAAAGATATCAGGATAGCGAAAAAGATAGATCGTTCTACTTGGGACCATCTGCATCAAAGACAGGGAACCTCTTCGAGTTGATAAGGGACTACTATATGATAGATCTGCTGGTGAAATATTTGAGAAAGAATCCTCAGTTCAAGAAAATTACCTTGCAATTTCCTGACAAGTTTGTAATGGACTCTCCAATTGTCACTCAGCTGCTGCAAGAGGAGTTAGAGAGTGACGACGAGCGCGCGGATGAGGGCTTTGATGAGGTAGGAAAGAAAGAAAAATGTGGTGCAGAAAACTGTTGCTCTGCTGTCAAGTGCTCCAAAGAACTATCGAATGAAATATCAGGACGCAAATTTTGGATCCTCGCAGATACTGCCTACAGCTCCTGCTGTGTTGATGAAGTTGCTGCAGAACATGTTAATAGTGACTTGGTTATTCACATGGGTGATGCATGTTTGAATTCAATTCAAAAACTTCCAGTAGTATATTGCTTCGGTAAACCGTACTTGGATTACGATATACTTGTGGATAAATTTCGAGATGCATATCCTGACAAGGACCATAAGGTATGCTTAATGGCGAACGCACCTTACACATGTCATCTCAAATTATTGTATGAAAGATTGAATCAAATAGGATATGCAAACATAATCTATTCCGAAGTTAGTGTGGATCCTAGCGATGATCAAATTACCATCGTGGGTACCGAAATTACTAATCAATCACAAGCCATTCATTTTTTGGACAGTAGAATACTTTTAAGTGAAAAAGACATCAAAATTTCAGATGATGAGGAACTTCAGGCCGATTACGACTTATTCCATATCACAGTTCCCGAAGACCCAAGATTGCTCTATCTTTCGACGAAATTTCGATCGATCTGTATATACAATCCTGGAAAGCATACCATTTCAACTGGACCGTTTCCATCAATGATGAAACGATACAGATTTATGCATATGGCGAGAACGGCGGGAACTATTGGCATTTTGGTCAACACTCTTTCTTTGAAAAATACTAAAGAGACAATTAATAGCTTGGCAAATTTGATAAAGGACAGTGGTAAAAAGCACTACATGTTTGTAGTAGGGAAGCCTAACGTGGCGAAACTTGCAAATTTTGAAGCAATCGATATATGGTGTATTTTAGGATGTGGTCAGAGTGGAATCGTTCTTGATCAAAACAACGAATTCTATAGGCCTATTATCACCCCTTATGAGTTAACGATGGCACTTAATCCGGAAGTTGTATGGACTGGTAAATGGGTTGTAAACTTTGAACAAATTTTGAACGAGATTTCAGAAAACGATGATAATTCCGAGTATACAGAAAATGGCAATGCCGAAGATGACGCTCCAGAATTTAGTGCAGTTACTGGTCAGTATGTCAGCTCATCGAGGCCCTTAAGAAGCATCCAAAGGCTTGAGATAGAGACACCCGAGGAAGAGGATCAAGCTCAGTCTAATGAGCTGGTTCAAAAGTTTTCTGGGGCAGTTGCTATTAAGGGCACAATCTCAACCTCGGCGATAACGTTACAAAATAGACAGTGGACAGGACTGGGAAGTGACTTCAATCCTGAAAATTTCGAAGAAGACGGTGCCACGGTCGAGGAAGGGATATCTGGTGTTGCCAGCCAGTACGGATTTGATAAATCGAATATAAGAGGGATCGTTTAAAGAAATTGGTTCAAAGACACCACTTAAGTATTTATCTAGTAAAAAGTTGGTATTTAATTTTAATGTCACGTGATTACTTTTTCAGCTCGAAACTAAAGTTGTGATAAAACATCTCTTGTTATAGCTTCATCGGCAATAGGCGAGAAGAAGAGAAAAGATGGGCGCTGCACCATCCAGAATTATTGAAGACCTCTTGGAGGATACCAACTGTATGAATAGCCTGTATCAGCGTACGCATAGACAAATTGTACTAACGAAGCTACTTTGACAGTCGAGAGGGAGGAGATTGAGAGGCTGAGGAAGCGGTTTATGAAACTGGACAGAGACAGTTCTGGTTCTATCGATAAAACCGAGTTCATGTCTATTCCTGGTGTCTCATCAAATCCCTTGGCAGGTCGTATTATGGAGGTATTTGATGAAGACAATAGTGGGGATGTTGATTTCCAGGAATTCATAACGGGGCTATCTATCTTTAGCGGGAGGGGTAGTAAAGATGAAAAGCTTAGATTTGCGTTCAAAATATATGACATTGATAAGGATGGCTTTATCTCCAATGGTGAATTGTTCATAGTGTTGAAGATTATGGTGGGAAACAATTTGGAAGATGAGCAACTACAACAGATAGTGGATAGAACTATACAAGAAAATGACGTGGACGAAGACGGCAAATTAAGCTTTGATGAATTTAAAAATGCTGTTGAAACCACAGAGGTTGCGAATTCCCTCACGTTGCAATGTGATATATGATAATGATAGGGTTATCCTTTACTGCCGATATTTAAATTCCATTATGTAAGATGCCAAGCATTGAAGCCAAATCTCAAATAAAGAAAGCATTCCCTAAGTTGGAAATCTTAACTTCCATTTAGACATCTATTATTAGAATTGCGATACGATAAATGTGAGGTGTTGATTGTTTAGACAATGTTTTATTAAAATAGCACAGTATATGTTCCAAAATTCAGGCGTACCTGATTTTACAATTAATTATATTCCAATTAACACATCTCAATGTATTAAATTCATTACGTAATTAAGAAATAGTTGAAATTATCACAAAGCATATCTGAACTTTGGGTTTTCAAAGTCAGTAAGATCTCTGAATTCGAGATTCTCTAGCGCCTTCTCATCAAGGCCCTTTTCAGCTGCAATTTGGTCTCTTCTCTTGTTCTCTCTGTAGTTTATGAGATACAACAAAGATAGGACTACTACTGAGCCAGCATAACACACCAACATAGCAATCTTTGCACCGGTGTAACTTGGAGCTTGCTTGGCAATAAATGTTTGTGGACCTGCTAAGTTAGAAGCAGCGTATGAAACCAAGTTGATTGAGGAAACTGTCCATTTCTTGGTGTAACCGACAGTGTTGGAACTAATGTTGGAAAGCACACAAATGAAGGCCACTGGAGCCACGTATAGCAAATAGGCACCTGCTAGTTTAGCGTTTCTGGAGTTATCAGCGAATGCAAGCATACAAGTGGCCACAACACTGATTACAGCGGCAAAAATACCCCAAGCCAATCTATCTCTGAGGATGGGGATTTTCTTCTTTGCACACCACACCGATAGGAAACCGAATAGTGGGCATGCTACCAACTCCACTGCACCAGTGGGCATGGTCATCAACAAAGATTCACCACTGCTGTAACCGAAATCATTTTGGATCAAAATACTCATAAAGTTGGTGAGACCACCATTTGGAATGTTGGAACAGATGGAGAACAAAAAGTAGAGCCAAGTTCTAGGGTCTCTGAATGCCTCCTTGACCTGGTACCATTTAATTTGGTGGTTACCGAAACCTTGTTGGTTGGTTCTGATTCTTTCGACCACCATAAGCTTCTCGCGCTCGGTTAAGAACCAGGCCTTGGAGGGATCATCTGGGATGTGGAAGTAAATCAAGAACCCAACTGTGATTGTGATTAAACCAGTAATCACAAACAGAATTCTCCAGGCCTCGATAGAGTAGGTATTTTGTCTGGTGTACAAACCGTACGCCATAGAGTTACCCCAAATACCACCAAACCCATTGAAACCAAACCACAGGCACACTCTCATGAACTGTTCTTCCTTCTTCCAGTATTGACTGGTGATGATTGTGAAAGTTGGAGTGACCATACTCTCGGCACATCCCAACAACACTCTAAGGAAGACGAACGAGGCATAGTTAACAGAAGGAGCAGCGTGCAAAGCCAAGATCATCCCCCAAAAGACAACAAAGACAGCCAGTGTCTTGGCCAGCCACCTTGTTTTTTGGAAAATAATTTGGCCCGGACCCAAGTTGAAGAAAAGGTACCCAAAATAAAAAGCGGAACCGACCCACGAGTACTGGTTACCGTGCATTTTCAAGTCCGTTCTGAGACCCATGACTGCAGCAGAGCCGTTCGAGACTTTGTCCATGAACTGGATCGAATACAAGAGGCACATAAGGGGAAACATGTAAAGGTCAATTTTGCGCACAAGTTTGCGGTCTTCTTCCTCCGTGACGGTGATAGATTCGGCTTGCATGGCCAATTTCATGGCGTCATCTGCATCTTCGAGCTTTCCTGAAACAAGCACCTCTTTACCATGAGGCGACATGATCGTAGAGATCACGTTCATGTCTTCATCTGGAATCGCATGAACCTGCGATCCAATAGCACCGATCTTGTCATCCTGTTGGTCGATCGAGCTAGATTCTCCGGAAACGGGTTCGATCACGTCTGTGTCGCGTTTAGTGTCTTTTGCGTCGATGTGAGGCATGTAGAGCTATGCTATAACTACGATCCAAGACGTACTGAGAACAATTACATTTCAGTCCCTTTTATATCTAGCATTGTGCAGTTTGAAGTCAGCCCCACCTATCTTTCTTTTGGCATATGAAAAAACTCTTATCACTGTCACGCGACCCTATCGCATAACGGTCTCAGCGCCGTATCAAGATCCGTTATCACGACAAAACAAAATTGAACCCACAATTTCCAGCGTATCGCGATCATTAATCTGTACTTTAGTCACGTTTATTCGCTTTTCCTTGATATTTCCGAGAACCGTTTGAAAGCGCATGCAAGGCTCGAGCGCTTCTTCGCCGAGCTCCGCCAAGTTCGGTACCTCGATGGCCGCAATTTCCTAATTGAGAATCAATAGCCCTAAGAAGACCGAGGGAAAAACTATAAAAAAATGCCCAAGATTCGCTCGGGTGCGCCTGCGAAAAAAAGGGCGTTCGGTTCCCGCCGACAAGCGACCCTTGGTTCAACTGGAAGGAACAAGTCGAGGCAAATAATGGCTTATGAAGAGAGTCTTAGGCACCAGAGCTCGATAAGAGCCGGTACATTCGGGGTTGGCGCTTTTGCGATGTAACGCCAGTAGCTATTCTTATCGTAAAAGCTGCGGGCGCAATTTTAACGCACAAGCACATTACGTGCAAAACACTGTGAGCAGCCGCTTGGTGGATGTGAGTTTTGTGGTGAAGGGTCCTCTTGCTTACTTCATGTATGGTTGCTTCTGTGGTGGTTCGGTGCATTTTCTTCGAGATGGCGCGGCGTTGCGACCGTTAGATTTCGAAGGTCGCAAGAGGTTGCAAGAGGTCGCTGCGCTGACGAGAGGCAACAGGCATTCGAAGGGCGGGCGGGGTCATACAGAGAGCTTGGTTGGGTGGGTGTTGGCAGCGAGCAATCAGACGATATTGGCGCTTGGAGCGAGGCCACACACGCCAGCGCTCGTTTCGCGCACTTTGTGACATGGGGGCCTCGCAGTTCGCCGAGGCGCGGCGGCGGGGTCGCGTGACCGTTGGAAACCTTTTTTTTTTTTTCCGGAGCCCGATGAGATTTCGATTCCAGTGCATGCGCCATGGGGACGTCTCGTCTGGCATCCTACGCGTAGAAGCACGGTTCCAAGCGTGCTGGCGTGACCCTGATCGAGTTCTTTGCGTCGCGGTCTGTTTCTACGCGCTTAGGGTGTGTGCCCCACGCATTTAGCCAAAGATTCTTTTATATTACATACATTACTGTAACGCTAGCGGTAACCTCTTGCAACCAGCTCCTTCTCCATGGAGTTCCAAAAGTATCTCAGCACCTCAACGTCTCTGAACCGCTTGTTCTTCTCCAATTCCACCTTTTGCACGTTCCACTGCTCCACGTGATGGGGCACCACATCGCCTGCAAAGTAAAAGTAGTAACCCCTGCAGTGTTGGAATAATTCTGTGGGCGTTGACCATTGGTAATTGCTGAACTGCCAGGCGTGACCCGTGGTGAACACGGCCACGACGCGATCCCAGTATTCTGGTTTTGTGAATAGACGCGTGTTGTTGACTATCAGGAACTTGATGGGCTTGCCGAAACGGTCAAACTTCTTTACCACGCTGGTTACGTCTGACTGGGCAGGTGGCATGTCCCGAGGATGTACGTATACCGACTCTTCCAAAAATCTCTTGATGTTGGCAATGGTGAAAATGGAGGATGCGGCAGATGGTATGAGGATAATGGGATCTTTTTTGGCGGGGGTCTTAGACGAGGTCTTGGAGACACCGGCACGCTCCCCAGTCTTTTGAGGACGGCGAGAGCTCTTGAGAGAATGAACCAATTTCAACTCGGCTTCTTTTATCAAATACCCAAAGTTTGTTGGCTTGGTGCCTCTGAGACAAGAATTGTGATCTAGCAACACTCTTTCGTGAGCCAGAGCCTCTTGTAAAACTGGGTCCTTGATAGTGTCCTCTTCTTTCTCCTTGACAACGGCAGACTCTGATTTCTCGTGATCCTTCCCGGCCACAGATATAAACTGGGAAGATTCGCTTTGTCCAGAAAGCCAGTTGATCAAATCTGTTCTCTGTAGGAAAGAGATATTTGTGAGGCCCTTCGCTTGGCAGTCGGCCAAGTATTCTGCTGCGCTGGAATCCTTATGTATCCAACAATTGTAAACCGTTCTGAGGGTAATTGGGGTGTCTTCTACTTGGAAATCTGTTTTCTCATCTAACGAAAGCTGTTCTCCATCACTAAGTGCGAGTTTAGATGCACCAACAATGTCATCAGTAGTATTGCCATTGGCATTCAGTAAATTTATATTCTGATCTTTGCGCAACTGCTCTCTTAGTTTTGCTAGATTACCCATTTTTTTTTTACCCTATCTTCTTTGTGAAGTAGTTATTCGCAAGAAGATTTTATTAAATTTTTTTCAACAGAATATACCCGGACTCTATATTTTTTTTCAATTTCACAGGAATCTCTGGTACTCATCTCTTGTGAAGGTCTCTTAAGCTAGAGGATGGCTAAGAAAGGTGGCAAGACTCCACCTGCTTCGCAAGAAAAATCAAAGAGCAAGAAAAAAGGCCAAAATAATGAGAAAAGTGAGTCTGATCAGGATAGAAGGGCCAAGCAACAGGCAAATAGAGCCAAAGTCACTTCGACGTCTAGTTGGACTGGTAAACTCCCGCACACATTACTTCATGAGCATTGTCAGAAAAGAAAGTGGAATAAAGTCGAGTATGATATGAAAAAAATTGGTGACAAGGGCATGCTTGCATTTGCAATACTTTCACACACAGATCCCAAGACGAAAGAAATCTTGACCATAAGAATGAATGACCCTACTTTTGACAAGTCTTCTGGCAAGGGATTACTAGTGCCTCAGGAAACCCCAATTGAGGCTAGACACATGGCAGCTACAGTTGCTTTGTATCGAATTGCATTCAATACCAATCTACACATGATGTTGCCGCCAAACCATAAGACACTTTGGTATGAACTAGACGATTTTAGGAAAAAATTTGCCAAACAGAATTCATTTGCATGTGAGAGGATCTTCAATGTCGAGCCCTTTCAACAATTGTTGACAGATAGAAAGGCCAAAGAGTTGCACGATAAGGAGCAAGAGGCAAAACAACAACAGGCTGAGAAAGCTCACAAGGCGCCCATTTTAATCACATCCACACCAAATCCAAAAGTTGCTGTTAAAAAACCCTCATCTCTGGATAACCGGATTATAAAATTCCCCAACAAAGTTTGGGAAAATGCCACTTTCATTGACTTGGAAGAGTCGTCGCGTTCTTTGATTGAGAAAACTTTAAAGACCCAAATTGATTGGACCGCAAAGAAATATGTCGGACCTGTGACACAAGAACGAGAATATTTGGAGTCGAAATTGCAAGCATTTGGCTTTAGAAAGCCGCACGTGATCGAGGCTATGACATATGCCGATCCATTATCGTTCTTGTTGTTTAATCTACCCGAAGACGATCTGCCAGAGTTTTTCCACAAGAGACTGGAAGACTCAAAGATGAAAGTGGAAATCGCATCTTTACCCCTCCCTGTGAGAAATGCACTTGCCAGGTTGATGGAGAGCGGTGTGTCCTATGATGAAGCGTTGTATGCATTGCAAACTTCAAACATGGACGAAAACGAGGCAGCAGGTTTTTTGACGGAAAAACTGTTGACCAAGACTCCAACCCAATCAAGTCAGATCACCACTCAGGAGTCACAAGAGATTTGGCAACAAGAACTCGAGAGTTTGCAAAGCATTTATGGGGACGATGTGATTGAAATTTTAAACGACGACAAAACCTGTTTTAGCATGCAACTTTTGGAAAATTACAAGCTCAAATTGAAAGTTTACAAGACAAGCCATTATCCAGACACTATCCCCGGCATTATCGTATCTACATTTGATAAGAATTACAAGTTACCAAATTATATCAAATTGGCAATTGTCACTCGACTACTAGAACATGTAGTGGAGTCTTCTCTACTGGGTGATATGTTGGTGTATCACATGTTTGAATGGTTGCAAGAAAACATTTCGAGCATTATAGATAACCCGGGCCGTTTATTACAAGTGGTTGAGGGCTCTAATAAAACCGCTCAAACTAGAGAGGTTTCCAAATCAAGGGGACGCAATTACAAAATCAAAACTTTGTCACCACAGGAGATTGACAAGTTAAAGAGTGATTATTCAAAGAGGAGGCAGTCGAGTTCTTTCGAAAACATGCAACAGCAAAGATCGAAATTGCCCGCTTGGAAAATTCAAGATAAAATTGTAAAGATGATTATGTCAAACGACGTGGTGCTCATAACAGGTGAAACCGGTTCCGGTAAATCCACTCAGGTGGTACAATTTGTGTTGGACCATTTAATCGCAGTGCAAAAGGATTTTGCGCAAACCAAGATTATATGTACGCAACCGAGAAGAATTTCCGCCATTGGTCTTGCCGAACGTGTCTCTGACGAACGGTGCGTTGAGTGCGGCGACGAAGTTGGATACGTTATACGAGGGGTTAACAAGACGAGTGCTTTCACCAGAATCAAGTTTATGACTACCGGTGTCCTGGTGCGTATCCTTCAAACTGCCAAAGATTTTTTGCAAAACACAATTGTGTTTATCGACGAAGTTCATGAGAGATCCGTGGACACCGATTTGATTGTGATTTTATTGAAAAATCTAATGGGCCGTATTCCAGGTTTAAAGATTGTACTAATGAGTGCCACTGTCAATGTAGATGTTTTCAAAAAATTTTTTGGCCATTTGGAAACTTGTCACATTGAGGGGAGAACGTTCCCAATTAAGGACTATTTCTTGGAAGAGGTTTTGGAAATTCTTGATTTCAAGATTAAACGGAAAAAAATCAGTTACGATGACGACGTGGAGGAAGACCCGTATTTGAAACCCAGTGCGGACTCCAAGTTTTTCCGCAGTGGACAATTGGATTACGATTTGATAACAGGTTTGGTCAACCACGTTCACCAACGCTTGTTACACGAGGGTAATGACGGGTCCATCTTGATCTTTCTACCCGGTGTGGGTGAAATCTCCTCCTGTTGCAAAAATTTGGCGAAAATGGACGAATTCACCGTGCTACCGCTTCACTCTGCTTTAACCCCCGAGGATCAGAAAAAAGTGTTTCGGAAATATTCCAAGAGGAAAATCGTGGTTTCCACAAACATTGCAGAGACTTCTATCACCATCGATGACTGTGTGGCCACGATCGATTCCGGGAGGGTGAAAAACGTTTTTTACAACCCAACCGATAATGTCACCAAATTACAAGAAACGTTTGTCTCCCGGGCAGAGGCACAACAACGTAGAGGTCGTGCAGGTAGAGTGAGAGCCGGTTACTCTTTTAAATTGTTTTCCAAATCTCTTTACAACGAGATGCAACCGCTTCCAACGCCAGAAATCAAAAGAGTCGCACTCGAATCCCTGTATTTATCTGTAAAGGCCATGGGCATCAAAAATGTGATTGATTTCCTCGGTACGGGACTCGACCCACCACCTTTGAAATTTTTACAAAAATCTCAACAACTCTTGACAGCTGCGGGTCTTTTGGCAGAGTTTAACAACTCCCTAACAGAATTGGGCAGATTCATCAGTCTCATGCCCGTGATGGATTACAAGCACGGCAAACTCCTGATTTACTCCATCATTTTCGGATGCACCGATTTGGGGGTCCTGATTGTCTCCATCTTGGGCGCAGGCGGGTCTCCCTTTATAATCACCAATGACAATCGAGACTCTGTGAAAAAAATTTGCTCGTCGTACGGGGCAGGCGGAGACCTGTTGGCCATGACACATTTGATACGTGCCTATTTCAATATCCGTGACAACGGCGCTAAAAGGGCGTTTGTCAGGGACCATCATCTGTCGTTTAACAAATTGAGAGACATTGCCTCTTCCAAATCTCAACTTTACTCCATGTTGAAAGATGTCGGGTTTCTTCCAATCAAGTACACGCCCTGTGGCACATATTTGAACAGAAATGCGGAAAATTGGGAAATCGTTCAAGCTATTCTCACAGGTGCATTCTACCCGCAAGTGGCGCGCGTCCAACAACCAGACCCCAAATACGTGCACACCAGTTCGGGCAGCGTCGAAAGGGAAGCCGAGGCCAAGTTGACAAAACTGTGGTTGCGTAACGAGGAGTACATTGACCGTGTTAATGACATGCACCCCGACTCGCGCGTGACAAACTCCGAATTGCCCGCCACCAGGGCTTTTTTGCATCCCTCGTCTATCTTTTTTGACACTAGCAGGGACGAGGCGTTGCCGGTGTCCGAGATGACACCGGACTCTAAACGCACAACTAAACGCACAGCGCAATTGAGGGCCCCTTTTGTAGTTTACAATTCCTCGCACGCCACTACGAAATTGTACCTTAGGGACATCACTCCAACGTCAACTCTTGCACTTTTACTCTTTGGTGGGCCCATCAAGTACGATTTGAACGCAGCTCGACACTCTCCGGGGATAATTGTGGATAATTGGTTGCCGATTAGAACTTGGTGTAAGAACGGAGTGCTCATCAAGGAACTGCGTAGTTGTCTGGACCAGGTTATTCGGGAGAAGTTGGAGGATCCTAGTTATATCTCGGAGAGTTTGGGTTGCCATGGGGGGGATGATGTTTTGGGAGTGGTGGAGAGTTTGGTGAAGCAAGCGAGTGAGTGAGCAAGCGAGTGAGTGAGCAAGCGAGTGTAGCAAGCGAGTGTAGCAAGCGAGTGAGTGAGTGAACGAAGCAAGTGAGTTAGCAGAGCAAGTGAGTGAGCAAGCGAGTGAGTGAGCAAGCGAGTGAGTGAGCAAGCGAGTGAGTGAGCAAGCGAGTGAGTGAGCAAGCGAGTGTAGCAAGCGAGTTAGCGAGTGAGTGAGTTAGCAAGTGAGTGAGTTAGCAGAGCAAGTGAGCAAGCGAGTAAGTTGCTAAGAGCTAAGAGCATAGCATGCGCAGCGAGTAAGTTGCTAAGAGCTAAGAGCATAGCATGCGCAGCGAGTGCCTTGCGAAGAGCGTCCCTCCAGCGCCATACTAACATTATAAGTTTGATAGATTAATCTTTATAACATCTACATCTCCACTACCAGGACTACCAGTACAGTCTCTTGTACCACTTGTAATTAACCACGCCCGCACTACAAAACACAATGGCAAGTCCTAACTTGGATGAATATCGACTAGCAGTGAGTTTATCTAGCGTTGAGGGCAACCACAAGGCCAGGGCAACATCGCACCTCCCAGAAAGCCCCGCGGCAGCAAAAATATTGACAGCTGCGAGGTTCGAACTCGCGCGGAAACTATCCAACAGATCTTAAGTCTGCCGCCTTAACCACTCGGCCAAGCTGCCCTATGACGTACAAAGTGATCTACCACTTTGTAACCGCCGACCGCGGGTTTTGAACCCGCGACCGTCAACACCGCTCACCACTCCACTAGGAGTGGTGGTGCGTTATCTAAGACGTTGGTAAAGAGGTATATATCAAAATGAGAACCTGAACTGTCTGTCATGAAACAATAAGATCTTGAGGTACCTCGGAGATACCAAACTAAACCTCAAACATGAGTGAGAATCGATACAAGCTCCCAATCTATAGCTATAAATATTACGAAGTCCTGAGGAAACGATGAGACTAAATAGGAGAGGAACAAGGCTAAGTAGAACTCATTTCATTAGTTTCAAGAACGTCATAACTAGTTACGACACTGTCGCTGTCATGAAACAATAATATCTTGAGGTATCTCGGAGATACCGAACTGAACCCCAAACATAAGTGAGGATCGATGCAAGCTCCCAATATATAGCTATAAATATTACGAAGTTCTAAGGATACGATGAGACTAAATAGGAGAAGTACAAGGCTAGTGTAGAACTCATTTCATTATAATCGAGGACTCCGTAACTAATGACGACAGTTTTTGTAAAGATGTCTATATATGAAAATGGAACCTGGGCCCCAGAAGATTTGACAAGGGTTTTCTGTAGCGCTAAAAAATGTAAGCCGCTTCAGCCCTGCTAATCTAAAGTAAAACATACTACGAAGTCGTAAACTTATATACGGTTAAGTCGAAGATAGTAGTGGAAGAGATGGCCTATATACTACTCGTCTAGTTATAATTGAGAACCTGAACTACTGCGACTTTTAGCCCGGCTGTACATTAACCTGAACTTGAATTTTTAAAGGTATCCTTAATATGCAAAATATTTAGTTTTAGCTACCAGGGAAGCAATGCAATTTATGAAAATAGCTAAAGATTTTGATCTAACTCAACTAGTTTTCTCTTCCAGAGGCGAGTGGCACTTTGAGCAAGACAGTGGCGCGCCATTCTTTTTCTGCTTCTCAATTTCACCTTTCGATGGCACGTAGTGACACTGGTTATTAGAGCACATAGTCTTGGTTATATCGAACCGCTGACCACATTTATGACACCAGTATTTTGATCTGTCCCATGGAAGGGTGTGCCATTTGATACTGGATGTGGGCCCGCAGTGATAACATTCTCTCGTTTCGTGTTCGAGTTTTTTCCTAATTCTAGGTTTTGGTGGGGCATCGCGAATCAAAACTCCTTGACAGTGGTTACATTTATGGCCAGTTATTTTCTTCCCCTCTGGCGTCACCTTCGATACTATACGATCTTTTCTTTCAACTTTTTCCTTAAGTTGCAGGAACCCAATAACCCGATTGCAATCGTAACATCGTGTACGACTTTGGATGTAGTAGTCATAGCAGCTGCGGCACAATTTGTAGCAGTTTAAATTCTCCCTCCAAGGGACGTTTTTCCATGGAAAAGAAACGCCTTTACCGCAAGAGTAACATTTGTTTTCGAAAATATCAATGGCCTTTGTTTCGCCTGATTCCATGAGTGAACCTCTGGTCACGATTTGGTGTTCTGGAATTATTCGCTGCTGTGAAGTGTGCGTGATTTGAAAGACTTTAACTTTTCGATTCAGTGGATTACTGTGAAAAAATTGGCGTGAATAATTGTAGCAAACTAGTGCTTTTTCGGAGTCGCTCAAGTCACTGTTGGTCTTTGTTTGCTCTGCATCACTTTTCTCCGTACTATTACCTGTAGATGCGTCTGCAACAGCCAAAGTACGTTCTGATCCCTCTTCTGGGATATGGCGTTCGTTCTCAGTGGCAAAGGTCCCCTCCGTTCCCTCTTCCAATTCTTCATCTGCAGTTGCGTCCTCGGCGGCTAGAGTAGGATCTGTATCCTCTTCAAGGTTTCCGCCCTTGTTAGCTTCCATTTTCTCCCTGATGAACCTGTCTTCAAAAATACTTTCTTCATCATTTGCATCATTACCAGCAGTGATTTCTTCCAATGGTTCTTCCTCCTCTAATGCTTGAAGCCTTTTCCTTTGCTTGTAATTTGCTTCCTTTGGGTTCCTTTTTCTCGTAGCCGAGCACCTATCGAGCACCGACCGCAAAACCTTGGGGTTACTTCCATTTGACAAGTAAAAATTCCAGTGTTTCTTACTAATATAATTTGTATTCTTGATACGTCTTTCAGGTCCAACATAAGCGAAGACATTCAAACCCAAGGATCGAGCAATAACTTGAACGCCGTCTCTAATAAGGGGGTAAGCGGTAACAATATTCGTGTAGAGAAAGCCGTCTGCAATCAATGAACATCCATCTGAATCGATCAAACCCGCAAGAAATGCCTCGCGGACCATTAATTGATCGGTTCTTAAGAAAAATGGAACGTTCTTGGCATCATTTATTTTTCCATTTTCGTAGAAAAATAAACCTTTTAAAACGGTAATGAACGGGTTTCCCACATTCCATCGGCGACGTCCATTTTGAATAGTGTGTAGTACAGCGTACGCACTGAAGGTGCCTGGTCTAGGAGGTTTTTGGGTATACGTCATTCCCCAGATCTTGGCATTTTCTTCTAATCTCCCATTTACCTCATGATCTTCCGAGTGTAGAGCAAACGCTGCACCTCTTCTAAAGCCATCACCCACCCAAAAACCAATCAACCAAGCCATCGCCTCTAGTTCCCTTGCAGAGACCTTTTTATGAAAGGTTTTCTCCAAGAAGGGTAACAATGTTGGTAATTCAAACGCTAAGGGCATCAACAATAGGCGGGTGGAAGCACGAGCCCTATCAGAGAGATATTTCAAATCACCAATTTCGCAACTCCAACGCACAAATCTATTACTATCCGCTTGCTTTCTAAATTTTGACAAATACTCTTGAACAACATCGTCTGACGTATTAGAGGGGAAATGTTTTTCGACAATTTTTGCCAGCTTAATCAATCTGCCCTCGTTAGTATCGAAATCCTCCACAGTAACGATATGGAATCTGCGTTGATTGCCCCTCTCTTTTCTAACAGACTCTGCACTGCGCTGGAAAGTCTCTAATAGGACCACTTGCTTTGCGAAAAAAGTCGTTTCAAAAAGGCCGTATGGATTGTCACGAGTTTCGTCCACGAGATGAATATAGTGGTGTGTTCGCTGCTTGATTCCGAAAGCATCTTCCCAACGTTCCTCAATCTTTTTCACGACACCAGTTGAACCGTCTTCCGTTAAAATCACGTCTCCAATTTGAAGGTATTCAACGAGCCTGCAGTTCCCATCAGACATAAAAACACTTGTGCCCTGTGTAAAATTCTCAGTAAGCGTAGTTTCAGGCTTTTTCGAAAAATTATTGGAAATAGCCATGCGACGTTTTTCCGTAGTGCTTGGGCACTTCCGACTAGATTTTTTGAGACTCTCCCAATGACTGTCAATACAACGAGGCTTTCGTTTTTTAGGAATTTCTTGGCGCTGTTTGGGCAGAGTGACAACGTGATTACACGCCTTGGCACCTTCACTAGGAACTTCTTTCTCAGGCGTCACTAGATCGATCACAACGGGATCACATTTCTCATTGTTATGTGGCTCTGGCGTCGCCTGATTACTTGGCAGTTTCTCGCTGGGATCTGCGCCTTCCTCTGGCCAGTCAACAAACAACGGTTGGGACTCCAAACTCATACCTGGAGGATCCAGATCGATAAATTGATCCTCGAAGCCTTTGAGCGTAACATTTTCCACTTTGGATCCAGTTCTGTAGGAAATGGTCCACTCGACCTTCTTTCGAGGCTCGCCAGCTTCGCGTGGCCGCCGGTAATTTGCCATCGTTTTAGCCGCTGACGTATATTCAAAGTAGAAAAGGTGTCTTCAACGAAATTAAACCTTTACCAGTCAAACAGATTGTTGCTATCAAATTAGAAAATGACTTCTCCTTTAAATTGAGAATTACTATCTATATGTATTCACAGTTGAGGCGTTTGTCTCATAATAGGTGAGACGTCCTTAAAACCTTGCGACGCGTCACGATGGTACGAAGTGATATTTACTGGATGGCAAAAATAAATGGTATAAAAGCCGCCCAGAGAAGTTTCCAAACTGAAACAACCCAAGTTTCACACAGGGGTTCTCTCAAAGAACACGCATCATGATAACAACAACCCCTAGCCACGACCATGATGGTATGGTGTATCGCACGTTTAACTAGTTGAAGGCTCAAGAACAAGTCTAACGAAAGAGTACGAAAATTGTATTGCGGTCTGCACAAGGCTATTCGCGTCTTTAAGTGGATTGAAATATTCCATTAGCAGTGAAGGCTAACCTGGAGTCATGTTGGAACGAAATACAACTATCAACCATCGACTAGTATTCGTGTTACTAGTATATTATCATACACGGTGTTTTAAGTTGACATAAAGAATGAGAAGCAGTCATCGAAATTAGTGGAAGCTGAAGCGCAAGGATTGATAATGTAATAGGATAATGAATGAATGAAAATGTATAAAAGGAACGGAAAGAGTAAGAACATTTGTAAGTAGAATTATTGACTCTTCTTTCTGGATTCTTAGAAAGAAGAGGAGAACTTCTAGTATAACCATATACCAATAATTATAGCCTTAATCAATAATGGAATCCCAACATTCAGCTCAATATTCACCAATTTCTCAAGCTCAATATTCACCAATTTCTCAAGAGTATCCTTCCCCGCATTGTCATTCTTTTTACTCGCATATCCCGAACGTATTTTCACCGAATTCCAACGCACCACCGCTCCTAGCGGAGCGGTGAATTGTGTTGAAGACCGCGGGTTCAAAACCCGCGGTCGGCGGTTACAAAGCGAAAGATCACTTTGTACGGCATAGGGCAGCTTGGCCGAGTGGTTAAGGCGGCAGACTTAAGATCTGTTGGATAGTTTCCGCGCGAGTTCGAACCTCGCAGCTGTCATTATTTTTGCTGAAGCGGAACATCGCATATTACCTTACCATACGTTCATGTGTGCTTGCACATGTTAAATTATAATAATAAATAGGGTGTGGTAAATACGGCTGGCTAAACGGGGCAGGCTGCTGCAACTAGTAGGCAGCCGCTGGGGAGATGGAGCTGACATACTCTTCGAAAGTGAGGGGTTTCCATGGGATTTGCAGGGCGCTGGCCAGCTGGGCGCCGAGGTCCAGGTTGAGCAGGCCAAAGTACTGGGTGACACGTTCTTTGATTTCGGGGACGGAGATTCTGGAGGCGTGCCCCGCCACGTTGTTGACGAAAGCGCGCTTGGCGGCGTCGTCGTACACGTTTTCGTAGAGGGCCCTGGGTTGCTCCAGGTCGAGCGGGGAGACGCCGGTGACGGAGTAGTACTCGTTGATCTTGGCGTTGATGATTTCTTCGTGCTTCTTGCGTTTGTCCTCCTGGGCCTTGATGTTGGCGAGCTCGTCTGCGTGGAGCACGGGCCCCGTGAACTTGGCGTGGGACATGGCGTCCGAGGTGAGGTCCTTGAACTGGACCTTCTGGTCGTGGTAGGTGGAGATGTAGTTTGGGTAGGCGCCCTGGTTGTAGAGGGCGGCGGGCCCGTCGCGCTGGAAGTTGCCCATGAGGAAGGGGCAACCGCCGGCGGATGCAGGGCACATGTTTCTGGGACTGTTGACGGGCAGTTGGTGGAAGTTGGCGCCCAGGCGGTGGCGCTGGGTGTCCGGGTAGGAAAAGAGGCGGGACTGCAGCACGGAGTCGTTGGAGGGCTCGATGCCCGGGATGCAGGTGTTGCTGGGGCTGAAGGCGATCTGCTCGATTTCCTCAAAGTAGTTGTCGACGTTTTCCGTCAAGGTGATCTTGGCGAACTTGCGCAAGGGGAACTGCTTGTGGGGCCAGATCTTGGTGAGGTCGTTGACAGAGTAGCGAAAGTCCTCGGCCTGCTGCGGGGTCATGGTTTGCACGTAGCAGGTGTAGGTGGGGTGCTCGCCTCTCTGCAGGGCCTGGAAGAGGAGAGTTTGGTGGTGGTCCGGGTTGGCGCCGGCGAGTTTGGCGGCCTCGTCGTCCGACAGGGTGCTGAAGCCGCGGTCTGCGAGGACGTGGATCTGGGCGTAGGTGAGCTCGTTGTGCTTGTTGATGAACTTGAAAGTGTGGCCCGAGTAGGCGCTCATTTCGGTCCAGGACGCGGGGGTGCCCCGGTCGCCAAACATGTAGGTGATTTGGTGGATGGACTCGATGTTCTGGGTGAGGTAGTCCCAGTACATGGCGGTGTCGACGCTTTGGCCCAGGTGGCTGCGAGGGTCTCGCTTTTGGGTGTGGATAAAGTGGGGAAACTTGTTGGCGTCTCTGATGAAGAACACGGGGGTGTTGTTGAAGACCCAGTCGTGGACCCCCCAGTCGGTGTAGAACTTGAAGGAAAAGCCTCTGGGGTCTCTTGCGGTGTCGGGGGTCCCGGACTCGCCGCCCACGGTGGAGCAGCGGATGACACCGGGGCACTTGTAGCCGGGCGTCTGGTATGGGGCGGCAAACGTGATGTCGCTTAGGGAGTCGGTGAGTTCGAACTCGATGCGGCACCCGCCGCCCTTGGCGTGGACGACTCTTTCGGGGATGCGCTCTCTGTCAAAGTGCGCGATGGACTCGACGAGGTGCACGTCTTGTAAGAGGAGGGGGCCATCGGGTCTGGCGTATTGGGCTCCGTACGGGTGGTGGGAGTAGGGGAACCCGTTGGAAGTGGCGTAGACTTGCTTGGCGTTGGCGTTGGCCTTTTCAATCATGGAGGGGGGGGGAGAGATGAGCTGGAAGAGGAGGGGGTCGAGGAGCTCGTCACGGCACTCGATATATATGCAAACGCAGGTTCAGCGCAAGCCAGGCTCAGCGCAAGCCAGGTTCAGCGCAACTTTGCAAGTGGCCGGTAATTCCGACCTCTGTATCCCACATGTTGTGGTGTTGCTATTGTTCCTACGTCAGTCTATTCGTTTAAATTTCAAGCGTGCCATAGCAAAATTTCAAGGGCGAACCTCAATGGAGCCACCGTATTTTACTACATACACTACACGGTTGTTACGCCGCACGATCAGTGCCCGTGAGTCTGACTGCAGCGCCGTATTTCTGTAATTTTGTCAGCAAACTGTCACCTTGCTTGATCAAGAAATGGTATTGGACATTTTTGTTATCAGGTCTGTTGGTCTCCACTATGCCGTTTACCCTGTCGATCACACAGTTGAGTTGCTTGTTGGGAACGAATTTCCCCAAATCTTTATCCAAAAACTCCACAGACACACCAAAGGCGCCGGCCATGGATTTTAACGATAGCGTCTTGTAAGATTCCAAAAGTTGTGCGTAAACCTTGCGTCTCATTTCGCGAACAAAATAGTCGGCGTGTCTGTTGAGGTATTTGCAGGGAATCAAAACGTTGCGATGGGTCTCTAATAGGTATGGGAAATAACTAGAGTATTCGGAAGTGTACAGGGAAATCGTCAGCGAAGAGATGGATTGCAACGCGGGGGTGGTGGTGATTAATGACAGCAATTCGGGGGAGTCGATGATCTTGGCCTTGAGCTCTGTTCTCTCGAGTGCAAACAACCCTGCCACGGAAGCATAGGTGGCGATGTTCTCATACGACGTCAACTCGACAGATGTAAAAGTGGCCAACGAGTCCACCAACAAGTTGGCAGCTTCTTTAAAGTCTCTGATTGCAAGACAGTGAATTCCCTTATAAGTCTTGTACCTGTTTCTTCTTTCCCAATCGCCCCCTTTTTCAATCATGCTATTCGTTTGCTCGAGTTTGGTCTTCACAAACTCTTGATTATTGTAGAAAAAACCCAACCTGGTTATGGTGAGCATGATATCGATCTTGGACCCCGTGGACACGGCTTTATCTAGTGCCTTGTTCAAAGTATCCTCTGCATTTATAAGGTCACCGATTTGCGCATAGTATTCACCCAATTTCACCCAACATTGGGCCTTTTCCAACTCTCCTTCGTCTTTATCCTCAATCTCTTGCAAATGCTCTTTCAATTCGGTGATATCCTGCTGGTTGCGGTCCAGTAAAGATTTGTAAAGGTCCTCATCCCATGTGATCGTGCCCTTTGGTAGATATTCTTCGTAAAGAAATTTGTAATAGGGAGCCATAGCATCTTCTTTCACTTTGTCCATAACGAATTTTAGGGACTCCTCATGTTGCGCGCTCAATTTGGGCTGAGACAGAATGAAAGCGTGTTCAGAAACCTCATAATTGGGGACCTTGTTGACAGTGGGGTCCACGTAGTTGGGTTGTTCTTCTGCCATGATACTGTTGTGGAGTCAGAAGTGTGGTGGCAAATTAATTGTACGGTATATAACCATTGCAAAGTGAGTTGGGAAGCGGCACGTGCATAGTGACCTCTCTTTCTATAACGTGAATTCAAACCGCACGGTTTCCCTCGAATATATCTTGATAATAGCGCTTCTAATTACGTATGTATGATTTTTGCATTCAGGCTTATACGTAGTTTCTTTGACGGTCTTTGAAAAGGAATTGGACAATGACCGATTGAATTAAGCTAATGCCAACCATTACACCCATAGTCAACATGGACAGCCACACAAGCCTACTCTCGGTGGATTTTACTGTGGACATATTTCTCCATTCTCTGGCTCTTAGGTAGTTCATCATCTTGGTGATCTTGTTGAGGTTTCTGTCAATCTCCTCAATGGCATGGTTGGCAATTGCGTCTTCTGGTTTGTCGTTGGTTTCGATGTTGGTCTTTTCCAGCTCCAATGTCACTTCCACTTTCTTGAGAGCAGTACCGTACGAGTTTGAGAAACAGAATGAATATTGGCCCAGACCAAATGACTTTAGTAGAAAATCGGAGTATTTCTTTTGCTTTTCAGATGCAATCACAGATCCGTCAGGTGCGGTTATTTCGAAATCGATTTCAAAGTTACCACCGGTCAAGACTTGGTAACTAACCACAATGGAGTCGTCATTGGAGGTCAAATCATAATACAGGCATTCTTTGGTGAAGGAAGGCAACGTGATGGCCACGGGAGCGTAGTTGCTCTTTGATGCAGATACAGAAACTGCGAGTAGCAATACGCTAGTGACCAAACCCACAATCGATTTGCAAAACATGCTATGGAGTTTTAAATAGTTGAATCCAGCGTGTCACCGTGAGTTTCTCGACATATTTACGTGGGGCGCCAGAAAAATTTTAGATGTCTTGGTACACGGCGGCACTGAAAAAGACGCGAAAAAGAGCACCCTAATTACTCTTGGGCGTGTAGTGTTCTTGTAATACCAGCGTGGGGATGACCAGAGATAAGTTAATGCTTTATGTACTAGACTGACGTATGTAAACTCTCAAAGCAACCAGTTTTTAGCCAATGGTATCAGCTTGTGTGATCATTTCCACTCCATGTGTATGTCTCGTCCTCATTCTCCACCATCAAATCTGATATGGGCGTGTGGTCTAGTGGTATGATTCTCGCTTTGGGCGAAGTTCGAGCTATAACTTGGACTATTTACCACAAGCATGCGAGAGGCCCTGGGTTCAATTCCCAGCTCGCCCCAATTTATTTTTTCTTTCGAGGAAATAATCCTCGAACGTACAATTGGCGACGGTATTCATCTCTGCTTTCTTACAAAAGAAAAGCTGCCTTTGTAATTCTCTAGTAAAGTGCGTGGTATTCCAATTTTCAAGGTTTTTCGTTGCTAATTTTTTCAGTAAATTCCTTGCGTACACTGCATCTCTCAAAGTCAATGGCAACAATTGCAACCCCGTAATATTCACGGAATTTGCAAGCAGTTCATGAATGAAAACCCCTCGATATCTTAGTCTTGGACATTCGTAGAATCTGTTATCCAAGTTGCAAGTGTATTTCGTGGCAATGTCGATACCGTAGGGATCGCTATCGACAAATATTTCAAACAAAACACTGGACGGCGCACTATTCATGAGCCTATTCAAAAAAAGACGCGTCAGAAAATCTGGGTAACCCTTCCCGCTAACCACTAGTGTATCGAATGTAACTTTGCGTGTTCTTATCAATTTATTAAAAATTGCATCTTTTTCCAGCACAATGACGCGTTTGATCTTGGTCCAATCGGTGCTAACGTCACAATTTTGTTTCATGTAAGGTATAAGCGTAGTGTTATTTTCATTAAGATGTGAATTATCGCAGATCAATGCCACTGGGGTATGACACAGTCCCTTTTGAGCCGCCACTATTTGAAGACAGTCTCTGCTTGGTAATTCAAAGGCTTCTTGAATTATGCGAAGCCAATCGGAAACCACTTGCTGCTTCCGAAATAGCTCCACATTCAGATAAAAAATGTCCCGTATAGTACTTTTTTCCCCAAGCTTGGACTTGACTAGGATACATCGCAATAGGTACAATAGAATTGCCACTTTTTCCGCAGAGGATTCACACGGTTTGGAAGGCCCAAAATAGGGGAATTTGTAGCTAAGTATCGTTTTTCTCTTGGAATGAATTAAAAGACACATGGGTTGAGTTTGTTGTTCTGTGGCATTTTTCATAAAAGATAATAGTTTATGCGTTTCAGCGGCTATCGTGTTAGGATATTGCATAGGGGATAGTATAATGTCTCTTGAACGTGGAGTCAAACAATCGCATAACCCCTTACGGGAGGGATTCTCTTCAGAGTAATCGATTAAGGATTTACGCATTGAGTGTTGTTTATGTTTTCTCGTTCAACATCCTTCCGCAACTTTATGTTGTTTTTAAATTTGTTCATTTCCTTAAAAATATAAATATCACAATAAACATAAAATCATAAAACTATTATTTAGTATACTTTTCCGCCAACAACCGATACTTGCTTTGTACTGTGTCATCATCGATGTAACACCCCTTGAGCCATCTTTCACCTTCGAAAGCCGTTCTAGCATGTAAGATTCTTCTGTTATTGAAAATGACACAAGTGTTCTCGGGAAGCTTGACTCTAAAGGTGTTTTCAGGTGCTCTGATAAATTTTTCGAAAACGGACAAACCTCTAGCAAAATCCTTGAATAAAAGCCTTTGTGTCATTTTCCCAACTGGTGTAGACACTTCGGAACCTTTGGGCTTTTCCCATATTCCAAAACTAAAGGGCGCTTGGAAAGGAGGTGAATAATTGATTTCCTTAATTAATGTAGAGTAATTAGCCGTATTGATATTATCAGCATTAATCTCATTCTCAGCCACTAACGGGCGAGATTGGAAATACCTTTTATCATCTCTGTTGTAAATGTAATTGATGGGAACGTGGGTGAGCGCTTCATAAGCATCCCCATCTACATCTCTCACATATCTGGCTGCATTGAACGAATCCACAAATAAGTTCATTCCCGAGTCGCTGGGACCTGATGAATTCTTTATCGCGTGCAATAATTGCCATCCTGGAACATTGTCGAGATACAACAAATCTTGGTGCAATGGAAGGGGCACATTAGTATATGCAATATTCTCAGCCATCGGTTTGTTAATCACGTCAAAAGTTTCTCCATAGAATGTATGCCTTATGTGTCCGATACGTTCTGCAATTTGTTTAACGTACCACGAATCATACCCTGTAGTGGCTTCTTTTGGAACATTTGTAATAAAAGATATTCCATACTTTTTCATATTAATTAGAGTCTGATACAATTTATCAGAGTCGTTTATATCCATAAATGAGTGGAAATCAATCGATACAAGCTCTCTGATATTAGATTTCAGTAGTGCCTTGTCCCAAAGCACTGGATTTGGTTCCCTTGCGTTCTCAGAAATGCCAGCATATCTTGAGATAAAGTTTAACGGGTACGTGTATTCGTCTCCATCGCCCCATTTGATGTAAAGCCCTTTCTTGTTCTCTGTCACTTCAACAATCTCCGGGATGGTTGACTTGGGGTTTAACAACAATTCCCCCGTAGTGAACAGCTTTTGACCAGAAGATGCCTCAATGGAACTTTTGCTTCGAGAAGAATCCCTTAGAAATAGATTACTGAAGGATACCGTCTTAGGATCTTGATCTTCTGCCTGTGTAAAAGTAATCGTGGTAGCCCCCTTATTGAATAAGACCTTCGTGATAGTGTTGGGGAAAAAGCTATTGAAAGATTTTCCAGATGGGATAGCACTCGATAGAATGGAGTTATATCTTTTGGCTACTATACTAAGACCCTTCATCTGTTTCGCTTGATTCAAACTTTCGTGTAAACAGGATGGAAGGAACTTGTGTTCCCCTTGTGATTTTATATGCTCATCTGGGCACTGAAAAGTTAATGGCGTGGCTGAAATACGGCAAGATGAATTTTCAAGATCTGGTTAATCTACATTTCGTCAAATATAAGTAGCATTTTTCACATGATTTGCTTCATGACTGTTTGCAGTACATCATCTGAATAGATTCTTTTCCGTCAAATTTTCTTGCGTTACCTCACATCTTCAAGAAGGCGGAATGTTACCTCGTCCCAGGCCATCTTGGAAAACTAGTAGCAGGTTAACCCGCAGATCACAGTCAACTTCCAAAGGCCCTACGAAGCATGAGCCGAGTAAGAACTTGGGGAAAGAGCTCAATTCTGCGCTGAATTTGGCCCGAAAAATGAGCAATTCTGATCGACATCTCTACGATTTGGAACTAGATGACGAGAAATTAAATGACTTATCTCCAAGAAAAGCAATAAACTCAAGACACAGTGGCTCTCAATCTTCGACTTGTTATGCAGAAGATATCGACAAACTGGTTGATGCACGTACGGTCCCGTCATCCATTCGCGATCGTAACGAAAGTTTGTTGAAAGCAATCGATAAGATATTGAAAACGAAGCGAGCTTCGAAAATCACGAAATCAAATATATGTGCATTCCACCTATCTCCAAACTCTGTTAATTTCAATGGTATTTCTGCGAAACACGAGCCAGCAAAACCTCCCAGGTTGGCTCACAAACTCGAAAGAGTCCTTTTCCAGCCCATGAACTTTCACTCTTTACAAGATTCACGAACAGGTGCATACAATTTCAACCCGTGGTTGGAAGATATTATAAAAGTCGAGAACTTTGATTTCAATGCAATCGCAGATTTCGTCTCACCTTCAAGAGATGAGGTCTTATTAGATCTTGCAGAACAACATCAAAAGAGGTATTATTCATCAACAAGTTCAATGACAGGAATCCTATCTCACTTGCACTTTTTGTTTTCAAATTTTCGAAGGGCTAATCTTTCGTTAATATCAAAGAATTTTCCCCAACATTCTGCTGAACTTACACGAGGAGCTCAACTACCTGGAATTGTCATGATGAAACGTATGAGGAAGAAGAAACCAGTCTTTTCGATAGAATCCGATAAATCAACAGACAGGGAAATCATTTTGTCAGTATTAGGCCACGCGTTAGAAACCATTTTGACAACTGAAGCGGATAGGTTCCAAAAGATTTACGATAAATCGTCCAATTCTCACAAGCCCACTTCGGACTCTATTGTTGACTCATATCATTACTCAAAGATCAGTGATTTTATCTTAAGGTCACAACTTGATGCATACAATCCTAAACTTCCAGGCACTGGTGTTTTTGATTTGAAAACTCGAGCAGTAGCGGCTATACGTCATGACATCGCTTATGTCGAGAAAAATGATAATTATACTGGCTACGAAATTCAAAAAACCTTTGGGAAGTTTGAATCATTTGAGAGAGAATTCTTTGAACTAATTAGAAGTACTCTATTGAAATACTCGTTACAGGCGCGTATCGGCCGCATGGATGGGATCTTCGTTGCATATCATAACATATCAAAAATGTTTGGCTTCCAATATCTTCCTCTTGAGGAGATCGATTTTATTTTGCATAGCCACTGCGATTCAAAATTTCAGAAACTATTGGAGGAACGCAAACTTCATTTTAGTGCAATTTATGGTGATGAATCATATATCATGAACCATGACCGCTCAATTTATGAGCGCCAGATATCTTCGGAAGTCGCAGATGCAGAGTTCAAAATGTCTATGTCGCTCTTGGATCAAATATTCAAACAGGTTGAGAATGAACTTCCGGATAACTTTGATGCTGCTCGTTTAATATTCAAAACTGAACACAAGAAATCTTTCAACAGAGATGGGTCACATACAAAAGTTGCCGTGTTGCACGTAATAGCAGTGCCAATCAGTAAAGAGAAACTAGACTTTTTTCAAAACAACGATTTGCGTGATATTAGTTCGAAGGGCGAAGGCGCACTTTCTGATTATATTAGCGAAATTCGCGAAAAGAGCTTGGATTCCTCGCAAAAAATTTGGGGGTTTGAAGTCACATTAGACCATAAAATTAATCATAATGTACAAAGTATTGTGGTCCCAACTTTCGCCTCCAAAAAGTCTACTATTTTAGACGAACAAACAAAGGAATTCGTCAATACTACTATAAGGCGCAACTACTATGAGAATATGAACGAGTGGAAACATGTCCAATTTTTCCACCCTCTGGACGTGATGCGATGGAAAGTTGACGTTCAAATTCACCAAATACACAATAAGGAAAAGCTAGCAAGACTTTACACCAAATATCTCGATGAAAAACTTGCCGCATTGCAAGGACAATGTCTTGCAAACGATGAACTGCCAGATAATGAGCAAACAATCTCTGAAAGAATACATAACCTCATGTCTGGAGGGGAAAAATCCATAGTAGGAAAAGAGAATAATCCTGAGCAAGCTTTAACTGTTTCCCCTTTGCAGGCTACTCTAAGGGCATACTCTAAAAAAGGAGATTTACGTAAAAACTTCTCCAAGCATATGCAAGGATGATGAAGTTCATTTGATTTATATTCCTGTGTATCAAAAAAATGCATTTTATTTAGATTCCTTTACTCAAATAGTTGTCCTACTATGCTGCGACACCCGATGACTCCATTTGTGATTTTTCAGAGGTGGGAAATTTAACCTCTGTCATTTCAACTTCTTCTCCTTCCCCGACCTGTTCGTCTCTTATGCGTAAAAAGTAAAATCGGTAGTAAATGTACTGTCCTGCGATGTAGATATCCAAAGACATTTGGAACAGGGCGAAAAACAGAAACAACACTGAAATGTTCTTGGCACCGAAGATCAAATAACTGATTTTTAGAACGTCACCACATAGCCAACTAACAAGGAGAATCAATTTGAATCCCTGAGTTGACTTCAACTTGTTCAAAATAGATATTTGAGGAAGGGGCAATAAAGATTCTATCAACAAACCAAGTGAACCCATGAAAGATCCAATCCATTCCGCCAAAGCGTTCCAGTTCATTATTTTGGCAACAAATATGGTGATACAAAATTGCATGAGGAAGAAATATGCGAGGAACATCCAGAACTTGCGGTCCTCGTTCCATTGCCAAAATGACTTGAATCTTTTATAACTTGGGTCGAAGAACTTCAAAAACTTGTAGATGAGAACCAGTAGAATCTTGTATGCAAAACCCAAGAGATTTTTGTACGACAAAGATTTTATTAGTTGTTTCCAATCTGCCCCGAATGGATTCAAGGGGAAGTATTCGAGCCATACGTCGTGAAGTAACTGTGTCAGAGGCTCGACGTGGCTTAAATTTTCGTACTTGTACTCTTCGGGTCTGTAATGCAAGCTTGTTCGCAGGAGAATGAGTTGGATGAAAATCATGACTAGGGATTGCCGAAGTAACGTAATTTCATAAGGTGTGATGATATAATATGATACTCTCAGTATGCTTGCCAGAAGCATCGTAGCACATATGTCGATGGAAAACCCAAGCGCAGTCTTGGATTTGCGTATGCTGAAGACGGTTGTGCCATAGGAAAAAAGTGGCGTGAAACAGATCAAGTTGTTAAGCACCAACTGCATGGTGAGCCAGTCGGGAATGTAGAACTGGTCGATCCTGGGGAAGTAAGATCCCGACCCATCGCCAGTGTTTTCGGACATTATTTCTGTAAACTGCTACTCTCGAACTTGTTTCGCGGACGCGATTCTGAAATCTGATCCACTCCTGCTAAATTCGATTCAGTTATCCTCAACCGACGATGCGAGCTCTTGGTGGCTTCTGAACAGATGGGTTTTGTTTTGAGAAGACTCGACAGGAGAAAAGTTTATTATTGGCAATGTTTGCGCCTCGACAAACAATTTTGTTACCCTGCGTCTTCTGAAGAACGACGTTGAAGCACTAAAACCGAACCATAGGCAAAAATTCAGTCGGGCAAATATTTACGACTATATATGGGTACGTGGAAGAATATGGGCACCTGAAAAACACTCAATTGGTGGCCAGGCTCGCCAAGTAGTCCTTTCTCACAGGCCGCGTGTCGGCGTCGGGCCTATTGTGGGCAACCCACTTGGGTTCGTCCTTGAAAAGACGAAGGGCCGTGATCTGGTTGGCATCTGTCAAAGTGAACCTGTGGTAAATGCCAGCTGGCAACACGAGCAAGTCGCCTGGCGTGACCCTGCACCGGATCCAGCGGTCGTCAGAAGCGTCTCTGACGTCGAAATAGCCCTCCCCGTCGATGCAGTAGCGGATTTCTTCGTCCTCGTGGAGGTGCTCAGCGTAAAAAGCTTGTAGCTTGGGCAGCAGCGCCTCGCCCATGGTGGATTCGGAAATTGCCACTACGTCCCTGTTTTTGTAGCCACGCTCTTTGGCCACGGCGTCGACCTGGTCCTGCGTCGGACAGAACCTGTAGAAAACACCGATTTCGGCTAGATGTTGCTCGGGGACCGGCTCGCCCGAGTTGTGAGGTTGTCTGAAGTCGACAGCATCGTCACCATCGTGGTAGTAGATTTCGACCATTTGGCGTGCTAGTGTCTACGCAACAGGGAAGCGAGAAGTGTGGAAATGCGAAAAAATCCGTGTCTTTACGCAAATATATAAGTTCTACACAGGGGAGCAGTGGGGCGTAATGGCTGCCGGCGTGAGTCTACGGGCGTGGCTCCACACATAAAACAGTTACGGAGCAGCCATGAATTTGCATTACAATTTGTAGACGCAGTGAGAAAACGAGCTGCATCGCATCCCAATGAAACCTTCAACCAGACCGGGCCGGTTCGGCCCGGCCCGGTCTTGGTGAGGGAACTACCTACGTGCAAGAGGCGTCCACGTGCCAACGGGCAGAGTATCGGCCAGAAGTTTAAGGGCACCAGAGCACTCGCCAACTTGCTGTGCCCGTCTCCGAAAACGAGCCAGTCCTCCATTCTGAGAATCTGGCACAATCCGATACTTGCGAAACTTTTTCCAGTGTCCCCCGCGCCAGCGACAATGCCACACTGTCTGGATTAAATTAAAAAAATTAGCGCCGCTTGGTTTCGATCCAAGGACATCAGGGTTATGAGCCCTGCGCGCTTCCACTGCGCCACGGCGCTGCACAACGGGATTTCTACGAGTCTTGTGGCACACAATCACCCAAGAAAGCACGTGAACGAAATTTTCGCCTTCCGTCTCCCTCTGAGATTTTCCCCGCCTCGCCAACGGCTGCCACGTCGAGACATGCCGCACGGGCACGAATACACTGGCAACGAACGGGGCTGAACAATGCGGCCGACACTATCGGGCGGAGTTACCGCCGGAATACAGCGGGGTTGCACGGAAGCGTGGAAGCAGGTTGGGAGGGCCTCCAAAGGTCGCTACGCGGATTGCTACGAGTGAGTTACAGAGTTTATGACAAGCAGAATAGGGCTTTGGGGCCAGTATTTGTCAGTTTCCATTGCCGTTAGGGCTTGGGGACAGATGACGTCGTAGGAGGTGCACACTTTTCGAGAAAAAGGAGATCTAAAATCGCTATGGACGGGATTGTCGTTAGCCATGGAAATAGTGTTAGAGTCGATGAGTGTCAGATAGGGCTTCGGGCAGGGTAGTGAGATTGTTCGTCGCCAGAAGAGAGATTCCAGGGCAGTAGTCTGTTATATTTGATTCTGTACGAGCGGGGTGGGGTTTGAACGCTACGCAGCCCCCCCTTCGACGTACCCCGCCGCTCGGGTTGCAATTCTTTTCCGAGTTTTCTCGAGTTGATTATTTTTCGCTTCTTTTATCACTTAACTGAAAAGTATGCCCTTGATAACAGCGAAGTGAAACTGACACTAAGTGCAAGTAATGGAGACTCGAAAAGTATATAAGGCGTGGGACACGGAGGGGTAGAATGCAGAAGTTCAGACCTGAGAAACAGTAAACTACAATTCAACAATGCTTTCAGAACCACATTACGATTTTTACCAAGACAGAAAAGTGTCGCTAGTGCTAGCTCCATTCTCCGGTGGACAAGCCAAGTCCGGTGTCGAAGACGGCCCCAAATACATGATGAAGCACGGGCTTCAGCCACAACTTCAGGAGATGGGATGGTCCACTAAAGTTGAAGAGCCCCTCAGTGGCCAGGACTTCGAGAAGCGCAAGGCCGAAGACGTTTCGGACGTGCACGGTAACACAAAGAGACCGCAACTGGTGGGCGAAGCCACCAAGCTGGTCAGCGAGTCTGTCTCGAAGGTGCTTGACAGAGGCGAAATCCCAGTCACATTGGGAGGTGACCACTCCGTGGCCATCGGGTCTGTCTCCGCCGTTTTCAGCAAGCACCCCGATGCGTGCCTGCTGTGGATCGATGCGCATGCAGACATCAACACGCCCTCGACCACCGAGTCCGGTAACTTGCACGGGTGTCCTGTGTCGTTTGTGATGGGACTCGACAGCGAGAACACGCCTCCAAGCTTGAAGTGGGTGCCCCACTGCCTGAAGCCAAGCAAGATCGCGTACATCGGTCTGCGAGACGTGGACGCTGGTGAAAAGAAGATCCTCAAGGAAAACGGCATCGCTGCCTTCTCGATGTACCACGTGGACCGTTTCGGAATCAACAAGGTGATCGAGATGGCGTTGGAGGCCATCAACCCAGAGGGAACCAGCCCCATCATGCTTTCATACGACGTCGACGCTATCGACCCTCTATTTGTGCCTGCCACCGGTACCCCAGTGAGAGGCGGTCTTACGTTGAGAGAGGGCCTATTCGTGGCCGAGAGAGTGGCCGAGACCGGTAAGCTAATCGCACTCGACGTGGTGGAGTGTAACCCGGAGTTGGCCAGCAAAGATTTGCACGTCGTGGACACCATTTCCACAGGTTGCGCGATCGTACGTTGCGCGTTGGGAGAGACCCTACTGTAATTAGCTATATTTGCATGTCTGTAGAATAAGAGAAGAGTATAAACGTTTAACAGGTTTGAAATCACGGGCGACGGGTAGCGGAAGGTCACGCGATTTTCACGTGACCGCATGTGAAAAAATACCTCTTCCCGCCACGTGAGCACAACCGGCATCATCATGCCCAACAAGATTGCCACGTTCCGAGCGCAACTCCCTCTCCAGCGCCACCAACACACGATGGGCTGGTTCTCAAAGACAAAACCGATGGACGACCCCTCGAAGCCTCCCTCGCGGTCGTCGCGCAAGCAATGCTGGGAGAGCAGAGACACGTTTTTCCGCTGTCTTGACGGCATCAACGTGGTGAACGCGTTGGACGCGAAGCACGCAGACGCGATCAAGGCGAGCTGCAGCGCACAGGAGCGGGCGTTCGAGCAGGACTGCGCCACGAGCTGGATCAAGTACTTCAAGGAGAAGCGGGTGGTGGACTACAAGCGTGAAAAGTTCCTGAAGGAGATGGAGGAGAAGAACGCGCAGCAGGTGGACCTGTCGGGGATAGTGCGGCGTTAGCCGGAGACGGGGGCGGCGGATGCGTTACGCTGCGACGCTTATACGTCGCACAAACGTCGCAACCACCCAAGCGCCCGCTGCGGGCCATATAGCTGAAAATTAAAGAGTCGCAAACCTCTTCGTGTATATTCTTAAAAACTTCGAGCCAGTGAAGCACGCGCCAGGCCACACACGTGACATGCACGTGCCGTACATAAATAAAACCACGGCGTTTGCACGCCCACTTTTATATCATAGCTACACACTGGCCGCTGTCTGCGACCGCGCCGTGCCGCCGCCCACCGTGCGGAACGCGCCGTCTGCCTCGTGGCGCCGATGGTGGTGCTGCAGCTCGCGTTTGTTGTTGGAGGACGCGCTGTCAAACACCTCTATCGCCGCCTTAGCGCCGTTCTTGACCGTTACCACGCAGTACGCGGCGTTACCCGCCCCGGACACCGAGCTGCCGCCCACCTGGTTGACGCTCTGCTGGGAAGGGTCGATGGCGCAGGGTAACCCGTCGCACTGGGACTTGTCATCGCACGTAACGCGGAGTCCGAACCCCGGGGTCGTGCCGCCGAACGCGTCCACGTACTCCGGGTTCCACCCGACTTTGACGTAGGTGTTGCCGGAGCTGTCCGCGTTGGCGCCCACCACGTAGGGCGCCCAGTTGCCGCTCGCGTCGGACGACGAGCCCCACTGGCACGCATCCGAGACGCCGGTGCCTGGCGCATTGACGTAGTAATGCGCCGCGGTGCCTGCCCAGTAGTCCGGGCCGGGCACCGCCAACGGCTGCGTCGACCCGGCGTCAACCTGCGTCGGAATCAGCATCTCCTCGTTGCCTGGAAGCACGGTCTGGCAGAACGCCACGCCAGACGACGCGGAGTTATGCGCGTCGAGCGTGCCTTCGCCCTCGTAGCAGTATCCGCGCGACGAGTCGGGCGTCTGCAAATTGCCGTTTTCGTCACAGTACAGCCCGCCGTATTGCGACTCCGGGTAAGTGTACGACGTCGACCCGGAGTCCCACTGTGCCATCAGGTACCCGGGCTCGCAAGCGTAGGGGCACCAGGACCCGTAGCTGCATGACACGTCCGACGCGAGCGCCCACCCAGCGTTCTGCCCGTTTTTCTGGACCGCCACCATCCCGGCCTTGTTGGGGAAAGAGCATGTTCCCGACCGCCGGAACAATTGCACGGGCTGGCGCCCGTGCACGAGTTTGCCTAGGCGGTTAGCGTGCTCACGCAAGTGCAGATTATGGTAGGAATCGGTTGCGCGCGTGCGCGCTCCGCAGAATAACAATGCACAAAGTACTACTTGCAACTTGGCTGATAACATGCCGGTAGGTAGTATGGGAAGAGAATGGGGTAGAGGACGCAATTGAGGTGCGTAAGCCGCTTTTGACCTGGGTACTGGCGCGTGTTCTTATATAGAACGGCGGTGGCGGGCTCGGCTCCCGCTTAGATCTTTCCTTTTTCACTTGTCCAGGCCTTGCCAACGCTAGCATGCGGTTCCAGAACCGCAACTTTGTTCGTTTGCACCCGTTGCCCACCAGCTGTCGAAGCGGTGGGGCAGCGCTCGCGCGCTTCCCGAACGCTTCCCGAACGCTTCCCAGATGCTTCTCGGATCAATCCCGCGCGTTTCCCACGGGCGGGAGAGGCGGCCGCAAAGTCGGCCGGCTCACGGCCGCGGGTGCACGGATGTCACGCGGGACGGGCCGGAGATTCGGGGTGTGTGGGCGCACTGTTTGCCCGCTCGAGAAGCTGCCCTCGGTGCGAGCCCTCCGAGGGGAAGGTTACCCTCAGGGTGTCCCTCCTCCGGTGCCCTTCTCCGGTGCCTAGCGCCGCGTAACCCCGGCGCAGCGCAAAATTTTCTTGGTTCCCCCTCCTGGTGCGTCTGCCTAACTCCAAAAAACTCCAGACCGCCACCCGTCGCTTCCACTGCTTCGCCGCACCCCGTTTCCGCCGCAGCCTGCAGCACCAAGACTTCCAAGAAGCCCGCTTACAGCCCGGCTACATTGGGGCCGTATAGAGGTACCGAAAAAAATGCCGTTCTGAAATTTTAACCACCCCGTTTCAATTTGTGCACCGCATCGTTAAAACTTGTTTGACTCTTCGCAGGCCACAATTCCAAGAAGTAATGCTGTCTGGTAAAGAAATCCGTATTCTGACGTTACTGGCTATCGACACGCTCTTCTTCTTCCTGGAGATCGTGGTCGGATACGCCGTGCACTCACTTGCTCTGATTGCAGATTCGTTTCACATGCTAAACGATATCTTCTCGCTGCTGGTGGCGCTGTGGGCCGTCAACGTCGCCAAGAACAAGGGCGCAGACGCCAAATACACGTACGGGTGGAAACGTGCGGAGATTCTTGGGGCTTTGGTCAACGCGGTGTTTTTGATCGCGCTGTGTGTGTCGATTCTCATCGAGGCCATCCAGCGGTTTTTCCAACCGCAGGAAATCGAAAACCCAAAGCTGGTGCTGATTGTGGGTGTGCTCGGGCTCGTGTCCAACTTGGTTGGGCTCGTGCTGTTCCACGACCACGGCCACGGCCACTCTCACTCACACCTCGGCGACGACGACGAAGCAGGCCACGCCGATGACTCACATTCTCACTCCCACTCGCACGACTCAAGCGAGCAAAGCTCTCAAAACATCGGCGACATGCTGCCCTCCACCGTGGTTGAGCGTTACACCCCTGAAACCTCCCCGCTCTTGCACAAATCCGATGACCACGACCACCCACACGATGCAAAGAAATCCGCTCGGTCCCTCAACATGCACGGAGTTTTTCTTCATGTGCTTGGCGACGCCCTAGGCAATCTGGGTGTCATCGGTACTGCCATCTTTATCTGGAAGACAGACTACAGCTGGAGGTTCTACAGTGACCCTCTTGTGTCGCTGTTGATCACCGTCATCATCTTCTCCTCTGCCTTGCCCTTGTCGCGCAAGGCCTCCCGCATTTTGTTGCAGGCCACCCCTTCTACCATCTCGGCTGACAAAGTTAAGCAAGAAATCATGAAGGTCCCCGGCGTGTTGTCCATCCACGACTTTCACATCTGGAACTTGACCGAGTCCTTTTCTATCGCGTCTATTCACGTCGAGATCGACTCCACCCCGGACCAATTTCTCGAAGTTGCCAAGCTGATCCGTAACATATTCCATCGCTACGGTATCCACTCTGCTACAGTCCAACCAGAATTTGTCTCCGGCACGGTCAGCGACGACACTTACCGCAGATTTAGCAGAATTGCTGGTGGTGGTGTTTACGGCTCTTCCTTGTCCTTGTCCAACCATGCCGCAGACGCTGACACCTCCGCCTACGGTGCTACGACTAACGAGACCCGCTGCATTGTGGATGAAGCTGCCAACTGTAATGCTGACAACTGTTTACCATAAGCATTCCTAATAAGCACGGTTTGTGTATTTCTATATCTTCAATTTCGAAAGACAAACATTTGAGAAAAGATAAAAAAGAACAATTGATCGTTACGCGGCCAATCTCCTGCCATTCGAGTGTACTACAAACATAGGTCGCCTTCTGCCGCTTTATATGATATATACTCATTACGATCTCCCCGTTAAATAATCGTTAGCGTAATTCTTATTCTTTTAATAATTCTACAATTCCTAAATGTACATACAACACGTTGTGTGCCATCCATTAGCATAAAATACAAAACTTTTGAGTGTGTCCAACATGAAAAACAATATAATAATACAGGAGCGCCAGAGGCACGCTGCCACTTATAAACCCTTTCAGCGCAGCTGTAGAATAAGTCGCATGGAGCCTCGTTGACCTATGATACAAATAAGGTTTAGACAAAATCAGCCCACCTTAATATTTTGGTTCTCTTTTGAACCTTTTTCTTGAAAATGTCACGCCTCTTTTTCGATATAAACCCTCCATCTCTGCCCGATGAACTTGGTACCTGTTCGTGAAAATCGTAACCGCGGATAATTGCTGCATCTTCTTCTGGTTCATTAGATTCGCAATTGTCCAAACCTTTATCTGATATGGGATCCTCTTCAAAATCGTAGTATCCTCCAATCATCTTGCCTTTACCCCTTTTGAAATTCTCTTTGACTTGAACGTTGACTGGAATAGTTACTTTCTCCCAAATACTTTTTGGTAGGGGAATATTCTCCACACATGAGTTGATCTCCGTGGCAAAAATAGTCGCGTCAATGATTGACCCATTTGTAGATGTTACGACAAAGTTGAGAGCATCCGGGCCCTTTGGAAGCTTGAGAATTGACTTTGGTGGAATGCTGTCAACCTCAATTTCTCGACAACTTCTCTTCAAAGAATGAACCCTTGAATCGGCCGCGTGCCCTCTTTTTTGAGGACTTTGAAAGAATGGTAGGATGTCATCTCCAGAGATTCTCAACGGGATATCAATCATGTTCTCGCTAAGGGCATCTTCCTCATGGGTACCTTTTCCATAGTAGTCCTTGATCGGTGGTGAGTCACATAGATTCGCCTTTGAATCATTCTTGTCTGCAATCGATTCAGGTACAATTGGCGAAAAAGGAGAAAGCTCACTAGTCGGACTAATCAATCCGCTTGTTCCGATGCTGCTGTCGCTAAGGGTATCCTCATCCGAAACCAGTTCTGGAGATTGACCTATGACGATATTGCTGATAATACGAGGCGAACTTCTGTTTCTGCTTGGCTTTGATGGCGATTCCAGTAGTATGTCATCTTCTTCGGTGCCTGGGTATCTAAAACCTATTTTGTGTCCCAATTTCATGGGTGGAAGATCTAGTACACTACTTGTCACTTGCGCGCGAGGCGTAGTGTCGATCGCCAGGTAAGGACTAGTCCCTTCAACGACCGGTTTTCTAGGTGACTCGACCAATGCCAACATACACTCTCTAGTAACGACAACAAGTGTTAGTGTCCCGATGAAACAGGCTTGTCAACATGCATCAAAGTTCCGTCACATAGTCATTTCCTTATATAATTTATTTCATATTTTTACGGAAGATTTCGTTCCTCCGGGCAGCCGTCGTGTTGTCAAACACTCAAATGCAAGGCTCGGACGACATTTACTGTACCATACTTTGAAACGGTTCGCATACCCGTTGAGATGAAGCAGCTCCTATCAGTGCTACTGCGATGTCTCTGTGGGGCCTTTAATCAACAGTGCATAATGCCATGCATCTATATTTACATTTAACCCATTAAGGAGGTTATGTAAACAAAACGCATATGCAAGACAAAGCTAAAAAAAAAGAGAACACTCGAGGGTAAAAGACTACGAAAAAAAACTGTGCGGACATTTCTAACCGAACTGTTGATTTTAGTAGAATAGCTCACGCCGGAAGGCCCGAGAGAAGAAAATGGCATGTAAAATGGTATCGGTTAGATAGGCAATGGACAAGCCACATCACATTAAAATTTGATAAGCAAGCATTTCACAATCCCAAAACAGAAATTGGATTTCCAATTCTGTGCACCTGCTTACTCGAGGCCGCCTAAATGCGTCTAGAAGCACCACACAAACCGTTTGTTTCCCTCCGTTTCAGCAGAAGAATTTAAGCTAAACTCTCGTTATCTCTTCGTATTTTGAATAACAGGTCCACGTTTTTCCATGGAGAGTGTCAAAACGTCAATTATATTCCCACAAGGCGCCTGGCGTCGCCAAGCGTCACAAAACTTGGCCCAGGGATCTTACCAATTGAGCCACAAAAATGGCCGTAGCGTATAAAGGCTTCCAGAACTCAATCTCCTTTGTTTCCTTTGAGACGTACAAAGAACTGCAGTGCTTTTCAATAACTAGAAGCTAATAATCGTAACTACTGATTACTCTAATGTTTCACAAGCACGAGTCTAGAACAGTTCCAACCGTGGAACAACAACCCGTCGAAGACGTGTCGAAATTTCAATCTAAAGCTCTCGTGCACATAAATTCCTATCCTCTAGTACAGGAAACGGAGGGATTTTTGTCCAAAGTCCCCGCGGCAAGGATATTAGCCGCTAACACCAAACCGATTTACGAGAGCGTGGTCAACTCCAAACCAGCCCAATGGGTCCTTCCGCTTACAAAGATGGTGGATTCGATCGCCGATAGGACTCTCAGTCTCACCGATAGAGTCGTACCATCTCTTAAGACGAAGACGTACCACAGACTGGGAGAAGAGGCAATGCTTCCATACACCTATACGAAGAGCGCCGTGGGGAAAGTCGGAACGGCCACTATAAGTGCAGCTGACACGTATGTTTACACACCAACGCACAACCAAGTTCTAAAGTTTAGGCAATTTTACAACGAAAAAGTTTATGACACGCACGGAAGACCCTTGATCCGCAGTTCCTTAGATCCAATTGTTGCTCCTTGCAACAAGAAATTCGAAGCTGTTACTCATACTTACTTGCCAGAGGGTAAGCAGGTACCAACAGATGGATATAATAGTGAGATCTCCAGAAGTGCAGCTCTTACTGTTAATCTAGTACAGAGAGCAGCTCCCGTAGCTGAAAGTAGAGTTACTAACTTAGTACTAGCACCATATCGCTATGCCAAACACGTAAACAGTATCTTCAACCATAATCTCGACAAACAGGAAGACTTGTCTTTGAAAAATTCATGGATAGCATCCAAGAACGCAGTTGCCGAGTTAAATAAAGAGACTCTAGATTACGTTAGGAACACCGCACCTGTCCGGAAAATGTCTAGATCCAAGAGATTTGCTCCTGCTTCAGCGGTATCGCCTATTGCAGCGTAAATCAACATGAGTTGCTCTACGTATGGCATGGCAAGTGGCAAAAGCGCCATCATTGCAAGCTGTTTTAAAAATCCGGGGCAGATCAATTCTTGTCTTGAGGCAAGCGATGTGCAAAAAGGCAAAACTGTAGGTATACAAATACAGTTTGTTTACAAAGTTCTCAATTGATATTTTTTCATAACTAAATAGGATGATCTAGAACATATAACTGACACAAGTCAGCGGAATGTGGATCTTTGCCTTGCATTAACACCGTCTAATTTTCAACAAAGCGGAAAAAACGGTAATTTCGTTATCCGCGGAACAGAAATTCCGAAAGTATATCAAAATCATCATCGACGAAAGATAGAATATTCTTCGGACTATATGACTGCTTAACCCAAACATATGGAGAAAAGCCATACACCATTATATAGGCTACAAATCAAGAAAGAAACTATTTCTTGTGGTGTGCGTCAATCGCTTGGAGGCCATTACCTACCGACCCTGCAGTTCTCTCGCCAGGGGGCACTCTCCAGGCGCGCCGCGGCCTGGGAAACCGCGGTAGGCGGGAGGTGTCCAGCCTGGACTGCCTCGTCCTCCGCTCCCCAGCTTCGGTGGGCTGGAGCGCAGGCAGTCCCGTTGCATCCTGCTGGAACGTGGGTGTAATCCTTCCCCAGCAGGATACCCTCCCCGGCTCAGACTGTACTGCGTAGGATCCCGTGCCAGCTTGGACTGCAAAAAAATTTCAGCCTAGGCAAAAGTTTTATAGTAGTGATAATTTAGACTCTTCACTTAGTTGAACGTCAAGGAAGCACAGTGAAAAAAGTGAGTAAACAAACGTGAAGAAAGTATGTGTGCCAGCGTGAATAGTGGAGATTGAAGATGTCTGAGGGCGGTTTGATGAAACGACGTATTTACAAGAATAGACCAAGATTTGTATCCTATCTGCCAGAAAATTGATTGTTCATTACCATTGTAAAGTTGATTTTGAGTCGAAGTGATACAACATGCCACGTTGAGATAAAGTTTGGGTTCGAATGACCCATCTAGATTCCATAGGGTAATACTCGGGAACTGCGGTAAATCTACACAAGGATTCTGAACTCTGAGGTTGGATAGCACCCCAAACATCTACGCAATAACCACGATTCTGCTGACCGAATGCAAAATACAACACAGGAACCGTTATACTAACATCACCACAGTGGCTCGTTTGAATGAATACCAGGTTATTGGCCGTCGTTTGCCAACTGAATCCGTTCCTGAACCAAAGTTGTTCAGAATGAGAATCTTCGCTCCTAACGAAGTTATTGCCAAGTCTCGTTACTGGTACTTCTTGCAAAAATTGCACAAGGTCAAGAAGGCTTCCGGTGAGGTTGTCTCTGTCAACGCCATCAACGAAGCTCACCCAACTAAGGTCAAGAACTTCGCCATCTGGGTTAGATACGACTCCAGATCTGGTACCCACAACATGTACAAAGAAGTTAGAGATGTCACCAGAGTTGGTGCCATTGAAGCTTTGTACCAAGACATGGCCGCCAGACACAGAGCTAGATTTAGATCTATCCACATCTTGAAGGTTGCTGAAATCGAGAAGACCGCTGATGTCAAGAGACCTTACGTCAAGCAATTCTTGACCAAGGACTTGAAGTTCCCATTGCCACACAGAGTCCAAAAGTCTTCCAAGGTTTTCGCCTACAAGAGACCAACCACTTTCTACTAAGCTCTTTTGGGATGACGTGCCGGTTTGAAGATGTACAATCTGTAGTTTTTATTTTAAAATTGTTTATCATATAAACTAATTTTTGAAATGTTACATTAACTTTAAGTATCAAAGCAGCTTCACGCTGTGCATTAGGCTAATGGAGTACTATCGGGTATATTATCCTAGAAGTTTGACGAATATTAGCACGTGACCCTCACTTATCGCTTTTCACATGACGGAGAGATACGTACTAAGAAAAAATTACCTGGCCTCTGCATGGGGTCTCTCACATAGAGACTTAACACGCGGCATTACAGACAGTGAGATAGACGGCTTGTTTTAAGTTTTAAGTCAGCAAGCTAGCCATGATCAATGATGAAGTGCCGAAAGTAAATGATGCCTCGAGTTCGTCTCATAATGTCACATCCGAAAACCTAAAACGCAGAAATAAACAAAACGAAGGAGCTGATGATAGCAGCGCCTCTAATAGCGATATACACCTCCCTTTGACAGAAATCCATCTAAAGAGTCACGAGTGGTTCGGAGAGTTTATAACAAAGCATGAAGTTCCTCGCAAAGCTTTCCATTCCTCGATTGGTTTCATCACGTTATACCTGTATACTACGGGCGCAGATTACACCAAAGTCAAGTTGCCTCTAACTTGTGCATTCGTTATGATCTTCATCCTGGATCTCATCAGATTGAGGTGGCCACTTTTCAATAAGCTTTATTGTCGTGTTGTGGGCGCTCTCATGAGGAAGCGGGAGATCCATAGCTATAACGGGGTCTTATGGTACTTGCTTGGATTGATCTTCGCCTTTAGCTTTTTCCCCAAAGATGTGGCTTTGATCTCTTTGTTCTTACTGAGCTGGTGTGATACAGCAGCCTCCACATTTGGGAGAAAATACGGCCACTTAACACCCAAGATTGCTAGAAACAAGTCTTTGGCGGGATCAATTGCTGCCTTCGTCGTGGGACTGTGCACTTGCTTGCTATTTTATGGCTACTTTGTACCTCATTATTCCTTTGTGAACCACCCTGGCGAAATTGCGTGGTCCGAGTCTACTAGTAAATTGAATCTGATCCAGTTGTCGCTTCTGGGTGGATTCGTTGCTGCGCTAAGCGAGGGAATCGACTTATTCAACTGGGATGACAATTTCACCATTCCAGTACTATCTGCAATATTTATGCACACGTTGATCCGCCTTTTCCATGCATGATAGATCCAAGCACATTCTACACCTGGCTTGATCCACAATCTTCCTCACTCTTCGTTTCGACAGGACGTGTATAGTGATTCATTTCAGTCTTATTCGATTTTTTATTGTAACGACGTTTTTCCGTCGCGTGTGTAATTCAGAATATTTTGTTATAGTTTCTTTTTCAATGAGAAAAATTTTATTGTGGACCTTTAGCTCATCGAAAATTTTCACTCCAAGATCATCAACTCATCTTGACGCTGCAAGACAGCTTATAGTACCTGAAGAATGGCTTACGTCTTAACCGAAACATCTGCAGGTTATGCTTTGCTAAAAGCCTCTGACAAGAAGATTTACAAGTCTTCATCCCTGATTCAAGATCTCAGCTCTTCGGAAAAGGTGTTGAAAGAATTCAAAATCGCAGCTTTCTCGAAGTTTTCCTCTGCTGCCAATGCTTTGGAAGAAGCTAACTCCATTGTCGAAGGTAAAGTCTCTCCTCAGTTGGAAAAGCTTCTAAGTGAGGCCAAGGCCGATAAGAAGGCGACCCTTGTGGTTAGCGAGACTAAGCTCGCCAACGCTATCAACAAGTTAGGTTTGAATTTTAGCGTCGTTTCTGACGCTGTCACCTTGGACATTTTCAGAGCGGTCAAGGAGTACTTGCCAGAGTTGTTGCCGGGTCTATCTGACAATGATTTGTCTAAGATGTCATTGGGTTTGGCACACTCCATAGGTCGTCACAAGCTAAAGTTTTCTGCTGATAAGGTTGACGTAATGATCATCCAAGCAATCGCTTTGTTGGATGACTTGGACAAAGAATTGAACACTTATGCTATGAGATGTAAAGAATGGTACGGCTGGCATTTCCCTGAGCTAGCCAAGATTGTCACCGACTCAGTCGCTTACGCTAGAATTATTTTGAAGATGGGTGTCAGAACCAACGCAGCTGAAACTGATATGAGCGAAATTCTTCCAGAAGAAATTGAAGAACGTGTCAAGTCTGCTGCTGAGATCTCTATGGGTACTGAAATTACACCAATTGATTTGCAAAACATCAACAGCTTGGCTGAACAAATTGTTGACTTTGCTGCCTACAGAGAACAACTATCCAATTACTTGTCTTCGAGAATGAAGGCAATCGCCCCAAATTTGACCCAACTTGTCGGTGAGCTGGTGGGTGCTAGATTGATCGCTCACGCTGGCTCTTTGATCTCGCTTGCTAAATCCCCTGCTTCAACCATTCAAATCTTGGGTGCAGAGAAGGCCCTTTTCAGAGCTCTTAAGACAAAGCACGACACACCAAAGTACGGTCTACTATACCATGCTTCCTTGGTGGGGCAAGCCACCGGTAAGAACAAGGGTAAAATTGCCAGAGTTTTGGCCGCCAAGGCTGCTGTTTCTCTACGTTATGACGCCCTCGCCGAAGACAGAGATGATTCTGGTGATGTCGGCTTGGAGGCTAGAGTGAAGGTGGAGAGTAGGCTGTCTCAGCTAGAAGGCAGAGATCTAAGAACTACTCCAAAAGTTGTCCGTGAAGCCAAGAAGGTGGAAATTTCAGAAGCTAGAGCCTATAATGCTGATGCCGATACTGTAACTGCTGTAACAGCCTCTGCTGATTCTGACGACGAAGAAGTCGAAGAACCAAAGAAGGAAAAGAAGGAAAAGAAGGAAAAGAAAAAGGAAAAGAAGGACAAGAAGAGAAAGAGAGACGAAGAATCCGACGAAAAGGAGTCCAAGAAGTCCAAAAAGGACAAGAAGGATAAAAAGGATAAAAAAAGAAGGAGAAGAAGGAGAAGAAATAAGGTTTTCCTAACTCCGCATGACCTTATTCTGCTGTCATTATTATATCCGTGTCATTCGTGTAAATTAGTTTTTCTTTGAACCAAGTGTTTAAGCTTACTTTCGTCATCTGAAAGAGTATGTACGATCTTCTAAAATACAATCTATTAAAATTTGTGGTGGTCGATGAGTAACGTGGCCTCTACGCAGTAAAACAATTTAGGTAAACTTTCCACATAGCTGACATAATCACTGAAAATCAGGAAAAAAACGTCCAGATTACCGAAGGATAGAGTGCTCATCATCATTCATATAGTTGGCATATAGACCTGATGGCCGAACAAACGATACCATTAGATGAGATTAATAGATTACGCGTTTCATTAGGTCTCAAAGTAATTGAAGAAAGACCCTCCAATGTCGAAAAAGAGGCAATATCCACCCTTTCCAAGGTAAGCAATGCTAATAAATCGCAAACCAAAAAATGTACAACGGTGGAGGAACCTGAATCCAACGAACCTGCAGCGGACCGCGTATCGAATATTAGGAAAAGATTACACAATCTAAAGACAGAGCTCAAGCGTAAACCGCTGCTTGAGAATTACGACGATGACACGGATTGGTTGGCCTCCGTTGGGAAGCGGAAAGACACAAATATCTTAAAAGAAGTTTCAGATAAAAGTCTTGCAACCGAGGCTGATAATGGAATGTTGAAGATGTCATCTAACCCGTCTTCTTTAAAAAATGATAAACAAATGATCCTTACTTTAAAAGAAACATCTCTGAACAGCGAAGATGAAGATGTGCTCCTTGACCAGGATGCGATCAATGATGATCAGCAGGCGAGAAGTATCAAACTAAAACAAATGAATCAGCAAAGGAAGCAAAAAAAACTGGATATAAACCTTCAACTTGACGAAGATGATGATCAACAGAATACCCGTCCCCACTTCGTCATCCAGAATGGGGAGATCGTGAAAGAAGTGGCTCAAGAGAACTGTGAAACATCTGTCAAAGGAAAAGAAACAGGAGAGCAAATAGGGAAAATAAGAATCTCTTTAAGCTCAAGCAGTGAATCAGATGAAGTCGCGACCGACTACGTACCAGTTAAAATCAAGAAAAGAAAAATCAAAACTAGTAAAAGCATGAAAGGGAAGCGGATCAAACAAACCACAGAATTGAAGAAGGTTGATCTGCTCGACGAAGATGCACTGGAGGAGGAAGGGAATGAGATCGAGAGTTTTTTGAACTCAAATCGAAGTAAAAAGCTACAGAATGACAGCCGTAAGAAAACAGCAGAAGATATTGCAGCCGACATTCTACAAGAAGAAAAGGAAAGGCAACAACGTGCGTTGGAGGTGAATAAAATTCAAGATAATCGTGAAATGGTCGTCGATGAAACTTCTACATTTCTGGATAATCTTCAAAAAGACATTATTCCACAGCGTTCTGAAGATCCAGCTTTCGAGAAATTAACCTTAAGACCTCCGAATGATAAGGCCAGGACCACTGCGTCTATGTATTCTAGCGATGAGGTTGAAGAGTCTGAAGATCAGAATGAAGAGCCTGATTTTCATACAGGGCTTGCATCGACGTTGAGCTTTTTAAAAGACCGAAATATTATACCCAAGACTCCTAAGGCAAACAAGAAAATTGCTGGCACCAAGGATGACGAGATGCTAAAATTGAAGCAAAAGCTAGAGACCCGTAGGATAGAGGATGAAATTGAAAAAGAAATGCAGCGGAGCAACGTAAGATACAGTAAAGAAGAAATCGATAGGATTAACAGTTACAAAGAGAAAGAAATTGCTAAGCGAACCGCAGCAATTCAGCACGAACGATTGGCAGGATATAATCCCGAAATCAAATTAACTTACAAAGATGCTGAAGGCAATCAATTGACCACGAAAGAAGCATACAAAAAGCTCTCTCAAGCATTCCATGGAACAAAGCCCAATGCCAAGAAGGAGCGAAAAGCGTATCAAAAAATTACAGCAAGGAATAGAAAATTAAGTCATGACTCATATTCTACTATGTAGCAAATAAATAAAGGAGCAATCGATAATCATCTATTTCTACTGGAACTATAAAAAGTTTGGACGAGTCCGGAATCGAACCGAAGACCTCTCCCATGCTAAGGGAGCGCGCTACCAACTACGCCACACGCCCTATGATTAATAAAGCTGGACTCAAGGAACCGGTATAATGATCAGAAGTTAGCAGTTCAGTCGCGTTCGCTGGTTAATACAAAAATTTTCTATTATTGTAAACAGAGCAATCTTCTAATCCAACATAGATTTTTTCTGTCAAAGTTTCCTAGTTCTTCTGCTGGTTCTATACTTCTGGATCCTGGCGTGTTCGCTTAAAATCCTTCATATCATCCTATTGATAAGTCATTCGCTAAGTTCATTTAGAGTACAAGCTGTTGCTCCATGATTACCACCCAGAGTGTCGCACAAAGCACGACCACGAAGCGCCGCGGGTCCATTCATCAGAAAAACTTAGAACCATATGCAACGCAAAATCAGATACCCACTCTTCAGGCAGCCAACACTTTTGTAAATGGAAATACGGCACCATCAATTGTTAATTCGCGTCCTTTAGAGAGTTTCCAAGCGAGATTCGTATCTCTCTTTCCAGAACAAATTCAGAGGTATTTACCAGAGGTCAACTTAAAGGTCACAGCTCTATGCTACATTTGGTATATTACCTCATCTGTTTCTAGTAATTTATCGAAAGGCATTCTAGGTAATTTTCCTCATCCTGTGGCACTCACGGAGTTACAGTTCTTGATAAGTGCATCATTATGTTTGCTCTTTGTGACACTTGCCAACTTTTTGAGCTCCGAAAAGCGGAAAAAGAGCTCCCTGGCAAAAGCTCTTTTATGTTTTCCAGAAGGTATATTACCCAAATATGCGAATGGAAATTTCAAGGACTGCATTCTCGGAAGATTTCTATTCCCCTGCAAGTTGGCGCTGACTACTACATTCCCTATGGGTATTTTTCAGCTTGTTGGCCATATAACTTCTCATAAAGCGACGTCGCTGATACCGGTATCGTTAGTGCATTCCGTTAAAGCGTTATCCCCGATTATGACAGTGTCATACTACAGGTTTTTCAAAGGAAAGCAATACTCCGTAATGACATATTTTACCTTGATACCTTTGATCTGTGGCGTTATAATCACCTGTTGGTCTACACACGGGCATAAAAAACCCAATGAAGTTAATGGCGAATCCGGCTTTTTCGTAGGTCTAATATTTGCATTGACTTCCATGGTTATTTTTGTTTCTCAGAATATTTTTGCAAAAGGAATTTTAACTGTAAAGAAAGATCGTGGAATCCTACCATCAAAAAATCTAAGTACTCAGGCTGGCATACAAAATGAAAAAGAATATTCTCCGTTACAACTTGATAAAATAACTATTCTTTTCTATTGTTCCTGCATTGGATTTCTGCTTACCTTACCAATTTTCGTATCAAACGAATTGATAAATCTCAACTCCGAAAAGAGCGTTCTTCGTGACTTGAACTTAAAAGTGCTGATGTTGGTACTCATTCATGGCGTCACGCATTTTTTCCAGGCCATGCTGGCATTCCAATTAATTGGAATGCTATCGCCAGTCAATTACTCAATTGCCAATATCATGAAGCGGATTGTGATAATTGGAGTGGCACTTATTTGGGAATCTCATCTTTCCTATAGGCAAATTTTCGGTTTAGGCATGACCATCATGGGCCTTTATGGTTATGACAGATGGGGCGGAGCTCAAAGGAATTAAAAACATGTAATATTCTGTCCTATATCAGCATATGTTAAGAGGAGATTAAGCTTGGTAGAAGCGGTCTTCCCCGAATGAGTAATTCTAAGTAAACTAATTATCTATCACACAATAGTACACACTCAATGTTTGGCAGTTGGTTTGTCACCAGTCAGTTTGGCAACAAATTCTCTTGCCATGTCACCGAATCCAACCATGAATACTGTTTGCCATACACCAAGACCAATTCTTGGGGTCACACCACGGTAAAGACCCTTTAGACCACTAGATTGATAGATGTATTTGAAGGCAGATCCAACAGTCAACTTCTTTGGCCTGTTAGGATCTTCCTTCTTAGATTGCATTTCAACCCTGATGACTTCAATTGGTTGATTCCAAGCACTCAAACCACCACCAACAGCAGAAGCCAAGATCTTTTCAGCTGCAGTAAGCTTTTCTTCTGGGTTTGTCTTTCCTGTGACCTTTCTGATGCCTTCTTCAACTAGTCTTGATAGACCAAAACGGGAACCCCAGTTGGTCATTTGTCTAATAGCAACGGCATTAACACCTTTGTTAATACCCCTGATACCTTCTTTCTTGTAGATGTCTTTGAAAGCGGCCCAAGACGATTGAGGAACAGCGCCTGCACCAGCCGACTTTTGTTTAGTAATTTCAACAGTTTTCATACAAGTACAGAAGCCCATAGTCAAATATGCCTGAGCAACACCACCAGAAACACCACCCATAATACCAGCACCGAAGTTACCTAATCCAGCCTTCTTGAATTGATATTCGGCTTCGGCTGAAACGAAGAGAAGAGTTGCACCCTTGGTAGAAGCCTCAATCCAAGCCCAGGGAATCAAACCTTGATAGAAACCGAAAACACCACCACGGGACCATACGTGCTTCATTGCTTGAAGAAAAGAGAAATCACGGTTAGCTGCCATCGTGGTCTTGATGACTTCCAACGGCTGGCCTAACGTTGTAACTTCACATAAGTTAAGACCCGCACCTAGAAGAATATTAGAAAATGAAATTGGCTTTTTCTTGAGTTCAGCTGGTTGAGCAGAGGCAGCCGACATGGTTGAATTGGGTTGATCGGGCAATCGAATAGTTCGAAGAGGTGAAAAACTCGTCACATTTTATTTCAAGTCACAGTTTTTTTATATTTTCCAAAGGAATTATCACCGAAGTTGACGAGGCCAAAACGGGTAAGCCGTAAGTCATACACGACGAGATAAGAGATTAAGTGCAGTGTTTTGGTGTTAGATATCTAGATATCAGCTGTGGCATTGCGTGACAATGTTGTTAACACAAAAATTCAGGCATTAAAAGATGTAGTATCCTTAAAGGAAGCTTAGTAGTAATAGCCTGAGTGCCCTTTAAATTCTGGAATTTCACATCTAAAGCCCAAGTTTACGAATTTAAATATCAAAAACAATTGGTGAACGCACAATCATTAATATGTTCTATACTACTACATAATATTCCTAGCTTCTTTTTCGAGGAATAACTTTTGATAAAGTCAAGATCTGACCGATTGGAACCTTTTATCCGTTTTATACATGCAATTAGCGCCTAGAATGACGACGACATGAACAGTAACGCAGCATAGCATTTCACGCAGCACGAAAATCTAAGCATTGTCACTATAATTCTTATATGCGGCAGATTTCAACCATTCGTGAATGCCACAATCGTCTAGTAATTTTGAGGCATACTCATTTTCGTAGTAATTTTGTAATTTACCTGAGTATTCCAAATCATACCACCCTTGATGAGATTTTAACATTTCAATTCTAGCGTATATCAATGGTATCGCGAGACTGTTCATGACCAGCAAGCCATCTCGAGTCAGTAAATTTGGTGCACTCATAATGAAGACCGTTTGATTTCTTTTGTTGCTTGGAACGTTCAAGGAGTATGTACCCATCAACTCCCTCATCTCTCTTCCTGTAATCTTTGTATTCTTAAATGCTTTACACTGTACGAGAACATTAAGTGGCTTAAATGGTGCAGGCGCCATCAATTTATGCTTCAATGGCTTAAAAGAGCATCCATTTACACTTATACGCTTTGGAACATCTTTAGTGAGCCCATGAGAAGAGTTGACTGCATCATATATCTTATTTAGCGGCCATTTTCCCTTGATGTCAACACCTGCATCATATGACCCTCCACACATCTCCATTTTCTCTATGAGCAGTTTGTCTCGAAGCTCCCTCATAACAGTGTGTTCATACAGAGTACCTTGAAAGACCGTAGACTTGGATATTCGCGTGTTTTCCTCGATATACTTCCTTAGACCCTCATTATGGACTCGCCTCCTTCCTATATATCGCAGCATTTTAGTTGTAATTCATCACTTTTTTTTGTATTTAATAAAAGATCGGAATCAACCTGAAGTTGAATTTCTAACTCGGCGAAAATCAGCGAACAACAATAGAGCAGATGTCATCGTTGGAGATAGGAGATACGAAGAACGCTTCTGAAAGTTCAAAAGATCAAAATGCTGAGCAAGTAGTTACTGTATTTGATCTGGCGTCTGAAATTGAGAAGTCTTTGAAAGACGTTATGCACCAAGTTCTAGAAAATGATAAAGAATTTCAAGAAAGATTTCAGTCGATCGAAGAGAAGCTCAAAGCCATGGAATCACAGTCAACGTCCTCAGACTACTCGTGACCATCTGATCTGCGTTGTGGGATACTTTTTATGCATTTGCGATTCCTTTACTATCAATACTTATGGCACCTAAACCCTAAAAAACGGCCATGTGCTACTCCGGCTCATACTTATGGTACAGTGCATAGTTTGAGATCATGTCACAATCTTTTGGTCTGAATCTTAGCAGTTTCCTCATTACTTACATATCGTCTTCACCATCTTGATCAGTGCACGTGATGCGTTGTTCATTTGACGAGAAACTCATCGCTAACATATGATGAAATAAATAACTAGTATATTAACTTTACAGAAGCGTATATGCATATCAGAAAATGGGAAGGAAATCGAAAAGTAATAGGCGTCAAAGGAAAAAGGACACCAACCAAGAGGATCCTGTTTCGAAACTGAAACAAGAACTTGTAACGTTTCTCGACGAAACTCGTCAAGAGAAGAAAACGAATGGCCTGAACAATAACGACCTGGACAAAATAGGAAAGCCAACCGTACTTTCAGAGCAATATTCTACAGTTTTTGCAAGATTTCAAAATCAAGAGAGTTCACAGGATAACTCGAAAAGCATTCCACCTAAACTCAAACGCCACGAAGAAGGGGAAAATATCATCAAGGTTACTACGGACGCAGAAACTTCAACTAATCTTTCAAAGAAAAAGCTTAGGAAAATCAATAAACCATCACTGTCACAGTTAAAGTCATTGGTATCATATCCACAGGTTATTCAGTGGTATGATTGTGATGCGAAAGACCCGGAGCTACTTGCAGATATAAAATCACAAAAAAATGTCGTACCAGTACCGAGCCATTGGCAATTGAAAAGAGAATACTTGTCAGGAAGATCGGTTCTAGCAAAGAAGCCGTTTGAACTTCCAGACATCATTCAACAAACTAACATTGAGGAAATGAGGAATACACTACCAACACCTCAGCAAGCGGAAGAAAATTCTCTTAAGGATACCGCAAGAGCTAGGATTCAACCCAAACTCGGTTCCTTAGATATTGATTTCAAAAAACTGCATGATGCTTTTTTCAAGTTAGGCTCTAAGTGGAAACCTGACATCATGCTAGCATTCGGTGACATCTATTACGAGAACAGAAATTTAGATGATGAAGCTCGTTGGAGGAAGATGGAACTTGAAATGCGCCCTGGCAGAATTAGTGACAAGCTAAGATTAGCGCTAAATCTTCCCGAAGGTAAAATCCCCCCATGGTGCTCTAAAATGAAGGAATTAGGAATGCCTCCTGCGTATCCAAATTATAAAATTGCAGGGGTGAATTGGGACATTACAAATCTTCAGGGAAATGTCTACGGCAGTATTGGACATTCAAAACACAGCAAGAAGGCAGGTACTCTTTTCGGACAAATATTAACCTTTGAGGACGAAGAAGACACATTTTCTGATGTAGATAATCATCGCGATTCTCATGAAGAAGCGAAAACCTTCAATAATTCAGAATCGGGAGAAAAGACCAACCCCATTCCAGCTAAAGGAATTGAAGAAGTTGAAAGCATTTCTATTGCTGCTGTGGAGTCCGGGCCGTCAATAAACAACCCAGGCGACCAAAGTCATAGCCCAAGACAACTTTACACAGTCCTTAGTGAAAAGGAAAAAGTCCAAAATAATGGAATCACAACTGGAGGAGTTGTTTACGAGATTCCTGGTTCAAAGAGAAATAGCAATGAAAGCGAGGTACCGACAGGGCACAAGAAACAGCGTATTGAACAAAAGAAGGATAACACAGAAGCTTACGAAGTAGAAGAAATCAAAGGATTTAAGTTTTAGTGGGCATAAACAATTATTTACTTTACTTTTGGTAAGATGGCTTGAATTCGGAATAGAGCCATTCATTTTTCGGGGTGCACATAGCACTTTTCCCTCTTTTCAGGTATGCACCGGCAGCATTCTCTTTTATAATTTTGCCTTCTCTATAAACAATTTTACCTTTGACGATGGTAAACCGGGGCCAGTTTTGAAGCTCAAAGCCTTCGAAAGGGGTGTAATCGCAGTTATGTTCCATCAAAGCATTCGTAACACGAGATGGCTTTGTTGGGTATGCTCTATTCGAGTTGTCTGGATACCAGATTACTAAATCTGCATCGCTCACTCCTGGAAGTAATGAACCTTTTTGAGGATAACATCCATACAATTTAGCAGGATTCGTACAGTTAATTTCAACGAATTTCATCATAGAGGTAAGTTTTTTCTGTAGATATCCATAGTTGTAGAGCAAAGGCATACGGGTACATACACCTGGCATGCCGTTAGGAATATATCTGAATCGCCCGTCTTTTTCTCCGTCAAAGGCACTATATTTGGAGCCTGCCGAAAACTTATCATAGTAGTAATATGGACAATGATCGGAGCCTACAATAGTAAATGTTCCATTATCCATCCCACGCCAAATCACTTCCTGACAATGTTCAGGTCTTATAGGCGGAGAGCATATGGCCTTAGACCCGATGAAAAGATCACCTGCGTCTACAATCTTTCCCTCACCGTCTTCCCGCTCCCTTCGGATTACATCACAATCACTAGATTCCGCCGTATGATGACATTTTGTGTCCTCATCCGACAGTAAACCATACTGTGGACAAGTTTCTGCAAACACTTTAAATCCTTTGGTCTGAGCCTGGCGAATCACATCTACAGCTTCTGGTGATGATACATGAACGAAAAGAATAGGCGTGTCCATAGTGGAGGCTAGAGTAATTGCTCTATTCGTCGCTTCACCCTCAACTATCGTGGGTCTCGACACACCATGATAGTAAGCATGCAGTAATCCCTTTTCCTCGAGGTCTTCTATCATCCACTTAACTATATCACCATTTTCCGCATGAATCATTGTGGTGAAACCATTCTTTCTAGTGGCATACATGGTAGTTAAAATGTCATAGTCAGATATTTGCAGTCCGGGATATGTCATAAATACTTTCACACTCGATACCCCGAAATCATCATATACCGTTTGAAGCTGAACGTCCAAAAGCTCCCTCCCTGCAATAGACGGCTTTTCCACCTTGAACATAATCATATGGAGCGCATAATCACAATACAGGGTCTGCTTCGCGTAATCTTCCACTACAATTTTGACAGACTCCGAAAGTGCTTTGGGCCCTTTTCTGGAGGTGTCTTGGGTAGCAAAAGCAATAACAGTAGTCGTTCCTCCTGCTACTGCACTTCTTGTAGCATGCTCCATCGTATCAGCGACTTCTCCCAGTAGTTTTAGAGGTTCATCGACGTGAACATGAGCATCGATACCACCTGGTGTAATGAAAGCACCATCTGCGTCAATTGTTTCCGTGGCAAGGCTTGAGTCTATTGACGCAGCAATCACCTGTACCTTGCCATCCGAGATTGCAATGTCAGCAGGAAATGCATCACTAGCAGAACAAATTACACCATTCTAAGTTGGACATGTTAGTTCTTGAAATACTAGCTATTATAAGAAAAGTGGTTATCATACCTTAATCAAGATATCATATAACACCATATTGTGTTGTATATCAATGAATTGAGTCAGTAACTGAATCCATTGAGAGTTCTAATCATGCTCTTCTTTGCCTTGATATACATATTCGGGTTATGCAGCCGATAAGGCTTTTGTCTGATAGCATTTCCCTGGATGACGCGCGTTTCCAAACAGACAAAAACGATCACTTACAATCGTATAAATCACTGATTATAGGTTATTACCGTTTAGATCAAGACAGTGAGTAACGCCACTACACACTTGCACTTGGCGAGTATGAGCACATTTTCCACGGTTTTCACTAAGCTTCATGATCGGGGACACTAACCCGCAATGAACGCACTTAAAGATATTCTTTAGTTGATAGGTAATGATGCAAAAGAGCAACGGGACGCTATAAAATTATCAAACTCGTAATCCTAATCTTAGGAAGAAAGTAATATGGAATATAAATAATCTTGTGCATACAACTGCTTAAAATCCAAGAATCTTTGTTGTCATACAAATGTTACAGCTACGAAACTATCCACCATATCGAAACTCCTATACTGCTTTATAGGATTTCTCAGAGTCTCGTAACTTCTAATATTTTATCAGAATTTCTTTTTCCAAATTAAAAAATTGAAGATTTCAATATGATGGTCGTTACTGAAGTCAAATAGTCCAAGACAATTCCAGCCAATGGCGAGCATCAGTGGAGAGCTCAATAGAAATGAATCGGATCAACTAAATAATTCGGTCGTGGATGAAACCCAAAGTCATGCTTATAGTACTCATAAGACCGACGAAAGTCGCCTAAACTTGACAAATGTATATCAATATTCACAGGTTTTACAGCTGGAGCATGCAGTAACAAACTTCATTGACTCATTCAACAGAATCATAAAGCTGTCACCAAACTTTAAAGTCTATCAGGAAAATATTGACCATCCCGAGAGGGTGAACGTAGAGATACTACCCGCTTTAGCAAGACATAAACTGAAATGCGCTGCTGAGATAGCATCGTTGAATGAATTGGGCAAACTGCCGTTGATCCAAGAGTTGAATGAATATGAAAGCAAATTTGATGAATCGATGAGGGATCCTGTATTGAAAGAACTTAATGAAGATGATTGCTCAAAACTCTCCGAAACTGTAAATGGACAATATATGGCAGAAGGTCAACGGGAGGTCGAGGAAGAAGAGGAAGATGGTTATGAACCAGGTCTATCGAAGAAAAAATGGCCACCAAAATTACCTGAAATAAAAAACTCCGCTATCAGAGCCCGTGTTTTCATTCACAAATCTATGATCCATGATAAACTTTATCTCTCTGAATCGGACATGATTAAAGCCCATAATGAACGTCTCGAATTCTTGGGTGATTCTATCTTGAACACTACTATAACAATGATACTATACAATCAATTTCCTCAGTTCAACGAGGGCCAGCTCTCTCAGTTAAGAATGAAGCTAATCAGTAACGAGCGATTGAAGAAATGGTCATTTCTCTACAAATTCCATGAGAAGTTGAGAACCAACTTAGACAAAACTTATGAGAACAACGATTTTCTTCAAGGTAAACAAAAGCTCTACGCGGATGTTTTCGAAGCCTACATCGGTGGCCTGATTGAAGATGATCCAAAGCACAATCTTCCAAAAGTTAGGAAATGGTTAAGCAAACTTGCTGCTCCTATCATTGAAGAAGTCACCAAAAAAGATGAAACCATGGATTCGATTGAGGTAGATGTGAATGCAAAAAAAACACTATATTCACTAATAGGTTACGCTGCGTTGAACCTTCATTATAAGCCCGTCAAAAAGCCTACCAGCGACGATAGCAATGCAATCGTGGAATGCAGAATCAAAGATGGGACGGTTCTTGGAGTGGGAAAGGGCAGAAATACCAAAATTGCTGGGATGAGGGCGGCTCAAAACGTGTTATTAAACAAACCTTTAGTTGAAAAGTATGCGAATATGAGAGCAGCAGTGCCGCGCAAGGAATCTGTGATTAAAGATGGCGTGTCAAAAAAGCGTGATAATAGAGATGCATTTACAGGACAAAGCGAAAACTCAGATTTCAAGCGTCAGAAAGGAAATGATATGAATAACAATGAGCTGCCTCCTAGAATCTTACCAACTAGTGACGGAACTCTGAGATTTCAATAATGTAGATCATAATGTCTTTTACAACGAGAACATCAATATTGTTACATAGCCTTATTCTTGAAGTATTTTGACCTTTTTACTTACTGGCTCTGAGGCAGAGTGACCACCATCTACGTTAGAACCAGGCGTGCCTTCCTTTATCTTATTCCTTTTTCTCTTGAAAGCTTCTGGTCCTTCGAATTCTCTTGTTATCATGGTCAAGAGCGTATTTGCTCTCTTTGACAATTCATTTACGGTTCTAGTTTTTATGAACCAATCAAACTGAAATAAATAACTGTCCATTATCTCTTGCTTGACTTTCTCGTACAAGTTCTCTGTCAGTAGACCATGTTTGTTCACAGCTATAAGAATGAACTTATCTTCCAAAGCGTTGAATGTTCGCCTGGCATTATTGGGTGGATACTGGATTGTCATATCATGAATTGGAGATCTGCACTGCTCAATTTTTCTCCTTAATAAACTTTCTTGAAGCTTTAGGCGATCTGCTTTCTTCTCACCGGTTTTGATAGTATTCAGGTACTTTTCATAACCACTGATTTCTTGATATCTGTCCCAAAATACCCTTGAGTACGCTTCAACTTCCGCCAAAGATTTATTTTCAATTGCGCTTGCAATCAGTTTCAAATTATCCCGACCGAACTTTGCACAGGCACTTATAAAATTCAAGAACTCACGCTTCGACCAATTTGTAAAAGCTTGTGAAGTATATTTCTGTTTCAAAGCGTCATCTTCATCAGTATAGTCCTGAGCGTTATCTATCTTGGCTTGTTCCTCACGAATTTTCTCTTCTAAGTCTTCGGTGGAAAGGTCATTCTCCTCAGAGCCAAGATCATATGCAGAAACCTTATAATTCACCTTTTTCTTATACGAAAGCTGCTCTTTTTCCTGCAATCTTTGAAGTTCCGATGGGAAAAACTGAAAGTCTTGAATATTAACCATTTTGGGAGGTCGTGGCATCCTCGGCTGAGGACTATTCTTCAAAGATGTTTTTCCCCCTGATTTTGAGCCTCCGATCACTTCCTTGTAGTAATCATCGACTGAATACGTATGATCTCTTCTCCTTTCTCTCCTTGAAGGATTGATCCACTTGAAGTCAGTCTCATTGCCTTTCTTCTGAAAATTCTCACCATTCCACTCATAAGCGGATTGGTCTCCAAATCCATTGAATTTCTGTAGGTCATCCAAACCCAAAGTTTCATATTTTGCGCTAAGTTCTTTAGTTTTTTGTTCACCCTTTTTTAAAATTTCATCTATATCATCCTCGATTGTGATTTTCGCAGACTTCTTTTCAAACACATCTCTGGCACCAAATTGAATCATATTTAGCAACTCATCCTTACTATTACCTAAATTTGGAGTCTTTTTTCCGAGTCCCTGTTGAATGACCAATTGATCTAACCTCAGCTTTTGTGCAGCTCTTTCAATTACCTTTTCTTCGATCGCATTTTCCGTGACAAAGCGGTACACATGAACTTGTTTCTTTTGACCAATTCTGTGCGCTCTGTCCATGGCTTGTAAATCTGCTTGTGGATTCCAATCCGAATCATAAAGTATGACTGTATCGGCACTTACCAGATTGATGCCTAGTCCTCCAGCTCGCGTTGTCAGCAAAAAGATAAACTTGTCGGAGGATGGTTTGTTAAATTCATCAATAGCGTCAATACGGTCTTCGTGGGAGGTAGTTCCATCAATACGACAATATTCGTAGTCTCTGAAATAACAATAGTCTTCCAAGATATCCAACAATCTCGACATTTGACTGAAGATCAGAACTCTTGACCCTGCCTCCTTTTTTTTCTTCAGAAGTTTATCAAGAACGATCATTTTGCCTGCATTGAATATCAGGTGCTCATCTGTTGTATAAGGCGGACCCGGCTCTGCTCCTTCGAACAAGTATGGATGGTTACAGCATTTCCTAAGTTGCATGACTATATTCAACAACCGTGTTTTCCCCTCTCGTTTTCCTACGGCGCCATTAACTGCATCAATGTCTTTTTCTAGCAAGCTTTTATACCACTGAATCTGCATTTCCGTCATGCCTACGTAAACATTTGTTTCAATTTTCGGCAGAAGGGAGGTTTCAACGTCTGCTTTGACTCTTCTCAGTAAAAAGGGACTTAAAACGGTATGCAGTTGCTGCACAACAACTTCTTGATCTTCTTCCCCATTATTTTGTTCAAACCACTCATCAAAGACCTCTGAGTCCCCAAAGATATCTGGAAGTAGAAAATTCAAAAGTGCCCATAATTCATGCAGATTATTTTGTAGCGGAGTGCCTGTTATCAAGAGCCGGTTTTTTGAGTAAAAGAGTCTAATGATTTGAGACAATGCACTCTGTTCATTTTTAATGCGGTGTGCTTCGTCAATCACTATGTAGCGCCAAGCGAGGCGCTTAAGTGTCGATTTTTCTTTGATAACCATTTCATAAGATGTAATAAGAACGTCGAATCGCGCTTGCAACACTATATTCTTGATGATAGTCTGCCTTTGGACTTTATCACCTTGTAATACGACTGTCTCCACTTCTGGGGTCCACTTAGCAAACTCACGTTGCCAATTTTCAAGTGTAGACTTAGGTACGATAATAATGAACGGTCCCTCGATGTTTTTAACATAACGAAGGTAGCCTAAAAATGATATGGTCTGCAAGGTTTTACCTAGGCCCATTTCATCCGCTAAAATTCCTGACAGCTTGTTTTCATGCAAAGATATGAGCCAATTGAGCCCCTGAATTTGATAATCCCTTAATGTGCCAGACTTCACGAAGGTGGGAGACTCATTGATCACTGTCGTGGTCAAGTCCTCGTTTTCCTCTTCCACCATAAGCTCAGCGTCTTCTTCCTTCTCGGTCTTCCTGTGATGTCTCCAATCATCCGAGGAACGCCTAGAGCGTCGCCCAGTTGTTTTAATGTCGCCATCGATGGAGTTGAGTAGCTTTCGCATATTCTTATCTTGTTTCGCGCGAATGCTAATAAAGTGACGGAAGAGATCAGTTAGGCCAAGGAGATGCTTGAATCGTTTGTACGTGTCTTCTTTATCCTTCAGCATTTCAACCTTCACATCACCATTCAGAAAATACCGCTTTCTCTTATCTTCCCAAAAATCTTCATCCTTGGTTGGTTCCTGGAAATTCCTTTGAGTTAGTTTTCATACGCTTTACTTTACAATTGCAGATACGTACCTCTAGATCTTCAATATCCATTTCCCCTCAGGAACCACAAAATGAAACCTACGAACCTTCTTCTGTAGATATGATTTAATAAACCACACAGAAGACTATTCGATAAAAATAAAGGAAAAAATAGGAGTCCTTAATAGGCCTTATTGTCCCCCATGCTTTATTTTGTCCTATAATTTTTTTTAATGCATTTTCCTTTAAATATTACGTAATTAATGACTAAACAATATAATAATCGTTTACAGCGTCGTGGTCTTAATGCCTTTGAACTTGTTTCTCGGTCTACGCTGTCTTTTGTCCTTGACGTGTTTCTTTGGAGGTTTCTGAGCTGGATCGTGGACTCCATCAAAAAGACTTCGTCCTGCTTCCTCCTGCCTCTTCAAATTTTCTTGAACTTTAGCAGACTCTTCAGCCCACCACTTAGCAAACCGTTCTTCCTCCATAGTTTCTCTTATGGAACGTGTTGGTGTAGGTTCCATCTTTCGTGCATTATTAAGATACAGAGGAATAGTTGCACTTGTACCGGTGCTTGTTAAGCTAACGGCAGATGATTTCCGCTTTGCTGGCGCTTGCTGAAGTGATTCAGAAATAGAGGGGAATTTGTTTGTAGAAGATCCATTAGATCCTGCGACAGATTTCTTAGATGCTGAACCACCCCAGACAGGTTTCTTTTTCTGTTCGGCAGTTTGTTGACTTTTCTCCTCTGCGAGTAATTTCATTCTCTCCTTCTGTGACAATTTTTTTACAGAAGCAAAAGGTGCGTTAGGAGGTTCAACGTTTGGTGTAACCGACGATTTATCTATATTAACCGAAGTGTGAAGAGCTTTCGAAAGCGCCGGAAACAATGCACTTCTCTGGGATGACGATGAGGCTGGTGCAGAAGATGTGACGATGGTAGTTGTTTTTTCAAATTTAACAACATTTTCCAATCGGGTGCTTAAATCTTTTTGAAGATCCAAAGAAGAATTTATTTCTTGGGATGATGATTTCTTACGCTTAATTTTCGTGACTGTTATAAAACCTTTTCCTTCGCCATCTTGTACCTCATCATCGATAGCACTTTCGCTACTCTTGCCAAGATTACCATAGTTAATATTGGTAAAGCTCGGCCTTCGGAAATCAGTGACTGAGACCGAAGGCCTCCTAATATTTGTCAAATCTTCCTGAGATATTGATACTTTCCTTGTACCTGAAGACGATGATTTTCTTCTATCGGAAGTTTTTCTTGAACTGCCTGCTCTAGCCTTCGGCTGCCCATTCAGATCAAAAACTGGCTTGAAAGAGTTTTCGCGACCCATAAACATTTCATTGAATTTGTCCTTTTTGTTGTCAAACATACGAATAAGATCTAGCGATGTAGTTTCATCATCATACCAGGAGGGAAAGCGAATCGTACTATTCTTTAATCTCAGATTCCTGACAAACTCTTCTAGCGTAGTCCACAAAGTTTCATCGAAGTTATCAGCAATTATCTTCATGTTTCTATCTGAAAAGAGAATATCAATATTGTTGTATAGATACCAACAGCATTCTAAGGCTAAGGGCATGCAAGATAGTCTGTAGGAGTTGATCAACAAAGGTATAACTGTGCCACCATCAATGAAATCTACCAATATGCTCTCCAAATAATGCTTTAAGTCGCCTAACAAAATTTGATCACAAACTTGAATAATGTTAAGGGACAGCTCTATGAGCTCTATAGGATTTTGAAAAATGCAATGCTTGAACAGTTCGTTGAATGGACAGCCATGAAGATATTTCAAAATTACCAGGAATTCCGTCTTTGAGACGTGCCTCATATCAACGTCGATTGTTGAATCATGTTCGTGCATCCAATCAGGAGAGAGCAAGGATTCAAAATAAGCACATCTCGAGGCGAGAACAAAAGAATATGACCTCAAAATGGTGCTATCGGCCAGATGAATAGTTACATCAGGCTTTGAGAAAAGGTCATTGTAATTTGCACTATTTTCGATGTCTAATAAATGCATCAAAATGCCAGGCAATCTATCATTTTTGTACGAGCTCACATTGATATCTAGTATCCTGAGAAACTGAAGCATTGCTAGTTCTAGATTTCTTTTAAGTGCTGCATCCACATTGTTTAAACATTGAGGCCTCTCATCCGTGTACATAAAGTGTAAGGCGTAAAGAAGAGCACCTGCTGGTAATTTATTGGATGCCACTTCAATCAATAGTTGGTGGCCACGGAAGTTAGGCCAGCCCTGAAGTTGCATCTGAACTCCGTATTCGTCTTCATAGGAGATATACCCATTTTTCATTAGCTGAGACATGAATACGGGGGATCGAATTTGTAACAATGCGCTATGGCATCCTGCAATTACCTTCTTGGTTGCCGTGTCTAGAAACAAAACGTCGAATCTGTTCCTGTTGAAGCAAGGGACCGTGGGGTAATTAATAACTGCTGGCCGACATTTTGAATACATTTTTGAACACTCTAGGGATGGAGTAGTGAACCAGCTATCCATGCTTCGTTTGATTAGACTATCGCAAGTTCTATCCAGAGATGTACTATCGGGAACGGAATCAACAACCATGCCATGGAGGCTTTCTTGGCTTTTTATTGGCTTCAAAAATTTGTCATATATCACTTCCAAATTTTCTTTCTGGCTCATTTCTATATCTTTCACTGTTCTTGGACCGATTTTGTTATTTATTGGAGAAACTTCGTTGAAATCTCGATATAGATTGTTTTTCGAAAACCCAATGGATATCATATCAACATCATCTTTGATTGTGGCAAATGAAGAGAATAGCGAATCACAAGATATCCCTATACATTTACCTGATATTAGTTTACCGCTTCTCTGACGATGAAACTGCATGATATTTGGATTTTCAGCTTTATAAATATCCCCACCCACTGTGCAAACGACCAATTGACCCTTGGCGCCGACATCAAAATCTAGACATTTATTCCATTTGAAAAACGGTATCCAATATAGGGTTATGGGTAATATATTTGGATACTTGGACCAAGAGTGTGCACTTTCTTCCATGTTCTTTACCTGAACAATACCTACTGTACCATTTTCATATAGGATTGACAAGTTAAGACCAAAAATATTTGATGATTTGATCTTCAGGATACTGTTTTTCTTGCTTAAAGAAATGGGCGTGAAGACATCGAATTGATTTAATGCAGATTGTTGCTTAGAGGTTGCTTTTGGAATAGTAAATCTTAATCTTTTGTAATCGTTCATGACACAAAGTTGGTTATCATCAAAAAGGATAAAAGTGGCAAAGTCTGTACATAATAGTTGTTTTATGTTCCTCACATAATCTGGCAATTTTATTCCCGATGGGCAGGATACAACGCAGCCGCGATGGCCAGCATGAAATGTATCGAGTTCTTTATTGAAGTTTTTTGCGACTCCCATTTGTCCTAAATTTAAGCCCCAAGAATACAAATAGTTGTTATCGTCGATCAAACAGGAGTGTACCTTGGAACACGCAATAAATTGCACTTCACCTGACCAAGTTTTCTTCCATGGACATTGGGCAAGTTTTTTAGGCTGTGGACTGCAGATATTTTCGGATGCCGCCTTATCGATAAACTTGTTGCTGTAGGACGAAGTCGAATAACCAAGCTGAAAATATCGATTCCATCCCCACGAAATAACTTCATTTGATGAAGTAAGAACAATAACATGATGATCACTAGCCGTTACTTGCTTTATGCCAGCAGAGTCGAGATTTACCTGTGTGTGTTTAAAATTCGCTACGTTTAACGTACCATTGCCTAGTCTTCCCCTGCTCGCATTACCTGCTATAAATATTTTGTCATCGGTAGTGACGAGGAGCGATTGGTATCTTGTCATTATGGTAGACTTGAATCTAACTCTGTCAAGCCCTTGTCCTCCACCAAGCTGATACTCATCCAATTTAAAAAGCTTTTGCCTATCGTCCGAATCTCCCGTTCCCAGTTGCATGTTTATATTAGAACCGAAAGTGAAAAGTTCGCGCCCACCTCGATATGTGTGGTAAAGTTCTCTTAGTTCAAGTATGCTTGGATATGCACCTTGTTGCTCACTGTCTTTGAATCGCGGCTGCCAGTGTATCAGAGATGAGTTTTCGTTTCCTTCCCCGACTTTTTCAGGATACAAAGCTATGGGTAAGACTTTCAAGTTCCAAATCTCGTTCTCACACCGAAAGAGTTCCATAGGTGTAAGGCCCTCACGATCTTTCTTCTCCCAGATATTTTCCTGTGATATTTGAGAAACTGAAGAATCATTCTTCCAGATCTGGTAGAGAATGAAAGCTTTATGCAAGTAGCCCAACTTCAAACAAGCATGCAAAGGTGTGTAACCACTTTCTAAATCGTACGAACATAAATCGATGGATCTCAATTTATCTCTTCCTTGATGACAGGACAATAAGTATGACAAATTTCTACCAAAAACATCCCTTGAATCTGTCTTTTTTTTATCATTCATGCTGTGTTTCCCACCTCTCAATTGCGTAATATTATAGTTTTAGTTCGTAACTTTGTGTCGTTAGTGCAACATGAGCTATATTCTCAATTTGTTATTTGGTGGCACTGATAAAAAATAACTTGCTTCTTCAGATTTTAATTTAGATTGATCGTGCTAATAATTTTTGTACGCGCACGTGACCCAACTGAAAGTATTCTAGTTGAGCTAACAGTTGAAAACCATATTCTTCAGAGTATTAGTCCTTTGATGTCAAATTTGATATTTAAAATGAGTATATATTTTATGTTTCTAATCTGCTATCGAAAGTAGATTGTGAAAGTACCCTATAATATCTCCCTTTTATGTATTCCTCAATTACAGAAGACGGTCATATAATATTAAGCCACTACAAGACCCTTTCAGTGGCAAGAGAATGGACGGGAACTTCAAATTGAACAACAGTCTTCAAATTTCTGTCTCTAGCAGCTCTAAATTTGGCAATATCATTGAAGTATTTGTCGAATAGGATTGCAGTGTCCATTGGACCGCCCTTTGCCTCTGGGTGGAATTGGGTGGAGAAAATTGGTCTAGAGACGTGGATCATACCTTCGTTGGAACCATCGTTCAAGTTAATGAAGTAAGGCTTGAACTCATCCTTCGGAAGCGAATCTGCATCCACCGCATAACCATGGTTTTGTGAGGTGATGTGGCATTGGCCGGTGGTTAGATCCAAGGCAGGGATGTTGTGAGCTCTGTTACCGTACTTCATTTTGGTGGTAGAGCCACCGGAGGCTAAAGCTAGCAACTGGTGGCCCAAACAAATACCGAAAATTGGTAACTTGACAAGCTTTGAGTCGTTCATTAGCTCCTTCAAGTTCTCAATGGTATCAGAGCATGAAAGAGGATTACCTGGACCGTTCGAGATAAACACACCGTCGAATTGAGCTGCGACATCTTGGATTCTGAAATTGTAAGGGAATACAGTGACGTTGGCGCCCCTGGCGACTAGAGATCTGACGATGTTTTCCTTGACACCGCAGTCAATGAGTGCAATATTGGCTGGATTGGCAACATTGCTTCCAGCCTTGATGTAATAAGGCTGCTTGGTCGAAACCTTAGAGACCAAGTGTTGCTTCATAGTGTCGACGTATGCTGGTGCAGTGTCATCGCCAACCACGATGCGTCCGAGAGAGGAACCCTGTTCTCTCAAGTACTGAACCACACTACGAGTATCGACACCAGTTATTGCCGCGACTCCCTCCTTTTCACACCATTCGGCCAGCGATTGCACTGCAGTCCAGTGAGAGTATCTCCACGCATACTCGGCAACTACAATACCTACGACATGGACGTGGGGGCTCTCGAAGTATCTCAAAAGGTTGAATTCATCGCGAGCATCGCCCGAAGGCACACCGTAGTTACCAATCAATGGTTGCGTGAAAACCAAAATTTGGCCCTTGTACGAGGGGTCGGTCATCGATTCGGGATATCCAACTAGTGAGGTTGTGAATACGGTTTCACCAGCCACAGACTTGTTGGCACCAAACGAGTAACCTTCGTACGAGGGTCCATCTTGAATTGAAAAAGTTGCTTTGGTCAAAACTGGTTTAGTCATTTTTGTTCTGTTGCTTGAATGATTATTTAATGGCTGCTGGTTTTCCAGATGTGATCGGAGATGTAGTCTTGGCAAGTGTATTGGGATTTTGTGGGCTTAAACATACACTTGGAATGAATAAAGCAAATACTATAAGTATAACGAGTTCGAGTGAATCTGGAAAAAAGGCCCTATATCATCTACAATTAAATAGTTGCTGCCTCTTCATTTCTTTTTTTGACTCATTTCTAAGGAAAAGAAAGAGTGAAAAAAAAAAAAAAAAAACACAATAGAAGTCATCGCTGAAAAGTTGACATGGAATGCACGATTGATGATGTCAAGATGAGCAAGAAGTCACGATGTCAGGTGTAACGTCCGACGACGTCAGTGAGGTGGACGCGACACTCTGATGATCGGTTTACAAGGCGTTGTTAATACGGAGGAGTAGTTAGTTATTATGTAGCATCGCTGTATGCTGTATGCTGTATGCTGTATGCTGTATGTTGTATGCTGTCTTTTCTTGTTTACTAGGGGTAAATTGCTCCTCGAGCAGATAACGGATATTCTATATCACAGAGCGGACGGGGGTATCCGCGATCGAAATAAGCAGAACATAGGCGACGGTGATACCTGAATACGGCAAAGGCAAATCGGCGTTGGCGATGCAGAAGTCAGAGTTGCCGTACTGATCTCTGAGCTAGGTGCTGGTACTGGTAGCTAGGTACTGATACTAGTAGCTAGGTTTAGTAAGAGTAGCCAGATGTTAGTACTAGCTAGATGACCAGTACTAATCCCGTGAGGATGTGGTTCGGAGAAGCATGACTTGGGGTTTTCCTATTAGCTTTCCAGATCTCCCAGATCCTCCATAATCGCTTGCGTGGCGTAATGGCAACGCGTCTGACTTCTAATCAGAAGATTGTGGGTTCGACCCCCACCGTGAGTGTTTTAATTTTTTGCGCCTCGAATGGAATCCATGAGTTCGAATTAGACTGGTGGTTGTAATTAGGATTTGAGCCCATTGAGGCCGGCACTTATGAGATCGGTTGCGCGTGCATATCCTTGCTACCTACATTTTATTAAATATTACAACCTTCTACCAGGTACGCAGCTAAATATGATTGTGAGCACGCCGGTGCCCGCAAGAATGAGCGTCAGACACCACAGCGCGCGTCGTTTCAACATCTTGTCGACGAATGGATGACGGACCCGGAACAGACGGCTGGTTCCCCCGAGCAGATTGAATATCACCGGGACATTTCTGCCATATTTGGTGTTGGCCATGTTTCGATCGAGTCCCAGCTCAACGTCTTTGCTGGGATTGTGTTTGCTCGAGACCAACGCTTGGGTCACGCCGAAGAACGCGTACACCACGTCGATGCGATATACGCCGCAGCATAGGTAGTAGCACCCCAAGAAAAAGGGCACGATTGTGGTGACGCGTATGCCGCGCGGGTAGTTGAGGAATATGAGCACGTAGCCGATCCAGAAACCTATGCCCAAGAGCAGCATTCCCACGACCACACGGGTCAGAGTGGTATAGTTTGTGAAGGGCGACCTGCGTCTCTTGAAGGGGATTTTTTTGTCTCCGTATTTTTCAAGAGAGATGGATGTGGTGAGATCGTCGTGCAGATTGTGGAGCGCGACGCAGCTGAGGAATTTGGGGAAGCAGTCCATCTCGAGGAATTGGAACGCAAGCGACTTGAGGTGTTCGAAAACGTCGGGGTCGTGACGTTGCTGGGTGCGCACCATGTGGAGGGCTTCCGCGCGCATGTGATCTGGGATGTTGATGAGGTAGCGCGAGCTCTGTTCGGGGGACAACAGGTAGGTGGTGACGATGCTGTTTGCGTTGTTGAGCAATTGCTTGGTGGTGATGTGGGACTTGCCGGACGCGTTGGCCTGGGTCTTGAGAAACTCGTCCACCAGGCTGGTGAGAGGCTCGGAGTCGTTGATGGCGCCCTGTTTCTTCCAGTTGTCCAGCAATTGCGCGAGCCCCGGCGACCGGGTGTCGCCTCGGAGGAACTGGGAGACACGTTTGCTGTCCTCGTAGTCGAGGTAACCGTCGGTCATGAGGGCCTCGAGCAGCATGGAGCTGGAGACGGACGCGGATCCGAGACTGTTGCGGGCCTCGTCGGAGTTGCGCGAGTTGCGGCGCGATTCTTCCCAGAGCAGGACGCTTTCTCTGATTCCCTTGACGTAGTCCTTGCACAGACGCAGATGGGCCATGAGATCGATCCAAAAGTCCAGGAAGTTGATGGCGTACGGATACTGCGACAAGAATGTGTAAAACGACCACAGGTCGACGGGGGCCGGGGCTTGCCGGTTGAGCACCTCGTAGAGCGTCGGGAGTCGGTGGGTGGTGGCCGTGGAGTCCATAGCATGCGGTTTTCGAGACACCATTGCAGGCAGGCTGGATGAGATCGGAGAAGACATGGGGGATTATGCCTGGATCGGGTTTTTTTTTTTGGGTCCCGAGCAGCTGATCGGTGAACGGTGCATTGTTATTTTTTGTTTTTTTCCATAGATTGGTTTGTCAAGCCTTTCGAATTAATGCTGGGCGGAATGCGGGCAGCAGAGAGATCGCGCGAGACGGCGCGGCGGCCGCCACGACGACCACCACCACAACGCGCGAGGGCGGGCTCAGCCGGTACGAGATTATAATTAAATAGATATACATTACCTGTGTATGCTGTTGGTGCCCGTAGCAGAGACCGCACTTGCCAACGCCCGCGTCTTCTATGGGTACTGCCACGGCCCGTCCTCACTTTTGACGGCGGGCAGCCCTTTGCAGGCGCCGGTCTCGACGTGCACCGCGAGCCAGTCGGAGTTGGAATCAAACTCCTGGAAACACGCGGCGCAGCGCCCTTTGGAGCGGTTGCGCTGCGACTTGATGACGCCCACGGGGTAGACGAAGTGGATGCTCTTGAGATGCGTCTTGAAGGTGTCTTTGCGCGAGAACTCGCCGGTGGGGTGGCACTTGCAGTGCGCGGACCAGTAGGGACACCGGAAGTCCTTGTTTGCGGCGTGCTTCTTCATGTGCCGGGTGAGATAGCCCTTGACTTTGAAGTGGGAGGGGCAGTGGGGGCACTGGAAGGGCGCGGAGGCGGAAGCGGCGGCGGCCGCCGACGCGATAGCCGCCGACGTTAAAACGTCGAGGTCGCTGCAGCTGCCGCCGGCGCCGGAGGGCCCCGACGTTAAAACGTCGCGCTCCACCCCCAGCCCCATCTCCGTCTCCATCTCCACCCCCAGCTCCAGCTCCAACCCCAACCCGAGCTGCAGCTGCAGCTCCAGCCCCGCCCCCACGGTCGTGGGGGTCGAGCTGCCGCTGTGCGCCAGCGCCGGCGCCGACATCGGCGCCGGCACGGTGTCGAACCGCAGCCCGCAGAGCTCCTCGTCGAGCGACGGCTTTTCCACGGGCTCCGAAACCCGGCCGCTACCGGCCGCGGCGGCGGCCGCCGCGTCCGCGTCCAGCAGCAGCCGCCAGATCTCGGCCGTCGAAACGGACGTGGGCGACGCGGTGGTGCGCAGCACGTGACCGCGGCGCTCGGCTGCCGCGTCCGGCGCCGGATCCGCGCGCTGTTTCTCCAGCTGTTTCTCCAGCTGCTTCTCCAGCTGCCTCTCCAGCTGCTTCTGAAGCTGCTTGTTCAGGTGCCCGAGCGACACCACGTTGTCCTCGGGCACGTCCACCTTGTCGAACTGTATGTAACCCATGTGTGTAAAGTGTCGGGTGGATTAGCGGTGACGGAAGTGCGTGCGTGTGTGACCTGAGCTGCTACTGCTGCTGCCTACCGTATACTATCTGATCAAAAATGTGCGTTTGCGCGATCACCACTGCGTTGGTTGCGATCACGGCGCCCGCAGCGCGAGCGCCGGCCCGCTGCCACTCCTTATATATGTTGTATGTGTCAAAAGCTGTGCGCCCCGATAAGCGACGCTTTGCGCGCACCCGTGCCGGGAGACACCAGGCGCGCCGCGGGATTGCGAGCGCGAGCTCGAGGTGGTTCCGCAGCCCGAAAGAGTCGCGGGGCCCGAGAGAGTCGCGGACGCCAAGAGACGCTGAGAGCGCCGAGAAAGTCGCGGGGCGGCCCGTGGCACGCGACCGGCGGCTTATCTCGCACCCACGCACCGCGCGGGGCGCGGCGCCCGTGCACCCGGTACAAGCGCGGTGGGCGCGTGTCGCGGGGCACGGGGGCGCGGAAAGCACAGGGGTGCCTACCGGCCGGCGCGCCGTCGCTCGGCACGGGCCTCACTCGGCACGGCGGGCCCGCGCCGCTCACTCCGCACGGCGCCCTGGCGGCCCGCGTGATCTTCGCCGCCTTGGCTTTTCCCTCCCGTCTTCGTCCCGTCCGGAACCCTTGATCGCCCCCGTTCTGGTCCCCCTCCGGAAGAACTGCCTCGCCCGCTCCACGCCCGCTCGCCTGCTCCACAACTGCTCAATGTCTGACGACCTCCGCAAACAGATGCTGGAACGGTTCCTGCACGCCCAGCGCATCCTCGAACCCGACGCCCCGGACCTGCGCGGCAAACCCACGCAGCCGCCACCGCCGCTGCAACTGCCCGAATGGAAGGACTACTTTGCGTGCAACGAAACCGTCGAGTTGCCGGCGCGCTCGTTCCGTTTCAACACCTACTACACGGTGCCGTCGCGCGCCGCGGTCGCGGCCGCGCGCACCGTGCCCGTGTTTGTGTTTCACCACGGCGCGGGCTCCTCCGCCCTCACGTTTGCGCCGCTCGCGCGCGAGCTCTCAGCGCGGCTCGACGGCGTGTGCGGTGTGTTTGCGTTCGACGCGCGCGGCCACGGCGACTCGCGCCCGCTCCCACCGTGCGAAACCGTCGACTACGCCCTGGATGCGTTTGTTGGCGACTTCCACGCGCTGCTCGACCGATTCCTCGCCTCGCAACTTGCATCGCTGCCTCGAGAAAAAATCTCGCTGCTGCTGGTCGGCCACAGTCTCGGTGGCAGCATCTGCTCGTCGCTGTTCGCGCGGCTGGCGCCGCCAACGCGCGAGCGCGTCGTGGGGCTCGCCATGTTCGACATCGTCGAGGAAGCCGCGGTCCTGGCGCTCGACAAAGTCGACACCTTCCTGGCCTCCACGCCCAACTCTTTCCGCAGCATGCCGGAGGCCGTGGACTGGCACGTGCAGCACGGGCTTTCCAAGACCCGCTCCAGCGCGGCCATCGCCATCCCCGCGCTGTTCCGCCAGGCGTCTTCGGGGGAAGTCGTGCGCAAGACCGACCTGCAGATCTTCAGGCCCTTTTGGAACACTTGGTTCACCGGCCTGTCGCAACGGTTTGTCTCTCTTTCCACCAGCAAGCTCCTGGTATTGGCCGGCAACGACAATCTCGACCGGCAATTGATCATCGGCCAAATGCAGGGCAAATTCCAGCTGGTGGTGTTCCAGATGTCGGGGCACTTTATCCAAGAGGACTACCCTGCGAAAACCGCGCTCACGCTCATCGATTTCTGGAGACGCAACGACTCGAAAACCGTGGTGATAAAGACCAACTGGAAAAAGCACGACGCTTGAGAAGCCGGCGCTTGAGAAGCCGGCGCTTGGGGAGCCCGCCTGGCGAGCCCGCCTGGCGAGCCGACGCTTGACAAGCCGGCGCTCGACAAGCCGACGCTTGGATGTCCGACCCAACTGGAATTGGCAAGCACGCTTGAAATCGTGCACCGCACTTGACCCATTTATAATATGCACCTCTGCGCTGCACCACATACACCATCTAGCAAGCGCACCTCAACTCCCATCACAGCCGACCCTTTATAACATACAATACCCATGACATTCCACGCCGCATCTCTTGTTATAGACACCTTCAAAACACTTGAAACATCTGCTCAACTCTCTATAAAAATACAAATAACATAAATCCACGCCCACTCTAATCTATCGACATAATGTCCAATTCGCCAGCGTCTTTGCCCTCGCACTGCGCAACCACCTGATCAATCTTCTTCGAAGCCCACGTGAAACGTGGGTTGATCAGGAACGGTCTCAAATCAAACCGATTGTCATCTGGAGAATAGTTCTCAGCATGGTAACTGGGTGTAAGCACCGTCTGCTTGTGTCTATTGATAGCGTAAAAGAAAAAGAACTTTTTCACCTTTTCAGCCACTTGTGCAGGAGTTAGCCTTGGGGTCCAATCATGCAACAATTTCAAAAACATCGAAAACGGGCCACATTTCTCCACTTTGCGCAAGTATCCGAATTTGCTCAATTCTTCATATGTCATACCCATGTCGATTTCATCCGATTGCACGTAATCCTTAGTAATAGGCTCCAACTCTGCGGTAGGCGTGGCGGTCAAGAAATCTTCCAAAATTGGCATGTCAAAAGTTTCAGACGCATAAGCAATGAATTTTTTCAAATCCGTCTTGGATATCCCTCCAATAGGATTGATATCCGCCGAGGAGCAATCATATTTGGTCAGGTATCCTCTCAAGCATTCGTCCACATTCGCACTGCCCAGTACCAACAACCCTCCCGAATTTGGAATGCCTCTAACCCATGGGAGTAATTGCGCAAACAAATACGCCAATACCATGCGCAGCCTTGCCTGGATATTTTGTAAAGCCAAATTTTCAATCTGAGAACCGCCAAATATTTTGAAAATTGGTCTTTTCCCAGTGGCCACTTCAAATAAGTTCACAACCGCGCTCACTAGAGAGTCCATGTTCAAATCTACGTGATAGGACCCAATGCATTTGGAGAGTTCACGGCTTCTAGATCTTGTGTCTTTAGAAGAGTTTTCGGTGCCCATGAAGCAAGTATGGAATATTTTACTTGCCAATTCCTGAGGTGATGAGGGGATCCACTCGTCATCCATACGAGCAATCTTGCGTGCATCAGATAAAACTTGGGAATTACCTTCAGAAACCTCTTGTACTACAAGACGACACATAGAATGAACAATAACAGCTGTGGCACAAGAATCAATACCACCTGATAGAGGTAAGAAATACCCAGTACCGTTGCATCTTCTCAAATAGTCCCATAGCCAACAAGCCGGGCCCAGTGCTATTTCCTCTTCGGGAGCATGGTAGAATATTGTCCTAGCTTTCGAGGGCGATATTTTAGGATTGAATCTTGAACTCATAGGAGCAAGTTCCACTGGTACGTCAATACGTTTATATTTGACATCTGATAATGATGCTTGTAATCCACGAGACATCACAGAGGCCCTGTAACTCCTGACCTCTTCCAAGTCGACAGTAGCCGTTACAACTTCTACGTCCTTTAATCCAAACTGCGATCCTTGGGCAACCACTTTACCATTGATGGCAATCAATGCGCAGCCATCGTAGTATAATCTATCACCATCACATCCACGCTGATTGGCATACAAGTATACCCCGCCACAACGGCTCGTAGCGCTTGCAATCAAGTCAAGTCTCTTGTCCAATTTACGCAACTCATGATGAGATCCTGACGAGTTTGTGATGATCTCCACACCATCAAGAGACATGCTTATATGAGGTGACTGGGGTGTAAAGAGTTCTTCGCAAGTCTCTGCACCGATACATGTATCCAGCGTGCTTATAACTGCATCACCAAAGGGAACAAACTTTTGACCAGTGATTTTTTGAATCAAAGGAGGCAATAAAAACTCCTCGACTGCAGCCGGTTTCATCCATGGAGTGAAGAATCTCATTTCACGGTAATTCCCATCATTTGCCAACCAAATTTTTGGTCTGATAAATAAAATTTGTCCATCGAACGACAGTAGACGACAGTTATATCTCACATCTCGATGAAGCACAGGCATACCAATATCCAACAGGATGCCGTGCGTCTCTGGATTTCTGAGAATTTGTGCATACATTTCCCATGAGTGAAGATACAAGTCATTCTCCAAGAAATGATCCAAACAACCATAACCAGTGATTTCAAGCTCTGGGCCCACACGTAGACGTGCACCTTTCTCTTTGGCAACTTTGATCGATTCCAAAATACGATCTCTATTCCCTTCAAAATCTAGTGCCCATTGATTTAAGTTACAAGTCGCTAGTGTGATCAAGTGTGACATTGCTGCTCTTCTTTCGAGAGTACTTTTATCACCTACTCGCTAGTTTATTACACCTTTTATGTCAGAAAAGGGAGTTTTTACTTCTTCTTACGTCAATGATGATATAATGAGATAACAATACATCTTTAGATAAAAGCACTAGATGTGACTAATATTTAATATTATGATATCAAAGGAGCCTAATGATGTAGAAATAGAAAAGGATTAATAAAAAGCAGCTCACATTTTTATAGATTTTTGATTGAGAAAAACATGCTCGCCAAATCTACTATTCTAAAAACACTGCGAATATTCATATTAAATTTGACCTCAGAGAGACAATAGGGATACTATAGATTACACGCATTTAAAATGGCTCTTTACATTCTTTAATTATTATTTCATTTGTAAAGCCTTAATAAATTTACATTTCTGCCAAAGGCATACCCCGGTAACGACTGAATCTCCTTTCAATTGAGATTATTCTAACCCCGATGCTTTCCTTCCACATTCTCAATAGTAACTAGAACGTATCCAAAAAACATACAATATTTATTGGCATATTGGCGCCACTCCAGCCGTCTTGTGTTTCGTTTTTGACGAAAATTTAATAATTAATAGACGCATAAGTGTCAGCCAATCTTTGATTCAAGTGTTCCAAAGCCGTGATAGCAGTAGGCTCTATACCTCCACCTGCGTCACGAACGAGCTTGCTTGGAACAGGTGTCAATTGTGTGGCATTTTCCGGATGGACGAAAAAGACAATGGAGTATCTATCTGAGGTACGTGTTTCTCCTGGTGAAAATTTCACACGATGAATGGTACTCTTGAGCAACCCATTAGTCCAATAAGAAAGCAAATCACCAAAATTCACAACGAGTGGTGGAGCAGACCCCTCGTGTTGTGACTTAACAAAGGGTACTTCAACCCAGTCTTTATCTCCCATTTGCAATTGCAATCCCTGTTGACCTTGCCTTTGAAAAAGGAGTGTCAGAGAGCCATAGTCGGTGTGAGCGCCTGCCCTGATAGTTGGATCCACATCTGGATTCGCCTGTTTAGCCTCCTCTAAGTCGTCTTCTCTAATCAAAGGATACCGCAGCATTCTGAAAACACAGCCACTAGGCTCTTCTGGACGATGTCTGTCGACAAAGAATCGACGGTCTTCGACTTGCAATGCTACCGTGATTAGCTCTAAAATCTTCAATGCAATGCGATGCAATTTCCGAGTAGTTTCAGAAATGATACCGCTATTTTTCTCGAATAAAGGAGGAACGGGGTTTTCATTGGCGTTGTCAATATCTGTTCTTCCGTAGTACCTGTCTTCGCTCTGATTAAATTCGCCAGTCTTGAAGTTCACAAACCCAAAATTGTAACCTTCTTTGAAATCACGAGTTTTCCTTGGGTCCAGTTGCTCAGTTGTAAAGCCAGTGTAACCAATATTATTCTTGTTGATTTCATACTTCTGCTTTTCTTCGCCAGGGGTCTTGGTAAAGAAATCACTTGACAGATCGAATAATGTGTCAACCTCTGCTTGTTGGAAATCGTGGCCATCCACAAATAAAAACCCTTGATTCACCGCTGCATCGAGTAGATCCTCAATTACAGTATCTTCGGGTTTGCTAATATCAATAACTTTAAGTGGATTGGACATCTGTTCTGGAGAATTGTTAAAACTATTGAACAAGTCGGTCGGTTGCATGGCTGTATACTCTGAGAATTTATTTTTCAATTCCGGCCAACTCCGCCAATAAGAAATATTTATCAAAAACCCTATCTAAGGCATTGATCGGTGATAAAACAGCGTTTATAATTTGATATCCGATGTGGATTCCATGTAAACTAGAATTAATGAAAAACTCTACTTTCTACTGACCACCATATACACCTCTGAAAATTTCTCCGATCTGTTCAAGTGAGTAATTCTCGTATAAACATAACTGGAGTAGAATTCTGCTCTTCTCTGGGTTTAGATATCCAGAAGCAAAAACGTTGTAGTTCTTATTTGGTAAGGCTGTTGGCAAGTTAGCAGTAGGTACCATGCCATCTACCGATCTCTTGGAATAGACAACAGGGATGTCCAAAGTCAAACATCTGGCGTTGACTTCATCAGGCAGAGATCCAGCCCCCATTGTGGCGATAACGATACCATCACAGCTTTTGGAAACGGCTTCAACAAGATCTGCAGAAAATGACTGGTGTGCATAGAGAATATAAACATTTGGAAGGCTCATCGTCTTCGCGTCTGCTGGTACCTTTAGCTTGAACTTATGGCACACAAACGGTTTAACAGGAGGGTAATAGTAGTGGATCTCATTGTTCACAAAATTTCCCAGATAACCTTGTCTGACATTGAAGGAGTCTAATGAGTTGGCATTCTTCTTAGTGATATAGTAGCCTGCAGAAATTTGATCGTTAAGAGATACTAGGACACCTCGCCCACGGGATTGTTTATTGGCAGCGATGCAAATGGCTTGATAAAGGTTCATTGGTCCATCAGCTGAAACACTTGTGGATGGCCTCATGGAACCTACGAATACAATGGGGACTTCACCGGAATCGATGCAGGACTCGATGAAAAAAGTGGTCTCAGATAGTGTATCAGTTCCATGCGTGATAACTATACCGTCAAATCGCTGTAATGCATCTGAAACTCCCCTGTAGATCTTATATAATGCTTCCTGACCGATCTCCTTGGAATCTAGGTTACATAATTGCTCATATTCAATGTCGCAAATGCCTGATATGTTTGGAATTGCTTCTAGTAGCTCTTGAATAGTCAAGTCAACATGATAACCTGCTGTATGAGATGAAGATGCCCCTTTTGAAGCAATTGTTCCACCGGTACCGAGAATCTTGATCTTGGGAAGTTTGTTAGGTTTGACGTTTTCTTTCAAAGTTTTTTGCTCATCGCCCTTGCATGAGTGCAGGGTGAACTGAGATGCTTCTGCATCAGCGCATATAGTGTTGATCTCCATATTCTCGTTGGGCATTGTGGATTTAAGTCAAGATGGGTAGGAAGTCAATTTTTCTACGGGTTCGCAATTAATCTGCTGGTAGCATCGCCATGCAAGGCACCTTTTTCTTTTCGATGATGCCGCTCGAAATCTTAAAAATTTCTAATGCTTCCGGCGTTTCTGAGCGAGGAAACGGCATTTTGGCATCGCAGCTTACGTGAGGTGCCATCACAACGTCTATTAGAAGTTACATAACGTTCAGATTTTGAACCTTCCATATAGCTTAACTATTGATCATACTTAATTGCATTTGGCTAGCAGACCCTTCCGTGTTAAAGGCTCAGATTATGACAAAATTATGGCAGAGACGTGCTGTCCTATTTATTTATACAAACGCAGCGGGTGACTGCTCTTAGAGCCTACCAGGTCTTTGCTTTTTTCTGCACATACAAGTGCGCTATTTCACCATAAGGGTACCAGACCATCCCATTCTTTAATCCGTCTTCTCTCCCAGTATCCACGCTGACCCTCGATAAACTTCCATTGAGTATCAGATACACGCTCAAAGTATTGCGGTTTAACATCTTGACTATTTTGGCGTCTTTCACGTTGGTCTTGTTCAAGTTTCAATTTTAAAGCTTCTGCTTCCTCTACATTACCGTCTTCGTATAGACGTAAATCGGGTCTTAATCGAGAATCTGTTGGTGGGATATGACCTTGCTCGATCTCGGTAATTTGATTCAAATCGGCAGTAAACTTTGTAAAACCATATTTCTTCTCTGGCTCAGGCACAAGCTCGCCAGTTTTCCAAATTGTTTGTCCTGTTTTCGTGTTGACGATGCTATTTGTCCATTGACCTTTCAAAAGACCAAGTTGCTTGTTGCCCTTGTGTAGGGCGATCGATACATCTTCTGAACGACCGCTAAACATGCCACCCGCCTTGAAAGTTACTCTTGCTTTGCAGTCAAGCGATGAAACTATCTCCATTTGATTTGTAGGTTCGATGTATCTCTCCCCTGCAAAAAGATTTTTCAAAATAGTTGTAGGTTGAGACCAGACGTAGCATTCTCCACTTGACTTCATGACAACCTTTATTTGACCTTCATTGAAGAACTCTATCGATTTGCCCCAGAACTTCTGAACTGGTGAAACAACATAGGAAACCTCCCACTGCGAATGGTCCACGTGAAAAGCAAATATTTGCGGTTTGTGAGAGACTTTTTCGGCTATCAAGCGGACACCTTTGTCCTCTCTAACTAATTCAAATGTCTCACCAAGAAGTGGATTAAATGGCTTTCGTAAAGCACGAACCTTATGCCGATGCATAGACAAGTATGAGCAAGCAAATGCGGCAACCAGTGCAAGTCGATCGATGTCATCGTCAGTCGAGGCTGCTTTATTTAAAAGTTCGGTGTATTCGAAAGTTTCAGAAAGCATTTGTAAAATCGTAATCGGTTCATTAGATGTAATTGGCATAGAAATAGATGTCAAGTCCTTTCCGACATTTTTTCTGAGAAATGAAAAAAGGCTCGGTGGTTGAGTTGAAGCTGCCGGTACGTCATCACGGCGGTGAACCTTATGATTCCAAGGAAGCGGATATAAATCACCACCAGCACTAACTGGCTGACTAGTTTGAACTATTGTAGGGTCAAATTTAGAGGAGTCATCATCATCGTTATAGTTGTCTTCATTTTTTTCTGTAAATGGTGATTGTGATAAAAGCAGGGCATTCACACCTTCTTCGTCATTCAACATAATCACCCCTTCGTTAATGTCGTCGTCTAAATTGTCATCAATTGCATCATAATATTCATTTTCACTCATAATTGAGGGGCTAGTAGAACGCGCTGTTGATTGCAAAACACCCATGCTATAATCAGCCCAGTAACGAACAAGTTTTTCAACCTCTTCTAGCTTCTTGTACAGGTCATGCTCATAGGGGCTACTTTGTGTTGGAAAATCTTGAGCTGTATCCTTGGGTTTATTGACGGTTTCTTGCGATCCTGTCTTATGCTTAGTGAAAATATTTGAGAGAGACGAAAAGGATGGTGATCGAGAAACAGGACTTGGAGTCCCACCACTGTTGTGACTTGATTTCGATACCTTAAATTCTGAAGTGGGCGGGAAATAGGATAGAGATTGGAGTTTGCAACTTTCCAGTTTTTGCTCGATCAATTGAAGGCTTGCACGGAAATTGGATGGATCCAATGATGGTTCTGCAATCTCCTTCTTTGGCGCCACTGCATCTTTGAAACAATCTTGTAGTGCCATAATCCATTCCTGCCATGTAGATTCGTCTCTAGCTTTTAATACCCATATTTCCATCCCCGAATCTATAACTATAAGTCTAGTCATTTTATTTGCACTAACGGAGGCCAGTGTAATCACGACTTCGCCGCGACAAACATTGTTATGCTCATTTAAGTAGTAGGAGAGTGTTTTGTACTTGAAATCCAATTTGAAATATCGTTTGGTAAAGCCTTGTAGCTTCTTTCTTCTTTTCTTGAGTAAATACCCTTGTAGAATGCGGCCTTGCTTTACTCGGATTAAATGTGAGCGCGCTCTATGAACAGGAGCATGCATATCCTGTGTCTTGTTAGCGACACTAACTAGGATCTTCTTCTTTACCGTCTTCGACGCGGTATTGTCTAAAATAAACGCGTAGTACCCGTCCTCATCTGCTTGTATCGTACCTTCTATCAATTCATTACCTGCTATAGTTCCAAGTCGCTGGACAAGAGTGAAACCTTGAGCCGTGAGCTTCACCTCTAGAGGAATTTCCTGTGCATGGTGCTGCACGTCTGCAATGGACTTGGAACGGTGTCGCGTCGCTTCTTCAAAAGAAGACGTGCTTCTGTTCAACGCGTAATCAATGAGTGTTCTCGTGTCTGGTGCGATGTGTACATTTCCTGAACTTATTCCATGACCATTTGAAGATCCATTTTTCTCAGGAGTTCCGTTGCCTCTTTCAAAAACCTCGTCGTGGAGTGTACTCTGTCGCTTATATATGCCGACATCCACTGAACGCTTCAATGGCTTCAATTGATACGATATTGTATCGCCACGTTTCACATACAGCCAACGCACGACGAATGACTTGTTTTGGATGTCTATCGTCTCCATTAGTGCCACTCTTCTCCTTTAAAGGGTAGCCAACACTATTCATCAGTTGTCAAATTTTTCTCAACTAAAGATCGCTCCATCACGTGGGGGTACGTCTGCCAAGACAACAAAACAATTCAACGGAACGGATCTTCTAATCCTAGAGCGAAAAATCTCCGTTTGACATAGTTCGAGTGCTGGTTTCGAAACATTCGCCTGTCCCTTGTTCATTGCGCTCTACTTTGCTCGATTACACCTCGTCTCCCCGTGCCGAGGACTTCTATAGAATCGCGTTAAGATAAACACTTAACTCAAATGGAAAACCCATATGAGCAAGTGCACCAGAGCATCTTATCCCGTATCATCAACAATGTGGAAAGACTGAATGAGAGCGTTAGCACGCTGAATCAAGAGCTACAACACATCAACGCCCGCAACGTGAACCTCGAATTGATGGGCCAGATGTGTGAGAACTACCACAAGAGTGCGCAGTTCAACATGAAAACCACCGGTCACCAGAGAGAACCGCTTTAAGGAAATCTGATCCCATAGATTTGAACTCCCCCCTCTATCGTCAATTTACTTGTCGTCGCAAGCCCGTCGTTAGCCCGTCGTCAGCGCCGCACTGAAGCGACACACATCTCTTTATATATTCAGTTGTAAGACCAGGAACTCGTTTCGTGTTGACTTATATTAATATACATGCTATATAAGCTAATTTTTACCAGGCAAAAGGCCAAATCTTCTCTTGAGCGTAACTCTTTGTCTAGAGTACTTGTCGTCTGGCGAGAATCTGGCAGGGTGAGCGGACTTAGTGATTTCACCACTTTCGGTGAGCTTCTCTAGGGTGTAAATACGCTTGCCATCAGGGCCTAAAGTGTACATCAAATGCATGGCGTCTGTAGTCTGTAATGCTGGAAATTGATGAAGATGAGCTTTACAAAATTTTCCCATCGCTTTCTTTTTTTTTCATGAAAAAAGCTAAAAACCAGAATTTTAGATCACGTGCAATTTATATAGAAAAGTGCGCTGTTTCTGATAAAGATGTAAGAATGGTTAAACAATTGATAAAATATGAATGATCCATTCGCTGATCTTCTGTCTTCCTTCAAGGGTGGCAGTACAGATACGAGTTCCGATGATCTCGGCAAGAAAAATGTGTCATTGAAGGCAGAAACGCCAGTAATTAAGGCTACGAATGGTAATGTCGTTGATGACTTTGACTACCTATTTGGAGGCACTCAGAAAAAGGCTGCGCCACAACAGCAAACTAAGGATGACTTCGATGCTGCATTTGATGTGTTTAATACTCCTGTTTCATCTGGAACGCCTGAGCCTCTTGCGGAAGTGAAACAACCCTCGACGCCGAATGTGGAGCCGGCTGAAGCTGCTAATGAGGTAGTGGACGAGGTGAAAGACATGGAAATCGCCCGATTGATGTCTCTGGGACTGTCATGGAGAAAGGCTAGTCACTACTATGAGCAAGGGACCACGTATGAGCACATTTTAGAGCGTCGGCAGGAATTGCATCGTCGCTCGAAGGAGAGCAACGAATCGACAAGCGCACAATACAAGGTCAATCGATCTGATCCTGCAGCTGGTGATTCAGATCTCTTTTCAATGGCATCATCATGGATCAGCAAGGGGCGTGAGTTTATAGACTCAAAGCTTAAGCAAGTTCAGGAAGATACTTCGTCCCAATCGTTTTCTGACTATCTAGCTGCACGCCAAGGGCCCCGTGGGCAATTTGCTCGCATGAGCGAGGACTTCCAGCGCTCAAAAAGCGACGAGGGGAAGTTAGGTTCGTTCACTGCTAGATTTAAGGATATTGATTTGTTGGGCGACGACGTGAATACGTCGAATGCATCGCAGGCCAACCAGACTGTACCGACCGCTTTATCTAGTGATAATCGTGATCAAGAAAACTCTATAAATCCCCCTAAGCACTTTGATACGCCTGTATTAGATGTCGCTCCTTCTCATTCTGTAGAAGCCTCCCCGGAGTCCAAGGATGCAAACCAGGATTTACTCATAGATTTCGATACATCAGAATACTCTGCATCAGCAAAACCTACTACAAATATTAAGAGGGTTGTCATTTCCGAGCTCGAGCTACATGGGTATCGTGAATTCAACGCCAAGGGTACTAAGGCCTTCACCGAGGGCGATTATTCAACTGCATTCGAAAATTACACCAAATCATTAAACACCCTTCCTATTAAGCATCCGCTTCGTCTGATAGCTTTGTCAAATATAATCATAACACAACTCAAACTCGGAGAGAATAAAGAAGCACTTAAGAATGTTGACATGGCATTCGGATTTGTTCAAGAGGATGCTCTAGATTCCCTCATTCAAGATTCATCGCCTCCCAAGAAATTTAGTGATTTCTGGTCAAAAATCATGTTAAGAAAAGCGGAGGCCTTAGAGCACGTAGAGGACTATGAGAAAGCGCTGGATTCATATCAACGCCTTATCGAAAAAGGTGTTGTTTCGCCTAAGATAATGCAGGGCAAAAGACGCTGTCAGAAAGTTGTTAATCCAGAGAAATTCAAACCTATCAAGACAAACAATACCAAGAAAGAAAACTCGAACTTTTCTAAAAATACGGATCAATCACACGATAATGTGGTGGACAGTAAGCCATCTGCTAAGCTTGCCCATGTAAAGAGAATCAATAAGAAAAAGGAGGAGGAGGATGCCCAAAAGTTTAAACTTCATGATACGGTAGATCTCCGTATCCGACAATGGTCTCAAGGGTACGAGTCTGATCTCCGCCAACTGTTGGCTCGACTATCTCAGGTTTTAGATTGGTGTAACTGGAGGGAAGTAAGTACTGCTGATCTAGTTATTCCTAAGAAGGCTAAAATAGTTTACCTGAAGGCCGTATCAAAAACCCACCCAGATAAAATACAGGATTCTTGGCCTTTGGAGCAAAAGATGATTGCTGAGAATGTTTTTGTAGTGCTTAATCGGGCTTGGGAACTCTTTAAAGAAGAGAATGGTTTGAGTTGACTGTGAGCGCCAACTACCTCGTACGTATTAACTACCTGATATTTCTATGTAAATTTATGTTCTTGCAGATTCAGAGCGTATACTTGCAATGGTGAGCTTGATTCAGATGCCTTCTGAACCATAGCGCTTAGTGTAGAGACCAAGAGCTTTGATAGGAAACAAAAATTTGTAGCTTGGATATTCAATTGCACATGAATGGTTGAACACACCCTCTACTGATTCAAATTTCCATTCACCAGAAGGTAACTGTCGTTCCTTCAACAGTGCGATACCGCGATCAATGACAGCCTTGTCCGGATACTCTGCTAACAGTAGCCCTATTAAAGCCCAAGCAGTCTGAACAACTAGAGATTTTCCAGTACTCACGTATGTATGAAGTTCACTGGATTTCATTGACTCACTCCACCCACCATCAGGTAATTGTTTGGATACAAGGAAGTCACAGCCTTGACGGACATGTTTTGAATTTTCGTAGTTTTCATCAACTGTACTTAAAGCTTCCAAGGCAAACATTCCGGCGTAAGTAAAGCATATACCCCAGCATCCATACCAGCTGCCATCTTTCTTCTGAGAGCTTTTTATGTACTTGATGGCAATGTCGATTGCTTGGGCGATGTCTTCTTTCCTATAATTGTAGTACTTGTGGAAGTAGGTTAAGCCTAACACCGAGGAGTCGGTGCACTCAACATATGGATATTCAACCATGATATTTCCAAATACTTCAGCAGGGTTCAACTTTTCAAGAAGAGTGGTGGCCTTAATTTTCTCGTATGTGGCAAATGAGCCATATTCAAAAGATCCCACATTCTGTAGACTGAGAAGGATGTCCATTGCTTTACACAACTTCTCATCTGTAAATTCATTGCGAACATCAGTGAAATAGGGAGAGTTCCTGACCATAATAATGGCCTTAGTGGCTTCAGCGGTACAATCAGATACCGTGTATCCCTGAGTTTTCGTAGAGAATGGCCATCCTCCAACTCTTTTATCCCTGAAACTACCAGGTTCACATTCTGTATCAAATTGAGATCTGCATAAAAATCTGTAGGATCGCACTATCATATCATGAAATTCTGGCTTTTCAGCCAGTCCTGCCATGAAATAATATTGAATGGCGAACGCACAATCCCATACTTGCACTCCATTAGTTCCCATTACTACCATACCCAAAGGTCCTAAGAACAATGCTTCATCGAATCGCTCGCGAAAGCGATTGAAAGCGTAAGAGTCTCTGCCTTCCTCAATTAGAGTCACAATCGCACAGAAAGCCATATTAACGGGGGCAATGCATAAATAATCGGTGTTCTTAATTTCCTTTTTAATTATCTCATAAATCTTTTTGTTGCTATACTCCAGAAACCAGGTAGGTTTTAGGTACTTCTCGTAAAATACCATCATCGAGTTTGCGACATCCAATAACTTCGTGTGAGGATAATATAAGTCAACACCACAAACAGTATTCCTGTGTTTTGAAAAATCAATCGAATCGAATGGTTTGGAGTAGATTTCAGTCCTAATTTCTTCAAGTAAAGGAGTCAGTCTGCAGCTGTATCTCGCAGAAGATAGATAGCCAACAGGGGCATATATTGCACGCGTATGAACCCACCACCTGCCGGGATGTATTGGGATGGAATAAGGGAGCAGCCATAACTCAGGCGGGGCAGGATTTACTCCCTCCCATTTATAGAGATTTAATACAGACAGCCATATTTTTCCCCAATGAGGAACTCCAATTGCACCACCTAGTCTGAGTAGAGTCTCTCTTGCCCTCTTACAAACAATATGATTCTTAGGAAGGCCAAGAAGTCTCAATGCGACATAGTTCACAGCAGTCCCAAATGCTGTCGATTTGTCAACCTCATGCAATCCCCAGCCGCCATCCACAGGATGAGCTGTGTTCACAATGTATCTAATCAATTCACGCTTTGTTGGCTCTGGTACTTCTAAATTGGCACAGTAATAGGTCGCAACATATCCAATAATCAAGAACATAGGACCCTTATATTGGCAAGGGAAAATTCCAGAATCCTTATCTTGCAGAAGACTAAAGAATTTCGCACCATTGTATGCGGCATCATAAGCAGTAAAGTCTGAATCTTCGGAAGTCTTATCTGGAGAGGGCGTAGGAAATGTGGTTTGCTGAAATAAATACTGAACAAACGGAGTTTGCGGCTTCAACTCTGCTTCCTCTGGAGATACGTATTCCCATTTCTCACCACCCAATTGATCTACGTTGAGGCGCCATAGCTTGGGGTCCGTACCGGGGATATCTAGCTCTTCTGAGTAAAGTTTTCTCATAGATGGTGTGTTCTAAATAAGTAAAGAATTTCGAAAATTAATTAAAGTTGTTCTTAAACGAGTTATGGCACGCATGAACAAGTTCATTGAAAAAAGACGGTTTCAACTGATATATCCGTCCTTAGTTTTACTGGGTATTGTAGTTAATGTATTGTTCGGATACGATGAAGTGCAAAAGGAGAAAGATGCCCATTATTTGTTTTCGTCCCGCAATGCAATCAATCAACTATTCGCGTATCATGGTAATGACATTTGGCTTGTTTTGTTCTTATCGCTAAGTGCTTTACAGATATACTATCGAGCCATCGAATGGGATCCTCTTCCAAGAGATGCAAGAATCGATATCAGGTCAAAGGTGCTACCCTTAATAAGAGAATATGCTTTAAAATTGTTACTGAAGACGGTGTTGCTGTACGTAATTTTCTTCGTGATAGACCATGTCTTTGTCTGGACTGGAGGTGCTTGTTCGGTGAGCGATACAGCCTCTGCAGAGCAATGCAGAAGAGATGGTGGAAAATGGGAAGGAGGGTTCGATATTAGTGGTCACTTTTGTTTTCTCACTAATATTAGTATGATTTTGTGGATGGAAATATATTCCTTCCAGCATTTCACTAATACAAATGAGATCCAGCCAAGTAGAAAATGGATATCCGTCATTTATCTGAACATATTTGTTCTTATCACCTGGGCATTTGTTCTTTCAGTGACGGCCATTTTTTACCACACTTTAATGGAGAAAGTTATAGGAGTGACAATGGGATATATTTGTCCCACAGTAATGTATCTATTGGTCCCCTCGATTCCTGCTTTGAAGAAATACATGTATTAAGCCAGTTCTTCATTCATGTCCTCCAGCTTGCCGATCAGAGTTTTCATCGGACCTAGCAAAGCGGCTTCCCATTTCCGATTAATTTGATTAATTGCGCATGCTATAATTTCACCACCCCTCATCCTTAATAAAACTTTTATCCCGCCAAGTGTCTTGAAGGAAACAGCGTTGGCACACAAATCTGCTTCCAAATCTTTTATTCTACCCGCTTTCTCCAATTCTTTGAAGAATGAAACCCTTTGAAAAACTTGGAGAAGCTTCCTGTAAACTTTGGTTGCAAATATATAGACGTCAGTATCATTTACAATAAAACCTCCGGGATTTGTCGAGTCGAAAATATGCTCAACATTAAGATAAATTGGGACTGTGTGCTTGAACAGCTCCCATGATTCGTTTTTCGGATTTCTTTTCAATATCAAATAATGAGGTGATTCGAAGTTCCTGGTAGTTTCGTTGAAGATTTCTATCCTAATCCCAAGCATTTTATCAACCGCTTCAGTTTGGCCGTTGTTAAGAGCCAAGTCACCGGGATCTACGACGGGAAAGGCGCTTATCCCGAACATCCGATAAATGTTCTCAAGCTGTGCCTTCTCCTCTAGGTTTTGGGTAGCCGTAGAATTGGCGATCCGTCTACGTTTGGATGGTGAACTAAGTATGTCAGTATCGATGAGATCTGCAACGTCATCATCAAACATTTGGTGTTCCATCTTGCCCTGTGTCCGTAAGACCCACTCATACTCCGGAATGTTATGCGGCAGCTGTTTCTTTCTTCTTTTTGGAAATGATTTCGAGTCCTTTTCGGGGCTATTATTGTCACTTTTATCTTCAAATATCGAAACATCACTTGTGTAGTTTTGGGAAAGGGCACTTTTCAGGGTAGGAAATTCGTCGAAAAGTCTTTCAAACTCGGGGGGTACGATAAGCTGCGAACCGTCTTTTTCTGATTGTGGCTCCTCAGAATCCTTAGAGTATTTTTCAATTTCTTCTGTGAGTGCATCGTACTTTTTACCAAGTATGAAAACTGAGTATTTGAGTTAGTAATCGGCGAAATGTGGGAGGTTCATATTGATATATTGAGCCATACTCTCATTTTTTAGTGCATCGATATCCTGCTGGCAATCATGTATTTCTGACATATATAATCAGCTTTGCTAAATATGTGTACTGCGATGAGACGCGCGCTAGATGATATATATTTTTTTTTATAGTTTATCAATTTCATCACTTTTTATGATAACGACGGGATGTTCGGTGCATGAAGGAGATATTGCTCTAACGGCAGCAACGTTTGCAACCTTTTCTACTGGAACTGCATAACCAAACAAACATGAGAATGAGCGTTGGTAAATGAATGCTGCGATTTTCTCTGCAATTTTAGTCCGCAATCCTACCTGAGCTATTTCCTTACTGAGATGTGAATTGAATTCCAGGAAGTATTTTTGGTAATAAAGTGCTTTATTTATTGGCTTCGTAAGCAAAAAGCTGCTTTTCGTAGGCTTTTTAATCATGAAATCATCGGTGTGAGAGCCAACGAGGGGCCCGGGTCTAAGAACTACGAGCTGATCCAAGCTGTGAATCTGTGAGATAAGGTCATGTTCAAGTCTCAGTTTGGTATTGAAGTACTCGTTGACGTTACTCAATATGAGGTTATTGAAACTGGTTACGACGACCATCCTTTTAAAACAGCTATCAACCTTGTCACTAACGAACTTACTGGCCATTTGCATGTTAAGATCGTAATCGACAAAGCCTCGAGGAACATGACTTTTCTGTTGCTGGAAATAAGTTGATCCAAGAGCTGAAATGAGCGTCGATACCCTTTTCAGGGGAGGAATATTCCATGAAATGGCCGCGTTTGATTCTTTCGAAAAGATATGACCATCTGACTGTGATTTTTTAAAAATTCTCGTCATGATACTGGGCCACTTCTCAGAATTGTTCTCTAGAAAAATGGTAACAGCCACTTGCAATTCTATCTGCACTTTTTGGTCTTCATTGAGATAATCCATCAAGTATGTAAATTCCTGGAGCTGTAGGTATATCCTGAATTCAAGTTCCCTATCGGGGCCCTTCGGCAATACAAATTCTCCTTCCGCCGCTGGTGAGCTGACAGACTGTAAATCCGCCTTAGTGCAAGTGAAACACTTTTCATTGAAATTCAGCTCGTGTTTCCAGTCATCATTCAAATTCTCAAGCTTCACCATACTGTCAAATGAAATTGGTTTCCGGTTAAAACAGAATATGTTTTTCCTTATTTTGATTCTGTCCTCATTTTGAAGCAATTCGTCCGTGAATTCTGCCTTAGATGAGTTGTGGAGGTCGTTTTTCTCTTCCAAGAAAGCATCCAGTTCATTCAGCTTGGATTGGAGATTACCACTGGCGCCGAGATAAATCCATGGTTGTGATAGTTGAGATAGAATATTTTTTCCAGTCATACCGGTCGAGCCAAGTAGAATAAAGTTTTCTGTAAGTATTTCTTGAATCTGTGTCTGCAGTAATAAACGTGCAATTTCTTCAGCAGAATCTGATGGTTTTTTTGTCACTAACTGATTTGTTTCCGTATTTTCTTCTTTTATTTCAGTGGAACGTTGATTCTTAGGACCGAAAAGTAGGTTACCTCGTTGTTTAATTTTCTTTCTCAACATTTCCCTCTTCCGATAATTTTTAATATGGCGTGCTTTGGAGTTTTCTTTGGAGACTGACATAAGTATTGTAATGTTGGTGAAATAAATGTCAATTTGCTGTGTGATTGTCCTCTTTCCATGATCTCTTCTGTGTTCAAAAACTAATAAGATTTATCATTTTCCTGATTTTGTGACAGCGCTTGATCGCTGTCGCGAAACCATACTTCTGAGACGCCAAAAGGAATGATGTCAGATATAGTGAAGAATACTAGTGGTAATGAAATTTACTATCCGTCCTTCATTTATCACGATCTTAATTACCAAGTTACAAGCTCAGTATGAATTAAACATAGGAGGAAATCCATTTACCTACAAAGTTCATTATAAAGAAGTGCATGTTTAACGCACTTAAGTGTCGTAACTAGTTATGAAGTTCTTGAAACTAATGTAATGAGTTCTACTCAGCCCTGTTCTCCTCATATTTAGTCTCATCGTATCCTCAGGACTTCGTAATATTTATAGCTATAGATTGGGAGCTTGTATCGATCCTCACTCATGTCTGAGGTTCAGTTTGGTATCTCCGAGGTACCTCAAGATCTTATTGTTTCATGGCATATTGAATCTCATATATATATATATATGAGCACGAGTTGCTAAACCCCAACAACAATGCGGATTTAGCTCAGTCGGGAGAGCGCCAGACTGAAGAAAAACTTCGGTCACTTTGAAATCTGGAGGTCCTGTGTTCGATCCACAGAATTCGCATATCTTTTTTTGGGGAAAGTATAGCTAGAGTGGCTGGCAGCTACGAGTCGTCAGATACAAATTGAGTTGTATGATAACATTGATATTATACAATTACCATGTAATTATCAATATATACAGTTGGTTCTTTTACTCCGTGGATACCACTCAAGATCTGCGTCAACGTCTCTTGATCTCTTTTTAGACATAGTGACCAGGACGCAATTTACAGAGTCCTTTTGCAAAACATTGCGAACCCACATGTTCAATTTATCATCGTCTAATAAGAGCTCATACTCCAGTTTTCCAAGACACCACCGCTCCATGGTAGTGATGTCTTTCGAACTGAGACCGCTAATACATTGCCATGTCTTCATAGAGAAGGTTTGGTCGTTCAGGAACTTGTGAGCGATTACCAAGCAGCTCAGGTAGATACGCTTGGCACACCGCGAGAACTCTGGTAGATTAGTGATTGACTTCAACTTGAAGGTGTGGAGTTTGTGAAAGTAATACATCGATAGTAAGATTACCTTTTTCGTGCACTTCGATCTGCGGAACACCTCAGTTACAAAAGGTATCAAATGTTGCTTGGAATTGTTAATCCTATGATTGGAAAACTTGGACGTCAATGCGGACAGTATAGTGGCAATCTGGTTGATGAGCCTAAGCTGCTTGGTGGAATGAACAATGGTAACATTTGTAGGTTTAGGTGTGCCATCTGGAGTGGCGCCCGGTGTTGAAGGTACTTTATAACTCAAGTTATGCGTGGTGAAAACACCCGGATGATATTCCTCCGTGGGTGTGACTTGTTGCATGGTACGTGTGAAGGCCAGTGTTGAATGCAAGATGAAATATGCCCTGAAAAGCGAACTGTCGTAAATAACAGTAAATTAAATTCTGCTTCTCGTAGATCAACTCCTGAATGAAATGCTCTCTCCCTGTTCTCTCTTGAGAGAACGAATTAAAAAATTCTGACCATTTCTATGAATGCGACCCAAAAATCCAGTGATTAAAACTTAAATAAAATCCAATAGTTGAGAATCTGTGTCTCGAAAAGAATTAAAAGATGTTGGTGTGTGATGTGTGAAAATGCAGAGGTTGTGCTTGATAATGTTTCAACTTTTGTATTGACAAAACTGCTGTCCTTAAAACCGATCGGTTGCTAATCACAACTGCTGCCAAATGCTGAGGGAATGCTGAATATAGCCCACCAAAAGTGAACTGATAAGTAAAGAGTATAGGTGAAGTTTTTTGTTGGGAAAACGCAATGTTTTTCCGTGAATCAATCAAAAAGATTTCTTTGTTATTTCGATTGCCTCGTCGCTATATATAAATTCTAAAAACTGTGCCGTTCAGACAAGCGTCATCCTTCTCCTTGAAAAAAAAAAAAAAAGTTGAATGAGTCAAAATCAAAAGTGTGGTACCCTCGGAAAACTACGGTTTTTCCGGCAGAGACATTCAAACCGAGGGTGACATGACATGACAAGAAAAGCCATTTAGAAGGCTGACTCAATCATGCGGAAAGAGGACATGGAACTCCCTACTCACTCCAGTTGGGTGATGACTTCTAGGGCAATGTTGTCATTTTCATAGCGCGGAATAAGGTAATTCTCAGTCATCTTCCATTTAGTTATGTGGTGTCCTATGAATTTAAGTCACGGGAGTCACATTAATGTTGCAACGGTGCTTTAGCTCGAATGATTTTAGGCTGGTGGCATCGTCGCAGAACGGTTTGAATTTGAGGCAAACGTGAGAAGCGGTATGTAAATCTCTATTAGTTGTCTATTTATTGTCTTGTTTGATTTTAGCGGATGCACTAGACTTGTTAGAAGAGTTGAGTGCCTCTCGCGGAGCTTTTGACGCTATTGCATCGGGTAGGAGTTGTTACTTGTTCGAATTAGTTAACGGTCAGTGGTGTCATCTCTTCATCTTGAGGACGGTCTGGCTGCTGAGCAGGCTCGAGAGTCACGTCGCTATCGTCCAGAAGCGGCTTGAATGGCACAGCGCTCGAGATGGATGGGAAAATTCTGGAGTATCCCCAGTAGGCTATAAGCATCCCCAAGGCGCTACCCAAAACCACGTCAACGAAATGATGTCTGTAGTCTTCTGTCCTGGAAAGTGCAATAGTTGCAGCACCCAGCAATGGCAGGCCAGCGACGCACTTTCTCCATGCCCCTACTCTAGGATTTTCAGTTAACAGTTGTCCGCACAGCCACAAATACAAGTAGCCAAGTCCTGCAAAGCTTTCACTTGAATGGCCTGAAGGAGTTGATCTGAAACCGTCCATCAAACGCGAGATATTGCTTGTGGTGCAAACTTCCTTGGCCGTTACATAGACGTTCAAGGGTGCGTCCGCACGAGGCTTACAGCGTGCCAAGAAGTCTGGTCTAGGTCTGCCGATCCAATTCTTTAAGTAGTCTGTCACCAAAATGGTGGTTAGCCAGGATAATATTAGCCCCAAGAGGGAGGTGTACATTAGGTAAAATTTGTGCCTAGAGTCCGCAACGACTAATGTAAACAAAGTTATAGTTATAACAGGCACGGCTATACTGTAGAAAAACAAAGCATCGTTGTCTACCCTTTGGTGTTTGGCATGTGGGTGGCCCAGTGTCGGATCATTCACGTAGAATTGTCTTTCAAAAGGCTTTGCATAATACAGCGGGATGTTTAGAAGGAAAAACACAACGCAGAGAACAACATCAGAAAGTCTCCACTTAGTCAAAATTTCATAACGGGGCATATTCTCCAACCCAAAAGATACTCGGTTAACGATCATGACAGCTGATGCGAGTGTTGGAATTCGCTTTACTTAAGTATGGCTGTAAAGAAAACTGTAAATGCGGAACCCGAACGCGAAAACTATCGTGCAGTCTCGGTATCACCTCTACAGTTAAAAATAAAAGCACCCACAATAGAACAACCATATTCCACGTTGTTAAATTGTATCTGTACTGTTATCGATCCGTTTATTAGTTTGGCTTCTTCTTAACGCCGTAAAGGAGTCTTTTGGAGATAGCGGCTAAATGTCCAATATATTCAGGGATAGCACCATAGGGTTCAAGCCTCGTGCAAATATCTTTTCAAAGTTACGAGGCAAAGATGCCACTCATGATAGTGATAATCTAAGTGTCAGTGAGTCTTCTGATATACGGACGAGTCTATGTGCGAAACTGGATGTTACCCCAAACAGCTTTAGCCAGAAGGTTGATACACGCGGTCTTGTTGAGAGCACCCCTGAAACAAAACACAGTAACTCTAGAAACCTCAAGCTAGGCTATGAGGAAGAAGAACTAGAAATTACTGAGGTGCGTTGTGTCGACAAAAATGCCAAAGAGATTTCAGAATCGTTAAGGACCATCAAACCGAAAATTGCATGTCAGGAAGCTGGGGAGACATCGACGAATGACGTTTTACTTGAAGCTTTTACCAACACTCAGCGGATATGTTCTAATCTAAAGCAAGAGTTACAACGGCAGAAGGTTGAAAATCACGACCAAAAACAGCAAATTACCAATTACAAGACGGAAGTGAGCAAAATCAATGAAAGGCTGATACAATATCAACAATTCTTAACCTCAATTGAGGAAAAATCCAAGTATTTACAACAACAAAAGACAAATGATGAAGCTGCAATGAAAGAATTGAAGTCTAGCTATGAAAAGCTGCTGAATAAAGTAAAGGGATACTCGGTTGATTGTCAAAACCTCAAACAAAATCTTGAAAATTGGAAAACTAACTGTAAAAACTCAGAATATGAATTGTCAAAAAATGCGAAAGAGCTTGAATATTTGAAAAAGGAGCTTAACATATGTTCGGGCCACCTCAGTGAGGAAAAGATTAGAAACAGCGACTTACTTCAAGAACTTAAGGAATCCAGGGAACAATCCAAGGAAGTTTTGGAACAAGTTATTAGGAATATCGAACGCGATATTAAGAAAGAACTCAAATCAGTCTCCATTTTAGTTTCTGCTGAAAAAACTTCCAATGGTAGAATATCGAAAGAAATTGCTAATATAAGCAAAACAACATTCCAAATATCCAGTATTCTTAATAAAAAGTATAATCAAGATTACCCTTTAACTAAACTTGAAGCAATTATAGTTTTCTAACATTGGACTCAGTCATATCTCACAGGTTTCTGAAGAGACTGCGCACTTTCAAGAGCATCTTGAAAACTTGATAAATGATGTTCGAACGAGGTTTGACGATGCCATCCAAAAGATCAATCCTAAGATTCCCGATACTGATACCATACACAAGACCTTGAGCGCAATATCAAAGGCCTTGGATGATTCTCATATTCTCGATATTAACGCAAAGTTAGCCGAACCCGTAATAATTCTCAAGCCGCTTATAGGTGAAGTTTTGAACTCTCTCACCGTTATTTCAAAAAATATCAAAGCTTCTGAAGACCGAGCAAAGAAGGCGTCAAAACATGAACTAACGGTAAGCAGTTTGCAAGAGCAGATTCAGTCACATATTTTACGCAACGATGAACTGAAAGCTATCTTAGAAAAGAAGGACGAACAGATAGCAAGTTTGAGCAAGATAGTATCTGAGAAGGGTTGCATCATTGACGATGTGAATGAGAAAGTTCTGGAATTAAATGAGAAGCTGGTGTGCAAAACTGATGCACTCGATAAGCTCTCCAGTGAATTGAGCATGGCACACACAAGCTTTGAAGGTAAGTTCGCGGCCCAAAAAGAGATACTACGAATAACAACTGAAGATAGAGATGGTCTAAGAGTCAAAATCGCTAAAATTCAAGAGAATAAAGAAGTGTCTGACAGAGAAATTGATACGGCAAAGCTAAGAGCTCAAAACGTTAATGAGCAATTGCAAAAATTGAATGTTGAAGTAGTTCAGTCTAAGGCAAGGGAGCTCGAGCTTGATGAGGATAACAGAAATCTGAGAAACCTAGTCGACCAATTGAATTTGGATGCCAGAGAGTCGGCTGATTTGTTAAGAGGGCTAAAGTGTCGCGTATCGTCACTTGAGGGAGACAAGAGATCATCTGCTGATGAGAAGCTTGAGCTTCATGACAAGATTACCGCACTCGAACATCAGCTTCAGACAGCAAGAAAGCATGTCCAAGACTTGAAGGATCAACGACACAAGATTCCACAAGTCAAAAAAATCGCTGAAGATACCCAGAAGACGTCCCGTAAAGGTGAGCGCCAAGAAGGTGATGCATTCGATCTATCATCATCGAACGATGATCTCGAACTCACAAATCCGTCGCCAATTCAGATCAAGCACGTCAAGGGCAAAAAAGGCACACATGGACTTAAGCAGTCACTCGTAGCTAAGAAGAAGAAGTTACTACTTCTTGACGAAAATGAGAATGCGGAAATGCGCACTTCGGGAAAGAAGAGAAAGAGGTTTTGACCTTGTGGGCCCACTAAGTAGCATGTTTCGTAAATTATATATTAGCTAGGAATCATATGCGCGAGAGGTGCGTCTCTGTCATTTTGCAGCATTAATCTTCTCTTTGACATCTAGTTCATCAAGACGATGGAAGATCTTAACGAGCGAATCTGGCTTTAATGTATTTTCCACATGTAACACGGGTACGTCCATGCAATAGAGCTCCCACCACTTCTTATTTCCTGGTTCGTCGATGTCGACAATATGATAACTTAGCTCATCATACCCGCTACCTTTCATAACTTGTTTGACCACATTATCAGCTTTATGACAAAGACCACAATTGTTCTTCGAAAACAACGTCAATCGAACGTTAGAATAGTTTGAAAGGCGACAACCAGTTCGGAACCCCCTAACACCGAGTCTACGTAACATGAAGATGTATTGTTTCCGTAACCAACAAGCACAACATGTCAAACTCTTTTTTAGAATCTGCCTTTTACTATTCCTTATAGACTTATTTCTACATAGTACAAACAGATAACGGTTTTATAGTGTAGTGGTTATCACTTTCGGTTTTGATCCGAACAACCCCGGTTCGAATCCGGGTAAGACCTCATATTTTTTGAAAAATATATATTTTACTTTTTGCTAAGCAATCGTCATAAACGCAAAACCCAAAGGGACAAGAGATAATAATTTTATTTTCCGATTTATAAACTTATTCTTATCATTGTCAGCACTCTATTGACTCTCTACTTAATATGGTACTATCTCAAGAAGAATTGAAGAATATCGAGACCGCTTTGGTCGAATTGGCTGAAAATGAAGTCGGTCCTGTGTTGAAGGAGAAGGCAGGCACTTTATTTGAGTCCTTCGACGACAAAGCCAATCAGGTCGATCTGGTCACCGTGGTGGATAAGAAAATTGAGAACATTATAAAAGAAAAATTGTCTTCTCTATATCCTAGCTTTAAGTTTGTGGGTGAAGAAACATATAAACCCAATGACACTGGCATCGGTGAAGAACCCACGTTTATAATTGACCCAATCGACGGAACGACCAACTTTATTCATGGATATCCTTACAGTTGTACGTCTTTGGGGCTTGTGGAAGGTGGTGTGCCCGTGGTTGGTGTTGTCTACAACCCTCACTTGAACTTGATGTACCATGCCTCTAAGGGGAATGGTGGCTTTTTGAACGGCAAGCCTATTAAGGTCACTGAGAGATCATTAAAGTTGCAGCAATCAATAATAGCTCTTGAGGCTGGCTCAGAAAGATCGTCTGGCTCTTCTGGTGATGACAACTTCGACATCAAGCAAGCGACCTACAACAACCTGTTAAGTGACAAGGGTGGGTACATTCACGGCAGCAGGAGTTGTGGCAGTGCAGCCATGAACATGTGCTTTGTTGCCAGTGGTAAGCTAGATGCTTACTGGGAAGGTGGCTGCTGGGCGTGGGATGTGTGCGCAGGCTGGTGTATTGTGAAAGAGTGTGGTGGTACTGTTGTTGGTGGTAACCCTAACGAATGGGACATCCCAGTTGATGAAAGATGCTATCTTGCTGTCAGGGGAGGCTGTTCTGAACCTGACCAGAAGGCATTCATTGAGGAGTTCTGGTCTCATGTTGCCGGTAAACTCAAGTATCACTGGTAAGCGTAGTTCGAACGTTTTGGTACTTTCAGCTCAGAAATAAATTTGAAGGGTGAATTCAAACATTAGATAACCGGTCATATTTTCCCTCAATCGTGTCTAATAGAACTAATTATTGCATTGTGCCAAGACGAGCCTTGTTCACACGCAAATTATGTACATATTTATCAGCCGCTTCAACGTTTCTTGGTGGGTTAGCGACTCAAAAGGGGACGCAGAACTGATCGAGCATTGATGTGGGTTGATAAATCTCCTCGAAAATATACCTAAAAGATCTCACCATTTGATGTTTTTATAAATTTGTGAACTTCGAACATCTCCTTACAATTATGTGATAATCATTATAACAATTAAGTAACTAAATGACACCATTCATTCTAAACATTAAAAATCGATAGGCCGGGTAATATGTTATAATGAGATCCAATTTCAACTGATTGAATGGCTCTTTAGATAACGCCAGTACAACGCATCGAGAGGCTCATGAGTGATTCAGAGGGGGAGCCTGATGGAATATATGGTGACAAAGTAAACGTAGTTGCACGACATGTGGTAAGATATATTCTTTCTTTTGCCGAATCGCAATCAACTGTTATTTCACGATCCAAGTTAGGTGGTGTTATACGCGAGGCATGTGGGAAGGAAAACACGAAGAACGTGAAGTTTGACAAAGTTTTCACAGAGGTGAACTCCCTTTTATTCGACACATATGGCTATCATCTTGTAGGGCTACATCCCAAGCTTAACAGAGAAACAATAACCAAAAAACAATCTCAATCGCGAACACAGACTCAAACTCAGTCGTTATCGCAAGCTAACACTCAAACACAATCTCAAAGCCAGGCAGTTAGGCAAAATCAGAGTACCTACGATGATCAAGAACCCTTAAATAATATAGAGCATGGAGAATACCCAGATTTAATGAATAAGGCGCAAAATTTCATTCTCATTGACGGTCTTCCTGCTCCTCCTGCTAAATTTGAGCAATATCTTTTAGATCAATCGAAAAAAGCCTACGAAGATAGGATTATTGACGAAGAATATGTTGGCAATGACATATCTACGCTCTCTAAATCCGAATTCCAGGACGGCTTGTCGACAGATAAAGGCTTGGCAGTTCAGGGCCTCACATTCATAATTTTAGCGGTGATCTTGTTTTCAAAAAACAATCTGCTTCATCAAGAACTCACTCATCACCTTCAGAAGTTTGGCGTTCCACAAGATGGGCACAAGATTCCAATAATCGACATGACAGTTGAAGAATTAATTAAGTTACTTGACAAACAAGAATACATTACCAAAATCGAGGAGCGCTCCAAGGATGGTACGCAAGAAACAGTATTTTACAAAATTGGCCGACGCACCCAAGCTGAATTTGATAGAGCAGCACTTCTCAGCATGTGCCAAGAGTTACTAGGTCTAGACCACAAACAGACACAACTGATTGGCAAATCCATTGACCTCAGCATCAATGACGCTTACAAGGTGTCATAATCATAAATAAAGGGTGCAACCCTTCCCCTCCAAGCAAGTCCAGTCAAATAGCATTTATGCACCCGCATTTTAGCTCAGTCATGAAACAGCTTTTGATTAAGACGTATTTTTACTGGAGGAGCTGACAATTTGCGTCCACTATCGTAAAATAGACAGAACTCATTCGAGAGGCCAACTGCATCACAAGCCGATGCTCGTTCCGGGCCGTTAAGATTTTTTCCGTCTGATATTGATAAAATCGTTAAATATCCAGCCCTAAATTCCATGCATGGCACGGAGACATCTAGCAGCATATCGATATGTAATGTAGGAACTGCTTCGACGGTTCGTGCTCTTTTAGAATGGTCAACTGCCCCGCGCATTTCTGCCGTTGTTCTTCGGTTAAAGTTGTCTTAACGACAAACACCCACACACATACGAGGGTTTCGGAAAGGCTTCGTACCTCGTTTGTGATAATTTGGCGAAACTTTTCATCAGTTTATCTGGCCAGAGTTTTGAGACAAGTTCTTAAAACACTATCAAGATTGGTAGATGCCTTTGGGACTAGATAATTTAGATTTCGCAGTGCTATGTGCACTGAGTTTGGCGGTTGCAGCTTATTTCTACAAGGATAAGTTTGCGGAATTATTCGCGTCAGACGAATCAATAAGCGTCGTATCATCGTCGGGCTCACGCGATATAGTGCATGTTCTTAAGGAGAACAATAAGAATTACTTGGTCCTTTACGGATCTCAAACCGGAACTGCTGAGGACTATGCGAAGAAATTTGCAAAGGAACTTACGGCCAAGTTTTCGCTCAATGTCATGTGTGCAGACGTTGAAAACTACGAGTTTGATCATTTGAATGAGCTTCCCTCTGATGTGATAGTTTCTTTCTTCGTCTCCACCTACGGTGAGGGTGACTTTCCAGATGGTGCTGTCCCATTTGAAGACTACTTGAATACTTTGGAGGATGGTGATTTGAGTAACGTTAAGTACACCCTGTTTGGATTAGGTAACTCCACATATGAATTCTTCAATGGGGCCGCGAAGAAGGCTCATAAAAAACTATCCAACGCTGGTGCTAATCTTGTTGGTATCTACGGCGAGGCTGATGATGGTGCAGGAACCACAGATGAAGACTACTTGTCGTGGAAAGATGCTTTGTTAGAGGAGTTGAAGACAGTACTGAGCTTAGATGAGCATGAGCAGAGGTTTGAGCCTAGTTTTACTTACAAGGTTCTGGATTCTGGGGTTACAGACACCGTTTCCTTGGGTGAACCAACTGCTCAATATATGCCAACTGCTAAATTGTCTTACAACAACGAGGGTAAGCAACTTGGTCCATTCGATGGAACTAATCCCTACGTTGCACCAATTGTTAAATCGCATGAGCTTTTCACATCTAAAGACCGTAATTGCATCCACGCAGAATTTGACTTGTCCGGTTCAAATATGAAATATTCGACCGGTGATCATTTGGCTGTTTGGCCTTCAAACTCCGATGAAAAGGTGAAGCAGTTCTTGAGTTGTTTCAATCTAGATCCTGAAACGGTGTTTGATTTAAAGCCATTGGATTCCACGGTTAAGTGTCCATTTCCACTACCAACCACAATTGGCGCCGCAGTTAGACACTACTTAGAAATTACTGGACCGGTTTCCAGACAAATCTTCAGTTCACTTGTTCAATTCGCACCAAATGATGATATTAAAGAAAGTTTGGCGAAAATCGCTCAAGATAAGGATCTATTCGCTAAAGATATCACGTCAAGATACTTCAACTTAGCCGATGCACTGTTGTACCTGTCTAACGGCTCGAAATGGGACTCAGTTCCTTGGAATTTCATTGTTGAAAGTGTTCCTCACTTACAACCACGTTATTACTCCATTTCTTCGTCATCTTTGTCGGAGAAGCAGACCGTTCATATCACCGCTATTGTGGAAAATAATGCTAACCCATCGTCGGAAAAGGCTGAGCCTGTTACCGGTGTTACTACGAATTTATTGAGAAATATTCAGTTAGCACAGAATAAGAAAGCCGTTGCTGCTTCTAATTTGCCTGTCCATTATGATTTGGATGGTCCACGAGGATTGTTCAAGAACTACAAACTACCAGTTCACGTCCGCCGCTCAGCGTTCAGATTGCCATCCAACCCTGCTACTCCAGTTATCATGGTGGGGCCTGGTACTGGTGTTGCTCCCTTCCGTGGTTTTGTCAGGGATCGTGTTAAATTCGTGGAACAGCAACCAAATGTTACCTTAGGGAAACACTTGCTATTCTACGGCTCCAGAAACCAGGATGATTTCTTGTACGCAAGCGAATGGCCTGACTATAGCAAGAAGTTAGGTGGTGCTTTCGAGATGATTGTCGCTCATTCCAGGTTACCCGACCAACCAAAGGTTTACGTTCAAGATAGATTAATTGAGAGGGAGAAAGAAGTTTACGAACTGATTGCTGAGAAGGGTGCTTTTATTTACGTTTGTGGTGATGCTAAAGGTATGGCACAAGGCGTGCATGCTGCATTGGTCAAAATCTTGAGCAACGGAAAAGGCATTACAACTGACGAGGCTGCCGAGATAATAAAAATGTTCAAGGCTAACGGTAAATATCAAGAAGATGTATGGTAATTTGGCCGAATCGTCTTGTTATTCCGCAATTGCTATCTGTAATCATCATTTAGTGTCCGTAATGAATCGCAGATCCTGGGCTGTTGCAGTAATTTTTGTTTACTTTTTTTCTCATATATAGAACCGTGGCATAAAATTATAGAACCTTTTTCTTCTTCTAATAAACTCTAAGCTTTCAAGCATAGGTGCCATGCTAGCCTTTTTTACACTTAAAAGGAACGCGATATCTTCAAGGTTCATAAATACATTTAGTAAGGTAGCTCAAGTTTCCCGGGTGCTTGATTCTCAGCCGTTAGTAAAAACGACAAAGCCACCGAAGACATCTGTATACCCTGATAAGTACCTGCGGAGAAGCTTCGTTCCAAAAAATAAAAAAAGGATCAAAGCAAATGGTGATCTTGGAAATTCGGCAGAGGATTCCTTGGGGGCTTTTCTGAAAGTGAAGCCTTGTACAACAATTACTACCGCGGAAGCGTATGACCTAAGCAAAGTTATTCATAGTCTGAATGCTTCTGGCTATCATCCTGTAAACCTCATTCCTGGGGAAATTGTCAGTTTTAAATACTTGTATGATGGGTGTCGAGCGGATATCATGGTTTTGGGAAATAGTGGGACTGTTGTTTCGTGGGGTTTCGACGAGTCTTGCGTTTTGGAAGTGATATTACCCCTTCTTAATGGAGCAAGAGTGAATCCCCTTCCTGAAAACCTTTTAGAAACAGAAGATATGGATTACGTTGAGATAGATACTGATCAGGATTTGCTCAAAGTCAGGCAACACATCAATAAAGTCGATGAAGGTAGTTTACTGGAAGGTGATTTAATGATCATTAATTCAACTGACACTGATCAAGGGCTGCTGGATAAAGCTGCATTTTCAAGCGGCATGTCAAGAAGCACAAGACTGGCTGTTTTAGAGGCCTCTTTGGATGCACATATTGAGAGAACAAGGAAGTTTACGGAAGCATTGTCCGTTGGAAGAAAACTAAATGTGAGTGAGTCAGATATACTTCGCTCCACCGGGAGATTATTCCTTATGAGAGGAAAACTCAATTTATACTCTGAACTGATAGAAACCCCTGATCTTTACTGGAGTGAACCTCAGCTTGAAAAGATATACAAGCAAATCTCCAAGAACTTAGATATTCAGCCAAGAATCACTATCTTGAATACAAAGTTGGACTATGCTACAGAAGAATCTCGTGCATTAATGGCTGTGTTGAATGAGAAGAAAAGCACACATCTTGAATGGATAATTATCTACTTGATTACAGTGGAAGTATGCTTCGAGCTACACCATTATTATGAACGGTATTGGCTGGATAAAAATACCGAGGTCAATTCACACTGAAGGAGTGCGTACTCATCTAACTCTTGTATATAAAATAGTATAAAAATGAGATTTACTACAACGCTAAAGATCCTGTGATCTCTAATGTAACACCTTTATACGTGTTCTCCGTTACACGGACATGCGTCAAATCAGACACGACATAATCTGCACCTGCTTCAAACAGCACCTCTTTCGGGTAGGTTGATGTGATACCGATTGTCGTAGCACCGATTTTCTTACCCGCCTTGATACCAACAGGTGCATCTTCGAAGACAACAACGCGTGCTTGTCGTGGGTTCAAAGACCACAATTCACACAACTCATCTCGAGCTTTTGCATATCCCTCTGGGTCAGGTTTACCCTTGACAACATCGAAACCTGTTATAAAAACTTTAGGTTTTCCAACATGCTTCAAAATGGTGTCAAACCAGGAAAATGCCAGATAAGGAGACCCAGAGGTGACAATCGCCCATTTGCGTTCCGGAAAGTTCAATCCAGAAGTTTCATCAGTAGATTTGTCCAGGGAGAGCAACAGCTCAGATGAGCCAGGAATTAATCCAACCGAATCAAGAAAGTCTCTTGCCATCGAAAGCTCGAGCTTCTTCACACCCTTATTATCGGTATTATCGAGATTTGGGAAGAACTTTGCAAATATTTCAGAGGATCTTGCTCCGTGAGAATGCTTGAACAGCTCCTGTGGGTCTACCCCATGTTCCTTACATAATACAGTCCAGGCGCTCTCTGCTGCCACGGTTGTAGAGACAATTGTCCCGTCAAGATCAAATAAGCAAATATCCACATCAATCGAAGGCATGATATGATGATTCAATGATTTCAGGTTTTTAACACATGTATACTTCGTGAAGTTTTGGAAATTCTACCGCTTGTTTTCGTCTCGAGGCGATTTCCCCAGAAAACTCCCCGGAACAATTTTATTATCCGATTTTCTAATTTGTCCGACATCATACCGTTATTCGGCTTCTAATATAAGAGTACCAATCTGATCCAAAAACTGGCACAATCTCGCAATCTGTTTATTTTTTGGTTAAATGAACCATACCAGTTATTACAAGGGCATTATGCTTAAAACAATAAATCGATAGGTAGTTCACGTCAAAAAGAAGGTTTTTCTGAAATCTGTTGTGAATTTCGTCGAGTCAAAGATTTAAGAGGCATCTTGAGCTTTTAAAATCGATGGATAACTGTTTCATTTGCAAAATTTGAAGCTTTCAGACTATCATATGCGAGTCCAACCCGGGTTATTTCGATCTAAAAGAGAAGAGGAGTTACTACCGGCTTGTACATCATTTAGCAAGTGCTTGGCACTCCGTTGAGTCCCGCCGTGAATGACACCGGCGTGATATTCCGAAGGGCTCACAATTGATCCCTATTATTTAGTCTTATCTAAAAATACACTTTTGAAAACTGATTTAGGTCACATCTGGCGATTATTTTCAGAACTTAGCATCGCTGCATATTTGTTCCTACCCTCTGAATCTTCCTTGAGTTTACTTAAGATTTGCTCCGTTAGGGTCTCTGTGATTTTATAAGCTTTATGACAGCAATCCATGAGCATTAATGCGTCCATAGGAAGACCACCTGCCTTCGAAACCTGCACAACTTCTCGGTTCTTGTTCAACGTTACTGTGAGTGTGCCGTCTCTCAGAAGCTCCTCTTTGAGGGTAGCATCAATGATAGCTATCTCATTATTAGAGTCACCTTTGATATTTTCTTCTGTATCTTCTGGATTAAAAAATGAAAAGGAGACACAAATGGGAATATGAAGCACCCCAAGTGGAACAGGCTCTCTTTCCTCTATAGAGTGTACTGTGATTTGTTCACCAGACACCGAAATATCCGGTTTCTTAAAATGCAACAGGCCTGTCATGACGGCTATGCAACTAGCATCGATAAAGCCCCCATCGCAGTTCAAGAAATGAACATCGGCTCTAACTGCCCAGCATTTGCTCCCCGCGACTATGCATAATCCTTCCACATCCAAAGCTCCCGATCTTCTCACAGCCTTTTCAATTATCCTTGCACACATAATCTCATCCTCGCCTGTATTGTTGCCATTTTCAAATTGAGGGCCTGCCATCGGTGAAATTTCCGTGCTAATAAAAAATAGACCTTCAAAAGGGCGGTCCTCATAAGGTTGTGTAATTTCGCAGCTAATTCTACAATGAACGCGGGTTTTACCCATGCTGACGGTAACATCGCCGTAGTCTCTTCCCAACTCAATTTTTACATCGCGTAATTCATCAAATCCACGGCCATCCAAACGTTGATTTTGCTTGAGTGCCTCTACCAAAAACTTGGCCTCGGACGTTGAAATCTCGATATCCTTAGCCATACCAAAATATGAATGAAACTGCGGGGACTTGTCTGGAGATTTTAAGCTGCTGATGATGAGTATCACTTCAGAGCTTCTTCAAGAACGAAATTTTTCATGTCAGATCGCTGTTCACGTGATATAAGATTACACTATAAAAGGTTTACTGGTACTGAAGTGAAAACTCCCAATGACAAAGGAATACTGAATTCAACCAAATGCAATATGCCAACACTTTCAAGTTTTCCGCTTAAAGAATCCATCTATTGCCCCTTTTTTTACGGCGACCTTTTTGATTTTTGTGATTTTGACTATTTTCTTGGTTCCTACCTTCTTTCCAGAGTCATGGGCCATTCCAACTTTCATGGCTGCATTCACTAGGATCTCTTGCTCCTTTTCTTTCCTTAGAGTGAGTTCAGTGTAGTTTCGGTAGACCTCAAATGCATTTGCAATATCAAGTTCATCGTTCGAATACTGCAAAAGATGTATATATGCGGCTTGAGGTATCATAGAAACTAGGAGATTGCACGCGAAAACGACCTTGGCTTTGGAAAGAACGTCTTCGGGTAAGTTTTTGGGAAGCGGTATGCTAGATGGAAAATTATTGACTATACCATGAACTTTGGCTGCGAGCCAGTTATTGATCTTCTGAGGAGTTATTTTATGATATTGATCGCCCGCCTCCTCAATGGACTCACTTATCTGAGCCAAAGCATTCTCAAGGGCAGATATTGACACATAAGACCAGTTTTTATCGTGATTGTCTATTAGAGCATCGTGAAAATCTCTTGCCGTGAGGAAATTTTTGTCTTCAGCGCCAATGCCTTTAGTCACGTCATTTTTGATGATGTATTCTGATTCATCACTAGTAATACTCTTATGATAGAATGCTCCACATAGGCTGAATGCCAAATCGTATTTAGCTGAAAATTCAAAGTCGCCTTGCTCCATAACAAGTCCGTCTTCTCTTTGATTTTCGTTAACGAGGAAAGTCGATTTCAGTGGCTTCTGATCGTGAGTGTAATGGTATCTATCTGTGGTCACATCTTTCGCCTTATTGTACTTGCAACCTTTGCTGAAGGTGTGACGTTTCAGCTGAAAAGTTTTACCATTTGATAGGAAAAGCCTTATACGAGATTTAGAAGTGTTGTTGGAAGGATGAGGTAATTCAAAAATCGTAAGATCATTACCACATTGCGAAGGTAGTACGATTATGTTTCTTTCGATGCTTTGGCTTACTGTCATTCGCTTGGTTTGTTCGTTTTGACTTTAGAAGAAATAGATTACGCGTTCGCGTTTTGTCGATCTTTTGAAGATACAATGGGGTCAAGATTTCAAAACATGTGCCTCAAAGGTATACAACTAAAAAATCAAGCATGAGGGTTCGTTAAGTGTCAAAAAATATACATCGTAGTTGATATTTCGTAATTTTTGTCTAGTTTTTAATTTTTAGTTTCATTTCCTGCTATACGAGGCAAGTTTGGCTTTTATTTAAACTGTCTTCGCGGCATCGCCCTACAAACTTTATCGCTTTGAAGTAGCATTGAACAAAGACAAAAACGACAAATGATACTTGATATTAGTATCAAATGGGTCCTAAGCGCAATTTGTATGCTAATTGCTACAATATGGCTAATCAACAAGATTGTCATTGATTCGAAAAGAGACCTGCATCCTGTGGCGCTGCAAGAACAGTCTAACATTGCCCCTGTTCGGAAAGAGCATGAAACAGCCGTATATCGAAACTTTACAGTGCCTCCTGGATTCCCCTTGACCACTGGATTGGGTTTGAGCCTGGGCTATAAGATCAGGAATGGTAATTTTGGGGACATTTGGGCGAGCATCATGAGTTTGTCAAAAGGTCATAATAAGATTGAATTCGAAAGTCAGTCACATACCCTGGGTGAAATAAACTCAATTGCAAAGCAAATACTGGTGCTTCTCAGAGAAAAGTCGCCACAAGGCCGGGTTGGCATCGTAACCCCCGTGTACACATTTTCAGGCTTTACTTTTGCAATAGCTGGTTTGATGGGATCTCTGGAAGGAATCGTACCCCACTTCCTCATATCGATTCCAAGGCAAAAAATGGATTTGGATGTGCTAGTCGTTGACTCTTGGAAATCTTTCTCAATGATGAATGGGAGTCATGAATGGTATAAATTAGTCATAGTGTGTGATGATCAAAAAGCTAACCCAAACCAAAAAGACACAAACAACGTTCTATGCTTAGCGGAATTAATTTCAAATGCTGAGGAAGATCTAGTTTTTGATTATTCACCACCAACGGACAACAGTCATGACTCTAAAATAATGGCTTATTTCTCATCGCCTTGGAATCATGTTAACAGCTTCACCCATATGGCACTGGTTAGCAGCGTAGCTGCATTCATTAAATCATTTCCTATTGGTACAGAACTAACAGATGAGGATAATCTGAGTATCGTTGTAGAAGATCATTTGAAAGGCGCCTACTCGATACAGATTTGGAATAAAGTTCTCGCAGTATTGCTACATGGTGGTTCAGTCTTCTTCGTCCCAGCTTCTAATTTCGAGAGAACTCTCAATTCAAAGACAACTCTTTTAGATGTTGACGGTAGTTCCAAGTTGATAGACTCTTTATCACAGACTCCATGCTCGCTCTGGAATAGAGTAAAGCTATCATGGTCACAAGCATTATTGAGCGAAGGTCTGTTCAGTTCTTTTGCATGCCAATCCCCAGTTTTCAGGAATCTCAGATGTATTTATTTGAGAGAACAAACTAGTAATGTTCAAGAGGTTACAGCACTTAGAGATGATATACCAAAACTCAAGAAAGGAATCAAAAAAACAATTTCGTCCGGCAAGCTCAACTATTTGAGGGCATTGACCGGAGCCCGTGCAGTTAAGGAGCTTTGCAGTCCCTATGTAGTCATGGGTCCTATTGCTCACACGAATTTCTTCGATTATCGGGTTTTTCCAAGAAGTGTAGATGAATCTTTTGCATTTTACGGATCTATTTGTACTTCCTTGGAAGCCAAATTAGTAGACACAGATGAGAATCCAGATTTAACCGTTCAGAAAAGACAAGGCATGCTTTGTATACGAGGATTCACCATAGGGCGCCCTGTGGAGTCTGAACGACTTGAACGTGCATTGAAAGTCATTGAAAAGTTTGACGGCGGAGAGGGTTGGATGCCTATGCTTGGTGTATTTTGCGTTTGGGGAAATGATGGCTGCTTGTACGAGTACAAATAGAATGTCTATATATTTATATGCAGTTTTTGCTACATCATCAAAGTTTAGTCGTATTTCAGCTCGCCACGTACACAAGACCAAAAGTCATTGATGTACTTTTCTTGATCCTTTTTTTCCGAACACCCTCTAATTGCAAGATATGTTCTGTTGTCAACTGTGACGTTCCATTCATTTTTGTTAGCACCAACAATACGGCCACCGGTTTCATATAATATGCACCAACCTGCACAAACATCCCATGCATAGCAGCCACCATCCCAGTAGCTATCAAGATAACCCAAGCACAAATATGCTAATGTCATGGCACTGGAACCTAGATTTCTAAAGCCGTGAACGAACCCGCCGTCACAGGAGAGAAGTTCCTCATAAGTTTTCATTTTAGTTGTGAAATTAGGACCTTCACGAGCTGATCCGGGCTGAAGAGCAACCACTGATGTTTTCAGCACCAGAGGGCCCTTCTCATCTATCTTATGCTTGTAATCAAATGGTTTTCCGTTCACTCTTACACCATTGCCTTTAGAGGCCGAGACAAGAAGATCCAAATGAGGATTGTAAATTACACCAACCACAGGCTCCTTATTCACCGTAAGGCCCATGGATGTGCAACTAAAGGGGAAATCATGAACAAAGTTAGTGGTACCGTCAATTGGGTCAATGATGAAAGTTGGTGCGTCTGAGATTTTTGTAACGCCAGGGACGTAACTCTCTTCGCCCACAAATTGGAAGTCGGGATATTTGCTTTTAACACGGTCCCAAATTATCTTTTCGACTTGCTTATCAATCGCCGTAACGATGTCAACTGCCCGGTTTCCGGTTTTCAAATCGTAGTTGTGTTGAGTACCGGACTTGGCTTTGATTAGTGGTCCCACCTCGTCAATTGCCAAATTACATAAAAATTCTTCAATCGAAGCTAAATCCACAGGTTCCGACATAGCTTTTTTTCTCTATTTCTTGGGTGATGCCAATGAATGCTGATTTTACTAAATACGTTGGCGAACTTTCCCTTTAATCTTTCGCACCACGAGATCAAAAAAACTCATCAATAATGATAACATGGAAAAAATTTTCGAAACTATACAAGTATTAGATGTAAATGTACATCAAGCCTTCACAGGTGGAAAAACAAGATCAATAAACTACTTCTTACCAAAATAACCATTATCACGTAGGTATTTTTCCACGTTTTCGCGGTCTCTTTCGAGCCATAAAGCCTTTGATGTGATGGTGTCCAAGGATTGAGCCAAACTCTGGTCGAAACCCTTGGTGGACTTTGTGTTAAAGAATGCCTTGATTTCTTCAATTGCTGAGAAAGAGGTGAATCCAGAAGTAGCTAAAGTGACGACTGAACCCAACATCGATAGGCCCGGAGGCAACTTCTTGACAACATCATCCCAGTTGGCTTGCAACCAGGACCACAGAGCCTTAACACCAGCCTTGTGGGCTCTTAGGCCTTGCATAGGAATGTAGACATCTTGGTTCAAGACAGTTCCGTCCATCAAGTAACCGAGAGTTCTTTCGATCAACTCTGGTTCTGAAAATCTACCCAAACATCTCAAAGCAGCAAGCTTTTCGTCTGTAGACACAGGATTCAAAAACATTTGGTACATCTTTTCGTAGTTCTTCACGCCACCTTTCTTAGCCACAGCATTGAAGACAGAGGGTCTAATCAAGGCTGGGATGGCGTTTTTGTCACCGGAAGTATACTTGTCGAACATTTCCAATGCAACTGGCAAAACTTCGGGGTCTTCTGCAGCGCAAGCGGTGGAAAACATTTCAACCTTTAGACGTTGTGTCGCAAATGAATCAGAAGCGTTAAATTTCCAGCCAAGTTCCTTAGATTTTCTAGCGACTAGCTGTCTAGTGAATTCAGATAGAGCCTCCTTCACTTGATCGGATTCGAAAATCCATGTAGATTTCAAAGTGGATAAACTGTTGATCATTTGATCCCAAACGACAAACGAGTCTTCGTTCTTCCATTGAGAAATCAAATTCAAAAAGTTCTTTGTGGAAGTGTAACCAGATGCGGATAGAGATCTCGCATCGGCAACCAAACCAGCACGATCTTCCACAGACAACTTATCGGCTTGTTTCCCCAACTTGGCCCATCTCTCGTCAGAATACGAAGTAATATAGATACCTGCTTGATCGGAGTTGGCTTTGAAAAATTCAGAGTTCTGCAATTCGACGGTCTTAGATCTACCATCCAAAACAAGGGAAGAATCAACACCACTGTTGGTCTTTAGAGCCAAAAACACTGGATATAACGTTTCATCTTCAGATGGCTTGACATCGGCAGTGCTCAAGTAACGATGCTGAGTAAAAGTAACCTTGTTGCCATCTTCCTCGATGGAGACCACGGGGAAGCCGACCTTCTTGGTCCAGATGTCCATTACTTTGGGTACGTCTTTACCAGAGGCATCGGACAAAGCCTTCCACAGATCTTCAGTCTTAGCGTTACCATATCTAAACTTGTTCAAATATTGAGAAACACCCTTGATGAAGACATCTTCACCTAGCCATTTGGAAATCATTCTTAGCAAAGAGGAACCCTTGGCATAAGAAATGGCATCGAAAATTTGGTTGATCTCGTCAGCGCGTTTGACAGGCACTTCGATAGGGTGGGAGGATCTGAGGGCGTCAAGTCCCAAAGCATATTGTAGAGTGTCCGTCACGTATTGTTCCCAGACCTTCCAATCAGGCTGGAACTCGTTACAAGAGTACCAAGACATCCAAGTTGCGAAACCTTCGTTTAGCCATAAGCCTTCCCACCAGTCCATGGTGACCAGGTTACCGAACCATTGGTGAGCAAGTTCGTGTTGCACCACTTCGGCAACTCTTTGGATACGGTCCAAAGTAGAGTTTTCCTTGTCAAGTAGCAAGTCGACGACTCTGTATGTAACTAATCCCCAGTTTTCCATGGCGCCTGCGCTGAACTCGTGCACTGCGACGTTATCCATTTTAGGCAAAGGATACTGGATCCCGAACGTGCGTTCGAAGAAAGCAAGAGTCTTGGCGGTGAGGTCTGCGGCGAATTGACCGTGTTTTTCGTTGCCCGGAGTGGCATATACCCTCACTGGGATACGGAAATCCTTGTTCTCGACGTATTTGAGCTCAGCAACGATGAATGCGACCAAGTACGTGGACATATTTGGCGTGGTGTTGAAAACCGTCACCTTCTTGCCCTCTTCCACATTCTCAGATTTCACGTCCATGTTTGACAAGTGTGTGAAACGTGGGTCCGACACCAAAGTGATGGCAAAAGTTGCCTTAAGGTTGGGCTCGTCGAAACAAGGGAACGCGCGACGCGCGTCCGTGGGCTCCATTTGCGTCGTGGCCATGTACTTGGTCTCACCACTCAGTTTGTCGGTGTATTTGGCACGGTAGAAACCGGCCATGTTGTCGTTCAGACGGCCTGTAAACTCGAGCTCAAGCGTAACCTGGCCCTTGAGCGTTCCAGCTGGGAACCAGAACGTGGTGGTCTGACTGTCCTCGTCGAACGTCCATTGCGTCGCTTCTGCGTCGCCGATTCGCGCGGCGTGCACGTCCAATTCGACTGTGTTCAGCATCACTGACGCCACCTTGGGGTCGTTAACTTTGAGATCAATCTTGACATTACCTGCGTATTCAAAGCTTTTGAAGTTGGGCTCCACGCGTACTTCATAGTGGGTCGGTGTCACATTTGTGGGCAAAACTTCGCGGTCTGGCGTCTCACTGCTCATGTCGACAGGTTAGCTATAATTGGTTGTTTGTAAGCGGGTTTCGATGCGTACGGAGAGGAGAGAAACCGGCTGTACGCTGCCTTATAAACAATCTGGTTATCAAGTATTTGCCACCCGCTGTGTTTCGCCTCCACATGGCGGTACGGCCGCGCTGGGGGGCGGCCCCCTGGAGCCGTCTAAAGCGACATGGCGAACGAAACCCAGCGGTTTATTGGACACGTGATCGTGATTTTGAGAAAACCCAGTCATTGCCCCTACTCGTCACCTTTAACTGTGTCCAATCTGTTCAGAAACATGCTATGCTAGCTCTGGAGTCTTTTGGCGGCCGTTTTCATGGGTTCTGCCGGGCCAGCGCCGCAACAACTCCTGTCTCTCCCCCGCGCGGGCGTCTTTACTCGAAAATGCCATTTATACATACGTCTGGGTGCGCAACTGATGGGCGCGCTCGCATTTGGCACAAGGCATCTTGGTTGCTGTCATAAACGCGCGACTGCGAGCGTAGCCCTGTAGCGACTGGATCATACTCTGTTGCACACGCGAACGCGCCGTTAGCGGCCACAATAGCCCGTAGGGCTGCGTAGCTGCCTGACGGCCGGTATGCAGAGCACGCATGGTCCGCAGAGCGGGTTTCACGCGAGCGAATGGCCGCAACGCTATCATAATTGGTGTTGGAGTGCGGGGGAGAAGCGCAGGAGAGAGTGCCGGGTTCTCGAGAAAGAGATATTGGGCGTTCGAAGTGACATCGCGACCGTTAGGCTCGGCACGTGGAACTCACGTGACTGGAATGATCTTCCTGGAACTTCAATTTACTATTCCAGCGACTGTGCTCACCATTTGTGCTTAAGGTCTCTACTGCTATCGTACTGGGTTCACTTCTCCGGCAAGGGTTGCCATTCTTCCACGTCGCTCAGCGCAGTGCTCGCCGTGCGTTTTCTTTTTCGTACATTCGGAGTTAAGCTTGAGATATAAGACAGGCTCGAGGCGGTCCATCGCACTGCACATCACCCACAACGCGCCATTCACAAGGTTTCAACCGTCAAGATGTCTACCCCCAAGCTGCTATTTCTTCATGGGTTCCTCCAGAACGCCAAAGTCTTCTCTGAAAAGTCCTCTGGTATCAGAAAGCTTCTCAAGAAGGCCGGCGTGCAATGCGACTACATCGACGGACCCGTCGAACTCGAGAAGAAAGACCTTCCCTTCGAGATGGACGACGAAAAATGGCAAGCCACCGTTGCTGCACAGGTTAACCGTGCGTGGTTCTTCCACAGCGAGATTTCGAAGGAGCTCGATCTCACGGACGCTTTGAAGACGGTCTCGGACTACATCAAGGAAAACGGGCCTTACGACGGTATTGTGGGTTTCTCGCAAGGTGCTGCGGTCTCTGCGATTGTCACCAACAGAATCACCGAGCTTGTTCCAGGTCACCCACAATTCAAGGTCAGTCTGGTGTTCTCCGGGTATTCGTTCACGGAGCCAGACCCAGACCACGCAGGCCAATTGCGCATTACTGAAAAGTTCCAACGCGACTTCACTCCAATGTCCGATCGCACCACCAAGATGTTGTTCGTGTACGGCGCTGCAGACGCAGCTGTGCCCGCTGAGCGCTCCAAATACCTATTGAGCTTGTACGGCGGCGAGGGCGCGGACGTCCACGCCTACGAACACCCTGGTGGCCACATGGTGCCTAACAAGAAGGACATATTGAGACCAATCGTCGAAGAAATCACCTCTTCCGTGAGTGCATGATGTGCTTCCGGGCTGCTCCCTCTCCCTCGTTGCACTGATGTTACATAGACTACATACCACTGATAGAAGCGGCTCGCGCGGCTCAACTGCAAATACACGCATGTCTCCACTTGTTTGCTACTGACTTATCGATCTTGACTATTTACCAGCCATGCGAACCTCATTTGGAGAGCTAGGCGTGAGCCAGCCGTGCGTTTCGATAACACGAGGCGTTGTTCCGAAATGAAATTCGAAGTCAACCTCCGGGGTTTGACAGGAAAAAAAAATAAATAAGAGATTCTTTTAATGGCTTGAAATAACCTAAACAATTTAGCAACCATATAGGCTAATGACGCACTATCGCCCCGTGCGACAATCGGAAGATGAAGGGCAAAGCTCCTGGTCACCTAGTCCTCAAGTTGAGCGCGCCCCAAGCAATTTCACGAGAATCATAGCAATGGTGCGCAAGTACGCCAGGTTCGTTGGTCCCGGTCTAATGGTGTCGGTTTCGTACATGGATCCAGGTAATTTTAGTACTGCAGTCGCTGCAGGGTCTGCACACCGCTACAAACTACTGTTCTCCGTACTGGTGGCCAACATACTGGCGGCGTTCTTTCAATGTCTTTGTGCTAAATTGGGTGCGGTTACAGGGCTCGACCTTGCACAAAATTGTAAGCGACACTTGCCTCCAAATGTCAACATTGTGCTTTATGCTCTTGCAGAGATGGCCATTATTGCCACAGACCTTGCAGAAGTGGTTGGTACGGCCATCTCGCTTAATATTCTGTTCAATATCCCACTTGCGCTTGGTGTTGTGCTCACAGTGGTCGACGTTCTTGTGGTCCTGATGGCATACAAACCCAACGGATCGCTAAAGTTGGTACGCTGGTTTGAGATGTTTGTATCCGTGCTTGTCCTGGGTACCGTGATCTGTTTTGCCATTGAATTGTTCTCCGTCAGCATTGACAACGTCGGTGACGTGTTCCAAGGATTCTTACCCAGTAAAGCGGTCATCGAAGGTGACGGGATCTACCTGAGTTTGGCAATTTTGGGTGCCACTGTCATGCCCCACAGTTTGTATCTAGGGTCTGGTGTCGTGCAACCTCGTCTCAGAAGTTACGACATTAAAAACGGACACTACACCCCAAGCGAACGCGACGTCGAGTGCAACCACGACAACTACAAGCCTTCTTTAGATGCAATAAACGACACCATGCATTTTACCATTGCCGAGCTTCTCGTTTCCCTATTTACCGTGGCATTGTTTGTGAATTGTTCGATTTTGATCGTGGCAGGATCCACTCTCTACGGCACTACTCAAGACAATTCATCCGCTGATTTGTTTTCCATCTACAATCTTCTTTGCCAAACCCTATCGAAGACCGCAGGTACCGTGTTTGTACTGGCGCTACTGTTCTCGGGACAGTCGGCGGGCATTGTGTGCACTTTGAGTGGTCAGATGATCTCAGAAGGTTTCCTGAACTGGTCAATCACGCCTACATTGAGACGTGTCCTGACACGGGCAGTCGCCATAACGCCATGTCTGATCCTGGTGCTGGTCGCAGGTAGAAAGGGACTTTCTGGAGCGTTGAACGCCTCACAAGTCGTGCTGTCGCTACTGTTGCCCTTCGTATCTGCCCCGCTTTTGTACTTCACCAGTAGCAAGAAGATTATGCGCGTGGAGAATTCCAACAATTGCTACTACAACGCGCCCGACTCTGAAATACCGTTACAAAACATGGACCCTAGCCTACCGCAAGATCGCCCAGAACCACAATACACTGACATGAGTAATAGTCTTTTCACCACTATATGTGCGGTGCTTCTATGGGTCTTTGTTTCTGGGTTAAACTTTTACCTCCTCATAAGCTTTTCGCTAGGTCAAGACGTTCATTTGTAGTTAGTAGTTAGTATGTATATTCTTTTGCATCGAACACACCATAATATCCTCAATTAGCCAATATCTTCGGCTGCCGTGCGGTACGATGCATGTTTCCATTTTATTATCGTGGCGCTCGCGACTAATAGCACTGCCGAGATGGACTTTAAAGAGGGCTGTGAAGTGAATCTTTGGAAGCAGAACTCCAGAATGCGCCAATGGAAACCAACACTATAATTATAACTTCTGCAAAAACCGATGTGAGCGCACCCGCCACCGTTGAACGAGTGCGCGCCTTCCTCAACGACAATATCCTCTCGCAGTATGAGATTTCGCCGAGTAACGCGCTACAGTTGATTACTTTGACCAATTTCAAGCGTCTCGTGCTGATTTTTCCTACATTATCGCTTGCTCAACGTGCTATGTCTGCTAAGAATGAGGACAAAGCTGTGGACGATTTACAATTCAGTTACTCCCTTGTAGACACAGATTATCAGGACCAGAAGCAATATCTTGACCTGCCCCCACACAGAAAGCTTTTCTTGGTGTCGCCGCCCGTGTCGCCGCCTCCCGAGTTCGATTACTCGCGATTAGAGGAAAGTCCAGGCCGTGCTTTCGAACACGCAACCCACCATCAGATTCCTTCCGCGGTGAATGCGCCACCAGAACATCGGGTGCTTCTTGACCATCCCATCGGGACGATAACGCTCGACTACTGCGGCGGATCGGCCGCACCTAATGGGGGAGCGGAGCTGTCTGTGGAACATCTCCGCACTGGGATGCCACCACGGTCCATTTTCGATGAAGACGAATGAGCCAGCGGTTTTCAGTACACCCTACTTGCTGGTAATTTCAAAGAATTCTAGTGTATAAACCTTCTATTTGTTCACATCTTCTACAACGAACCAATCAGGCGCACGGATTTCCTTGAGAGTTCGCTTCGTGTGGGCTCTTTCCAAGGCCCGAAAAAAATCTCACCATGAATAGGGAAAAAAATTTTCTATCATTATCAAAGTATCTATTCCCAGGCGAACTCATCATTGATCGATCATTATGTTGTCCAGAACCGTCTTTAGAACTGTTGCTCTAAACAGAACTTTGCTTTCTGCGCCTGCTAAGACGCTTGCATTTTCTGCCCCAAGACTCTCTCGCTTCCAGTCTGTGAGAAAGTACTCGGACCATCACGAGGAAGAAACTTTCGAGGAGTTCACCGCTAGATACGAGAAGGAATTCGACGAAGCCTACGATCTATTTGAAGTGCAAAGAGTGTTGAATAATTGTTTTTCCTACGACTTGGTCCCAGCTCCAGCTGTGATCGAAAAGGCGTTGAGAGCTGCTAGAAGGGTAAATGACTTGCCAACGGCCATCAGAGTATTCGAGGCTTTGAAGTACAAGGTCGAGAATGAGGATCAGTACAAGGCCTACTTGGACGAGTTGAAGGAGGTCAGAACCGAGCTAGGCATTCCTTTGAAGGAGGAATTGTTCACTGAGTCCGCCTAAGTGCATGATTTCGCGACGGTATCCACAGATTGCGGAAGACAAACGAACGACACAACAGGAATCAAAAAATAAAGTTAACAAAAAAAAAATAAAATAGCCCATGTTACGCAGAAGCGGGCCGGAAACCATGTCGACGTCTCAATGGTAGGTCAAGGGACGCGCAAACGCCCTGGATTGGACAAGCAGCGCGTGGCGAACCTGGTGTTGTCACTCTCAGCCTGTTCTGCATCCCTATTCAAAGAAATATTCTTACGTATGCTTTTTATAACATCCTAATATCACATTATTTATATAAGCTAGAGCCTCAGTCCTCGTCGCTGTCGACGATTGCCCCTCTGCCCCGCTTGGATCCACCTATCGCGTCGTCCTCGTCCTCATCCTCGTCGTCTCCACCGTCTGCCGAAAGCTCCTCCTCGTCGGAATCCGGTACACCCGCTCTTCTGGCAGGCGCCGCATCTGAATCGCTCTCGTAGTCGCTCTCCGAGTCGCTGTCGTCTTCGGATTCGCTGACTTTCCCGGTGTTGACCTCCTCAACAGCGTCGAACCAGTCGCTATATACATCCACCGGCTGTGAAAGCGCATTAATTCTTGTCTGGAAACTCTGTCCGCACACTTTGCAGGACAGGGACCCTATGCTGTTTTTCTTATCGAGTGTGGCAGTAATAGAGTTTTCGTGGTTACAAAATAAGCAATTGAAGGTGGTGTTCAATTTTTGCACCACCTTCTTGACTGGTCCTCTGGAAGACTTCTTTCTCTTACCCATTCTGGCAGTTTTTGGCTCCAGAATATGCCAGTTTGGTACAATTTCCACTTGAACACTGTTCCAATTTGTTATAACTTGAATAAAATATGAGCTTCAACATGCATCGCGTTGTACGACGAAAAAGAAATCGCCCCAAATTTTTGAAAATTTTTCATTCCCGGTTTCGATATAGGCGCATCTCATCCCATCTCATCTCATCTCATCTTCAACTGGGGTAAGGATAGTCATGGCGAAAGGTACTCCTGCGAAGAAGAAGGGCGGATCTAGAAAAAACACACCTGTTTCGACTCCCTCAAAGAAAAAAGTGGCTAAAAAACAGCAAGATGAGGGCTTGATACCTAAAAGTAGAATTGTGCGCGCGGTGGAGGAGCTTCGCAAGTACACGACGCAAGCTGAGGGTGAACAGGCATCCAATAACCTGTTAGAGGACGACGAAGAGCTCTCTAAGCAGGTACAACTTATTGTAGTCAACACTACGTCGTTCACGGGCAGCAGTAAGTCGTTCAAACCCAAGGTGCTGAAGGTGGAAAACTCGATTTTCAAGCCCTGGAAAGAGGCCAGCGTGACTTCCGTCAAGGATTTCAAACTGCTGGTGATCCTAAGGGACCAGGACGTGGGCAAGGCTAGCGAAGATGCGCTGTATGACCAATTGAACGAGAGCGGGATCACCGTGGACGCAGTGATCGGCGCCGGCGAGCTCAAGACCAAGTACAAGGCATTCGAGAAAAGAAGAGCGTTTTTGCAAGAGTTCTCCCTAGTGCTAGCGGATGACGCGGTGGTGAGTGCATTACCCAAGTTACTGGGAGGTAAGGCCTACGATAAGGTGAGCACAACGCCGGTACCCGTGCGCACGGGCAAGAAGGGCGAGTTTTCGCTCACCACGTTGGCCAACAGCATCAAGAAAGTATACCTGCATTCGGTGCCCGTCAAGGCACCACGTGGTACCACGTTGAGCGCGCATCTGGGCAGCTTGGAGTGGTTTTCCGCGGACGAAATGGCCCACAACATCGAGCAGATCGCAACTCAACTTATCAAGGAATTCAAGATCAGATCTGTCTTTCTAAAGACCAACCAATCACCCGTGCTACCTCTCTATTACAACCAGGACGTGTTGAGCGAGCTAGCCAGCGCGAGCGCAAGCGCGGCAGCTGCTTCTGCCGACGGCAAGCCTTCGCACACTGTGCAGATCGGCGATGTCGAGGTCGAGTTGTCCAACTTCGACCGTGCGCTGATGGAGATCGCGAACCCTGACGAGCTCGACAAGGTGTTCGCGAACCGCGTGTCCAGGGCCAAGAGAACAGCCGAGCTGGACCAAGAACCCGCATCTACCAAGAGGGCCAAGAACTGATCTTCGCCTACATGTATAACTTTTTGCAATGTACAATTAGATAAAGAAAAGAACTGAAAGAAAGAAAGATAGATAGAAGAGGAGAGAACGGTGACTCTTATCGGCGAGCGGCACCAGCAGTATCAGCAAAGCTCTTCCGTTGCAGATACGACCGCTTACCGCAGTGTTCCACAGAGAATGTTATCGTGGTCACGTGTCGCTTGTTTTCCACATTCCGGGTAACAGCCTTCGTTTTTGTGAAATTTTTCTTTTTATTTTTTAATTTTTTCTTGACGCAATTCCGACGCAAAAGACGAAAAATTAAGGAAGAAGAACACCGAGATCCTCCGGTCGTTTCCACGCCAAATCCTGAGATTGTTTGGTAGTGATCACAGACGAAAAATCAACACTAAATCATAGCTCATCCGCGGCCTACCACAAAAATATCTACACAATTTTGCAAGAAATTATTGGATATCCGGGAAATTCCAGGTAGATATTGTGATAAGAACGTTTTATCCGTTTAATTAATCGGTTCATTCCGCGTGCTGGTTGTTGAAAGCAGTTTCTTTGGTAAAAATCCATCGAAAAGGTCCGGCTGTAAGAGTTTGGTACATCTAGCAATTGAGAGGATCAGCGGTAAAGCTGAGGGAGTCAATAGGGCTATGAATCTGGACGAGATCATCGAGTCTTTTAAAGTACGAGTCAACAAGCTGACACAGGATTGGGATGCGGTAACGTCGACGTCATTGCACACGCTGGACGACGAGCTCAAGCTGCTCAAGGCTAAGCTCGATCTGGTTCAGGAGCAGAACTCAGCGATTATTGTGGACCTGGACCACATCAAGAAGGTTTTGAATCTGGACGATGACGCCTCCAACAACGTGTTCACGTTGCTCAACACGCCCGGCGATGGGCTGGGCGATGCGGCCAACATAGCAGCCAATGCTGTGGCAGCTGCGACGCTCGATTCACAGCAGCATTCCCCCAACACTCCACAGAGCGAGACCTCATCACACCACCCGCATCATCTTCCCACGCACGCGCTGGACGTGTCTTCCATCAGCTCCCTAGCGACTTCGCTGGACGCAGATTTGCACCCATTGAAGAAAAGACGCATGTCGCTGACGTTGAAAGGCGAGAAGGAGACCCGCGGTGAGCACACACTACCGATAGGCAACGGGCCTGGTATACGCCGCGGCAGTTGTGCCAGTGGCACCAGCGCTAGTGTAGCGAATACCGATGTAGCGGCCAATCGTGTGGAAGATGAAGATGGCACCGCAGTTGGTAGTCACGGTGGTAGCCATCATGAAAACCACCAATCTAGCCGTGATCTGGTCAATGATGAGAACCGCGATGACGTGGATTTGAATGACGACGACGCAGACCAGCGTACCATCGCTAACCATGCCCTTAAAGCGAATAAGCCTCGCGCGGCAGGCTTTTTGCATATGCGTACCAATGGTGAATCTTCTGCATCTACGCATCACCATTTGGCGCGGAGACAACTGCCTGCGGTGCATCTACAAGAAATCGAGGACTATGAATTGCAAATGGTAGACAACCCGAAATCGGTAGCTGAACTTTACGCCGAATTCGACAACAGTCTTAAAATGCAAATCATGGACTTCGAGAAAAGGTTTGGCAAGGGTCAGCTATCAAGAATTCCAAAGATACGAACGTATCAGAGAAGAAGAGCATTGGTCAGTGAGATTGACAAATACGCAAGATTCACCAATAAGTCCACAGAGGATGCCATTCAGTTTTTTGAAAGCATCCGTAATGAGAAAAATAAAAGTGTGGCCTGGTTGTATAATAATTTGGGTAGAGTTTTAGCCGAATACCTTTGACACGGCTTGCGACGTGGCTGAAGGCATCCGCTATAGAAAGTTGTAATTTAGCTAGTGTAGTTGTGCATATTATTAGAATGGGATTTGACTTAAAATACTTTGCTAGTGCTAGATTGACATCTTGCCCCGAAGGATGCGCCGGCAATACTCATACTCCTAACAAAAACTTTCTGCAAGGGTAGGAAAAAAACATCAACCTAATATATGTAGGAGTGTTGTTATATAGAAAGGATATGCAAGAACCTTGTATTTTTGTGAATCCGGTTGTTTTATGGTTTCGCTTGCTTTAAACTCTGTTATCTTCTGATGTTCTGAGTTTAGCAGCGTACATTATTTTATTCCAATCGCATGCGAAAACTGCGTAACTTTGGAAAATGCTCATAAATATTAATCCGCTTGTAATACCATACCACAGGCCGGCTATGCCTAAGTCGCACGAAAATGTAAGGAAATATGACATGGGTATACCTATGCAATAGAACGCAAAAACGTTGATGTATCCTCCAACCTTTTGCTGACCTTGGCCACGGAGACAACCTGCGGTGCATGCGTTGAAGGCGTCAAAAATTTGCATCAATGCCAAAATGGGTAAAGCGCCAGCTACCAAAGATACTACATCTGCTTCTTTGGAGAAAGCACTGGCCAACTGATATCTGAAGGAGTAAATTACGGACATGTTCAAACAACTGACCAAAAATGAGAGAGATAACGCGATTTTGCACGTTATAACGCAGCTTTGGTACAAAGACGCTCCAATAAAATTAGCCACACGAGTACTTGTAGCGATGGAAATGGAAAATGGTATCTGATAAGCAAGGGATGCAATAGTAGAGATGATAGATTGGGCACCTAATTCAGCTGTACCTAGATGGGAGGCGAAAATGGTCAAGACTTCAAATCCAACAAACTCAGCTTCCACCATGATTATCCCTGGTAATGCTAGACTAAACATTTTCTTCCAGTTTTTAAACACTTGCTCAGGTGAGATGATCCCATTCCAGCACTTACGTGGGTTGGCTTCGTGTTTGGTGAATATGGTGTACATCAGGAGACCAAGAGCCATCAACCAATAATTGAGAGCAACACTTATTGGTGCACCCAAGTACCCAATACCGATTCTTTTGTCCCAAACTAGCAAATAATTCATTAGAGCATTGAAGGGAGCACAGAACAAAAGCACAATCGTCGATGCATGGAAAATACCTTGGCATTGTAAAAATCTCTTACCACACTCGAACAAAATGAAACCAGGCACCCCCAGGGCCACAATTCTTAAGTAGTTAGCAGCTAGGCGGCAAAGTTCTCTCTCAGGAATGACTGCGCTTAGAATGGCTTCAGACCAGAACCACCACGCGATCAGTATTGGTAGGAAAAAAATAATGGTGATAACGGCACAACGTTGCAATAGAATACCCACGAGGCGGTAGTTCTTCGCACCGTACGCTTGAGAGCATAGGGTATCTAAGCAAGTGCACAGACCTTGGATGGCTGCAAACCCCGTAATATTGGCGGTCATGGAGCCTAGCGTAATTCCTCCAAGTTCTTTGGTACCTAGGTGCGAAATCGAGAACACAGAAGCGAGCGACAAAGAGTTCTGCAAAATAAATGTAAATACGAGCGGAATCGCATTCTTGACTATCACTTGCACCTCTCGCTTGTATGTGGTCATGATGGGTTTACCGGAGTGGATGGCCTGCTCCCATGTTTGCATGATTTCATCTTCCTCTCGTTGGTCTGGGAGTGGCTGGGGCACGTCGTCCTCGTTGAGGAGTTTGTTGTCGATGAGCAGATCGCGCTCTTCCTCTATGAGATCTTTTGGTAGCGAGTTCCTTCTTGCACGTTCTCCGGTGCCTGGCGCCTCCACTGCGCCGTACATCTGACTCTCCGCCTGGAGCGTACGGGAGTTGTTGGTATGAAGCAACGACTCATATCCTCCGTCTTCCTCCCCTGGGCCTTCCAGATCCTCGTTCAGTGGAGCTGACATCGGAATGTAATCCGTTGGCGTGAACAGCCCGCCTTTACCGCTGCTGTTCGAGTAAATGATAGACGAACGTCTCTCTGACGTGGTATGTTTGAACTGCTTTGACATTAACACGATTTCTAACTGCAAACACTACCTAGAATACTTCTCTACTTTGTCAGGATTGTGAATCTGCCTTGCAATTTCTCAAAAGTAGTCACCTCATCTTTAAGTCCCTTCAGGATGCCCCATCATCATGCTGCTTTTACTTAAATTTTTTTTCATATTAGGTAATCCCTTTCCTTTTTCTAATTTATTTGTCCGAAATTTCACGGCTCGTGGCCGGACAGTTATGAGCGCATTTGATACGAATCTTCGAGAATTCTTTTCTTTCGACGCGTATCGGATTGTCAATTAGTTTTGGCGTATCGATCGCTGCAAACAACAGTCGACAATAAAGGCAAGAGCAGTGACTTAATTGGCTCTAAAGCAGGAAATTGTTTCGAGGAAACTAAAGGCTAACTTTCAGCTAATTTTTCCCAGTAAGAGAGTGTAATTAGCAGGACGTCTAGCACGGCGCAAAGCATGTTTTCCCAGTTCAGTAAGAAAACATCTCGAGAAAGAGTGCGTAACAAGGATGCAAAGGGCAGTAGAATTGCAGGTGCCAGAGAAAATATAGAGTCAGGATCTAGAACAGTGCTGCGCCAGAAAACTCTGTCTGCGTTTTTTGCCAAAAAGCCCCCCAAAGAGAGCGATTCGACGCCATTAGCCGCCGATCGTAGAAGCGCTCTAGTGCCACGCGGAAGGCCACTCTTTCACTCTCAGGGTTCTTTCGAGGAAGAAGAGGCGGATGCTGATATCCAACGGCTGATCAACGAAAAACCGCTCAATAACTTCAAGAGCCTTTCGCGCACGTCGTCTGGTCTCGGAGCGGGACCCACGGAGGCCACAAGCGCAACGGAAACGTGGGAATCCGTATCTTCGAAGTTCACAACTTCCACTCAGGACAGCTTAGGATCTTCGACCCTGATTTTTGAGGAGGACGCGGAGTTCGTTTCGTCCACGCAGAGAACCGCGCCCAAACGGCCTGCGGCGACCCAGTTCGGTTTTTCGCTCGGCAAGCGAGTCAAGCCTATTCGGCCTGTCTCTACAAATTCATTCAATTCTTCTTCCTCTAGTCAGGGGAAATTCGAGCTCACTGCCGAGCAACGAGCCGTAATCAATCTCATCGTGTGGAAACGCAAAAACGTGTTCTACACGGGTTCGGCCGGTACCGGTAAGTCTGTGGTTTTACGCGAGGTTGTCAAGCAGCTTCGGGCGCGTTATGGTGAGTCTGCAGTTGCCATTACAGCCTCAACAGGTTTAGCTGCGGTTAACATCGGCGGTGTCACGATCAACAGGTTTTCAGGAATAGGCATCGGTAAGGGAACAGTTCAAAAACTGGCAGCGCAATTGAAACGGAATAAGACAAACAGTGAAAGATGGAAGCGTACTGCCGTTTTGATCATCGATGAAGTATCGATGATTGATGGTAATTTTCTGGATAAAATGGACTTAGTTGCCAGAGACATACGAAAAGTTCCGGATAAGCCTTTCGGCGGTGTACAAGTGGTACTTACCGGGGATTTCTTTCAACTTCCACCTGTAGCTGACAGGGATCCATCTGTACCAAAACCTCCATTTTGTTTTGAAAGCAGAGTTTGGAGAGAGGCCATCGACAACACAATCTGTCTAACTCAAGTTTTCCGGCAAAAGGATGAAGAACTCATCAATTTACTCAACAGCATTAGATTCGGAGATGTCACTCCTGAACTAGCGAAGATGATCAAGTCATTTGAAAGGGATGTGGAGTACACTGATGGTATATTGCCCACCGAGTTGTATCCTACCAGACGAGAAGTCGATCTTTCGAATAAAAGAATGCTGGATCGGTTACCTGGGGAAATTAAGGTATTCGAGGCTCAAGACCAGGCTACAAGTGATAATCCGCAGCTATTGAAAGTTTTGGAGTCATTGATGGCCGAAAAGAAATTGGCATTGAAGGAAGAAGCGCAAGTTATGATGATCAAGAACTTTGATGAAACACTGGTGAATGGTTCAGTTGGTAAAGTTCTATATTTCACTACAGAGGCTCTTCAGCAAAAAATGTTGGAACTGTATCCTTCGACAAAACTTGGCGACCCAGATCTTGTGCTAGATATGAGGTTGATATATCGGTGTATTGGTTTACACCATAGCACATATAGTAGAGAAACCCAATTGGATATCAATTCCAGACCAGTACATCGCCAGGATAACTTGATGGTATTACTAAGTATAGCGGAAAAAGAGGATAAACAATTGGCATTCCCTATGGTACGATTCACCACACCCTCTAATGGTTATAGGTACGAGCACGTTATTCCTGTTGATTTTACAATAGACATCCCAGCACAAAAGTCTAGTGTCAGCAGAGTGCAATTACCATTGATATTATGTTGGGCTTTATCCATCCATAAGGCGCAAGGGCAAACTATTGACAGATTAAAGGTGGATTTAAGGAAGGTGTTTGAAGAGGGTCAAGTTTACGTGGCTCTTTCAAGAGCGGTGTCAAAGGATAGATTGCAAATTGTTAATTTCCAACCTCGCGTGATAAAGGCGAACCAAAAAGTGAAGGAGTTTTATAAAACATTAGAAAGGATTGGATCCTGAATATTTTGCTGTTTCCTCCCCATCTTGTTTAGTTCCTTTTGTTAAGCGCCAGGTTATTTTTCATGAGGCTACGGCACATAATCTAATTGGCAACTACATCCGCTTCGGAGCGAAGCAAGAAAATCTATTTTTAGCAAAGTATCAATCTTGGAAGGCATATAGTGACTGCATACCTTGTGTTGTGCCCTACAATATCCGCATACTTACGTTCCTAGGCAAACTAGAACTACAAGACTACAGAATATCGGAATGGCATAATCCATGCTAAAGGAATTTTTCAATTTTGAGGGAGAACACGGGCCAAAGAACGCCGCAAATCCTTACATAATGCTTCATTTCTTGATGTACTCGTATATAGAGTCTATTGCATTCACTGACACTCTCTGGTCGAGTTGCATTGTCTCCTATTCCAGGCACGTTCATATCGATATTTCATTGCGCCAGATCATTCTGTCTGTCATGATTAAAAATTTTTCAGGTAGCCGTTCATGGGGGAACTAAAAAGCATTTATAAAACGAAACTCAAAAGCGCTTTCCCAAAACGTACGGGACTTTCGCACCTCTTAGAACGAGGACTGTCTATACTAATTAGAAACCGGAATGAATGACGATTTGGAGCGGCATAGTTTTAGGGTATTCAACCAGGACTTCACAGTAGACAAGCGATTTCAGCTGATCAAGGAGATCGGGCATGGTGCTTACGGTATAGTTTGTTCCGCTAGATTCACTGAAGCAGCGGATGAAACGACTGTGGCTATTAAAAAGGTAACAAATGTCTTCTCTAAAACTCTGCTTTGTAAGAGATCTTTACGTGAGCTAAAACTTCTAAGGCATTTTAGAGGACATAAGAACATAACATGTCTGTATGACATGGACATTGTATTTGCACCTGACGGAACCTTCAACGGATTGTATCTGTACGAAGAATTGATGGAATGCGATATGCATCAGATCATAAAATCCGGGCAACCGTTGACGGACGCCCATTACCAAAGTTTTATCTATCAGATACTCTGCGCACTAAAATACATTCACTCAGCAGACGTTTTGCATCGTGACTTGAAACCTGGAAACCTGTTGGTTAATGCTGATTGTCAATTGAAGGTCTGTGATTTTGGATTGGCAAGAGGTTACTCAGAAAATCCGGTCGAAAATAATCAATTTTTAACTGAGTATGTGGCCACTAGATGGTATAGGGCACCAGAGATTATGCTTAGCTACCAGGGATATACGAAAGCCATTGATATTTGGTCATGTGGCTGTATTCTAGCTGAACTCTTGGGAGGCAAACCCATATTCAAAGGTAAAGATTATGTTGACCAATTGAATCGTATACTACAAGTCTTGGGAACACCGCCCGAGGAAACCTTAAAGAGAATAGGCTCCCGCAATGTGCAAGACTATATCCATCAACTCGGTTTTATTCCCAAAGTGCCTTTCGTCAATCTCTATCCTCACGCAAATCCACAAGCATTGGATCTTCTCGAACGAATGCTAACGTTCGATCCGCAAAAACGTATAACTGTTGATGAGGCTCTAGAGCATCCCTACTTATCAATTTGGCACGATCCGAGCGATGAACCAGTTTGCAGCGAAAAGTTCGATTTTAGCTTTGAGTCGGTAAATGAAATGGGCGAGCTCAAGCAGATGGTTCTTGAGGAAGTTCAAGACTTTCGGCAGTTTGTAAGACAGCCTCTTATAGAAGACGAACAACCTCAGCCGCCGAATACGCTGCGAGATGAAGGAGATCTAATTGACGATGTACAGCAGCCCCGCAACGCGTACGATGATAACGAATTAAAACAGCAAATGTTGATCTCTCAATCTTCGGGTTTATCTGGAGATATGCCGGATCAGTTTATTGGTATTCACTCTGACAACTTACCTGAGCACGACACAGATTTTCCACCTAGACCACAGGAAAATTTACTGGCTTCTCCCGCAGAGATTGGGAATTCCACGGGGTCTCCCCCTTTGGATCCAGATAGCGGACTTGTAGAATTTCTTAATCTCGAAAAGGAGTTAGAATTTGGCTTGGACAGGAAGTATTTGTAGAAGGTCAGTATATGCATGTAAGAACTAAAGGAAACTCTACTCGAAGAGCGTTTGCTCAAGATTAACATTATATAGGAGCGTGAATCCTCGTATATGTGATAGTTTTTATTTCGAATGAGCACGACGAAAATGAGAACGCGAAATATCGCTAATTGATAGTATTTAAATTGACATACAAGCATGTTACAGAATTCTAATCAAGCTCTCGGCGAAATTGAAGAGGTCAACAGCTGACAATACATGATTTGAATTGTCAAGGGGATAATTGTATTTTAATATTTATGTTCTTTTACAAATTTTTGACTTCTCGTTCTCAATTGAATAGTTTTGATTACAAAGCCGCAAGATAAGGGAAAAATACCAAATTTGGATTTACGAATGCATAGATACCTATCATCACTGCTCAGCATTTCCAAGAGCCCCACTGTCTTTCGATTATAAAACTGCTGCCGGAACATAACCATATGGAAGTGATTTCGCAAGTTTTGGCCTTACCGAGCTTAATTAATACTTCTAGATCATGCAATCATCGGAATTTTCTTCAATATGCAGCCGATCACGAAATGTTTTGCTCATATGGTCGGTGATATGAGATTTTAATGAGTCAGAGGCAAAGTTAATACTTTCGGTTGTATTTAAGATTTGGATTGATAACAAATTTTTCCTTCTGATAAGTCATCCGATCACCAAAATCTCGCTATACTACTGTCGATTATAAGGGAAGGTGGGAAAAATCAGTGAGTGAAAAATTATCAACCTAATATCAAACAATTACACATCATGAATATCGCTGTTCCATTCAAGCAAGTAGATGTTTTCACTACCAGCTTCTTCAAAGGAAATCCAGTCGCCGTGATCAATTTCATGGACTCAGAAGAAGAGGTTCCAAGCACGCTTCTTCAAAGCATTGCGAACTGGACCAATCTTTCAGAAACAACTTTTCTCTTCAAGCCTTCAGATCCTAAAAATGATTACAGGCTAAGAATTTTTACACCTAATGAGGAATTGCCTTTTGCGGGTCACCCAACGATTGGTTCATGCCGTGCTTTTTTAGAGTTCACGGGCCGTAAGGATGCATCACAGATTAACCAAGAGTGCAAATTGGGGGTTGTGAGAATATCAGTGACAAACGAGAAAATCGCCTTCGAGGCTGTAAAAGCTGATATCGATGCCATCCCGGAAGCCCTTGTCCATGGACTTGAAAAGTGTATTTCAACTACCTTCAAAACGACCCCGAAAGTCCTGCACGTAGGACCAGAATGGGTGGTCGGATTGGTGGAAGACTCCCAGACTTGCTTTAACTTGAACCCAGACTTTTCGCTACTAGGTGATATGAGTGGAAAGTTCGGCATCACGGGTTTGGTTATCGCAGGTAAGAAACCAGATTCTAGCGGTTACGAAATGAGAGCATTCGCTCCTTCCCAAGGTGTGAACGAAGACCCTGTTTGCGGTAGTGGCTGCTTGGCATTCGTTAGATATTTGCAAGATCTCTACCAGACCAGTTCGACCACAACTTTTGATATCACGCAAGGTGGGAGGTTGCAGCGTGAAGGAAAACTTTCAGCTACCATAGAACACGGTAAAGATAAAATTTCCTATCATGTCGGTGGACAAGCCCTAACCATTATCAACGGTATGATCAATATATAGAGGTCTTCATATGTGAATCAAATCTTGTAATTTACGTTGAGGATATCGAAAACCGAAGTAGTTCTTCTAGCATATATCACCGTATACGTATATGATCATGCCGCCTGAGCTCAAGGCAATTATTAAGTGGTTGCTATATTGGCACTCGCTATTATTCGTTTGATCAATCACTAAGCAGATTATATTCATCATTCACCACATATTAGGATACACTTTATCGATATGAGGCTACATAGTGATGGCTATGAAGAGATTGATGAGGGAGGAAACAAGCGCAAGTCTCTTCTCGTCACTCTAACAAAAGTAGGAGTATTACTGGTTCTATTAATATGGGGAACTGTGATCGTTTTGAAGACCGTCAATGGAATTGTTCACCAGCCCTTGAACCGACCAAAAAATCGTGGAAACAGTAGAACAACCAAGGATGGTCATTTGAAGGTTTCCTTTGCCAATGTTAGAAATAATACATTCACTCCTAAAATCCAGCCTTTACAATGGATTAGTGGACCCAATTCCACTACTGATGATAACGGGCTTTTTGTCACGCATATAAACGATAGCTACGTTGTGAAATCCGTTTTTGACCCACATTATTCAAAGACCCTATTTAAGGGGCACTCCTTCTTGTATGGGCAACAGAACCTAACTGTGGACACAATGATCGCATCTCCCGATTTGCAGAAGGTTATAATTAGAACCAATACGACGAAGAACTGGAGGCACTCTACTTTTGGGTCCTATTTTGTATTCAGTACCGAAAAATCGGAGTATCAAATGATAGGAGAGAACATCTCTGTCGTCGAATGGTCTCCAAACTCTATTGACATTGCTTATGTGTTGGACAACGATCTTTACTTGTATTCCGTAGAGAAACAAAAAACTACGAAACGTATCACAGATGATGGAAGTGCACAAGTTTTTAATGGTAAACCAGACTGGGTTTACGAGGAAGAGGTACTGGAAGGTGACTCCGCCATGTGGTGGTCACCAGAAGGTGATTATCTTTCATTCTTCAAAACAAACGAAACAGAAGTTTATGAATTCCCGATTCCCTACTTTGTTCAACACTCTGATGATGTATATCCCGAAGTGCGCATGATTAAATATCCAAAAAGTGGAAGTCCAAACCCAGTAGTCCATCTCAATATTTATGATCTTGAAAAGGAGAGAACTATGAATGTGAATATTGACGACGATAGCGTTCTAATTACGGATGTGTTATGGGTAGGAGCAGAACGCCTTCTAGCTAGAGTGACAGATCGCACCTCTGACATTTTATCGATGGTTCTAGTTGACGCAAAGAAGGATGCATTTTACGAAGTGCCCAGAGTGGAATTTTCCGACGACGGCTGGTGGGAGATCACTCACGACACGCTTTACGTTCCAAAAGACAAGTCAAGAGACAGACATGACGACGGCTACTTGGATGTCGTTCCAATCAATGGCTATAACCATTTGGTATATTTTTCATCATGCGATTTAAGTAATCCTGTGATTTTAACTGATGGGGATTGGGAAGTTGTTGATGGGCCTGCGGCGTTTGATTATGAGTCTAATGATGTCTACTTTTTAGCTACGAAGAAATCATCTATGGAAAGACATCTGTACTCTGTTAACATTCACAAGCCACTTGTTATCAAAGAGATTACCGATACCTCAAAAGACGGATATTTCGATGTGACATTCTCTTCTGGCAGCAGATTTACATTACTTACTTACAGAGGTCCTGACGTTCCCTTTCAAAAAATCATCGATCTTAGGTCCTCGAAGACAGACGAAACGATTCATGGAAATGTCGTAGGAAAGACACTTTATTATTTGGAGACGAATGAAGAGCTCAAAGGGCACTTGGAAAGTTACGCCATTCCACGTATCACTTATCAAGAATTAAACCTTGGCACAGATGAGAAAGGTAACCAAATATTGGTAAATTCTTACGAAATTTTACCCAATGACTTCAACCCTCGTCTTGAAAAGCATTACCCCGTATTTTTCTTTGGTTATGGTGGCCCAGGCTCGCAGCAGGTTGCAAAGACTTTCTCAGTGGGCTTTAATCAAGTCGTGGCTTCCCAGTTAAATGCAATTGTTGTAGTCGTAGACGGGCGGGGTACAGGATTCAAAGGGAGAGAATTCAGATCTCTAGTTCGTGACAATCTTGGAGATTATGAGGCTCAGGATCAAATATCTGCAGCAGCTCTATATGCCAAGAAATCATTCGTGGATGAAGAGAAAATTTCCTTGTTTGGATGGTCTTATGGAGGGTATCTAACTCTAAAAACTTTAGAGAAAGATGCTGGCAAACATTTCAAGTATGGCATGTCTGTTGCGCCAGTCACAGATTGGCGACTCTATGACTCAGTTTACACCGAAAGATATATGCATACGCCACAGCAGAATCCAGAAGGTTATGCTAGCGCGAAAGTCCATAACGCTACTGCCTTGGGTGAGGCGAAGAGATTTCTACTAGTTCATGGAACAGGCGATGACAACGTGCACTTTCAAAACTCTTTGAAGTTTCTTGATATGCTCGACATCGAGGGTATCGAAAATTATGATGTCCATGTATTCCCAGATTCAGACCATAGCATCAGATATCATAATGCTAATACCATCGTATTCGACAAGCTTCTAAACTGGGCAAAACAGGCATTCGAAGGACATTTTATAAGTGATATGTACTAAAATCATTTAAACCACTGTTAAACAGCGGCAATAAAGTCAGAAGCTCAAGTTTTTGTTGAGGACTCATCGTTTGTTTTGGCGAGAGATGTGTATATATGAGCTATATGAGATTAACTGATCAGAAAAATCAATAATCAAAAAACCGGGTAACTAAGTTGTAAATAATTCAACCTTCTCATGCACGAGAAAAGGGAACTTCGGTGGCGAATCTATAAACTTATTATTACGCCACTCAAGTATCCCTGCACATAACGTATCGTTTTCAAGAACGGGATGGTGGAAGAGAATTCTAACGGGCAGGAGAAAATAGAGCCATCCAACAATGGGACTCAACAACCCTCCAAGGATGAGAAACCAGCGAACACTCAGGCGAAACATGAAGAAGAAGAACTGTCTGAGGAAGACTTGAAGTTAAAAACCGATCTCGAAATCCTAGTTCAAAGACTGACAGAAGATGATCAAAAGCTTTATGAGCCTTCTTTGGAGCAATTGAAAGAGTACATCAAAAACTCCACGAGCTCCATGACCGCTGTTCCAAAGCCCTTGAAGTTTTTACGTCCATCTTATCCACAACTATGCTCCATCTATGACAAATGGACAGATAAAAAGCTCAAATCTTTGCTGGCTGATACATTGTCAGTTTTAGGTATGACTTATGCTGATGAAGGTAAGCATGACTCTTTAAGATTTAGATTATTATCTGACGAAAAGAACATCGAAAGTTGGGGACACGAGTATATCCGTCACCTAGCGCTAGAAATAGGTGATGTTTTCAATGAAATGGAGGAGAAAGAGGCCAGTGACTCGTCAGAAGCTTCTCCACAACCATCGCCACAAGAAGCCAATTCTTCGTTCGAGTTTTCGAAGGAAGACTTAATCCAGTTGTCTTTGGAAATAGTGCCATACTTTTTGAAACACAATGGAGAAGCAGATGCTGTAGATTTATTACTTGAGATAGAATCTATCGAGAAGCTACCTCAATTTGTTGATGAAAATACTTTCCAGAGAGTTTGCCAGTATATGGTCGCTTGCGTGCCTCTACTACCACCACCGGATGATGTTTTTTTCCTCCAAACTGCATATTCAATCTATTTGAGAGAATCACAATTAACAGAAGCACTTGCACTGGCAATTCGGTTGGGGGATGAAACTTTGATAAGATCAGTGTTCGATGCAACCTCTGATAAAGTCATGCATAAACAATTGGCGTACATTCTAGCTGTCCAAAAATCATCTTTTGAATATGAAGACGTGCAAGATATCATTGGAAATACCAAGCTTTCTGAACACTTCTTGTATTTGGCTAAAGAACTAAATTTAACGGTTCCTAAAGTTCCTGAAGATATTTACAAAAGTCATCTCGATAACTCCTCTAAAAGTGTCTTTGCTGGAACTGGATTAGATTCCGCTCAACAAAACCTTGCAGCGTCTTTCGTCAACGGATTCTTGAACATGGGCTACTGCAGCGATAAATTAATTGTCGGTGACGACAACTGGGTTTACAAAACTAAAGGCGATGGTATGACTTCCACAGTAGCAAGTATCGGCTCAATTTTTCAATGGAATTTGGATGGTTTACAACAATTAGACAAATATCTATATGTCGAAGAGCCGGAGATTAAAGCTGGTGCCCTATTAGGTATCGGTATATCTGCATGCGGAGTTCACGATGGAGATGTTGAGCCAGCTCTACTCTTACTCCAGGATTATGTCACCAACTCCAATACTAAATTGAGCAATAGTGCTATCTTGGGTCTCGGAATAGCGTTCGCTGGAAGTCGAAATGATGAGCTTCTTGGTCTTCTACTTCCAATTGCAGCAGACACAAGCTTGCCTATCGAGAGTTCTGCGATGGCATCCCTGGCTCTTGCACATGCTTTTGTTGGAACCTGTAACGGCGATATTACTACCGCTATTGTCGATAATTTATTGGAACGTAGTGCCACGGAGTTGAAGACTGAGTGGACAAGATTTTTAACTTTGGCGCTAGGTATCTTATACATGGGCCAAGGTGATCAGGTAGAAGATGTATTGGAGACAATTTCAGCAATTGAACATCCCATTACTTCTGCTATAGAAGTATTGATCAATGTTTGCGCATACACAGGAACTGGTGATGTTTTATTGATCCAGGACTTACTTCATAGACTAACTCCAAAGAATAAAGCTGGTGAAGAAAAAGAAGAGGACGATGAGGAGGAGTTGGCAGTGGATGGTGAGGCTATGGAAGCTCTGGGTTTGGATAACATTCAAACTGACGAGAATCAAGATACCTCGGGAGCTACACATAAAGACTCAGAGGACCAAATGGAAGTGGATGAAGAATTCAAAGATGCCAAAAGCACCGTTGAGGAGGTTGAAGCCGAGAAAGAAGAGCCAGAAAAAGAGGAAGATGAAAAGGAAGTCGCGTTGGTAGATGAACTTACCTATGCCGTCCTTGGTATTGCCATGATTGCCATGGGCGAGGATATTGGAAAGGAGATGTGCTTGCGTCATTTCAGTCACCTAATGCACTATGGTAACGAGCACATTCGTAAGACAGTACCATTAGCTATGGGTCTGTTGTCTGTATCAGATCCTCAAATGAAAATATTTGATACACTTTCAAGATTCTCCCATGATGCTGATTTAGACGTCTCTATGAATTCCATTTTTGCTATGGGTCTCTGTGGTTGTGGTACAAACAACGCCAGACTAGCGCAATTGTTGAGACAGCTAGCAGGCTACTATTCACGTGAACAAAATGCTCTCTTCATTACGAGACTATCACAAGGTCTAGTTCATCTCGGTAAAGGTACATTAACTTTGGACGTGTTCAATGATGCGCAGGTTCTAAACAAAGTCACCTTGGCTTCCCTATTAACGGTGCTGGTTGGTCTTGTAACTCCATCTTTCATGTTAAAACACCACTATTTGTTTTACTATTTGAATAGCGGTGTAAGGCCTAAATTTATTTTGACACTGAATGAAGAGGGCGAACCGATCAAGGTGAACGTTAGAGTCGGGCAGGCTGTGGATACCGTAGGACAGGCCGGTAAACCTAAGACCATCACGGGATGGATTACACATTCCACTCCAGTGTTATTAGGTCATGGAGAGAGAGCAGAACTAGAAACTGACGAATACATCAATTACGCTAGTAGGGTTGAAGGTGTTATAATTTTAAGAAAAAACCCAAACTACAGAGAAGAGGAATGAAAAATTCTTGTATAGGTTTTGTATAACTAGATTCTTAATTCCTTTGCAATCATTACTGTTTTTCATTGATAAACTTATTCATTTACCACAGTGTATGGCACAATAAAGATCTATACATGCTATGTGTAAGGCCTAATCAGCAAGCGTGATTATTTGAACTCAGTGGCTTTACCAGCCATCAAAAGACCAACAATCAGACCCAAAAGACCCAGAACAGAACCAAAGATTTCAATAACCAGGATCTTGACAAATAATGCAGAGTCTGCTGCGTCAGAAACAGCGGCTGTAGCACCAGTAATACCAACTGCAACACCACAAATCAAGTTTGAAACACCCACGGTGATACCAGCCCAGAAAAGCGAATAACCAGTGTAAAGATTAGACTTGGAAAACATCGTTTCTGCAGGAGCAACAGTAAGCTTGGATGAGAACACAATGGCCATAATAAGGCCGTAGATTGCCACAACTTCACAGAAAATGATCGAAATAAGGTTCTTAGTGGTAATTCTTGGAGCACGCACACCAGCACCGATAATAGAAGCACCTGTAATAAAGATACCCCAGGCCGCACCTACAACACTCAGACCAATACAAAAAGCGATACCCAAATTGGCCCACATATAGGGTGATGTGGCTGTTAGGAATTTACCAAAATTGATATCTTCACCATGACCGGTGAACAACTTGTACCCAGCATAACAGACAACAACCGTTGCAATGAGATAGTTGAGAGTTTGAGAAAAGGAGGGAACCGAAATTCCCATTGAAGACTCAGTCTTAGAAGACATTTGATCGTACCTATTCTATGGCTGGCTTTTACTGTTAGTTTTCTTATTAGGGACTTGTTTAACTCAGCTGGTTGCAAAAAAAAATCGTGTAGTGAACCACACGTGATGATTGGGAAACAGTTAATGAGCAATAATAATATCGATAGTAATAACGGTAATAAGACATCGATGTATGATAAGTTCAATGGTTAACCATTGGTGAAACGAGTTTCAAATAAACTTTTGGACATTTAATTATAAAGGATTACTTTGCATCGATCTATAAAATATTCTAAGTATGCGAAACTTGAGCACCTTCATAGGCTAGATCTAGCAACTTCCAACGACAAGTGACTTGTTTCTTGGAGAAACGGTTCATTATTTCCTGTGCTATGTCCTCGAAGTTGTCAATGGCTAGTGCTAGGATCGTTGGACCTGCACCCGATAGACAAATACCTAAAAGACCAGGGTAGGTGGATGGCGTGACACTTGAAAGAATTTCAGTTAGGCCAGGAATCAACGTCTTTCTGTAAGGCTGGTGTACACGATCTTGCATAGCTGGGTAGATCAAATCTGGGTTAGGGGGAGATTGAGTCAATGCCGTAGTTAAAACAGCTAACCTCTGTAAGTTAAACACCAGATCTTTAGACGTGTAAGCTTGAGGCAATACTCCTCTGGAGTCGGCGGTGGAGACTTCGAAATCTGGAATGATAGCAATGCACTTGATGTCTTTGTTCCAGTTGTATTTAACGTGACGTCCAATATCGGTTGGAGGTAGAGGTGGGACCAATCCGGTGTCCTCCCCACCACTTGGCTCGGGCAATACCTCACTTAGAGGAATTTCTCTTCTTTCAATTTCTGCGGGTGTTAGGTCTCTCAAGAAGGAACCGACGAAACCACCCATCATTGCTGCCGTAATGTTGTCAGGATGACGTTCAATCATCAGACAGTAATCCAACAGACGTTGCTTAGTGAAGCCTAGCTGACCCACCTCGTTACCCAAGATAACACCGGCTACTACAGCGGCACCAGAGGATCCTAGACCTCTTCCTAATGGGATAGGGTTTTTAACATGAACCTTCGTACCAGAGGGAAAGCTACGAATGTTGTTGCAGCGTAGCACGTAAAGAGCAGTTCTTGTAATCAAATTCTCATCAGATTTCAAGGGAACAGTGGCAAAACCTTCGCTATCCTCACTGTAAGTCAATTTGCAGTTATTACGGTCTTCATTCGTTTCAGACGCGACTTTCGAGTCGATTGTCACATCAAGCTCCAGGAAAAGGGCGAGACCGATACCTAATACATCGTATCCTGGTCCGATATTAGCAGATGATGCAGGCACGCTAATATGAAAGCTGCGAGGCATGCTTGATTCAGTCTTGTGTTGTGCTCGAGATGACTCAACGTTGTTGAAGAGGAAAAATTTGTTAGCGCCTTGTGAAGTTTTAAAAATTTTCAATATGGGCCTAGGTTATTGATTTAGCGCACACATAAGAGGAGATTATGCTGAGATCGCAAACTCAAAGGGCCTCATTGAGGCTTAAATCACATAGATTTTTAAACGATAGAACCAAGATAAACAGTCGACTTTTTGGCCGCTGCTATTCTAGTAATTCTGCTGAAAATTTTCAACTCACTACATTGACAAATGGGGTTAGGGTCGCAACCAGTAACGTTCCTGGTCATTTCTCGGCACTTGGTCTTTACATCGCAGCAGGGTCTCGTTATGAAACCAAAAACCTTAAGGGATGCACACACATTATGGATAGGTTGGCATTCAAATCAACAGAGCACATGTCAGGGCTACAAATGGCAGAAACATTGGAGCTACTTGGTGGAAATTATCAATGTTCATCCTCAAGAGAGACTATGATGTATCAAGCCTCGGTGTTCAATCAAGATGTAGAAAAGATGTTTTCACTCATGGCAGACACTGTACGGTTCCCCAGAATAACGGATGAGGAATTAGCTGAGCAAAAGGCAACTGCTGAATACGAAATTGACGAAGTTTGGACTAAGCATGATCTTATTCTTCCTGAATTGCTACACATTACTGCCTATTCTGGCGAAACGCTTGGTTCCCCGCTTTTATGTCCTAAAGAACTTATCCCGTCTATATCCAAATACTACTTGAAAGATTATAGACGGAAGTTCTATACTCCACAGAATATAGTTGTGGCATTTGTCGGTGTTAACCATGACGAAGCTGTGAACTTTACGGAAAAATACTTCAGTGACATGAAAAGTGCATCGCACAGCCCAAGTGTGAAGCCAGCTCACTACACGGGTGGTGAAACATGTATCCCGCCCGGGCCCGTTTTTGGGAATTTACCAGAGTTGTTCCATATTCAAATTGGGTTTGAAGGTCTGCCAATAGGCCATCCTGATATTTATGCTCTAGCTACTCTGCAGACGTTGCTAGGGGGCGGTGGATCTTTCAGTGCTGGCGGTCCTGGTAAGGGAATGTATTCACGCTTATACACGCATGTTCTCAACCAGCACTATTTTGTCGAGAATTGCATGTCTTTTAACCATTCGTACTCGGATTCAGGGATATTCGGTATTTCAGCTTCTTGCGTCCCACAAGCTGCTCCATATATGGCTGAAATCATCGCACAGCAGCTTGCTAATACATTTTCGAATGAGGAGTTTAAATTGACAGAGGAAGAAGTATCAAGAGCTAAAAACCAATTAAAGTCATCATTGCTTATGAACCTGGAGTCGAAGTTGGTGGAACTTGAAGATTTGGGCAGACAGGTTCAGCTACATAATCGTAAGGTTCCTGTTACTGAGATGATATCCAATATTGAAAAGCTGACTGTCGAAGATATAAGGCGTACTGCTGAAACGGTATTCACAGGAAAGGTAAAGAATATTGGTGAGGGTACAGGTAAAGCAACTGTAGTGATGCAGGGCCAGCGGGACACTTTTGGCGATGTAGAATCTGTGCTCAGATATTATGGTCTAGGTAATTATCCAAAATTGGAAGTACCTCTTGATGCTAAGAAGAAAAAAAGAAGTTGGTTCTAATGGGTATCACACACGGTATTACTTGTAAATATTATATAAAACTCATTAAACATTCACTCACACGAAAACTTCTTCTACTGACTGCGCGCTTAAACTCTTTCTTCTGGATGATAAGCCACTGTATTTTTCCTTCCACAACTCCAATTCTTTTTCCAGTTGGTCAACTCTGTCTTCGTAGTAGATCTTGTCTCTCTCCATTCGCTTTAAATCAACTTCCTGCTTGGAGATGTGCCTCTCAAGAGTGGACACTTGTTCATTGTAATGTGCCATATCACGCGTGAAATTTTCTCGATCCTGATTTGCTAATGAAATTATAGCAGCTTGTTTTTCGTTGGTTGATGTCAAATCTTCAACTGCACGTTCGAGGATTTTGTTTTTCTTCATCTCCTCAAATTTCATCTCTGATTCAACATTGACACGGGATTCGAGCTCTTGTACTTTTTCTAACCATGCATCTTTTTCGGTCGTATCCGAGAGCTTCACATTTAAAAGATCGGCCCTGTCCCTCAATTGTACGTTAGACTTTCCTAATGACTGATTCTCTTCATATAGCACAATGTTTTTCTCTTTTTCCTCGGAAAATTGCGTTTTGACCGCATTCAATGTAGTCTGGAGCTGTTGAACTAATTTCTCATTTCTTTCATTCTGCTCTCTTTGCAATTGCAGTGACTCGTTCAAGTATACAAGGTTCTTTGACATTTCTTCTTTCTCATTGAGCAACTTCTGAATATCTGAATGACTATTTTCCATTTTAGATATCAAGTGTGTTTTTTGCACTTCCAATTGTTGCTTTTCTTGTACTAAAGTATCCACTGAATCACGTAAAGAATCAAGCTTGCCAACCAAAGACTTTAGTTTTGTTTCTAAATCTTTTTGTGCTGAAGAAGCAGCATCCCTTTCATCACCCAATGCAGTCACTACCTTCTCATAGTGTGCATTCTGAGTGAGCAAATCTTCAATTTTGGCGTCTGTGTCGGCCTTCAAAGTTCCCAAATTATACTTCAAAGATGAAATCTCTTTATTCAGCTCTGTTTCAGATCTCAAAGAGTTGTCAAGCTCTTTTTTCAAATCTTCAATTTGAGCTGAATACTTCTCGTTATCGTCTGCAAATTTCAAGCGGTCTTTGAAATGAGCCAGCTCGCCTTCAAGAACTTCATTTTTCATATGCATCTTTTTCAAATCAATCATTTTCTCTTCTAGCTGACAAGCAAGTTCATTACCTCGAGTTTCCTTCTCCCAGAGTTCCTTATCCTTCTGTCTATTTTGAGTTTTTAGCCGATCAATAATTGCCGTCATCGTCTTGATGTCTTCTTCGGATTGCTTTAAAGAATGAACCATGTTCTTGAGTTGGCTTTCTGTTGCATGCAGATCATTTATACAGTGCTCATATTGAGTCTTATGACTTTTGGCACTCGCCGAAAGTAACTCGTTTTGTTTCTCGGTAGATTTGAGATCTTTTTCCAATCTGTTGATCTGATCAGTTAAGGCGATTTCGTTAGTTTGGAATTGTTTAATTTCACGATTTAGGACGTTACGCTTTTTTTCAGAATCTACCAAAAGCTCTTGTAGTTTATAGTTCTCAATTTTGTGAAATCTTAAATCTTCTTCATATTTTGAGATACTTTCGCGGCGGGTAAACATCTCCCTGTTTCCGACATTCGTCCTATCTTTCAAAGGCTGCGAATGTATCTTCGATTCCAACATCTTAACTCGTTCTTCACTTGCTTCATACTTCAATTTATAAATTCCAGATGAGGAATCAGACTTGCGTATTTGCCGAAATTTACCATGGAGTGCAGATGCGGCATTCTCAACATCGAGTCGAGCTTGCCTTTCATCCTTTAATTTTCCTTTGAGATATTCAACTTCAAGAATTAATTTCTCATGATTGATCTCAATCGGTTCGACTTCGTTAAGCAACTCTTCAATATTAGCATTGGAATCAGGATGTAGTACAAGATTTTTCAATTTTTTTATCTGAGCAGCCATGGTTTGAATATCAAAAGACGCAGATGCTAATCTCGTCTCGGTGAACCTTAATTTACTTATCAAGTCTTTCTTCTGGGTAATTTCCTTCTCCAGCTTGAATGAAACCTCCTCATAGTTTAGCTTGAGCTCTTCATACGCATCCATTATTTCATCTTGACTCATTAAACTTTTATTCGATGAAAAATCTATCACGTATCTTCTTTCTGTCAAATGATTTGCCAATTTTTCATTCAAGAACCGCGTTAAAGATTTTTCTCTTTCAAGTTGCTCTTCTAACGATTTGGCTTTCTCAAGAGCGGTGATGTCATTAGTACTTGCATTGCCAAAGTTTTCTGTCTTATCGTGATCTTCGATAGTCTTCTGCAGTTTTCCACATTTCTCTTCCAAATTTGAACACTTACGTTTGTAATCAGATAGCTCCTTCCTAGCAACTTTAATCTCATCTAGTACTTTGCTATGTTCTGTCACTAGGTTGTCTCTCTCTTCGCTCAAGGAATTGACAAAAGATTGGTGCTTTTCGGAACGTTGATGCATTTCTTGAAATTCTTCGTTCTTAGTGGCCAGCGTTTTCTGACTCTCTGAGAGTTCGGTCCTCAGGGCATCCAGCTGAGAGTGCAGATCTTGATTTTCCTCGACCAAAGAGTTTAATCGCTTACTGGTGCTCGAAAATTTGTTTTCCAAGGATTGCAAACTCCGTTCAAGTTCCTCATCTGACGCTTTGAGCTTATTTCGAAGTTCTGATATAACTATTTCTTTCTTAGAAATATCTGATTTCAACGACTTTATCTGATCCAGCATCGCAGATTTGTGAGCTTCAACTGTATCTTTCATGTTGCTGGTATCTGCTATCTCTTTCGAAAGTTTGTTAATATGATGCTGAAGATCAGTTCTCTCGGATTTTAATGAGGTCATGATCGTCTGTCCGTCTTCTAATTTCTTTTCAAGGGCCTGCATTTCGTCCTTTATAGCTTTATTTAGTTCACATATTGTCACTTTTTCTTTCTCGGCAGATTCTTTCAAAGCGCTAGCTTCGTCCAATTTGGCCAACAAATTCTCTTCTTTCGCTTTTGCCTGCGATAATAGCTGTTTCTGATTTTCCAAGTTCTCTGTTTCGCTAAGAAGCTGCTGACGAACAGCTTTGAGATCTTCTTCAACTTTTTCTTTGCATTTTTTTAATATCTCATTCTCTTTTCCCATCCCTTCCAACTTGCTTTCTAAGGCCTTCACCTGTTCGGCAATCTTTTTAGTTTTGGCGATTCCTTGCGAAGAAGCGAGCAGCGGTTTGATCTTGCTATAAAGGTTGTACCAAGGATCATCCATCAATCTGTTGTAAGTTTCAAATGCTACTGCTAGTACCTGAGCCGCCTGCAACTTCGACAATTGTGTTTGAGTTTCCTGCCTTATGTGATTACCAAGAATTATCGCATTGAACTTTGTTGACATTTCAGATAACCTTTCCTCCTTTTTTATTTCGAGACCAGCGAGAACGCCAGCTTTAAAAAACAGCTTTGTATTGCCCACTTTAAATAAGCTAGGATCAAGATGCAAAGATGATAAGAGGAGCTCACAGTTCTTTTTGGAATTATTTGAAAAACGGTACTCGTCAGATAGAATTCTATAACGTTGAAAAAACTCTTTGAAAAAGATTCTATTGGGATACCCCTCACGAGCAATTCTGATACCTTCTAGGACACCATTACAGCGTAGTTGATCTAGAATCAACTTTTTATCAAACTCATGCGCCTTCTTCTTGCCATTAGGAATAATACAACGCACGAAATGTGGCTCTGTAGACGATAAGCGATCTAAGAGAGATTTGAGCTGCTCTCTATGACGATTAGAGGCCGTCTTGAAAGAACCACTTTTTGATTGAGAAACTGAGTAAAATTCTCTGATCAACTCGTTACTTGAGCTGCAAAGTACCTGCAAGATGTTTTCACTCAAAGGATCTTTATTTTTAGACAGCCAACCATTGACATTATATTCGACATCACCAGCATAATGCTTCAAAATGAAACAGTTGTTGAGTTTGGATCTTTTGAATTTGGGGGATGTATTATCGCAAAAATTCATGAGCTTTGAGTAGAACGATTCGTCAGTTGAATTCGGCAGTATTGACTCCTCATCCAGCAATGAGAGCACACCTGGCATATTGTTTTTCTTTTCAATGAGATCTATAGTTGTTTGTAAATCCTTCCCGTAGTCAATGAAATTCCATTGTATATTTTCTTTCAGGTATTCATTCTGTTCTAGAACGAACATATGATGATTAAAAAATTGTTGAAGCTTCTCATTTGTGTAATTGATGCACAATTGTTCGAAAGAATTGTCTTTGAAAATTTCAAATCCTGCTATATCAAGCAATCCAATGTAATTTTCTGTCATAGATCCATGATCTAGACTGGAATTAATTTTCTTGACAATATGGGCGAACAAGTTCTCGTACAAGGACCTAGAAAGTGAATTTAAAATAAACCTTGATTGTGTGGCATTTTTAGATTGAAAAACCCACTCTTTACCCGCCTTAGATTTCGGTCTCAAAATGGCAGTCTTGAATTCTTCCTCGTCTACACCCAGCAACTTACATAGGCTTTCAATACTGCCCTTGATAGCTGCTTGTACTGCCTTCTCTGAAACAAACTCCACGTTACCGATGTGGAGAATTATAGCAACACATTGCAATATACTATTGACTTCTTCAGTATCAAAGCCCACGGTCTTGAATGCCGACAAAAGGCCCTGAAAATCTTTAGCATCGTCTATGCCTGGAATGCTAAAGTTAGATTCGCGAAGATAAGCATAGTTTGAGACGGAATTAGATTCAAGGCCAAACCGTTTTAGCTCTTGAGATGACATGCCCGAAAGCATTTCATAGAAAATGTGATAATTTCGTTCCCTTGAATTTTGATGAATTACCCTCGATTTTTCCAGTAGATACCATTCTATATGGGCGCCATTAATTTTGCCCATTTCATCGAACTCAATTTTAATAAATTTCCCAAATCTTGACGAATTATTGTTTCGCACAGTTTGCGCGTTACCAAATGATTCCAAAATGGGGTTGCTCTGGAGAATTTTACGCTCAAAACTCTCGTGAGCTTGACTTGTGATCGTCTTGTCATCCGCTGTTATAGAAGCCAAATACTGTAGTATTTTCTTTGTGTTTTCTGTTTTGCCTGCACCACTCTCACCCGTCACTAAGATGGATTGGTCTCGTTTCTGCGTGAGCAAATTCTGATAAGCCTCTTCCGCGATTGCAAATATGTGAGGACCATTATCCTCCTTGGGAGAGCCATGGTAAAGCTTGATGTAGTCTGGCGTATAAATCCTTATGTTACTGTAAGGGTTGATCGCTACAAGAAACAGACCTGAATATGTGTAGATCATATCATCGTTGTAACGATTCTCAAGATTGTATAGTACAGAAGCCTCATTCAAAAATGTTAATTCTGACATGTCATCAATCTTATCAAATGTACTGGGATTCACAGGAGACACATCCTTCATGGGAAATTCCACTTCTTCACCGCGTAACTTCACAATTCCCACGCTCTCCTCTTTATTTTGTTTGTTTCGTACTGTTTTTTCATCTATCAATTGCCCTTGTACGAACACATCACTAGGATCAGGAACCCAAACGCTCTGCATTTGGCTACTCATCGTACCGATAGCGCTCCTGAGCTGACCTCAAACTTCCAACTTTATCTTGTTCGAAGTTGAGATGGAGATATTTGTGTATGTTTACGAAATTTCCCGATTTGGACAAGAGAGAGAGGGTAACAATCCTTCGCATACAAAACCTCAGTGTTTGTCCTAGAACAGTATGTTAACCTCGAGATTAAGATTGGCTTGTTTCTATGGGATGGGTGGTGAACCAATCATTCAAAGATGTCTCCTTTTTTCTAAGTACACATTTTCTATGATAAAGAGGGATCAAGAAGATGCGAGCTTAATTTTGACAGTGAATGACAACGCTCACCAACTACCTACTGGGCAAGATAGTATCAACAAGCATGCCTCTGGCCGTTGTTTGCATCATTTTAAAATAGAAACGCTTAACTTTGTTCAAGAGCTACTGCTCTAATTTTTGTAGCAACTGGAATTCAACGCAAATCCAGTGCCGAAACAACACACCCATTTCAAAAAAAACTCGAACAATGGGAGAAGAAAACTTGTCTTGGTGAAAGCTAGGCCCTTATGGCGTAGGACGAATACAAATGTCTTGACGGTAGTAAGAACCACCTTCACGAGAGGCCAACTTTGCCAGATTACAACACTAAGTGTAATGCTTGATCCCTCCTGACTAGTAGAAGACTTCGAGAATTGAAGGCAAGTATCAGAATACGCACGAAAAACCTTGGCTTTCCCGCGGCACAGCAGTTTCAACGTCAGAGTATTTCTGTGTGTCTTCACACAGGGGTGCGAAGAGGACATCATTCACGAACTTTTCAACGTAAAGAAGGTGTGACACGGAACAAAGAGGTGCAATTCACCGAAGTTGGGCCAGGCGGAACAAACGAAAGTGCCATCGAGCTCGGTACCGGCAGTTTTCGCGTGGGTGCAACTATCCATCAAGTTTATAAAGACTTAAAATGGATGATCCGCTACGTACGACTAGCTCTCATATGAGCAGACGAGCAATCATGGCCCGTTATTTCAATTTGTGCGCTCCGGTAGGGCATGCTGGGGTCCCTCTCCCACAAGATCTTTATTCAGGGAACCAGAACAAACTCTGTTGCTCTGCGGATGGAAAGGCATTTAGGCATGTCATTTTAACAGGTAAAAAAGATGATCAGGAGCAGGCATCTGATGTCATTTTGAACCTTCCCATTGAAATTAAAACCCTGATTACAAGTCATCTATCACAACATGACTTGGTGAATTTAGCCAGAGTTTCAAGGTCATTTTACGACGCAGCTATGTTCTCTTTATATGAGAACGTAGTTATTGATTCAGACTATTCATTCTTAAATGACCCTCTAAGAGATACTGGCGAAAAAGTCACATTCATCAAAACACGATACAACCTGAAGAAATTTATGCAATTAATCCGCGAAAACTCAGATACACCATTTCCAATGGGTATGCTTGTCAGATCCTTCAAAGTAATCAATCTCCCAGATGGCATAAGCCGCAATGAGGTAAGATCATTTATATATGACAGTATTCCAAATCTGACAAGACTGTCCTCATTTTATTGGAAAACTAATTCTTCAGTACTTCCTTTGAGCCTTTTGGATGTGCTTCCAAATAAGGAAGAGATAACGACATTGGCGTTCAATGTCGATTTGGGCAAAACGACATCTTTTACATCAAATGCATTCCCTAGTCTGACGAAAATCTCATTGGCACCCTTTGTTAACTCTCAAAATCTATCTGCATTTTTTGAAAGTATTTTGTTATCCGAAGGTGAAACTATTGAGAAGCTCGAAACACTCCAGCTTGCCTCCGAACTTCCATCCGTTTTGCACAAACCGAGCGGAAATGTTAGTTCCGCGCAATGTCTCGTCATTACCAAGTATATGATGGATAACAATTTGCAACAGCCAAATACGTCTGAGAGTGACCGATTCATCGTTTACAATCAAATAGACTGCGGGTTCTGGAGTTTTCTTAATGCTATAGCAAAGAAAGGAAAAAGATTTGAGTCTCTCAAGATTCTTGACATTCATTCAGCGAACTTCCTCTCTACTGACTCCAATGAAGTCTGTAACATAGTGAACTTGAAGAATCTTCGCACCTTGTGTCTTTCTAATATAAATGAGATACAATTTCTACCAGATGTGGATTACGAAGTTCATGACGTCAGTAACCTTGCTCTACGGTACATGAAACCAAGTTTTTTGGAAGGTTTATTACCAAACTTGCGTCAGCTTACGAAATTAAAACTTGATTATAGAGAATCAATGAAAGACACAGTTTGTGAATTTATCGGTGCGTTACAGACGAAAGCAAATATTTCCTTGAGGGAGCTTGATATTGTGATTCACTGGGATGATAGTAAAGAGGCTGTTTGGTCAAGCTGGGAGACTTTAGCAGAGAGATATATTGCTGCCATATTATTGCATAAAAAAACGTTAAGGAAACTATCACTGATAGCAACTGAAGATTCAAAATTCTATGAACTTCACAAGACGATACCTGCAAATATGCTGAGATCGCTCAAGGATTGTCGACATCTCCAGAGTTTAAGACTCCATGGAGAGTCATTGCATCCGTCTGGTCATCTTTTATTGAGTGAATTTCCAGATCTGCATTATCTTGATTTGGTGGGAAAGGAGGCTGGTGGGCCTCCGCACATGGGGTTACAAGTCGTGCACGATGGTGTGCTCGACAATTGGTATAGGGTTATACACGTAGCTATTACGCTGGCGCAGGGAAACCCTTCATTAAAATTTGTAAGGGTAGACAAATGTCTTTTTGAATGTGGTCGAAGCGGTAACGTGTCGCCGAAACTCGATAACTTGAAGAATTGGTTTGAAAAGAAAATGAGAGTTGTGGTTTCGGCGGATGATTTTTAGATAACAGCAATATGTAGTAAAGTTGGTACTATTTTTCAACAGGCGATATCTTTTCGGGATCATGAATGCTACATAGTTTTGAAAATTATGTTTAGAATTATGTTAAAACAACGAGAATGGAGAAAAGAATTTAATTGGCAGTTAAACATGATTATACTTTAATCTTCCTGTTAAAATCGTAGCCGCGGCAAATAACTGGTGATCATGATTACCTTTATCTGTTTCAAAGCCTAGAGTCTAATAAGGGGAAGTAATCTGCTCAAATATCCAGCCTTTATTTTTCATGGTTCTTCGGACTTTGAAACCACCATAAAATGCTAAATAGAGAAATTGTACACCATCCCTATTCACGCGATGGTCTCGAACCATTTCCTCAGAAGATGAATTCTCTAAACCAAGCAGAAGGATCACTGGACCTATTGGATTGTCATAGCAAAGCTGCTTCACGCAGAAACTCAACTAAACGACCTTCGCGTGACTTTATACTGCTACGCCTAGATCAAAACGCACGGATTTCAATGATATCCGTGATGAGGATAGGTAAAAAGGTTAAACAAAAGTAGACGTTATATTGTTTCGGCTTTGCATCCGAAGAATGCAGCTTGCCTTCGCCATTTATGGGAAGCATTGTTGCCTGTCACACCTTTACAGATAGCAGCGCATACAATAAACGAGCTAACACACGTGATCCCACATTGGACACGATCTAATAGTTGACGTTGTTCCTGCCAAATCAGAGCCCAACGAAGACGGCCCAAATTTCGCGAATCGGCCCAACACCGAAATTCTACTCGGGAAACGATAGCTCTGAGAACTACTCTGCGGACGGTGTGTCTAAAATCGGGAAAGTGATCGGAATATTTCAACCTTTTCCCAGCGTACTGCCTAGGCATTTCTATACAGTTGCTTGAACCGAAGATTTCTAAAATACCGTAATAAACTGTTTCGACTCAGCCCTGTCGAATTTTGTTTGATCTGAACAGTTATCAGATAAGCTGAGACAGTTGGACCCTTTAATACTGAAATACGACACCTCGTACAATGTTACATCAACACTCGCCATCTGACTACTGGGAAACTATTGAATAATCTGTCTTCCATGCATCGATAAGCAAGTTATATTGCTCATAATTGGATCCAAATTTGCTGCTATATGTTTTGCGCCACTGAGGAGAGATCTAACGTATCTGTTTCCCAACGCAGCTCAAATTTTCGGTGAGGACATTAGACCGTGAGAAATAGTGCTCTTAAGCCGGAAAAACCTATACACTCCGGCGGACACCCTCAGAAATTAGTTTCTTTGAACAGGCAGGGAGTTGCTAGCTACCAATTATAATCATTTATGGACATTCCTCATTGCGGCCAGACTCACTTCTTTGGTAAAATGAAAGTCTCGCACGTTTTCTCCCACCAGGGGTAGCCCGGCGTTTATCTCATATGAGGCACAGACGGCGACCTTAAGATCAACCGCTTGCATGTGCACATAAGGTGCCTATTTCTGACGGCGATCCTTTCTGAAAAACTCCTAGAAGCGTTTGAGGAGCAGATTTCGGCGCAGAAGCAAGAACGCACCGATATCCAATCTACTTGTTTGAAATGTAGTCGTTTCTTGGACAATCTTTGGTCGTTATCTAAAAAACATTACGTGCGTGCTGTCTTAATCCGCGCGCCAGATTCCGTGCATTATCAATTTATCGCAAGAAACAATTTCTTCGCGCCAATCAGCACAGAGAAGTGTTCAGATATCTTACTTCCGTACCAAAACAACCCCTTTAAGTCCGAATCCAAACACTACCAGCCCTTCACTACCAAGTAAACCTAGTTTAGTATTTTTCTTGGTTTGCTTTTTGCCAAATGAATGCGTCCGCGCAAGGTAAATCTTATTCCAAACGCAAAAACGTAAACAAGAAAAGGGAAAGGAGTTATGGCCCCAAACACTATCCAGCCTCACGGCATTTTACCCCGTGTTCCGTAGAAAAAGTAAAGCCTAGTCTTATAATCGAAGCAAGCCTATGCTTATTAGTGAGGGATATAGCTTTTGAGCAATTAAAGAAACGTTCTGCACCTTTCCCGGAGCTTTAATGTTTTAATCATCGAGGATACCAACCGATCGGTAGCCTTGACAGTAGTCGAAAGTTCTGAGCAATATTCTAGTAGTATGGCCTAGATCCTCTCACGATATTTCCTTTCAGCTAGGAAGGGATATGGAGACAGCTGTGCCAATCTCGACTTTGGTTAGTGTTTTACTATGTAAAGACCGACTATAAACGACATGCCTTCCCTGCCCTCCCGACAGTTTCTGTAAGCTTAAACTAAATGTAGTTCTCCATCACGTGTGTGCCACGTTAGGGCCGCAGATGTGCTGACGACGGTTACGGCTTAACGGAGGGGCTTGCCGTTGCGTAAATGTGCCCATGTTCCTGTGTCCGCACAACTGTTAAGGCCGTTTTGATGCAGTCGCCCTAACGCCCTTGCGAAAGACTACGAAGAAACCGCTTTTGCCTAGCAGCGCCTGCATCCGGTAAGAGAGATTCTAGAAGTATTTTGCGTACGAGAGATAATACGGAGACGTTTCTTTTTTTTTAGAATAGTGAAAATTTCATTGAGACATGCGGTTTGGCGCATGATAGAGCCATTCTGTAATTATCCACATACGTTGGCTAATCATTTATCAGTAGGTAACTTTCAAATTGCCCCCGCTCCTTCCAGAAGCAGTTTCCAATTTGTACTGTTACTATCAAAAATGTCGATTTCTCTGTATAATCTCAGTGCCGGCGGCGATCAAATACCAAGAGAGTTTGATTACTCGACGTCAAGAATTGCCGTGATGGGTGCTCCAAAATGTGGTAAGTCTTCTTTAATCGTGCGGTGGGTCCACGGCTTTTATGACCCCAAAGCTTTGGACTACGTAGAGGACATATACCACAAGCACGTCCATTATCCGGCGTTGGTGCGCAGTAGCACCTCCAAGGAGTACAAGATGAAGGAACTTCAATTGAAGAGCCACTCTATTGAGGGTATTTGCAACGCTTCGCTCGACGGCTGGCCAATGTGCAGTGACAGACGGAGTGGAGCCCTGGATGTGCAAGTGCTCGACGGCCAGAATCTTGAGCTGATCGACTATTCAGAGCTCCGAAGCCTGCAAATCAAACAAACAGACGGTTTCATTCTCTGCTTCGATATCTCGGAGCCCGATACGCTCGAGGATATCCCCAACTATTTAAGACACATTTGGCACCTGAAAGATCGCGATGTTCCGGTAGTGCTATGCGCGACGAAAACCGACTCACAAACCGTGAACATTAACATGGAGCGCGTCATAGAAATTTGTGAAGAGTTAGATATCAACTTCGAGAACTGCTTCTTCGAGACTTCCGCCCTCGAAGACTTTGGCATAAGTGAGGCTTTTTTCCGCACGCTCGTGCTGATCGAAGAATCTAAGCGTAACCTGCGACTAAGTCACCAAAACATGATGTCCCAAAAACACACAAGAGCTCCCTCTACAAGCTCCACGGCGCCGGGAACAACTTACTCGATGTCTCTCACGGCCACCGAGCAAAACTCCTCTCTAATACGCCATCACGAAAGCCCGAAAACGAACATGAAAAAGCCTGTTGATAACTCGCCTTCACTCTCGCCCTCACCGCCGCCTTCTTCAAGATCTACGCGGGCTGGGAGAACTATCACGCCCCGCACCAGCAATGACCATTTGCCGACTCGAAAATCGAATGGAAAACTCCATGAGTCGTGTTGCGTTATATGTTAACCCAGCACGTTTTCTCTGTTTGAAAGCGCCTAGAGCTCAACCAACACATATTTCGAATTTCATGCATACAGTGTCACCAACGTTTATAGAAGCACGATGGAAACTCGTATCACATTCATCAGCTGTACATAGGATTTTTGATAGATTTACCAAATTAGACACTAATTTGACATGCTGGCAGTAATTCTGCGTTCTGCATGTGTACGTTAAAATGGTGCATGGAATACGGAAAGGATTAACCTAAAAGCATCTTCTGCATGTGAGTCATGCATGTTTTGGAAGTCCGCGAAAAAAACACTCTCGGACTATCAGAGCTCCAAGATCGTTTATTTCCTTTAATTTCCGGTATGACTGCAAAAAACCCACCCATACACATAAGAATAATAGAAACCCAAACATCACAAAAAGTTGGAAGATGTTTTCAAAGTGAAAAATTCTCGCTGACACAGATTTTGAAAGATTGAATGCTCCAGCCGCTTCTATTGGTCTCTATGGAGTTTCTCCTGGATGGGGAGCCGCAATGCACACACATAGTTTTGAGCTTTTAAGAACTTGTTACCTTTAGCGTAAAACTTCAATAACCCACAGAAAGCACAAAGATCCAAGATGGTATGTGATAAATGCCCCAAATTGATGAAAAGAGAGAATACAATACGAGGATTGAATTAAAACAAGGAATAGAAACAAGCACGAATCTTTGACGGAGAACGATTTGATATGCAACGGAATATGAATATGGATCATGACATCCTAACTTAGAAGAGCCTATTGATGTTACCAAGCTGAGAGTTGATATCTGGTGAGCCTAAGACACGAACTTGTGAGCGACTAGATTTTAGTTTGATAGGCTACGTTTCGAAGACACAAAGACTTCTGAAGCTGGGACTTCCTTCTGGACGTGGAGAATTTTCAGATAAGAACGGAATCTATGGAAGGCCAATCGTACAACTTTCAAAGAGTTTTGCTCGCGCTTTATCTAACGGGGACTTACTGCTTAGCATTAAAGCTTTAAGCTTCGCTTGATGATATGCTGCACATACCCAAATTGTATCAGTATTCACTCTTTTCAAGAACAACAGGCATGGTATACTAACTTTTTTATTACAGGTTTTAGTTCAAGATTTGTTGCACCCAAACCCAGCTAGTGAAGCTAAGAAGCACAAGTTAAAGACTCTAGTCCAAGGCCCAAGATCCTACTTCTTGGATGTTAAATGCCCAGGCTGTTTGAACATCACCACCGTGTTCTCTCACGCTCAAACTGCCGTCACATGCGAGTCCTGCTCTACTGTGTTGTGCACTCCTACCGGTGGTAAGGCTAAGTTGTCTGAGGGTACTTCTTTCAGAAGGAAGTAAGTTAGGCTTTAGATAATTTTTGATGCTGTACATGTTTCAATAACTGTTTACTCATATAAACTACTACTTTTAAGCTGTGTTTAACTCATAAGGACCTTAACCGTACGGCGAATTGCTGACCTTTTAGGTATGTTAAAAAATGTACCTTGAAGCTGAATAGCGATTTTATTCAAACTTGAGCTTTTGAAATAATTTACTATATTATATATACATGAAACTATGCAAAGTCCTCCATTAGAGGTTAAATATTGTCAGTAATCATCTGCTTTTTCTGGTATTTACCATATCTTTTCTTGTCTGCACGATCAAATTCTCTTCCATATAAGGTAGATAGAACACCAATAGCTTCTGATGCTTCCCCTTTTTCCGAATGATCCAGCTCATTAACTGCTTCGTTGATCAGCCTATCCTGCTTTTTAGCAACTTTTCTTGCCTCACGAATTCTTTCCTTCTCAAGCTGCTCAAACTTGGCCACATTCAAGTTTCCCATGCCCTTCATCTTTGTTTTTGCCCCAAGAGGCCATAAATCTCCTTTCACAGACTTGCGTGCATCATGATAGATGTCTTTGGATAGGGATTTAGGTACCGTCCATTTTTCTAGTTGCCCTGATGAACCACATAAATCTAGGATAACATGCCCCTTTCTCTTTACAGGTTGTTTTATGATACGAGGCCATGTGTTAGGGGTATCGTCACCCAATGATCCGATCGTATATTGGACTTCTGACTGCTCTCGTGCTTTCTTTATGTTTTGGATAGTTATAGGGTCGTTTTGTGACCTTTCCATAATCAAATAAGAATAATTTAATATTTCATCATTTCTGCCATACGGCCTACCAGTTCCGGGTTGAGCAAGGCCTTTGATTCCAATGCCATCGGATTTTGTTTGCCATCTTGTGGCTAACAGCCTGCCTTTCTTAAGCTCTGTATTAAATTTTGGCCTTAAGACTGATTTTTGGAAATTGCAAAATTTGAGCGACTTGCCTTCCTGATATTCGTAGTACTGCGGCTTGCCAACTTGAAGTGGACATTTACGTTGATGAGGGCAGGGAGCCAAAACTGTGAGATGATAATCTTCGCTTTTAGACTGCTCAACTTCCTCTTGCAATGACTCTAAAAGTTCTGGCTCGAACTTCAATTCTTCATCACTCACTTTCCCGAACTTTTCATTCAGCTCCTCAACCAAATCATTGACCTCACCGTCAAGTTTAGAAATCCCTCCAACGTTTTCGTGCAGGTTTTGTCTTATTTTCATAGATGAACCCCTCTTCCACGGCCGTGGTATCTTACCGTGCTCATTGGGATAATTTTCAGGTCTGAGCATAATTTGTCTAGCTCTCGCTACTATTTCAAACCCTAGCGGATTTCCGCGCTCTACTATAACAAGATGCCCCCCTGGTGATAGAAGTTTCAAATAGTGCTCTAAATTACTATCGACTTCAATGGGGAATTTTTCCTCGGTCCTGAGGAGTTGATGAGTTAAAATTATCAGATCATAGTCTTTGGAACCTGGGGCTTTATCTCTCAATTTAGTTGCAATTTTGATTCGCTTCGTCATTACCTCTCCCACTAAATCACTTTCTTCAGTTATATTGTCATCATCAAGTTTCTTATCGTTTATTTCGTCACCAGATTTTTCGTCATTAACTGTAGAGCCCTCTGGAATCTCATTGAGCTGTCTACTCAAAATGATCTTCGCCCTCTTTTGCATTTCAATGTGGCCAAAAATCACTGCTTCCTTCGAATCACATCTGAATTCCGGGCCCATTAAATCATTAAATGCGACTATTCCAGTTGCTGGTCCGAATCCTACATCTAGAACACGACGTGGATTGAATTTTGGACCTAGACGTTTCTTCAATTCACTTAGAGATTGATAAATGGCACCATAGTTTTGTAGAAAAATAGAAGAAACATGTCCATCTACTTCCAAAAGTGTACGCGCAGGTCTATGCAATTTACTTTGATTAAGCTCTACGAAGTAGTCTGCCACTGCTCTCCTCAGATTGTTCGGAACATGCAGGCTTAGAATATTGTTATTAATAGCCTTCGATACTTCAGAGTTCAGGGTGACCTGTTGACCTGGACTTTTTCCGGCAAGCGTCTTTTCGAGTAATCGTGCTTCTTTTGCGCTTGAACCATGTATAAGTTCTCCGTTAGGTCTGCGATAGGGCCCAATAAATCCTTTTTGTTGCAAGTCGTCTCTTTCAATAACATTTGCACTATAACCAAGATCATCAGTCACTAAAAATCCCGCTTTTTGGCTGTACCTGCCATTACTATCCCTCTGTCTTGATCCGGAACCGTCGTTAGCAAATTCCATATCTTGCCGTGAAAAGCCAGAAACAGTACTTTTCAGCCTTGCTAATCTTAGCAATGAGCATGTCCTTTTATTTTGAAGATATTTCCTTAACATGAGGTACAACTGGAAGAGTTGTGACCAATTCTGTCAGTACAACCAGCGTATCATTCATGTTCTGCGAATGCTCATCGCTTCAAATTTTTCATTTTCGTAGACGGGGATGGATTTTCCAGATTTCTTATGATCAGAATATCTTGACTAGTGTTACATCAAATAAAAGTATAAATTGTGGCCAGGCATGAATACGACCATCATCGTTTCACTTCTACTAGTGATAATAACAACTGCGCTCTTGCTAATTGTTCAAAGGACCTCAACTAATGTTATCCCTGGTCAAAAAATCTCAAACAGAGATCCTACGTTCATTATCGCTGGCCCTCCTAATAGCGGAAAGACGAGCCTTTTCACGTTGGTATGTCGTTTTCAATTAATTTATTCTGGTGTTTCTACTACTGGTTACTAACATTAGCTATATAGCTAACTACTGACACAATCAAAGCTACGGTCATGTCTCAGGAACCCAATGTAGCTGCAGATTACATGCTGCCCTCAGCTGCAAAAAGCTTCAAATTCAAGTTAATGGACTTTCCCGGACACATAAAGTTACGTTACCAGCTCTTTGAAACGCTGAAAGAATCATCGTCAATAAAGGGCTTAATATTCGTTGTTGACTCAACAGTTGACCCCCAAAAATTGACTGAAACAGCGGAGTTTCTCTATGAAATATTGACAATTACAGAGCGCAATCCTGAAGGAGTCGATATTTTAATCGCTTGCAATAAATGCGAATCATTTACTGCCAGGCCTCCCGCTAAAATAAGAGACGCCCTGGAAAAGGAAATTGGTAAAATAGTAGAGAGAAAAATGAAATCCTTGAGCAGCGTAAAAACTCAGCTGGATGCAAATGCTGACGAGAAAGATGCAGATAATGATGCGTTAGAGCTGAACTCTTCTCATGGTTTCAAATTCGACGCTCTTGATGGCAATATTGTAGCCATGGAAGGTAGTGTCTTGAAACAGAACATTGACAAGTGGGACTGTTGGATCGACGAAAGGGCCGTCAACTGACGGTCAGACATCAAAGTATCTAGGCTCAATTATCTATCAATATCTATCCCGTCAATAGAAGGACGCCTAAAAATGTTCCTACTAAAAGTGTTCCTATTATGAGAAGTATGATGGGCAAAATCACAGCTAGTGAGCTAGGAAGAGGAAAAAGCCAGAGCTCACAATCTAGGTCGAAAATCGGCAGAAGTAACCATATAAAGTAGTAACACGAAAGGATTAAAAGGACGATTAGTTTATTCATCTAGTGAACAACTAAGGAAATTCTTCCGCGCTGCTCTTTACATATTGATCAGAAAAGATCGAAACGTGAATTATTTTAGGTACACATGACAAATATAATGAATATAGGGTAAAGCTCGAACAGTACAACTAAGAAAAAGCTCGCGTGGCGTAATGGCAACGCGTCTGACTTCTAATCAGAAGATTGTGGGTTCGACCCCCACCGTGAGTGTTTTTACGTCAATTATTTTTTGTTTTTGCATCTTCTTGAGCTTGCCCTAACCTTGAGAATGTTCATTAGCTACATAAGCGATAAAGCGTATATGTTACAGTCGACCTAATCAGCGAGTCAGCTAGTTATGTTGAACAGCTCGATCTGATTATTGTCCATGAAAACCGAGGGTAACAAAACTATCTATACTTTTGTCCTCGGAATTATTTCTTCATAAAATTTTTCGAAATAGTAAAGGTAAATACGTAGATGTAATTTTAAAGAGCTGTCATAGAATAAGGCATATAAAATTGGTGATGATATGGACCACCGAGCCTTTTGAAGCAACCTACAACTCTATAGAGACAGGTGTTCTAGATCTGACTTTCTTTACAAAGATTTTGCCCGATTTGAAAGCTCTAAATCTCACAGACAACAAAGCTAAGAATGCCAATAGCAGAGCCCAATTGGAGAAAGGTGAAATAGAGGTCTCTTCCGGGACTTACAAAATCAACCAGGAGTTCATAATAGCGGTCATAACTCTTTCTGATGAGCTCAATTTGGATGAATTAGTCACCGCTGAAATAATGCTACAAGCGACAACCGCTGCCCAACATGATGCAGAGTCGGACATCTCTTTAATTAATAATGCCAAGGTTGCATTTTATCTGAGAAGGCAGTACATTTTGCAAATTGTATCCTACATCATCAATTGTTGCTCTACTAACGACAAAGCATACATAGAGTTGATCAATGACGGCACGCTAATGAACAACGTGCTTCTTTCCTTCACTGCAATTCACCAGGAGCTACAGGAGATTAAACAACTCGTCAATAAAGCACAAATAATAGATACCTACGATGCCTTTTTCCAGCAAAATATTAAATTTCGCAGAGATTTTCTTGTTAAGGAATATGACATACTGAGCCAGATACTATACGGGCTTGTGAAAAGTGGATCGCTCATGAAGAGAAACCTGATCAACAATTTGATTAACCATACTTCAGGATTAGAATCAAACGATTTTTTCATTATCTATTACCTCCCAGCTTTGTTTCTTTCTTTCTCCCAGCTGAGCTCATTGCCTGATTCAGATGTCAAAGATATGCATAAAGAGTTTGTACAAGAATTGAACAATGAATCCTTATACAAAACTCCTGTAAAAGTGACCCTCATTTTTACGTTTTTGGTATATTTTATCGGTTGGTGTAAAGCAGCACCCGCCACAAGAGCCAAAGTTTTCGATTTCGCCACAACAGTGGATATACCAATGACCCTTGCCGTTGAATTGGGAGCTATAGAACAGTTGATGGTTTTTGCAGCTGATACGTCTGAAATCGAGAAGGATTCCAGCGTAGAACTGTTTTACGATATCAGATCACTCTTGGAAAGGCATATTCCGAGACTAATTCCTCGACAGTTAATAGAGGGTGAAAACACACTTTCAACATTTCCTCGCGATAGAGCTCACTTTTCTCACATTTCTTTATCGGAAGAAACTCTCTCGATGTTCTTATCTGCTTTTGATCAACTCTTGCAGACTTTCATTACTGACTGTGCATTTCTTTTAACAAAAACAAAGGACGCGGAGGAAGATTCATTGCTTTCGGGTGAAGACCTAGGTCTGGATGAAATATCTGCCAAAGCTGACTTGGAAAGATTTTTCCTGATCATCTATTTCTTCTACGCTTCTAGGCCCGATCACTCGATTAACTTCTGGAAAGACAAAGAGTCAAATGCATACGGATTTATAGAATGGGCCATAAAATGTACTGATACGCTTATGCGGTCTTGTGTCTTTCTCATGATCTCAAGCTTATCTTACGGCTCAGAAAATTCACTGATTGTCTACCAATATGTCAATAGCAACCACAACTTGCATTGGAATCATATTGCGCAAGTAATTAGTGAATATATTATCAAGATTTCAAGTCTGGAGAACCGCTTGCAAGAAAAGCAACAAACCGCTCAAGACGATACAGACCCTACAACCGTTGCACTAAACGAAGGTTTAAATGAGGAAGCTATTATCTTTCTGTCGTCCCTTTTCACTTTGATTGGTTCTGTAGCCTATGACCTGGATGAAGAAATGAAGTCAAAGCTATCAAACTTATTTTCAAGCATATTATTTGAGTTCCTTAAGGTAGATACTCCACTTGTTGGTGCAGCAATGAAGGTACTAAGTAACTTAGTTCCAAAGGAGGAAAGCTCCCGAAGCACATTCTGGGAATCGCTAGATGCATGGATATTTAAAGGACGTCCGTTATATGCCACAGAAAATTCATATCGGTCTGCCTTCGAAGCGTCTTTGAGAAGTTTTTCGGACATTACCGGATTTTTACAGCTAGTAAACTCCCTGCTCAAAATCAATTCTAAAGGAGAAAGTGGATATTTGATGTTTGGAAAACAGACTTTTCCAATAAAGCTTGGTCGCAGCTACAGAAAAGCAGGAATATGGCCATACTTCGACTATATTTTCATGGATGTTTTTGTTCACACTAGGCAGCTGACCGACTTAGAAGAGAGGATCGCAATTCAGTTACCAGTTTTAGAAATAATCGAGAATTCTATTCACTCTTTTGACTATACAGTTATTCTGAATTCAATTCCAGCTGGCGCGAACCTGGATACCCTGGTTGTAACTGAAGACTTTTTTGCATATGTTCAAGAGTCAGCTGCTACTGCAGTTATGAATTATACTTTTAATGAAAGTATATTCAAATCACTTTTCAATATCGCTTCAATTGGTATTGACGAGTTAGGAAGTTCACTTGAGAGCAGCAATGTACTCAACCACATTGTAGGATTAAGTGTCAAAATTATTAATGCGCTACTCATCTGCCAAGAGACCTATGTGGAGGAATTATATCCTATTGTCAAGAAGCATGGGAAACCGGAATATTTTGTTCCCAAGTCATTTGGAATTCATGGTTTAAGATCATTTTATGACGCTATTTTATTTGACTTGCCCTTGATTGCGCATTTTGGTCTGTATGTTGGGTTGGAAGATTACGTCACCGCATCGAATTCCTTGAGTATATTGAAGAAACTTTCGGATGAATTATCTGCAGCCGACAGCCAATCCATCGTCAAGGACAAGTTGCTTACCATTTTTGATTCAGTTGACGAATCTGCAAGAATTAAAGAGGCGTTTATGAGCCAACTGGAATCTCCAATTATAAGCGAATCATCACTTACGCTCAAATTTGAGATTCTTGATTTCATATCCTCAAATCTATCCTTAACTAATCGAAATCCAACTGTTGCACATTTTTTACTTGGATTTCAAACGGGCACCGCCCTATCATTGGGGTCAAGCTTGAGTACTTTCATTGAATCAGGAGTTTCAGTACTCAGCTCTCTATTATACCTTTTGGAATCATCACTGACGTCCCTTTTGCCGGAAAATATTGAGTACGCACCTATTCGAATGGCTTCAACTTCACTGGAGATCCTTCTAAAGCTTTGTCGTAATCCCGCAACGTCAAGTTTGGTTTTAGAATATTTACAACGTGCAGAGCTCTTTGAAAAGCTAATGCACTTGGACCCAAAACTAGATGTGCATACTGCTTGGTCTGGGAAAATTTTCAACGGTAATTTTGATGACATTTCTACTGAATTTACTGGTACATCATCTATCGGTGCTTTGCTGTCTTTTCTAACATATCGAAGTAACGTGCTACAGTATCTGAGCCTCGACATACACCGGCTTCATTCTAGCTCTCAAACATCCAAAATCTTCCCATTTGTGAACATTCTTACTTCTCATATATTACAATCACCAAGAATTTTCTTCTTCTTGGACACCCTGGGCTACAATGCAAAACCGCTCACTAATGAAGCTTTCAAGAATATCATTTTGTTCGGTCAGATGGACTTGAATTTGGAGAAAATAAAGACTACGAACACATGTACTGGTAACATCTACGATTTTAGCGAACTTGACGGTCTACTTCAATTGAAAACGAGATCGTACGAAAAATTCCTTCCTTTACTCAAACAGGATGTCGAGATCCGGGACAAGAAGTCGCTACTACATTTTTCTAAGGAAGAATCTCGAAGACTGAAAGGATACATCAGTAACTATCTAACCTATGAGAAATTTACTAGTTCTCAGTTTGCAGTTTTACATTCTTGGGTACAATTGGTCCAGATTGTCGTTTTGGATGGTGAAATGGATTCTGTAACGCGTTCAAATTTTATATTGGAACTTTTTGAAGCAATAATTCCTAAGATAAATGATTATGTGGAATTTGACGTCTGTTATTCAGAGGAATTGGTATCACTTTGTGTTTTTCTTTATGATCTTTATCGTAAAGATCGTGAGGAAATAGATGGTGAAAGAAATGTCGACGGAAGACTACACAGTCTCTTCAAAGCATGTATACATGGCATAACCTCCCCTTTATCAACTTTGTCGCTAAGATCAGACTTTTATGTTTTAGCTAATTGCTACCTGACTAGAGTACTACGCGAAGAATCCCTCTCGAGGCAGATTTTGCAATCATTGAAAATGACAAGCGAACGCTTGGTAGAGGTGATCTGTAACGATGCCATTTCCGGAGAAGGTTCCACTAGGATCACGGGAATTTTACTTCTAGACTCTCTCACTCAGATTGCCAGCCTGAATAAAGTTAATTTCATTCTGGATTCTTTAACTAAAAGCAATATGCTCTTGCTCATCAGCCACTCCATTAAAACCACTGATGAACTTTTGACTTCACCCATGGAAAGCATTAACTTGGAGGCATTACTGTATGAACTAACCGCTTTCAAATCCACTGCTCATTTTTTGATTCGCATTGCTGAGACGAGAAGCGGCGCCCAAGCCTTGGTACAAAATGAGATATTCCAAACAATTGAGTCTTGTAAATTCTTGAGGGTTGATCCCGATTTGGGATTGGAATTGATTTTCGGAGAAATGGCAAGCAAAAATTCACAGTATGTCAAAGCCAACTTAAGCCTGGACAACCCCCTCAATTTAAGTGAGGAGGCCAATGGCATATCTTTGTTTGAAGTTTTGGTTCCAATTTTTCAATTAGTTGCTTCAATTCTTCTAAGTATGGGAAGTGCAAACAAGCCTGTCATAAAACGTGCCAGGAAATTGCTTGTCCACTTTAGAAAACTAGTCCTAGGAGTAATCAAAAGGGACGCCTTGATAGAAGAAAATGGCGATTACCAGATCGGACCTGGTACACTAGAAGGATTGAAACAGTTAGTCAAACTAGTGGTTCTATTATGTACACTCACTGGCTACAAAGGCGAAGATAGCATTTGAACTGGAAAGAATCCACATTACGAAGTATTAGAATTAATGCATACTTTCAACCTAATTATTGTATTTACTTATATATCGTCTTGATCTTTTGCTCCAAGGCACTGGAACTGCTATCTAGAGATTTTAATGCATCCAAGTGAGAGTTGAGTAACTTGATTAGCTGAGTATTCTCATCTTTATTAGCTATGCTCAAATTCGTAGCTCTGTTAAATGTATCACTGACATCGTTTATTTCTGTAATCAGGGATGATAAGTTTAAGGACAAAGAATTCAAGTTTTCGTCAAGAAGCTCTGCAGTGTGGTATGCCTGCTGACGCTTCTGGTCGTTAGTGTTTCCGGAAGGCGACCCATTATTGGTCGATAGAACTTCGGAAAGTAATGTTTCAGCTTTCTTTTCGTAATTATCTAGAAACGTCTCCAAGTCTGTTTGTTGCCTTTCAATATACAACAAGGATTGATCAATTCTATTCTGAGTCTGCTCAGCGATTAATACATCAGAGTATAGTTGACTGATCTGCTCTCCACCTTGGACCAATATTTGATCCCATTCCTTGACCTTTTCGGCATATTGATCAAAATGACTAGCTGCGCCAGTCAATTGTGACGTCCATTTCGTGACCAAATCATCTAAAGTTTTGTTGTCCAATGACACGGGTTGAATTTCGACTTCTTTTTGGATAGAAGTATTTTTCGATGTGGTAGACGAATCAGCGGCATCTTTCTTGACCTCGTCCTTCTTCGCTCCTAATGAAAAGCCAGTAGAAGCTCCTGTGCCATCTTTCGTGGCACCCAAAGAAAAACTAGCAGGCTTTGTGCTATCAGAGCTTGGCTCGGCGACCTTTTTCGTCCCGAAAGAAAATCCTTCAGCTTTGTTCGCGGTATCCGTCTTTCCTGCACCTAAAGTGAATCCTGTATTTGCAGACTTTTCTCCCGTAGCTTCTGAGCCGAATGAGAGACCACCACTCGCGGGCTTCGAACTTTCTCCTGTTTTTTGAAATGTCGCATCTTCTGCTGCCGATTTGCTAGCGCCGAAACTAAAAGCGGGTTTAGTATCCGCTTTCTTTTCACTTGAAGTACCGAAAGAGAAGGCAGGCTTATCAGTATCTTTCTTTTCGGGGAGTGCGCTTGAAGGGAACGATGGCTTGGCCTCATCTTTATTTTCTGCTTTTGATCCGAAAGTAGACGCTGATTTTTCACTGGAATTCTTGTTGGTAGCGCCAAATGAAAAAGCTGGCTTGCTATCTTCTTTCTTGTCGGATGTAGTACCGAAAGAAAAGGCTGGTTTCTTATCTTCTTTTTTATCTGACGATTGGCCAAAAGAGAAGCCTGTCTTGTTGTCATCTTTTTTCTCTGATGAGGAGCCAAAAGAAAAAGCTGGCTGATTTCCGTCTTTCTTCTCTGATGCAGCACCAAAAGTAAACGCTGGCTTTTTATCATCAGCTTTGCCAATAGCAGGCTCAGATGTTGCGGTTGGTTGAGGTGTCGCTTTTTGTTCATTTGTGTTACCAAATGAAAGTGCTGGTTTTATGCCATCATTTTTAGCACTGATAGAACCTAGAGAAAAGGCTGGTTTTGTTTCATCTTTATTACTTGTGTTTACTGTAGACGAAGTGGACTTGTTGCCGTCTTTTTTACTGTCTGTTGTCCCGAAAGAAAATGGTGCTTTTGCGTCACCTTGTTGATTGGATGCAGCTCCAAAGGAAAATGCGGGCTTTGCATCAGATTTATCTTCCTCCCCAACAGTACCACCAAAACTAAAGGGCTTATTTTCTTTATTTTTTACACCTGATGATTGACCGAATGAAAACGCGGCTTTGGATTCCAAATTGTCACTTTTACTTGCCGAGGACCCAAAACCGAATCCAGGCTTATCAGACGACGATCCAAATGTGAGTGAAGGTCCGGAAGAGCTGTTTTTCTCACTTGACGTACCGAACGCAGATGGCTTGGCTTCATTTTTTTTATCATTTTGATTAGCACCGAAACTGAAAGCTGGGGAGCTCTTGGCTGCTGCTTCAGTGCTTCCAGAAGGTGGGTTGCCCTTTTTCTGGTCCAATGCACTCCCAAACGATACTGATGAGTTGGCTTGATTGTTTTTCTCAACGGTCGATCCAAATGTAAAGGCCCCTTGAGCATTAGACTTATTTTGAGCACTTGCACCAAAGCTAAAAGTAGGTTTATTATCATTCGATGCAGCACCGCCTGTTGTAGCACTACCCGCTGTCGTACCAAGACTAAAGGCATTAGTACCGCTCCCCCCATCCGAGTTCTTAGTATCTTGACTAGCATTTGAGTTAGTCGTGTTAAAGCCAAGTCCCGTAGAAGATTTCAAACCGAGGTTGCTACCAGCAGCGTTTGAACCAAAAGAAAACGGGGCTTTAGCCGTCGTGCTATTATTAGTGGAGCTCGCATTGCCAAATTGAAAACCATTTGCACCAGAAGATCCAAAAGATTTTGGTGCCTCACTTCCAGTTGTTTGATTTGAAGATGTAGTTCCAAACGTGGGAGTGCCGTTTTGTCCAAACGCATTTGACGTACCGCCCGTACTTCCAAAGAGTGAAGATTTCCCTGAAGGACCCCCAAAGATGCTGCCTGTTTGATTTTGACCAGATTGATTGTTGTTTGCATTTGAAGTAGATCCAAATCCTCCAAACCCAGTAGTAGCTCCTTTGTTAGGAGTGCTCATACCACCGAAAGGAGAGTTTCCATTTGTGTTTGAGCCCGCATTGTTATTGACATTAAATTGGAAGCTCACTGTGAGAAAATGAGTTAATAAGAGAATATTAAAAATGGTGATCACTTGCTTGACATACTTCTCGGGCTTATATTTGCCTTGATCTACACTAAATAGACTTCAAGTCGTTAGATACTCACCGTAAATACAAAAATTTCATGTTGACCAAAACTGTTCACATCAATTTTATCATCCGGGTAACGTTTTCAGAGAAATGAGAGATTCCACTTATTATCATTAGGTACACTTTATATACAATTAGTCAGCCTAAATATTACTGATTGTTCGTTCTCACACGCTCTATATTATCTAATACTTCGTCATAAACTCGGTCAATTGCCTCTTCCTCGTGCTCCTCCTCAGATTCAGAGTCTGACGAGTAAGAATCGCGTTTGTTTTGACGGGAATCCATTAAGTTGGCATCAACCCCAACAACTGTGTTCCCTGGATTTGGAATAGTTCCAATTTTCTCTTGATCATTCTCATGACGCTTCTTAAACAGGTCATTTATTTCAACGCCGTGTTTTTGAAGGTCTTTCAAGACATCTGCAACTGAAGAAATATCATTAGACAAGATGAACTTCTTAATTTCCTCGCTATCAAAAGTTGCTGCAGCCTTTCTCAGACTTTCTGGGCTCAAAACTTGACCGTTCAACTGTGCATTATCTTTCAATTGATCGATGAAACTTTGTGTATTCTTCAGCACCTTTCCTTCCTCCCTAAGCTGATGATAAGCTTCAGATATTCCGCCATTTCCACCATCTTTTATTTCGATAGCGTCATCTGCCGGGTCAAAAGACTGCACTGCCACTTGATTAAAAGGCAACAAAGCCGCATGTCCGCTCTCTTTGAACTGGGTGGATGATAGAGTCGCAGAAGATGATGTACGCTTGAGCCCGCCTGAACTCGCAGTGCCAGGGTTCAAAGGCTTCCCCGGAGTTGCTTCGGTAAACCGATTCTTACTGACGTCGAAGTCGCAGGAAGTATCGAGAGGTTCACGAATGGCACTGTTATATCTTTGAGCTAGTAGTTGTAATCCTCTCTCAAATGAGGCATCAATGAAGCAAAATCTTATCAAAGTTTCCTTTCCCTCAGTACTTAGCTCGCCTCTCATTCTGAGCCTGAACAAATCCTCAGTGGCTTTGTTAATCACAGAACGTGCTACATTCAAACGATTCACAAAGTTCCTTACTACCACATCAAAATCTTCCCTTTTTGCAGGTTTGTCGGTAAGTAGATCGGCAAGCTCTTCCTGTAAAGAAGAAAAGTTTCCAGATGTATGCTTTTTTCCCGAATTATCAACTTTGTTAATCTCTGCTTCCATATTCCTCATGGTATATAGCGATATCTTATCCTTTATTTTCTCTGGCACGTCTTCATAATCTAAGTCAAGAGTTAATATTGTACTGCTCTTCCTCACTGCTGAACATAGGGCACTACTAGAAGCAAAATCCAATTTGGTGCCCAAAAGTGAAACGTAACTTAGCTTTTTGCACATTGGTAGAACTTCGGCTAATGTCACAACAGAGGTGGGAGAGAGGTTGTCGTAATCCATATGCAAGCGGACCAAGTTAACAAAAACCGGTAAACAATCTGTTAGGTATGGCATTGCATAAGGGAAAACGTCAGGATTATTTGAAATATCCAGAAATTTCAAACTTTCGCAATAGCAAAGTGCACTCAAGAGGCCAAGAACCTCGTTATTCTCCGCGGTAGACCCTTTGGGGACCTTTAAATTAGTACAATTCAAAGAAATGTATTTGAAGACGTTTTTGGTGCGCTTTGTTTTGTTCATCAAAGCATCTAAGAAAGGCTTAATCTTTCCATTCAAGTCGTTAAAACCGATATCTAAACCAGTCACCTTCGATTTAACAAGCCAATCAGCTAATACGTCGCATTGCTCTGCAGTGATCTCATTGTAGGCGAGGCCTAGTCTTTCTGTACTAATACAAGCCAACTCGATGAAGTTTTTAAATTCAGGTAGTGGCATTTTTGCTCCAGATAAGATCATTTCTTCGAGGCCCCCATTGCTCACCAATGCAGCAGAAAGGAGGTTCCAGTTCATATCGCTTCTCCCATCCATGTTACAAGTCATCCGAATTACTTTAGATTTCATCGATGATTTAGAAGGCTTTTGAACATTCAAAGAAAGACCTGGAACCATAGTCAAGTCCAAAGAGTTCAAACTCTTACATTTAGAGACGAAATAGCAAAGAATTTTCCAACCGTCTGCATCTAGAGGAGTATTCCTCAACGAGAGTTTTTCGAATTTTTGTTTAAACATTAAAGAACTTAATATCGTTCTGAACATATGCGCACTAAGATGGACACCATCTAATGATAGACATAAAACAGGGCTTATGCTGAGAAAGTCACTAAACGATAAAACTTCAACAAGTGATGGTTTGGGATTACGGAGTTGTAACAAAGGAATTGGATCAATAGAACCCTTTTTCAATTGTTTGAGCGTCGCAGGTATAGGAAGAATTTCTCTTAAATGACAGCAGCGCGTATAAACGACATCATGTGGAATTTTCACCTTCGAAGGAGGGTAGATGTCGTTGATATCATCACTTTCGTTTGTCATCATCGATGCCAGCGAGCTAGCGGATCTTCTTGTAATCATGGGCTTATCAATGGTTACCTTCGAGGCTGATTTACTCACGATGACTTCTTCCTCGTTATTTGTTACTGTTCTCTGTAATTCATTTGGTGCCTCCTTCGCACGAGCTTCTGCTGCTGCCTCAGCAGCAGCCACACCGATATTGCGCCTCTGCCTTGTTTTGTCCTCATCATTTTCAATGACCGCATCTTCCTTTGTAGAACTTGGTTTAATAGGGGGAGCCATTTCTTCCTTTCGTTTTGCATCGGTTTCATTCTCATCATCACTTGAAAGTAACTTCAAATGCCCAGACCCTCCAACAACAATACCAGTGCTTGCATTTTGCAAGATCTCTCTCTTCTCCTCAGGTGATAATCTGTGAATTACAACCGAGCCATCAGGTTTCACCTCAACTTCACCTTTCCTGGGATTTCTACTACATATCTGTTGAGGGGGGTCATTAAAATAGGTATTCGTGGCGAATGCAACTCTTTTAAGAGGTTTCATATCCTCCAACCCAGGGATAATATCTTTGGCAGGACTATACTTGAGAGTTTCTTTTGAACCCTCGGACGATTCTTCATCTGAGCTATGGTCATCAGCGTCCAATACCGATGAGCGCGAAGAATGTTCTTCTGTGTGTGACGTGACTCTTCTCAAAAATGCACCAAATTTATTGGCAGTTGATGATGAGTTACTCCTTGTTTTAGTCAATTTCACAGAATCTTCAACTTCTTTACAGTGCTTAATTGCTGGAGGAAGTTTTGGTTTATTCGGGTGTGGAGGAATCGGCCTTCCTTTGAAATCCAAGACGATTTTCTTTTCAGGCATTGGTGGACTATCCATATTTGCGTCGATGGAAAAGCTGGGCCGACTTCTTGGTATGCGACTTTGAAATTTGGCTCCTGTGGATTCATCACCTTGCTCCTTTAATTTGGGGATTTCCCTCGTCTTGTAATACTCAAGATACGCTTCAAGTCTACTGTCAAAGGCGTCGCCCATCACTGGTGCAGTTTTAGATCGCTTCAACGAATTTTCATCCTCGGGCAATGCTGTTTTGACGGGTACACCTTCGGACTTTGATGAAACAGAGGCAGATGCAACAGGCCTCACAGAGTTTACATTTGTAACTGAGTTGGTAGCCGTATTCGAATCGACAACGCTGTTGCGACGCGAACTTTCTTTCGAACTTATGCCACCAGACTCACTCTCCTTTTCAGGTTGAGAATCCTTCTTCTTCTTACCGAACAACGACCGAAAAAATCCCCTTTTCTCCTTCTTGGGTTCTTCAATATGCCCTTTGCTATTCATGGATAGTGATTTCGTTCTCCTTAATGAAACCCCAGAGTTGTAAGGGTTGAATTTATCGTACTGCCAGTCATTTTGTTTATCTTGAATAGAAATGGACCTTCTCCTCTCTCTTACCACACGATTCGACCCTAATACGGTAGTATGTGCATCCTGCACATAGTGATCATTTTCGAAGCCTGTGCTTGGTGATGGTGTCGATTTATGCAAAGCTGCTTCTTGTTCCTCGGAAATTCCAACAGAATGCTCTCTAACATAATCTTCTGGCGGCTTAGTTTTGCTTCTTGTCCGCGTCAGCCAGTCCAAATTTAGGGACTCAGATGGACACCTACTAAGCAACTCTTTTTTATGCATCTCAGTGGTATCCTGCCGACCGTGTGGCATACTCATTCTTGCTCCTTGAGCGCTTGTTTTCTGTATACTCAATATGTCCCCTTGAACAAATGTCTAACAAGCTAAAAGATTCCATACGTATTTTGTGATCACGTGCACGAGGACGCTCGAAGAAGCACATCTGGTACGATCTTATAGAATATGCAAGCCAATTGCTCTGGAAAGCTCATACGAGGCTGAATACCATAGTGTAGAAGTGATGGGAGCTTTACGAGTCAAAATGGTGCTTGTATGACCTAAATTGTTGGCCAAGTGCGTTGTTTAAGGGTTCTTTCTTTAGGCAATCCGTTATTGGTGAAAACGGTAGGAAAAAATCACATTAGTCTCACCTAGGTTGATGATGAAGTAGCGGGCTGCTTAGAGGCTACTCCTTTATAGAAATAGGACATCTTTCAGTGATTTGCGCCGTTTAGGTTAGAAACAAAAAAGTTGAAAATCCACGAACTTTTCACTGAATAAAGACCAAGACATGTCGGGCAAGATCGAGCACCTTGTTAAACAATACCGAACGCGTGAGGAGCTCAGCCAGCGAGGTGTGTGGCGTGGGGAGCTATATCGCCCTGAAGAATTGAGATATTTTGAGCGAGGATGGTGTTGGAAAACACTTTTGCTAGGCGAAGAGGACGATTTGGTTACAAATTTAGAATCTGTTCAAATTGGGGATGAACCAGTCAGGGAGCGGGACTCGCGGGAAATGTCAGGTGTGAGGAGGCTGACGCCCGTAACTGCCATCTCCCACCCTTTAGAAGTGGATGATGATCCTTTGAAAGAGAATATTCCGCTTGAGGATACGCTTGACATAGTTCGATTGGATGTTGATCGGCTGTTGCTTGATCCAGTCTTCGCAAATGAAGCTACCAAGGAGGAAATGATCAAAATCCTTTACAACTACGTATTAGAAAATGAAACAAGCTACAAGCAAGGGTACCACGAAATATGTGGTGCCGTATATTTGCAGATGCGGAAGGAAGATGCAGAGGCACGAACCGTTAACACCTTTAACATATTCAACAAATTGATGTCAAGAATCCGTCCGGTCTTCTACGAAGAGGAGGCTTTATTGAAATGGTCCAGAGAGCGATTTGATGCAATATTTAAATGCACTGCTCCTAAATTATACGAGCTTCTAGTAAAGCATCACGGGATGGATAACACCGTTTGGCTAATCCGATGGAGCCGCTTGTTGTTTCTGAGAGAATTAGAACTCGGATACGCGCTGCGCATCTGGGACCATCTCCTGACATTTTCATACCCATTGGCGGATTTGGTGGCATGCACAATAGTGGTGATGCTCATAGTAATTTCACAAGAGCTGCACACGTGCGAAGATCAAGGTGAAGTGATCAGTTTACTATTGCATTATCCACCAGAAAAGCTAATAGATTGCACTGATTTGATGAAGTATAGTGCCAGCTTGTACGAGTTGTTCGCATCTCGGCAATACGAGGACATGTACGGTGTTGGTCAGACACTTTCGAAGATCTATAATCGCGACTGGTACGACAAGATAGCCGCAGTCCCGGATCAAAACCGACTCAGGCTCGAAGAGAGATTAAAGAGACGCGTAGAGATGCGCTTAAAAAAGTAGTACTCATCACTGTATAGAACAAAGCGCTAATAATTTCGAGGACCACCATTCGAATCTTAAATCGAAAAAGAGTGTATCATTAACGTTACGTAAAGATATAAAGTTTGGTCGTATCAGTATAGTGCGTACACATCTATTTCTTACCTTGGTTAGCAACGGCGGCGGCACCAGCGGCAGCGGCTTCTGGGTCCAAGTAGTAAGAAGGCTTGGATGGCTTCAAGTTTTCGTCCAATTCGAAAACCAATGGAATACCAGTTGGAATGTTCAACTTGGCAATGTCAGCATCGGAAATACCTTCCAAGTGCTTAACCAAAGCTCTTAGGGAGTTACCGTGAGCGGCGATCATAACAGTCTTACCGGACAACAACTCCTTGGCGATAACATCTTGCCAGTATGGCAACAATCTGTCGATGACCAAAGCCAAAGATTCAGTGGCTGGCAAAACGTTAGGGTCGACATCGGCGTATCTTTCGTCACCCTTTTGAGAGTACTTGGAGTCGTCCTCGATGGTTGGTGGAGGAACGTCGAAGGATCTTCTCCAGGTGGTGAACTTTTCTTCACCGTATTGAGCCAAGGTCTCAGCCTTGTCCTTACCTTGCAAAGCACCGTAGTGTCTCTCGTTCAATCTCCAGGATCTTTGAACTGGGATCCACAATCTGTCGGCCTCGGACAAAGCAATGTTGGCAGTTTGGATAGCTCTGCTCAACTTAGAAGTGAACAAGATGTCAGGCTTGACGTTCTTCTCCTTCAACAATTGACCAGCACGGGCAGCTTCCTTCTCACCGACGGCGGACAATCTGACGTCAACCCAACCGGTGAACAAGTTCTTTTCATTCCATTCGGATTGACCGTGTCTAACTAGAACTAACTTTGGCATTTTTATGTGATATGTGTAGTTGGCTTTCGAATATACGATTTAGAAACTACAGACTGTCTACAACTTGCTTTATATATGCTTTCATCTCACCGTCACCAGATTTCGTCACCCGACGGGAAGCTGTACCACGCCGTTTGTCAACCGGAAGTTGATCTTGTCAAGACCTCACCACTCTACAGGAAGCCGAAGGAAGCCGGCATCCGCGTTTTCAAAGGAAGCTGTACCCCTAGTGTATGGGTGGCGCCACAATTTTTCTATCACGTGGAAAATTCAATAATCGCCGGTCATATGATCTGGAAATGCTCCTCCCATTTAAAGAATTCATATTATTGAAATACATCTTAGCTAAAGCATACGTACAAGTGCGCTTGCTACACGCACAGCAGCGTTTCTTAACGCATCGGATTAGTTGAGATTACACATTCCAATTGATTTGAGCAATGTATTTTTTTCAGTTTGTTTGCGTTCTGTACTGTGTTTGTCTTTTGGTATCGCATCGCCCAGTTTCGTGAAGTCATTTCGAGTCATATCATTCGTATCGTATATCTCAGTAGATTCTTGGGTTCTGAAGAAGCCTATTCATTATCTAAAAGGGTGGCATATGCCTCCCCTACGCGGTCGTTGACGTCTGTCGTCTGCATCGCCCGGCCACATTGGGCGAAGGCGAGCCTGGCACACTCTCTCGTTATAGAACTGCCAACATAGCAGCTGAGCACAACCATCTGACCCCATTCAAGCTTTTCGGTAGGCTCCCAGATCTTGAAGTCGTGCACAGCACGGCTGAACGCCAACATTGTGGCAATGACTCCGGTCAGTGTGTCGCCTTGTCCTCCAACACGCTTGTAGGAGCCCGTGCTGGAACACGTAAGACAGCCGTCTTTGTGCCAAATCTGATCCTTATCACCTTTTTGCACTACCACACATTGCAGCTCACGCGCCACGTCAGCTCCTGTCTTGACCCCCAGACGATCCACGATGCGCCCGAACTCTACCACATTGGGTGTTAGTACCACGCGGCCCGGCTGAAATTGGCGTAGCAATTCGCAGACCCGCTTGGAATATGGATCGCTGGAAACCAAAAACAGTCCATCTGCATCCAATACTACGGGGATCGCACCCTTGTGTTTCGTAACCAGATACTCCAGAATGTTAACCACGCTCTCTAGCATTGTGCGGTCGCGTCCAAGGCCAGGTCCCACCACGCATACATGCATACGATCCAGCAATCCATGTACTTTCTCCATCTCAGGTTTTCCCGCGTTGCCCTCTCTAAGATACGGGTGCACCATCAAGTTTGGTGTGTAACTTTTGATCACGGTCCCAGCATTCAATTCACACATTACATGCGTTAAGTCCGCCCCGAATAACGCAGCAGAATGTGCACTGAAGTAGGGTGCGCCTGTATAATCCTCACAGCCGCCGATCACGCATACTCGCCCACATTGACCCTTATGAAACTCCGGAAGAAGTGGCGGGATGCAGCTTCTTTTCGCCAATTGTAGCAATTCTTGATGTGTCAATCTTGAAAGCATATTGCAACTTAGGGTGTTGGAAAATGTTGAAGAATATTAATATAACTCCTCGCACTAACTCTATAACTATATTCTCATATAACCGTTTGTTAACAACCAGTTGGAACTTTTATTTAACCACGTGAATACCGTAGAAGCAAAGATACGTAGCGCACCACCCATACCTGAAAGAGTTTCGTCGAACGGTTGCCCCAGGCGACTGCGAATTAGAATAGCTCAAAAGGCTGGTGCCTTTTCTGTAGGTATATAAGTAATCCAGTTACAGTTGCTATGTTGACCCGTCAGTTTGCGACACCAACGTCAACGATGCTAGCCAGAATTTTCAGGTCCAAGAACACAATCCCACTTGCTATCGGTACCACTGCTATTGCAGCCTCATTTTGGTACTCTACTGCCATTAGAAATGATACCCTTAAGACATTCAACGGAGATGATAAATGGATCGACCTAAAAATCGCCAAGATCGAAGACGAATCGCATGACACACGTCGCTTTACATTTGCATTGCCAAGCGAAGACCATGTTACCGGTCTACATACTGCATCTGCGCTTTTAGCCAAGTTTGTGACTCCTAAGGGGTCCAACGTCGTACGTCCCTACACACCAGTGAGCGACATCTCTGAGAAGGGCCACTTCCAACTGGTTATCAAGCACTACAAGAATGGTAAGATGACCGAGCACCTCTTTGGTCTCAAGCCAGATGACACTGTGAGCTTCAAGGGCCCTATATTGAAATGGAAATGGGTTCCTAACTCCTTCGACACCATCACCCTACTCGGTGCAGGATCCGGTATTACACCCTTGTTCCAATTGGTGCATCATATTGCTCAAAACCCTGATGACAAGACCAAGATCAACTTGTTGTATGGTAACAAGACTCCAGGCGACATTTTGTTGAGAAAGGAACTTGATGAGATCCAAGCTAAATACCCTGACCAGGTCAAGGTCACTTACTTCGTTGATCAACCAGATGATTCTTTCAAGGGTGAAAAGGGCTTCATTACCAAGGAATTCCTACAATCCCACATTCCTAAGCCTACTGAGAAAGCTCAAATTTTCGTATGCGGTCCACCACCTTTCATGGACGCCTACTCTGGTAATAAGAAGTCTCCATCCGATCAAGGTGACTTGACCGGTATTCTAAGTGAAATGGGTTACACCAAGGATCAAGTTTTCAAATTCTAAATTGCACCTACGTAGATAGTTTTATACATTCACATGCTTCAATAAGATCTCTGTACTTGTCAGTCTGCTGACGTTCGGTGCTATCGGCGAATCGGTCCAGATTGTAGTGATCCCAATTCACCTCTGCAAGATCGCCACGCTGGCGCTTCAGCTCGAGGAAGTCTAGATTTGTAAATGACTTGGCGGGCGGCTGCTGTTCTAAGAAACGCACATTGGCCAAGAATTCCGGGTCAGCGTACAGATGAAGCGCCTCAGGATCATACGTAGGATGTGCAGTATCAACATCTATTTCTATCAGCTCTAAATGTTGTCTGCCCCTACCGCACTTGTCCAAGGCAAGAAATCTTGTAATTGCAGGAATTGATGGCTCTGATTCGTCATGCACTTTCTCCTTTGTCAAACCATCTAGATCTAAGTCGATTTCGTCGGGATTGCTGCCTTGCACCTCTCTGGCTCTCTTACCTGAAGAAACTTCCGCCTCGAACTTGATGTGTAAGTGGGCACTCAGCCACCAATGTGGAGTAATTGATCTCAGTAATTGCCAACTTATAGGACTTCCAAGTCGTCCACTATCTATGTCTTTCTTGAAGAATGGTTTTCGTTTCAAGAGCGTTTTAATGTCACCATGGAAAGCAATGCCTTGGGGCCAGTCATGAGTCATCATTATGTCGACGTTGGGAAGCATGAAGAGTGGTGAAACATCGCTGTCGCGGACGTGATACAGGCTTCGCACATGCCGAGTCCACCCATCAGTTTGAACATCCTTCAAGGACGGCCTTTTACGAAGAAAATCGTGAGGTTTGTATATTCCACTTAATCCGCTTATCCTGACACCTCTAACTATCAGTGACCCGCTGAAGCCGATGTAGTAAATATTGCGAGCAACGAATCCTCCATGCGGTAACTCCATGAGCTGCCGCATGCTTTCATGGTTACCCCCAATAAATATCGTTGGCAAAGGAGCTATTTTGAGTCCAGAGTAATAGTCCTGAAAGTCTCCTAGACGAGCATATTTTGGAGGAACTGAAATTGAACTTAAGTCTTCTTCCCCGCGCAAGGATTGGAAATCTCCCAAAATCAGCAGTAAGTCCGGCATCTGATCACCATACCTCTTAGTGATAAGATCATAAATATTTTGAAGCTCGCCGTGAGCACATCCTTGAATTGCTATTCGAAGTTTCGCCATCAAAATTTTAGCAAGTTCAACCACCCATTAGCGAAGATGAAATATCCAAATTTTCATTTCGGCCAATTTTCTGAATAAATAATAAATAGATAATAAATAACATGTACGTGCAATTACACAACGAATGAGGTTTAAAAATAAACAATAAAAAAAGGTAAGATCAGTAGATTTTGTCATATAAGATTCGGATACTCATTTTCGCGTCTCAAGCTAATTTCTTATCTGCTTTTTTAAATTCTCTCCTGGAGTTAAAAAATGACAATGAACTCAGTAAGCTCTTACAGTTGGTGGTACGGGAGGGCACTCTTTTTCATCTAGAGTGTTGACCTTAACGGCTCTGTAACCCAATTTTACTTTATCAGCAGTGTTCTTCTGCCATGACAAAGTGTGCTTCATCCAGTGCTCATCATCTCTCTCAGGGAAGTCCTCTCTGGCATGTGCACCACGAGATTCTTTTCTGTTGGCGGCAGAATAGGCGGTTTGTGTCGCATTAGTCAACAGGTTTTGCAGTTCCAGGGTTTCCACCAAATCGGAGTTCCAAATCAAGGACCTGTCAGTGGTGCCGACATCAGCGAAACTCTTATCAACAGCAGTGATATTCTTGCAACCTTCATCGAGAGTCACCTGTGTTCTGAACACGGAGACATCTTTTTGCATTGTTTTCTGCATGGCTAGTCTGATTTCTGCAGTTGGTTTGGAACCCTCAGCATTTCTTAGCTTATCTAAATTGGCAATGGACTCTTTACCTAAGTCGGCTGGCAAAGGCTTGTGAGGTAGACCTGGTTGCAATGTGTCAGCAACCGTGTGAGCTACAGCACGACCAAACACAACCAAATCCAATAGCGAATTAGCACCAAGTCTGTTAGCACCGTGGACGGACACGCAAGCGGCTTCACCACAAGCCATTAGACCAGGGATAACCTTGTCCTCACCGTTCTCATCGATAGTTACAGCTTCACCATTCCATTTGGTTGGAATACCACCCATATTGTAATGCACTGTTGGCAAGATTGGAATAGGCTCCTTGGTCACGTCAACACCTGCGAAAATTGCAGCAGTTTCAGAAATACCTGGTAATCTTTCCTTTAGAACAGCTGGGGGCAAGTGGCTCAATTGCAAATACATATGATCCTTTTCTGGGCCAACACCTCTGCCCTCACTAATTTCCATTGTAATGGCACGAGAGACAACATCTCTACAGGCCAAATCTTTGGCGGTTGGCGCGTAACGCTCCATAAATCTTTCACCCTCAGAGTTGACTAGGAAACCACCTTCACCACGAGCACCTTCGGTGATCAAACATCCGGAACCGTAGATACCCGATGGGTGAAATTGAATGAACTCCAAGTCTTGTAAGGGGAAACCTGCTCTTGATACCATAGCATTACCGTCACCGGTACACGTGTGCGCAGATGTACATGAGAAGTACGCACGTCCATAACCACCGGTGGCAATGATTGTCTTGTGAGCTCTCATTCTGTGAATCGTACCATCTTCTTGGTTGTAAGCGATCACACCGACAACTTCACCGTTGTGAGTTAGCAAGTCCATAGCGAAAAATTCAATGAAGAAGTGAGTGTTGTGCCTTAGAGCTTGACCATAAAGCGTGTGTAGCAATGCATGGCCTGTACGGTCAGCGACGGCACAGGTTCTGTAAGCCTGACCACCTTTACCGTATTCCTTGGATTGACCACCAAAAGCACGTTGATAAATCCGTCCGCTTTCAGTTCTCGAGAAAGGCACACCAAAGTGCTCCAATTCGATAATCGAATCTGGTGCCTCACGGGTCATGTAGTGGATGGAATCCTGGTCACCCAGCCAATCAGAACCTTTCACGGTATCGTACATGTGCCATTTCCAGTCATCCTTGTGCATGTTACCCAATGCAGCATTAATACCACCTTGTGCGGCCACTGTATGAGATCTAGTGGGGAAAAGCTTGGATATACATGCTGTCTTATAGCCAGCTTCCGCTAAACCGAACGCGGCCCTAAGTCCGGCACCACCTGCACCGACAACCACACAGTCGTATTCGTGGTCTACTACCTGATATTTACCATCAAAGGCGCTGCCGCTTTGGCCATCAACATCCCCCTTGGCTGCAAATGCTTGCAGGGCCCGGGAACTCTTGCTAAACAGACGTTTGCCCGTTCCAACTTTACAGTGTCTGAGAGAAAGCATGCCCTGAGTTTTCTACTATGGAATGAATTCTGTGATCTGGATGTTTCCTGATTCTTGCCGAGCGTAAACTTGTCAATGCTCTTTTGATGGTGCAGCCCTTGTAGAATTCTTGGCCCCTACATGACCCTTTATACGTGCGGGCGGTCGCGCCTGCGAACTTATATACGCTGCGAGCTGTTTTCGGAGAAAATCGGGCCCGGCAGCGTGCCATTTTTTCGGGGACGATGTCGGCCTCACGTGTAAATCACGTGCTACGGAGACATGGGGCATTACATTCAATTCACGACTTAAGCGTCATCGCAATTGGTTAAGAGGTTTATACTAGCTGGCGCCAGTATACTCTGGTCCAACAAGCAGGCGTTTTGTCATTATCACATAGTGCTATCGGTCTAAGCGCCATCAACCAAGCTGGGCTGCGTTATGTCGCGCCGTGCTTCCATTGTAATCTTTGAATGCCACAAATTTGCGCTTTCTCCGGGGCGCTAAGGCCGGGCTTTAGGTGAGAAACAGATGACACCTGGATGGCCCTCAAAGCGTATGTGAAATACAGTCGCTTACTAAGATCACATATGGTGATGATGACCCCGAAAATTTCCTTTCTATTGGCGACCAAAGCATGACGGCGCGGCAGCCGGAGAAATGGAATATCGTCCACAGAGTAAACAGATGGGAGTGGTCAATGCTTCTCTTTGTCTGTGCTCGGTAAAAGATCGATGAGCGTGTGACGAGGATGTAGTCCTTTCAGATTTGCGTAAAGTAATGTTGCTGGAAGTAATGGCAGTCGTTTTCTGGTGCGAGCAGTCCCCAACGAGCAGTCATTAATAAGCGATTTACTCGTAGCAGTCTGCTGTATCGTAATATCGTTTCTAGTGAATGGTCCACAATCCTTTGACGTTTTTTCATACCTCTGAGGAAGAAGAAAGAGTGTTGTTCGAAAGAACACGGGGAAAAAGGGACCCATATTTATATAACGCGAGTTTAGCCGCCGAGATCAACGAATTACGAATATCCCTTAAAGTAAAAAACAACAAATAAACACACCACTTGGTAGCTTCTGATTGTAATTGAGGTGCCAAAACAAATGGGTACAGCACTGAAACAGGTCTTGTGTTTGTTGCGGTAATCTTGGCCTATTGCATTCCTAAGCGTCTCCATTCATGGTTTTCAGTGGCAATATACACCCATCGACTAAAGAACTGGGTGGCGCTAGTTTACAGAAAACGTTAGTTAATGCAATGAGATGCGACTTTTTAACCATTTGAGACGTCCTTGATCTAGCCAACGCGTTTTTTTGTGTTGGATGTTAGAGATCGACAAGGATATCAAACTTATTTCACGGGCCGCACTAATTGTTTTACCCACAGTAGATACAATTAAAAACCAGTTCTACATGGGATGATAATCGTGGGCTCTCTTCTAGTGTGCCCATTATATGCTCTGAGTTCCAACAATTGTGCCTTTTTGTCTTGCTTCATTTTGGTAACTCAAAAGCCCCTCAGTGTCATTCAGTACTTTGTTTAAACCGTATCGTCCAGCCACAACTTGGCCAACGTGGGACGCCTGAACTGCCCGCATCGCACAACGAGGTGATACTTTCACAACCTGGAATAACTAACACCAATAATGTGGCTATCGCTGCACGTGCGATCGATATCACGTGCCTAAAGTTTCCTTCATCGTTGGTGAAAATGAATGCTCTTGACGTTCTTTAAGCTTTGAAGCGACACACTATTTTGATCACTAATGGGCGCTCTCAATAGTTCTACCCCAGTCTCAGATGTTGTATCGTCTTCGAAAGCAAGTCGCCGTGGTTCTACTGCATTGCCCAATGTTGTAGTTGAGAATTCCCCCGGCAAGCAAGTGGTGGACATTGTGTCGCGTCATTTGGTGCAGCCTTCTGATGAGCAAATGTCTGCCTCATTCAACTCGCTGCAGTTACAAGGTGGTGATATCACGCGTGAACTGTATCGCTGGCAAGATCAAAACGTGGACGTCTCAGATATTGCTTCTGCTCGTGGCGATCCGACACGGCGTCGTAGATCGATGAGCTTTACGAACAGTGTCACATCGCATGGGTCACTCAACCCTCCAGAGATGAGTGCCGACGAAATACGAGCACCCCAAGGCTTTAGAAGAAGCTTCATTGTACAGAAGAGAATGCAAGAAAACCGTGAAATGCCGAATTTCATGGCTCGTAACTTCATCGAATTCTTGACCTTGTATGGGCATTTTGCGGGTCAAGACCTTAGCGACGATGAAGATGAAGAAGAAGAAGTAGAGGATGAAGAGTCAGCATTGCTTTCGGAAAGAATCCCTCGCCGTAAGCACCGGAAACCACATGAAGCCTCTGTATTTAAGGCTGTGCTTCTTTTACTCAAAGCATTTGTTGGTACCGGAGTACTTTTTTTGCCCCGCGCATTTCACAATGGTGGCTGGGCCTTTTCCACGGTATGTTTGTTGTTCTGCGGCGTGGTCTCGTTTTATTGTTTCCTCTTGTTAATCAATACCAAGGACAAACTGCATGTGAATGGTTACGGTGATCTTGGAGCAGCCATTTATGGACCCACGATGCGGTATGCGATTCTCGGATCAGTTGTTTTGTCGCAAATTGGTTTTGTCGCTGCTTATGCAGTGTTCACAGCCACGAATCTTCAAGTTTTCTTTGCCAATGTGTTCAATTGGAATTTTCCCATGTCTACCTGGCTACTTGCCCAACTTTTGTTTTATATTCCATTATCGTTAACCAGAAGTATCGCCAAACTGAGTAGCACGGCACTTCTTGCGGACCTTTTCATTGTCCTGGGTCTCCTGTACGTTTACTACTATTCAGGTCAATATGTGGTTCAACATGGTATTGCTGCTGAGACTATGCTAGCAATGAATAAGGATGATTGGACACTGTTCATTGGAACCGCCATTTTTACTTATGAAGGTATTGGATTGCTAATTCCAATTCAGGAATCGATGAAACAGCCTGAGAAATTCTCGAAATGCTTACTAGGTGTTATGTTGGGGGTATCTGTTGCCTTCATTTCTTGTGGGCTACTGTGCTATTCTGCATTTGGAAGCTCAGTCAAAACTGTCATTTTACTCAATTTCCCGGAGGACTCAATTCTCACTGCATCAGTGGAGCTTCTATATGCTTTAGCAATCATGCTCTCTACACCACTTCAACTGTTTCCCACCATTAGAATCTTGGAGACATCGCTTTTCCCCAAAAATGCTTCGGGCAAGCATAACCCTCGTGTCAAGTGGATGAAGAATTATTTCCGTGTTGCTATCGTCTTGGCCAATATGTTCATTGCTTGGATCGGTGCTAATGACCTTGACAAATTTGTCTCTCTAGTGGGTAGCTTTGCATGCATTCCTCTTATTTATATCTATCCTCCACTACTACATTACAAGGCCTTTTCTCATGGCGGCGCGAGCAAGTTACACCTAGTGCTTGATCAATTGATCGCCTGGTTCGGCGTGCTTGTATTGATATACACATCTTACCAAGCTGTCCGTCTATGGATTTCCTGATTTGAATCATCAGACCTGCTCACAGGTATTCCAGACGTTTTTAAAAGTACATAACATACATCATTCGTAATTTAATGAGTCCATAATCGGTTCTGTTATGTCTTTCTTGTTTTAAACGTGTTTGTGTGCCGGGTAACTGTACGTTGTATTTCATCCAAGATAATATTCAAGGCGGCATTTGCCACCGATTCAGTACCTAACAATTGGACAACCATGCCACCAAAAGAGGATTGGGAAAAGTATAAGGCTCCTGTAGAGGAGGAAACAAAGGAAGAAAAGCCTAATGTTCCGCTAACGGAAGGAGACATCCAGGTTTTGAAGACATACGTATGTATATTCTGTTGCCACCCAGCACTATCGAATGAAGATGGCTCAAAATGCTGTCATTTATCATTAATAGAGACTAACAAACCAATTACAGGGGGCTGCACCATATGCTGACAAGCTTAAGGCAATTGAAAAAGATTTGAAGGATATCGAAACGCGTATAAAGGAAAAAGCAGGGGTCAAGGAAAGTGACACAGGTCTTGCGCCATCTCATCTCTGGGATATCATGGGTGATAGACAGCGTTTAGGTGAAGAACATCCTCTTCAGGTGGCAAGATGTACTAAAATCATTAAGCCTGAGGCTAGTGAAGAGAATGCTGGTGATGAAGATGAAGAAGATTCAAAGTACGTTATCAATTTAAAGCAAATCGCCAAGTTTGTGGTTGGTCTTGGTGAGCGTGTATCTCCTACTGATATTGAAGAAGGTATGAGAGTAGGTGTGGATAGATCGAAGTATCATATCGAGTTGCCACTTCCCCCAAGGATTGATCCCTCGGTAACTATGATGACTGTGGAAGAAAAGCCAGACGTCACATACAGTGACGTTGGAGGTTGTAAAGAACAAATTGAAAAGCTTCGGGAGGTTGTGGAGTTGCCACTGCTGTCTCCAGAAAGATTCGCCACTTTGGGTATCGATCCTCCCAAGGGTATTCTGCTATATGGACCACCAGGTACAGGTAAAACATTGTGTGCTCGTGCTGTGGCCAACAGAACGGACGCAACCTTTATTAGAGTAATCGGTTCCGAATTAGTTCAGAAGTATGTCGGTGAAGGTGCTCGTATGGTGAGAGAGCTTTTTGAAATGGCACGCACAAAGAAAGCATGTATCATTTTCTTTGACGAGGTAGACGCCATTGGTGGTGCCCGTTTCGATGATGGTGCCGGAGGTGACAATGAAGTACAAAGAACAATGTTAGAGCTAATTACACAGTTAGACGGTTTCGACCCTAGAGGTAACATCAAAGTCATGTTTGCAACTAATAGGCCTAACACATTAGATCCAGCCCTGCTAAGACCAGGAAGAATTGATCGTAAAGTAGAGTTTTCTTTACCTGATTTGGAAGGTCGTGCAAATATTTTCAGAATTCATACGAAGTCTATGAGTGTGGAACGTGGTATTAGATGGGAATTAATATCCAGATTGTGCCCTAATTCTACTGGTGCGGAGTTGAGATCCGTATGCACAGAGGCTGGTATGTTCGCCATTAGGGCGAGGAGGAAGGTTGCTACCGAGAAAGATTTCCTCAAAGCTGTGGAAAAGGTCATAAACGGTTACAAGAAATTCAGTTCGACGTCCCGCTATATGCAATATAACTAGGTTACTTGCATTTTACTACGAACAACATAACTATTTGTAAGTAAATAATATTTTTACAGCGATGTCAAGTACACATCTCGGTAGGAAATAATTCAAGCGCTTAAACTTTTATTTTATAATACACAATGCAACTACTTTATTGAAATCCTCGTCTACTCCCACCATCCGACAAGACCCATACCGTCAGTTTGACAACTTCCTAGTAGAGCATACGCCGGAGGCTTCTCAACTTGCTGTTTCTGATCATCTAGTAAAGTTTCGTCTTGCTCCATCTGTTCTTCGAGCTCTCGCTCCTTTGGTGATTTAGGTTTCACGGCTACGAATACCTCTTGTTCCACACGGAATCGAATCTTCTCATTAACATCCAAGTAGAGCTTAGTTTCCGCATCCATTGGCCATACCCAAGCATTATCATCTGGGGAGTAGTAACAACCTTCGAATAGCATTTTTTGGGGAATGAAAATGTCGTCAAAGACACCTAAAAGTGATACTTTGATGCCTTCTGCTGTGCACCGTGAAATCCAACCAGTTATAATTTCACCCACAAAAGGCTTGAATACCAGTAGCCTAAATTTAGTGTTTATGTAAGAAGCCCCGTCTCCTGGTTTCAACTGCCCTTCATCAACTGCTAGTAAATCATATACTGTGATACAGAGGCCCACACGAGGTATAACTTTATTCGCAAATTTGTCATTCAACTGGTGAATAATAGCCGATCTAGTATCCCTGTGGAATTGATCGGGCGGCACTCTTACCAAATCGGACACAGTGGTCAAAATAAACATTAGGAACCTCGCACTAACCCTACCAGATGGTTTACTAGGATGATCATTGAGAAATAGAAAATTTTTGAGATGCTCGGCGCGCTACTTTTCAATGTTCAATGGTCACGTGTTTTGATTGGAAAACGCAATACGACGCTCCAATTCCACAAAAGGCGTTGTCATTCTAGAATTGTAGCCTAACGCTCTATTCAAGTTTGAATCGGGCCTATTGAGCAACTTATCACAATCGTTGCTTTCTAGGGTGATCCTTTTTAATAATTCACGTGACGTGATTCTTTCCTTACCAACAAAAATTTTCTGACCATGCGATGAGCTTTGAGATGAGTTGCAATTGATATCAGATAAAACTAGGAAACTATGTCGTCCAAGTCTCGATTTGATCGTAAAACCGCGAAAAAATATGCTGTGGTTCACAGGCCGCATGATGATCCGCAGTTTTACGATGCAGACGCTTCAGCACACGTCCTTGTGCCAGTTGACAATCCCAACAAAAGTCGGGATCTAGGCAAAGTAAAGTCTCCACTAGCCAGAACTGTCACCGGGAAGATCAAGTCTGCTTCCAATACTGTAAGCGAACATGTCGGAGAAGCTGCGAAGTATGGTATACTGTTCGACGATTCGAATTACGACTACACCAAGCATTTGAAGCCCATCGGAGAAGATCCTGATGCAGTTTTCATTCCAGCAAAGGGTGAATCTAAAGTCCCAAGGAAGCAGAATATCGAGGATATGATTGTGGAACCTAAATATAAGAGCACAACTGCAAAAGCGGAATCTGTTTTTCAACGAGGAATGGCCAAACCAGAATATCTGATTCACCAGCAGGATGTCGAGGACGAGCTTCGCGGATTCAAACCTGACATGAACCCAGCCCTTCGTGAAGTTCTAGAAGCCTTGGAAGATGAAGCATATGTTGTGAACGAGGACATCGTGGTTGGCTCCGAGAAAGTAAAGCCTAGTTCAATGGAGGACGATGCCGCGGGAGATGATGATATATTTGCAGAATTACTAGGAAGCGGCCGAGTTGAAGACGAAGAGGATTTCGAGCAGGAGTTCGATGAGTGGGATATGGATAACTTAGAGAATTTCGAGGACGACAACTATCAAGAAGAACTTCAACAATTTGACAAGATTGAGAATCTTGAAGATCTACAACACATCGACTACCAGGCCGACGTTGGCAGATTCAAAAAAGAACAGTCCCGGAAGTATGTCAGTGACGATTGGGATTCTGATAATGATCTGGAATCTGATGGAGTTGCCGCCAGTTCCGATGAAGAACGTGACGGCTTGGGTGAACTTCCTTCCATAAATATGAAGCAAAAAGGACAGAGTTCTAACAAAAAAAAGCATCGTCGTAAGAAGGGTGCGATGTCTGATGTCTCCGGGTTCTCGATGTCTTCTAGTGCGATTGCAAGATCTGAAGCTCTTACTGTTCTGGATGACCGCTATGACATGATCATATCCGGTTACGATAATTACGAAGAGGAGCAAGAGCTTGATGAAGAAAATAACTACAAGCCTTTTGATATGGCAAATGAAAGAAGCGATTTTGAGTCTCTGCTCGATGATTTCCTGGACAACTACGAACTGGAGAAAGGTGGTCGTAAACTGGCTAAGAAGGATAAGGAAATTGACCGCATTAAAATGGCTGCAGACGAAGTCAGCAAAGGTAAGCTATCCATGAGAAGGAAAAGAGAAGCGCAAAAAAACGCAGTGGATAATTTATCCAATGGCTTGAGTAGTTTACGCTTTTGATGTCTTTGTATCACTTATTTGTAACATAGTAATTGTGTACGTATATTTACACACTCTTTGGAAAAATAGAACTGAAGCATCTATCGCCCCTTAATCCACTGCTACGTACAATATCGAAAAGGTATTGACATATTTCTAGTTCCAAACTTTGAAGTTGTGGCCAGAAGATCTTAATCACGATAGCTGTTATTAGTGGTACTTTAATAATTAACAAGTAAACTAACCGAAAACTTAATGTCCGACGAACTAAAGAAGTTGAAGAGTCAAGTTGAAGACTTGCAAGAATTGGTCAAGAAGCAAAATCTGTTGATTAGCAAGACGGGCCAATCAGTTTTAGAGCTTCAAGTAGCAAAACAAAGGGCTGATGTTGAAGATTTGGATAGCAAGTTTGTGGCAGCAAAAAGTGGCAAATCACACATTGACACTACAGATCTGGCTACCAACGATGATTTAGTACAACTCGTCGGAGAATTGCAGGGCCAATTAGACTCCATCGAAGAGAGATCTATTAGAAGACTGGTCAACTCCACAAAAACTGAGAAGAAAGAGTATCTTGCGCCACTCCCTAATGCTGACGGCGAAATTCCAACCGTTTCGGATGGATTTTTCCCAAGATCGCTCGAAGATTTTGAGACTTTGTCCAACGTTAATCTATTTAAGCTAGCGAAGTTTTATGAATTGCTCCCACCCAGTTTGAAGGAGCAAGAAAAATTCGAAGATTTCTTGGAAGGAAAGGTCGAAAATTTCCATATTAACGATGCCACAGATGAAGAAATTGAAGCAGAATTAAAGAATTACTCCGAAGATCAATTGACCGATATATTTAACGATGTAGCCCGTTATTTGGGAGTCAGGACAAGAAAAGGTACTGACATTTGGTGAAAATTTACTAACGTATGTATCTTTTTCGATAAGTGTAATCTATTGCTAGGTTATGAGCCGTTATGTAAATTGAAGCTTTTTTATCTACGAACGCATATACGTCGAATCCTGTTATTTACTGAATTTGCCCTTCTTTAAATGTGGTGATTTTGACTGCGCCTCCGCTTGACGTTTTCCACCCTTGAAGTTTTTAGGCTGCAATGGCTGCGCATCTGGAAACAGCTCTAATTCTTGTTCCTTCACTAATCTTTTCCAATCGAACCGTTTCCGTATGAATTTATCTAGAGACCAATTCTTCCACGTTTGTCGGCCGTAAATACTGTTTTTGACTTTCTCGGCTTCGGCGGTTAAACTGGTTGCAATCCTCTCCTTATACATTGCTAATTGAGCAGTGAAATCCCAAAGTTTGTCTACCAAATGAGAACCGTACGCATTACAAGACAAATTAACAATATCGGTGCAAAAGATGTTTAGTAAGCGTTTCCTTCTAATTTTATCAACTCTTTTGACCTGCAAAACGTGTTCTACAACGTGTGAAAACACACCATGGTAGCACATCTGAAGAAGTCTTTCCTCAGGCAAATCCAATAGACTTTCTATAGTTATGTCCAAGAACTTGTCATCATAGTCGATAAGCTTTTCGAGGAACAGAGACCTTCTTCTTTCTTCTGCAGTTGGCCAATCATCCCTCGTATTACCCAACGTAGAGGAGCTTAGCTTCAAGCAGCTCTCCAAAATGTTTTTAGGCTCTGAATCTTCTGAATAGTATTTCTTTACCAGCTGAATAATGATCTCGTCTCTCATATAGTTTTCTTGTCGAATACTTGCATCAAGAACCTCAGTACCAAAATCCATATTAGAGTTCAATAACAGACTAAATTCGGGAATTAAATCGCTTAAAATCCGTCTCACTTCGTTCTGATGTAAAGTTTTTAGCAAAGATTGGACGACGAAAGCACCTGTCATGTCTCTTTTGGCCAGTTTCAAGATGCGATCTTTCATGTAGAGATTGTATAGGCGCTCAACATACTTGGTCCTAGCAAATCCAATCACATTTTGTAGAAAATGAGAGCCAACGGGGTCCGATAGTAAATACTCCACAAAAGCCTCTTCCTTGGAGTTTTTCTCACTCGTGGAAGAAAAGACAAGGTGCCAATATGACCTATCACGATCGAAAATACCTTCTATTTGAATGATTAGCTGGAGAACAGGTGAGGCTACTTGGTCCACACAAAGCTCTCTGGCTTTTGTGATAGCAGTTGGGCTGATTTTTTCAAAGTTGGAGGACCCAATTTTGACACCTGAAGTTAATGATTCGTATAGGGAAGATAGTAGTTCCTTGAGCTTGACTTTGAATGAATCCGGGGTTTTATATGTTTTGTTGAAATCTTCATTATCTTTCAAGTCAATCATTTTACGAGCAATCTTTGATTTTTTTGATCTAAGCGAAGAGTTGGCTTTCGTGGTGCTGGGGAGAGTTTTTGAAGATAGGATTAAAAGAAGCAGTCTTAAAACGTGTGATGCATAACGATGCGTGACCATAGTTCTTAAATGAGGCTCAAATTCATTGAGCATATAAAGGAACAAATTTTCCATGGAAGCGTAAACTTCTTCATCATCCTCATTGGAAGTTTCTTGGTCAAAGCTGGGTGTAAGAAGTTCCTTTTCTACCAGAGCTGCACTTCTAACTAGAAGAGTTTCTAATACATGCGATGAAAATTTCTGGCATGCTAAATTGAAAAAGAAACCATTGAAATTCTTAAACATAGCCTTGAGCTGCAAGTCATCACTTGCAAGAATCAACCGCTCCATGAGTTTGGAGCAAATCTGGGATGTAGCAAGCTTCAGTTCTTTGTTCCTACTCTCTTCAATAACACTATGAATAAATTGCTGCTTCTCTTCCGGCGTTTCAAAGGTGTCAATTGCTAGAGTTGACTCCGCTTGTTTATAATACTCTAGCTCTTCGGTATCCAAAACACCAAAGAATGTATTGGGCTCGCCATTAATGGAAGCAACGCTATTATCAACATCATTCAATTTGTCTTGTAGGTCGGGGGAGAATTCTGGCTCCTCCTCCTTCTGTTGCTTTTTCAACAACTTTCTTCCTCTTGGCTTACCCATCGTTATTGGTCAATCTTCTTCGAACAATAGACTAAACATCCAAAACGTGAGGGAAGCTCATCTCATCGTTACTTTCAAAAAATTTTCAAATTTCTTTTTCGGAGATCATTGTTTGTTCAGAATCGTGAACAGTGAACTGGACGAAGGTGAACTCTGATAAATAACTATGATTGCTCAGAAGTGCATGAACAGGGCTCTAAAAGCTCGTAGCCGAGCTGATGTGGTAAACATCGTAGCTAGCGCTTCGGCTAAAAAAAAGATCCTTTAAGAAACCCATCCTAATAAAATGATCTAGCCCTTCATGATAAAGGTTCATCTAAATACTCTTGAAAACTAATGATTTTGTTACATAAGAAGAGCTCTCTATGATACAACAGCAATAAACAAAAAAATGTAGGATATGCCTTAGTATTGTGTCATCTCATGTTGATGATAAATATCGACAACACCAATAAATCGTAAACCCGTTAAGAAGCAAAATTCACCTGAACTATTTGTATTGCAAAGTGGCAGTCTCAATGTGGTACGCGCTACCTCGTCCCCTCTGTGAATCTAGCATCGGATCCAATTCGCTGGTGCTTTGAATGCTCTATTAAATCACATTAAACGAAATATACAGGAATGGAAATTGATGATGATATTCTACACTACGTCCGTAATTTTCAGTCTTCCTGATCCCAATTGCCGGGCTTAGGGCCCTTTGGCATTTGTGGACCCCCTGCTCTCTTTGCCATGATGATTTGATCAATTGATAAGACGGTTGTGGCAGCCTCAGTGGCAACATTGATAGCGAATTTCTTTGCGGCCAGAAGATCGTAAATACCCTCTTCCCTGACGTCCTTCACGCCTTCGACGTTCTCTCCGTCAATATCCACACCTTGATAAACTCTGTCATCTGACTCTTCAGATTCAGATTCGGTACACGTGTGTGCAGCATACAAGTTTGGAAGCACCTCATTGACATTGAGACCCGCAGTTTCGGCCAAAGTTCTTGGTACAACCTCAAATGCTACTGCGAACTGCTTGATAGCCAGTTGCATCAATCCGGGCGTTTTTTCACCAAATTGGGTGATTCTGGAGACTAACTCAATTTCAGTGGCACCAGCACCGGGTAAAAGCTTACCGCCGTCGGGCTTCATCAACCCCTTAACGGCGGCCACCCCATCATCAATTGCTCTTTCGATGTCGTCCAAATTATTTTGGGTAGCACCTCTTAAAATAATCGTGGCAGTTCTAGTAGCTTCACTCTCTTCCTGCTTGAACACTGTAACTCTATCACCACCGATTTCGGTAGTCTTCACAGTTTCAACAACACCCACTTCCTCAGGAGTAGGGGCACCTAGTCTTGGCAATGGGGTTGCCCCACAAACCCTGCAAATTCTCCGCAGTTCAAATTTGCTAGGAACCTTTAGCACCAAGACTCCGTATCGGTTTAAATAATGCAAAGCCAATTCACCAACTCCGCTACCAGCAACGACACAGTTGACACCCGCATCAACAATTTCCTTAATCATTTCATTCAATTGCTTTTCTTCTCCTTTGGTGAAATCCAACATTTCTTGGGCATTGTGGAGCAGAACAGTACCTTTTGTTTCGGTGTTGGCGATGTCAATTGGGCACGTGAAGACGGCAACCTTGTGTCTTTGACCTGCGGGCAAGGACTTAACATGACCCTCAGGTTCACGGTTGAAAACCATACCCTTGATTACTTGCGAGTTATGCAAAGAGCCACCCATTATCTTCACAACTCTAATTGAGTCGACATTAAAGTTGTTTGATTTCGTAGGCAACACATGAGAAACAGCCTCTGCAACCAATTCGCTAAGTATATCCTCAGATCCATATTGTTTCGAGGATATCACTGGTTTCATAACCTTTACCAATTCGTCCTTGCTGTGCTTGTCTGTGATTTCTTGGACTGTCATAGAATCTAATTCTTTTAAGACAAAACTCTTGGCCATGTTGTAACCCTGGATGATCTCAATTGGGGAAAGCCCAAGAGCAATTAACTTTTCACTCACATTTAAAAGCTCTCCTGCGAGCACTAGTACCAAATTGGTACCGTCACCCATATCAATTTTCTGCTGTTCAGTTGCCATCACTAAAACTTTTACGGCCGGGTGCACAATGTCGAGCTCTCTAAGCATGGTAGCTGCATCGTTGGTAATTATTATCTTCCCTAAATGGTTAACAATGATTTTATTTCTCCCGCAGGGACCCATGGATGTCAAGCACATTTGGTGAATCTCACGAATGGCTGCGATAGATTTATTTATCTGACCATCTGCATTGGTGTAGCTATTATACCCCTGCTTGAAAAGACCCGCATTGGGATTCTGAGGCAATCTTAATGACATCTTCTCGCTTAATGAACCCTACTGATGAGCTTTAATTCACTTTTAGCTTTTTACAATGTTCTAGGTTTGCCACCCGAACAATAGAAAACTTTTCGTCTACTGAAGTTGTTATCGTGTAAGATGATGATACGGAGTGATAACTGAACTACGTTCGACATACAATTATATTTGAAGAGCCTCACACTCTGATCTAGCATTCGCTAATCTTATTGTTTATGTCGTCACTTTATGTACATTCCTTCTCTACAGTTCTTATTCAAATCGATTCTATCCACTGCTTTGCTCAATGTGAAACGGACATGTGACACGCAAAGGTGTCAGGAGTTCCATGAGACTTTTCACATTTTCAATAAATTCTTGCTTCAGTAGCTCAGTCGGAAGAGCGTCAGTCTCATAATCTGAAGGTCGAGAGTTCGAACCTCCCCTGGAGCATTATTTTTTTGTTATTTCACATTGTGGATGAAACGAATCTTTTTGGAACTGATATATAGGAAGATAGTAAAACTGTGTTCATTGAAGTGGTAGTGCGCTGTGATCCAGAAAGGCGTGCGAGATGGGAATTGATTGTTTAAACTATGATGTCCTAGATGATATAACTATTATCCTATCGACACCAGAGACTCTTTCCCAGATTGACGAATTGGTACAATTAACAAATACATTTAAGCTTGATTTAGAGGATAACATCTTGCAAGAACTAGAAGGTGATATAGAAGGAATAAAAAGTGATGCAGATACGTTAGATACGGGTGTTGATATTGAGAGCATTTTCAAGGAAATCAATGAAACGAAAGCGTTGTCGAAGGAGACGGAATTGGCGATCTCGCAGTTAACAAAAGACATTTCGTATGTGGACAATGCGAAGCGCAATCTGACTCAATCAATGACCATGTTCCAAAATTTGAAATTACTAAGTGAGTCTTACTTCAGTTGTAGAGCTCTTTTAGATAAGGACTCCTTTATTGAGATGGCGTCGCCTTACAAGGTTATGTGTGGATTGGCAGGGTCGTTTCAGGACTATAAATCAGTGGACGAACTCAGCAAGCTATTGTCCTTGATCTCTAGATTACAAGTTGACACACTTTCAAAAATAAAGAATTGCTATGAGAGGCTTCTGAGCCCCAAAGCAGGGCCTGTTGAGTTGGATGAAGAAATGCTTCGACATGGCGCGTGCGAACTGCTCGAAACCAATAAGGGCTCAAAGGCTAAAGTTATAGATTTATGTTTGGACAAACTGCTTTATGATATTAGTGAGATCTTTCAGGTGGATGACGAAGCTGGATCGCTGGAAAATTTGTCCAGACGCTACGTTTATTTTAAGAAAGTTCTCAATAATTTCAATTCAACATACGCGAACTATTTTCCTAGCGACTGGGAGATGCCATTCAATTTAACTATGAGATTCTTTGCTCTCACAAAGAAAGATTTGCATAATCTATTGGAGAAAGAAGTTCGAGGAAGTTTGTCTATTGATGTGTTCATGGATGCTTTACAGACAACATTAGAGTTTGAAAAATACATTAATGTGAAATTCGCAAATAAATTGGTATCAGAGAAGGGAATAGAAAAAATATCCACTAGTTTTGAACCCTATCTAACTTTATGGATCTCACATCAGGATAAGATCATGAGTTCCAAGATGCTTACTTACATGAGTGAGGAGAAACTACCTCAAACCCACGAATCATTAGTTGTTCCATCAAGTGCGGATCTATTCAGAACCTATAGATCGCTCTTAAGTCAAACTTTAGAGCTTGCTGAGCAAGGTAGTGGTAGACAGAAGATTCTCAAAGACCTGGCTCAATTCTTCACTAAATGGTTGTCAACATATTTGACCAGAATTTTGCAACCTCTTTTGTTGCAGGATGGTGCCAAAATTGAAGATAAAAATGAGGTAATCACATATACCCTTCTGTTAATTAATACTGCCGATTATTGCTCGACAACGGTGGAGCAACTGGCCGAGAAGTTGAATGATTTCTTAGATAAAGACAAGCAGATTTCTGGAATTTTTGATCCCGTTAAGAATTCTTACGGCTCTATAATATCCAAAGGGATTAACTTTTTACTTAGCGACATAGTAACACCGGAGATGAAATTTGCTTGGAGAGAGTTCGAGAACTACGATTGGAAAACGGTAGTTGTAGAGGATTACAGTAGGTACACTACAACTTTTAGAAATATACTTTCGGATGACAATTCCAGTATCCAAAAGATTCTCCCACAGTTCAATAGAGAAGTTTTCACTTGGAATTTTTTGGATAGAGTGGTAGATACGCTGACTGAAGGATACCTTGATTGTATTATAAAGTTACTACGACCTGACCCTCCGTTCGGAACTCTCAATAAGGGACGACGGTTCGATACTCAGCAAGTAGTTAACATTGGTGAGCAGTTACTCTTGGATGTTGAATATTTGAAACAGACTCTCTATTTACTAGCAGAAAAAACTGCAAACGAAGTAAGTGGCCAGAATGCCTCTTACAAGAGACTCAGAAAGCATATTGATCAAAATATTGACGAATTGACAAGATTTATGAAGCTATTAGTTCTTCCAACTGAATCGGCTGATATTTATGAGGAGAATTACGCAACACTGACGGATGGTAACACTAATATCGCCACCTGGGCTTTCATTCTGTCTCTAAAGGGAACGTCCTGGGACCTAGCGGAATGGAAAAGGCTGTTTACGAAATTTAATCGAAAATCAAGGAATGAGAAAACAGAAAACATTTTTATCTTCTTGAGATGCAGGCGCGCGTTGGATCAGTTTTTGAATAATTTGGCAGCTATTATGGATCCTGCATGGAAGAGATTCATCCAAGGTGAGTTGAAGATTAAGCCGATTAACTCGCCTAGATCCCCTAGCATCTCCACAAGCCCCTCTTCTCCAAGTCAGAAATTTCAAGGAATAACTCTGAATGACAATATCAAAAACTTGATGTCCAATACAGGATTTTTTAACAGAGGAAACTAGTTTCCAACATATTCTGGAGACTCTCCGACCATGTCTACTCATTGACTCTGTAACTCACTCGTGTACTTATTTTATGATCGTTTGTAGAGAAATTTTTAAACTGGACTACTTCACCAGCATCAATCTCCGACAGATCAGAATCTGCCCATTCTAGGGGAACTTTGGCGTTTGCGTCTGTATAGGCCAATACGTTGAAAGTGTAATTGCCTTCGTTTGAGAGTTCAGGCAAAAACGTTACGCTTGCTGTTATCTGTCTCATGAGGGCGCGTATCTGTTTCTGAGTCTCCGTCGCATCAATTTGTTCTTGGTGAGCAGATTCCATTTTACTGTTGTGAGCAACATCAAATTCCCACTTCTCAGTTATTTCACATGTGTCCTTATCGACTATGCAGAGTACCAACTTGTTGCACTTGCCACCTAGCAACCATCTATGTACTTGGAGTAAGATTTTTCTTATGTATTGCTTCAGATCATTGTCATGCGTTTTCAAAAGATTCAGATCATACTTCTTCACTGTGCTAAAATCCTCTGGGGGATAAACTGCTCTCTGGTATAAAATAGAGTTGATACTGTATTCGAAAAATTCGGTGACGGTACGTGTGGAGCCCTTCAGTGAGATTGAAGATGCCATTGCTTCGTTAAAGTATTGGACAGTTGGGAAGATCTGAAGAGAAAAAAAATGTATAGAAAAATAGAAAGGGTACTGACTAAAAAGCGTGAAGACTCAGTCAAATGGTAAGTACTCAAAAACTGCTTCATCAACTGAATTAAGTACTAACATATTGCACATTGTAGCATGGTATTAAAAGGAGAGAATGGACTAAGGAGCTTTTGCGGCAAAAGAGATTGAAAGATGCCCAAAAAATCGCACGCTATCGTACACTTACGAGAGTCATTCTCGACAAGAGAGATAACGACGATTACGACACCGAGGTTCTTGCACAGACTACAGAATTGCTTCAACTTAATCCAGAGTTCAACGCGATCTGGAACTACCGAAGAGATATCATGGGCGCTATAAAGGATCAATTGACACTTAAATTCTGGGATGAAGAACTTTTACTGACGATGATGTTGCTCAAAGGCTATCCGAAGGTGTACTGGATTTGGAATCATCGACTATGGTGCTTAGAGAATTATCCATCGTCTGACGCAAGGAAATGGCAGACTGAACTACTTATGGTAGGCAAGGTCCTAGATAAGGATGCTAGGAATTTTCATGGCTGGCACTATAGGAGAATAGTGATTCAAAATCTTGAAAAAGTGACTGGTCAAAGCCTGAATACCGAGCAATTTGATTTCACAACCAAAAAGGTCAATGAGAACATCTCAAATTTTTCTGCATGGCATCAAAGGGCAACTCTGATTCCTGAAATGATTGAACAGGGACAAATACGTGAACCAATACAATTCATCAACCAGGAGTTCCAATATATAATAAATGCTATCTTCACTGATGCGGAGGATCAATCTGTGTGGTTTTATATCAAGTGGTTCATTACAAATAATTGCACCGTCAGTCAGTTAGATTCCAACGAGTATGCGAGATTACTGCAGGAATTAAAGGATGCGATAGAGGCAATCAATCAGGATGAACTAGAATTCTTAGGAAAAGATAATACTTGGTGCTTAAAACTTCTTGTCGTGATTGAGAAAATCCAAATTGAAAAGTTGAAGATATCTGTTAATCCACGGGCTGTCGAATATATGAAAAGATTATGTGAGGCAGATCCCCTTCGCAAAAATAGATACCTAGCGATTTCGGAGAATAATTGAAAATTAATGCTATACCGTCAAATTATATAGAATGTCTCCAAGTTGTTTTACTCTATTCTATCCTTCTTGGCAGGTCGGACAGTAGGCCGATTTTCATCGTTGATTCTTTTCCTTGAAAGGACGTACCTCCTTTCTCGTACTGTGTAGTCCCTTTCTTTGGTTAAATATGCATCAGTAGCCACATTTTCTGGCTCTTTTAATCCTTTTTCTTCACCGGCCTTTCTTTTTAAATCCATGAACGTTTCAATACTTAATTTCCTAAATCCTTGAGGTAAATTATCTTTTAAATCAGAAAGATCGAAAACATTTATGAAGAAGTTCACGATATCGAAGTAAGCTTCGTTGACAGAGGGTTCATCGCTTTCGAACAACGTGTACCGTACATTTGGCCACTCGGTATCATCTGATAACTCGCAAGCAATTTTTAGAGCTGCGATTGCGATCGTATGCTGGGGCACCATTAACAAAATTTCTAATTTGAGTGCGTCGAATGCTATTAGCCACGCCAAGTGGCAGGCTTTGTAATTCAGAGACAGTTCTTTTCCGATTTTCACGATAAACTCATCTATGTGAACAGTATTGTTCACTCTATAATCAAAACAACATGTCTCTAGTATGTGGAGTTCTAACTGAAATATCCTCTTCTTGCAGTTATCGAGCATTTCTGGTGACACCTTTACTATGCTACGGAGCCTTAACGATACCGCACATAAGTCCGCAACTTTCTTTATTGTTTCAACCTGTTTGCATGCAATAAAAAGGCAACTTGTAGCAACATCATAACACATCTCGGTCTCGAATTTGTTAAACACATAGTACCTCTGATAGAAGTACATCGCAGTTTCCAACGTCTTTCTTGGAAATTTAAACTGTACACAAATATCACACAAAAATTTAAAGACCGAAATCCTCTTTTGATTATAAATACGACGGTCTGCAATTGTATTTTGTTGTGCTCTTTTGATTTGTTCTCTTGTCAAATATGGCCTCGATAAGAGAATCGCAGTTTGGAAGTTCTGCGAAGCCATAGTCTACCAACTAAAAGTAAATCTGGTCTTAGTGGTAAAATTCACTTGAGAAAAGCTCACGGTTAAATGTCCAGCTTGTTTCAATGGCCGGTTTCCAATATATGCCAGCAGCTTTGATGAAGCGAGTTTCAAATTTTTTCAAATCCCTTCATACGCTTTCCCTTCAATTTAAGGCTGTCTGGCATCTGAATTGTTTCCTATAATATGAACACTTTGAAAAGTCAACTGAAGTACGATCTCTTTTAAAATACTCTATATACAATGCATCAGCCACTTAGAAGTTTAGATGTCAAAGACTCTAGATCTTCTATGGTTTCAGGCGCGGCCATTTCTATGATTTGCTGTTTGTTGTCATCATCACTATCGCTATCGCTATCACTATCAGCAAATCTAGTCCTCTTTCTGGGTTGTATTTCTGATTCTGAATCAGATTCCATGTCATCACTCAAATTTCCGGTTCCTAGTGTTGCAACCATTGGACCTTCTTCATCATTCGAATCATCCTCCATGGCGGCTTCCATTTCTCTTCTGATGGCTTCCAGCCTTTTTCTTTTCTTTTCTTGCCTCTTCTCTTTCGCAATTAGCTTGTCGTCCTCATCAACTTTTGTCATGAGTTGCGTTTCCTTAGATAGATAATCTCTCTTTTGAGATTCCGCGTCACCTCTCTTTTCGAATTCCTCCTCGCCCTCTAATTCATATACAGGGTGTGCATGACCTTCTTCGTCAAATTTGAGTTTCGTAGCATTGCCTTTTGAGGACAGAGACGCCTTTTTGGAAAGAGCTTTCTTTTGAGCCCTCTTTGATGTGGGCGCGATAAGTTGAGGCAGTTCATCTTCATTGAGAATATGGTCTGTCCGTTTCACTGTCATGAAGTCATCTTCTTCGTCCGCCTCAGCTTGGGCTTTAGTAATATTTAGATAATGTTCACTCAGTACAGTCTGGTTACGACGATCAAACATCTTGTCGATTTTCGTTCTAACTTCTTTAGCCTTTTGTTTCACAATTTCTCCATCCTCATTTGCTTTTGAAAGTGACAATAGTTGCCGTGAGGTATTTTTGAGTTCTTTAGCCTTTTCAGCAGCTTTCATTCCTTTGATCTTGATTTTAGGAGCACCAGGCAAGCCTAAAGAATTTGCGAACTCCTCAGTGGGCAGTTCATCGAATTTGAAAACTTCCTTATCCTTTTGAATATAGATTGACCTGACGTAAGATATGAAAGCTTTCTGACCCAAGTATTTCAGTTCAGGATCTTTAAACAGAAGAGACTGAAGTTGAGGCTTTATAGATTTCCTTTTGGACTGCTTGATTGTCAGCTTGTTAGGCTCGATTTTTCTTCTTTCTAGCCTTTTTAGGAAACCTTCTTCTTCTTGTGGTGTAAGCATTATAAGTGATTTACCGTTCTTGCCATAACGGGCACATCTCCCAACTCTATGAATATAGGTATCAACATCCTCAGGACAATCAGCTTGAATTACCCAATCGACAGCAGGAAAATCAATGCCTCTCGCAACAACGTCAGTAGCAAATAAACAAGTGTGTTGGGCTCTGCTAAACTTGTCTAGAGTTTCTGTCCTCGCAGTTTGTTTTTGTCTTCCATGTAGATGCATCAACGATATACCAGGCTGCATTTTCCTAAATGTTTCGTAGACGAAGTGGACTTGCTTCGAACTAGACAAGAAAACGATCATCTTTGTTTTTAAATGAGTTTTTATGAAACTGAACAGAATATCCAGCTTGTCTGGCAATGGAACCGTGATGTAAGATTGTTGAAGCGTTTCTGGAGTTGCAGGACCATCAGCTGGATTTAAAATGTCTGCTGTGCCCACAGATTTGTAATCTGTTAATGAGAGTCGCGCTAAGTCAGCAATAGACTGTGACTGGGTAGCGGAGAACAAAAGCGTTTGTCTTGATGGCGGAAGATTGTTAACAATTGCATCCAAAGTTTTTTTGAACCCCATGTCCAAGCATCTGTCTGCTTCATCAAGAACTAGCATCTGCAAATTGGATGTATTCAAGCCAACTGCCTGATCCATATGCTGTAAAATTCTGCCGGGGGTCCCAATCAGAATGTTAATTCGTGAAATTCTCTCAAGTTCGAATTTCACATCTTTTCCTCCTATAACGAGGCCTGCTGAAAAGGATGAGTGTCTTCCGATCTTTACCAATACCTCGTAAATTTGCATAGCTAATTCTCTTGTGGGAGAAATAATCAGTGCACCTAGTCCATCAAATTCGGTCCACTTTTCTCGATAAAGCTTTTCCACGACAGGAATTAGGAAAGCTAATGTCTTCCCTGACCCTGTCTTCGCAGCAGCAAGCATGTCATGCCCTTTAAGAGACACCGGGATCGACTCCTTTTGAATCTCCGTCATCTTCACAAAGGCGCTTTCTCGTAAACCCTTCAAGGTAGCTTCGCTAATGGGAAGTTCTCTGAAAGTGGTTGCCTTTGACGTTTTAGTATCATACTCCTCGATGCGGTTAGCAAGCTCCTGAATATACTGATCCTCTTTTTCACGCAATACTTTACGCGCTACGGTTGATAGTTTATGCTTCTTTGCCATAATCTCCAGTCAATTATGTTTTCTGTTCTACAGATGCGATGAGATGAGCATCAAAATTTTCAACATAAGATTACTTTTTCTTTCGCTAAGAGGCGTACGTGGTGATATATTGGTATGTATTGATATGATGATGGGTGCTAAGCGTTCAACAGACGCGCATAATCCATCGATGAGAGATGCAAGGAGTCGGCAAAAGATTCAATGAATATAATAATAATCAAGGCCGTGAGACTAAGAGGCAACATGTGCAAGAAAAATATCCAAATAAGATAATACTGCCGGTATTCGAATCCTCTGGCTTACTAGAGCTTGAGTCCCATGGTAAGGAAGGAATTCAGTTGAAGCATGTAGAACCACGGGATGCAATTGCTCCGATTGATTTTTATGAAAAGTATTCGATCCCCGTAAGGAAGCGAACCCGTTTCCTTGCTATGTTGTACAAGGATGACAAGAATGATGCCCTGGGCCAATATGAGCTGCTCGAACGGAGTAGCTATCTAATAGGACGTAGTAAGGACGAAACCCCAGGAGGGGATTCGCCAAAGAGCGATCCTGAAGATTCTTCCGAAGAAAAGCAAGTAGTTCTGGCTGACATCCCAGTGCCCGAGGAGACATGTTCGAAACAGCATTGTGTAATACAATTTAGAAATGTTGCGGATAAACTGATTCCCTACGTGATCGATCTCGATTCAGCTAACGGTACTGTATTAAATGATGTGGCTCTTCCGCATGCTAGATATGTGGAATTAAAATCAGGAGACATATTGAGATTTTCTGAACATGAAGAGGATTCCATGTTCTCAATAGTATTTGTAGCTGCATGAAATGGAGTTCTTTCAAAAATGAACTATGCGTTTGGTGCTTATGTAGATATATTTTCTAGGTGTTAGGAACAAATTTGACTCACTTCCAGCAATCCTAGCAACGGATATATATATATATTAACATGATTAATTCTCTATCTTGGACATCCTCACAACTCGTCGTGTTCGAAGTAGTCGTCATCGTCCTCATCTTCTTCATCTTCATCGTAGGCGGCACCAGCGCCGGCATACAATTTCGAGGTGATTGGGTAAGCAACTTGAGATAGGGAATCAAACTTTTCCTTGAAGTCTTCAGTAACGGCAGAATCCATGTTATCTTCCATCCATTCCAAGACATCATTAACAGCATCCAACAAAGTTTCCTTGTCATCTTCGTCAAGTTTATCGGCCAATTCGCCATTAACTTGGTTTTTCAAAGAGTGAGCGTAATTCTCTAACTGGTTACGAGCTTCAATCTTGGCTTTGACAGCGGCATCCTCTGAAGCATACTTTTCAGCCTCCTCCACCATTCTTTCGATTTGGTCTTGGGTTAGTCTGCCCTTGTCATTTGTAATAGTGATAGATTCGGATTTTCCAGTTCCCTTGTCAGTTGCAGAAACCTTCAAGATACCATTAGCATCCAAAGCAAAGGTAACCTCAATTTGTGGAACACCTCTTGGAGCTGGTGGGATACCTGTTAGCTCGAATTGGCCCAGTCTGTTGTTGTCCTTCACCATTGCTCTCTCACCCTCGTAAACTTGAATCATCACTGTTTGTTGGTTGTCAACGGCAGTGGAGAACATCTGTGATTTCTTAGTTGGAATGGCAGTGTTTCTCTTGATCAATGGAGTCATGACACCACCTGTAGTTTCAATACCCAAAGTTAATGCGTTGACGTCCAATAACACAATATCCTCTACACCTTCCTCACCAGACAAGACACCAGCCTGAACTGCAGCACCGTATGCAACAGCCTCGTCAGGGTTGATACCCTTGGAGGCCTTCTTACCATCGAAGTAAGATTCTAGTAATTGTTGGACCTTTGGAATTCTAGTGGAACCACCGACCAAAACAATATCATCAATGTCCGCCTTTGAAAGACCAGCATCGGCCAAAACCTTTTCAACTGGTTTCAAAGTCTTCTTGAATAGATCCAAGTTCAATTCCTCGAATTTGGCTCTAGTCAAGGTCTCGCTGAAATCAATACCATCTACAAAAGAGTCAATTTCAATACGGGTAGACATTTGACTGGATAAAGCACGCTTGGCCTTTTCGGCCTCTCTCTTCAACTTAGCCAAAGCTTTGTTGTTGTCAGAGACATCAATACCATGCTTCTTTTTGAAAAGTTTCATAAAGTGACGCACAAGCTTGTAGTCAAAATCTTCACCACCCAAGTGAGTGTCACCAGCAGTAGCTTGGACTTCAAAAACACCATTCTCAATGGATAGCAAAGACACGTCAAAGGTACCACCACCCAGGTCATACACAATGATCTGGTGCTCGTCGTCAGACTTGTCTAGACCATAAGCAATTGCGGCAGCAGTTGGTTCATTAACGATTCTCAAGACATTTAAACCTGCAATAGTACCAGCATCTTTTGTAGCCTGTCTTTGGGCATCATTGAAATAGGCTGGAACGGTTACAACAGCGTGAGTCACTTTCTTACCTAGGTAATCCTCGGCAATTTGCTTCATCTTACCCAAGATCATAGCAGAGACTTCTTCAGGAGTGAAGGTTTTTTCTTCACCCTTCACGGTAACTTGAACAGCAGGCTTGCCAGATTTGTTGACAACATCGAATGGCAAATGCTTGATGTCTCTCTGGACGTTTTTGTCGTTGTATTTCAAACCAATCAATCTCTTGATGTCGAAAATTGTGTTCTTAGGGTTGGCAGCAACTTGGTTCTTGGCTGCGTCACCAATCAGTCTTTCGTCATCAGTGAATGCCACGTAAGAAGGTGTGATTCTATTACCTTGCTCGTTTGCAAGAATTTCAGTCTTACCATTTTTCATCACAGCGACACATGAATAAGTAGTACCCAAATCAATACCGATGACGGTTCCATAGTTTTCCTCAGCTTCAGCTGCTCTTGCAAGCACACTAGAGGATTTTGAGTGTGCAGAAAGTGGAAGGACGATCAAAAATAGCGCGTACATAATAGCCGCGAATGGCAGAAGCCACCCATTGTTAGACCTTTTAAACACCATAGTTCTTCTCTATTATCTTTCCCCCAGTGACTGATAATACAAAGAGATGTTCAAATGTTTTGAAACCTTGAGTTATGAATTTATCCAAGTCAAGTAATTTCGGTAGTTGAAATTGATGATTCAATATATATATATATAGGGTGGCAAAAATAAAGACACGTTGTTCTCTAGAAAACTTTTTCTAGAAAATAACACGTAAAAACTGTTCGTGCGACGGCATCTAGAAAGGGATCATCCTAGCATTAAGCACAGAATAAAAGATGGCCTTGGAACAATGAGCTGGTCGGACGATAGATTTTGCCAAGGTGGCATTTTAAGATCCCTTCATCCTATGGAAAAGCTCTTCGCACCCTCAATTAGTAAAAAAAAATGCAAAGATCTTAGTTACCTATCTGATTCCACTTAATAAAAAAATTATTCTCACTGTTGGGATCTTCGATAATTCAGATCGGCAGCAGAAGTAAGAAAGAATCACTGCTCATTCCAAGCGCACAAACTATGAGTCTGGAAGTATTTGAGGCACATATGAGAACCGCTATTAAATTAGCTCGGTATGCTCTCGACCATGAGGAAACTCCGGTGGCTTGCATATTTGTGCACAGTCCTTCCAATAAGATCGTGGCCTACGGAATGAATGACACCAATAAGTCCCTCACAGGCATCGCTCACGCAGAGTTCATGGGTATATCTCAAATCCAGCAGAAGTTCGGTGTTCATAATACAGAGATATTCTCTGAGATAATTCTGTACGTGACCGTTGAGCCCTGCATAATGTGCGCTTCTGCTTTGAAACAATTAGGAATCAAACGAGTTGTGTTTGGTTGTTCCAATGACCGTTTCGGCGGGAATGGATCGATTTTGTCTATACATCAGGATACTTGTACGACCCCTTCCAACAACTATAACATAGTTCCTGGCATTCTTCGACGGGAGGCGATTATGCTACTTCGATACTTTTATGTGCGAGAAAACGAGAACGCACCTAAGCCAAGAGCGAAATCTAATCGGAAGCTTGACGTTGAAAATTTCCCTCCAATGAACTGGAGTAAATACATAAACCGGGAACAATTTCTCGAATATTTTGACGAGGATAATCTTCGGCATTACGACGATATGACAGACCTAAGTCGGGACGTAGAATGGGGGTTGATCGACTCCTGCCAAGATGACATTCTTGAAAGACTCGAGCAAGATTGCGAATCATTTGAACTTCATCGAGTTAAAAAGCTGAAAACTGATGTTATATAATCATTTAGATTCATGCATGTAACGTGGAAATTGCATTGAAGAATTTTCACTCAGGGAAGTTAATTCGGAGATTTACTAGCAACTTGTGCAGAAAATGGCAAATAACAGCCACACTGTCATAGGTTTTCTTCGACTTTGGTCCATGTATCTACCATTTTCTTGTAAAACTCAATTTGGTTGTCTGCAAGTGACGCCAAAGAAGCTTTAAGTTCTTTTGTCTTGATTTCCTCGAAAATATTCACTTCTTTGAATACCTCGCTTTCAAACACATCTGCAACTTCTTTAGCGTTATCCACCTCTGAGGTCAACGAAGTAATCTTGCCCTCGAGTTTTGCGATTTTTTCGCGGCGAGCAGCCTCCTGATTAATTCCAGCAAGTTCTTCAAGTTTGCTTGTGAAATAGTTGCCTCCTCCATAACCAGATACCAGATTGTTCTTTTCATTAATAGACCTTGTGAGATAATCGTTGAGCTCCTCATAATCTATCTGCTTTTGATCTTTCAGCTTGATGGTCTGTTTCACGCTCTCGATATAGTGCTCCATATCCTTGAGATCTACAATATATTCATAATCAAGAAACTTGCTCAAATCCCGTAGGCCATAAGAAAGTTGTGCAATCCCCTCGTTGAAAAATTTCACTTTTGAGCGCAAAGCTTCATCTTCCTCAGCATCGTTTGAAACCAACTCCTGTAGTTCTTGCAAGTTGCTACTGAACTTTGCGTAGTCCTCTGAGATGGCTTCCTGTCTTTTCACGACACGATTGAATATTTTATCAATTTTGGCAACATTGTGATCCAACTTCTCACTTTTTTCCTTTATCTCTACAAACTCTTCGCTTTGGTTATGAACAGTTTTGAAAGCGTTCATGAATGCATCACTCACTTCGTCCTTATTGCCATTTAGAGTCCCACTCAAGCTTCGACGATATGCATCCCAATCGCCACTTACCAAAAATGTCTCCAGCATCCTTGAGTGGGATAGCACAGGGTGCTCAGAGATTCGGCGCAGAAAGTTTTGTAAACTATGACATCTCTTCTGAGTGAAGCTCAAGCTGAATCTATCACCTGCGATGTATTGAAAGACTTTCTTGTCTGGGAGGGGAGGAATAATGCATGTAGGGTGGTCCTGGCTGAGTATGTTATGCAGTAGCAAGAAATCACTGTATCTTCTGTGCACTACGATGATGTCGATGCTATCATTGCCGGTAGTTTCGCCTTGGTGATGTTTTCGATACGTGTTGTGGTATGACTTGTTATCTGTTTTAGTTGATATTTGGTATGTGACATAAGAGGATGATTTTGCGTGTTCGTTTCGCTGCTTTTGAGGATCAGACACAAGGATGGATAAATGAAATGCTTCGTCCTTCTTTTTGTCAGAATTCTCCATCGTATCCGTTGAATTGAAGAATTAGAAAGAATGCTTAAAAAGTTTGGATCTTTGTTCTGAGAGCAGATATGTTTTTTCTAGACGCTATACGATTGAAAGTCTGTGGAATTGCTGCTCTTTGTGGGATAATTCACGTAGGGGTTATGATGATTGTTTCTCATTTCATACCCGTTCGATTTTCTATTAGCGGACGTCACCCCTAACACCGCCGTGTATAGCGATCGCGTTCTAACCAGCATATAATTATTCACAGAATCAGGTAAGGGAAGAAGATATATGGATGATCATCAACTCCATTAACATGAAAATGTTACGGATGCAAGTCTTAGACCATTGAAACTTTACAGTAGGTGACTCAATTGGGTTTAATGACATTTACTGTCAACGCAAATCGCAATCAAGTACTCCTGAACTCCACTCTTGTGCGAGATGGTAGTAAGTGGTTAGCAACAAGCCTCAAAAAGTATAAGCTAGAAGTGGTAGTCTTAAGTTATCAATTACATATCCCAATTTAGGGTATAAGCACGCCGTGAAACAAGGAAAGAATTTAGGACTTCAATTCTTACTTTTTTGTTGTCAATAGGAAGTCTGTGTTACAAAAGATGCAGGCACATTAGCTCAGGAAAGGCTCCTTCGTGACAGATTCTCAGATTCTCAACGAAAATCCCAAGTTGGGGAGTTGATAAACATTTCTTGAAGGTTTCTTGATAATTTACATTTGCACCCTTTGTCCGGCGTAACCGAAAAGAAAATATCAAACGTGTTGATGAAGCTGGTTCCAATTAATTGGAGCTCGTGGCAAACGTATATACGATTAAAATGATGAATATAGTAAAATTAGGCTAAAAGTATTAAGAAATGGTATCACATGATTGGTTGCGAACTCTATATAGCTCTAACTAAGTCATAAATTTACACAGCCACCTCTGCGAACGTCAACCAGAATGAAACGGGGCATGATGAGGCTTGGTATTATTCCATATTACAGATTAACCTAGGTAAACGAACTCGAAATATGGCCGTTTTTGATCCAACGGACTTCAGTTGTCGGCAGTAATTTTGAAATTAAGATTTATTACTCCGTAGTAATTGTAACCATGTCAACTTGCTTAGAACAAGAAGGCAGCGGCGAAACTCAATAGAGCAGCAGTAACACCACCCTTCAAAGAGGCAGCAGCACCCTCGTAGGAGCTGATGGTGACAGAGCTGGCAGCAACAGCAGAAGTGGCCTTGGTAGCTAGAGTCACAGCGGTAGTAGCTGGAGCAACGTTGGTTTCACCAGAAACAGAGGTGGTAGAAGCAGCAACTGGGGATTCAGCTGGAGCTGTGGTTACGACAGTAGCAGCAGAAGCTTCAGAACCAGAACCTTCAGTGGTGGTGTAGGTGTAGACAGTTTCAGCTGAAGATTCAGCTGGAGCAGCCGTGGTGACGGTGGTGACAACAGTGGCAGCAGTAGCCTCAGAACCAGAACCTTCAGTGGTGGTGTAGGTGTAGACGGTTTCAGCTGGAGATTCGGCTGGAGTACCCTTGGTAACGGTGGTAACAACAGTGGAAGCAGTAGCCTCAGAGCCAGAACCTTCAGTGGTGGTGTAGGTGTAGACGGTTTCAGCTGGAGATTCAGCTGGAGCAGCCGTGGTAACGGTGGTGACAACAGTGGCAGCAGTAGCCTCAGATCCAGCACCCTTGGTGGTGGTGTAGGTGTAGACGGTTTCACCTGGAGCAGCGGTACCGGTAGTAGCGGTAGCAGTCTCGGCGGTAGTCAATGGGCAGTAAGTGGTGTAGACAGTGAAGACGTTGGATTCGACTTCAGTGACGACAACAGAGGCGACTTCAGTGACACCGGAGGAGACCTTGGTGTGAGCCTCGGTGGTCAATGGGCAGTAAGTGGTGTACTCAGTGACAACACCGTTTTCAGTCACAGTAGCAGTGGAGACAGCAACGGCAGTGGTCTTTTCGTGCTCAGCACAGTAGGTACAAGTGGTGATGACGGTGGTGGACAAAGAGGTGGTGGTGACAGTGGTACCAGAGACAGAGGACAAAGTAACGGAACCAGATGGGGCACCAGAGGTAGTGACAGAGGACAAGGTAACGGAGCCAGATGGAGCACCAGAGGTAGTGACAGAGGACAAGGTAACGGAACCAGATGGAGAACCAGAGGTAGAGCCAGAAGCAGTGGTAGAACCAGAGGCAGTGGTGGAACCGGAAGCGGTGGTAGAACCAGAAGCAGTGGTGGAACCAGAGGTGGCGCTAGAGGTGAAGGTAGAGGTGCTTGGAGCCAAGATGGTACCGGCGTAACCAGCTGGGTAGGCGTAGAAGGTGACGACGACGTAAACATCTCTCTTGGCCAATTGGACAGAGTCTGGGTAGATGATTTCGACGGTGTTGGAGTAGTAAGTCTGAGTGGAGGTGATGTCGGCGTTGAAGACGAATCTCAAACCAGCAGAACCACTTGGTATTTCGCCGTCGAAAGACACTAGAACGCTGGAAGCAGTGGAAGCGTCAGTGGAGGCAGAAGCGGCAGTTAGAGTACCGTTGTTGAAAGCGTCGGCACCGACGTAGTACACAGCAACGGAAGATGGGTCGAAGGTGTAGTCGGAGCCAGCAGCAGAGGAGATGGTGACAGAACCAGGGTAAATACCAGCTGGGATGTCGACACTCCAGGTGATGACGTCGCCGTTGACGGTACCCACGGTGGTACTGGAGTCAGTTGGGATAGCAGCGTAGTTGATGGCGCTGGTGAAGGTACCAGAAGAGGAGTCGAAAGTGTATTCGATTTCTTGTGGGCCGGTGATGGCAGCGGCAGCTTCAGCGGTCAAGCCACCGGTGAATTGGAAAGAGGCGGAGCCGGAAGTTGGGACAGTGGTGATTTCGACGGTGAAGTTGTTGGCGTCGTAAGAGACGGTACCGAAATCCAAGTCGAATGGAGAAGCTGGGAAGGAACCGAAGGAGTCTGGGACGGTGAACCATAGAGAGCCGGTCTCTGGGGCGTCGATGGAGACGTCGAAGATCAGAACACCGTCTGGGCCGTAGACGGTCTCAGAGGCGGTGGCGGCGCCGAGGATGTCGAAGTTAGCGAACTCCAAGGCGGAAGTGGCACTTGGAGACACGGAGGACGACGCGGACGTGGACGACGACGAGGCGGTGGTGGAGTTGTAGTATTGGGCGCTGACTTTAGAAGCCAAACCAGCTAGCGACAAAGCGGCCAAGTATCCGATCTGAACCATTTTGTTAAGCGAGTGTAAAAGGGAACTGGTACGGAGTGCAGAAGGGACCTTGGGAAGAGGCGTAAGTAAGGTGGGCGAAGCACAGGTTTTTATACCCAGCGCGTTCAGGGCAAACGTCGATCCTTGACTACATCCACAGTTTTCCTGAGGGCAAAGACATGCCTATGCCGGCCGCGGTGGAGGGGAGGAAGCGCACAGAGCACACACAGAGCACACTACACAACACAACACACATGCACGCCGCGCAACTCACACACAGGCCCGAAATGACAACACAAACGTACACAACAGAAAAACAATTACCGAAGCGCGCATGAATGCCAACACACGCCCGTAGCCGATCCACGACGCCCACATAGGGTGTGTGTGGTGTGTAAACTTTGATTTCCTCGTTTGCCGACCTAAACAGCGCTTCAGGCGCCTTTGCGACCCTCGCAGCGTGCCTGACCAAATCCTAAACTCGATGATGTCGCTGTTTCCATGTTGCTATGTTGCAGAATCTGAGAATCCTATTTCGCCCACTTAGACGCGACGGCGGTGTGCGACGATGAGTGTGCAAACCTGGTTTGTTGACGAAACCCACTGAACCTCTCTGCGGGCTACGAGCCGCAGTGGCAGACCCGCTTTCTGGCGCAAGTCGCGACGCGCAAATCTTATTTCCTATTCCTGTTTCGCTTCGCCTTTGGAATTGAATTTCACGGGAAAATCCCACCCACGCCAAACGCGCTGCCGTTTTTGGGCATACCAGCTCGCCCGCTGCGGTGTGCGATGCATTGTGCTGTGGGCTGGGGCGAAACCAGCACAGAAAGCGAGGACTCAACAAAAGCAGTGGCGGACGCACGTGCGGAGACGTTCACGCCTACGCCTGCGTGCTATGTGGATGTGGTCTCTGGGGTGTTCAATTGCACACGGTTCGCTGCAGGAGCGCTGGGCTCCACGAGATCTTGTAGGAGCAGGACACTGCAGAACACACGCTGTGCACTGCAGAATACACTACACTACGCTACGCTACACTACACTGCACTGCACTACACGACACTACACGACACTACACGACACTCCACAGACACTACACGACACTCCACAGACACCGCACCCGCCCGCCACGTGCTCCGCCCGAGCTTTTGCTTCGGCCCCGCCGCAGGCACGGCGCCGAGCCGGCCGTGCGCCGTGCGGGATGCGCACCGAATTGCAGATCTGCCCGTCGGAGAAGCCAGTGCGGTGTTGGGGAATTGGATTTTCGGCACGCATTAAGGTTTTGCTGGGCATTGCTACTGGCGGAGGAGAGGGATGGGCGGTGGAGACAGAGTGGTGGTTGGTTATCGACGACAGTGTCGATTGCGGGGCGGTGGGCCGTTGGCGGTTGCTAAGCCGATCGGCAAACGTTGGGCTGGCCGTTGAGATGCGCAGATTTACCCGTTGCCCGTTGTCCGTTGCACATTGCGCTGGGCTGGCGCTGGAGTTGCACGAATGTGCACGAATGTGCACATTCGTGCTCGGCGCGCATTCTTGCTCGTGGCGGCGCGAGTCGAGCGAAGCGGCGCGAGATGGGCGAAAGGCGGGCGGCGGAGGAAGTGCGCGACGCGAAACGACGGGCGCTTCCAGGGCCGCGCGTTCGCGATGCGTTCGCGATGCGTCGCAATGCGTCGCACGCTGCGTCGGACGCAGCGCGGGCGCGCCGCCGAAAACGACTCGGGCCGGGGACGCCGCAAGGGGAAGCGAGTCGCGGCGCGTCGTGCCTGGTGCCTGGGTCGGGATTTACTCGCGGTGCCTGCGGCAGGGGCCGGAACCCGAGAGTGTCGCGGTGCGTGGGCGGAGAATGCGCCGTGCGGGGTGATGGGGTTGGACTGGAGGGTACAGAGGGTACAGAGGGTACAGAGGGGTACATACACAGTCGGGAAACGTGTTTGCCGGGTAAGCGAAAGCTGGGCGTCCGGGTAACGCGGTCGCCGGTAACGCGGTCGCCGGTAACCGGCGGCTGGGGACAGCGGTAGTCCGGGTAATGCGTTTGGCCGGGTAATAGTTTTCGCGGGTAATAGTTTTCGCGGGCGGCGTACAGAGGGAGGAGAGGCGGGAGCGTCGGGTGCCCGTTCTCCCGGGTAACCCTAGTTTTCTCTGGGTAGTCGCTGGCGCGATACGATGCGTCCGGGTAGCGGGCGTCGCGTCCGGGTAACACATCCTCGTCCGGGTAACTCTCGTCCCACCTGCGCAGCAGCATCCCTCCAGCTCCGCGTCCACTCGTCAACGCTCATCCTCCGCGTCCACCTCGTCCACCACGTCCCACACCACGTCGTCCGCCACCTGCTCGTCAAACACCTCGCACAGCGGCCGCGCCCCCGCGTGCTCCGCCCGCACGCGCCCCCAGTACCGCATGTCGCCCGGGCTCGCAATAAGCCGCGCCGCCCCGCCGTTGAAACAGCTCAACGTCGGGTAGTAGCCCAGCCGGCCGTTGTTCACGTACTTGTTGCGCAACAGCACGCCCGGCGCGCCCGTCGCAGGTGACGCGGTGTGGGTCGCTCCGGACGGCGCCGTCGGCGACGACACCAGCCGCGCCGTGTCGTCCGGTACGGCGCTGCTCGAGGCCGCAACCGGCGCACCGCCGCCGCCCGCGCCATGACGCCAGTAGTTGAAGTAAAACTTGTCGTTATACTTCAGCTCGCTGAACGGCGGCAGGAAGGGACGTAGCTCCGTGAACGCATCCCCCGCAGCCTCCCCGTTCACGTAAACCCGTAGGTACGACCCGGCCAGCGTGTAGAAATCGTGTCGCTCGCGACGGTCCGCCGTGTGGTACTCCGGCCGCGTCGTCTTGACGTAGTCCGTGGCCTCGAAGAACAGCTGGTTGCGGTACCGGATCGCTATGTGGTCGCGCACCACGTCCGCTGCGTCCTGTTCTCGCAGCAACGCGCGCTGGAACTCTCTGTTCAGACGTCGCGTCCGCTTGCGCAGCGGGCCCTCGCCCGCGCCCGCGCCCGTGTCGTCGTCGCCGCCGCCCACTCCGTCCTGCAACAGCGCATCCATCTTGAACTCTGTGTACTCGGCCGCCTGCGCCCGTTGCGCCTCGGCAGACGGCAGCTGCAACAGCAGTCCTAGCCGATCGCCCGACCGCACACGCTGCGCGGGCAACGTCTGCGACACGCGGCCCTCGTGGATCGACTCCAGCGTGTGGTCCCGCACGCCGTAACCGTATTCGTCGCACCCGACCGGCGCTTCCAACGACGCCTCGCGCCGCGACACGCCGACCCGCACGTGTGGCGTCGTGTTCAGCTCGTCCTTGTCAATTCCATCTGCGCCGTCTGGGGCCCCCCCGCGGAGCACTTCCACTTCCCAGTACACGGTGCCCTCCTTGATACACGCATTGCAACGCCCGCTGCGCCAGCCGTACGCCGCGGGCACTCCAACCACGTCGCTGCCGCCTGTTTGCAACGCTAGTCCATCCGACCGGTCCATGTAATTGATGCCCACTTTTTCAAACGGGTACTCGCTCGTACAGTACCGCAGCTCCGTGAACAATGGGTTGGGTCCGCACGGCGTATATGCAAAGTTTCTCTTGTTCAACGGGATGTCATCGGGCTTCTCAAATCCTGGCTCCACTTCCGAGTGTGCGGGCAGCCGTGGCCGTGAGCTGTGCTCTCCAACGTCCTTGTACACAATATCCGAGTCCAGTTGGTACGGGATAGCGGCAATCTTCATAGCGCTTTCGTTGATCACTGCGTTAACATGAATTTCGCTTTTCACTTTCACATCTAACGGCATCCCCGAAAAATTAGGAAAAAAAAAAAATTAGAGATCACATTGAAGCCCTCCGTAAGGCGACTGTTGTTGCGAGTATCTTTTAAGATTTAGGGGTGAGATGGGCGCGATCAAGAGAAGTCAGGACCCTGAAGAAGATCCCGATGAGAACTCCAAACCTAAAAGGCGCCCCACTTCCGCGATCATGGGTATCTCTCGATCGATCGCCGCATGCAAGCGCTGCCGGTTCCGCAAAGTCAAGTGCGATCAAAAATTCCCCAGTTGCTCCAAGTGTGTGGCCGCTGATGAGCCCTGCGTGTCTGTCGATCCGGCTACTGGCCGTGACGTTCCGCGCTCCTACGTGATCTTTCTCGAGGACCGTCTCGAGGCAATGATGAAGAAACTGCAGTCGTGCGGCATCGATCCTTCAGAAGTACAGGGCAATATCCCGGCCACCAGTGACGACCGCCCTTGCAACGTCAGCATATTCGAAGAGAAAATGCGGCTCGAGCATGAGATCCCCACCGAAAACGTCATGGCTGGCTACATCATCAACAATGGCACCTCCATGCAAAAGGGCGTCTCCGTTGACGACCGCACCGCAGAGAAAACTTTCTCCACCGCTCACTCCGAGGCTGGCTCTGATCATGGCACCCCAATTTTATCTGAATTGGGCGAGTCCAGTCGAAGTTTAACCAGCTTAGGTGCCATGAAACATAGCAAAGCTAGCAAGTCCTCCATGGGCAACGCTTCTAACTCCTACTTGGGTGATTCCTCTGGTATTCCATTTGCCAAACTGATGTTCACAGCGGTCAATTTCAAGCCCGATGCCGTTGACGAATCCAATGACGAACCCGTTTCGGCCTCCCCGCCAGCTGTCGATGAGCCATTGAACCCCTTGTACTTACCCACCAAGCGAGAAGCCCAGGAATTGATCTCTCGGTATTTTGCGTATTGTAACTCTCAATTGCCTATCCTTCATCGTGAGTATTTTTTGAAAAAGTATTTCGAACCGATTTACGGCCAACTCGATGAAGGCGTATCCCTCGCATCTGATCACACTCTCATAAATAAGGATTTTAAACTGGTACAACAACCTCAGGCTGACGACTCACCCACAGAAGACAACGCGGAACCCTGGTATGAACCATCACTCTCCGATTCAGCAGTTCACGACAAAAAAGTACCTGTGAAATTCTATCTGCCACTTTTCTTCTTAAATATGGTATTTGCAGTTGGTGATTCGGCGCAGGTACTGGAATCGTCTGAAAAACGCTCAGCAGCTTTTAAAAACCGTGCTAGTCATTTCATAGAGGCGCTCTTTTGCTCTAATGATCGTCTAGAAGCTCTGGCGGGCACACTTCTAATTGCAGAATATTCTATTATGAGACCCAACGTCCCTGGTGTTTGGTACACCATGGGTTCAGCCCTAAGACTTGCTGTGGATCTGGGCTTGCATGCTGAAAAATTAAACAAAAACTATGAACCATTCACAAGAGATCTTCGACGTCGTCTATTCTGGAGTACTTATTCCCTGGATCGACAAATATGTGCGTTTTTTGGCCGTCCATTTGGTATACCGGATGAAAACGTGACAGCGGAATTTCCAAGCTCTTTAGATGACGCTTTGATTACTACAGCAGCAGATAATATTGAAGACTATTCATTTGTCAAGAGTTCTGTGGCATCTTATAAATCCATTTCCTTGGCTTTCTTCAAAATACGAAAAATACAAGCTCAAATCGTTCAAGTATTATACGCGCCTCATGGTACATACCCTCAAGAGTTCACCGATTTGGAACAATGGCGTTCTGTTATGAATCATGAGATTAACACTTGGTACAGCAAATTGATACCAAAAACTCACCGGAAAATGAATTGCAAATTTCGCACCGAATTTTTCCAATTGAATTACTGCCACACTAAGATCATGCTCTATGGCTTATGTCCAAAATCTGTCAGCTTGAGTCCCAGAGGTTATGAAGTTGTATACCAGAGTACTAAGGGAATCATAGACGCTTACTATAAATTATGCACAGAGGGAAACATCAATTATACATGGGTGGCCGTTCACAATCTTTTCATGGCCGGTATGACTTTCCTTTACACAATACATAACGCCGCTGTTGGGATTGTTGAAAGCATTACTGAATTACAGAAAAGTTGCTTCAAATTGGTTCATGTACTTAAATCTCTGATAGGTACTTGTGACGCTGCGAAGAATTGTTCCAAGATATTTCAAGTACTCTCGGCCGCTGTTTTGAAATTGCGAATGGAAAATGAAGATAGTAATGGCCCTATCGATCCCTTAGTGACCTACAGTGAACCTCGAACTGCTGTCCACTCTGACTCGGCTATCAGCAATATTCAAATGTCCCCTGGCCAAATAGACGCGCCTCTCGATCCATTAGAAAACATAAATACAGGCACGCTGGATCAATTTTTCGTCGAGCTCGATAAACTTTCACCTTTTTCGGATACTAGCAAGGGTCAGTTTTCACTGTCGAGCTTTAACTCTCCTGAAAGCACATCTAGAGAAAGAATTGTCAATAGTGCATCCCGAAACTCCAAGACTTCTGACTTACCCTCTAATGGACCGCGCACCAATGATGAAACAGCAAGCGCGGCTGATAAATTTACGCACCAAAAGAGACTACAACACATGAACAAAAAGCGTTCCAAGGATAGTCAAAGGGTGTACGACTTGATTCATCAAGTAAGCACTGAAACTATATGGGATCAATTCTTCAGTAACCGAGGAGGAGGCTCAAATGGATTCAACAATCCTGGAAATCCTGGCGATTTTGTTTGACCTTCATTCACAAGTTAACTGGTGTTATCTATATGTAGAGGAAATAGGACTGCACATATTATAGACGTATCATAATTATTCTTGTTAGAATTTCGTAATCGATCGCATTTTGGGGCGAAAAGTTCCTCACATCTTCAGCTCCATAGTGTGAGCTTACAAAAAGTGGCGAAATACAAACAAGCAAACAATCTAGCAAATCGAATAACCAATATTTGTTTAAATTTGTTATGATTGAATAATGTATTTTTAAATGTATTCTTAATTACCGAAGACAATAATAAAATGAAATCTTGGAATAACAAAAAATACTACCCGATTTCTCCCTCTAAGTGGCCCGTCCACCAATCCTTCTTTCGAAATAAGGCAATTTGGCCGAGTGGTTAAGGCGTAAGATTAGAAATCTTTTGGGCTCTGCCCGCGCAGGTTCGAATCCTGCAGTTGTCGTTATTTCCTTTTTGCTATTTTTGAATCGGGGACCTATCATATCATATCTTTGACATTAGGCATCTCTTGATATTCAAAATGGGACTAAGCGAGCAGGTGATTCAAAAAGTCCCTGAAGAGACGTCGTGTATTCGAAAGTCTTTAGCGTGAAGTTTATAGATTCATAAGCTATGTTTATCATGTATATCTAAATAAGCTCGACGTAGAGGTGGGTAAAAAGATGGTCCTGTCATCTACAGATAGCAGGGTTGGTTGGGCTCTGATAAATTCCTTAGGCCTTTAGAGGAGCATTCAATCTCTTGAAACCACCTTGGTCTCGACACTTTTCTTGGTGAATAGCCATCAATCTTTGAGCTTCAAGTGGATCTTCAACTTCGTTGGGTTCTGGCCAGGACAAGTATTCGTTAGTGTAGTTGGCCTTGTAATCAAGAGGCAAAATCTCCAACCTCTTTCCGTAACCTGTAACCTTGTTCCAGTCACGGTGAACATTGTACAAGGAGGATGAGAAGTAAGCGTAACATCTTTGGTATTGCTTGAAACTCATGTCGTTGTCCAATTGGGGCTTGAAGTCCATGTATTCTCTCCAAGCCTCAACAGGATGGGCCAAGACGTAGTCAGTCGCCTTCTTTATGGCATTCAAAAACTTTCTCACCTTGTCAGGGTTGGCAGCTAAGAACTTGTCGTTGCAAATGTACAAAATAGTACAGAAGCAGCAGCAACCCAAACAGGCCAACTTATCGATTCTCAACATCTTAGCATCGGTGACTGGTCTACCTTGTTGCTTTAGATACTCTTCCAACTCAACTTGCTGCATACACTCAATACCAATACCAGCGTGAATCTTTCCTTCAATGATGTACTTGGCAACGTTCATACCACATCTTACGGCAGTGTAGTCATCGGGAGTCATGCCGTAGTGCTTGGTCAATTCGTCCAATTGAATCTTCCCAAATTCACCAACATAACCAATACGCTTACCCTTCAAGGATTGGAAATCGTCAGTGATACCATTTCCCTTCAGGTACAAAAGACCAGTAAATGGCTCATCCAACAAAGAGGCAACAGAGGTGACAGGAAAACCTCTAGCTTTGGCAGCCAGCGTGTGAATCATGGCTTTCAAACCCATGTCAACTTTACCGGAACCGATCAATTCAGTAACATCTGAAGGGTTAGTGGGTTCTAAAATAGCCATGTCCAAACCTTGCTCCTTGAAATAGCCTTTGGTTAAAGCTAAGAAGATTGGGATGTGGTATGGAGTTGGTTGCCAGTTTAGCAAAAATGTGATCTTGTCGGTGGACATTGTATGAATTGAGCTGTTGTGTTTAGCTGATGATGATGATAGAAACGTCAAAGGAAAGCATTTGTAGTCTGCTCGAAGTCCCCCCTTTATATGAGTCTTGGGTTTCTCTATGTGCTTCCTTGTGCCCTAGTGCATTCTTGTAAGAGTTTTTGAAATGGCCACCATGATGTAACGATCCCCCTGATCTTATGCAACTACCGAACACAAACCTCATAATTATTAGACGCTTCGATTGGTCTGACCCTGTATTATATCTCCGGTATTCCCATATACTTTTCATGCACTTTTGGAGCAAGTATGAGATGCACTTACAGAGAAATAAGGTAGAAAAAAACTCAGAAAACGAAGTCTTCAAAGAAACACCAAGAGCAAATAATGGATGCCTTTTTCCAAGAATGAGTCGCCTGATACTTCGAACGGCTCAATTGCAAGACTTCGCCGCGGAATCAACAAACGAATTAAGACGGTGCAGAGTTATTGCGCAATTTAGTGGGTTAGTTGAATCAAGAGATAATCCAACACCAACAACATTACAATTTCGCGACCTAAAGCAACTATCAGAACATGAGCCAGGACCCCCAATATACATGGTAATTGGTGACTCCTTGTATTGCTCAAAATTTTTAAATAATTATAATGAACGGCCAATTGAAGGTGATGTTTTGGATATGAGATGTTGTGTTGTTCAAGGAACAATAGAAATAATGCATTTTCGCGTCTTGGCTTTAAAGGAACTGAATGCAATAACTCAATTTTTGAATAGTGATGAAGGCCACTTATTTTTGAATATGTCAGGACGCGCTGCCAGTTAAGCTATATTGATGAAAATCAAGGTTACTTGCATAGAGAATGCTTATCATGAGTTTCCTATCTTTGGCAGGACAACTGCTTGAAGAAAAGTTAACATGATGACCCATCTGCGGCTTATATGGGCACTGAAAGTGCTTTACCTTGAAAACGTCTACAACTTTTGAATCGAAAACCATTTCTTGAACGGTACTAATCAAGACGGAAAATAGGTAAACAAGAAGATCCTGAAAGGAATTATTTACTTCGAATTGGTGGAATTCGAATAAATCGTTCGAAAATGGGAACTGCCACTATTAGGTGGTAGCTTCACAGGTCTCATTGCTTCAGTTGGACAATAAATAATATCTAAATCAAAGAAATATTAGATATTTGTGAGCTAGGCAGCCATAACTTCTGCTACTGCTTGTTGAAAGGCTATAGCTTTTCAAAAAATCCATATTTAAGGACTGGCTAGATAAGTACTTTACATATATGCGCTACTAAATATACAACAAGAAAAGAGAATGTTCCAGTATTATTCGTTTTAAGATTTTAGAAGGCAATTTTTTTGGCAGTTTTGCGCTTATTCTTAAGAATAACCTTTTGCTTCTCTTGTTCGCTCTCACTCTCACTTTCTGCTTCACTATCGATATCCATTTCTTCACTTTCTTCCTCACTGACCTCGACTTCTTCTTCCTTAGCCTTCTTACGGGCCAACTCGACCTCTCTGACACGTAGTAGCTCAGGATTAGACTCAACAAGTTGCTTATCTCTTAGGAAATCACGCTCTTTGTTACCACGCATACGGTTCTTATAGAATGCGCGCTCTCTCTTTTGGCGAATCTCTTCGACTCTGGCCATGGCCCGCAGAGTTGTAGCCACCAACTCTCTGTTGTACCTAACTGGAACGTTTCTTCTTTGAGCAAACGCTAGAGTGGTATCCACAGCCAGCTCCTTACCGGCAGCCTTTCTAAAGGCTTTGGTCCAACGTAGCTTACGTGGATTTCTCCGTTGTTTGAATGCTTTGTGACATTTCGACCTACAGAAACGAAACTCTTTTGCGTCGTTTCTGACAAACATAATACCATGACCTGGATACACCGGGGAGGAGCAGAAATGACAACTATAAACTCTCATTCTATGTCTTTGATCACTGTTCTATGTTCTGGAGATGAGATGAGATGCCCTGAAAATTTTTTCTGATTTTTTTCTTTTGAATTTTTTGAGCTTTCAAACTCCTCTCAGAGTAATAGTTGTAAATAGTAAAGATATACAAAACAAGCGAGTTATGGCACCCATAGATGCACCCCAGCTACCCATTCCAGGTGAACAACAGCGCGCAATTCCACAACCGACTGCTGTTGAACAATACGAGGTCGTTCACCCACAACAGACTAAGAGTGGAATGGACCTGTACTTCGACCAGGCCCTGGAGTCCATGGGCAGACATCCAGTTCTGACGGGCTTTGGTGGTTTTCTCGGATTATACTTTCTAGCGGGTGCTTATAGAGGTGTCTCAAAAATGCTAGGAGGTAATTCTGCAAGTGTCCAATTTGCCAAAGGTGGTTTCGATCCTAAAATGAATACTAAAGAAGCTTTACAGATCTTAAACCTCAAGGAAAATAGTCTAACTAAGAAAAAGCTGAAAGAAGTTCACCGCAGAATCATGCTTGCGAACCATCCGGACAAAGGTGGGAGCCCATATTTAGCCACTAAGATCAACGAGGCCAAGGACTTCTTGGAAAAGCGCGGCGTTCGTAAATAGACATCGAGTTTATTATTCGAAATTCTAGCTAATGGCGTGTAGCATGTAAATAGTACCGGTAAATCTTGTCATGTTAAATATATGCCTTGGGTAATAGAGGCGCCGCAACCCTCGCATTGCATACTAACATGTGTTGTATAATGTCGGAAGCAAGAGATATGCCATGATTTAACGAGACAGGTACATTGCACACCTTCCAAAACGATTTCATGACACGAGCAGCAAATAGGAAGTTCATAACGAGCCTTAAGATAACCTTTCAATTCCTGGATCCCTCTTACATTGATTCCAAAGCGTCCCTGAGAGGTGGAGTAAAACCACTTTAAATGACAAAGCTTCAATAGTAACTGTTGAGATTCCAGTGGCCCTAGCTCTTCAAACTGACTTAACTCAGTCGAGCCCACTGTGTATGTGACCGCAGATGGCAGCTGCACATCGAGTTGCCCCGTAACCTCTGTCAGAACAGAGTCTACTGCAACTTGCACTTCAGTTCGAGGTGCATTTCCGGTGTCAAGTTGCTTTTGTGAATCCAAGAATTTGTCGAGACACCATTTCAAATATGTCAGTTCGTCAGGTTTCAATTTCGTTGCCAATTTAGTCTCATCTGAAGATCCAATGTCAATGTAGACGTAGCATCGCATGCCCAATCGTCCCATACAATGTACAACTTTATATCCTAAGATATTCAACTTAACATTAATATTAGCAATGTGATCCTTGAGGGTGTCTTCGGCTCTATCGCTTTGATAGTTGTTGCCTTCCAAAGCTTCAAAAGCTCCCATGAGATCTCGTTCATCGCACACTCCACCTTTTGCTAAAATATAACGAATCAAATATCGCCTTTTACTTTCTTCCGTTGTTCCGTTATCTAGGCTTTCTACTTCATTTATGTCATCTGCCATTGCTCATTGTTTATTCGTTTAGTTTTCGATGATGATTAGCGCAGGTAGCGAAATTCTTTTTCAACGCTTGGTTCACAATACAGACATCACAAAGGCAAAAAAGTTACGAATTACATGACCGACAAGTTGACTCTCAGAAAGTCCAAATCACCTTTACTGGTGCCCCGAAATCAACTACTCCATAGTTCTGTCCCTTTGAAAGTCTGGGTTAAATTGGATTCGAAGAGCGTACAACCGACGGACATTAATCAACCGATTGCCATAGAGTTCGAGGAAAGTGACACAGTCGACGACCTTAAGAATCATATCTTCTCGCGACTAGAAAATACAAGGTGGGCTCTTGAGAATGACGCTGCTGGAATTTGCATTGGGTTTTGGTGTGGATGCTCCCTCAACAGTGGTGATAATTCAGCTAATGTCGAGGCTTTGAAAGAGCCCTGGCAAGATTCTATCTCAGGATCCCCAAAGAGTGTAAATGTAGACCTGTGTCGTGGTCCATCTACTGCATGGCAGCTTTCAAGGGCTGGAAGTCCTAGGGCGGCTGCACCGCTGGCTCCTTCTCCTCATGCACCTTACAAGAAACTACAAGTTCCTGGCCAAGTTCCCACCCCATTAAACCACATGAGAATCTCAGCGAAACAGGAAAGGGTCACTCCATCACCAACTTACATTGCCCATTCTCGGCGGCCATTGCGACACGCATTGATGTCCAAAGAATTCTCACAGACCGAACATCAAGTTATTTTCGAGCCAGACGAACTCGTCATTAACGTTTGCAATAATTTGTTTGGTGGTGTTTCTATGCAAACGGCAGCTGATGCATTGACCATCTTCTTCAATGTCAAAGAGCGAGAACCACCCTTTCTTGAAAATGAATTAGATGACCTCGGAATAGTTGATGAAAATATAGATGACAATGAGAGTGAACCTCGAGAAGATTACAAGCTGATAATAAGTGAAGAGCAACTCAGGAGATTAGGCCATGCGATAGATGAGGACAATCCCGATTGTCACAAGCAAGCAATTCTGCTATTACCAAAGAATTTCGACGGTGATTTTAACTTGCCATCTCCTGCCTTGTCATCTCCCTCCGTCACTACCTCCAAGGCATCCACTGCAGTAAATTCACCTTTAGGAATGGCTGCACCCTTAGTTGAAGAAGAGATCGGGCTGGTACCGTCTCTAGATCCCCGAGTACAAAGAGAAGGGTCACCCTTGTCTTTCGGCTTAGAAGCAGTCAGCGCTGCATTCGTTACTCGAGACAAGCTTTTTCCAAGAATAAATGTATTGATTGTTGAAGATAATGTCATTAATCAAGCAATCCTGGGATCTTTCCTACGAAAGCATAAGATTGCTTACAAAGTTGCTAATAATGGAAGAGAAGCTGTAGACAAATGGAAAGAAGGAGGTATGCATCTAATTCTCATGGACCTACAGTTACCACTCCTGTCTGGTGTAGATGCAGCGAAAGAGATCAGACAACTGGAGTCTTTAAATGGCATAGGTAAGCGAAGAATAAGAAAACGCCAGCCACCAAGTAGAACAAATTCTTCGACAAAACTGAGCAAGAGAGAAACTCCACATAGGAAGGTCGTATCAGAAGATAGAAATTGTGACGAGGAAGCCGAAACTAAAGCCATTTTGAGCAAAGATAAAAGCAAAGTGCTTGATAGGAATCTTTTCAAGGCCCCTGTTATAATTGTCGCGCTTACAGCCTCCAATTCAGAGTCCGATAAAACTGAGGCTCTCCTGGCGGGGTGTAATGACTATTTAACGAAACCGGTCAATCTTGATTGGCTTAGCAATAAAATAACCGAATGGGGCTGCATGCAAGCACTTATTGACTTCGACAGTTGGAATCAAGGTCAAAGAAAAAAATCTACCGGTTCATTGGCTAAATCTTCCGCTCCTTCCCGTCTTCCAGCAGCTCCATCGAAAACGCTTTCAAAAGGGGCAGATCCATGAATGTCAGTAGATCTGTCGTTGTCATTGATAGTCTGTAATTGTATAGAATCAAATCACAGAGAACGGGTGATTCTCAATATCGGAAGAAATACAACTAGAAACGTAAAGCCGCGATTTAATTCCCTATTGTGATACCAAGAGAACCCGCATGTCAGATCAGCGCTTGTTTTCGAAATACAAGGCTTATGAAATAAAGTCAGAGCTGCAACAGGTTAATTTGAAGAAGCACCGTATTTCTGCTGTCAAAAGAAAGAATGCTTTAAAGAAAATCATTGCAAATTTGACCATGGGAAACTTCAATGAGATGGCTCTGCTTTTTCCTGATATACTTAAATTTTGGCAAATTGACGATGATGTTGAGGTGAGACGTATTTGCCACCATTATTTGGTTGCAATGGGTCCTACAAAGTCAGCGTATCTAAAAGACGCTCTGCAGTTAGTTTTGAAGGATCTTGACTCTGGGACCGAGGAGGTTAGAATTATGGCATTAAGAACACTGAGCTCGATTCCTTCCACTGATTACTTGAACGAAGCGTTCAAATCGGTGAAATCGGTCTTACAGAGTTCGGCGTCACCTCGCCTGAAAAAGACAGCAATTCATGCCATTACGAAACTTGATCAATCGGACCACAATCGTATTTGGCCCCTGCTAAATATACTAAGACGATTGGTTGACGAAATAAAGGAAGATTCTTCTGTCCAAGCACATGCGTTATACGTCATGTATCGAATTCACGAAGCCAACGAGGATATGAAAATGATGACCCTAGAGCGTGACACATGTTTCCGTATGCTCGAAATGCTACCAGCACTAAATGAATGGGATCATTCCTTAGTGCTTGAGTCAATGATCACTAGCTATGCCCCTCAAACTCATTCAGAAGCACATCATCTAATCGAGATAGTACTACCACAATTGCAGCACGTCAACACTTCTGTGATATTAAATGCCTTGAAGTTCATCATGTATCTCATAAACTACGTCGATTATCTCCAAGAGGGCTTAATCAAAAGACTCTCAAACTCAATTGTCACATTATTGAATAAGCCTCCAGAATTGCAATTTCTAGTGCTAAGAAATGTTATTTTGCTGTTACTCAGTCGTGAAGAGCCACTTTTGAAAGTCGATGTTTCATATTTTTTTGTTGAATTCAACGACCCCATATACATCAAAGACACCAAGCTGGAAATCTTATATCTATTGGCCAAACATGCCAACTTGTCTCAAATTTTACAGGAATTAAAGGAATATGCTACAGATATTGATATCCAAATGTCAAGAAAAGCGATTAGAGCAATAGGAAATCTTGCTGTAAAGCTGGAGCACTCTGCTAGCGAATGTGTTGCAGTTTTACTAGAGCTTTTGGATTTCGGAGTCGAATATATTGTTCAAGAAATTGTTTCTGTATTCAAAAACATCCTTAGAAAGTATCCCGGCCAGTTTGAAAGCTGTGTCGACAAATTAGTTCAATTCACGGATTCCGTTCAGGAACCAGAGTCTAGGAGTTCTATGATTTGGATAATCACCCAACATTCTTCCTATCTGCCCAACTACCTGGAACTATTCCAGATATTTTCTTCAAACTTTCAGGACGAAACTTTAGAAGTTCAGTTTTCAATCCTGAACTCGTCAGTCAAATTCTTTGTAAGATCGCCAACGGAAGCAACGGAAAAGTTATGCGTGGACATCCTAAGGTACTCAACAGAAAAGATCGATAACCCGGATCTTAGGGATCGAGCTTTCATGTATTGGCGACTTTTATCGGCAGCGCAACAGAACAATGGACTCCCACTGTCAATCGAGACTGTCAAAGATATTGTAGATGGCGACTTACCCCTGATTACGTTGAATACACGCCTTGATCCACAAGTACTCGAGGAACTGGAATTGAATATAGGCTCAATTGCGTCCATATATTTGAAACCAGTTAGCCAGGTATTCAGGCTCAATAAAACTAAAGTTCTTCCGAAAAGTCCGGCTCTTAATCTTGATAGAGACAATATCGACATTATTGCAGATAGTTCAAGCACTCGTTCCTCAAGTGTAGTTGATTTGAGATTTTCTGCACCAAGCAGGACAAGCTCCTCACCAATTAAAAAAATGGATGATTATGATAAACCCGCTGAGAAGGTGAATTCTTTGAAAACCAAAAAGAGAAGCAGCTCAAGTGCTGTAAAATTGACAAGAAAGCCCTCTGTATTAGCTAGAAAACTTTCTATGAGGAGGCCTTTTGCTTGAAGTGCATTGAATCACCTTCAATTGCCAAAAGATATACATACGAAAAACAATGAAATGAACAGTAATTAAGTAATTAAGTAATTGCTTACCAATGAATGCCCTCATTAAAATAATAGAATTTTTACAGAGCTCTTTTTGATGAGAAACTCCTTCAATACTTTTTGTAGTGCCGCATTGTCTTCGCCGGTTAAGATAGTATTTGCCTTAGGATCCAAGTAAGTGGCGTCTAGAAAAATATCAAGCTTTTCTTTTCCTTGAAACAAAATATCAGTGGACTGCAGAATTTTTGACATTCGGTTTGGGGTTGAAATCAGATATTTAATTTGTTTATCTGCTTGTTTCTTGTTCTTTTCACGCCCTTTCGAATTGCTGCCGCTATTACCTAGAAGGTAGTCGAGCTTGCTTAGGTCATCTTTGAGCTTACTTTTCGAGAAGAGCTTAACAGCGTTCTTTGCACCTCCTAGGTTGCGAAACACATCAGCAACACGCATATTGGATTGGCATAATATTATAGCGCGGGGTGATTTTGAAAATGAATCGATAAAATTCTGGAAATTCTCAACGGTGCGCTCTTTCTCATACTTTTCAGTAGAGATGAAATCTGTTTTTCTTAGGTACATCTCATCAAGTTCAAGGGCGCTCAAATCAGGATTTTTTTCACGTATTAACGTGGCAAAGTATTCCGAGATCACATCTGTTGAACTTCTTGGAATGTTTGCCTTCTGTTGCCTATCATATTCAATCTTTTCCAATTTTTTCTGATGCAAGTTAGATTTTTGTAGCTTCTTTTGCCTTTTACTTGTTGATATTGGAGTAGGTTCACTCTTTTCACTGGATTCTTCATCGAGCGTTCTCTTTTTAGATTCCTCATCCGAAAGACTGACTACAGCACTATCATCGATGCCATCATCAACATCATATACCAACCCATCATCTAGGTCGTCACCAAGAGGCTCTGTGCTAACCATGGGGATTAAAATCGAGTGGAGTCTATGATATTCTCCAGTTCCGGGTTGTTAGGATACTACTAGATGCTCATCGCTGCGTTAGATCGAACAAAACTTTATCAAAAGAAATTATATATTATATCATTATGAACGTTGAAAATGGAATCAATAAACGTAGCGGAAACTTCTGTTCTCAATGTCAGTTAAGTCCATGAATTGGTATTCTGGAGGATCCTGACCCTCCTGCTCAACATCTCTCTTGTCGTTTTCTTTTTTACAAAGATAACCGATGTACAATTGAAGGGGCACACAGACACATTGAGTGACCAGTAACGCGATTTTAGCAGGAATATATCTGGGCGCAGAGTATTCTCTGAACATTTGAGGTGCAACGATACAAGAAACGTTGTATACAATCATGGTAATAGCATTGCGGAAAACTCTTTTCGAATACCCTGATGTATTGCAACTGTTCCAAATGTAGATATTGGTAATCACACAAGAACCGCTGTATAACAAATAGAGTGCAAACAGATTTCCTATTTTATGGGAGAGAGGAAGAGCAATCATGACAATGCAACCAATAATAGCTGGAATGTACATAGATGTAGTCACCAAAGTGAAATGACCAAAATGTGACATCATCTGAGTAGTTACAAGAATGATGATTGCTGTTATAGCACCAATTGGTAACTGTAACAAAGCGGTCTGATAACTGTCAAACCCAAATGTTTGAGTAATGGTCGTAGAAAAAGTCCCGATAGCACCTGTTGAGATCTGAGAGCAAGCGGTCACTAAGAGCATCGGATAAGTGAGCTTATCATGGAAAAACAATTCCTTCAATTGATGCTTTTTAACCTTCTTATTTTCTAAACCCGTTTGATTCGATTTTATGTGACGAATGACTTCAAGCTTCTCACTTTCACTTAAAAACCACGCATTCGTTACATTATCTGGAAGGTAGATAAATGTTGTAATGCCAAACACCACAGTTACCAATCCTACGACCAAGAACATAATTTGCCATGAGGTGAATGTTTTCCCGTGATAATGCAGGAATCCAAACGAAATAAGACCACCAATTATGTATCCAGTACCAGCTTGAGTGGCCCAATAACCTATTCTGGCGGATTGTTCGGCTTTTGTATAATACATACCGCTGATAGCGATACACCCAACAGCACTGCTTGCCTCAAAGAAACCCAAAAGCGTTCTAACAATCATCAATGCTGCATAAGTTTTACATGCAGAATGGCATGCAAGAACAATGCCCCACAGCGTGATGAAGACACCCATGACTTTCGATATGGGATATTTTTGAATGCAGTACGTCACCAAAGGCTCAGAAAAAATGTAAGCAGCAGAGAAGATTGTTCCCAGGTTCGAATATTCATTCCCTTTCAGATGCGACTTAATTCCCATTGATGCAGCATAATTTAACAATGCTTTATCTAAAAACATGAGCAGGTACGTGCAACACAAGAAAGGTAAAATAAAAGTGTCAACTCTTCTCAATAGTTTGGGATCTAGCTGATGCGTACCATAATATGCGGCACCCGCCAGCTCTAATTCTTTGTCATCGGAGCTCTCATTGAGAGCCGCGCCCTCAGCATGTGCCTTCTTTAGGTAATTCAAAGCAACGTCGACTTCATCATCGTACAAAACATTGGTCTTTTCCCCCACAGATGCAGTCTTTGAATCAGAATCACGAATTGACATCCTCCAAATGGATAGCGTTGGCTGCGGCACCAAAAACGTTATTTGTATACAGAACTTTTATTCCCTTTAAGTACCTATTCCTTTTCTTTCAGTTCCCTCATAATCAGGAAACTGTAAGAATATCTGGAAATTAAGGGCCCTCTCGACCGAGAGATCTCACTAAACTAACGGTAGCCCATGTTCAAGATCTCTTAAACAATATAAGCCTGCGACCAGATGTTTGCATAACACCTGTTTCTTTCCATTTATATTACTTTTGACGTTATAGCGCTTTTTACTAAATGTCGTTAAAGGAGAATAATGGTAAAAATATATCACTGATCTTATTACGTAAGTCTTGAGAATGTTGTCACAATCATGGAGATCTAGAAAAAGGGCTCAAATCGAAAGCTCGAAAGATAACCATGAGCAACGAACGAAGTAGCTATAGAGTTTTTCAATGATTCTTCACGCTACATTGACACTTTGCCTGTTTATAAATCTATGTTCGGGGATAGTTTTGACCAAATGGGACTTTTTCTCAGAAATAAGGAGCATCAAGGGGGCAGAGAGCTCGAACAAGGTCACATCCTCCAAAGCATCGGAGGAAAATGATGCGAGCGCAGTATCCTATGAATTGAATCTCGGTTCTTATTGGTTGGAAAAGGAGTGGGAAGATGCTCAAGAACAAGAATTTGAGGAACAGCACAAATCACAAGGTCAATTGAATTGCGCAATGATACCCCCAGTTCTTGCAGAAAAATACGAATTTCTTCGATATGTTGATGTATTCTATGGAACCGAAGGTGGAGGTCACATGTTTCCTGGGGTTACGGTACCTTTTGGGATGTGTAAAATGGGCGTCGATGTAATCAATTCCGGTTCCGATGCGTATTCTGGTTATGATCCCAACGGCGAGGTTTGTGGCGTATCAATGCTGCACGAATCGGGTACTGGAGGATCACCAACATATGGTGTTGTTTCTCAGTTGCCTATGCTAGCTGAGGATCTATCGACTGTGGATATAAAATCACAGATTGCATTCAATCGATCAAAGCCAGATTTTGGTCACATAGGATACTATCAAGTCAATTTATACACGGGTATAAAGATTGAATTTTCGGCAAGTGCCAGATCTGGCCTTTATAGGTACACCTTTCCCGTGGAATCTGGCTTATCACCTGTCATTATGGTCAATCTGACTCAGCACTTGCATTCTTATGGAAGGCCGTGGTGGACCCAAAACTTCGACGGAGGCTACATCCAAGTATCAAGCGATATGAAATCATACCAAGGAAAAGCATACTTTTCTGGTGGTTGGAGCGACCCAGGCACTTGGAGCGTGAGCTTTTATGGGGTTTTTGATCAACCTGCTAAGACCATTCGTGCATTTCACGGTTCAGAGTCATATCCAGGTTTAAGACTCAACATTGGAAAATCGGTGAATGTGAATATGGGTATACTTTTCCAATTTCGTAAAAATGCTGGTGTCATTAAGTCACATGTAGGAGTCAGCTTTAGTCCGCACAATGGTACAATTGTAGCCAAGGATAATTTGCTTAATGACTATCCATCTAAAGCTTTCTTTGATTTCAATAACAGTGTTTCAAATGTCATCAAACGGTGGGATGATGAGGTTTTCTCGAAAGTTGTAGTTAATTCCGAAATCGAAGATCCCATAATCCTCGAAAAGTTCTACACATCTTTATACGGTGCACATTTCATGCCAACTGATAAATCAGGGAAGGAAGCTCCTTGGTCCACAGAAGAACCGTATTATGATGATTGGTTTACGTTGTGGGACACATTTCGTTGTCTCCATCCTCTCATCAATTTATTCAACAAGAAGCGAGGAGCGGACATGGTTCGCTCCCTAATTGAAATCTGGAGAAGAGAGGGATTTATGCCAGACGGAAGATCGGCTGGCAGATCAGGACGCACCCAGGGCGGGAGTAATTCTGACATTGTCCTTGCAGATGCATTTATTAAAGGAATTAATTCTGGTATTGACTGGGAAGACGGGTTGAAGGCAATGCAAACCAATGCAGAAGTTATTCCTCCATATATAAGGGACCCAATAGCCCCAGACTCAACAAATAAATTTGGACGTGGTGCGCTCCAAGATTGGTTGAATTACGGTTATATTACGAGAGCGTTTTCACGGTCTGTCACTAGAACGATGGAGTATTCGTACAATGATTTTGCTCTACATGTTGTAGCCAAAGGGTTAGGTCACGATGCTCTGGCACAAAGATACTTGAAAAGGTCATCGAACTGGCAAAAAATTTGGAATTTCGAAGCATTGTCAGACAAATACAACTATCGTGGATTCGTGCAACCAAAAGACAATAAGGGTAACTTCTATACCGAGCATTATGATCCTCTTTCATGCTTTGGCTGCTATTGGCAGGACGATGAGTATGAAGGGAAGCCAATAGAATATGGCTGGGCTGTGCCACATGATATACTAACATTAAAAGCATTCATTGGGTCAGATGAAATTTTTGCGCAGAGATTAGATGACATGTTTGGACTTTATGGGGACGGAATTGCGGATATAGGAAATGAGCCGAGTTTTCTAACACCCTATTTATTCAATTTTATTAATCGGCAGTTTCGCACATCTGAGACCATCGATTATCTAATTGAGAATAAATTTCTAACTGGAGTGAAAGGATTACCGGGGAATTCAGATGCAGGAGCAATGCAAGCTTGGCTTTGGTTTGGTTTAACGGGTTTCTATCCCATTGCAGGGACGGACATCTATTTAATAACAAGCCCAAAGATATCGTACTTGGAGTTGCGATTTGAGAGCGGTAAAATAACCATCCAGGCATACAACCTGTACAAACGCACAAACCCCTCTAACCCATTTTCGAGAAATGTATACATACGCGAACTAGTAGTCAATGGAAAGCAACTGCCACGCAATTGGCTCACACATCAAGAATTATTTGAGGGTTTTAATCGCTTAGAGTTTTTCATGACAGACGTACCGACACCTTGGGATGCGTATGGTGAACTGCCTCCCAGCAGAGGACATATTAATTAATAAGGTTTGAGAAGAAGCGCATTTGTAGTTATTTCGTTTGTATAGTTCGAGGTTTTATTCATTATTGATTTATTGAATTACGTTTTTATAAGAAAAAAACTTGATGCACACCATATACGCGGACAAAACTTTCCACAAGAAAACACTGGAAAAGCATGCCCCCGATTATTGGCTTAGACTCAGATGATGAGTTTGTTGACAAATCATCACGGTCCAAAAGAAAGTCTACAAAAGGAACGAAGCATGTCCGTATCGAGGAAGACTATAATGATGACGGAGATAGTATTGAGGATGATGAAGATGATGAAAACCTTTCAAGTGATGATGAACCAAATCTTCGAAGCGGGAGTAGCAAGAGAAAGAAGAAGCTAGGTAACAAGAATCTCCAAGGTTTGAATGGTGGATACGCCTGGGAGGAAGATATCCAGAGAAGTTGGGATTTAGTGAAGGTTGACGATGAGGGGAACATGGCAGCAGTCGTCGCAAGTATTATTGAGGCTAGAAAAAAGAGATCGGCAAGAAAAAATATGACTCCATTTCAACGAGGTATCATTAGAACAATGATTTTGGTTTTGGATTGTAGCGAAGCAATGCTGGAAAAGGACTTGAGGCCCAATAGACACGCTATGACAGTTCAATATGCCATCGACTTTATTCACGAGTTTTTCGATCAAAATCCGATATCACAGATAGGTATTATATGCATGAGAAATGATCTTGCCCAGTTAGTGAGTCAGGTTAGCGGAAATCCTCAAGATCATATTGATGCTCTCAAATCCCTACGTAAGCAAGAGCCGAAGGGAAACAGCTCATTACAGAATGCATTGGAAATGGCTAGAGGACTTTTACTACACGTTCCTGCTCATTGTACAAGGGAGATATTGATTGTCTTTGGTGCGTTGTCTAGCACGGATCCTGGCGATATTCACCAAACAATGAATTCTCTTGTGCAAGAGCGTGTACGTGTTCGCGTGATCGGTCTTTCAGCACAAGTGGCAATTTGCAAAGAACTATGTAAACAGACAAATTACGGAGATACTTCCTTTTATGGGGTTATTTTGAATGAAACCCATTTCAAAGACTTATTCAAAGAAGCTGTTACACCTCTTCCCGTCAATAAAATTAATAAAGGCTTTACGTTGGTCAAAATGGGGTTTCCAACGAGACTATTCGAGGACAGCCCTTCATTTTGCACCTGCCACTCGAAATTAACATTCGGAGGGTACTTCTGTCCAAATTGCAAGAGTAAAGTATGCTCACTACCGACCGTTTGTCCATGTTGTGATTTAATGCTTATTCTATCGACGCATTTAGCTAGATCATATCATCATCTCATGCCGTTAAAAATATTCCAGGAAGTTCCTGTAAGTGAGCATTTCCCAACTGAGAATTGTTTCAGTTGCCAGAAGCGGTTTCCAAAATTGAGGAACCAGAAAACCCAAGAGTTGCTAACGAGCTCTAGATATAGATGTGAAGACTGCGAAAAAGACTTTTGCATTGATTGTGATGTTTTTATCCACGAAATTCTTCACAATTGTCCTGGATGCGAATCTTCACCAAACGTTTGATAACCACCATCTTACAAACGCATCAGGTTTTGCGCATAACAGCTCATTGAGTAGGCAAGCGGACGTATGTTTTCATCAAACAACATACTTGGGCAGAAATTTATCAAGCATTAAGTACAGAATAATTTTCATCGTTTCAAGATGATCCTTTGCATTAATGTGGAGAAGCTGGCGGACAGTCAAACGATGAGAACGAGCGGTAATGTCTTTTGAGGCAGCTGAGAGCATTCGAATGGTGAAGCCCAAGAAATCCAATCAAGGGCACGGTAATGTTTTTACGGTGTCAACAAAGTGGGATATAACCGAATAATTTGAATAATTCTTTTCAATTGGCAGTTATTGGTGAAATTTTCACTAGTTTTCTTTCCAGAAGAAGGTTTCGTGTCGTTTCCTCACTAATCTTTGATATTAAAGAATTTCAGATACTGAACTTATAGGATATCAGTTGATACCACAGCTTTTGAAAATCCAGCAGCCTTCTTTAGCTGTTCATCCATTACTAAATGCGGCGTCCTGTCTTTATTCATAAAAAGTTAGAGATTACTTCCACGAGTGAGAAAGGACATGCACTTATGCCAGTCGGCCTTGTTCTTCACCTCTATCTATCCTTCAAACTTTCAAGCAAAATCAATAAGTTTATAGAATTCACAACAATTGAAACCTCGTCAATAGACCACGAGTGCAGAGACAGCGGTGCTGCAATACTGGCATTGAGTGGTTCCATTCTCATCCGAAATTTTATCCACTCCTTTAGTATTAGTTTTCATTTTTCATATATATCGATATAAATGATTAACAATATTAAGGCATTTTTGTTTTCTCATAGTAATCATTCGACGTTTTGCTAATGCTGCAATTCTCTTGTTCGCGAGGTGACTTCATGATATCTCATCGTGAAAATCTTGTGCAATCGAAGCTTTTGTCTTTGAAAAAAAAAACAACCATCTCAGTTAGAGACCCTAAGCGAACGTTTTATGGGCCCCTTGGGTTGATCAGAAAGGATTCGAACATGGACAAATATACTAATATACACCATCCTGATTATATTCCAGGTACGTTCAACATTTACTCCTCAAGCAGCTTGGAAAATGGTATCATCTACGGTTCTCGTCTCAAGAAAAGCAAAAGAGATGTAATTTTGATTCCTCAACCTTCTGACTCGCCTAATGATCCACTCAACTGGTCTAAATTGAGAAAATTTGGACATTTCGGGTTGATGTCTTTTATCACTGCTTTTACTGCAGCAACAAGTAACGATGCTGGAGCAGCACAAGATTCTTTGAATGAAATATATGGTATTTCTTATGATGCAATGAACACAGGTGCAGGTGTTCTGTTTCTTGGCATAGGTTGGGCAACTCTATTTCTGGCCCCTTTAGCAAACCTGTATGGCAGAAAGATCACGTACATAATCTGCATAACCTTGGGATTATTTGGAGCATTGTGGTTTGCACTTGCCAAACGTACCAGTGACACTATATGGTCCCAACTCTTCGTGGGGATAAGCGAATCGTGTGCAGAGGCCCAGGTTCAACTCTCGTTGAGTGACATATATTTTCAGCATCAACTGGGTTCTGTTTTGACGGTTTACATTTTATGCACCAGTATCGGTACCTTCCTCGGGCCTCTGATTGCGGGATATATATCATCTCTAACTACCTTTCGCTGGGTAGGTTGGGTTGCCGTTATAATTTCTGGTGCACTCCTTTTGGCCATTGTATTTGGTTGTGAGGAGACATATTTCGACCGCAACAGATACGTAGTGCCCACTACTTCCCAAAAGAATATAAGAAGCCAGGAAGAAAGCTCCAATGGACAAACATTCAATCCCTCTTTAATTGATTCCACGGGTAAAACTCTGGAGTTCGAACAACATGACGAATTTAAATCAGTTCTACAGAAAAGAGTTGATAGAACGGAAGAGGAGGAGCGAACGCTTACAGTTGGCGAAGAAAAAACTAAGCTCATTGATGGTTCAAAAGAAGAACTGAACAGTTACTGGAAAAGGGTTGCCATAACTACGAAAGCTACCAACTTGCGCGGATTAGGAGTCAAGCAGTACTTCCACTACCTAGCGATCAATTTGAGAATGTTCATTTTTCCACCAGTTTGGTTATCTGGTCTTTTTTGGGGCATTCAAGATGTTTTTCTTTCATTCTATCTTACAACTGAAGACACTTTGTTTTACGATGCACCTTGGAATTACAGTGATTATGGTGTGGCAATAATGAACGTTCCTACTTTGATCGGTGCAGTTATAGGTTGTATCTACGCGGGAGTGATAAGTGACTACTTTGTGTTATGGGTTGCACGTCGGAATAATGGAGTTCTTGAAGCCGAATATAGGCTGTATTTTTCTTTTGCCACTGCGATAATTGGTCCTGCCGGCTTGTTGATGTTTGGAATAGGTGCTGCACGTGCTTTACCCTGGCAAGTCATATACGTTGGTTTAGGATTCATTGGATTCAGTTGGGGCTGCTCTGGGGATATCGCAATGTCGTACTTGATGGACTGTTATCCAGATATGGTACTCGAAGGTATGGTGTGCACTGCCATTATAAACAACACTATCTCATGTATTTTCACATTTACTTGCTCTTATTGGCTAGACGCTTCAGGAACTGAAAACACGTATATTGCCTTGGCGGTCATTAATTTCGGAATTACATGCTTGGCTATCCCAATGTTCATCTGGGGAAAGAGAATTAGAAAAGCTACAAAAAAGTGGTACATTGCGTCAATTAACGTGCGGGACGGATTTTAAATAGTTCATTGAGTGGGAACTATCTTTTTGTAATTATATTGAAAGTATAGTAATGATAATCTTTGAAATAATTCAAATTCAAGAAAACATGCCAAGATTTTCTATTTCCGGTTTCGAGTAAAATCGACTTTTCTGCTAAGAAAAATTTTTTGATGCCGCCAAGTTGAATTTCTCAGGATAGTAATAAGCAGCACAAGGTTGCTTTTGAATGGCATCATACAAACATTAATTGATTAGCGGGTATACCTGTGCTTATTCCATGCAACTTAAACTATCCTTTTAACCTTTGATTTCGTGACTTTCATAACGTTAACCGACGAGCAATCCGATAGAAATGGACGAGTACACTAATTTGCATCATCCAAATTATATTCCTGGAACTTTCAACATCTATTCGTCCAGTAATCTCGAAAACGGCATTATCTATGGTTCTAGACTAAAAAAGAATGAATATGGTGTTGTATTGATTCCACAACCCTCTGACTCGCCTAATGATCCACTCAACTGGTCTAAATTGAGAAAATTTGGACATTTCGGGTTGATGTCTTTTATCACTGCTTTTACTGCAGCAACAAGTAACGATGCTGGAGCAGCACAAGATTCTTTGAATGAAATATATGGTATTTCTTATGATGCAATGAACACAGGTGCAGGTGTTCTGTTTCTTGGCATAGGTTGGGCAACTCTATTTCTGGCCCCTTTAGCAAACCTGTATGGCAGAAAGGTAACTTACATCATTTGTACTACTTTGGGATTATTTGGAGCATTGTGGTTTGCACTTGCCAAACGTACCAGTGACACTATATGGTCCCAACTCTTCGTGGGGATAAGCGAATCGTGTGCAGAGGCCCAGGTTCAACTCTCGTTGAGTGACATATATTTTCAGCATCAACTGGGTTCTGTTTTGACGGTTTACATTTTATGCACCAGTATCGGTACCTTCCTCGGGCCTCTGATTGCGGGATATATATCATCTCTAACTACCTTTCGCTGGGTAGGTTGGGTTGCCGTTATAATTTCCGGTGCACTCCTTTTGGCCATTGTATTTGGTTGTGAGGAGACATATTTTGACCGCAACAGATATGTAACTCCCCTGACATCCCAAAGGGTCCTCCAGAATTTTGAAGACGGCACAACTCTGCAAGATCGTAAAGATGCATGGGATGAAAAGGGAGTGAAAGTTACTAAGAATGAAGGTTCTCAAGAACTAATGCATCGCCGTGAAAGTGATGAACTTCAAAGAACTATTACAGCCCGTGATGAAGTACTGATTGATGGTTCCAAGGAAAAAATAAAATGCTATTCTCAGAGAGTAGCACTGATCACCAAGGCTACAAATCTTAAAGGATGGGGAGTGAGGCAATATTTTAAATATTTAGGTCTAAATCTTCGGATGTTCCTATTCCCTCCTGTATGGCTATCTGGTTTGTTTTGGGGGATTCAAGATGTGTTTCTTTCCTTCTATCTGACTACTGAGGAGGATACGTACTACGATGCGCCTTGGAATTATAGTGATTATGGTGTAGCAATAATGAATGTTCCCACTTTGATTGGAGCTGTAATTGGGTGCATATATGCGGGTATTGTAAGTGATTATTTTGTTCTTTGGATGGCCCGCAAAAATAATGGTATCCTTGAGGCGGAATACAGGTTGTATTTCTCTTTTGCCACTGCAATAATTGGTCCTGCAGGTCTACTGATGTTTGGTATTGGAACTGCGCATGCTTTGCCGTGGCAGGTAATGTATGTTGGCTTAGGATTTATAGGATTCAGTTGGGGTTGCTCAGGAGATATTGCGATGTCATATCTCATGGACTGCTACCCAGAAATGGTCCTTGAAGGTATGGTTTGCACAGCCATAATAAATAACACCATCTCCTGTATTTTCACTTTTACTTGTTCTTATTGGTTAGATGCGTCGGGGACACAGAACACATATATTGCTCTCGCAGTGATCAATTTTGGAATTACATTACTTGCATTGCCCATGTTTTTCTTCGGGAAGAGATTTAGAAAGCTCACTAAGAAGTGGTATATTCAATCTGTCGAGATGAGAGATGGACTATGAACATTCCTATGCCCTAATATCGTCATAAATCTTTTTGTAAATACAAACTCAAGGAAGTACTGTTTGAAACCCCTTTTGTTATTGAAATTTTACATTTAACCAGCAATAAATAACACCAAGTACTGTTAATAAATTATTAAACTTTAAGACAATAACTGTAGCATGTTGAAAATATACCGCCAAAAAACCGCTATATAGTCCAGTTCAAAATAAGAAAGATTTGTTCATAGCAGTGGGTTGCTTCGAATATTTCAAATTAAAGACTTGAAGCGAGTATATGTAACCAAAGGTACAATATTCCAATCAGTTTTTTTTTTTAATTGAACTTAGATCTCTTTTAATTGCAATATAATATGGTGAGAAGTATGCTATTTTGATTTACACAGAAATTTAATTAATCTATCATATAAGATCAGTTAATTGAGTATTGTTAAGAAGTTCTGCGCGATATTAGTGATCATCTTTTTAGTTACCATGTATTCTATCTACGAACATATAACCAGGAAATTTGAGCTCACCAAAGTCCTACATACATGTTAAAGCTCATCAAATAATTGAAGTAGTCTCTGAAATATCAGTTTTATATATATTTTAAGATCTAAACATTATTCTCTAGAAGCGGGAAAACCTGAAAAGTGTCAATCTCAACTGTAATAGTGCGTCGATTCAACATGTCTAGTCCCACAAGTCAACTTAAATTTAGAGCAAGTTGGAAATTACTGTAGCCCATACTGGAAACTATTCGCGTAAGTAGCCTTATCAGGAAAGATATCAGCTAGCATACTATTTACTACCACTGTCTGTCGTATCTAATTATGAAATCAGCAGTTTATTGGCTTTCCTCCGTTATTCGTGTTGGAACGAAATACAACTATCGACCATCGACTAGTATTCGTGTTACTAGTATATTATCATACACGGTGTTTTAAGATGACATAAAGAATGAGAAACAGTCATCGAAATTAGTAGAAGCTGAAGCGCAAGGATTGATAATGTAATAGGATAATGAATGAAAATGTATAAAAGGAACAGAAAGAGCAAGAATATTTGCAAGTAGAGTTATCGACTCTTCCTGGATTCTGAGAAAGATGAGGAGAACTTCTATTATAACCATATACCAATTATTAGAGCCTTAATAAAAAATGGAATCCCAACAATTATCTCAATATTCACCCATTTCTCAATTCGATCCCCTGCAGAGCCTGTACCCTGATGATACTTGTAGGTATAAATCCGAGACTGATAAAACCCTCATTGTAAAGGGTGTACCTCACGGGTATGATAACTTTTGGTGTTTCAGAAAGATTATTGTTTTACCATCGAGTCATTTGGCATATGCTTCGCTAATGTAGAGTACCATGAGCATCATCTAATAATAAAAGCCTTGTTGGCGCAATCGGTAGCGCGTATGACTCTTAATCATAAGGTTAGGGGTTCGAGCCCCCTACAGGGCTTAATTTTTATCCCATTCATAACACTTTTTTTCTGCACGTATTGAGGAGTTGAATGGGGCAAGCCCCATCGTGACTACCTTTAACAAGTGCTGGGGTCCTTCGTTGAGTGAGTAAATCCTTTACCTATTGCTTTTATTATATGGATTTGAAACACACATTTTTTCCATTTTTTTTTTCAGGAAATTGGAATTAAACTTTTCTTGGGCATCAGAATAAGTATCGAATTTTATAGACAGAAGTTATGTTAAAAGTACATTTACGTCGATCATTTACCTCCTGCTCGAGGTTTTACAAACAGTCTAGTCCATTAAAATCAGTTTATGGAGAAATTTTAAACAATCCCGCCCTCGTAACATTGAAGAGTGGACTACCTCAAGAGTATGAGGAATTTCAACCATATGGTTTCTCCAAGATCATCAGAGATGCCATTGAACGAAGCGAAATCGACACGTCCTCAAAAATCACTATTCATAATCAAATGATAGAAATGTTGACTGACTATGATTATGGGATAGCGACGATTCACTCAAAAGAGTTGCAAAGACTTAGTGGGAAACTGAGTGCAGATGGTTTCATTAAGTTAATTCAGAACAATCCTGGTCGGGCTAAGACCTCCTGGGAACTTTTTTTAGAATATCTTCCGATCGCCAGGAGCATAGATGGGGCATTAACAACTGTCCTTGGTAAAGTTCTCTTTTTGGACTTGGCAGATGTGAAAGACGGTAAAAAGTATCCCGACATTGAAGATCTCTCAAGAGCAATTGCTCTCATTGAAACAATAAAATCAAAAGAATTAATTACGGAAGATTATTGGGAGCGCCTCCTAGAGTGCAGTCTGGTCTTGAACGCATCAAGCATACTTCCTTATATCATGCAACATTATCCTGTCAGAAAAAGAGATAAATTGATCGAAAATGATATAACAGATTTTCAGTTCTTTCAGTTAGCACACAAACAATATAGTGAACTTATGAAGGGGGACGAGGCCTGTTTCCTAAAACTGCTCCGGCTTATCGGAGAAATGCCTGTTATAGAAATGACAGAAGAAGAGAAGGCTGCGTGCTCCAGAATTGAAAGAGAATTGATTAGGATAAAGAAACTAATATGTGAAGTTGATATTCAGCTATCCCCATGTAGTATAAAAACAGGTGAGATCTATAAAGAAATTGTGACAGAAGTGAGAAAATCTGGATCAGATCGAGGCAACATACAGCTGGCGAAGATAATCTTGAGGACAATGGCAATGTACAAAAATGACATCGAGAGTGCTTTGAAATTATATCATTCTTACATGGTAACCAATGCTGATCATCCGAGTGACTTAATGTATGAAATGTTCTTGGCATTTGCATATCAAGCCTTCAAGACATCAGATGAAAAACTCCTCATTGTTGCCGAGGCATTCATTCCTCAAACCGTTAGCCCCTCTATGAAGTTAAACGTCTACAGAGCATTAATCCTAGCTTACTCGAAATTCAATCCTCAAAAAAGTTTAGAGATTTTCAATTCTCATATACAAGACTTCAGCAAAGAAGTTAATCCTCAAAGCTTCAAATCAGCAAGCGGACTTTTTGTCGAATCTTTGATTCTCGCGCAACTAGCAAATAAAGATAGAGAGTTTTCACACGTCATATTTGAGGGTGCTGTCGGAGAAGGGATCCTGTCAGGGCCAACTGCAATTAAGGGAGTGAAGGCGATTTTTGCTCATTATGGTGAACTTTTAGAAAGAGATAGTTTTAAAAAAGATATGCAAGGTAAGATCTTATCTACCTTACAAACATTATGACAACTTCCGCCGCTAACTTTTCTCCTAACGCTATATAACTAAGAACGGCGCTGTGTCCAAGATCTATTGTTGCCAAACTGACTGCAAGACACAGATGTCGACCAATAAAAAACAAAGCATCCTAGTTTTACCAGCAGATGTTCTGGCCCAATCAGATCAGTCGATAATTTCTAGTATTGTCGATTTTATTAATAGGGGCTATGATAGAAATCGCTCGAAGTACAATCTCATCCTTTCGCAACGAATCAAAAATAGTGAATCCTTTTTTACAGACCTCGGTTTTGATAAGAACCAGCATCAAAGCCATCTTTTTTTGATGATAGATGATTGGACACTTATCACCACGCATTTTCATGAACTTTTTGTAGAGTTTTCATCCAAAAGCGAACCCTCCAGAGTATGGTACACGCCGATTAAACCTCTTCCCGAGAACATTAGTTTCAGTTCTGCCATTGCTTCTATTGGCTTCAAACCGGTGTGTAACGAGCCAGGATGCTTTGAAGTTACCGGATTCACTTCTTGCAAGCCTGGTGCTGGAAAAGACCTTCTTCAGGCTACGGCAAAATACTACAATGTAGATCTCGGAGCCCGTAGACTAGTTGCCGTTGTAATTGTCGAGCATGACCTCCTCAAATATTATCAAGAGATACATGGCTTCCAAGAAGTTGAAAGACAACTCATTGAGAAAGATAGTGTCTCAGAGACTCTTGAAGACGGCGTTGTGGCACGGAGCGATTTTACCTTAGCAAAGCTCGTAAAAGATTTTTAATCGATTTAAATGGTGTGTAGTGTGAAATCAATGCATGCATTTGAGATAATTACAAAATCTCAAGATTTGAGTCAGGCCTTGCGCCGACTATTCTGACTAACTTTAAGAATTGATGTTGAGCAATATTCTGAGGAAGAATTATTTCTCCCTTTTGACTTGACTTTACCCAATGAATTTCGGCTGAAATGAAAATGCGGATCAATAGTATTAAGAGGAAGCTCAGAAGGCTGTGAATGAACGCTCCCACGCCTACGTCTGTCGCTCTTAATACGAAAAAGTGGCCTCAAAGGTTTTTTACCATCGAAATCAAATGATGATTGCCACGGATTGGCATACTCAAGAGTGTGGTCGCTGGGACGCGATGGGACAAAGGCCACGGGTTTTTTAAGGGCGGCCCTATAAGACCGTCCTTGACCGGTATGATTGTTTAAACAAAATTGGGGATCTGTCTTTATCACAAGATTTCTTGACAAACTTTGATCACTATCTTTCTTTTTGTTGATGATGGACTTCGAAGAAAGAGATATCTTCTCCACCCTCCCTCCCTCAAATGTGTGCATCACAACCGGTAAATCACCCTTCTGTTGAGAAACTGTCTTTGCATGTCGGAAAGGTGGCCGTTTAACTGATTTATTGACAGGAACTTCTGTCTTCCTCAAGTTCCTAGGATCAACGATTATTAATTTCAACTTCTTGTTTAGTTCTGTGGACATGAGGCATGCGCTTCAAGACGAATCCTTTTGCCCTGGTTCCTCCCTGTCCTGTAGCTTTGTGTAGTCGCATTCTAAAAATCGTATATCACGAAACTTATGGACTATTACGAAATAAAGGCTATTCCTTGAAAACGAAAATTTTCATACTAGCTCATCTCATCGCATCGACCATCTTTGTCAAAATGGCTGGTAAAAAGAGGTCTAAATCAGCTATTGAAGAAAGAACTGGAAAAAGAAGAAAGCAGGAAGATGAATTATTGGCTGGAGGGTTCTTTACTAAAGAACAAATACAAGATATTGGTGATTCAACTCCATTAAAAAATTCTTGGGAAGACGACGAACAGGATTATGAACTGAAGCCAAGAAGCTTAGCATACACAGCAGATGTTGTGGAAGGACTTCCAATCAAAATTAACGGAAAGGTAGAAAGAGTCCTGCATGAAGTGTCTCAAGTATCTACAGTTTCCAAAGATGAAAGTGAAGAAGAGTCTGAAGGAAGCCAAGAAGAACAAGAGTCTGATAGTAATGATGATACAGGTGAAGTCGCTGATACAGAGGAGGCAATAATACAACTGAAGGAAGAAATAGCTGATCTTGTTGAAAAACTAATGGAAGAAGCCGACGAAAATATCAGTGCCCTAACTCGTCTCCGTAAGATGGCGCAGTCAAAGAACCCGAACACATGCAAATTTTCGATGCTTGCACTTGTCCCTGTATTCAAAAGCATCATACCGGGTTATAGAATAAGGCCTTTGACAGAAGCGGAGAAAAAAGAAAGGGTTTCCAAAGATGTTGCAAAATTGAGAAACTTCGAAGAAACGTTGGTTTTGAATTATAAAGCGTACCTTGATTTGCTGGCTAAATTAGCCAAAACCCCAAATAATGCGAGCCAAAAGGATATTTCTCTGGGAAACTTGGCAGCAAATGCCGCGACTGAGCTAGCTACCTCCGCGTCGCATTTCAATTTTAGAGCAGACCTGCTCACTATATTAATTCGCCGTATCTGTAAGCCTAACCCTTTGTCTGATCCGGTTTTTAAAAAGATAATTGCAACTTTAGAGTCGTTGTTGAATGAAGATCAGGAGGGAAATGTATCCTCAGAGATTGTAAGAATTCTGGCGAAAACACTCAAAACACGGAAGTTCTTGGTCGATGAATCGGTCTTGAATATTCTACTTTCTTTAGACGTCTTACAGGATTATGATCCTAACACAAAAACGGAAGAACCAACGAGAATCAAATTAAAGAAAAAGAATAGAGTACATCTTTCTAAGAAGGAAAGAAAAGTAAGAAAAGAAACCAAAAAGATTGAGGAAGAAATGCGCAGTGCAGAACAAAGTGTTTCAGCAGAGGAAAGAGAGAAGAACCAATCTGAAATTTTGAAGACTGTTCTTTCCTTGTATCTATTCATCTTGAAGATAAACAACTCGAAATTGGTAGGTTCTGTACTGGAAGGACTGTCCAAATTCGGACGCATGGCGAATTTCGACTTATTGGGTGATTTTCTAGAAGTTATGAAAGAAATCATAGTCAGCACTGAATTGAACGATTTATCACCTACTGAAATGCGTAAGGTCTTGCTGTGTATAGTTACAGCTTTTTCGCTAGTGGCTAGCCAAAACTATATGAAGGTTTCTGTTGATTTATCTTCTTTTGTTGACGCGTTGTATACCATTCTTCCTATGCTATCTTTGGATGCGGACATTGAGTTTTCACACAAATCCTTGAGATTAGCCGATCCTTTGAATAATGAACTTGCAAAGCCATCCGTAAACGTTTCAACGAAGGCTGAGCTACTTTTGAAGGCATTAGATCATGTTTTCTTCAGATCGAAATCTGGTTCGAAACTTAGAGCTAAAGCGTTCGCTAAGCGAATGTATATTGTTGCTGAAAATACACCCGAGAAGACTACCATTGCAATTTTAAAGTTCTTGGATAAACTAATGAGTCGATACCCAGAAATTGGAGGGCTTTATTCGACAGATGATCGCATTGGGAATGGTGTCTTTCATATGAATGCCGATATACCTTCCAGAAGTAACGCTGAGGCAGCCACAGTTTGGGAAAATGCGCTGCTCCTGAAGCATTATAGCCCAACTGTTGGAAAGGGTGTCAGAGCATTGATGGAGAAATCCAGAGATTTCACGAAATAATATGCATATACCTAGTAAGTGTATATATACATGTATAATAGTTTACACATAACCGAAAACGATAAAAATATTTCAGTTGACGTGCGAATGCAGAATTCTCGGGCTACAGCTTCAGACCAGTACTGTTGGTCACTTGATTCCTTCTAATATTACCCTTGACATCACGCTTTTCACCTTTCTTATCAATCAGCGTCACGTTCTTGGCATTCGATAACGTTTCGATCACATCGTTCTTTCGGCTCTTTTTGAATTGTGCCTTATTCTCGTTTTCCTTAGCCTTCTTTCGCTTCATTGCCCTGCGTAGTCTCTTTTTATTGTCTCTAGTTAACTCGTCCTTAGCCAGTACCATGCCACTCTTCAAAGCGATTTCATTAGAGCTCTTCGACTTTCCTACTGTGTATACCTCCTGAGGAGCTAATGTAGATGCATTTGACATGTTGAGAGGCTGGGCATCTTCCATATTAATCGTCGCTCCTTGTACTTTGATATCAAGTGATTTTTCAGAAGGTTTGGGAATAAAATGAGCGGAAGAGAGAGCATCAAGCTTGTAAACGAGATTTCCATAAAGGCTCGATATTTCTTCGTGAGCTCTCTTAAGTTCCTCAGATGCAGCTGTTTCATCGGACGTGCCATTGTAGTCATTTTCATAAAGCTCAGTCAGTGATTTTGAGGACTTAACATCACTGATTTCAAGTCGTGGTTTCGGAGTTGAAAGCTTGTTTGATAACATCCGTTTTGGCAAGTCGTCGAAATTTAATTCCTTAATTCTCTTTCTTATCATTTCCTCTAAAGTTTCTGTTACTTCAGCAGTTATAACTGGAACTGGCTTTGATGTTCTTTCGAATTCCAGATTCTCGGTCAATAAAGCATCATCTGGCCGATCGCGAGCTTTTACTTCACCTTTTAATGCCCATTTCTTCTCCGCAACCGCTTCTTTCTCCAGTTCAACAATTTGCCTCTGGATTTCTGCCTGCTGAAGTTGAAATGATGACAACTTTTCAGTAACGTCGTTGTTCTCATTTTCGCCGTCAGACTCAGATGCAGCATCGGCAAAGAGATCTAATTTCGCAGAGGTCATCGCCTCATCAAAGATACCTTCATCATCAAAATTATGCGTGTTTCTTTCGGACTGCTCAATTGCCTGTGTGGAAATTTTTTCATTGCCGTCAATAGAGGGTGGGTCAAAAAAATCCTCGTAGTAGAGTGCATCTTCATCTTCATCTGAAGGTATATCTGCAAAGTAATCGATTTCTTCACTGTCGTTGTCATCAACGTCATTTGCATTTTCCTGCATTAGTGTTTGCTCATTGAATTTTTCGAGGTTGAAAAACCGATCGTTTAAACCAAATTTGTCTTCTGGCACCTCAGGTACATTAGCCGTTCCTGTGGAGGGTGAATCGGTATCTAGTTTTTCTTCATTAACTTCATTTTCTGCCTCGACGTTTTGTTCAGAAACATTTTCTGGCTCAAGATCCTCTTGTAGCAAATTTGTCTCACTATCAGAATTATCAGACTCCTCTTGCTCCGGTTCCGAGAAATCGCTGTCGTTTTCAGAGCTTACAGACGCATGGGAGTCCTCATCACTAGTGTGTCCAGATCCGTTGACAGAAAAATGTGCAACCTCAGATTTTAAATTGGCTATTGATTCCAAAATTTCGGTCTCCGACTTTTCTAATACCATTCTTGCTTGGCCCCAAACCTGGTTAGCGTCAAGCCCTTCGATAACGATTTCATCAAGGATAGTGTTTGCTTTACTGCCTGTCTCCTTCGAAATAATCAAACAATCGATGTACGACTTCACGAGCTTCAGGGCATCTTGTGAAGTGGCATGTTTCTTTGAAATTATTTCCAATGGGTCCTTATGAAGAATCTCGACAAAATCTGCCATAACCGAGACTTTTGAACTGATACTATGCTCTTCCGTTTGTATAAGAGTTCGATTTTTCAGCTCATCTCATCGACGGAAATTTTTTCTTTCAAAAAGAAAACTCAAAGTAATCATCAACGAGGTTAATTATTTGCTGACGTAATATGTGCAAGGCACTCACACTACTTATAGATACTCTATCGACTATTGTAAAAATGAAACCCTAAGAGTTCATGATATGATCGCGGCGCCAATTCCAAGAGCCGATAATATAATGCTGATAAAGATAGTGATCCAACAAATGATCTTCTCCCATCTCTTTACAGTCGAAGAGCATATCTTCATATAAAACAAGCATGGTAAAATCAGACAGATGGCGAAGCAAAGACCAGCGCCAAGGAATGCAATGAACTTATCAAATGCAGGGAATCTAATCGCGATAAGAACAAAAACCACATTTACCAATATCCTGTTGAAGACTTTCAACGCACGAGTAATATGTAATTTGCTTCCTTCAAGTTCTAACGTTGTTGCTGGAACACCCATCAAGACATCCAACACGGCTGCAATTGGTCGTGCATTGAGAGGAGTTTTGGCAATCGGAATAATAGCCATGAGTGCAGATATCAAGACATACACAAATCCTGGATATCCATCTGTAAGCATAACACTTCTAGTAACCTCATCCTTGACAATCATACCAAACATCAAAAACCCAACGACAGCGATTCCGATGTCTGTAATCGCAGTTATGGTATATGTTGTCTTCAAACAGTCCTTAAATTTGTTTGGATGTCTCATGTCACTCTTCAAGTTTGGGAAAATTGCGTGCCCACCCCAACAAGCACTCAATAGGCCAATGGACAAGCAAAAGTCATTAAAAGAGGTTGGCCATAATTCTGTGCGCTCCGGTTGTAGAAGTGACCCTGGAGAGCTGGCTTTATATAAACCACAAAAGGCAACACAGAAAACCGTGCCGATAGTAGACATTATCCCTAACAAAGAAATATTTGAAAGCACATTCAGAGGAATAAAATTCTGTGGCGTCACTACAAAAAAGGCGATGATTTTGAAAAATGTAACCGAGTATTCAGGGAATAATGCATTCAAAGAATCTCCAAATAAGATAATCAGGGCGACTCCAGAGCCCATCAGATCCAGTGTGAAGAGGAAAGATACTAGAGCACGGCCCTTCGATCCAAAGGCTGCATAACCCAGGTCACCGTATGATATCATTGTGGGATCGGTGTCCAAACAACGTGAAAGTAGTTCTGCACTGCAAAAAGTACCAAAAGCAAAGATCACGAGTAGGGGTAGGCCTACAATCCATCCAGCATATCTTAGTCCTAGAGGTAAGGCAAAAAGACCTATTCCAATAAGAACATTTATCGAGTTAAAAATCGTCTGAGGTGCAGTAGATTGGCCCGCCAACACATTGACAACTTTACCGTCCTTCCTTTCAACTTGCTTGATTATGATAGAGTGAGTCTCTGGATTGGTGGCATTATTGAAATCTTGAAAAGACAAGTTTGGATGCCTCCAAGATTGCTGGTCATTTGATAATACACTTCTGACAGCAGAAGTATCATCTTCGTCATATGCCTCATTGTCAAATCTCCCCCCCATAGAACCATATAAATCATTAATTGAAGGTCTTACAGAAACACCACCATTAGTTGTCAATGCAACAGACAATCTTCTCCCATCGGTTGCTGGACCGAGCGTGTTGGGGTCAAAAAGAGCATCATGACCATCTTTGAAATACGTTCTTTCTTTATCGTGATTAACTTCAATGTTCATGAAAGAATTTGCTCTTTGAAAAGAAGTTGCAAACCTCCCCAAGGAATTAACTCCTCTGAAGGAACCCAGCGGTTGATCTAAAATTGACTGCCTCCTATGGTGCATACTTGTTGGTTCAGATCCGTCAGGAGATCCATATCCCGGGTTTCTATTCACTGGAATTGAAATATAATGCACATTTTTAGCAGGTGAGTTATTTCTGAGAATTTGATTTTCCGAATCCTGAACCATATGTCAAAATAGCTTCCAGTGTTGTTGGCTATCAGTGTGTGTCCACTTCAAAATAAGATCCTTCTTGCCCGAGAAATGCAGAATCTTTCCAAAGGTTACGCCGAAAGGGGATCAACGCAGGTCGTAGCTTTATAATCGCTATTGACGAGATAAGTACGGCTCGAAGCGATTATGAGAGATAAGATGGCCACGATTGTTGGAACGACCGCGTCCCCTATAACCCCTTGTGCCTCGTGTGATTCCCCTGCCTCTAATGGCCGAGGAACGGTGGAAACCCTTCTGAAGCCGAAATGAATGACGATTATTGTAACAACCAGAGTTGTTGGTTCTTTTAGGAATCACGGTTAAAATTCTCCCTTTAAACTTCGTTCCATGAAACTCTATCGCACGGGCGACATCCATAGGTTGTGCGAACTCGACATACGCATAGCCCTTGGGGTGACCCGAATATCTATTTAAAGGTATGGTTACTCTATTTACAGAGCTCACCTTTTCCCTGAAGAGTTCTTGTAGTTCTTCTGCTGCTGCTGAGTAATCAACATTACCAACGTAAACTGATCTGGCGTCTACGTCTTTCTGATTTTCCACGACAATTCCAGCATCGGTAATGTCTCTAGTTTCGTTGTCAACCACTATACTTTCTTGAATTCTTCGAAGCTTTTCAGCTTCTTTTTCGATGAATTTTGAGCGATCATGGGCTTCATTTTGATCATGTCCTCTCAAATCATTATTGCATTTCGTAGGCAGCATGCTGCTTATTCCTTGTAGTCTCTAAAAGTTCAAATATTTTTCAAACCCTTCCACTTTTGCTTGAAGTGAGATGACGGCCTAAAACCAAGTAGAAATGGAATTACATCATGCATCTTCAACGTAAGGCCCATACTCATATAGAAGTGTGAATTCAGATATGCACTTTATCAATGTCTTGGCAATGGTAAGCGCAATTAGTTTGGAGAACACTGAACTTCAATATCCACGTGACTTGAGTATACTTTATTTCATATTTTTGTTCGAAAAATTATTCTTTACTAGTGTTTAGCAATATGCCAGCGTGAATATCCCTTGGTCGAGATGAAGTTTTTGTTAAAGGCGCTGTTATTCCTCCTCGGTCTGCAGCTCACCATTAGCACTCTTGTGCAGTCAGGAGGTGACGATGATTTCCCTTTCACAACAGTCGTTGATCTATTATCACACAATGTGGAGTTTTCAACATTTCTACGAGTTCTCCAACGAGAAGGGCACATACCATTATTAAATAATTTGGATAATTTTACGCTATTAGCACCTGTTAATTGGGCGTTCACTTCAGAGATGGTGGATAACGAGAGACTCAATCTTGATAACTACATTCTGTATGATATGGTTTTGGATACTGAAGAATCACTAGTTGGATTACATGTACTAGAAGGAAATCATAGATTTCCCATGTTACTAAATCGTTCATCACGTCTTAGTGATACGACTATTAATGGAATATCTATAATTGAACCGAATTTGAGACCTAATTCTCAAAACGCAACGGTCCATGGTCTTGCGGCTCTGATAGACGACGTGCCCACTTTGGAGCAACTAATTATGGCTAACGATAAGAATTTGAGAAATTTTAGAGGGCTCTTCAATAGTACAAGACACTTATATCCAACACTTGATGAATTTTTCATCAACAAAACCCTCTCCTTGCCAGAAGACTCAAACTTTGAAGAGAGTTTTAATGAGATAGAGTTAGAGTACCTTATTGGCCAACCTGAAGACCAATCCCGTGCTTGTAATCCTCTTTCTCTTCATGAGAAATATAGTGAATGGCTGCGAGATAAGCTATTTCTCATGCAGAAATTTATCGTACGTGGAGTGTGGGGAGGCTCGTTTAGTGCCATGGATTTAATGAATCTCAATGATGATATCCTTCATTTCTCCTCCAAGGAAATGGGTTCTATCGTTCAAGTTAATGGGTCATCTTCTTTTGAAACCAATTTAATTTATGAACATGGCATCGTCCACACTTTCCGCGATTTCAATTTCCTTCGTAATGGACTGCATTTCAACGCTGAAAAATACCTTATTGGTTTGAAATCACAGGACTTCATAAAGGAAATATACTTCAGAAATTTACAGCACTTAATTAATGGTGAAGAATTGTCCAATCTGACAATATTCGTACCACGAGGCTCTACAAATGAGGTTCCGGGATTTTCCAAAAGTGGTCTCCTATATCATTTCTCGGAATCACACATAAAGTTTGACGACTTTCCCGAGCATGTATCCAAATCATTCTCACGATTTTATGACTCTATGTTTTGCTCCTCAAATAAGCGACTCGGTGGTCGATGTCAGAGATTGAAAATTACCAAACTGCATACCAATGATCAAGAAACCTTTATGATCAACGACAAATACCTTTTAAAACAACAAACCCCATATGAGATAGGAAATACTCTCATTTATATGGTAGACGATGCGCTGGACCTCCCAGGCAATCTTCTATCATCGATCAACCCGTTCCTGCATTGTTCTAAATCTTTGAAATTCCTTCAAGATCTTAACTTACTGGATTTAAAGCCAAACAACAAGGGGTACACGATATTATTACCGTGTTTCGATTCTTGGGAATACCTTGGGCTGGATCTGGAATATTTGGAACGTAATATTACCGCCCTTAATCTTCTCATGAAAAACTATATTTTGAATGGGCTTATCTATTCCGACATGATGGATGAGACTTTAAATACTACGACTCTAGAAGGTGATAACATCACAGCAGTGGTACACAGTCCTGGTAGTACATCGGCGGAAGTTGAGCTGGATCTTAGCACTGTCACCGAAAATATTACGCTGAACAAAGGGCTTGATATTATATTCGATCAAGGAGTTATTCACCCATTAAACGAAGTATTTTTTCCAGAAGTCCTCAATATCACCCTTCGTAACTTAGTTGATACCACCGGAAACTTTGATTTTCTTCTATTTCTTGAAAGTTTTGAGAGTTTTGCCAAGATTTTAAATGAAAACGGACCATATTCTTTTTTGGTCCCAACTCCTAGATCATTGCTTATGGAGGATATCAACCTTAATTCATCAAAATTGGAGGATTTTTTGAAATTGCATATTATTCCAAACAACTCAACAGGTGCAATCTTAGAATGCGGAGAAAATATAAGTACTATGTTTGGAGAAGCCTTAACATGTAGAGCATCCTCGCCAACAACCTATCTTTTACGCTTGAGGGATGGCTTGGATAAAGAAGTGAGGATTCTGAAGAAAGGTTGCTCTTCATCAAATAACAAATCATGTGTCTTTGTTATTGACCGACCATTCTCTTTGGATTGGTTAAATCAGGAGAGGTATCGCATAACGCTTCCTGGTGTTGCATTTGCGATTGGTATAGTTCTTGGTGCTGTTTGTATCATTGCATTATTAATGTGTGCATCCGTTGTATGCATCGGCAGACATAAAATGCGAAAAGCACATGATGACGAAATTGATGGAGATGGAGAGAGAACCCCGATGAATAATCCACCCCAGAACAACTCCTCATACTCCTCAATTGCCCGTCAGCCGCATTTAGCGAAGGCAGCGAGAGAGCTCGGTATTTCTCAAACAGCTACAGGCGGGCAAAACTTTGAAAACTCCTATTCTACCAACTCTTCTACTAACCCAATATTAGTATCTCAGACATGAGATCGAGATGTGTTAAAATATATTGATATTATATATATAGCTCATTTCAGTACTTCGGCTAGAAATAACCTGAAAGGATTCATGAGAAAAAAATCCGGAAAGGTGAGTTTCACATAAATCACCCTAAAAATAAAAGATACCTTCTAAGCAATAAACAAAAATATTTTATGCGTGCAGTTAAATTTCTTACCCGTTTCAAAGAGATTCGATCCACACCAAAAACAAATTTTTTAACTTCGGTAGTATGACACACATAACAAATTGTTAATTAAAAACTAAAAGTTAAATTTAATAATAAAGTAGTTATGCTAACCAAACAAAAATAAATAAGTATTTAATTAAAAAGTAAATTTAATTTTCAAAACAAAAAACTTAATTGAATTTAATAATTTACTAAATACTTTGTAATAGTGGTCAGCTGACTTTTCTATATTACGTTGATAGCTTCAATTTAGCACGACTATCTGCATGTATTTTAACTATAATAGTTTTAGATGTTATATATAGCATTGGTACTTATAAGATATCTCCAATAATATTTGAGGCATCCTTATACGTCTTTAACAGTTTGACACACTTTTCGCGATCTTGCGCCAAATTTTGGTCTTCCATCAATAAGTCATCAAAGTATGCGTCTTTGTAAAGCTTAGTTACTAGCCTATTTTGCACACTTTCCTTAGAGAAATTCACTAATAAACACATGACCGCTTTAGGAATTTGATCTTGGATCATCTCTCTAACAATACCGAAATACGAAGCAATTAGCCTTCTTATTAACTCACATTCAAGTTCTTCTCTCTCGCTCAGTTCAGGTAAATCTGATGGCGAATTATCGCTGGAAGGGTCTGAAAGCTGTAAATTGTGCAAATCCAGTGTAATTTGCCCTTCAATGGTATTTGAACCAGTATACGCTTGGAAAGGTTTATTTTGTAATAATGATGATTCAGTTCCCATTTTCTGGTCTTTACCAAAAAAGTAGTTCAAAAATGAGTCTTTCGAATGCTTCATACTTCTTTGTTCATCTTCATCGGAGTCACTCTCACTTGTGACAGCCGTGTCTGAATCCAATTTCGAAGTACCACTTTGAACGCTTCCTTGTTTCGCCGCCGCGGAATGCTGATTTGGCAAATCTTGTTGATCACCCGGCGAACTTCCTTGCTTTCTTTTCAAAATTTGCCGTTTCTTCCTCCTTGTCTCAATGATGTCGGACATTGCTTCCGTAGCACTGAGAAAATTTGGATGATTTGTATTGATGTATGCTCTGTGAATATCAATCAAGCTTTCAACATATGATCTCGTGGGTCCTAATCGTTCCCTGAGTAAATCACTAACAACTTCAATAAGCTTTGACTGCAATTTAGGATATCTAGCTAGCTCAGGCGAGCCACAATTATGACAAATCTTCATTAATTCCTCATAAACCAGTTCAACACAACGTTGGGAAGGTTCCAGTAGCAGATGAATTTGAGGCTTCACGAGCAGGTCAAACGCCATTTCAGGAACAAAAAGTGATGGCCTTGGCCCCGTGGAGTTTCTTATGGCAGTCCGTATGTCAGAGGTGGATAAATTAGCTGTAGGGTTGATAGATTTCAGAGAGTGCCCGAAAATGTTATTGTAGATATAGTAGACTCTTGCCCCACCACAAAGTTCCTTAGTACTTATTTCTGAAGACGTTCCATCAATGGATGAAATGAACTTAGTCGCAAACTTATTCATTAATTGGAGAACCAACCCTGCTTTGTTTTCATTTGTTATTATCCCTGTACCTCCATAAGTAGCTAGTTCTTGCTCTGTTTGTCCTATGAGCGTATTCAGCCTTGCTTTTATATCTGGCAATTTGTCTCTTATGTGATTCATCAAAATTTGATTAAGCAACTTTGCTAGGTATCTTGTACCGCAACGAGTGGAGATAGTTCTGTAAACAGGATGACGACTAAAAAATTGCTCCTCATTATCTAACGATTCTTCGACAGTGGTATTGAGCAAGATGTCCTGTTGGGAGCGGTTTACAATTCCGACAAAGCCAAGCTTTAGCGGATAAAGCTTTCCAGAAAGGATATCTAACGCATTAGTACCACTATCCATCAGATCCAGTTTTGTAATGACACCAATTGTTCTTTTCCCCAAGGGGTCTACTTCGCGGGCAAGTTTTAGCGACTCTGAATTAACTAGATCCACATTAGCAGGGGAAACTGCGAGTATTATACAGTTGGGTTTTGCGACGTATTCCAAAATCAGATTTTTTATTTGCCTTTCAATATCAGCGGGTTGCTCCCCAATTGGAACTTTCGTAATTCCTGGAAGATCCACTAAGGTCAAATTCAGAACTTTTGGTGAAAAAACCTTAAGGTTAATCGGGATTCGACTTATTCCCTTGTTCTTCCCAGCAATGCGAGCTGTTTCATTCTCAATCTCCTGCTTTATTTCTTTGAAATCATAAAAACGACGATCAGGTATATGCAAAAATTCCCCCCATTCAACTACCGAATTTGATTGATAGCCTGTATTTTTCCTCAAATGTTGCTCCAAAGTCATTTCGTTACTGTCATCGTTCTCGCGTGGCGATTGGGATTCTGATTTCTGTTCATCGACTTCAGGGATCGAAGATGAATCCTCTGGGATATTAATCAACTGCAAAACCAATGGTCTTCTGGTAACGATGCCAGTCCCTCTTGGTAAAAAGTCCTTGCCAACCAAAGTCTCTAAGATCGATGACTTCCCAGACGATTGTGATCCGATAACAGCTAATACGGGCAGATCTAAAGTATCAATACCAGCATCATACATTACATCCTGCAGTTTGTTAACTGTAGGGATCAGATCCTCTAGGCTAGACATTTTGATTTGCTTCCTGTTGTTTATCAATCACTAACTGCGGAGCTGATTCAATTGGAAGCGAATTTAGAAAATAGGTACAGTGGATGTGTCTCTGACAAAACGCACTATTTGCGGAAGGAGGAAAAATTTTGAGCCAATCAACTAACATCGTTTGTAATGACACATAAACATCGTGGCCGATTCATTTTCTTTTCTTACGTACTATCATTGTATTTAAATCATTAACTTTGGTAACGCCTCTATGATATCGAATTTGATTGGCCTTTGGTACAGCTTTTACACCTCCTACACGAAGCATTTCGCGATTCATCTTGAGGCTCAGGTAATCACGCAAATTCATGTATGCATCAAGAGCACCTTCTCTCGAATCATATTCTTCACCAGTAACATAACTTTTGAGGAAATTGAACTGCTTTTTTGAAGAAGTGGTAATGACGTCTTTATCAAAAGCCTCGATACTTCTTGTCAAAACCTGCCCGGCTACTCCGATTACTGAGACGGTTGCGCCGAGGCGAAATTCTTGCTGAGCCTGCAATTCTGTCCAGAACGCGTCGATTTGAACCGCCTTGATTCGTCCGTCTTCAAGCAAATGATCTAAAAATCTACCCTTAGGATCGTCAGGAAACATAGGAATCCTCAAAATAGCCAAATCTTTTGGCGAACCTTCGAAAATATCACCAACTTGCCAGTTGGGAAATCTAGTAGCTGAGATATACTTCATGATGAAGGAGGGCTCTTCACCTGGTATTCGAATTCTTGCTTGAGTACCATCCGTAAAATTTTTGCAGGTGACATTGTCTATTATGCACAACCACCACTTGAGTAGCTGCTGCCCGTTAAGAATGTGCTTGTTCGGGTTTTTTGATGACTCTGCAAATAGATACTGAGGTTCGGCACGGGTAAAAAGACAAATTTTTGTAACCCAGTTGATCCTTTCACAGTCAAAAGATACATATAAATCTCGTTCATTCATTACAGGAATATTTCGATGCGAATCTTTAAGTCTCTTTGAGAGTATTAGGAGAGCGCGCTTTTGATTTGTTGCTCTTGAAATTACATTTTTGAACCGCTTGAGATTACGACATTTGGGTTTAATCTTGGCAAGGTAAGAGGCAGGATCAATACCCAATAAGTAGTCTAATATCATTTCCGTGACGGCTTTTATGCTTATGTTCGCCTCACAATAACCATTGGAATCGGCCTTAGAAATAAAATACAGCCTTTCCCCGGTTTTAGATAATTGATCAATCGTAAAGTAAACATATACTTCTATCCCATAGAAGACCTGCTTGTTTTGACTTAGCACAATAAAATGCTGACTTTTGATTGTATGCATCGATTGCGTAGCATTTGTAACTTTTTGAGAAACTAACGGACAGCATTCCTCTGAGGGTCTTCGAAGATGTAAAACCTCAATGCTTATATCCTTATCGATGACCCGAGATAATAATTCTTGTAACGATGGCATGAAAGCGTAGCCTTCACATCAATTCTTCAATCTACGAATTCCGTATCATCATTTATGCTTATTTATAGCACGCTACACGAATTACAGACGCACAGTACTTAGATCGCTAGTTTACAAGTTTTCATACTCCTCTGGGTAAAAGATCAACCGCTCGGCACCATCTTTGGTCAAAACAACCATTCTTATAACACCACCTGATGATCCATCCCATTTTATGGCCTGTGATAGCGAATTCTTCATGAAATCTATTGTTTCTTCTTTTGACATATTCTCTTTGAAGTTTTTATCACAGTATCCGTAAATGAATGTTGAACCAGAACCAGCAATTGCGTAAGGTTGCTTGTGGACAGATCCTCCTAATGGTATACTGTACACTTCGCCTTTATTTTTTTCGTCGTAACCTGCAACGATGATACCTGCTGTCAAATTATCTTTATTTTCGTAGCATAAGGACTTGAACACGGAAGCTGCAGTTTTTGTAGAGGGCTCACCAAATTGAGACGTGTAGAGATCAAGATAGTATTGGACTATGTCAGCGACAGCCTGTGTGTCAGCAGCAGACCCTGATCTACAACACCAAATCTTCTCGTGAACCCTTGTCAATTTGTCGGTGACACGATTTGCAATATATGCCCCAGTTGTAGTTCGTGAATCAGCACCCAATATGACGCCATCCTTGAACGTTACTGCCATGCTAGTAAATTACGTTTTATGTTAGTAAATCTTCATGTTATGAAGAGGATAGAAGTTGTATTCTCAGAAACATACATTGAGGTACCCAAGCTGACCTCCCCCTTTTTTAAATGGTTCACATCTACCTGTATCCCATTCATCGTTGTAGTTTTGATATACAAGTCTGAAAGTTGGGTAGTGTGTAATCCTTACTTCTCGATTTTTGCCACCGATGTCAATGTTCACCAAACAGTCCGGTTAACGCTTATAGAACAAACCACGTGACTAAAAAGCTTACTCTGCTATTTAACATTCCCTTAAAACTCAGTTTTAATATCATTCATTCACCGCCTTGTAGGAGAATCGTTAATTTCTTTATGAATCTCCACTAATGCACTGCGATCGATAACTAAAGGAGATCTGTCATCAATAGCAGGGGACATAAATGGGCTGAATTTTTGCTCCGGAATTCGTTTGAAACTTATGCTAGCTCTACTGGTTGCCAATTTTTTATTTACCTTCTCCAAATCCATTTTCGGAGGTGGAGACCGACTTATACCGGCAAAATTACTACCCTCTATATCGTTTCGGGCAAGTTTTCTTTTTGAAACCGAGTCCAGAGTATCTGAGGATTTTACTGGGCTTGGAATTGCTCTTCTAGCATTTCTATAATGATTTCTCATGGCTTCCATTCTCTTTTTTTTGATGATTTCAGATCCAGGAATCGTTATTTGATCTTTCGGTTTAACTCTCGTAGGTGTAACCAAAGATTCTGCTTCCTCGCCATCATCGAAAAATCTTCTTCCTTGAGTATTTTTTGAATGCTTCCTCAAGGGTTCATCGATTTTGTCTCGCCAAAGTAATATAATTGCTCGAAGTCCTGCTCTATTCCAGCGATTCTTGAAAACCTCTACAGTCTCTTCATTTCTCCTGCATTTAAGCTGTCTCATAGTCCATTTATTCATGCACTTGATGAGTAAATTCAAGTTTTCAGATCGTATTCTGACGTGCACCATATGCTCCATAGCCTTAACTTCAGCAAATCTTTCCTTAAAAGCAGAAAATGTAAATAGAACCAGCGACTTATTACGCAATTCATCCGCAGTTTCGCTCCAATCTCGGTAATTACTCGTCTTCTTGAGCAGGCTGTCGAACGTGCCTTTCCTTAAATTTCTATTCTGAGTGCTATTAGCAACATCAACACACGCCACGACATAAAATCGAAGCTTTCTATACCAAATGTCAAAAATGCGACGTTCAGAATCAATTTCCCTCTCTTTCAAGTACTGGTCGAGGATAGTTTCAAGCCTCAATCTTCTTTGAATTACCATAGTGGATAACCAGTTGCGCAAATAAGATTTTAACAGATAACCTCTTTCGCACTTTGAACCAATTAATGCAGCTTTTTTCTTAACGTCTTCCGAATGCACAATTGCCGCCTTAAGCTTACGAATTGCTCGAAGTCGTATGAAGAAATTTGCTTTGTATTCCAGCTCATTACACCTCCCACCGCGATCGGACCAAAAGACGAAAAAACGCCTTTTGAGCACCAATTCATTGTAGTTTTTGGCAACACTTTCCCAATCAGAATAATACATCAATTTGTTCCTCAGATACTTGGCCCAGAATGCTTGTAATTGCCTTCTCTTAATAAAAGACAGCTTTGAGTGCAAAATGACATTTTTTCTCCATTTTTTGAAGGTATTCGCGATGAGGTTACTTTCCTTCTTCCTTTGTAGGACGACAAGTTCTTCTTTCAAACGAAACTGTCGAAAACGTTTCGATAACTGTTTTTTCTCGTAAAAGCCATCTGCCGTTTTGCTAAGTGAGAAGGTTACTTTGAACACCGTCAAACACTTGTTTTTCAGAAGATTGTCGCTTTTGAACAGAATATCTCTCAGCCTCTTTCTTTCTTCGAACCTTTTAAACCATAACCTACAAAAAAAAAATCGGATAAGAGTCAAATCCAGCAACTCTCTCACAGAAAATTCGCTTTCACGCTCTTTAATTGCATTCTTCAAAAGCTCAAATACCTTCTTCTGGACATATGCCACCTCGATCTTTTTTAATTCATCCTCTTCGTGTGATTTTTCGCAACAACAGGCCAGCCACTTATTAAAATATGTCTCATTTAGTAAACATTTCCTCATAAAATCAGCTCGTTCCTTTAACATCGTAACCTCCTTCAACTTATTTTGCCATTTCCTGATTATCGTTTTCTCTAATTTCGAATTTGCGTGTGTCTTGAACTTTTTGAGCCCGTTCTTCAATTTCCACTGAATCAAAGCTCCTTTCAGTGCCATTCTATCTCTCAACCTAGCTGCCTCACAAGAATGGCTATGAATAGTCGATAACTTCTTGTTTAATCTCTTAAAATGTTTTTCGAGAAAGTAGGTATCGGCCAGCGTTCGCTTTACCATTTGTGAATCCATTTTGGTAATCCATCCATCCAAAACATCTGATTTCAATCGAAATTCTAAAAAGTTATCGGCTTCAATTACAAGTTGCCCCTTGAGAAAACCTGATTTCTGCTTCCAAACATGCAGAAATTTCTTGAGTAAGGAGCGCTCCCAAATGCGATTAAGTTGCTCGAGACTTTGACGGCTCTGAGAAGATAGCTTCCACTTCGTAAAACTTCCCCGCAAACTTGCTCTCCTGAGTTTGTGCTCAAAAAATGCCAATTTCATGGCTGTATTTTCAGGTTGTATGAGAAACGCACTGAGAATCTTAGTCATATTTGCAGTGAGTTCCCAGGTTTTATCGAGCTCATTCTGTAGCATTAAGACAAAATCATCATCTAGCGGATTAAGTCCAACTTCTCCTAAAATATCGATATATCTCTTGAAAATGATGAGAAAATCCAAAGAAAGATTATTTCTTAGAAGAAATACCTGAATCTTGTTGAACAGCACAGATAGAAGAGGATCCTCTCGATATTCCTTCTCACTGTTGCGAATATTGTATTCAGTATAGTCCTTAAAGATATTGGTAACTGAATAATCTTGTTCAGTCGAGTATTCACTCAGTAAATCAGCTTTGGTGTTCAAGACATCTTCAGTGATTTCAGTCCGGATATTCTGTGGTTTGACGTCTTTTAATAATTCCTCAACATTTTTATGTATGAGAGAGCTCGTTGAATGTGAAATACAGCCTTCAATGAGGCTCGCTGTTGATTGCTCACTCCCAGTTATTCCACCACTGTTGAATAATAAAACTTCAGTGCTGGAGTCATCCATCCTTGCGCATTTGTGTAAGGATGCTACAAATTATCTTGTTCGTCTGAGTTGATTACCTTTTTATTTATTTAGTTTTTCCACGAAAGAACACGTTCAGCAAAGACAAGTTTACACTTTACCAGCAGTGGATATATGAGTGTCCTACAAATCCTAACGGCAACAGTACTACTGTTATGCCATATAGTATTTGCCGAGACGATTGGTTTTGTTCCTCCTCAGAGTTGGGAGAACATAAACTATAAGAGATCCATTGATGTCAGTAATTCCTACATAAAAGAATTGGCTGAAATTACAATCAAAAATATTGGTGACAAGCCTGCTGATCGCTATTATCTTTCCATTCCAACTGAAGTTTTCAATAAGGTTTCCGTCTTCTCCGCATCCTTGAGTGACGTGAACGCCTACATCGAAAGTGCTCTTGTTCCAGAAATCGTGAACGTGAGTGGTAGTCTTGAGGTCAGTTATGGCTTGATAAAATTACCAGCTCCAATTCAACCTCACAAGGATGTTACTATAACCATAACCTATGCGTACAATCAAGGAACGGAGCCATACCCAAAGCACATTGATTTAGGCGAGGACCAACATATACTATTAACGACAAACAGTTTGCCAATTTCTGCGTACGAAACTAAAGCATACGTTTTAGAATTCACCGGAAGCTCTTCTTTTTCAGAGCTGGTGCAAGATTCTACAATTTCAGGAATGGAGGAGGGTGATAAGTATATTTATGGTCCCTACGAAAACATTGGGGCATTTGAATTTGACGAACCCGTTAAAATGATATACCGTCATAATTTGCCTCTACCTCGGGTGACACATTTAAGTAGATCTGCTTGGGTATCTCATTGGGCATCAACTTTGCAATTCGAGGAGTATTACGAATTGATCAACGATGCCGCCGCGCTAAAGAGCGGATTTTCGAGAGCCACCTACATGAAAGAGCAGCACGCCTTGAAACCCAGTAGCCATTTGGTGGCACTCGATATGACACTTCCACCAAACTCAGAAGATCATTATTTCACTGATTTAGTGGGGATGGTGTCAACTTCAAGAGTACTAGGCGACCACTTTTTCCTGAAGCCTAGATACCCCATAATTGGTAGCTGGAAGTATAACTTCACAATTGGATGGACAAATCAGCTATCTCAGTTTCTACATGTTGATAACCAAGAAAGTAACGTTTTCGTGCTTTCTGTCCCAGTACTGAATGGTCCAATGGATACTTTTTATGATACCGTGGAAATGTCAGTTTTCCTGCCGGAAGGCTCCGAAATATTGGATGTTGAATCCCCTATACCAATAATCAGAACAAAAATTGACAATCAGAAATCATACTTCGACCTCAATAGAGGGCATGTTAAAGTCACTGTTGATTTCAAGAATGCCATCGATGCTATTTCTAATGGGGAACTAATTGTCAGATACAAGTATACAAAAGCTGCCTTCTTTAAGAAACCGTTATCGATTGCAATTTATATTTTCATTGCATTGACTGCCCTGTTTTTCTTGAAGCAGGTGGACTTGACAATAAAGAAATGAGTTTGGCTTAGATGATTTGCTACACTGTCCTAATGTGAACAACATTTTACCATACATAAACGAGTATGAAAATATTTCAAATTTACATATAAGTCAATTAGATCATTCATAAACCTCTCCAGATGCATTTTTCCAGTACTTCATATGATTTGTTGTTATGGGATTTCAAAAATCCCAGGTGCTGGAATTCTGAAATAGCTTGGATAAACCATACCAAACTAATTTTTTCCATTAGTAGATCTGAGTCTTCGCCCTTCAAAAACTCGCAAAACTTACCCTCTTGCTTCAGTTCTAGCTTTATCTCACCTAATTCTGAAGCATTCACTAAACACTTCAAAATCTCATCTTTGGGTAAAGATTCTCGAAATGCAGTATAGAAATCATGTACATTTATCAAAGAGCTTGCTTCTCTGTACAAATTGAACAAATGGCATATAGGCGGCGCTATCAATTTGCCTAGCGCTAGCTCACATGTGTGGTTCTGTCGAGAATCACTGTCGGGCTGTGGTAGAATCCTCTCAGAATTTATTAGATTGTCCTCGAGATTTGTTCTTAAAAAAGGGAATAGAGACTGTGAGAAAAGGTCTTTGCTATTATCAAGTGTGAAAAGCTCTTGAAAAATGATATCAACGGGTTCAAACTTAAGAATGCCTTCGAATTTTTGACATTTGGGCCACCGGCTCAAAAATTCTCCCAGATTCCCATTTAACATGTGATAGTAGAGATCTATAATGTTATAGTTATGGACATCAACCTGGTTTTCAAGTATCTCAATAACTGTTTGCAGGTGTCCATTGATCGGGTTCTCCCTCACCAAAAACTCTGTGAAAAATTCTTCTAATGCAGAATGCCTATTATCTAACAGGGACAGTATTTCCTCAGCCGGTGCATGCTCTCTCACCATTCCTTCTATAAAGTTCATGAACGTGGGACATTTTACGAGAGGTGCCAAATAGTTTTCACTGAAGTACACTACATTAGTGGGATCAATGAAGACCGAGAAAGGATTTTGAAAGAAATAGGACATGAGTGAAAAGTCGAGCATTTTTGTCAAGAGTTGCAGATTGTGGGTTGCATTATTCGCCATCCGGTCTAGGATGAATTTAACGAATCCCGAAGAAAGATTCAGCTTCCCCTCAACGGTGTTCAAAAAACTTCTGAAAACTCGATTGGCATATTTGAAACCTTTATTATGCGATAGATCAATTTTATTAAAATTTCTCTTGAGTAGTCTTATGGTGGATTGCCTTAAGTTCTTTTCGATGTTGGAGAGATTTGTGTTGATGTTAAAAACGAGACATATTTCTATGCCTTCGTACTTTAAAGCCGATTTTAGTAATACAATAAAATCATCCAACACTTGAAAGTTGAAAGAGTCAACATCCTTAAAATTGAAGACAAGCTTGAGACGTCTTTGAAATATAAGGTAAAAATTTTGAACGAGGGAGAGATCATACGACAATCCTAAGGACTCTATACTTGGCTTGTCCTCCCAGTCAGGTTGATCTGCATTTTCATCTACCTCATTTTCGGTCCTCGAAGAAGAGTCCATGGACTGAAATTCACTTGTGGTCAAGATGCGAAACATCGATCTTCTTAGCATCATACGCACATTTGGCGATTCTTTTGGCGTAAGGTCAATCAAAATGTTCGTATTACTGGTGTCATCTTTCGGCAAATCTATACTGGTGGTACTATCTGAGCCAAGCAGGAACAAGCAATTGAAAGCGCGGGCTGTTTTTTTTGATGGCTCTTTGGAAATTATCCTGGATATTTCCATATGCAAATCTCTCTCTATTCCTTGAACAATTTCCTCTACCTGAGAGTGGAACTGTGAATGCAATTGATGATACAATTCCCATCTTTTGTGTACCATATCAACAGTTTCTAAACCATTAAGGAGCTTAACAAAAGGTAAAGAATTCGATGTTTGAGCCACGTTGCGCTTCTGAACTTTTGGACGAACCGTGTAATGAGTTTTTTGAGCTTCTGCAAAATCTCGAAGACTCATTTGAGCCAGTCTGCTGCACTTATTTTGATGATATTCTATGCAACTTTCTCATCAAGCATCAAGAGAAAAGGTAGAGCTTATTTACGTCAAATCAACAGCCGGGTAACAGAGGTAGATTTCAGCATGCAATAAAGGTCTATAAAGGGAAGAAAGGATCAACATGACAATCATTTACACGTATATCATGATTCGTTAACGACTGATGTACGTATGCATTTGATTCTGGAAACAAAAAGTATTCATGCGGATTAAATTTCATATAGATGGTATGTGCGTATTACAAGTTTCGAATAACGAAGGGAAGGCTGAAATATGGTACTGTATTGCTGATTTTATAGACCCGACTACAGGTCTCAGCATTTGAATTGTAATGCCTAAGAGCATGCCGTAGCATGATAAGTTGAAGCTAAATACAACTTTCACGTGACTTATTTGTTATGACATTGGTGTGAAACTCCAAGAGGATAACTTTGAGAATTACACCCTACCATACATTTTCTGATTCACCTTCAAACCGTGGAACTCTCTTGGGCTCCCAATCTTCGCCCAAACCCTGTAGCCGGTAGTACTCCTCCTTAATATCAAAATCTCTTTTGTTCGTCTTCATTTTGATTAAATCCTCCTCACTTAGCTCTTGAATTTTCCTATCCTTCTGCTGATACCTCACCGCTGTGAACCCGGATAACCAATATGATCCGAGTATGATCATAGAACAAAATGGCAAGCCAAAGTACAAAAACGGGTTCTTATTTAGACGCTTCTGATATCTACCAGCCAATGAAGCCTCATATGCTAATTGCTCCCTCCGGGATCTGAACTTTTTACCAGAAAACGACATTGTTTGTGGGGGAAACAGTATCACATCGGTAGCTGAAAGAATTAAAAGCCTAGTAATCAATTTATGTAACGGGAAAGTCACGTGATAAGTGTCACAGAATGTAAATGTGTGTCTGAATTGATCATGAACTCTCTCATATTGCCCCATCAGCGACATGATCGCGTACGAGGTATCGAATCTAAACGAATCATTAAAGGCCTTTTCAAGATATATCAATACAATCGTTGAGCTTAAAGAAGATGTCCAACTTCAAGTGCAAGCTCCAGGAGATGACAGAACTCATAATATTACAAAAAAAATATTGTCTAATTTTATTCTCACCACAAGAGCTGGATCAGCACATAAACATTATGGAATTACACTTGAAGCATTTTTTTCGAGTGTTATCGTATCCTTGATATTTTGCACCCTTCAGATTCTTTTGTTCAGTGTTTTAAGAAGAAAACTGAAAGGACTATACCAATTCAATTCACTTGTGGAGCAAGCAACAAACTCAGGTACTAAAAAGGGTCGATATCAAAGTTCTATGTTTGGGTGGCTTGTAGTTGCTTGGGCGACACCAATCAACGATTATAAACGTAAGAGCATGGACGCCTTCTTTTTCCTGCGATTTTTAAGATCAATTTGCTACTTTTTCCTGTGCCTCTCAATCGTGAACATCCCCATACTGCTGCCGATACACTATTGTTCAGGCCATAAACCAATAATTCAGAATGAAATTTCAGAACTTCAAGGATACAATTGCGGCAATTCGTCGAAAGAAAGCACTTCCATTACGATTCGGGAAGACCTTTTCACTGAAACTCAAGGTTTAGACAAGCTCTCAATGTCGAATATCTCTCCCGAGCATTCTAGCAGACTGATTTTTCATCTCATTCTCAGCATTTTTGTTGTCCTTTGGTTTCATGTGCTTTTGATATCGGAACTGGAACTCTATATAGGGTACAAAAACAATGCTCTATTGGACAATGAAACTCTACATGACGCTGATCAGACTATTTTGTTCATTGACAATATTCCGAGCGCCATGATGAACGACCATGTGAATTTGGTAAAGTTCTTCAATTCCATGATGCCGAATTGCGTAGAACAAGCTAGCATCATACCCAAATCATACAAGAAATTTCAGATGCACAGAAAAAACCAATCGAAGATCATAGATCAAATAGAATCACTTGAAATTCAGCACCTTATGAGTGAAAAGTACCATAAGGTAATAATGAAAGAATTATTTGAGAGTTTTTCAATTCTGAAAGGATTAATCAAAAAAGGATCTGGCCCTTCTGTTCAAAATATTCCAGGGAAGAGCGAGATGGAAAAATTCATTGATTTTGAAATGGACTTAAGGCCCTGGATTTCGACTGAGCATTCCAATTTAAGCCAAATCGACTCACACATATTCAATAAACCAGTGGCGTCATACAAATGGAGTTATCTGCAGTTTCTATTCCGACGAGTCATACAAGTACGTCTTCGTTTAAAATTTGGATATCGCAAGAATAACCGAAAATGCAAAATACTCAATCGAACTTTTAGAATGCCATTCGCACACCATATACCTACAATGAAACTAAACTTTAGTAGTGATGAATTGGACCTTCATGAGAAATTTGATTCCTTAGCAAAAGCGTACATCGACAATTGTAAAGCCTGGGATGCAACCAGCCGAATGCTTTCCATTGACGATATAATGCCATTAAATTGCTTTCACCGCCAGTATTCAAACAATCGAGTTGAAAGTAAGTCTAAACTTAACAAAGCTTTCGTACAATTCAAAAATCCAGTTGCGGCTCACCTCTTCCACCATATTCTTTTATCAAAAAACCTCAATGAAATGAATAATACCATTCTTGCACCAAACCCCCATGATATCGTCTGGAGTAACATAGCATGTTCAATTGGCCCTCTTAACTTAATTCGACAAACTTTTTCGAATTTCTTAAGTGTCATAGTGACAGTAGGTTGGGTTGTTCCTGTTGCAATCATTGGATTGTTTTCTCATATACCATTCCTGACAAAATCTGTCCCCTATTTTTCTTGGATAACAGCATGGCCAAGTTGGGTCAGCGACATTGTTTCAGGCATTTTACCCATTTTAACTCTGATGTTTTTGACTGATTTTGTACCTATTATATTCAGGTTTTTAAGTTTCATCAAAGGAAAGAGAACAGGAACAGAAATGGAGATTGATGTTCAAAAATGGCTATTTGTGTTTCATTTCGTGCACATATTCCTAGTCGTTACAGTTTCATCTGGTGTTTCTATTTTTGTCGAAAAGATTGTCAACAATCCTGTAAGCATACCCAATCTTTTAGCCAGTAATCTTCCCAAAAGTGCGAACTTTTTTTACTCTTTCATATTAATCCGAGGAATGGCATATTCCAGCGGTAATCTTTTACAGTTCAAGGATCTAATAATGGAGGTGTGTTATTACAGCATTGTGAATGATACCCCAAGAAAAATGTACCGGCGCGCATCACTCGTACCCTTCTATAATTGGGGATCAATATTCCCACTATTTTCGGCACTGGCCAGTATTGGATTAGTTTATAGTGTCATAGCACCTTTGATATCTCTTTTTTCCTCAGTTGCATTTGGCTTGGTGTACATTTCATTCAAATGCTCTCTCAAATTTCAACACTGCCCAAGATATAAAACAGAATCGCTGGGAATACTATATCCGCAGGCATTAATGCAGCTTTATGCTGGCATATACTGCTCTGAAATATGCCTCATCGGGTTATTCACCATTTCAAATCGTTATAATCTATCAATATGCATGGTTTTGACTTTCACTTTCACGATCATTGCACACCTTCAAATATCTTACATCTATCGACAGCGAGTTTGGAATTTACCACTCAGCTGCCTTACTTCGACCGCTATCAAAAGTAATCCCCAAAAGTTCGAAGCATTCACTTTCCGCCGAAGATTAAAGACCTTATGGATTCCATGGTCGTATTTTCAGTCAACAAGGGAAGGAAAGAAAATTCTTGACGAATGAGATTAAAGGCGGCACTGGTACTCTTTTCGCTATGCGCAGTCGATTCCGGAACAACACCCTAAGCTAAAAAGACCATTTATCCTTGGACTAAATTAACATTAATAGTTAGAATTCATTAGATTTCATCGAAACGTCATCTCCGTCTGTTTTCTCCTCTCGAGTATTCTTGCTTCTGGGCCATAGGCTGGGAAGCCTTATGAATTGAAATCGGGGTTCAACACATCGTTCGACGAACCATTTCTTTATTTGATACTCAATGAAACTACTCACCTTGGGAATATTCTGTAATTTTGATCTTGCGCCAATCAAAGACTTTATGTCAAACTCCATTCGGTATTCTGGGGCAAAAGAAAACATCAAGAAATAACCACTTCCATCATCGGCATTTTCTGACATTTCTGAGGTTGATGTCGGGACGAATTCCTCGTCTGTGGTTAGAGAAACGGTTAAACATGCTTGGAATCGAATAACAGAAACCGTTAGCTGAACGGGAAGTGCTGCTGTAAATGGCTTTGGGTAATTAATGAGCAATTTAGTTTCTATCCCGAGTGTCAGTCTATCACTTAAGTCGATGTCAATCTTAGCTTCAAGCCGTTTCCGGTTTGAATTTGGGGAATATTGAATACGGCAATTCGAAAGGATCGGAAAATCCTCACCAATGCTGAGTTCCGTTATCTTGATTGAATCTAGGTAGTTAGGTAACTCTGCAGATTTTCTACCGACTAGATCATTTAATGAGTTAATAATGTTGTCCTTTTGCAACGCTTCTTCACGAAATTGCTGAATGGTTTGAGCTATGAGTACGTTAAACCAGTCAAGTGATTCTGGTGAATGAGTGTCCACATTGTAGTAAGTTTTCTCTAATATAGAATTTATCTGAGTAGAGCGGTCACTTTCCTTCTCATCAAGCATATCAACGCCATCTTTGGTCTCTCTTTTAATGATCGAGGAAAGGAATTGAGACGTCGAAGAGGAAAGAAGAGCCGACGATGAAAAGACTGATCCAACACTAGCGCCGGCGGATGTACTGGCATTAGAGCCCTCATTTTTAGGTGAAACTTCACTGAATATGAAGAATTTGATGAAAAATATGAGGACTAAAATGACACTTAATTGACCAATAATCAAACCCTCAGTAAAAGACCATGAAGAAAAAGATGAACCAGAATTCGATGCAGAGTTGAGCGAGTGAGTTAGAGAATTGTCAATTTGCTGCTGCGATAAAGCGTTAAGCACAGCATCAATGCGTGATTTTGATGTGCTGTCAAGGACCTCTTGTTGATGTAGTTCAAGATTTTCCAAGATTGATCGCTGCAATTGTGATAGCATATAATTAATATTTTCATCGGATGCAATGAAGGTTTCATTATCTGTTTGAGATGCTGTAAATGTGACATCAACAATTTGCGATGAATCATCCATCGATGGTGAAATATTCATTGTTGAGAAGCCCTTACCAATATGGGCTTCATCAAAACTGTGAGGGACTGCGACATAAAAACTTTATCTCTTCGCACGTGACAAAGAAATTTTCAAAAAAATAAACCGTCCTCGGTCGCTGCATGATAGTCAATTAAAACGTTACATGAAAATCAAGAAGCACTCAATTCTTTACATCTAGCACTTTTCATCTAATCTAATTTAAGCATTATGGAGACTGATAGTGAAAGCGAATTGGCTGGAATAAGCTCTGATGAAATTCTATATCTCATGAAAGAGTTACATGATACCACTAAGAAGAGGAGTGTTCTCTTAACTTTGAAGAGTACTCTATCTGAATGCAGTGACGACACTATCCAGAAATGTTTGGTAAATGACTCTACTTTCTGGAATGATGTTTTTCATGGTCCAACAGATCTTCTTTATGATGAGGAGGTGGCAGCTGCTATCAACTATTTGGTGAGCAGGGCAACCTCTTTGGCACTGAGAAAGCAGGACAGAAATCAGCTTGAGAATTTTTGCCTCACTCTTTCTTCGACCTTAATGTCAGCGGAACTTTTATCTACCTGCTTGGCATCCGAGATTGAACCCGCAGAATTTAAGTCTCCAGTCCTTGAGATGATAACGAACTACCTGGCCTGCTTACTAAAATTGGATAATATAAGCAACGCGACATCGACTACATTAATTTCAGGCACCTGTCTAAAGCTCAAGGAAAACGGGTTTTTACGGTCCGTTAGCGCTTTGGTAGATGCCGGTGACGGTCAACATATACACAATCTCGTACGCAACAAATTAGCTCCCACATTATTAGAATTGCACAACCGATTAGCGTCTCGTACAGCAGGTAATTATCCTGGCCCAGTTGGTGCAACACTATCCAAACTAATGGATAGCTTCTTCAGGCTGGATGTCTTTGCTTTGGAAAAATTTCTGAGTGTCAATGAAGAGTTTCGCGATTTTTCCAAATTAACACTATTGAATACGATAGATCTCGTCACTTTTTTCCAGAATAGCAACCTTTCATTCAAGAAAAAATTCACAGAGCGGTTGCTGTTCGAAGACGATGCTTTTCCGATTGTGTTAGCTCTAACGCTAATCTCCAATGAGCTTCACAACTTTTACGTCAGTAAATCAACCGAAAATAAAAGCAATGAAGATTTAGTTACTCAGTGTATTTTGCACCATGATATTTTAATCTTCGCTTCTATGAATAAACTATTAGAGTTATGGGTCGCTTCACGGGCACAAGATGCCGAAGATTTGAGGTCTCTTTTAGATCTTCTCAACATTGCTCTCTTTGAATCAGAGCAATCGTTAGGAAGTACACAAATCAGCATGAAAACGTGCCTTCAAAACCTTAAGATCTTGTCTTACAGTGATTTAAGAAAACTGCAGGTCAACAAGATACGAAATTCTCATTACAGGAGTTGGGACAAGCAGGTATCACAATTCGATGCAATGCTTTCAAACCAGGTATCAGAATTTGTTTGCCATCAAAGGTTACTTCAACTTCGAAAAGGTGCATGGGTATACTCAGAAAACCCACTGGACAATAACGTCAAGCATCCCAAGGTCTATTTTGTTGTTCTTTCGGATAATCAAATGAGTTTACTGGCGAGGGAGTACAAAAATAGAAGTGAAGAGAGTCCAACTGTACAAGGTAATGACATTACCAGTGGACAAGATGGCTCCCCTTCAAAATCCAAAACTACGATGATTCCCTTAAAAAAAATCGCACAATTTCAACATTGGGAAGTTCACGCGGAAAATAGGGTTCCAAAAGATGCAAAACTAATCAACATCCTGAACAAGACAGTTTATACTGAAGTACAGATACTTGATAAAGATGCCAACCGACTTTTAAAGTTTTACTTGGATACCAAGGAGGCCTCTTATATATGGCTTGATGGTTTGAAACTCATTGCCTCTGCTTCAACAAATAAAAAGTTCTCACTCAGTAAGGACACGAAATCACAGATCGAAACTTTGATAGATTTGAGAAAAAATGTACAAATGATAGGTTTGGATGACCAAAGCGACCTAAATTTAGCGGATATTGATTCGGAAAGCGAGGAGCAGTACTATAATCTGAACCATTTGCAAAAAATTTCCACCAATTTCCACTACGAATGAGAAAATATGATTAGATTAAAGCATGCTGATTTATATATTGTATTCTACAGTGAAAAGAGGCAGTGTTCTCTTCATTTTTTAAAAACTTTAAAATTATTTATCTATCTCATACCTTTCTTCTTCTTCTTCAGCTCCCTCTTGGCTTTCTGTTTCTTATACGTTCTCTGCTGGTCAGTGGCTCTGTCATACTGAGTTTTCTTATAAGAGCGAGAGCGGTCTTCGGATGCCTCCATCCGTTTTCTCTTCTTACTATTCACGTCCTTCTTACTATTCGAAAGTGCTTGTAAAACTCTGGAATTTTTCTTTTCTGCCTCTGATTGAAACCACGTTCTTCTTGGTCTGGATTGAATTTCTGTCTTATGTTTTAGAAGATTTTCACCTTTGCGTAGTTCCATTTCTGCCCTGAGAATATCTTTCTCTTCTTTCTCTTCCTCAATAATTTCTGCAATTACTTCTTCTTTGGATTCAACAATCTTGTTGATTTCCTCAACTCTTGACCAATCAACAGTTCTTCCAACAGCGGAACCACTCTTTCTATTTTCCTCTACTGACTTAATTGCACTCTTGACAATGCTTCTTTCTTGCGCTTTTTCTCCAACGAAAGAAACAGAGCGACCTTCTCTACCAGCTCTTGCAGTACGACCGACTCTGTGCAAATAGATTTCATAAGATTTAGGCATGTCATAATTTATTACCACTTCAATTTTCGGAATGTCCAGACCTCTAGATGCTAGATCTGTACAGATTAGCACAGGGACGTGCAAAGATTTAAAATCGCTGACGGATTTCAAACGTTGATCCTGAGTTAAGGAACCATGTAGTTCAGCGACCTTCATGCCCAGTAAACCTAAAATAATTCTTAGCTTATGGGCCATTTCCTTTCTAGAAACGAAAACAACCATCCTCTTACGAGCTTGGCCATCCAACTTCTTGATAAGGTGGAATAATAAGGAAGGCTTCAATTCTTCTCTCTTACGGATACGGACAAATTCTTGAGTCAGTTTAGCGGCGGCTTGTTTCGGAGGATCTATCATAATTTTTACGGGCTTCTTCAAAGACAATGAGATAAGCTGTTTGATTTTTGCATTCATCGTCGCCGAAAACAACAAAGTTTGCCTCTTGCTGGGAATCAATGACATAATCTCATTAAGTTCATCTTGAAATCCCTCCTCCAGCATTCTGTCAGCTTCATCAATTACCAAAACTTCAACGGATTCAACACTAAAACTGGCAGAATTCCGGATATGATCGATCAACCGCCCTGGGGTGGCAATGACAATATCTGGCCTTGACCTTAAAATTTGCTCTTGCTGTCTAAGATTCAAACCCCCGACTGCTAAACCGAAACTGAGGCCGTTGACAAATCTTCCGAGCTTGTTTCCAACATCCGAAACCTGAATGGCTAATTCACGTGTAGGAGCCAATACGATGACTCTAGTAGAGGCAACCTGGGCAGGCTTGTATAAAAGACGCTCAATGATTGGAATCATGTAAGCTGCTGTTTTACCAGAACCGGTAACAGCACCAGCAATGATATCTTTTCCTAACAGTGCTATCGGAATGGTAGCGCTTTGAATTGGGGAGGGCTTCACATAACCCAAAGCGCCCAAACCCTTCAAAACAGGACGTGACAATCCCAACGAATTGAAGGATGTATGAACTGCCTTGGTAGCCTCTTGACTTTCTTCTTCGGGAGCATAGTAATCTGCAATAGCTTCGGGTGAATCTTCATCTTCCTTAGTTGCATTTTCATCATCTTCCGATGATTCTTCCAAAGAGTTTTGTTCTGGATCATCACTTTCCACACCGTCATCGTCGCTGTCTTCTTCTGGGCCGTTACCTTCAGCAGCGCCCATTCCGAAACCATCCATAGCTAACTCATCCTCTGATTCGCCATTTTCAATCTGATCTTCATCTGCGTCTGTACCAGCGACTTTGATCAGACCACCTTTTCTTTTTATGATTCCATCCAAGTCAACATCTTTTGGTAAGGCATTCGCTTCCTTCTCATCGCCCTTGAAATCCCATCCGTCGAAGTTGTTTGAAAGTTCGAATCCCTCTAAACTAAACTGAAAATCTGGATTCAAGTCCACATGCACATCTTCTTCAGCATCTTTTGATGAGGAGTTTTTTTTTTTATTCTTGGACTTCTTCAATGAGGCCGTTTTTTTGATTTCAACCTCATCATCTGAACTTTCTAGGTTGGGGATATCATCTTCACTATCACTTATGGTGCGAAAAAAAACATCCGAGTCTTGAAGCTTATCTGCGCGCATGATCCCCTTCAACTATCAGCGATTAATGAGTAGATGGGGAGTTTATTGGCCATCTCATCTCATCTCATCACTGCGATGAAAATTTTCAGAACCGTTATCGTTCAAAAGTATGAACTAGATATATCTAGCTGACTAGGGTTTTCATGCTCGGCTTAAGGTCACATTACAGTTAAAACGAATAACTTCTCTCCACTTGATTAAACATGATTTCCTTCAGAAGATTTCTGCGAGTACCACAAGAGCTGAGACCTTCAGAAATATTTAAGCAAGACTCTTTATCTCCCAGCAAAATATCGTTACAAATTGTCCTTTTGCAGATCTTTTACTATCTAACGGCCTGTTCACTATTCTATTGTTGGGCCAAGCTCTGCGGTTATGAATTGGAGCTGAAGAAGTGGTTGTTTTCATGGGAGCTCATTGATTTCACAAACTCTTTTGGAATTACAATGTGCATTATTTGGCTGATGGACTCCTTGATTTGTGTGCTCTTCCTTACCGTTATAGTTGGAAGAAGCAAGCTGGCCTGGGATTTTGCCATTACCATACATGCCATTAACTTGATTACCGTTTTACTATACACTCATAAATGGCCCTCTTTTGCATGGTTCTTACTCCAGCTTTTATCTTCTCTCATCCTGGTGTTTTTAGGAACTTGGTCAACTCGTTGGAGGGAGCTCAGAGATACATTTTTCGAGGGATTGGTGGACCAGCCTATAGAATCGCAGTCCAATCTGGTACATAGCAAGGATCCCATAGAAATGAAAGACCTCGAAGCCCAAAAGTAATTCTAATATCTAAATGATCTTCCAAATGCATCTCAGAACATAGGGTGTGGCCGGTTTAAAAACAAAATACTCAAATGATTTGTCAGTAACAAGTTGACTGCGCAATGAGGTCTGGATACGAAACGCTGAATGAAACTATGGCCTCTGTGGAAAGGTTCGCTTAGGAAAGTACAAATAAAAATCAAAATTACACAGGTAAAAACAAATATACAATGTAACAAAATCTGCTTAGCAGAAAGACTTGTCTAAAATCTTTGAGACCTAAAAAGTGTATACCACCGTCGCTTCGTCACATTATAAAGCATCACCTTCCAGCTTCTGCTAAAAGTTGATCAACCAATTCATAAACTGATTTTTCAGGACCTTCAGATGTTTTCAAAAGTCTCAGACCACCTTCCATCCTTTGACGAATTTGCAGAACTGCCACGATTGATTCTACTCTTGTAATAATATGATCCAGTAAATCTATTCTATCATTTTCAGCTACCGCTTGAAGGACAGCCTGTTTGGTTTTGGAATCGAAGTTCACGAACCCTCCCAAAACGTTCATACCATCTTTCTCGATGAGTCCTCCGTTCAAAAGGGACATGAAGCTTTCTAGCCTGTTCGAAATTGTTCTCAATTGGAAGAGAATATCGTCACCAATCACATTTGCCTCTGTCTCGCTGCTCATAAAATCGTGCCTTGCTGCAACGCTCTTTGGATAGGCTATCGTTATGAACTCTTTTGTTTCAAGTCCCTTCAATTTCTGCTCGCCTAATTCTTCAAATACCCATCCTATGTTTTCTAATAGATGTATTTCTTTCTCTAAAATTTCACCCACTAGAGCTTCTCCATATACCTCTTTCAAAGGTTCGCCATTTTTAACACGGTCGTGATAAGCCATAATTCTATTAAACTCAGAGCAGAAGTCACTACTCAGTGTTATTTGCCCACCATCAGCAACCCCAGACACTCTGGAGGCCTTATTGACAACAGGCCCCAGATAATCCATACGTTGGGTGACAACGTCCAGTTCAGGTACAGGGCAACCCCAATGAATGCCCATTCGAACGGAAAGACCAAGGTAAATCTTATTCCCAGAGTTATCCGTAATCAAGCACCCCCCCTGTATAGAAGTAATCTCTTCCGGCCACTCCGCATCCAACAGTTTGAGCTGGACACTTAAGCACCATACAAGTGCTGCTATAGGTGTGGGAAATGCAACCATAAATGCATCACCTTCAGTCTTGACTTCATAACCACCGAAAATACGGAGATTCCGACGCATGATATCGTTATGGGTCTTGATTGCACTTCTCATAGCGTTTGGAAACAACTCCCAAAGGAAAGTAGAGTTTTTAATATCCGTAAACACCATCGCGAGATTCCCTGTAGGCGGAGCGATTTCTGGTTGTAGTCTCCTCAAGGTTGTGTCTTCGAAAGTACTCCGACGAGATATTAAATCGTGCTTGTTCAAGGTAAAATTATTACCACTGCTTGCGCTTTTATCGAGAGATAAACATAAGATGGTCACACTATCACAACACCCATAAGAAATAGCGTAATCTTTCAATTTTTCAGCAGCTAACATCGGCTTGGATTTGTTCTCTCTACATATGTCACACGCCGTTTCATAATCCAGATAGTCCCATAATTTGTTTGTCGCAATAATGATCATTTCATCTGAGCTCGTGAAAGTAAATTCTGATATATCTGGAGACGCGTGAATATGAGGCAACAGATCAAAAAAACCAACGGCTCTGGAAACATCAGAGACCCCATCTAATTTATCATTGTTAACATAACCTCCCGAAATGCGTATTCTTTCATATTCTTCTCTCTTAGAGGGTACATGAAGCTTCGTTAAGAGCACAACATCACCATTAGTCTTCGAGAGAATCGCCATCGTATCACCGATATTTGCAGTATACAATTTCTTCCCTTTCATGAATAAAATAGTAGCTGATGAACCGCTCAGCAGATCGGCCGATGAGAATCCAACATCCTGATTATCATTATCGACTGAGTTGAGCATCCCATTTATCTCCTTATTCAGTTGAAGAAAGCTGAATCGTAAAGCGTTTCTGATGCCGTCGTCATCATCACCAAATTTTTCTAACTGCCTTCTTAAAATTTTATCGTAAATATCTCTGATAATCTTTGAAATTTTGTGACCAGTACTAGTGCTCTCATTTTTTCCATCGTAAAGACAAATCAGACATTCGTCTTCTTTGCCCCTAAATCTTTCAAATGTAACATCTCTCGATGTAACCGAATCTTTTTGTCCAAGAGTATCTGCAACACCATACTTCATTCCATTGATCATAGAAGCGGTAGTTCTTAACCGTAAATTTACGCTTTCATCCGGAACTTTCGAAGTTTTGAGTGTCACATCCATCAGTCCCAATATTCTTATTTCTTTTAAAACCGTTAAGTCAGAAAAATCTTTTCTACTCTCATGATCCAGCGTAGATTTGATCTCAAATCTTTTATTGCCAGAGAAATTTAGGTACTTCAAATCTCTATTATTCAGCCAGTTCCAGTCATAATGGTAATTGGAAATATTATACTTTAGTTGATTTGAACCTACATCAATAACGTTCAATTGAGTCAGCTGAGATAACTCAGACGGCAAAGTAAGTAAGTTATTCCCGTTTAACATCAAAACCTTCAAGGACTTCCATCTAAGAACTGTGTCACTCGGTAAAGTAATAAATTTATTACCAGAAAGATACAACTCTGACAAATTCTCCAATTTTAAACTCGAGAGATCAACAAAATTATTATACGACAAATTCAGAGTTTTCAAGTTGTGATACATGTTGAACAAAGTCCAAAACTGATCCCCTAAGTTATTATCAGCCATACTCAAAAAGAGAAGGCTTTTTGCCAAATTGGACCCACGTCTTTCTAAAAATGTATCCTCGATATCCAGCGAGTTACCGAGCAAGTTTGAAGAAACATTAAAATATGTGAGTTCCATCTTACCCATACCTTTCACAAGATTGCTCAAATTATTCGAGTGCACATCCAAAGTTTTCAAATTTTTCAGTTCTGTAATTTCTTCTGGGAGGCTTTCTAATTTATTTCTTGCCACCGACAAGTAAACTAGCCTTGTCAGGTTTTCTATTTCGGAAGGAATTTGAGTTAAATTATTTTCATTTAGTTCCAGCTTCTCCAAACGTGGAAGCTTACTCAAAAGTTCGGACGTTAGACTGACCAATTTTGCCTTGTTTAGAGATAAACTCGTTAAATTCATCAAATAGTCACGTTCGTGTGTAATTGAGGTTATCGGATTTTCATGGATTTCAAGCGTTCTAAGCTTGCACAGATCATCATTGAAGACACTCATTCTGTTGTCTGTTAAAAATAAATTCTGTAAGTTAGGCGCATTCAGCCTCATAGAATTTATCCTGTTATGCCTCAAATTGAGAGTTCTCAAATTTTTCATGGACGATAAATCACATATGTTTATCAGCCTGTTGTTAGAAATGTTCATCTTAGCCAATTTTGTCAATTGGTTTACAGTTTCAGGAACGCTTTGAATCTTATTGTAAGACAAATCAACTTGAAGGAGATTTACGCAATAATTGATGACTTCTGGATACTTGATGAAATTATTAGATGAGATGTCCAAAAGCTGCAGGTTTGTCAATGAGACAAATCCAGCAGGGAGCTTATCCAATTCGTTACATTGTAAATTCAAAATTGTTAGATTGTTCAGATTTGAAATTGTAGTCGGTACCTTCTTAATAAAATTTCTTTCCAAATCAAGGGAGACCAATTTATATGCTTCTGTAATGTTTGAGGGAAATCTCGAAGCTCTAATATTAACCATTCTTAGACTAGATAATTTAATAGCACTCTCGATGAAATCTAGTGGTAAGAAAATATTAGCATTGTTAGAAACATCCAAGCTCTCAATATCTGCAGTATACTGATAAAATATGATTGGTGGTGTTGTTAAGTCCATGCTCCTTAAATCAACGTGTACAAAATCACCTCTACTCAGTTTTTGTTCTTGCTCGTACGTTAGATGCGAAGTCGCTACCGGATGGAATATGAACTTGAAAACAAAACTGAGATCTTCTATTCCCATAATATGCAACGGATCATTTTTCATATAGCCATTTAACAAAAGTAATCTTCTTTGGATAAGAATCGGTCTTGCAGTGGGTCTCAGGATTTTGGGCATCTTGGCTACCTTCAAAGAGACTTGATAATTTCCCTGGCCGACGTTAAACTTTCTTTTTATCTGAGGAATCATTTCTTGAACAGTGGTATTGGGTGTACACGATAGAGTTGTAAAGGTGTCGTCTACGTTGAAAATTCTAATTGCATAACGTCTATGCGGATCCACGTCGCTGAAATCATTATAATACTTCTCTAATTGATATCCAGCCCTATCGTACTCCTCATCATGCTTTAAAAGGTTAGATTCATTTGTCCGTAAAGAGCCCATGGAGTCTGCCCGCAGATGGGAGATTTCATCCTCGTCGTCTTCATAATCGCTGAGCGTGGAAAGTGTTTCACTTGGATCGCGTCCCTTGCTGGCTGTACTACTCGCCACACTAACGGGTGACATTGGGCGTGACATAATCGGTGTTGCCGACTGTTGTCTACTTATTGATGCCTCAGAAGGTTTAGGCTGAATGGGAGATTTTGTTGGCTCGCTTTTACCAGCTGGTTTTTGATGTAAGTCAGAGTTGGAGTGCTCAAGTTTCAAAGAAGAATCATTAGCACCATGACGATGATGACGGTGATGCCGACGCTTAGACTTAAGCGAAAGCGTTTTCCCTATTTCATCATCAACATCCCAGCTTTCTGGTGCCGTCCATTGAGCCTTGGAGTGTCCTACATCATGTGGTGCAGTGCTGTCAGCAGTAACTATTGCCTTAGTGAGGTCCTGCGCTTTACGGGTAGGTGTAGAGGCCTTGTCTTGCTCTGGTTGAGCAGGACCAGGCGGTGCTATGTTTGTAATATCCGATAAATTGTTTAGATCCGTATCTAGTAGAAAATAGCTTGCGCTACGACTGATACTTCTGGGTGATGTATGTGATACATCAGATGATTCAAGCATTTCGGACTTTTGTGGAGTGGCTCCGCGAGGTTGCTGTGAGTTGTTACTGCCAGAGGTTATCACACTAGCAGCGGATCCCCTTCTACTACTGACAACCGACGGCATCGACAACGTGTGCCTACTATGTTTGCCTTCTGCTGAGTAATTTGTTACGCCAGGTGCTGAACTTGCTCCTGGACCCACTCCACCACCATGAATGAATGTGCTCATCTTGCGCCGTATGCCAGCAGAACCAGCTCCCACATCTTGTTCTGGGGCATCCGGGCCACCTGTAGACGTCATTTTCATACCTGCTAGCCTCTTGAAAAGTGAACCGGCTCTTGAACTTTTCCGTGACTGCTGCGAATTGATAGATACATTGCTGGGCGTTCTATGCAGACCTGGGATGCGAGGCTTGATCGGCTGTGCAAAAGGTGGTATCGGATCATCCGGCGAATGCATTGCAATTGGATTGTGGAAGCCTTTATGCCTCCGTCTATGTAGTTCCTTCAACTCCTCTTGGGCAGTTCGCGCCAGCGCATGGCCAGCCCTATCATCCATGGAATATTGCTTCTTAAATTGTGGCCTCTCATCTTCCTTTTTGTCGCTCTCGTTTGCTTGCAGTGCTAGCTCCGTAGAATTCCTTCGTTGAGCGTCCTGATCACCCATCACAAGTGCAGATGTTGCTATTATACGATTGGAATCTTCACTTCAACACAGTAGGAGGGGGTTACGCAATTATTCCTTAGAAAAATCAAATCAAAATAAATAAAAATCACGTGTATACGTATCAAACGAGGAACGATGAATATAAGCTCTAGTGTACCAGTTGGTAATTTGTAATACACTTTCTAAAGGAACTCTCGCCAAGATTGACTCGGTGAACAAGTTTATCAAAGCAATTTAAAGTTATGTCTGAGACGGAAAAGAATTCCGGAACACCTGAGGATAAGCCAAAGCCATGTTGTGTTTGTAAGCCAGAAAAGGAGGCCAGGGATAACTGCCTTCTTTTTAACGGACAAGAGTCTGGCAAATGTGACGAATTGATTGAAAAGTACAAGAAATGTATGGCAGGCTATGGATTCAATACCAACTGAGCTTTCAAGATCTGTATATAGATGGCTATTGGCCTTGATTTGCGTGTAAATATTTTGTTGATCTAATTAACAGTAAAAAAAATTTCTTCATTCTTTAAATTCAATCTTTAAAGTAGATCGACGGCTAATTTTACTGAGTTTACATTCTTTCACGACATTGATAAAATGACTGACGCACCAGATCTTTCTACTACATTTGAAGGTAAAATTGACCTCGGAATAATTGGTGGAACGGGTCTCTACCACTTAGACTGCTTGGAACCTATTGCTGTTCTGCCCGCAATGCGCACGCCTTGGGGGGAGACCTCCTCTCCAATTACCGTTTCAAGGGTAGTTGGGGACTCTTCAGAGCATTTCCATGTCGCTTTCATTGCCAGACATGGACTGCATCACGAATACCCCCCAACCAGGGTGCCTTTCAGGGCCAATATGGCAGCTTTGAAGCACTTAGAGTGTAAAGCGGTCCTGTCATTTAGTGCAGTTGGGTCTTTGCAGCAACATATTAAACCACGGGACTTTGTGCTCCCTCAGCAGGTTATTGACAGAACAAAAGGAATTAGGGAATCCTCATATTTTAATGATGTCGGGTTGGTAGGCCATGTCGGATTCGGGAAACCATTTTCACGCTCCTTCGCTGAGTATGTTCACCAGTTTGCGCATTTATTGGAGAATCCATCCTCTTCTGAGCCTTGTTTGCTACACTTCAATGACGAGTTGACGGTCGTTTGTATGGAAGGACCTCAGTTTTCCACCAGAGCAGAATCCAAGATGTATAGAATGATAGGCGGTGACGTTATCAACATGAGCGTCTTGCCAGAGGCAAAGCTGGCACGAGAATGCGAAATACCCTACCAAATGATCTGCATGTCTACGGACTATGATGCGTGGAGGGATGAAGAGGAACCAGTTACAGTGGAAACAGTCATCGGAAATTTGCAAAACAATGGCCGTAATGCAAATGTTTTGGCCTCAAAAATAATCACTGAAATGTCAAACGAAATGCCTGATTTTATGTTGAGTGGTGATGGTCTAAAAGGTTCAGTGAAGATGAGCATCTCGACCAGGCCAGAAGCCTTTTCAAAAGATACTCTGGAACATTTGAAGTTCTTATTCCCCGATTATTGGTAATATTGATCTTTATCATAATTGATGATATGCTAATCAAGAGTAATAATCTAATGCAATAATCTTTGTATTTTTCACTTATAATTTTACTTACATTCTTTTCCTAGGACTTGGAGAATCCATCATGTAGGCATACCTACTACTTGGAATATAACCGCTGCGATTGGTGGGTGTTGGAATGGCTGTCACGGACGTAGTATTAGGATTCAACCGTGTCTTGCTTAGCAGCGTCGTTTTCCGCAAGTCCCCAAAGGCGTTTACCTTGTTAACAAACGCACTCATGGCTTGCCTTTCTTGCATTTTATGCTCCTGAGACTTCAAAGGAGTTCGCAAAGATTTGAATAGAAATGGTTGGTTGGACGATATTTTGCTGGGAGGAGGTGAAGAAGAGGAGGGATTACTCTTGTTTGTGAGCACTACTTCCGGTAATACTCTGGAATCGGAAGGGGTCTCTGAGATGCCCAGGAGTTCCTTCTGCTTTTGAGTGAGTTTAAGGTCGTCGAGATTAACGTTTTGCGCTTTGACTAATAACCTCCAAAGCGAGACCGTTACATTGTAAAAGACAATCAGATGTAACATGTGAGAGACACTCTCTATATTGACGAAGCGAACCCAGCTGGATTCTTCTAAGTTGATGTGAGGGTTTAAGGGATATACTACACGTTCGAGTATGAACGTATGCAGTAGATGCCGCCAGTGTGTGCCCTTCCTTGTGTGCTCGACAAACAGTCTGAGATACTTCACGACCAGGTTCCAAAAAAGGATTATGATAACATTAAAAATTATCCGCTTTGTTTCTAACTCCTTATTAACTACCCGTCTGTTATATTGAGCAAGAACTGGGTTTTCAAAATCCCCCAGACTATATGCCTTTCTAGCAATGGAGTCTACCTTTGGGGAATTCTCCGACGCCTCTTTCCTAGTGTGCGGCTCAACGACCACAGAAGAAAAAGAACTGGGAGTGCTTTTTTCATTTCGATGAAAGGCAGTCGCCGTAGGCGTGTTGATCAATTTGATTGTACTCTGAACTCCCTCCATCGGATCCGACAAGACCTTGTTCTTATACAGGTAGGGGGACTCACGAACAACCTTCTCCCTAACCGAGGCCAACTTCTCTTGTGTCACCGGACGGATCGGTGTAGAGAACATCTTGACTGGAGTCCCAGAAACGCTCATTACTGCACTTGTTTCCCAAATGAATAAACTCGAGCTTGCTTTGCTCATCGTAAAAGATGTTGATATTTTTCATCTTTTTGGAAAAAGCCGACCGGGTAAGGAACAGGGTTGGAAGGATTACTCAAAAAAAAAAACTTCCGAGTGGCAAACATCAAACAAGCTTGCATTTGTTAGCACGGTGAGTAAATCCTAGAGAGCTGATGGGGTTCATTTCGTCTCTTTTGTGTTGCTCATCCTCTCAGACCGTCAGTCAAAAGGAAAAGCCGAAAAAGAAGCTTTCTCCTTCACCGCAGCAATCTAGAATTCACGCTACCCTGTCCAATTCAACACGGCAGATGAACTTGGCTCCGTCCAAGTCAGGGCCCGCCACGGTGAATAAAACTAAAACCGCTGTCTCTAAGAAGAGCGGTATTAACGTAGCAGCTGCAGCTGCGAGCTCCTCAGGTCATAATGAAAATGATGACGAAGATTCTGATGATGACGCAATGGAGGTTGACGAGGAAATGAAAAAAGACGACAAACAAGTCGTGAGCGTTTACAATGGTGAAACAGAATCGAGTACCGGTACAGCAGAGGAACCTGCAGCCACCGCCCATAAAGAGAACGAAGAAGAAAGTAACGAGGTCACTACAGTGGTGCATGAGGCAGACCACTCCAGCAGTGCAGAAGACTCGGACGCAATGGCCCAAGACCATAGCGACCTGGAGGTAGTTCCATCCTATGACTATGATCCAGATGAGGAGGTTATCGACCTCACTGCTTTGCAGCCTGATCAGGCCCATGCCCCAGGGTGCAGTACCCTACTTGGTCCCAAGAGTCCGGAGTTTAAAGGGAAAAAATGTTTAATCTTGGATTTAGATGAAACATTAGTGCACTCATCCTTCAAGTATTTAAGAACTGCAGACTTCGTTATTCCAGTTGAAATTGATGATCAGGTGCACAACGTTTATGTCATCAAAAGGCCTGGTGTAGATGAATTTTTGAAGCTTGTGGGCCGCATCTATGAAGTTGTAGTTTTCACTGCTAGTGTTTCCCGTTACGGTGATCCTTTATTAGATGTTCTCGATCGTCATGAATCCATACATCACAGGCTGTTCAGGGATTCGTGCTACAACTACGAAGGGAATTATATTAAAAATCTATCTCAAATTGGCAGACCTCTAAGTGATTTGATCATCTTGGACAATTCCCCTGCCTCATATATCTTCCATCCACAGCATGCAGTTCCGATATCCTCATGGTTTTCAGACATACATGATAATGAACTTCTTGACATCATGCCATTATTGGAGGACCTTGCGCAAGAAAAAGTTCCTGATGTGGGAAAGGTTTTGGACGTCACTATATGATGCATGAAAAAAGCAGACGAACCTTTTGAAGATTCAAACGCATAGGCGTTCATATTTTGATAGATCAAATTGATAAGGAAGCTGGATCTCCCTGTTTGTATTTTTCACTTATTTTCTCCCTCTTTCTTGTTACCGCATGCGTAACTTATATGTAATTCACTTATTAATCAAGACCAAAGAATGTCTATTGATGGGGTTGCCAAACCACTAATCTAGTTAATATACAGAGACCGCCAATTATGTAAAGATTAATTATCGTCGTCATTGTCATTGTCGGTATTCATTTTTCTTTTCCCGTCATACTTGTGGACTACACCTACGATTTGTTTTTTTCTCTCAGGCACAAATGGCATATCCTTTCGGGTTTTTCTCTCATTAGTTTCTCTTCTCTTCAAGCTATCCAGCTCAACTTTTTTAATTTCTTGAGCCTTTTTAATAACTTTAGGAACATGCCTATGTCTACTAATTCTTTTGATTTCGGGCATATTCTTGAATCTTTCTTTGAGTTTTTCATCGTATTCTAATTTGTTCTTCTCACGAGTAGTCTTCACTGAGGACCTCTCCCAAGCGCTAGCTCTCCACAGTCTAACATTACCATCATCAGAGCCACTTACAATATACTTGCTATCCATGGTGTATTTCACCTGGAACACATGCTGCATTCTCTTTGTGTGATAGATTTCCCTGGAGTGACCGTGCTTTACATTGAAAATCCTGATTGTCTTATCATATGAGCCGGTAACAATTTCCTCACCAGTTGGAGAAAAGTCGACATCCATAACTGCGCTAACATGATCTTTGTACACATGTAGCGCGCGAGAAAGATTTCTCATGTCATAGTAATATGCGTTATGATCCTCGTTAGCAACTGCAAAATTATAGGCTTCCATAGGATTCCAACAAATTGCGTTTGTTCTCATTCTTTGAACAAATTTCTGAGTAGGAGAATTCGTTCTTAAATCGTACAAGACAATAGAGTTATCGCTACCAGTGCTAGCAAGGATATCAGTCTCATTTTGATTGAATTTGACGGACGTAACATTGTCAGCACCCCATGACAGATTTGTTAACGGCTTTGTTCTACTTGTATCCCAAAGCTGTATCTCTGCACCGCCAGTAACAAAATTTGACTTCTCTCTATGATGGTCTAGGCCCTGAAACGCATATTCACCATGAAACGTTTTTAGTAAGCCCTTGCCTGAATCCAGCTTATCATTTTCGTTGCCTGAAAAGTCATCTGTGTTTGCTGACCACAATTTGACAGTTCGATCATCTCCACAAGAAAGCATATAATTATCCTTAGAATGTTTCGACAAATGCTGTGGACTTACACAAAGACCTGTCACAAGCCCATAATGTGCCTTATAGGAGCATATCTCTTCTCGAGTCGACATATTCCAATACTTGATAATGCCATCAGCCGATGCCGTGGCTAATTTATTCAAAACATGGTAATTCTTTGCAATAACATAAACCCCATCCCGATGACCATATCCAAGCTGTCCGACAAATGGCTTAGCGAACATCCTTTCTAATTTAGTGGCGTTCAGCGCCTTAGTATATTCCCGTGCTCTTTCAAATGGGTGGAGCGCGGGATCCAAGTTACGTGGCAGTTGAGATTCTTGAGTACTCTTCACTGGAACATAATCATCAGCACTCCTGCTTATAGTTTTGATCTTCATGTTGGAATGCTCTAGACGTTTATTCTCTATACTCTATCTACTACACAAACCAATAGGAATAATACAGGAAACCAAATTTTTTATATGACGGGCGATGAGCTAGAAACTTTTCCGCCAAAAAAAAAAGGAAAAAATGCACGTGAGTCTTAAACTTACGGAATAGGCCTTTCGGGAAGCCTTATATTGGCTAAAATAGGTTTGCCAATTCTTTCGATAACATCATGTGCCCATAGCACATCTAAGTGGGAATATTCGTCAATATACCAAAGCTTGTAAAGTGAGTGAGGCTCATGGTTTACGAAATGGTTGATTAACCTCTCACCATCAACTAATCTATCTTGTTTTGGGATGAACATCAAAATTCGAGGAAAGTGACGAGTGTTCTGCCTTGTTTTATTTACATGACAATGCTCGTTACCGTTCTTGGGCGATTCGTCCTCAACTGGAAAAAAAGTCAAGGCATCGGGGAATATTTTGCCCGAACCATTATTGAAGCCTATGACGCTGGAGTCAGAGCTCAACCACCAAACCATGAGTTTAACCGAAATACTTACAGGAGAAAAAAGAAAATGTCTATCTCTCAAATCTCTGTCCCATAAGGTGTCATTCCAGTCAAACAAGTAGTTGAACATAATATACGATAAGAACGAAAAAAGCTTTGACCCCACCATTAAGTTCCGCATAGTCATCATGAGAGGCAGGAAAGATTTCTTACCGAAGACAAATGGCGAATTTATGTAATTCACCATGAACTTAACAAACGATTTCTCTTCCAACAATGGCCCAGGATAAATAGCGGGGGCTAAGGCAACGAAGTTCTCAAGCTTATCGTTCAAATTAAACCCATCTTTAAATATGCGTTCGCCATTTACCAGACCCATGAATGTTTGTGTGGTCCCTTGAGAGTGAGCAATTAAAGTAATTTTAGGTTTGTGGGTTTTCTCTAAAACACTGCTCACTAAAGCCTTCAAATCGAATTCGATCATTGCATTCATGTCCCAATTCCACTTTTCCTGTCCCCTTACATGGGCTCCATTCCAACGAGGGTGAAATCCGCAGCGGTTATTACCCATCCATACATCAAATCCTGACTGATGTAGGAAATAAGCCAGAGATTTTCTTCCACCAGATGCAAAGGACCCACTGCTTTGCAGTAGACCATGCAATAGTAACATGGGGTGCCTATCTTGAGCGATGGTCTCAGCATTCTTCAATCTCAAATGCCAGAGATCCAGGAAAAAACCATCTTCGGTTTCGACGCTGTATTCTTCAATCTGTAAACCATACTGAGAGTAATAATAATTGAGATCAGGTACTAAGCGCAAATCTTCTGCATTAAGAACATCTGCAAATGGGTTTTCTTGCATTTCAATATCGTTCACACTGCCTGAAATATTCGGCTCTTCCTTTTGATATGTGGCTGGTCTCGTATCAACACTTGAAATTATGTGGTCATATTCGATGTTGTTTAATGTATCAACCTCTATACTTAAAGGGGTCTCAGAGTTAGCTGATGAGACTCGAGACTGCTTTCTAGGTCGTATCGGTGTCTTTGAACTCCGAGTATCTCTTTTATCCTTGGCTCCTTTGAAGTGCGACACAAGTAAATTACTGAAGAGTGCCAGGATGAATAAAACGGTCAGAAAGCATGTTGTGATAACTGCGGAAACGCTTGTATAGAGCCAGATAAGTGCCATAGATTTTTCCCACTGTTTTTTGATTGGTTACTATGTTATCCATTAAAAAAACATTTCAAAATATCAGTTGAATTGAAAAACTATTAAGTAGCAAATGTATCACCGGGAAATACGCAAAACTACGCCTGAAGAAATAGGACTTGGGGCAAATGCAATAGTTGAAATCTCAGCAGTCCATTTCACAAACCAAATCTTGTTACATTTGAGATTGAACGGTGAGCTCGATACAACTTATGAGGTAGTGCCTAAGGGTCTTCCTGTCGATGATCTTGATCCGCCTCCAATAGCTGGTACTAGCTCGTTCACCAACGACAGCCTGCAGATTGAAGATGAAGACTATGTATCTGTTAAAGATAATCTCTCAAACTATCACGTCGTTACCAGACTTGGCGATTCTAATGATATGAAATTGCCTATTGTCTGCACCCAAATTGCAGAACTGTACCAAAGAATAATTACTCCTTCTAATATAGACGGATTTAGCCAGGATATTTCGAAAAGAGGACTTGTTATTACAATGAGTGCAAAAATTTGGAGGAAGTGTCGGCCTGGTTACGATTTTCACGCATTAGTCTTTATATTACAAAGTATTAAAGAAATGTACAATTTATAAAACTGACTGTAAGCAACCCTTACTTTGAAGCATCGACTACAGCCATATCTAATACCTGTATGGTGCCTTTGTTAGTGCAATAATTGACAATATCTCTATAACTTATGGGGTCTATGAGCCCCGTGCACGTCCAGTTACTTTCCGTAGCAACCAAATCAGGGGAACTGATTAAAGGAGCTACTTTTTCGATGATAACTTTGTTGTCAGCTTGTGGAATGTCAACTTTAATTCTCATCTTAGCCCTCACAATCGGGATGATCTGCTTTGCAACGAGAAGTTTTATCGCCTCTAAGGCTTGTAGTTTTGCGGGTTTATTCACCACGACACTGAATTTGAGTTCAGCTAGAGCTTTGTGGATCATTGTAGGTGGATACCGCTTCTTTGATTTGGGGTTTATGCACTTGGCGCTTACGATCGTTAGCATTTCATTATTAATCTTGTTCAGCATCAGTTGGCGCTCTTTCTCAGATAACTGTATTTCACCACGATTCAAAATTTCTTTTATTATCAAATCAACATCTGCACTGCCAAAACATTTAACCAGATCATCCTTCGATGCGACTTGTCCTTTGGAGACGTTTAAAAAAACCTGATGAATTTGTAGCACCTCATCGAGATCGGTTTCGACACCTTTTCTATAGTCTTGGACCTTATTTTGGTAACAAGCAACTTCGAAACGCTTCTTACCCTTTTTCAATTTAACCAAAGAAACGTTCGTTAGCTTGATCTGGCCTGAAGGTTGGTTGATAACCATTTTTGACGCGGGAAGTGTTAGAGGAATAGTTTTATATATTGTAAAAGTTTTTAAAAAAGCGTAAAGTATGACTGATCAGGAGATATAAATTTGGCACCATACATTCGAAGTAAAACGCAGGATACACTTTCCCACCTTATGCAAGTTAGGATTATTATTTAGAATGTGCACGATATAATCCATTAAACTGATTTAACCATCACTTCACCAAACTAAAATTCTTTAGAAGAATAAATCGTCACTCCATGGAGAGTGCTCTAGCTTTCCGGACTCAATGCAAAGCTCGAAAGGATAAAACAAACAACAAGTAAATACAATACATACAATAATTTTTAACTACGCCATATCAACATAAAAAAGGAAAAAAAATCGATGGTAGTAAACAATGTAAAAAAGTTCACATTACCCATACGTCTCGTTTACCTCATCAACTTGCCATCCATCTTTTTTGGTACATGTCAAGAATAGCTTCATAATGTCCAATGACCCCACACAGCACAAAAAAATGCCAAATAGTGTGTGAGCCACATATATAATCAACCCACCAAAGAGACTTGAATGACTTTTCATGCTTTCCGTCGCACTTCGCGTGTTTGGTTGGCAGCTCCCTGAAATGAATATGCTTGTGCTTTGTGATTATATCAAGGTCAGTAGACAATTCTTTGTTTGTGGGAATACACTCATCAACTTGAATATCGGTTCTCCAGCGTTCAGGGATGAAGGAACCATAAAAGCCGACACCGGTGAGATACCAAATAAGGGACTTCATAAACACTGGTCTCATCAAAGACGAGGTATACGCCAATCCATTCAAACAACTGGAGTGCACGAAGGACAGGCCACCCATACTTGCTAAAAGAATGTAAAATGCAATTCTGAATGGCCTCGATTCTGGTCTATCAAACTTAGGAGACCAGTTCATAAATACACCACCTGCACCCAGGGCAAAAGAGATTATCATGTAAAGGAGTAAGGTAACTGTATAAGGTGAGCCAGAATGGCTACTCAAGCAAACAAATTCCGTTGTCATGATCGAAGCAGTTATTAAAATTGTTATGCCACTATAGTCAAAACAAGCACATCTCGAGCGCTGCCTCAAATTGCAAAAACCATTGCAGGTGTGCCATGTAACCGAGAACATAAAGCATTTGATGCTAGCAACAAGGAAAAAGTTTGCCATCCATATTGCTCCCGAAGGAATTTTAGCGGATTGGTAAACCGCAGTTTGGGAAAAGCCGTGGAACAAAAGAAATGCAGAATATGCTGCGCCGATCAAATGACTCCAGATGTTTGTGGTCTCGTTATGCCAGCCGTACCAGTTAATAATGGACAGCAAGCACTTCGTATAAGAGTCGTAAAAACGATATCCATGGATTACAAATCTATTCTCCCTCCAGGGGAAAGGTAATTCGTAGTAATGAAGGTGACGATGACGACCAATTTCTAAAGCTTTTTCATAATTGTAAAAATTAATACACTCTGCAACAGATTCTGGATCCTCTATCAAGGTATCTAGTCTCCCATCAAGATAATCCAGATTCTGCAAAAGCTGCTCTGTTGATACAGAAGAGCACGATTTGCGCTGCGAAGTTTTGGAGGTTTGACTCGACGCAGATGACACAAGAGTAGATGACGAAGAATGGAATGACGCCTCACCCGAGACACCCGCGTTGAAATGTTCATCCCATATCCTGGAGAATTTTTCCAAACTTACTGCGCTATTGGTATCTACCATGGTCGCAGCATCGGATTCGAGAGGTGTTCCCTCACGACTGTTAAATTCTTGTGTCGTGGTCTTTAGGAATTTATACAAGTGTATAATACTCTCACCCTCTTGATTATCTTCTGGCGTCTCATCCGGACTCTGACCCATTTTTCGCATGGCATAAGCAGGAACACCACTGACTTGCGATTTACCCCACTTTACAATTCTCTTACCACGCTGCTTCAGCCGATTTAGGCTTGGTCTGTAGGAGCTCGATCCACTGCTCGAGTAACTTGGAAGCATGGCCTCTAAGGTTTCTAATTTACTATCCATAGAGTTTAAGAACTTATCTAGTCTGTTGATAGCCACAACTTCGAGCTCTGAATCTTCAACCATGACCTTATCGATCAATAGAGTGCTCAACCTCGACCGCCTGTTCTTTTTCCTCACATTGTATCACTATCAATTAATATATACTTTTTTCTCCTTTCTTTTCCTCAATCCCGAAACAAGCTCGAACGCTTGTTTTACTTAAAAATCCCTCTGGATTCGAACGGGGGAACAAAGTCTCGTAAAATTCTCCACAAAATTTGAAGATATGACGGCAGCGCCATACGACAGGCAAAAATATGAATATCGCAGGGGATTTTTTTTGTGGCGGGACCTCCCACCTGTACGAGACAAGTTCATTCCTCGTGACCGATGAATCCGACAAGTGATGGTTTAAATTATCGTTTCCGGTGGCAAAAATATCAACAAAATATACTAATCGAGCACGATTGAAGGTTTAAAGTCGCATAGACCGTTGTTTTTATTCTCTGATAGAGTGTTGAAGTAAAAACTGTAATTGTTAGGTGGTCCTTAGATCAACAGAGGGAAACAAAAAGTTTCAAAGAAATCTCAAGGTGGTTTTTGATTTTGTAAGAAAAATACTAGAGCGAGAAAGAACCCATAACCTAGCATTAAAGCAAAACAATGTCGGCAGCAGACAACTCTAATGAGCCTTGGGCGTCGCATGAACCTCGGCCAGGGTCCGCTCTAGGTAATATGGACTCTGAGCTGGCTTCTATTGTGTCCTCATTATCGGCTTTATCGAACGTGTCAGCACAGCAGCCGCATGGCCAGATAGGAAGTTTCAGACGCACCTCGTTTCACAGTAATAATGGCAGTGATATAGACTCAGAAGTTCTCTTTCAAAGTCAAGCTTCTCCCGTTATCAAGAGGACTACGCTATCTGTTGGTGGTGTGTCTCTCGGTACTCCTTCCGGTGCCAACAATCGACTTAATATGCTAGGAAACTATTCCGCTAGTATTGCAGGGGGGGTATTGCAGCATCAGCAACAGCAACAGGGTGGGTTTTTTGAACGTTTTGGACGGAGTCTAGCAGAGGGGACTAGAGAAGTTGAAATGAACCTTGGTGCGTCGTCAGGGCGTGGCTCTCGGCGAGAGAGTTTCAGCGCCATGGAGTCATTGTCCAGGGTTGCTAGCAACTCAACTTATCAGGGTGCTGAAGAGCGTAGACCCTCAATATCTTCGGATGCGTTAGATTCTGTGAGCGAAAGTCTCAATATGCAGGGAGATAACTCTGGAAATCAGCGTAATGCTAGCAGTTTATGGCCAAAACAGTGGTCAATAGGTAATGTTCCAGTCTTTAGACCCCAAGGTACTACTGATGCTTCGTACCCTGCTCCCGATATGTACAATAATCCCTATGGATTCTCCTACAATGGATTTCAGCAATTTGGTGGGCCTATGATGCCTCCCATGGTACCTCCCACGCCAACATCTCCAGCAGCTGCCAATGTTGCTAATAATTCTGGCTCGGGTGCTAGTGAATTAGGACGTTTTGATCAATCCGATGAGAAGAATAATGCTGAGAATGGACCTCAGCAGATGCCTCCATTCATGTTTCCCCCAAACCCATACGTGTATTTCCCCCCGGGGACAAATGCTCCTCAACCTCCTCAGATGGGTTCCATGCTGCAAGCACCCACGAATGTCAAGGATTCCTCCAAAACTTCCCATCCTTCGAAACCTCATGGAAATCCTTATTTATACAACTCGAGAAACAATAGACAGTCTACACCCGGTACTACAATTCCTCAATTTACTCCTTCGACTCAGCAACGCGTGCAGTCACCTTCTCCAAGCAATGGCAGTAGGGGCAAAAATAAAAACAATATTCCCAGGTCACCTCTACTTGAGGAATTTCGCAGCAATTCGTCCAATAAATCTTATAAGCTAAGCGACATATATGGATCAGCTTTGGAGTTCTGCAAAGACCAACATGGTTCAAGGTTCATTCAACAAGAGCTTGCAAAAGCAAGTGATGCTGAGAAGGAAGTTATTTTTAATGAGATTAGAGATGAAGCCATTTCTTTATCTGATGATGTTTTTGGAAATTATGTTATTCAAAAGTTTTTCGAGCATGGCTTAAAGATTCAAAAAGACGTTCTGTTCAAACAGTTTACTGGTAAAATGGAACAGCTGTCCTTACAGATGTACGCTTGTAGAGTCATCCAAAGAGCCTTGGAATGCATTGAAGACTCTCAGAAAATTGCTTTGGTGAGGGAATTGTCAAATTGTGTTCTATTGATGATTAAAGACCAGAATGGTAATCACGTCATTCAAAAAGCGATCGAATGCATTCCAATCGACGAATTGCCTTTCATTTTAGCCAGTCTTCATGGTCAGATTTATCACCTTTCAACTCATTCATATGGTTGTCGTGTCGTCCAACGTTTATTGGAATACGGAAGTGTAAAAGACCAAGACCAGATTTTGGATGAACTTGATCAATTCATTCCTTATTTGATTCAGAATCAATATGGTAATTATGTCATTCAACATATTCTCCAACATGGTCAAGCAAATATAGCATTGCATATTGGTAAAACTAAGCAAGAAATTGTTGACACTGTTGCTAAAAACGTTGTAGAATATTCTAAGCACAAGTTTGCGTCCAACGTCGTTGAGAAAACCATATTATATGGCTCGGAAGAGCAAAAGAGGCAGTTCATGGATAAGGTTCTCCCCAAGAATCCCGAACATGCTGCACATCTCGAAGACACCGCCCCTCTGATTTTAATGATGCGTGATCAATATGCTAACTATGTTGTTCAGAAGTTAGTTGGCGTTGCTGAGGGTTCTGATAAGAAGCTAATTGTCATTGCAATCAGAGCTTACTTGGATAAGCTGAATAAAATTAATGCTTTAGGTAACCGCCACTTGGCTAGTGTTGAGAAACTAGCAGCCATCGTCGAGAAAGTTGAAATATGAGAAAGGGTTAAAAACTAAAATATTCACATTAATTCCGTTTGTTGCTCCTCTGATCTTATTCCTGGTATTACTGTCATTACTTATATATGTTTGTATATACTTTTACTTCAACTTGTTTATAACAAAATATAGCATTTAACTATTCATCCTAGTAGTGCATAAACAAACGTCCACGCCATCACAAACCCAGCTAACTCTCTGAAAAGCGAATCTATCAATACTTCCTGAACTGGGCTCTGGAAATACTTTCCTGGTTGAAAGTGGCAAAACCATGCGAAGAAAACGAATGCAACAGAAATATATGAAATGGCAAATAGTCCAAACCCTTGAAGACTTTCTAATTGAAGAATGCCTGCACCACAACCGTAAACGAGTGAAGTAATATCCTGTATCCTCAAAATTACTTTCCTATTGAATTCAATACTCACTGGAGACTTAATATCAGCAAAAGCTTCTGAAGAACTCATTTCTTTGGTGATTTATTCTCTGATATATCTAGGCCCTTTCTAATTCTCAACTCTGATTATGAAAAAGAACCATCGTTAGAAATTCATGAGATCATGTGACTAAACATGAAAGGAATGAAAATTTTTTGAATACCCTCTCATTAACCTCATCGGCAGTTAAAGCTGCGAATTTGAAGTTCAAACATTTGACTTTTGGTGCGTTTCTAATTTATATTTTGAGGTTTAGAGATGCCTACGCAGTTAGAAGAATTGGTGTCTTTTTTGCACTCCCCCCAGCCCGCAGTCAAGCAAATTGCTCTAGACAATTTAGTTGGATTTAGCACTGGGACGAATGCTGTCATTTTCAAATATGACAACTACAGAGCCCTTGAAGATTTGAAAATTTTGGCTAAAGATAATTCGAAGACTATAGTTCAACAGGCTGTAACAGTTTTGGCAAATTTGTGTGGCGATCGCATAATGCGGAAACTGATTGCTGATGATACTGATTTTCTCGAATATCTCTCTTGGAAAATATGTGATATCAATAATACTAGTGCCGACATAATGTGCATTTTACTCACCAATCTAGCCAAAGAAAACAATATCACAAGTATTTTCAACTTCACAAAGAAGGATTCGGATGGAATTCCACTAGATAGAACGGTGTTCAAAAGTAGCAAAGTTATAGACTGTTTGATGGACTGTTTTGTGAAGGGATACGATAGAAAGCTGAATAGATTTGCAAATTTCGACTATCTGGCCTATTTCTTCGCTGACCTCTCGAGGTTCTTGAAGGGAAGGGAGTACTTCATTCACAAGCAAGATTATGATGGAGTCGTTCCTATTTCTAAACTTTTGGTCTTCACTGAGGATTACGACTCCAAGACTCGTCGAGAAGGTGTGGCTTCGACAATCAAGAACTCGCTGTTCGATTCTGAAAAGCATGAAGATCTTTTGACGAATGAAGACATCAACTTGTTGCCATATATTCTCCTCCCCATTGCCAATGGCAAGGATTCCGAAATTGACGAGGAGGATTTATTTAAATTACCGGACGAACTTCAATTACTTCCAGAAGATAAACAGCGTGATCCTGTTCCTGAAATTGTTTGCGTGCATTTGGAGAGCATCCTGCTACTATGTACAACAAAAGCAGGCAGAGAATACCTGAGGAGTAAATCTGTGTACCCACTCATTCGAGAATTGGAGAAAAATGTCGAAAATGAAGATATCAGTATATTGTGTGACAGAGTGGTTAACATGCTCATGAGAGGGGAGATTTCATCAGACCAGATTGAAGAAATGCCCTCCAAGAATTACGAAGATGATCCTCAAGAATCCGAAGATGATAAGGATGATGATGACGATGATGACGATGATGACGATGATGACGATAATGCCATTGTAGAAGTTATTTAAGAAGTCTTCGATACATGTAATATATGTAAATTATGAACTTGAAGTAAAATCAGTACTTCACTTGTTAAGTTCAAGATAGCCATCATTGAGTTTCACCAATCGTTTCACTAATAGTTTCATTCTTTCTTTGTTCGATGGATGCTTAGATACTTTTTCTCTGAGCTCCCTGATAAGCTGTTTCAAAGTCATCCTCTTACCTGATACTGCGTTGATAATGTCGTCTTCTGTTAAAAGGTTCTCCGCATTTTCATCACTTTCAGCGCCGCCTTTTGCAGATCCTAGATCCGCAGGCTGTTCCGAAGAACGCTTTTTTGCCTGTGGATTCCACTCTCCCGATGGGAAATTATTCAATACTGATTTTCCAGCTTTCAAAACAATCATGCAATCTTTAATACTCTTGACGTAGATCTGAGGGGCCGTAGGGCTTCCTCTGGACGATTTCTTTTTGGGTGAGCCTTTTCTGCTCGATTTCCCATTCTCTTGATCTTCCTGTTTAACTGTGTTTGCATCTTGATCTTCCAAATCCGATTCCGATAAGTATGGGTTTAATTCATCATCGTCAGACTCATAAAGAGCGGCAGCATCTGACTTTTGCAATGCTTTTTTAACTCTTTCACCCTCATCGTCGATTTTTTTTTCTCCAAATAAATCATCATCAATTTCCTCATCATCACGTAGACCCATGGCATTAGCCTGTAGCATTTCCTTTTTTATTCTGTCTTCGGATTCTTTGTTTTCCTGTTCATTGCCATCAATAATTGGAGCTTCCTCGTCATCTGCAAATTCTTCATCAAAATCTAGCTCTACTTCGGAATTGTCTCCTCTGTCCTCATCATCACCTTCGCGTGCATCTACAGCTTTAAGCCTTCTTCTTGTTCTATCATATCTCGTCGTCGTGGTGCCAATATCATCCAAATGTTTCATCAACCAACGAGGAACACCCTTTCCATTCTTCTCCATACGCTTTTCAGCTTCTTCGATTGTTAGGGTAGCATATTTATTTCTAGCTGTGAATTTGTAAACCTTGTCTGCAGGTACCATCGTAAAACTTCCGTCATTTTCGACACTTAATAATACATATGAGTCTGAGTTTCCTGCCTCATATGATCCCACCCACGTATTTAAACCATCAAAGTCTTCCATGACCCAAGGATAGAATTCTTCGAATCTCAGCCTTTTTGCATTTTCATCTAGCAATTTCAATTGCCGTGTTTTTCTCTTTGAGTTACCTCTTCTGTAACGTCCACCTCCATCAGGAGCAACATCGGCAAATGGATCAGCACTTTCATCTTCATCAATTGCAGGTTGCTCCTGCCCATCGTATTTGACCATTCCGACTTTAGTGGGATCTTCAGCAGGGCCTGCTTCCTCTAGAACTGTAACAGGAGGTGTCGGTTGTGCAGGAGTCTCCGGAGATTTTGGTTCCTCTTTCACAGACGACGTTGAAGGAGCCTCTTCGACATCAATAACACTAGGGGTATTTGTCTTGCTCGAGTTCTCATCGCCCTTTTCTTCTTCGTCTGCCCGATTCTTGAACTCAGCAATTTCTTTTTGTCTTTGTACAATTTCTGCCCTTGTTAATTGAAATTGTAGGTTCCTAGTATCCTTGCGATGCAAACGGATCGGAAGATGAAAGTCTTTGGTGGGGTCTATCTTCTTCTTACTTTGAAATTTCAAGATGTGTGTTCTAATATTCTCCAACTTCTCACTAGACACTGCCCTCAAGGGAAATTCATTATATTCGGCACCATTTTCTTGTTTAACTTTTTTAGAGCTACTTCCACTGCCCTGTAAAATCTGACTGGTCCGCTCGTCATAAGCATCTGGGTCTTCCTTCTTGACAAAAGGCTTGGGGGTAGCGTTCTTCTTACTTCTTGACCTGAGGAATTCTCGCCTGTGCTGTTCCCTTTTTATAAAGGGCGACGCACTGTTACCAGAAGATCTCAATGGATTAGACATGACAATGCACCAACCTCAACGAGCTCCCTAAAGCTGTCTGTGCTGGGCGAAGTGCAGATTATTCAAATGCCACAATTTTTAAGATGTTAAAGTTTTTGCCACTGCTATCTCCATTTCGTGCATAGTGTTCCAAGTCGTCTGACCTTCAACAACTGACACTGAACGACTACTTGAAATATATGATATGATAGAAGAACCGTCAGATTAGCTCAGCTTGATTATTTTCACCAAAATCACTTTCAAAATTGGAAGCAGGCATGCATGCTTTTTCTTTATTTTCTCCCAGCGTAGTATTGTGAGAGGTCTTCTAAGTCATTTACTGTTGTATATTCTTTTTCCATTGGCGAAAGAAGATACGCTACAACTCATAATGTGCATTAGCATAATTAATTTATTTGTCCTGATCGATTGGAAATGTCGAAGTTCGCAAGTCAATTTGCCTTTCTATACCTTGCTGGTATTTGAATGAATGGTGAAAAAAAAAAAGTATGTGTACATAAAGGGGGAAGGCATGCGTTCATTATTTAGAAGATCCGTGAATCACCATGTCGTTTGATTGTTTAACAGCTTTAATGAACTGTGCGAAACTTTTTTGATATTACAATGTCATTCAATTCATGAACCTTGTGCCTTGCACGTGATTAAATCATCTGTCGTGAAAATTTTGTAATTGTGACAAGTAGTGAGTCACTGAAACTTTTAACCACTACGACAAAGTAACCAATTGAGGCAGTTTGATCGTATATATAACCCCTTCTCAAATGACTGGTAGCAACGAAACTCTGGTTGATCCCAAAGAAGCATACGACTTAATTACCAAGAACCTTCAAGAGGTTCTAAATGCACAAATCATCAAGGATGTGCTCGAGGTTGAGAAAAGGCCACTAAAATTGTACTGGGGTACTGCTCCAACTGGAAAACCCCACTGTGGTTATTTTGTTCCGATGACAAAACTGGCACACTTCTTGAAGGCCGGCTGTGAGGTGACGGTTCTGCTGGCCGATCTGCATGCGTTTTTGGATAATATGAAGGCGCCACTCGAAGTTGTACAACACAGAGCAAAGTACTACGAACACGTTATCAAATCAATATTAAGGAGTATTAATGTACCTATTGAAAAGCTGAAATTCGTAGTGGGAAGTTCCTACCAATTGACCCCAGAATATACAATGGACATTTTCAAGCTTTCTAACATCGTTTCTCAAAATGATGCTAAGAGAGCTGGTGCAGACGTTGTAAAGCAGGTTGCAAACCCATTGTTAAGTGGTTTAATCTATCCTTTAATGCAAGCTTTGGATGAGCAGCACTTGGATGTTGATGTTCAATTTGGTGGTGTTGACCAAAGGAAAATTTTTGTGCTTGCCGAAGAGAACCTTCCAAGTTTGGGCTACAAGAAAAGAGCTCATTTAATGAATCCTATGGTTCCTGGTTTGGGTCAAGGTGGTAAAATGTCTGCATCGGATCCAAACTCCAAAATTGATGTTTTGGAAGAACCTAAGGTTGTCAAGAAAAAGATTAACAGCGCTTACTGTGCGCCAGGTGTAATCGAGGACAATGGCTTGATTGCTTTCGTGGAATACGTTGTTGCTCCTATTCAAGAATTGAAATATGGTCCAGATCATTTCAAATTTCCAATTCAGCGTCCTGAGAAGTTTGGTGGTCCAATCACTTACGATTCATTGCAGCAGTTGAAGGACGATTTCAAGAGTGAGAAGCTTGCTCCACCTGATTTGAAGAGCGGTGTTACTGATGCCATTAACGAACTTTTGGCTCCAATCAGGGAAGAATTTGCTGTCAACAAGGAATTTCAAGAGGCTCAGGAGAAAGGGTATCCAGTTGTGGTTGCTGAAAAGACTAAAAAGCAGAAAAAGCCAAAGAATAAGGGGACACGCTATCCAGGCGGTCAGAATAATGCTCAAGATAAAGATCCTAAAGAAACAGAGCAAATCCCGGCCAATGCCGCCGACAAAGAATAGAGAGCTATTTTCAAGTATTTCTCAACTTATAAACCGCCCGTATGTTGATGTGTTCACGTTGCATGGCGCTCCCTTTAGCTTCGTTTTTTGTAAAGGTTAAATATCTAATGCTTTATTACTACTGACTTTTTGGGATATGAAAAGTGATTACTACATGCTCTCCCAACCTCCCAGATCAGATGTCGTATCTGTTAATCTGAAAACTAAATGAGGAATCATATTTCCGAACACAATATCATGACTCAAGTGTGAATATCGTTTTGTGTTCAGAAAAACAGGAGTACCATTTCTGTAGTCCTCATCAGTTTCGCCGTGTCTATTTAGGTAAGGTGCACGATAAAATGTTCCCCTTCGATCATATGCCAAATATACAGTGTTGCTTCTAACCAGCAGAAAGCATCCGTAAGTTGAATTGACTTGGCATTCATTAAGACTGTGATTGGTGCACTCCCCTATCGAAAAGTTATGAATTGGAACGCTATTTTGTACTTCGACTTTCGTTCCGCAAAACAAGCAAATTGCGGTCTCTTCTTTATTTGCCCTAAATCTGATGTGGTCATCATCGTTAACGCTAAAATGTGATAAATTATAAGGCAAATCGATCAGTGAGATTTCGCCTGCGTAATAAATGCTTATATTCTCAAGTTTCTTGGCAAAACTCGCACCCGAATCTTTTGACAGCTGGCGGCTAGCAAGTCCGAGAGCGGTAGTCATATCTTGTAATTGAAATTGCACCAATATGTTCTTGAACGATGGCAGGTGACAAAAGTCAAGTAGATTATCCAGTTCCCTTTCATGGCCCAGATATGTTCCATCCTGAAAGTTGATCGGATAATCAGCATGTACCATCATCGCTACTCTTCGTAAAAATACTGTTAATGACCTCTGAATCAGTTTGTAGACAGGAAAAAGTATGGTTGCCAAATTAGTTGTATTCAATGATTCCCCGGTTAAAGTAAATAATGGCAAGTAGCCATTCAGTATTTCAGCTAGTGCTAAAACTTCTCCCTCGACATTCGAATCAACTTCATGGTCTTGAGCAAGCGCCAAAATGCAAAAAAACTTCCTGGAGCCTGTGAAAAGCTTTTTCGATATTAGGAGAAGCTCTTGGTGTAAACGTTTTTTGATAAGCTCATGTAGCATATCACTTGTCCTAATATTGTTCTTAGCTGGCTGTATGAAAAAGTTAGCCAAACAAAGGAGATCGCAGTCAACATAATCCTCTGTAAATGCCTTCCAATCTGTGATGTTAAATGGCGTTATAAACGACGAAAACTGTTTTGCCATCAAACAACTGAGTTGGGCCTCATTACTCATTAAAAATCTCTTCATTTCACTAAGTAGCCGCAGTGTTAGAAGATGTTGGTTATTGATTTTGTATGCAATAAACGACCCCGAATTGCTAGAGTCTGAAAATCTGTAACAAATTTCTGCATTGGATAAAGTATCTGTCAACAACCGACAGAGGGTATCAACAGGTCCCGTCGATGTTGTAGAGTCTTCAGCAAGCAAGGTTTGCAATATTACAATTGATTTCACGCAGCTTGATAACAAGAGCGTGGATGGAGATTCAGGCTCAGTAAAATGCTCTGAATGAAATAGAGCGTCTTTTCGGCGAGAGTTGAATTGCACTATGCAGGGCAAAAAAGAATTCGTTAGTGCGGAACACAGTGGGCAAAACATTAAGGAAAACCCGAGCGATATCGGAACGTTTTTCGTGATATGGTTATGAATTGTTCTTGCAGACTTCATGTGGCTCATCAAGCAGCTGATATGTGCGCCATGACCACAAGTCCTTAATACTGGCTTTTGTATGGTGCGCTTTATGTCTAAGCTGTTGATAGCATTTAATTCTTCTTGTGTGAACGCATCTGATAATTCATTATGTGGCTTTTCTGGGATCTTTGCCTCAAAAGAGTAGGAAATGTCTTCATTTGTGTTGACCTCCAGAACTTGATCACAAGCATTTCTCTCAAGGTATGTGAAATAGACAAAAGCGTCATCATCCCTATGCATTTTACAAAAAACGCAAGAACATTCGGGATACCTCCAACCAATTGCTGTTCCCTTTTGCAGAGTTTCTGATCTATCGCAAATTTCCTCGTCAAATGGAGTTTGGTTATTGGCAATGAATTGTTGTTGCTGCTTAGCTATTCTCTTCATCACTTTATCTCGTTTTGCTCGAGCCAATTTTTTTTTCTTTTCGAATTCTTCATCAATTCTTTTGGAGCAAACAACAGAATTTGTAAGTATTTCAGGTACAAATGATGGTGTCTGCTCCTTGAGAAAATCTTCAATGTTCACATGAGGGGCGTTTTCGTGTAAAAATGAAAAGATTTCTCTGATCTTTCCATGCTCGTTGGAGAATTCTTCCCTGAGTAAAAACGAATATAGTAATGACCCTATGCTGTTATAATAATAAAGCTCTGTCTCATCAGTGGCATACTCTCTCCAGAATATTTTGCTAAATTCTAGTGTGTTGTTCACCATGCACAGATGAATGAGATGGACTGCCTTGCTCAGCATTACTTCATAATTGAACTTCTTAATGTGATCTAGCGTATTTTTTAAAAAGACTCCAAAAATCTCAGTGTTGGAAATTTGGTATAGATTCACGTAAGGCGTATTTTTCAAAGTATCCGAAAGATATTTCGCGGGAACAAATGTGTCTCCGTAGTTAATCTTTTTCTCTTTAGCCATATGCTTTCTAACCAACTTTTCTGCCTCGTAACGCTTACTAGGTTGAAATCCTATAAAATAAGGATCAACTGTGGAGTAGTACTCTTTTTTGAGTGAATATATCCCACTATCTGTAAGTCCTGCGGGGGGGATATAGTTAGTCAGGGATTCTAGATATAGATCGAAGGCGGGATGCTTAGTCACATGCTCGGGGATGGAATTGACAATGTCGGTGTGAGATGAGTTTTTAAAGCACAGCGCATGGACTATCTCGACTTGCATTGTTTTCTCGAATCCCTCGATAGACGATTTCATGGTCAAGCTTCTCACCTCACTCAGTAACTGAATTAATAAGAGAAGGCATTGATCAACCATAGAAGCTGTTATAATGTCGTCGGGGTAATCGCCCATGGGAATGCCTTCAGACCAGTTTTTTAGGCCCCATCTCGTAAGATATGTAACCATAAAATCAGTTGGGTTACAAAAGCTCATGGAGAACTGTATCATGAAAATGTCACTGAAATATGTAAACTCTCGCATGCTGTATTTTGTGTACATCCTCAGTTGGTGTTGCACAGGTGAACCATTTCTCACCCAAAAACCAACTCCGATTTGTGATATCAACACCAAAGTTGATAATGCGGATTCAGATATCCAATTCAAATGATTTGTGTCGTCAAAAAACTCTCTAAAATCTAAGCATTCCGTAAGTTCCTTGGACAAAGGTTCATAACGGCCACATTGGCTCCATTGAAGGACGAACTTAATAAAGTATGACATCGGATTGAAAAAATTCTGTGTGTCAATCCCTACCTGAAATTTGATAATTTGAGACCTGCTATTACAGACCATTTCATTGACTACCGGTAAGCCAATATCATCTAGAGCAACTGCGTTTCCGGGATAACTAGGATCCAGTTTTGTTGTGCGAAAAGACTTTAGCAATTTAAACTCTTTAAGAAGAGACATGCGCAAAAAGCGGCCCACTACACTCTTCCTAAGTGTTGGGTTCTGCAAAAGACATATGTTGCGAGTGAATCCGTCAATCATCACAAGAATTGAAGAAAAGAAAAAGTAAAAGGATGAAAAATCGAAGTTCTCAAATTCAACGTGCTCGGTAGTTTCACGCTTTAGCGGTAAAATATTATTGAATGCGGAAAAACAGTTGACCATTGTCTGAACTATAGCATCATTTGCAAGAAGCTTTTCGGGTACTGTATTGGTAGACATCACTAAGTAAATGTCTTTGAAGCATATTACTGTTCGCTTATTTTTGATTGTGTCATCTGGAAGTCGAAAATCACGGAATAACGGAACTGGTGGACATTCCATGAGTTCTTCCGGCAAAAAAGACATTAAAGTGAATGCAAATTGAGTCACACGTTCGATAAATCCAGAAGGAATAATCATATTTGCGATCCGCGGATTTTGAAATATGTACTGTGATAGCACACTCATCAGAGAAACTTTGTAGCCAAGTGAATCAGAAGCTACTGTATTGTAAAGTAGCGTCGGATAAATATCAAGATATTGAGCAGCCAAACAGTTCCGTGAATCGTCTCCAATGGTGAATATACAACAAAGCGCCTTGAGAAGGCGAAATTTGGACAATTTGGGCAAAAGTGAAGTACCTTCTGTTAGAAGATACTGGAATCTAGAACCATGAAAAGGGCTGAATCTCGCAACAGGACTTTCAACGTTTGTGTCTTCTATTCTTCTGTCGTATGCATGCATTATATGGGTGATTCTAGGGTCGTGGCATTGATCACCCTGATGAGGAAAATTCCACGATTTACACCACGGGAAAGTATCTCTTTGTTCATAGGGTACGACAAATCCCCCAAGCAGACTGATTTTAAGAATAAATGGGTTCAATGTGCCTGGTGTGTACTTTGTGGAGAGTAGTCTTGAATTCCACTGGTCGCACATTGAAACTCGGAGAGATAGTTTAATAGTCATGGATGGATTATGCGAGCAGATTTTGTACAGCCAGAGTACAAGATCATCTATAAGATATTCTTTGAATATATCACTAGTCTTTTTCAAATGCAGTGGTATGTTTTCAGTCTTGAAGGTTTCTTGAATGACCTTCAATTTATCAACATCATATGATTCAACCAAATTGACAAAGGAATAGCCCTTCTGCAACCTTGATACCATCATGACACCATACTCAGTTGGCTTATTCAATATTGTGCTGATCTTTTTAGCCAAATCTTTTATGTGAAGTCCGCAGTCGCTTTCATACAGCTGAAGTGCACACTCAGGTGTCGCAGCTTCAAGAATCCCTTTTGAATTAGCCATCAGAGTTCTAGAAGGTTCATCGTAAAGCTCCTTCAAATAAATTACCGCATCTATCAGATAATCTAGAAGCTGTGAGAAGGTCGATAACAGCGGCCTATTATCATCGTACGAAAGTTTAATAGGCTGATTGTTGGACTCATTCTTGCATTTATATGCACTTCTAGAATCGTTGAATCCACTAGGATCTCCACAATGACATACTCGACCTTCAGGCCGCGTCACAACCCGAGACGTATATCTGTGGTTTACATGCTTAGTTTTATCAAAGCACTCCTCACATACCTCGTACAATGGATTTTTTGTACAATCAAAACAGTAGTAGACTGTTTCAGTAGGGTGACATTGTTTGTTGCAGGCGGAACCTCGATGTTCATTTCCCTTTGTATCTTCAAAGAACGCGTCTCTCCAGTCATCAGGAAGCCGTACACTTTCGTATACCCCATTTCTCCAGTTATCTGTCTCGAAAATTAGAATTTCCTCCTTCCAGTTGATATTCTGGTGGTCTATTGTTATGCATTTTGAGAGTGTTTTCCAAAGAAAATAACATAAGGTGTCGTTATATTTGAAACTAGCCAGTTTCGGAAGAGATACCAGGAAGTCCCGTAAATTACCGATCTCCGGATTCATACGGCCTAAAAAAGTGTGGGCTTTCACGTCAGTCGAAGACACAAAATGTAACAGATTGATAGGTCTCGACCTCTTTTGAAGTTGCCAGTGTATCTATCAAACTAGTTCGCCACCGAAGGAATCATGTAGCCCCAGGTTAAAATGGTCTTCGATGCTACATCACACTCAACGGAAATAGCACATTCTAAGCCTTAATGCTAGTGTGAATTAAACCATGATAAGGAAAACAGCACCGCCTATACGATAGTCGGTAATGAGGGTAATGAGGGGGCTTGACCACTATGTGTAACAGGTAATATTTTCAAAACTTTCAAGAGTTTGGTTGATGTTTTGGAATGCATAGCTATCGCGTTATGCGAAGTGCTTGAATGGCTTATTTAAGTATGAATCGCCTCCACCACAGGCTCTACATCAGACGGAGAGTCAGATACCAGAAAATTTCGTATTTCTATCCGCACATAGCCCTTATCCTCCGATAGGATACTCCATTATTCGTGGCTATAAAGGAACAAATAGTTCGATGCCAATACCCTTGAGACTTAAGGTATGATGATTCTCTCCATGCCAAATTCTAATTCGTACAAGTAAAATTATTACTATAATCAAAACTGATTGTGCTGGATTTACTGAACTTCCTAAGTAAATACGGCTGATGCAAATGATTTTTTACTCGGACATTCCTTATTAACAATTTTCTTGTTGGGCTATGGACATTGCTCATCCAACGTTCTGTAAATACACATAATCATTCCAAGAAAGTCATATATAATACGTTTAAATTTGAATAAGTAGCGCTGAGGCCGTTTTACGTCCCACCAAGAGCTATGACAGTCAGTAACGCACGCTATGTCTTGGTCTTCGCGCTATCTTCTTTCAAACTTAATAAGCATTATTTCACATGATTATACACTTATCCATATCTCTTCAATACCAGAATGGTCGTTGCAACCAAATAATACGATAGTATTCACCGTATCCACTGCGTATCTCCTTGGCAGTCCGTCCATTACGAACGTCGTTAACGACGATTCTTTGAAGTGGTATACCAGATACGATACCTTCCGGTGGCGAAAATTTTAAGGAGTAACGGTACTAATATCAAGACTTTTGGACAACTTGCGAAGTTTAGATAGCGTGCGAACTTAATGGCCAATTAAAATGATAAAAGAAACTAATGTCGATGTACAAATGCATCTGAGACAAATCCTTCAGTCGATTCACGACAACCCGCATTTTGTAGCTACAAGAGGCCCCAAGGAGAGGGCTGAGATGGATAAAATGTTGCGCGCTTTTATTTTTCGATACCTCTATTACTTGATATCCAAAAATGGTGAACATTTACCACTGTTGTTCAATGCTACTTCACGAGAAAAGTTCCCAAACTCTTTGGAGGATGCGATCAATGTCGAAAGTGCAGCAATGTCCAAAAATGATCCCTTCTATGTGATTGATGATTCGGTGGCTCATATGAGCTACAAGCACACGGGCCGGAACTGTGGCAGGAAATTTCAAATAGGAGAGCCCATTTACCGTTGTAAGGAGTGTAGTTATGATGATACGTGTGTTTTATGCATTCACTGTTTTAACCCTAATGATCACGTCGATCATCATGTATATACTAGCATCTGCACTCCTGTTAATAATGGTATTTGTGATTGTGGTGATAAGGAAGCTTGGCATGTCCCACTCCACTGTAAAGCAGAAGATGAAGAGAACGACTTCGATTCCGATGATGTTTTTCAAACGGAAGAAATGATCAATTTATTCGAAGTAATTCTTACTGAGCTATTTGATCACTTTATTGACGTTTTCAATCAAAACATTGAGCCTTTGCCTACGATTCAAAAGGATGTGACCATGAAGCTTCGTGAAATGGTTCAACAGGGAAAGCTCTACGAAAGAGCAATGTTGCTTAAAGATTTGGCTTACGCAAATCCATATATTGAGAAACAGCGCGAGAAGCTACGCACTTCATCTCCTTCATTTGACGAAAGCTCTATGATGGATCACGCAGATTATACTGTGTTGATCTACAACGATGAGTATCATAACTACACCCAGGCAACAGCTGCTCTCAGACAGGGAATACCTGATAATAAACACACTGACTTACTTACCGCAAGGATAGATGGCGAAGGACGTGCAATGCTAAAGTGTTCTCATGATTTATCTGCGGTGGTTGGTGGCTTCTTTGCTGTACAAACAAATGGCCTTAGCGCGACATTAACGACATGGTCCGAGTATATTCACCAGGAGACATGTAAATATATCATAGCATGGATAAACCATTGTCTGACTATACCACAGGCCACTTTTCAAAAGACTTTCAGGGACGCGATGGGCAAAGTTTTATGCTCAACGTCAGAACGGGCAGGCGAAATGGTTGATATGAGTATTACTGTAGACAAATACTTCGGTAATAGGTTCGGAGAGGATTATCCATACAAGTATGCTGATCTGTCGGTCCTCGACAGGCATAACACAATTCCATTAAGTCATCATAAAGTCCTACCAGAAAGTGAGACCAATTACATTTCTCCAACTTTAAATGGCGTTCAACAACCTAAGGACAAACACTATCTGAACTCCAGACTCCAGAAAATTTTGTTTTTCGATAACAGATACTGGAAACGGTTAAGGAAGGACGTTCAGGATATGATTATTCCCACTTTAGCGTCAAGTCTTGAGTTCAAGCCTCTCTTCTGCTTTCATTTGGTGGAAATTTTCAATCACATGACAAGGTCGGTAGCATTTATGGATAGAGAACCACAACTGACTGCCTTGAGAGAAAGCGTGGTACAATTATTCACTTGTCCTACAAATGCTGCAACCATATTCGAAAATGGGAGCTTTACGGACATAATGTGGTCAGTGATTGATATATTTACTGAATTTTGCAAAGTTGAAGGGGGGCTTCTGATATGGCAACGTGTGCAGAAGAGTAATCCTACCAAGAGCTATAGCATATCCTTTAAACAAGGCCTCTATGCTGTGGAGACAATTTTGAGTAAAATCGGAAACCCTAATTTCATACTGAAGCCCACAGACTTTATTTCAATTGTGACGTTATGCAAACTCTTCAACGGAGCTTGGAAGATCAAAAGAAAGGAAGGGGAGCACGTCTTAAGAGAAGATCAACATTTCATTCCGCATTTGGAATACACAACCTCGATTTATAGCATTGTCCAAACTATCGATAAAGTTTTGGAGAATTCACGTGATTCGGTTGACGAGGGAATGCTCCTGAATGCTATCAGACTGCTAAATACATTCTTGGGTACAAGAACTCTTCCTTATAAAATTGTTTTTGGCTCACACGAAGTCGTTAAGTTCAAAGTAAGCAAGCAGCGTGTGGCATTTATGAATCCCGTTCACACCCTTTTGTCCTTTTTGATTGAAAAAGTACCGCTAAGGAAGGCATTTGAAGCGATTTCTGCGTGCAACGACTTCCTGACCATATCTGATTTCCCATTAAGATCGGTTGTTTTATGCTCTCAGATTGACGTTGGGTTTTGGGTTAGAAATGGTATGTCTGTGTTGCACCAGTCATCCTATTATAAGAAGAATCCTGAAATGGCGTGTTATATTCGGGATATTCATTTGAATCAAATAGCCTTTTTGAGGGAGAAGAACGATCTCATTAGGTTAACTTACAACATGCTGGATAGATGGGAATTGTTGGAATGGTTTGGAGGTGAAGAAGACTTTTTGCATACCGTTTATGAGGATAAGATTGTTCATATTTTGCAGCAGTTCATTGCATTCGTTTACCAGTTACTTTCAGAGCGACAATCATTCAAGAAGTTTAAGTCTGCGGAGGACAAAGAGTATCATCAAATTAAAAATGCAATAATATATGGCCTTTACACGGAGCCTCTTTCTTATTCGAGCTTGTTGAAGGCTGTGCCGGATTACCTGACAGAAATTACTACTCAATTTGATAGAGCATTGGAGGAGGTTTCTATATATGTGGAACCACGAGGTTTGGAGGATAACGGTGTTTTCAGGCTTAAACAGGATTATTATAAAAAGATAGACCCCCTTCAACTTTTAAACATGGAGAACGATTTTGAGCATAGTGCTTCAATTATTAAGTATCACCTCGCAGAAGGAGGAAAAAACGCTGCAAAAGTAGTTTTACAGCCTCAATTGATATCTCCCAACGTGATGGATGAGGACTCGAAGTGTCTGGGCAGCTTTACGAGAACAAGTTTATTTTCAAAGTTTATTTATAAGGCACTTCAGACAAGTATTGATCTCGATGAGGGAACATACATATATGCACTATTGCATTTGATTCATGGCATTTTGAGGGATGAAGAGCTCGTAAACGGTCACGAATCTATCCCTGATTGCTACATTTCTAAACCTATTTGCAATTTGTTATTAACAATCGTTGAGTCCAAATCTGGGGTATTCTCTGAAAATGTTATTGCTAAAGCAGACTATTTATTGGAAAATATGATTTGGAAGAAGCCGGCCGCGGTTTTGGAATCATTGGTGGCATGTTTTGGTCAAAATCATGTAGATGCTTACAAGGCAAGAAAGCTTAATCAAGGTGTGAATTTTGAAGAAAGCGAGAAAGAGAAGAAGAAGCGGTTAGCGAAAGCCCGTCAAGAAAGAATTTTAGCCAAATTTAGTAGGCAGCAAAATAAGTTCATGAAGGAGAACGAATCCCAATTTGCGAATGACGGAAATGATGTCGAAATGACAGATCAGCACGGTGTGGATACTCTCGAAGAGTTCACATGTGCCCTATGCCAAGACTCTACCTCGGTTGACTCATTTGTCATTCCTGTTTACCATGAAAACTCCCCCATTTTTAGAAATGGGGATATTCATAACGTTCAAGAATTCGCGAAGCCTTGGCATGGGTTTTATAATGAGTACGATCATCCAACAATTCATGATGACGAAACTCTAGAGAATTATAGAGAAGATGGCGCTCGCGGGTCTAAGAAAGTATTTGTTTCCTGCAATCATTACATTCACTATAAATGTTTTAAGCGTTATGCGCAGAAAAAAAGATTTTCAACTAATTCCTTCATCTGTCCTTTATGTCAAACCTTTTCGAACTGCGTACTTCCAGTTTGTCGCAATACTACCGCGGATGACATTATGAATCTGAGTGGCTTGATAAGAAACACCAATTCAGAAGACAACATTGCAAAAATACTGAAGACTGATACTACCGAGGATTTTAATAACGTCTTCAATATGTTCCTTGAGATAAACAATAAGAACATGAACTACGATAGAAATTGCAGTGCCTCACCAGATTTTCAGCGCTCTGATGTTTCGTTTATTTTGGCAGTCCACTGGGCGAATACAATATCGATGGTAGAGGTATCTACGAGAATTAGTGATCATCCACACGATGATCTTCTAAAAGGAAATGAGCAAAAATTCAGAACATTGAAGAATGTTCTGGCTTCTATTGCATGGCTTTATAAAGTTATTGGCAAACCAAGCCCAGATCACATACCTTATATCAATAAGAATGGAGTTGTTTGGAATCAGAATCAATTGTTTCAATATATTGTGCGGACCTCTCTATTTACTTCTTCTTCGATTGCGGATGTTATTACTAATGCTCTCTCTGTGTTTTCCAAGCAGCTGGTAGTTGACTTCACCAAAGGTATGCTTCCTACTGCTATCGAAAAAATGCATCGTACAGCAAGTGATGAAGGTGTTCTCTTTGAAGTGAATGAAAGTATGTGGATGTCCTTACGTAAGGTTTGCGACATCGGTATAAGCGACGCTGATATGAGTAAGAAGTTATATGATCTCGCATTTACTTGTTTGCTCAAAAATATTTTACCGACGCTGAGAAGATGCTTGATTTTCGTTAAAGTCATGAGCAATTTAGTTTTCGGTGATGAAAAGAGGGTTGAGATTGATGAAATAGGTCTGGAATCCGACCTTGGCAGTTCAAAAGATTTGCCGCAATATGTTGATCAGATAATTAAACTAATCACTACTTCAACTTCGCTACAAGATATTTTATTGCAATGCGTTGCAACCTCTAATGCTCTCAATGACCCATATTTGAGTGGCATCCCCTACGAGTTTACAGGTGTCGTTAAATTAGTTGATCTTGCCAAATACCTCAATACTTATGTTACTAATTCGAAGGAGGTTAAACTGCGGGATGAGCACCCACTTCACATGAAAAACGTTGACAACAGGCTTGATTTCAAAATATGTCTTGCCTGTGGGGTCAAAGTTCACCTCAGATCTGACCATACTGAGCTTGTCAAACATTTGATGAAGCATTGCTTCAAGCCATTTGGCTTGTTTTTGATCCCCAACGTAAGTGAGGTGTGCATGGTATTAACAAACCCACGCTCGTCTATTTCAATTTCTGCACCATACTTGAATTCTCACGGAGAGTCTGGACGTAACGCAATTCAACGTGGAGACTTAACTGTGTTAAACTTAAAGCGATACGAGCACTTGAACAGGGTCTGGATTAATAATGAAATTCCAGGGTATATCAGTAGAATCATGGGTGACGAGTTTAGGGTTTCGATCATATCCAATGGAATGGTCTTCAATTTCAACCGAAATGTCCTTAGAAGACCACGTCCGACTAATAATGATGGCGAGGATGATGAAAGCAGTAGCAGCGAAGGCGAGGACGATGACATGGATGGAACGGAAGAAATGCGCTGGGAATTTAGGCCGGAGGATATACTTGAAGATGATACCGTATTTAGACTTGGTGGGGCAGCACCGGTTCAAGGCGGTGATATTAGAGACTTCTTCCAGTTCATCACCAATTTAAGAAATGAAGCTGATCTTCCTGACACTACAATGGAAGCGGCAGGCGAGAATATATTTGTGCCGCAATTTCAGATTCCCAGATTTAGAGGCACAAATCCGCCAACAGACGATGAGGAAACTGAAAATAATGACGACGATTTAAACGAAAGTGATGCTTAGAAGGTGTATCGGATAGGTTAACACACTGTAATTTTAATAGAGTTTTAAATATGTGGCATTTTATACGATCCAATCAGAACGTTGGAAATGTTGGACAAATTTTATGGACATTCAGTTTTTCGCTTTGGTAACATTTGAATTTACTTGATAATCTTGTGAAGCTACAAGGGCAACAGATTTACCAAACAAAAGACAAATCTTCATATTATGGTATGTATCTTTTGATAACAACAATATGGAATGCAAATGAAAACCGCTGGAGTTACAAATCTGCTTGAAAATGATTAATTATGTGTGATGTTAATATATCGGGGGCAAGGAATGATCCTTTCGAATAAAGAATTAATGCTTCCCTTTTTGCTCTCATCTGGCCTTTACGTGGTTATACAGAAAATTTCGTTTCGACGTTTTGTACATGCTGTATGAGATAGCATGAATTCTATTGAAGATGGACGTCTTACTTAGTCGGGCCGATAAATCCATTGGTTAGAGTGTGCACTCAGCGTCTTCGTCGTCGCGTATAGACGTGTTGCTCTGTGAAGCGCCTCATATGCAAATATGGATGTTCTTGGGATATTTCAACTAAGAAGTCAATGCGGATTGTTTGAATGTGAATTGCAGCTTTACTTGACTTTCATTCCTGAAAATAACCGGATTTTTTTACTAACTCGTCATAGGCTTTTTCAACCATTTACAACGTATTCTTCAAGAGAAACTCTATTTTTGTGGGCACGGTCTTCGCTTCTGCGTTCGTTTTCCAGGCTGCTTTCGACTCTGGTGTCACACGTTGGTATGAAGCTCACAACAAAGGCAAGTTATGGAAAGACGTCAAATTAAAGCTCGGTGAAGCTGGTGAAGATGACGACGAAGATGACGAGTAATCGAAACGTAACGCTTGAAAATAAAGAGAAAACATCATCTATTTTACTGAACCATTATATTTATTGCTTCTTCAGTACTTCAACTGTTGTTAGCTGGTAAAACATGTTCCTTTTTAATTTCTGCCCCATGGGTTAAGAGAGGGGAACCATAACGACATTTACATTATAACATTTTATATTCACGGAATTATAGCATATGTATTTCGAGAGACTTTGTTTAGATATGCAATGGAGTCATTAGAAGCAGTGGTAAAGGTTTACTACTGAAAAGCAGACTTCGTCAGATTAACCTGTTATTATTTGCCTGTTGTTTAGGATCAAACTGGACAGTTTCATTCGAAGCTTCAGATGAGACAAGCACCTTCAGATAAAGAACCTAAAACAAAAATGAGTCTCTGCTCAAATAAATTCACTTATATTTCACCTGAGGTAGAAGCCTGCTGGATTCTTGCAACATAAGCTTTGGAAATAACATTCCAGCTCCTCATGTACTTCGCCAAGCATTGATCAACACAACCTTCCTGTGCATTAGCGTATGGACTAGTTAAGCACTTCTCAAAGCAATTTTCAGTGATTTTATTAACCAATTCAGTAACGTTAGCAACGGCTAGCTCTTGAGCTATTTGAACTTTCAATTGTTCTTTTACCTTGGAAGCAGCGGGGTTAGAAGTAGTACCCTGTTGTTGAGAAGGCGCAGCGCCACCAAATATAGATGACAGGGCCATTTGTGATACCGAATGGTTTACGAAGGAATCTTTCAACTGATGGAATCATTCAAAATTTAATGAAAATTTTGCCATATATGTGCTCATAATGATCGACATAGGCGGTTATGGCGATAGAATCTACAACGAGAAGCGCAAGTGGTTTAGTGGTAAAATCCATCGTTGCCATCGATGGGCCCCCGGTTCGATTCCGGGCTTGCGCAATCTTTTTTATATTCACAATTTGAATAGAAGCTTTAGGCAGTTTTCAACGTACTTTACTGATCGAAACTACCTTGTTATTGGCCGACTCTAATTCTGTCACTTGATGTTTTGAAGCTTCTGCTTGTTGTTATGCCTATTGACGACTGTGATATTTTCGTTTTGAATATCATCTCAAGTTCAAGCTTTTGTTCGTCTAAAAAACCAATAGGCAAAATGATTCATGCTGTCCTAATATGTGAGTAATCACCTGATTACATTCTCTATCTATTCGTTACTAACTTGCAGTCTTAGTCAATAAGAAAGCTCAGCCTAGATTAGTGAAGTTCTACACCCCAGTAGATGTTCCAAAGCAAAAGCTATTGGTCGAGCAAGTCTACGATCTAATTTCTGAGAGGAATAGTAACTTTCAAAGCTCTTTCCTCGTGTCTCCACCTTCACTTTTGATCTCAGATGAAAACGGCTTGCAGGATGATGAAGGCATACAAATCATATACAAGAACTATGCAACGCTTTACTTCACATTCATTGTAGACGATCAGGAATCGGAATTAGCCATATTAGATCTTATTCAAACTTTTGTGGAAGCATTAGATCGATGTTTCGCGGAAGTTAATGAACTTGATTTGATTTTTAATTGGCAAACCTTAGAAAGTGTACTTGAAGAAATTGTACAAGGAGGGATGGTCATAGAAACGAGCGTTCAAAGAATAGTAAAGGCAGTTGATGAATTAAACAGAAACGGTGACAGTGACGGTAAAGCTGCGAGATTTAGCGGAGCAGGCTTTGGGAGCGCAATTCAAGCCTTCGCTCAGGGAGGATTCAGTAGTTGGGCATCCGGCCAGTGAAATCCAGAATCCGGCATAGAGTCTAAATGAATATCACATAAATAAATACTTGTTATATACAGTGCTGGAGAGTACCACTTTCTGCGATCTCACCAGAATTTCCACCACTTACGATTCTCCATGACCTCCTTTGTCTTTGATGCACTATTTTCTCGAATTTGCTGTAGTTCTTCTCTAATTCTTTGCAGCTCTTCTTTTTGGATCTGATCGGCTTTAACTCTTTGAAACTGCTCCTTTGAAGTTTCTGCTCCACTTCTGTCCCATGGTGATTGGATTGATCCAGTTTTCCAAATAGGATCGTCACTTTTGGCAGTTTGCTGGACAATCTTCATCAACTCCTGTTGCTCGGCTTGCCGTAATTTACGTTCTCTTTCATATTGCAACCTCAGTTCTGGTGACAAGGATTTAATCAGTTCCTCATCGGTTGGTGTAGTGTATTTAAATAATAAAACACCCGTTCCGATAACAGCTCCACCCATAACATAAACCTTCAGCCACCGATACCATAGAGGTTTATCCATTGCGTTGGTCCTGAATAACTCTACACAACAAGTGCCTTAAGTTATCTTATAAGAAGCGTTCAATTGATACTCCATACAAAAGCTTCAAGGCGGACTAATTAGCAAACTAAAGAAAGGTAGGGTAACCTTCGTTAAATTCTAATGACATCCGATATACCGAAGTACAACTCAAATTGTATCATCGTTATTGTATTGATGTTTATAATTAAATATTCACTTTTTAAATAGTCTAGCATTTACCCCCATACTGCTTGTTCTATAATGGCCAAGCAAAAGCTAGTGTACATCATTTCATTAGGAAATCATCGCAGATGACTAAAAAATCAACCAATGAGCTCACCGTATAAGTATGGTGCGAATACCCTTGCGGCAGTGAACAAAATGGAGATACCTTCGATCAAAGCAACTGGGAAACCTAGAGCACCTCTTTCTTCGAAGTTGATATAAACGGCATACAATGCAACGGCAAAGAAAACCTTGGTCAACAAAAATGGTCTTGGTAGGACACCAGACAAGAATGCAACGGGGAGCTTAACGCAGTCGCCCCCTCTTTGGAAGTACTTGAAGCAACCTTTTTGCAAGATCTTAAGATCTTTGCTGTCTGCCGCAAATAAAGAGTACAACGCGATCGACAAGACGTTGATGACAGAATCGTAGTTCTTTCTTTCGTAGTGATAGTCTAGCAACTCGTCCAAAACAGTTTCACGGTCACTGAAGTCTAGGTCACCAATTTTCTTCATTAGCAGAACGACATCGTTTAGGCCAACGGTCATACCACCACCGGTCAAAGGATGTCTCATGTTTAGAGCGTCACCGATAACACACATACCCATAACATCGTTTTGTCTACCGGACAAAAAGGAGTTTGGCATGGATCTGAATTTGCCTTGGTTTAGCGCTTCGTCAAACGAAGGACGTAGAGACTTGGGGATGATTGGTTGAACTTCGCTCTTCATCCACTCCTTAATGTCCGATGGGAGCTTTGGAGAGTTGTAAGCACACAAAATTCTTGTCTCTTTAGGAGAAATTTGGTACACCAAAACAGGCATATGGTTGCTGCCCAAAATGACATGGCCGTGGTGTGGGGTTGGCATCTTAGCGTCGAAAAGACTCATACCGACGAAAGAAGATCCAACCTTTGGAACGTGCTCTGGAGATAGCTCTTTTCTGAAACGAGAGAAAATACCATCACAAACGAAAGTTATGTGTGCGTGGAAATCTTCCTTACCACGGCCATCGATGTCTACCTTGGCACCGATAACTTCATTCTCCTTGTTCTTCAAGATTTCAACCACGTTACCTTGGAGACGAGTGATATTTGGCTCCTGGGCAACAATGTCTCTCAAATTTTGTAGGAATCTGCCGTGAACAAAACCGACACCTCTCTCTCTTTCGTCGTCCTCAAAGTCCTTCACATGCACAGTGGTATCCTCAGTGACCTTATCGTTACCATCACGCACCAATCCCGAAAGCTTTTCGACAGGGGCAATGTCACCCTTGTGAGGGTAAGGAATTGAGACCTTTTCGCCGTTGTAGAACACAGTGTAACCGGTGACAGGGATAGCTTCAATGTCGTTGATGGATTGAACCATACCCAAGCTTCTTAAAGCCCTGACACCACCTGGTTGCATCAATTCACCCACAATTCTGTCTGGCATCGTCCATTCCCTTTCAATGATCAAAACCTTCTTACCCTTTCTGGCCAAACCAGTGGCAACACATGGACCGATAACACCGCAGCCCACAACGATCGCATCGTAGGTGATGGATGCGTCAGCATTAGTCAATTCCTCGGGAGCTTGAGTAGAAGACATCACTGCAGTCTATTGCGCTTTTCCGTTGATGAATAACGGCTTATACAAACAAATTCAACACAAATACGAATAAGAAACGGATAGCCACTGCTGTTCGTTCCTTTTATATGGACAAAATTTGTTTCTTAGTGCCCCCGTATAGAGTTTAGAAGCGATACAATAACTTGTCCAATTGAGAAAGCCTCCCAATGTGGTGCGATTTTGGCGAAAATTTTAAACGATTACCGAAGAGCCTATTTTAATTTTATACGAGGGCCTCATCGGCGTCGTAACAATGAAAACTCCATCTAAACGATAAAGTTTCGTATCCAAACGATTAAACGTGCAGCAATGCGAGGTGGAGCAGCACTCTATTATTGATCGTATATAGATTGTATAATGTTCACATCTGGAGAACGGTCGTCTTGAAGATCTCGCACAACTCTTCCCAGTCGTTTCTCGTGGGCAAGGTGCCCTTCGACACACTTGCGCCTACATTCATTCCTGCCACGTCCGTAGAGCAGACGTTGAGATTGAATGCAAATGTATAACTACCTACAGTCTGTGTAAATAGTAGATTCTTCAAGTGAAAAGCATCCTGGGGTTCTCCGTTCACCGAAAAAAATCCTACGTTGCTTAGCACAGTGCCCTGGCGGTGACGTCCCAAAAGATTTTGAAGGACAGTGGCGTCCAGATTCTTTTCTTTCCAAGCAGGATCCAACATGATCATTCCGATTAGATACAAGTAGCTGTTCGAGGCTTTGCTGTCGCGGAATACATCGTTGTAATAAGAAACCAGTTTCCAAAACTTCTTGGAATTATTTCCCACATTTAGAGAGGAGATGAGATAATTGTAACGCGTCCCTCCTACGTTACAGCCGTATCTGTAGTCAGCGCGGGTCTGTTCGCCGTCTGAGAGCATTTGCGGGGTGTACATCGGGATCATCATGTCCACGAACCATTCCTTGAAAGACTTCGTGAAAACTTTGCCCGACTTGTATAAGGACACCAGCCAGCAAGCCTGCAAAAATGGAGTCATCGTGCAAGAAGGGCCCGCGCGATCCTTTATCTTTTTTTTGATGCTATCAACTTCTTCTGGCGTAAAATTTATAAAGCAAGTGTGATATTCGTTCGTATTGTTCTCTGCATCAGTGTAGCGCGTTATCGTCGGTGCCGGTGAGAGGTATCCCAACTTTTCTCGAACAAGTTGTGTTGAAAAGACATTTGCAATTTGCTTCAAGTTAGGCTTGTAATCAAGTACTTCATCGATAGGTACCGGGATTTCTTTCACAAATTTATAGTCACTTTTGTAATCGAATATTCTGTCTGTATCTTGTAAGTCAGATGGCAAAGAGTTCAAACTATCCTTAAGATCAATGAAAAAGTGAGCGCCAGAGGAGCCATCTTTTAAAATGTGGTTTGAAAGAAACACAAACTTATTCCATTCACCTGGGATTTCTCCGGGAAGTGCAAGGAGCCTCCAGTTCAGTTTGTTTGGATCTGTGTGTGAGATCCGAATCGGCGCGAGAATCTCAAATATCTTGCTTGTAAAGTTGTGGCCATTAGCTTCATATTCCTCCATAACCTTATGCATGACTTCTGCATACTCTGTTTGGTTGTTGATCAAGACATCCGAGATCCGCACCTTGTTCGCTAACGCGATGTAATCGCGATCTTGTCCTGGCGTTGACAGATATTCTTCGCTTCTGTAGTAAAGCTCGAGGTCAGGCCGCTCCTGTGGCTTGACTTGGCATAGCAGCACAGGCTGTTGTAAACACATAGATCTGAGGGCTTGTGTCAATTGACGCAAGGAGCATGGCTCTCCGAATTCTCCGTAGTACGCGAAAACTCTATACAAATCCTGACGCTGAGCGAGTACAAAATAATTTTCCACATGGCCGAGACGTCTTGCGTGTCCTCGCTCTATTAGAGTTTGCAAGGACTCGTACATTTTACCTCCGTACGCTGTTTTGATTCTTTGAAATTTGCTTGGATGTGAAAGTTTGCCTGCGCACCACTAGATTCCTTTTAGATCAATTTTTTTTTCTGGTTTTATAACTCCAGGGGTAATTTGATGAACTTGTTTATATCGGACTAGGTAATAATACAATCCCCGAGACTTCTCTACAATATCATCGTGTTTTGATGCTCGCCAAAAACGTATCAGATCTGATCAGAAACTTTAAACTCACGGAAAAAAGTAAAAATCAGGCGCACACCTAAGCACGGCATTAATATGGCGTTACGAATTCTCTATAAATTCCTTTACGCAAATGTCGATGACAATAAAAGTAAAAGATCATTGTAACAGCCATTCTCATAGCAGAGTTATGAGAAGCTAGTCTCTTGGTACACGTAGCTAACTACTTCTCTATGGAATAAGACGGATCGGATGCCCAGATCTCAAATACATATTTCTGTAAGCACTCGATGCAATTAAGCAATTGGTGCGAAGATACCGCAAAAAATGGTGCCAGTTTTTGAATCAAATTCCCTTCCAATTTGGCTGCAATTTCGGTGCTCCGCAGGCGCGGCTTTAATGTGGTATCCGATAATGCGTCCGCGATGCTTAGGTATTTCTCCTGTGTATCCTCGATGAAAGTTAAGCTTCTACTTTCAGACTCATGAGGAAGCTCATTAGACAGAGGAAACATTGCATATAGCTTTTTCCTGCCAATTCTTTGGTCTATAGTGAGGCTGTCGAGCTCGCCAACCGTGCTGTGCGGAAGAAACTTGGTCTCCAGCCAATCTAAGTAGTGATCCGTCTTGGCTTTTGTCCATGCATGCGTACTACCCTCTTCAGCTGGAAATGATAGGGCTGTTATTGCTTGATCTCTGGAGATGGGATCCGAGCCTGTCTGATCCAGATCCAACCACACATCTATATATCGAGCTATGAATTCATCTCCGTCCAGCAGTTTCCACTTGATGGCCAAAATGAAGTACGCCACAGTTCTTAACTCCGCATACAGATGCAACTTAGTAAAATGAGTCTTGTCGTGTTCTATCAACGTGAATTTGCCCATGTCAGTGCCATCAATCAACTTGATCAGCTCTTTTGTATAAAAATATGCGTGAGGAGGAAGCCTCGTGAGAAGTACCAGCTTGAGTATGAGTGCTTCAAACGGTAGAGAATTGCCGAAGTCTTGAGAAAATCGTAGCTCAAAACACGTCTGTGCAATTTTGTGAAGTAGTTGACCGTTGTTAGGTGGTCTGCCGCCCTCCAGAACCTGTAAATAGTAATTGGGAAGCTGTTTTCTCCAATGCGCAGGTAAATGTAAGTTGGCCTTGAAGTATAGGATCTTCATGGAGCATATCCATCGAATAAAATCACATGTGAAAACTGGCAATTTCAGATGCAGCGCAGCCAGATAGAGAAGCGAGATTGATGAAAGTAACGAAAGTCCAAACTTCTTGCGCTTTGCATTTCCCTGTGTCTGAGAATCGCATTCATCATTTTTCCGATCTTCAAGAACCTTCAGAAATCTTATCCATAACCTTTTCAAAAGGTCTTGATATACAGACGGGAATTTCATCTCTTCAATCAGCCACCTGCACTGCTTTTTGAGTATGAACTGAAAGCATTTGAGGAATAGCTCGTCAGCTTCCTGGCCATACAATTTTTGGTGTTCATTTTCTTTTTGACTAAATTGGGACTGACTATTCAACGTTGCCCGAAAATTACCCGTTGCATTAGTGGTAAGATTAAGCCTTCTTGTAACCACTCCCATACTATTGATGTCATCCTCGTCATCATTGAATTCCACATCTCCCTCCATCACATGCCCATATTGACAGGTTCTTCTCCCATCAATTATACGCCATAGTCTTGATCTACAGTTATCCGTACCACAAACAGGACCTCTAAAGTATGTGGACATGTGTGCACGATCTTGGTCTGATCGTTGCCCGTTACGTATTACTGATCGTACCGGTACTATGTTAGCTCATCGCATTTTTTCGTATCAAGTTTTCTTTATCATTTTATACACACGAAACCGAGATGGTGATTTTTGATGTACATAGCCCTGTGTCGCAATTCATCGTAGCACACTAATAAGGAGGATGCCAAAACAATTGGCAACCATAGCTAGCATACGCAATTCATATAACTAAACGCTATGTAGGCAATTCTAACGGTCGTGAGATCTGTGATGTCGGTTATGGTGCTGGTTGTTGCTGTTATTATGGTGGTAATTCTGTCTGTAGTTTCCTCCACCCATCATGGGTTGAAATGACATAGCGCCCGGATACCCAAATGGGGTCATTGGTACGCCATTCGCTCCGCCATTCATGAATGCGGCCATCGCATGAGGGGAAGCTGGGTTTGGAGAGGGACTTCCTCCAGCACTACCCATCTCTTCACTGCCAACAGGCATCATTTGCATAGCAGGCGGATAAAATCCGGGAGGTTGAAAAGGCATATACATTCCACCGCTCGAAGGTGGGCCGGCAAGGAAAGGAGTTGGGGAGCCACTCGGTCCCATTGGCATGCCCATCATCATACCAGGCATTCCAACCATATGTGTATTTCCCGCATTCGCCATTGCATTGAAATTCCGTTGTTGGATTTTCATTTGAGATCTTTGAATAGCGGTTCTCTTATCAGGAAAGAACGACTTATATGATTGCTCAATGGTACTCGTCCATGTAGGAGCAGTGAAGTAAGGTTTTCCAACAAAAAAGGGTTCCATAGTCTTTGCCTCGGTCTTCTTGGCTTTTTGCTCCTTATCATGTGCCTCCTTGGACTTCAAAAATACGTTAAAATTTCTAGTTAAATCCTTTTTGACACCGTCAAATGGAGGTGCTTTAGCTCCAAAAAATGATCCTGAGCTGACGTTACGTCTTCTTGAGATGTCAGCGTATCTGTTTGAAGATGGTGAAGGTGCAGGAGTCTGGCCTTGAGAATTCATTCTGCTTGAATTTCTTCTCAATTCTGCTTTAGCAACATTTGGTGTTGGTGGTTTGGAGTTCCTTGTGTTTTTGCTAGACGATGTAGACGTGGAGCCTGAGGAAGTTTGCGAGACAGGTTTGGGTGGAAGGGATGGATTATGCTTCAATGAAGAAGCCGTAATCTGTGGCGAATGGCCTTCCCCCTTCTTGAAGATCGTCTTGACCTCCTCTGGCATTTCATATGGAACCTTGAACTTTTCGGAGAACTCTCTTAGCTCATCAATATGGGTTTTTTTATCAGACGATTTTCTAGGAGCCTGGGGCAAGTGAGCCTTAGAATGAGAACTTCTTTCAGATTTGTGAATGCCGTTTTCTGCGGTAACTGACGAAATGATGGCAGGATCGTTATGATGAGGTTGGTTTCTTAAGGTAGGAGGAACGTATTTTTTGGGCTTTGGGGGATTTTTATCAGCGTTCATTTTCAAGGCTGCGAGCAGTTCGTCTCCTCTACGGTCAACTCCCGAATATTTGTCCTCTTCATCCATACCAGAATCATCTACAATAAGTCCACGGTCCTCAGCCAAATGAACATTTGAAGTTGGGCCTTGCGATTCAATCTCTTTTGCAATTCTGTCAGCCTCCTTTAGTTTTTCCTGATAGTGAGGATCATTCTTGTTTATTCTTGTAGTGTATAGATGTTCATCAAAAGAGGATTTTATGCCAAATTTCTCCTCATTTACCGCGAATTGATTCCAGGAAGCATCCTCGTTTTCTAAAGAATCACTGATGTCGAAGGTCTCATGATCGTCAGGAACCCATTTCTGAAGTTCTCTTTCCTTGAGTTTCGCATTTCCACCAGAAATATCGACGTCAGTCTTGAATTGATAACTTTTCTTGGTCTCAGAAGCACGCGAAGCCTCGACCTGTCTCTCTTGTGCTTCCTCCTTCTTTAATTTTTCCCATTTTTGGTCAAGAGAAAAATCAATGTTGGTCAGTTCTAATTCCGCGACGTCGCTCCCCTTGATGACTAGATTTTCTTTCAAGTTATCAGACAAACGATCAACCTCTTCCCCACCAAAACTCTTATCAATGATTTTAGGGAATTTCAAGACAACGTCCACACCATTCACGCTGTCAGGATTACACGCCACTAGTAAACCAGCGTATTTCACACCAGATGTGACGGTTACCACAGCATCGTGCGAAATACTATTGATTAATAGATAGTTCAGACGGTCATTAAATCCCTTGGTGATTTCTTCTGTTTCGTAGAAGCCGCCTGAGCTATTCGCATTACTTGTGTTGCGATTCAAGCTGTTTGAAGGAGCGCCACCTTCCTTCCTCTTATTGTTTAAGCCTCCCTTCATAAATGCAGCCTGAATTGATGAGACCTGGCTAGACTGCTGTTATGAGATAGTCTTGATAACCCCAAAGGAGAGACCAATTGCCAATTGGTTGTTATCAAGGGAACGTTTATAAGATCCTGATGCAAAAAAAGCCAAAGACGGTGGCGCCAGTTGATACCCGTGTTGAATGATTATATATTAATTAAGAGTTGAAGTGATTTTATATATACTAACCATCATTTTTACTTGTATGCTGCCACTCTAATGCGTCTGTATTTATCTCAATGTGATTATGAATGCAGTCTTGAAGTTGATTATTAGCTTCTTCATAAGATTTGAAGGATGGTAGATATCTTTGTAGCAAACTATCTTTGCTCTGGTCCTCATTTGATATATCAGTAGGGCCTTCTCGAAGGCTATCCTCTAGATTCAGGTTTTGAACGTCTTTTTCAAAGCGATGATTGTTTGCAGTTTGATCTGCAATCAGACCGAATGAGTTCACAACCGCCTTGTTTAATACTGGATGTAGATTGAGTGTGAGTTGATCTTTGAGCAAGGTAACTTCCTTTCGTCCGCGATTTGATAACTTGGTTTCGAAAGTCTTCAGATCCTCAAGCTTCTTTTGCTCCCTCATTAGTTGATGTTCAATTACTTCTGAGTGTTGCAACTCTCGAGAATAACGCTCTTGTATAAATTTTCTTTTGGCAAAGATATACTCGATATCCATATCCTGGTCTGATACTCGTGATGGGAACTTTGCCTTCCGAAGCTTTTGTTTTATTTTTCTGATAAGGTCAAAGAGAAGAGTTTCCTTATTTTGCTGAATTCTTTGTATTTCTCTCTGACCAACGACTCGTTCACATTCTCCCCCATATTTATCTAGCACGCTCTGGACAGCTGGCTCCACATTATTCTCCAATACCTCCATAATGCTCGTCAACATCTTTTTCGAAGGTCGCTTCCAATTCTTTATCTCGTAATTATTCGGTAGTCGTTCACGGAATTCCTTATGGATTTTATTTTTGAAGTCCCAGGGATGCGACTGTTTGAGTGCTTCTTCTTCTCTACTAATTGTTGCATCCGAGTTGAATCGAACTTTTTTGCTCACAGGTGTTCTTATACTACTAACTTCATCATAGTAGCTCTCATCGACTTGCGGTGTAGTTGGTTTTGGAGAAGATTCATTATTATCCCGATTAATGCTGGTTTCCGGACTGCTAAGTATAGTATCATCCTCTACAAAGAGTTTTTTAATATTAGAGTCATCGTTAGATTTGTCTGTTGTCTGCGTGGGTTGGGTCTGGGTAACCTCAGACTGATGTTTATCTAGGCGAAAATCATCGCCATTCACTTCGAGTAAGCTGTCCTCCAATTCACTGTCCGATTTATCCTGTAGCTCCGTTTCACTTGACAAACTGACAGAACTAACGATTTCCCGCAGGAACTGTTCTTGCCTGGTCATCATGTCATAGAGTTCAGTTTTGTAATTGATACGATTGCAGGAGTTTGGTGTTGATGCGACGCGCACACTAACAAAAATATCACGTAAAATATAAGACATGACAAAAAAAAATTGTAATAAACAGTTAAAACATTGAGAAATTACTCGTAAAATTTTTAAAGATAAACGATTAACGATAAACATATTTATTAGCGTATTAGTATTGAAAGTGTTATTGCATAATTAAATTGAATGCTCAGGTTTAATGCTTCGAAAAAATGCGAGCTCTATAAATGACGAACCCTTGTAAGATGCAGCTATTTGTGAGATTGTTCCGATGAAGTTGTAGAAGTCTGGTTCAGGTTGTCGACCTCTTTGTTTTGATCTGAATCAGTAGTTTCGACTTTTTTCGCAGAAGGTGGCGTTGGGGAATATGCATATTTGGATCTCTCTCTGATTTTGGCACCCCAGAAATAGAACATGTATGGGATGACGCAGCAAGCCAGGGAAATAAAAGCCATTAGAGTAGTAGCCCATTCGTAGTTCAACCTACGGTACATCTGGATGGTGAATAGAGGCACCGCCCCACCCCACATGGATCTGACAAAAGTCTTTGCAGCAAGACCGGATGCGGCATAATGCTGGTAGGAATCAACAATATAGTTGTTAGCTGGGTTGTATAACATATTGAAACCAAACCCACATGCAAACCCACTAAAACAAGGGCCGGCCCAGGATACGTGAGGGAAAGATGACCAAGCGTAAGCGAATAGTCCCACTGGCACGAACCAGCATCCAATCATCATTGGAATGAGTCTTAGTTCTGCAGGGGGGATTTCTCCACGATCCAAATAGCGGCGAGCTCTCTTCAAGTAGTCCTTGTTGAGGAAGGGAGCAACCACTGTTGAAGCGATAACACCTACACCGACCGGAATGAACATCAAACTGGTCTTAATGTAACCCCAGTGTTTACCCTCCGTGTAGACCATTGGGTATGCGAAAAAGAACATGTACAAAAGGCCGTAAATCACCGACATGTATAGGGTGATCAAAAACACAATAAGTTCTGTTAGAAGGATTAAAGGTCTTAGTAAAGTACCCTCTGCGACCTCTTTCAGAGTTCTGATTTGAATTTCAGAGATGGCTCTATAAGTTGGGTCTCCAGTGAGCTTTCTTAGTTTCTTGGCACGTTTCTTCAGTAGCGTTTGATGATGAGTCTCGGGCATGAATACCATAAATACACCGTAGAGACACGAGCTGAAGATCAGCATGAACCAGTAAACCCAACGCCAAGAGCACTTGACGGACAGAAGGGAGCCGACAATGGGACCCAAGACAGGGCCCAGGAAGGGCGCGGCAGAGAACAATGACATGGCGACACCACGTTCCTCGTTGCGCCACATATCACTTAGGGACCCACCGATCAAACACATGGGAGCGCTAAACGCAAACCCATCGAGGAAACGGAATGCCAACAAAGTACCGATGTTTTTGGCCGCACCACAGGGCACGATGAAAACGGTGGCGACGAACAAAGTAGTGCCGTAAACCCAGTTACGACCAAACTCTTCCGAGAGCGGCGCAAACAGCAATGGGCCAAGCCCGAATCCCCACACCATCAGCGACACACACAAACACATGACCTCAATGGAAACTCCGAAATAGTGCGCAGGGGTGTCCATGTCACCGGTGATGACGGCGGACATCATGGCCACATCCAGACACACGATACCGAGCAAAACGGTGTAGTTCCATTTTTGGCGGGTTGGCCAGTTCCGAGGGTCGTCGCGGTCATCGTCGACAAACTGCACAATACGCATCCCGGTCTCTGCGTCTGTAGGGTACTGCCATTTGTCCTCTGGGTGGTACGTGGTAAGCGGGGCAGGGTTAGTCTTGACTTGCTCGAGGTCGATGGGCGCCTCAATGGGGCCCAATCCGTGCGTAGTGGACTCGTAACGCGACAGCGCACGTTGCACACCCTGGGAGTTTTCGCGAATAAGCGACCGTAGCTCGTTTTGGTCCTCGGCGTGCGACGCCCCGGTGATCGTTTGGCGAAGATGTGACAAACGCGAGTGCGTTCGAGAGATGGACGCAGACCCCGTGGCGCCTCCGGCCCCCACACCCTGCTCGAGATCGTGCTCTGCGGTGTGCGCCTCGGCGGGCGAGTATATTTTGAGATCTGACTGGATACTTTCGAGCTCTGAATCTGACGACATGTAAACTTGGACACGATTCGAAGCTTTTCAATGGATTATATTGTATTTAATCAAGCAATGAAAGACACACGGTGAGACATATTCTCTGATAGGATGCGCTGGCTTGGTCCTTATATACATTTGAGTCATTAATGTGAGCTCATCAATCAACCGGCTCATAACTCATGCGCGAACCTGGGTTGAATAACTTTTTCTTTTCGTTCGATTGCGTCGCTTGGGTCCATTTTGGCACTTACCAGCCGAACATATGCCGATCGACGACACACCGGCTCCTATGGTTTACACGAGACGACAGAGACGAGGGAAATGGCAAGTCGCTGGAAAGTCGCTGAAAGTCGCTGGAGTGGTGGAAAGCTGCGAGGGTCTGCGATCGAGGTGGATTCTCTGCTCTCAAAACCCGCCGGCGCGAATTCGTGCTGCCAACTGCAGGTTCCTGCCCACATTTGTGTTGCAGGGTGCGGCCGGTTGTTCAGCCTCGGCATGCGAGGCTGCCTGTGGGAAGGATTTTCCGCCGCGCGGTGGGCGCCGGGCCCGGGAACCACGGCGGATCTTGGCGAGGGTTCTGGTTAAGAGCCGGCGGCCGTTGGCCGTGACCTTCCTGTCCGGGCAGCGATGCCCGAGGCCTCGGGGTGTGTGGGCGGGCGGCGGCGGCTGCTGCGTCGGAAATGCGTCGCAGCGCTGCAGGTCGGCACCTTGTGTCATGTTCTACGGGCGGCCCTCCATCGGTCACGCCGCACGAGAGAGGCCTCTCGGCCGAGAGCCCCCGGCCTCGCAACGTCTCCGTGTAATGCTAATGCCTTCCCCTGCGCTCGTCCCCGGCCAGGCCCATGGTGCTAAGGGCAAGCCCCAACGATGACAACCGCAGCCATCGCAACACGCGCAGCTTGCGGGCCAGCGGTGCTGTTGCTGAGCAGCGTCCATCGCAGAGACAGCGGGCCTGGCGAGTGCGGCAGCGGCCGACAGGCGGGCTTACGTCAGCGGCCGTCGCTGAGGCGCGTCTACAGGCACAACGGCCGTGCATGCGGCGTGTCACGTGGCCTCGAGCCTGCTTTGTGCATGCGGCGGCTCTCGGCCGAGAGACGTTTGCGTCTTCCGGCCAGCATACCCACTGGCGTCCTGATACTTCATGGCGCCAGATGCTGCGAAAGTGAATTTGGCGCGAATTCCAGCGTCCTGGGGCGTCGTGGCAGCGCGGAGTTTTGCCGGACGGGCGTTTGGAGCGTGCTAAGCCTGTTGAGCTTGCTGAGCTCGCTGAGCTCGCTGAGCTTGAAATGGACCCCCCACCACGAGTTTCTCACCCCACGTTTTCCCGCATTTTCTGGCTACACAGCAGCCTGTAGAACTGCCAATTGTGGCGCGACGCGCTGTCCGGTGTGTCGGGGTTTTCATGTGCGTCGCGCTCCATGCAGCGGTCCCCTAATAGCACATAGGGAAGCTGTCAGCTGTGTGAATATTGTCGCCCGCTCGCTAAAGTAATAGATAGAGCTCCGTTGGCCGGTGAACGAGGCTGTTCAACACTGTGGGGCTCTCAGAAAACATATAAAAGGCATGGTACTTGTCAGGTAATTTACAATCGGTCTCTTGTATCTTTGTAACCACCCAGGAATTCCAAATCCGATCTTCTTAGCCATGTCTGCCACCGCTACCACCACTGAAACCGCACAATTGCAAGTCAACTCTACCCCAGTGTCTCACGCCCTTTCCGACGTCGTCAAGACCGAGGACTGGTCCGACTTCAAGTTCGCTCCAATCCGTGAGTCCACGGTGTCGCGCGCCATGACCTCCCGCTATTTCAAGGACCTCGACAAGTTCGCCGTCAGCGACGTGGTCATTGTCGGTGCCGGATCCTCCGGTCTTTCTGCCGCTTACGTGATCGCTAAGAACAGACCAGACCTAAAGATCGCCATCATCGAGGCCAACGTTGCCCCAGGTGGTGGCGCCTGGCTGGGAGGCCAGCTTTTCAGCGCCATGATCATGCGTAAGCCTACCCACTTGTTCCTCCAGGAGCTGGACATTCCTTACGAGGACGAAGGCGACTACGTCGTGGTCAAGCACGCCGCCCTATTCACCTCTACCGTGCTAAGCAAAGTGTTGCAATTCCCTAACGTTAAGCTCTTCAACGCCACTGCCGTCGAGGACTTGGTCACCAGACCTGCCGGTAACGGTGCTGTCAACGTCGCCGGTGTCGTCACCAACTGGACTTTGGTCTCCATGGCCCACGACCTGCAAAGTTGTATGGACCCTAACGTCATCGAGCTAAGTGGCTACAAAGACGACGGTTCCAGAGACCCAAGCAAGAAGCACGGTGTCATCCTATCCACCACCGGCCACGACGGTCCATTTGGTGCTTTTTCTGCCAAGAGAATTGTTTCCATCGACAACAACAAGAAGTTGGGTGGTATGAAGGGTCTAGACATGAACAACGCTGAAGCCGGTGTCGTCAAGCACTCCGGCTCTTACACCGGTGTCGGTTCTATGTACTTTGCCGGTATGGAAGTTGCCGAATTGGAAGGTTGCAACAGAATGGGCCCAACTTTCGGTGCCATGGCCGTCAGCGGTATCAAGGCTGCTGAGGAAATTTTGAAGCACTTTGCCGCTTAAGCGGATCGCTTTCACCCGGTTTATACGTCTTTTCCAGTTATGTATGTCTTTATGATATAAAGCAATTAGCTTTCATTTATTGATAATTAAGTGACGCGATGGAGTTCGTCCTCGCTGTCGGAACCGCTTTTGAGGTATGCAAGAGAATTCTATGCTGTTGCGCTTCGACGTTTCATTCAAGTGCGCTCGCATGAATTGTGCTCATTATTATGTATGGCGTTTGTTTGTAATTATGAGTTTTGGTGGGCATTTTACACTTTCGTTAATTATGTAAAAATATGTCATTCACTTACCGCGACAACAACAAATTAAATTCATAAAATCCACATTACAAACTAGCGATAGTTTTTACACATAAACTCATTTCCCAGGTTCCTTAAACTTACAAGATTGGAAATAAAAGTACCGCTGTGCAATTAATCCAAATTATGTCCTGCAGTCAACTTATGATCCATTGCGCCAAAACGCACGCAGTTCTCAGACATTACTTCTTCAATTAGCTCACCATTACGGGGCAGCCGCTAAATAACCATAAAAGGCCGCATTTATAACTACTGTCTTATCTTCCAGTGGTTACCGGAGGCAACAAACACTCGCATACACATAAAGCATAGGAAGTTAGCTGAGAAAAGAGACCCATTATACAGTATTGCGTTCCGGTAGTCGTGAACCGAGAAAGCACCATTTTGCACAAATAAACCTGCAATGGGTGAACCGAGAAACGTCCCTACTCCTCGACAAAAATAAAGAAACCACGTTGTAGATTGATAATTTTGCACACCGAATAATTCCACCATACAAGTTGGAAGAAGCGAAATAATGGGACCCGAGACCACGCCATATATGACAACAAAGGATATGAATGTGTCACGGGTCGAAGTTAGCCACAACGCAAAAACAGTAATAGCGCTTAGCAGGCAGCAACTTACTAACATATTCAAACGGCCAAAACGGTCCGAAAAATGCCCCACTATCACCTTTGAAAGTGCATTAACGGCATTATTCACCCCAATAAAGACAGCTCCTTGACTACTACTGAATCCTAGCGCTTGCCCAAAGGAAGACATGTAATATCCAGGGATCAAATATCCAGCCGATTGCAATAGGGCTCCAGTCATATGAAGAATAAACTTTCTACTAAAGACAAGCTTCAAGTTTAAAGGCTCAATTTTAGTCGAGGAGCTGCTTGGAGAAGCTGCATAGGCCGGGTGGGGATACACCAGGAAGCAGATTGGTAATAAACAGGTAAAAGATATTATGCCACATATTCTAAGTGCCCATTGCCATCCGACCCTCGATATTAGGCACCTCGTCAATGGTGCAAGCACCAATCCGCCAACGCCTGTACCAGAAAATAATATGCCCATTGCAATGCCTCGATGTGTATTGAAATAAGGAGGTGCGTGCACCACGGGAGGGAGGTAGGTCATAGAACTTCCAATACCAAATAAAACACCTTGACTCAATGCAAATTGCCAAATTTCATGGGCAAAAGATGCGCATATCAGCCCCATTGCTATCAAAAACGACCCTAGAAACATGGTCTGCTTTATCGACAAGAAACGAAGTAAAAAGTTATTCATAACAGTAAGCAAATACGTCAATCCAGTAGCAACAGAACCGATAATTGAAACAGAAGAGACAGGCTTACCGAAAAGTGGACCAGATTGGCTAAGATAAAAGTCCTGGAATACACCATAGGTAAACGCAAAGCCAAAGACAATAAAGTTGGCAATGAATCCCGCAACAATTATCATATAACTTCGCCGAATGAGTGTTTCATGACTTAAATCACTTACCGCATCGTCCGCAGCCGCAATTGAGTCATTATTGGAACTTTCCTCTATCTCTGTAGTACGCCCATGTATCATTTCTAGAGGTTGTTCTAAACAGCTCACAAATGTTAATGTCTTAAACTATTGGATCTTACGCATCATGTTCATCTTATTTAAGTTTTTATCCCCGCCTTGAATGAAAAATTCCGTCTTTAGTCATCCGGAATTACGCCAAGACGTGAAAAATACGCCCTAGTATGACAGTTTTTTCATAAAAGGACCTTTGGTGAAGGCAAATTGTACGAGACTTTCTCAGATGAACCCCCCATGATGGACGACAAATTGTTATGCTCATTAATTCGTACTGTCTGGAGTACTTATTCAATTCCTTAAACGTCCGTATTCTACCAAGTGGTAGAAGACTTTCTTAACCGTGCCCTTTGAACGTTTATGAAAATGAAAAGATGTGTCATTTACCTTTTACAGAATATAATATCACCCGGGAAGCAAAGACAGCCACGAATGCTGCTATCACATAAGGAATCCAAATATTGTCGAATGGAAAAGAATTACAATCTTGCACTGCATTCCGTTGCAATAAACCAATGGAAACTTGCTGCAGTTGGAATATTTCTCAAAGACAGTTTACTTTGCGTGAATGTAATATATAGCGGTTAATAGGGTCAGCCCCACCTACAATCACTTCTCAAAGTAGTTCATTGTTTCTTGAATTTTCTTAGACTTTACTGGTAAAATTAAAACATATGATACCGTATACAATTCTATTCGTAATCTCCTTTAAACGGCTTCAATCCGGTATCTGTATTCAGGAGCGGCCTATTTGACGCTACAATCGTTATCGATGGGATAATCCCTTTACAGGCTGCGTGTTTTGCATAAACCTGCAAAGCAATACTGATCAAACATAGTTCAGGCGTTTTTAGTTTACCACCAGTCACGCATAAACTCGAAAGTTGTCCATTTAATCTCGCTGTCAATTGTAATATGTATGAAAAATAAGATTTAAAACGACGCCATAACAATGTCCTTACTTAAAATAAAAAAAGCTGAACTGCGTTTCACTACAACATTCAACATGTCCTCATAAATGTAGATCTCGCATGTGATCAATATACCGCACAGGCTAAGCTGGTTTGCAGCAATGTTCTGTCCTTTTGACACTTTTTTTGTCATCATTACCGAAAACGCGGCGAAGGAAAACGATTCCGAAGCATGGTCTGACTCAACGGTTTCTGCTAAATTTCCCGCTGAAACTGATGCCATACGACGACAGCAAACTAACTAAGCGAGTGACGCATATCTGAAGTACAGTGGCTTTTATCCGTGACTCATGATTTTAAGTACATTCCATCGTGGGATTTAAGTAACTCTCTCTTCGAGATCTTATGTTCGCCAATGCCTGTTAAAAACGACAGAAGGATAAGATGACTGAAGTCAACAGCTATAACCAGGTACTTGGTGAGCGTATTCAAGATTGGCAACCAAGAAAAGCCCCGGAAGCTGTTACACTTGAGGGTAAATCTTGCGTTCTTGAACCATTGAGTGGTGATAAGCACGCTAAGCAGCTTTTTGACACATACAAAACTACCCCTACCATATGGACATACATTCCAATCGGTCCATTCGAAGACTTATCAACCTATCGTAACGTTGTGGATACGTTAGTCGCCAGCAAGGATACGCACTTTGCCATTATCGACAAGACGACTGGGCGTGCTGTGGGACAGATATGCTTATTAAGGGCTGACCCTCAGAACGGAGTAGTAGAGGTAGGGTATGTCATTTTCTCTCAAGAATTGAAACAGACCACCATGGCTACAGAGGCACAATATCTCCTCATGAAATATGTCTTTGATTCCTTGAAGTACAGAAGATATGAGTGGAAGTGCGACAGTCTCAATGCGCCATCAAGAAACGCCGCCCAGCGGTTGGGTTTCCAGTTTGAGGGTACATTTAGACAGGCTCAGGTAAACAAAAACAGGAACAGAGATACGCAATGGTTTTCTATTTTAGATAAAGAATGGCCTACTTGTCGCCAGGTATTTGAAACGTGGTTAAGCGACGACAATTTCAACAATGGCAGACAAAAAGCTGGCCTGAATGAAATAAGGGATGCTATTGTGAAAAGTCACGATCTATGAGCAAAAATTGACCTTGCTCCACTGAGATAGTCGTGCGACATCAAAAATGATGCCAAAAATACAAGATAGAGCATTGTATTCACCTATAGACTAAAATGTAATAGTAAATAGCTTAATCTTCAAAGGGGGACAGGCTACTGTTATTTGCTGACAAGCTTTTCATGCAGTCTGCATTCCAAGTTTCTGACCGTTAGTACTTGGCGTTACAAAAAACTTGAATTGATTTAAACCACTCGAAGGTTCAAAAAGGATGGTTTCTTGCGTTACAGCTGATATTAATCATCAGCTTAGACATGCACTGCATCTTCATGAACAATTCCACTTTACAGTGATCGAAGGATATAAAAGGATATTACGCAAAACTCCTCATTATAGGGATATTTCGTTAGAAGCAAGTACATCAGAAAAAGGATACGTTCATCTTATTACAAATTACCATTTCACAACCAATGGAAGAAGGGCCCTTTCAACACAGGTTTTATGGAACGCCTGGTCGGCGTATTCATTATGTTACAGGTGGATTTGCCGAAAATCCTGTCATTGTACTATTAGCAGGTTTCCCACAAAGTTGGTACGCTTGGCGCAAAGTAATTCCAATCCTATGTAGCAGATTCCGCGTTGTTGCTATCGATTTACCGGGACAAGGTGATTCTGATAGACCTTTAGATGGGTACGATACAAAAACAGCCGCATCAACCGTTCATGATGTAGTCAAACTTAACACAAAATCTCAGTACTATTTGGCTGCGCATGATATAGGCGCATGGGTTGCATTCACTTACGCACTGCTATATGAGGATGAAATCATAAATTTGGCTTTGCTAGATGCAGGCATCCCTGGCGTGACATTGCCAGAAAGTCATTCAGGTGAACCAGACAAGGCCTGGAGAACTTGGCACTTTTTGTTCCACACCATTGCAGATTTGCCAGAAATGCTAATCGAAGGAAAAGAACAAGTTTACCTTGAATGGTTTCTACGCAACAAAGCCGCAAATCCGTTCTCATTCGAAGAATCTGATATCAAAGAATATCTGCGGGTGTTTAAAAAACCTGGTACAGTGCGGGCAAGTTTGGCTTACTATCGCGCTGTCTCCACTTCGTCTCAGCAGAATAAAGAACTACTGAAGTCCAAAAAAATCCAAATAAATATGCTTGCCATTTCTGCTGGAAACGGCTCAATTGCGAATATGGCCGCAGCACTGGCAGATTCTGCTCCTAATGTAGTTGGAGTTGTGGTAGATGATTGTGGGCATTATATACCCGAAGAGAAGCCGGCGGAGCTAGCAAGAAAGTTGATTCAACACTTTGAATACTAATTAGTTTTTATGCAGAGGAATAGGTGTCCATCATGGGTATACTACAGAGTTGTTTTAATTCGGCGCTAGTAAATAACGACTGCTTGCTATCCCCCCCATCATCATTAATGTGGCCCGACGCATGTTGTTCATTAGTGATCCAATTAAAGCTTATAAAAAACCGGTATTTAAAAATTGATTGGTACGTAAGAAATCAAAACGTCGAATTCTAAAAATCCTCATCGAAGGTGAAGGCACCTCCTTCAGCCTCCTCCTTGTTGGCCTTGGCCATGACACCTGCCTTTTGGTAGTCAGACACTCTCTTTTCGAAGAAGTTGGTCTTACCAGCCAAAGAAATGTTTTCCATAAAATCGAATGGGTTCGTAACGTTGAAATACTTTTGATTGCCAAGAGCAACTAGCAGTCTGTCGGCAACAAATTCAACATATTGGTTCATTAGGTCGGCGTTCATACCAAGTAGGGACACTGGTAGGGCATCGATGAAATATCTCTTTTCGATTTCGACAGCCTCAGTAATGATTCTCTCAACAATCTTTGGATCAGGCTTGTTCTTCAAGTGCGCAAATAGAAGACATGCAAAATCAGTGTGAAGACCCTCGTCTCTGCAAATTAGCTCATTAGAGAACGTTAGACCGGGCATCAAACCTTTCTTCTTTAGCCAGAAAATAGCGGCAAAGGATCCGGAGAAGAAAACACCTTCCACGGCAGCAAAGGCGACCAATCTCTCTGCAAATAGGGCCTCTTCGTCCTGGATCCATCTGATGGCCCATTCGGCCTTCTCCTTGATCTGAGGAATATTTTCAATGGCATTGAATAGGAAATCGCTCTCCTTGGGGTCTTTGATGTAGGTGTCAATCAGCAGAGAGTAGGTCTCGGAGTGGATGTTTTCCATCATGATCTGGAACCCGTAAAAGCACTTGGCTTCTGGGATTTGAACTTCGGCTGAGAAGTTCTCGACCAAGTTCTCGTTGACAATACCGTCGGACGCAGCAAAGAATGCCAACACACGCGAGAGGAAGAAACGTTCGTGCTCGTTCATGCGGTTGTTCCAGTCGTGAATATCCTTGGACAAATCGATCTCCTCGGCGGTCCAGAACGACGCCTCAGCGCGCTTGTATGCTTGCCAAATCTCGTGGTACTTGATGGGGAACAACACGAATCTGCGCTTGTTCTCCACCAGCAACGGCTCGTCTTTCTCCATTTCCTTCAACTGGTGACGGTGCACATGGTGAGACTTGAGGAAATTCCTGTGCTCTTCGGCAGCCTTACTGAGGCGCTCTTCAAACTTCTTGGTCTGCTCTGCAGACTCCTCTACGGACTCTAGACGACCAGCCAGGTTGGACCTGGAATCCTTGAGCTCTAGGTCTGACAATGCACTTGCCGCAGCCTTGGATGGGGTTTCCTTAGGGTTAGCCATTACAATTACTTAAAAGAAATCGATATGATGTCACTGAATAATCCGCACCACCTGAGATGTAACGCCTTTCTAAATTTTTAAAGGGGGAGGGAATTACGCGTTTCTTGTGGGATTTTTATACTTTTCAGCTTGCAAACACGAGATAATCTTAGTAATTGGGAAAAGAAATTTTTTTTTCGCGTACCACTATGTCGTTCATGTTAGCACTTATTACGCATTAACGGCTATGTGACTGCCCTGCGAGCGTGTGAGCGGCCACTATGGGGGGGATGCTTCCTAGAGTGGTAATTGTTCATTTCGCAAGTTCATACGATTGCTGCACGGGGTCTTTGCGCACCAGCGTGGCTGTTGCGCTGCAGCCTTACATACCCGATGCAAGTCATCAGCTTATCTAGTGGCGCGCGACTCTGAGATCGCATGATATTAGGTCCGCATGCAATCGCCTGCAATACGTAGCTAATCCGCATGTAATGGAGTTAAACGAAAAACAGAGCTAAAAGGGGCGCTACAAACGCAACGGATGCGTCTGCGTGAAATCCGAATTGCCCAAATTGATCAATTCTTAGGGGTCCGACAGTGAGGGCTTGTAGCTATCTGATGCCGTCAGCTGTTGCGCCGCGCGAAGGCCGAGACAAGAAATACAAAAAAATAATGGTTGCTAAGAGATTCGAACTCTTGCATCTTACGATACCTGAGTGCTCCGTCCTGGGGACGTTAAGAGTGACTCTTGAATCAGGCGCCTTAGACCGCTCGGCCAAACAACCGCTTGTTGAAAACCTCCGAGTTAAGAGAGGATATGAGGAAGGCTAGATCAGGAATGCGTAGCAGATGAGAGCAGGGAACCAAGACAGGACTAGACAGGACAAGATTAGACATGACAAAATTAAGTAGATTAGACAAGACAAGACAACATAACACCAGATAAGACGACGATATACAGCTGAATCCACAGTTCATAATCGCCTGCGATAGCGATCACCGAAAACTCCGCTCCTTCCCGCAATTCGCCCGCAGATGTTCCTGCTCCAACGTCTGGCCACCCTTCGTGCGTCCATCCGTAGGTCCAGCGCTGTGCCATCAGCCCAGTGTTATCAGTCGACGTTATCATCCCCGGCCAATGTCTTCGTGTGGGTTCCGGCCGCGGCCGGCGATCGGCCTGGCAAAGGGCCCGCGTGGCATCGCGCCACTTCGCGGCTGCGGCCGGAGTTAACGGAGAAAACAGGGGAGAAGGGGAAACCGTTGGTCACGTGCCGCGACCGTTGTGTGTGCGTGGGTGGAGCACGTGACAGCCGTTGCGAAGTTTGTGCGTTTCTTTTTCTGCGTCTCGAGCGAAGTCAAGCCTGGAAACGCGAAAAAAGCAACGCTGGCATGAGAGCCGATGCCCTTTGAATGGCATCTTGTGAGCTGTGAGTAATAGGTGCTTGTCTGGGCAAGCGGTCTGGAGATCGCGACCCGCACAGGGTATTAGAACCACAGCGTCGCAGGCGGCCTCGCTTGAGGGCTTGAGACTCTGTCCGCTGTCTCTCACTTTCGAGCCTCGCAAGCCATACGCATCGCATCCCACTCACAGCCATGGCGCAACCGTCAGATACCTCTGACATTAGCTACCTCAAGTCCGCGGGCACGCTCTCGGACACCATGTCGCGCCCGCAGCAGCAGCAACAGCCCCACGGCGCCAAGCCCTGGTCGCGCATCATCGACAGCTTCAAGCCTGCGCGCCCAGCCGATAGCAAGTCCGATGACACCGCGGTGCAGCAAACACAGCTCGACTCCAAGCAAAGTCTGCTTGACAACCGTCATTCTGATGACCTGGAGCGCACCGTGCTCGCCGACAGCGACGACAAGCTCAACAAAGACCTCTCGGTTCGTCATCTTTTGACTCTGGCCGTGGGCGGTGCCATCGGTACCGGTCTGTTCGTCAATTCGGGTGCTGCGCTGAGCACCGGTGGCCCAGCCTCTCTGGTCATCGATTGGGTAATCATCAGTACCTGTCTGTTCACCATTGTCAACGCATTGGGTGAGCTGTCCGCTACGTTCCCCGTAGTTGGTGGGTTCAACGTGTACATCACCAGATTCGTCGAGCCCTCATTGGGGTTTGCCGTCAACGTCAACTACTTGGCGCAATGGGCTATCTTGCTGCCGCTGGAATTGGTTGCCGCTTCGATCACCATCAGATACTGGAACAGTGAGATCAACTCTGACGCGTGGGTAGCCATTTTCTACACCGCCATCCTGCTAGCAAACTTGCTCGACGTCAAGTCCTTTGGTGAGACTGAGTTCGTGCTTTCTGCAGTCAAAATTTTAGCCATCATCGGCTTCACCATTCTGGGCATTGTACTAATTTGTGGTGGGGGTCCTGAAGGTGGCTACATTGGCGGCAAATACTGGCATAACCCGGGCGCTTTTGTAGGAGAAACTGCAGGCCAAAGATTCCAAGGCTTATGTTCTGTGTTCGTTACAGCTGCCTTCTCCTACTCCGGTACAGAGCTTATTGCTGTGTCCGCCGCCGAATCCAGGAACCCACGGGTAACCTTGCCAAAAGCCTGTAAGAGAACTTTCTGGCTCATCACCATGTGCTACATTGTCATTTTGACCCTCATTGGGTGTCTAGTACCCTACGACGATGCGAGACTACTCAACGGCAGCAGCACTGTTGATGTTGCCGCCTCACCATTAGTAATTGCCATTGAAAACGGTGCAATCAAGGGTCTCCCATCGTTGATGAATGCCATCATTCTCATTGCCGTATTATCTGTCGCCAATAGTGCTGTATACGCATGCTCCAGATGTATAGTTTCCATGGCGCAAATCGGTAACTTGCCACATTCTCTTTCCTACATTGACCGGAAGGGTAGACCTCTCTATGCCATCGGAGCTACTCTTATCTTTGGTTTACTTTCCTTCATCGCTGCCAGTGACAAGCAAAATGAGGTTTTCACTTGGTTGAGTGCCTTGTCCGGTCTTTCTACCTTATTTTGCTGGATGGCAATTAACATTTCTCACATTAGATTCCGTCATACCATGAAAGTTCAAGGAAGGTCTTTGGATGAGTTGCCCTTTGTGTCTATGACCGGTGTCTGGGGCTCTTGGTATGGCTGCATAGTCATTTTCCTTGTACTAATCGCGTCCTTTTGGACCTCATTGTTCCCACCTGGTGGTGACGGAGCCGATGTCACCTCTTTCTTCGAGGGCTACCTATCTCTCCCAATTCTTCTGATATGTTATGTAGGTCACAAGCTCTACACAAGAAACTGGAGCTTATACACGAAGTCAGAGGATATGGATATTGACACCGGCAGAAGAGCTGTGGATATCGAGATTCTCAAAGAAGAGAAAAGACTCGAAAGAGAAGCCATGTCACAGCGACCATTGTATATTAGACTTTGGCACTTATGGTGTTAGCCGTATTGAGTTTCATTTTTCGTCATCTCATCGCGCGGCGATCTCATGGTACCAACGCAAAGGAATTTTTTGAACGAAGAATTTAGAATTGTAATTAATTATTGTCAAATAGCACATAAAAACTTAGCCCAGTGGGGTTAGCCTCTAAAATATTCGAGTATGACTCCTCCTCTATTCCACTCGAACAGTGCGAGCCTTAGAAGGGACCTTTTTCACACGCTTTCAAAGGCAGTGAAAACCAATTTGGGGATGCGATCGGAGCAATCCAAAGAAAACGCTAATCACTTAGCACACACAAAAACACTTATACTCCAATTAGGAGACAGTTCAACTAGCCTTCAAAGCAGGACTAATGCGGCTATCGAAATATCTCAAAGGATTCATGAGTTTCCATTGGAATCGGTGCCAGATATCTGGTATCGCGCAAATGACCTCATAGCAGGCCCAGTTCCTAGAGCTACTAGAAGAGTGGCACTTAATCTACTTGGCTCATGTTTGCAGATACTACTACCACAAATGGACGATACAACACGACTCGCCTTTTATTTTAATATCATGGATAGTTGCCTGAAGGAAACGGAGAAAGGACAGTTGCTTGATCCAGATTTGGATCTTTTCATGGAATCGTTAGACATTTTGACATCGAACGGCTCGAAAATAGAACAGTTCTTGAACTTAGAGGAAGATGGGCTCTCTCTTGACAAGTTTTTGGCGAGAGTTTTCGAAGCCGTCGCAAATGGTAATTTAGAAAAGTTGCTTGCAAGAACATTGATAAGTAGTCTTCAATTTGTCACCAGCTGTACTCGTTGTGGCCTTTCAATTGGAGCTGGCGGAACTAAATCGATTATACAGATAGCACGCAAAGCGTTCGATGAAAACGTACTGGTAAACTGCTTGTACTACATTGATGTTGTCATAACAAAAAAACTCATAACGGATGATGGAATTCTCATGAATGTAGTACAAACGTTACTAAATTCTTATGGAATCAATAACAGAATACGCCACCAGGTAAATTCAATATTCGTAAACATATTGAGAAGTGATTACCGAGATTCATCATTACGAATCTTAATAGACTTAGCTGCCTGCTCTGAAAAACCTGCTGATGTCCAAAATGCTCTAAATCTACTTATTACACTTATCTCCGACGAAGAGTATAATAAGCATTTTCTCAAGGATCCTGTTGAACCAGATGTAATCGGTGATCTACTAACGTCCCTCCTAAACAACCTCGATTCACATCGATCCTTTAATGGCTCTAATATTACAATTCTCAGGTCTGTGGAATCTTTGATCAGCAGTTCCCGATTTCTGACTTTCATGAGAGATTACCCTAAATTTTGGAAATCAAATTCTGACGGTGAGCTTAGCATTTTTGAACTTTTCAATGTAACAGTCAGCGACGAAAGGCTGGGTCCCAATGAGAAAAAAGTTGTTCTGAGTATATACCGACTAATGCTAAAATTTATGGAGGAAAACCGATACAGAGATATAGGAATGGATCAATCCGAAGATATTGTGGTTTTCTTCTTCCAAAAAATAGACATACTGGATAATGATGTGGCCAAGCGAATTGTTCAAATGCTTCACCAAAATTTTGACGCTATATCGGCTATTTCTGATATTTTGAATCATATTTTGGACCTTTGTTTCAATCCCTCATCTTCGCAAGAGGTCAGATCGAGTTCATTTAAGTTACTGTTAGCACTTTTCCATCACCAGGTTACAAGTCGACGGCTTCAAGACGATGGGCCCTCCAAATTCCTTGAACAGTTATTCTGCGAGCTTAAACCTCAGCAAGAGGACTTCATAATAACCAACCTAGCTGAATTCCATTACGAAGTATCAAAAACCATAAATCATGCGATATTGGAGGAATTAGACGTCAACTTTATCCTCCCAGCATTTAAGATGCAGAATGGAAAAAGGAGAAAAAGCTTGGTATCATTGAGTAATACGTTTTCGAGCGAAACAGCTTGGTCTCAAACTCAGCTTGAAATTCTTGCCAAAACAATCGTTAAGTCTTTTGCCTGGAGTGTCGCTTTTGGATCAGCCCAAAAATGTGTTCATTTTTACAACATGCTTATCACAATTGCTGAATATGCGATACAGAATGAAAATACCATTCTACTGCTTATACCATCGAGAATTCTTACAAAAATCGGAATAAATTCTGCCGGTGAAATATCGCTCGTAAGCCCAAAAGAGGTTGAAGGAATAAGTACAGCCCTCGGAAGAAATGCCAACGTGGATTCACAGTGTAATGCGTGCTTGTGGAAATTTCCTGAGGAAGTAGATTTTATACCCTCCGAGTTTTATGGAGAATGCAACTCGAAAATCAAAGTGGTGGGAAATAGTTTGAACGATGACCTCAACGCAATGGACTTGAGATTATGGATATCTTTAGTCCTCGAAATACTTGACAATCCGTCTGGTTGGGAAATTTACTCTTATCTGTTAACTTATATGTGCCCACAAATCTCCAACTTGATTGCTCTTCGGAGTGTTTCGGATTTGATAGAGTCTTACGAAAAGCTCTTATGTCGTCACCTTACTCAAGGGACACCGTCCAAGCTGAATCTACCCAAAGGACTCTACAAAGGCAATTTGTATGTTGCGTTCGTACGGAATTTAAGCTCTCTTTTGGGATATCATGGCTCATCTTTAAAAACATCCTCTGATGATTTGGTGAGTGCCTTAATTCATGCATTGCGATCGTGGGAAATAACTCTCATCCCTGTGGTACACATCTTGACAGTATGCTGTTATGAAATTCCCAACTCTGTAAAAAAGTTCCTGACTCCCATTCTAGTGCAGCTTCAAACACGTATCACAAGCTCCCTCAGCATACCTACAATCTTAGAGTTTATGCTCGCACTCCCGGATTCGCCTTCCATTATATCACATTTGACAATTGATGAGTTCAAGCGGGTGTTTGCCATCGGATTCAAGCTAATTCAAACATCCAGAGATCTCCAGAAAAAGGCGCAGGATGAAAATATCGAACAAAATATTTCGTATTCTGAATTGGGGGCAGATTTGTCCCCATCAACAGTTACATTCAAGATCAGTAAGCCAATTGCGCACTTTTTCTTGACCTTATCTTACAAGTTAATTTCAAGTTGGCTCCTTCGAATGAAAATGGAACAAAGGAAAGAGCTGGCTTCCTTCCTTAACAAAAGTCTAATTTTGAGTTCACCAAACAGCAACACTTTAGATCATGACACGCTTGCTTATTTGGATTTCATTTCTAGATTCACTCTCTCCGATGATGATTTTGCAGTTACAAGTATACCCAATGATAATCCACATGAATCTAATAATCATTACAGTCTCGGCCGGTGGATCTGTGGAGACAGCATCGTGAGCATAGAAACAGAGACAAACACAGGCAAATCATTGGTTACACTCAGAGGCCTATCAGGCACAAGTGTTATGGAGGTTGCACCATTAACTCCAGATGTTCCCAAAACGTATGATCTTTTTTCCTTTGATAGAGAAGCTCGATCTGCGTCTTCTCCTTATAATTCAACAGGTGGAACTTATAGCGCAAGTAACATGTTTGTTCAGCTTTGTGTCACTCGCTCAGCGATAGAGAAGCCCATCAAAATTCCCGATGATAAGGTGATTCTGCGTTCATTGAGTATGTTTGATAAATTGCCTGTGGATGAATTTCATAAAATAGGAATGATTTACATGGCAGCTGGTCAAACAAAAGAAAGTGAAGTGCTTTCAAATACTACGGGCTCATATCAATATCATTGGTTTTTAAGTCAGATTGGCAAATTTATCAAACTTGGTGAATCTGAAAATAGCTACACCGGTGGACTACAAGGAGGTTCAGATGGAGAGTATGCTTTAATTTGGAACAACAGGAGAACGCAGCTCGCTTTTCACACTACCACGCTGATGCCAAATGATCCCAATGATGAGCATTTCTCTTTGAAAAAGAGACATGTAGGAAACAATTTCGTCAACATCTTCTACGATGAATCTGGCTCTCAGGACTTCGATTTCAACTTGATTAAAACCCAGTTTAACTTCTTCAATTTGGTCATAAAGCCTTACCTTGTATATCCTGATGATGATCCGCAAATCAGCCAACATTACAAAGTTAGACTCTATCGAAAATCTGGAGTTCCGGGATTGTTTTCAGCGTCACATTTCAAAGTTTTGAATAAGGAGGATGTGGCACAGTACGTGCGACATGTTGCAATGATTGCAAATACGTTTGCTTTCAAGTGGTTCACTACGAGCACTCCAGATGTCTGCACTACATGGGCAGCCAGATCCAAGCAACTACAAATGATTAGGGATAGGATAGGCAAGCGAGAACAGGAGAATAATGATTCGTCTGAGCGTAGTTCAACCACGAAAAATTCCCATAGTTCTGATTTGCCAATGTTACAGAAATTTGATTTCAGTTCTTATACTTAGCCATTGTTGGTAATAAGAAAGATACTAGAGCAGTATTTTTCGGTTGAGAATGTTGGCTTTCATGAAGAGACTTCTTGAACGATCATAGGAAAAATTTTCCACTTATTTAAGCTAAGTAAACTCTTTTAATATCACATCATCTAATGAAGAGTCTCTGTATATCATCATATAGTATACCTGGTCAAGAACAGCATCTTGTACTAGTAGAGCGCTACGTATCAAGTTACCCGTACCAGAAAACCCATTCATCAGAGAGTTCGATGATGAAAAATTTTCAATTTGACTATGATGAGCCATTCATAGGAAGACACTACAGAAACCTTAAAGAAAGCATCGAGATGTCTACGTCTAACTGTAGATTCTATGAAAACAAGTACCCAGATGTTGACGATGTTGTAATGGTCAATGTGCAGCAAATTGCTGAAATGGGTGCCTATGTGAAACTTTTGGAATATGACAACATCGAAGGTATGGTATTGCTCAGTGAACTATCGCGTAGACGTATTCGTTCTATTCAAAAATTGATCCGTGTTGGCAGAAATGAGGTAGTGGTAGTATTGCGTGTCGACAAGGAGAAGGGTTACATCGATCTATCTAAGCGTCGTGTATCTTCTGAAGACGTTATCAAGTGTGAAGAGAGATACCAAAAATCTAAGGCTGTGCACTCTATCATGAGACACTGTGCTGAGAAGTTTTCTTTCCCATTGGAAGATTTGTACAAGTCCGTTGCCTGGCCCTTGAGTCGAAAGTACGGCCACGCATATGATGCCTTCAAACTGTCTATCGTGGATGACTCCGTTTTCGAAGGTATCGAAGCTCCAAGCAAAGAAATCTTCGAAGAGCTTCGTCTTTACATTTCCAGAAGGTTGACTCCACAAGCTGTCAAGATCAGAGCTGACGTGGAAGTGTCCTGTTTCAGTTATGAAGGTATAGATGCCATCAAGGAGGCCCTAAAGTCAGCCGAAGAGCTATCCACCGAGCAAATGCAAATTAAGGTGAAATTGGTTGCTGCTCCTCTCTACGTTCTTACTACACAAGCCTTGGAGAAACAACAAGGTATTGAACTATTAGAACAAGCCATTGAAAAAATCTCCGAAGTGATTGCCAAGTACAATGGTGTCTGTAACACTACTATGCCACCAAAGGCTGTCACGGCTACTGAGGATGCCGAATTGCAAGCTCTATTGGAGAGTAAGGAGTTGGAAAACAGATCTGATTCCGACTCTGAGGAGTCTGATGAGGAATAAATATACTAACGAATCTGCACTTGTACATTACGCCAAATAGTTAAGTTTACTCCTTCATATTTAGTGTCCAGCTACCGTACTAAAGTCATCGCTACATCTTTTTTAGCTGTTCTTATAGCATTACGGAAAATTTTGGAGCCGTAGGCATTGATCCCCTTCGATCCCTAATAGGGACACTGACATCAAATAAATGAATATATATATATATTTGATTTGCAAAGAAAGGGGATACTATTTCCATCAAACTCACCACGACAACCCCTGAATTAAAAAGATCAAAGCAGATATGAGCGTCAGACCCGCTACTCATGCCGGAACTTGGTATAGCTCCAATGCTTCTAAGCTTGCATCGCAACTTCAGCAGTACCTATTGCACTCACAGGTGGTGCCCCGCGCCAGGATCATAATTTCGCCCCATGCAGGTTACACCTATTGCGGATCAACAATGGGAAAGGCATATGGAACGCTTGATCTACAAAATATTAAACGAATTTTCATACTAGGTCCATCTCATCATGTTTACTTCCGCAACAAGGCACTGGTGTCGCAATTTGATGAGGTCGAGACTCCGCTGGGCAATATTCTTGTGGACACAGAAGTTGCAAAACAACTTATTAAGCATGAGGAATTTGAGCCGATGGATGCAGAAATGGACTGTGATGAGCACTCGTTGGAAATGCAATATTCCATGCTGTATGAAACCCTAAGGCTACGTCAAATTGATATCAAACAAGCTCGAATCGTGCCAATAATGATCTCCCATAATTCGACACGCATAGACTACGCACTGGGAAAGACTTTAAGCAAATATGCGTCTGATGAATCATCTGCGTTCATTATCAGCTCTGATTTTTGCCATTGGGGCCGTAGATTCAATTATACTGGCTACGTTGGAGACAAGAGTGAAATTGAAGAGGCACTCAAGGATGACACAGAAATTGAATCACTCACGGCGCGTAGTAAACTGTCTCATCACCAAATACCCATTTGGAAGAGCATCGAGCTTTTGGACAAATTTGCAATGGAATTACTCTCCCAAAGCGAGCCGCACGACAAGTACGAGCTATGGAAACAATATTTAGAAGTTACAGGGAACACAATTTGTGGTGAAAAGCCCATAGGCGTAATCCTGTGTGCGCTTAGCTACTTGAAAGCGGTCAACGGCAAATTCTCGTGGCCCGGCTACTCGCAGTCCAGCCAGGTGTCTAATGTGATGGAGAGTAGCGTCAGCTACGCAGCAGGATTTTGCTCCATCTAATAGGTAGGATAGGTAAAAACGGTATAATTGGACAAAACTAATCATTGAGTCGTATACATTTTGTTGCGTTACATAAAATTCCCAACATTAAGTGGGTACTTACTTAAAAAGCAAAGAGATTTGCTTATTTGGCAACGTGTTGAACCAAGTCGACAACTCTGGTAGAGTAACCGTATTCGTTGTCGTACCAGGAGACCAACTTAACGAACTTTGGAGACAACATGATACCGGCGGTGGCATCGAAGATGGAAGAGTGAGAGTCACCCAAGAAGTCGGAGGAGACAACAGCGTCTTCAGTGTAACCCAAAACACCCTTCATGGCACCCTCAGAAGCCTTCTTGACGGCAGCCTTGATTTCGTCGTAGGTGGTTTCCTTGGCCAACTTGGCGGTCAAGTCAACAACGGAGACATCGACGGTTGGGACTCTGAAAGCCATACCGGTCAACTTACCTTGCAAAACTGGCAAGACCTTACCGACAGCCTTGGCGGCACCGGTGGAGGATGGGATGATGTTACCGGAAGCGGTTCTACCACCTCTCCAGTCCTTGTGGGATGGACCGTCAACAGTCTTTTGAGTGGCAGTCAAAGAGTGGACAGTGGTCATCAAACCTTCTTCGATACCGAAGTTGTCGTTGATAACCTTGGCCAATGGAGCCAAACAGTTGGTGGTACAAGAAGCGTTGGAAACAATGGTTTCACCAGCGTACTTGTCTTCGTTGACACCGACAACGAACATTGGGGCGGTGGAAGATGGAGCAGTGATGACAACCTTCTTGGCACCAGCGTCAATGTGCTTTTGAGCAGAGTCCAATTCCTTGAAGACACCAGTGGAGTCGATGGCGATGTCGATGGCCAACTTACCCCATGGCAATTGAGCTGGGTCTCTCTCTTGGAAGACTTGGATCTTTTGACCGTCAACGATCAAAGCGTTACCTTCGTAGGTAACTTCACCGGCGTACTTACCGTGAGTGGAGTCGTACTTGAACATGTAAGCGGCGTAGTCGACGGAGATGAATGGGTCGTTGATGGCGACGACTTCAACGTCCTTTCTGGCCATGGCGATTCTCATCACCAATCTACCGATTCTACCGAAACCGTTAATAGAAACCTTAACCATTGTGTCTTTTGTTTGAATTGAAAACTATGAGTTCCCTGAGGATAGAAAAGAAGAAAAACTAAAAACCAAAATTACTATTGAACTCCAATAACACTCATCTCTGCTGCCCTTTTATATGGATTTTTCTCAATTCCTTGCCCTTCTCAGAACTACTCGCCTCAACCAAATTTTTCACCTGTACCCACCACCACTGCATCAGCTATGCCGATTAACCTATCACCCTTTCACTCGCCAGCTTCCTGTTTTTCTGACGCAGGAGACGCTGTAGGAAGCCGGGCTGCCAGGAAGCCCATTTTAATCTACGCCATGTCCGTAGAACCTCGTGGAAAATAATGGAAGCCCCAAGAAGCCCCCCCTTTTCTCCTGCCACGCGAGCCGGCTGATGCGATCGAGAGCCCCAACGGAAGCCGAGGCCTACGGAAGAAACCCGGCTGGTTGGAGGTTGCCAAAAAGATGTGTGGCATGACGTAGGGAGCGAGCAGACTGACAACCCCCGGACCCGGAGGCGGAGCAGTCGGCAGACGGACGGCGGCAAGAGCGCGCGAGACGTCGCGTCAAACACCGCCGTAGCAAACGCCGCCCGGAGGATGGCAGAAGCGTCGGACGCGGGTGTGTGGGCGGAACGGATGGGGAGGTCCGGAGGCACGAGGGAAAAGAAATTGAGATTAGGGGAGAGGGAGCGCCCACACACCGCAGAAACCCGTGCACCCACGTGACCGGGCTGACGTCACGTGGAAGTCTCGAGCAAGATCACGTGCTCTGACGCCCCGGTTCCCAGCCTCTATCGAGCCACACCGGCGTCGTCGCACGACCAGCGCGCAAGCTGGTGCCCGTCGAGCGTATATATACGTGGCCATTGCGCTACGTTGGGCATCCAGACGTGCTTCTCGTCACCGCTAATCCCTTTCTCCCAACATGCCTGCCCCCCACGGTGGAGTTTTGCAAGACCTAATCGCCCGCGACGCCAGCATTCGCGAACAATTGCTCAAAGAGGCCGCCGGCGCGGCCCAAACTTGGTCGCTCACGGCCAGACAAATCTGCGACTTAGAACTGATCCTCAACGGTGGGTTCTCGCCGCTTTCCGGGTTTTTGAACCAGGGCGACTACGACAGCGTCGTGAAAAACTCCAGACTGCAGAACGGGCTCGTCTGGACGATGCCCATCACGCTCGATGTCGACGCCAAATTTGCCAAGCAGATCAAGCGCGACGACAGAGTCGTGCTGCTGCAGGACGGTGAGATCCCCGTCGCAATCCTCACTGTCGGCGACATTTACAAGCCAGACAAGGCCGTAGAGGCCAAGGAAGTGTTCAGAGGCGACCCAGAGCATCCTGCGGTCAAGTACCTCAATGAGATCGCCGGCGAATACTACGTTGGTGGTGAGCTACAGGCCATCCAATTGCCCATCCACTACGACTACCCAGGTTTGCGTAAGACACCTGCGCAATTGAGACTCGAATTTGAATCCAAGCAATGGGACCGCATTGTCGCTTTCCAAACCCGTAACCCAATGCACAGAGCCCACAGAGAGCTAACTGTCAGAGCTGCCAGGGAGCACAATGCCAAAGTTTTGATACACCCTGTGGTGGGTCTCACCAAGCCAGGCGATATCGACCATCACACCCGCGTCCGCGTGTACCAAGAAATTATCAAGAGATACCCCAACGGTATGGCACAACTATCCCTACTGCCGCTAGCCATGCGTATGGGTGGTGACCGTGAAGCCGTGTGGCACGCAATCATCCGTAAAAACTACGGTGCCACTCACTTTATCGTCGGCAGAGATCACGCAGGCCCAGGTAAGAACTCTCAAGGTGTTGACTTCTACGGTCCATACGATGCCCAAGAGTTGGTCGAGTCCTACAAGAACGAACTAGACATCGAAGTTGTGCCATTCCGCATGGTCACTTACCTACCAGATGAAGACAGATACGCTCCAATCGACCAGATCGACTTGAGCACCACCAAGACTTTAAACATCAGCGGTACCGAATTGAGACGTCGTTTGAGAGATGGTGGTGACATTCCTGACTGGTTTTCCTATCCTGAGGTGGTCAGAATCTTGAGAGAATCTAACCCTCCAAGACCAAAGCAAGGTTTCGCGATTGTGTTGGAGAAGGGTTTGGCTCACAACTCTCAATTGGCAATCGCCTTGCTTTCTACCTTCTTGCAATTCGGAGGTGGCAGACATTACAAGGTGTTGGAGCACCAAAATGATTCCAAGGTTCTGGAATTGGTTCCAGACTTCATCAGAGGCGGTACCGGTTTGATCATCCCGGGTGAGTACATCGGATCTACGAAGGTGGTAAACTCCTTCCAAGTTGGTGTGTCCGGTGATGCTGCCATTAAATTAGAAGACAAAAACGAGTCTGTCCTACACATTGTTCAAAAGGTCGTCCTATTTTTAGAGGACAACGGTTTCTACCAATTTTAAAATGTTTTACAGGATATAAAAGGTAAATAGATTAATTGCGATCCTATCATTACAGCTTGCTTGCTTTACAATTGTAGCTATTCGGCTCCGGCGCCGATGAAATTAGGAGAAGCTTTAGAGATTCACTTATCATCTCTTTCACTATACAAAAAAATATTACTACAGTAACTGGCATTAATGCTCAGTAATTGATTCCAAATATTTCATGTAATCCAGAAATCTATTCGCCTTGATCTCAGCATCACTGTACTTATCATTCACTTCCACAGAAAAGTTGACCAAGAATTCATTTGGTTGTGGTTTTTCGACTTTGGCAGTTTTAGAAGGGGTTGAACCAGAAAGTAGATCGAAAATGTCATCGTGTTGTCCTTGAGACAGAGACTGAGTGGAAAGAGGAACAAGATCGTATTTAAACTTGAACCGTGGCTGTTTCGAATCAGGTGTAATCAGATCCTCAAAAATTGGATCATAAAACTGCGACCGGGTATTTGTAACTTGATAGTCATGGGACAACCAATTAGCTTCGCTGACATATGACTTCAGAGAAAGTGCTAACTTGTCAACAGAAACATCTGCTGGAACTTCAAGTCGTACATGTTCTTCAAAAACAATGGGTTCAGCTTTCGCTGGTTTACCTTTTTGAGCTGTAGGAGTGTTTTCAATCTTCTTTAATTCGATATTCGATAAATCTAGTACCTCACCCTTCTTAATGTACTCAGTGACCTTTACAACGGACTTTTGAGAAATTTTACCGAGATATGAAAGAACATCACCCTTCAGAATTCTACCGTTTGGACCGGATGCTTTAATCTTATTCATAGCATCTTCAAAGGATATACCGTTTTCATGCAAAAGCATTTGTACTGAAGGTAACAAAGTTTGAGAATTATTAGCAGCCACCAAGATACTTGAAGTACCTTTGCCGGAGCCAGATGAGGATTTATCAGAAAGGTTCGAAGGCGCCTCCTTCTTGGAAGATTTTGCGTCTTTTCCCGCCTTTTGCACTGCTTCCTTCTTGGGTTGAGACTTCTCTTCTGACTTCTGCTGTGCGTGAGCGGGCTGTGCCTTAGGAATCTCCAAAGTTGATAAATCATCATCTATATCTGCAAGATATGCAATTGGCTCTCCAACCTTGACGTCTTTTGACCCATTATCCTTGATAATAGATGCTATCTTACCATCATCCTGCGCTTCTACGTCAATTTGAGCCTTATCAGTTTCGACCTCAAGTAGCACGTCACCAGCAGAAAATGTATCGCCCACTTTGAACTTCCATTCAACAACTCCCCCTCTTTCCATCGTAGGTGACATGGCTGGCATGCCGAATACCTGCGCTTTATATGCTAATGCACTTGAGTGCAGTCCCCGCAACCCGAGGAGCCTGCCTCCTTGCCCTCTCAAAATAAAACTTGCCAGTGACATATGAGAGAAGATAACCAGTCCTAGACAATATTGACAAACACTTTACACAGGTAGGTTCTTGACCTCAAATCTTAATTCAAAATTTTCTGCTTTAGAGTATGACCTTTCGCTCTTGTTAAACCGACGCTCGTCGTATGCGACAAATATTTACCTAGTTCGGAATCGGCCTATCAGTTGCCTTCGATGCCAAAGTTGAAGCCTCGAGAAGTAAATATCAAGACGAGAAGAGTGGGGCTAGTCTTTGCGAGTATTCCCGTCAGACCAATTGGAACACCACATCTTAGAGGATCTGATTCTTTGATGCTTTGATGCCCCAGCCGGGCTGAAAGAAAATTTACGTTTATGTACAATTACCCGTTCAACAGCTCGTTTGGTAATTTGAGGAATCATTACTACCTCAAGGGCCTGAAGTCCGCTGCTCTTAGGTACTTGGCAATCAAATAGGTATTACATAATGAGCAGAATAATTGAGATCAACAAGCAGCTCCAAATGTGGGTAAGGTGATGAAATTACAGATCGCGCATGATTGTCAACTGAAGGAACTACTGCTCGTTTAAAATGAAACATCTTGGTCATCTATTTGGCGTATATATATCGTAGATTCATTTATACAGCGTCTCTTCGAGAGCGCTCAAAGCTGGGATCTTGTTGTTGTAGTATTGCCAGCGCTCTGATGTGGTGTCACCCAAAGCCTCAGTGTCTGTCTTCCAGTTGAACGCTTCATTCAAGAACTCGCCAAAGGGCGCAGAAGTTGAGCCTTCATGGAACAAATGCGACCATAGCGCCTTATAGCATCCTCCTAGTGCACACGAATTTGGAGTCTCTAAGCGGAAATTGCCCTGAGTGGCTCCTAGTACCTGAGCAAAACGGTCGACAATAGCATCATTTTTGGATGCACCTCCAACGAAAAATGCTCTTCTGGGCCGCTTGTTGTATTCGCTAAGAGGGAAAAAGTCGCAGTCGAAATGAACACGGCTTTCATCCAATTTTGCAGCGGGGTCAATGCACTCGTCCGAGAGTAGTGGGCTAATCCGAACTCGACAGCTGAGAGCTTGCGATTCCACAATGTTCTTAGCATCATGGGTAACGTCTTTGAACGAGTCTACCATATTGAGTTCCACCTTGCCGTCAGACGACCTGGAGAAGGTGGCTCTTCTGTAATTGCTGGGCACGTTTGGAACAATTTCGCCAAGCGGGAAGTAGCAACCAATTTCGTTATCGGTACCCAAGGAATCGTCTAACACCGCGTCATTGAATGGCCTCCAGTCGTGAGAGGGACTTAATTGGTCACGGATGCGCTCTCTAGCCAGAGACCCGTTGCAATAGCAAATCATGCCCATATAATGATGCGGAATGGTGGGATGGATGAAAAGATGGTAATTGGGCGATGGATGATATTGGTCTGTGACTAGCAGAATTGTGGTGCTAGTACCCAGGGATACAAGCACATCATTTTTCTGTAGGGGCAATGAGCAGATGGTGGCTAAATTGTCTCCCGTGAAAGGGAAGATTTGACATTCTGGGTTAAGACCATATTTTTTAACGAAATATGGGGAAGACTTACCCACCGGGGAAGGCTTATCCGTTGAGACAGGCTGTCCGCCCAGTTTCTTACGCACATCATCGACATTTTGATCGATGTTGCATAATAGACTGTCGACGTAGTCACGATCCTCTACACTATAGAGGTTCATCCCGCAAGCGTCGGCTTCTTCCAACGGTGTTAAATCACCTGCGAGTAAAGAGGCTAAGAAAGAAGAAACTAGCGATATTCTGGCCGTTTTCGCATAAGTCTCCGGCTCATTTTCAGCGATTTTCATAATCTGAGGACCCGTAAATCTGTAATGGGCTCTCGATCCCGTTATCTGTGCTAACATCTCGGCTCCCCCACAACTTTCTTCAAAAGCGTCACATTGGGCGCCCGTGCTGTGGTCTTGCCAATTGGGAGCAACATCTCTTGAAAACGCATCTGGGCAAAGCTGCTCTTTCAATGCCCGATTGTAATCCAAATTTTGTAGCAATTCCTCCGCTTTGCTAGACCAGTAGACAGACCCGTGCTGTTGACAGGATCCACTCATGGCTTTCACATCTTTCAAACTGAAGTTCTTACGCTTCGAAAGACGCTCGAAAACCATATCTATAGCCTCGATCCACATTGCAACTGGACATTCTATAGTCCCTTCCTCTTTCAAGTAGACACCCTTATGGGTACCATACTCCGGAAGATCTTTATCGAAGCCAATTGTTTCAGAGTGAACTAGTGTGAGATACTGATCAATTACCAGACATTTTAGCTGCTGGGTCGAGAGATCAAATCCTAAGAAATATACAGACTTTTCACGAGTCATGATTGTCGAGTTATTAATTGTTAAAGAATGCGGGGGCGCCTCGTCCCTTTTATACACCGCTCGGTCCGCTTGTTGTCACGAAGCGGAAAGCAAAGAACGACAGCGATTGAGCCAAAAGACATCCGAAACGGAACAAGAGCCAAGAGCCACTTGCACACTTTATGCCATTGATATTATATATGGACACTTACATTTCGTCAACGAAATAACCTTGAAGTAGAATCCGATAAGGAAAATGGGGAGGTGCCCACTTATATACAGAAACTAAAGCGATTAAGCTAGTTACCTATCTTAGGATGAACCCACTCTGGACGATTCTTGTTGTACTTGGAATAACTTGGTAGCACTGCGAGGAGACAGGTGAAGTACGCAGCCAGAAAGCAGTAAAGGAGGTTCCCAACTGACTGGGTGAAAAAACCCACCAAACAAGCGGCGATAGACCCTACAAAAAGTGCACCATTGACAATCTTGTGTGTTGTGCGTTGACCCACGAAGTCGATAGGGAACACCAGCTTCCTCTGAATGTCTTGAAGAATCTCTGACATGGTCTATAAGTGTCGTTATTTGAACAAGAAAGAAGAATAGCCCGTTGTAGATGATGACTACGAATAGTTATCGAACGTAAATAAGTAAGATGCATTTCTCGTCCTATACAGGGTTGAATGAAAGTCTAATGATGCTAATCTAATTAATGGACAGGTGTATCATCACTTATGCTATGAAATACGAAAATCGACGTGAAAGTCGCTAAGTAAAGTCCTCTTGTAATCCCAATTCATTTATCTGCGTTCGCAGCCAGCCATCGTACGACAGTGTCTGATTAGCATCCTCTGTTTTCTTTTGGGCCATGCTTGTTCTGTATGATTCGAACTTCTGTAAGAAGTTCTTGTCCACGAGCATTAAAATCCCAATATGGCGTTTCAAAGATTCCACTTGGTTTTTCCAATTCGGAAGCAGGTCTTGCTCAAAATCCTTGATAAGAACCTCCATTTGAGCTTCTGTTACTTGGTATTGCTGTTGGAGAGGAATTTTCCTGACAAACTGGTAAATGTGGGCAAAACCTAACATGCAGTTCAGAAGATGCGTTGGTGCTCTCAGCAAGCCCAACTCCTGGACAGATTTAGAACTGGGTTGGTTCTCGGTACCTTTATTCACCGGCACGATTGCTTTGAGCTCCTTTGTAAGCTGTTTAGAGCAGTCATATACGTCACATAACATATCTCTCGTTACAAACTTCTTGATCTTGACCAGGTCCCCTTCGACTATTGTTTTCTCAAAATGATCATCAAGAGATTTACATGAGACGAGCAATCGATCTCTTATCTGAACGAAGAACTGTCTATTGTTAGCCATCGCATTTTCTCGTTCACAGAACGCGATGTAAAATGCAACGTAAGTGAGCGCTATCAGGTATTTCCGAGAGATCATCAAGAAGAACATGAGCTGGTGATGTAAACGTGGTATTCTCCCATCTTCACTGGCCATTGGAATCTTTCTATGGTTGCAGTTTTGCTCCTGCAATTTCTAATAATTTTGAAAAGAATAATTTCCTAGATTCATTTCTCTAGAAGCGAACAATATTCTCAAGTGATGAAAGAAAAAACCTCATAGAATAGACTCATGGAACATGATAGCTGAGTTTTTCATAGACAAGAAAGCAATTTTATCGACAAGGTTGCTAAATGCATGTTTCTGCTCGAGATTTACCCCAAAGTCATAAACGCTAACTGGTGGTGTCCCCAGAAAAATTGCATCGCTTGACCTTCTAAGTGGGCAGGAAAGGAATGCTTCTACAATATCGACTCAAGAGGCCTGTATGTTCCCACAGCTTGCTTAAGGAATGCTGGAGATGAATATGCCGGCCGGGCATACTTTTGAAACTTGGGATTAAAAGCCCCCTTTGATTGGTGGCTGCTAAAACAATTAACTAAGAACACCCAAGAACTTCGCTTGTGATATGAAGTGGCTCCTCACTCAGCTCACCCAGCAATAAGGCTAGAAATTCTTGTTTTGCTGTTGCTCTAGCTCCAACCAATCCTTCAACCATTGGCAAAGTGCATATGAACACTTTTTTCAGTAACTGCCAAGTACGATCGCAGAACTTGACTACTGCAAAACCACTTGATTAACCTTAAAGTACTCTATGCTCTTCTATTTTTGGCTTAGATGTCCTTGGAGGTGCATGAATTGATATTTCTTCAAGATTATATCTCCAGAATGCCAAGACACTTCAAAAACGTACCACTTCGTAGACAATGGATCAAAATTAAAGGCCTCAGGGAAATGATTTCATGTGCAGCCAGACTTACACCTGAATACAAAGATACTAAGATTTCTGCTTTTGAGCAATGCTTTCGAACGATAGACATTGGCTTTTTTGTTTGAGGTCCTGTTTTATCCACCTCTTTTCGAAAAGTTGGATGAATCCCTCGAGTTCTTCATGATGTAATGTGAATGAGTCTATCGAGTAGCCGACAAGGCTGTTTACTCTGCTATCAACTTGTATCACACTTCTGAATTACGTCCAAGGTCTGCGGCAGATTACTTAACGCCAAGATTGAATGCATAATTTTGTCACCAAAATTATACAATGGCAGGACGGTCTTACTCAAAGAAAAAAATGTAGAACATCAGCTTATTTCATCAATTCCGTTATTTCTAATCGCAATCAATGGCACCACTGATTACATTCAATCTGATGCGTGGGGCAATCGCCTATTGACCTTGCGATTTTTAGGTGTATTACGGCACCTTTCCATCATGACACCGAGAACCGGCGGCGAAGAAAAATTTCAAACGAAAGATCCGGAGACTCATCTTTTTGAATGACTCGTCACAATTTCAACGAAAGGGAAGATGTCAACAACGTCCAAACCCAATGGGTACATTTCGGATGAGGCATACTCTCGTATCATGGGGTTTGTTTCCGGTATGTTCTCAGGAATTGCTAAAAATGCGGTAGGCCATCCATTTGATACCGTCAAAGTACGTCTTCAGACTTCGCAAGGTACAGGAAGATTCAAAGGACCACTTGATTGTGTTTATCAGACTTTCAGACAACAGGGTGTTCGAGGATTTTATCTTGGCTTTACTCCTCCACTTGTGGGATGGATCATGATGGACTCTGTGATGCTGGGATGTTTGCATAATTATAGAATGTTACTACGCAAATACGTCTATCACCAGGAAGACAAATTGCCATTATCTGGCTGCATAATTAGTGGTGTTATGGCTGGTTGGTCTGTGAGTTTCATTGCTGCGCCTGTTGAGTTGGCCAAAGCAAAGCTGCAGGTACAGTATGACGCGAAGACAACTAAATATAAAGGTCCCATAGATGTCATAAGGAAAGTGTATTCAGCCAACGGAATTAGAGGGCTTTACAAAGGGTTAATCAGTACTTTAATTTTCAGAACTCACTTCATTTATTGGTGGGGATCTTACGAGCTATTAACACGTTGGTTCAAGAAAAATACCAACTTGAGTGACACGGCTATCAACTTTTGGTCTGGTGGTTTTAGTGCTTCGTTTGGCTTTTGGACTACTGCATACCCAAGTGACGTTGTAAAGCAGGTCATTCTTTGTAGCGATAAGTACGACGGCAGCTTCAAGTCTTGGCGCATGGCGGTCAGCGACATATGGCGGACGAGAGGCATACACGGCTTCTTCAAGGGATTTGTGCCAAGTTTCTTGAGAAGTTTCCCTGCAAATGCTGCTGCACTTGCTGCATTCGAATTTGTGCTGAGAACAAGCGGTGCAAAGGCATATGCTAAATGAGAGATATATAACATTCGTAGAGTCATGCGTATTTACTATAAAAAGCGCCCAAAAGGAGATGTGAATTGATTCTGCGGAGCTCACGCATAATGAGAACACTCAAAACACAACCTTGCGACGAATATTGGACCGTGACTATGTTTTCGATAACCTAGACGCTGACTACCCGCTACACCATGCAGGGTTCCTGAGAAACCAGAAATAATCAATACGTCTGCCTGAGGAATATAAAAATGTAATGATAATGATGAAAATAAGGATGATTATGATAATGATAATGACCGATATGCGTATGCGTATGACTCAGCTACTGGACAGAACTATCCTCCTCTGTACCATCTAGGAAATTCTTTAAGTGCTGCTCGAATTCTGTTTCGATAGCATAATAAGTGGACAAACTTTCAAGGTTCTTCGCCCGCGAAAAACTATCCACCGTCTCAGATTCAGTTACCGTCTTACTACTTGCTTCTTTGGTCACTGGTTCTCTTCTTTGGTTTGCTTCCCATGGCTTAGTCCTAGGTTGCAATTGAGATTTGGTTCTTAACGACTCGTCGTGAGCAATATTAGGCACATGAATGACATTTGGAATTGGCTTGTTGTTAACGATATGGTCCACCAGCTCGTCATAGCTTAGGTGCTGGTTGCTCATTTCGACTATTTTGTGGTGTTCTTTATTTCAGCTTTCTGCACTCCGAGAATTTTTCATATTTTGATCCCCCACTGGAGTTTGACCAGTTCACATGGTAAAAAGGTAGTTATATCACCTCAAGACAAAGATACCGAGAATGAGTATCGAGACAGCCGCGCTTTTGACTGTCTCACTCCTGGCGAGGATTGGATTTTTTCTTTACGGCGTTTATCAAGACAAACACTTCAGTGTAAAATACACTGATGTAGATTACTTTGTGTTTAACGACGCAGCCGAATATGTGTTTCATGGAATGTCACCTTTTCTGCGTGACACATATCGGTATACGCCCTTGCTTAGTTGGATACTGGTTCCCAATCATTATATAGAGTGGGTTCACTTTGGGAAAATGCTCTTTGTGATATTCGATCTTTTGACAGGTATCATCATCCTTAAACTATTGAACGAAATCAACGCACGCAAACGGCTCGTTCTTAGTAGCCTGTGGCTATTAAACCCAATGGTTATTACTATAAGTACAAGAGGAAATGCAGAAAGTGTGCTTTGCTTTTTGATTATGCTGTCTTTATATTGCTTGCACTCTGATCGGTTCTTAATGGCTGGGATCATCTACGGATTGTCAATTCACTTCAAAATATATCCAATAATATACTGTCTGCCTATTTCCATGTACATTTTCTATCAGAAAAAGCAGTGGGTTAAAACGTTACTCATAGTCGGTTGTTCGAGTCTTTTCACAGTCTTACTGTCCAGCTATTTGATGTACAAAATATACGGATTCGAATATCTAGAGCATGCTTACATCTACCATATCCAAAGGACTGATCACAGGCACAATTTCTCACTGTGGAACATGCTACTCTATTTTGACGCTGCATCACCAACGCCAAGCCAATTGGCGAAATTTGCATTTCTACCACAGATGTTAGTAACAATGGTAGTCTCAGTTCTTCTCTGTTCAAATTCCAGTTTCAATGACTTCATTTCAATACTGTTTCTTCAAACATTTTCATTTGTCACCTATAACAAGGTTTGTACATCCCAGTATTTTATTTGGTACTTGATATTTCTGCCGTTTTATTTGGCTAAAACAAAGCTCTCGTTGAGAAAGGGAATTTTAATGCTGTCAATATGGATTCTCACACAAGCGCTTTGGCTATCCCAAGGTTACCTCTTAGAATTTAAGGGACAGAACGTGTTCTTCCCTGGTATATTTGGAAGCAGTGTACTCTTCTTTCTTGGAAATATCTGGATTCTCGGTCAGTTCATCAGTGACATTAAGCATAGAAGTTATGCTTTAGATGATAAGAAAACTAAATAGATAATCGACTCCTTTTGTTAACTAGCACACTTTTAATGAGATATCATTTTTTACTATTCATTGATCATCTAGAATTCCGCTACAAAATTTTCAAGCCAAAGAGCTCATCACAAAGAAGAACAACGTATAGGAAGATAATAAACGAGTCCACTCATGTCAAGGCTTGAAGTTTATTCTCCAGAGGGACTTAGATTAGATGGTCGTCGTTGGAATGAGCTTCGCCGCTTCCAATGTTCAATAAATACGCACGCAAATGCGGCTGATGGTTCTTCTTATCTCGAACAGGGCAATAACAAGATCATTACTTTGATCAGTGGCCCACAAGAGCCAAAACTTCGTTCACAAATGAATGTGAATCGCGCAACTTTGGCGATTACTGTGAATATAACAAAGTTCTCTAAAATGGAAAGGAGCAAGTCAAGCCATAAGAACGAGAGACGAGTGCTAGAAATGCAAACGTCCTTAGCGCGTACTTTTGAAAAGAACGTCATGTTACATCTATACCCAAGGACATCTATAGACGTCCAAGTCCATGTTTTACAACAAGATGGAGGACTTATGGGTAGCCTGATTAACGGAATCACGCTGGCCTTGATTGATGCCGGTATCGCGATGTATGATTATATTAGTGGTGTGACAGTAGGGTTGTACGACACAACACCACTTTTGGATCTGAATTCATTGGAAGAAAATGCTATGAGTAGCGTTACATTAGGAGTAGTAGGTAAATCAGAGAAGCTTTCACTGCTTTTGGTCGAGGATAAGGTTCCCTTGGATAGGCTCGAAAGTGTGCTTGCTATTGGCATCGCCGGCTCTCACAGGATAAGAGAACTTATGGACGAAGAGCTCAGAAAGCACGGAAAGAAAAGACTACAGAATGCTTCATCATAGATAAAACTCAAATTCTTTAGAAGATACATACTTGTACTGTAAATTACCATCCCATCATAACTTTTTTCCAATGGAGGAAAACAATCCTTTCGATTTTTCTTTCATGGTATGTGAAAAGACCTTTCTTTTCAAGTGCGACACGTTTTGATTGACGTTAGCAACCGTACTACTCATCGTGACCCTTTTACTTAACTCGTCAGCATGGGCGTAAGCATCCCGAACATGCCTGCTTACTTTGTACTCATGGAATATGTAGTCCTTATCTGAAGTTGATGATTTAAGGGCGAAGTTAATCCATGTTTGCAGACCAGTATCATATTCTTCCAATTCACGAGAATATGCATTTAGTTTAGCAATCTTCATTGCATGGGTGGTATCCTTTGCGCTTAATACTTTATCCAAGTTTAGATTAGGAACTAGTTTTCCCTTGAGTTGTGCAATTTCTTCGACATTGGGCGCATGCACCGAGAAATCTTCTTTGAAACTGGATTGATGATGTGTCTTTTCACCATCTAGCTTTCTCATGATTGAATCAGAGTCTGCAGTTGTTTTCGTTCCATCAGATACAGGACTTGACATATTATTAGGTAGAGGGGGCAAAGAATCATGATTTGTCAACACCCCAGGAACATTGTAGATAGTTTGATTATCGTATATGGTTTTAGTATCTGCAATCGTGTGCAGATCATCGTGTTCTTCAGAGTTCGAAGGAAAGGCATTCCAAGTACTTTCAACCTCTGAATACGTAGATACCGCTCGGGCTTGTCTCATACTTGATGGATTTAGATCAACCTTTTCACCATTTTCATCAATGACAAACCCATCAGGAGCTTTTTGGGCCGTCTCTTGGACAAATCCAGATCGGTGAGAATCAGTATCGGGTCTCCATTTTCCCAAATTAATAGATTGTCTGGATTCTACTGCAGTTTTCTTATGCTCAGAATCTGAAGTATCTTTGTCATCTTCATTTTCTGTTTCCTCATCAAGTTCGTTTTCAATAGCGGCCTCGGTAGCTGAGACACTTGCTTCGTCATGAGTAAGTGATTTAGAACGATTAAGACTTTGTGTTATGGAATTGTCATCACTACTGGAATCCAAATCTTCTTCATCGATAGCCTGATCGCTTTTCGCATCATCAGTATGCGAGGAATGTCCATCATCAACCATATCAGCATAGTAGCCTCCCTTAGGAACATGAAACGAGCTGACATCGGCATTTCCCTCGTGTCCGTCATCACTTGATTCTATTATCGAATCTCTTTCGCGATTACTGAACTTAAAAGATCCATTTTCAATTCCAGGACTTTTTGTGATGGACTGCACGTAAGAAGCAGATTCATCTGCAGACTCATCAGTGGAATAAGTATCGTGATTATATGCCAAATCGGTATTTTGAGTCTGTTTGAGTTTGATTGGCGAGGATGAAAACGAAGAGACCTCCCTCATATGAGCAGGAGATGACTGTGAGCTGTTGTTACCATACTGGTTCAAAAATGAATCATTTCCATCTGACTCCTCAATGACTTTAGTTCCTCGAATACCCTCGATTGAACGGGCACTGTGCGCTTCAGACTCATCTGACGGCTTTCTGAGTCCTTCGCTCTTCGAAACTTGCTGGGGGAGATCCAATTCTTGAATACTTTCAGATTCATTAGGAGTTTCAGTTTCTAAATGCTTTTCAATTTCCGTGCCAGACCTTTTGATTTCAGAAAGTCTTTTCTCCGAGGGAGAAGAGCGGCCTAACTCCGTATTTTCTCCTGTGTTGGTAGCTTCGGGCTCTTCGTCGTTCTTATGGAGAGTTGTGCTCTCATTAGTTAGCTTATTTGAAGCCTCTGAGTTTTTAAAATGCTTAACGGAACCCGTATCTTCTTCAGATTTTTCATCCATGTTATCGATTACATTTTCCTTTTCATCATCCAGGGCAGCGGAGTCATCACCAGAATTATCACCAGAATTTCCCGACAGTGATTTTGAATCATTATTGCCAGGTAATTTATGTGATTCGTCTCCGATGTAGCTACTAAAATAACCGTTTTTCGACACCCTAAGTTCGTCATCCGAGTCAGAGATTTCTGAGGCCCCACCAACTCGTAATTCCTCATCTGAATCACCAATACTATCGTCAATATAACTAGAAATACGCTTAGAGTCAGCACCTGCAGCTTTCATTGCGGTCAACTTGCTTTGAATTGGCTGCGCTGGCACCGCATTAGGAGGCATGCCAACTGGTGAGCTACTCGACAGCTGATCATTCGAGGGAAACTTTTCGACCGGTTCCGCTCTTGGAGTCATCTCTCGCGATATTTGATCCATCAATGAATCCAGATCGTCGTTAACAGAGCTCTTCGACTTACTCTCAGACCGAACAGGCGGATGCGTGTCTTCAACGCCGGGAATGGGCTTGTCTTCCTCCACATCTTTGCCATATGCCAGTTTGGGTAGTGTCGGAAGCTTCTCAATGGTTCCATGTCTGGCAGGAGAGTTCTGCTTCATTGCCTGAGGAGTTTGTTGTAGATCACTATCCCAGCCTCCCATCGCATCATCATCGCTGTTGCTGCTATCCCAATCGGCCCCATCGTACGTACCCTGAGATACGGCTGCCCATCTATACGATTTCTTTCTAGATACCTGTTCAGCCATGTCGTTGGCCACGCCACTTTCCCTATATGCTCTGGGTTGATATGTGTCAGGGAATGCCGTTTCTACGTTATAACAATCTCAAGAACGTTAGAAACAAACACGTGACAATAAAAGATGGTGTAATTCAAATTCATTTTTCCCATTAAAATTTCTTTCATGAATAGTGGTCATCGCGGATTCGAAAAGCCAGAGAACAAACCAAAGATGCCTCTCAAGACCGTCATTTACTGTGGAGTGTGCTCTTTCCCACCGGAATATTGTGAATTTACTGGTAAGATCAAGCGCTGTAGAGCTTGGCTGCATGAGACGCACCCTGAATTATTCCAAAAATTGTACGGAGATCTTGACGTTGAAGAGGCAGCTGCAAAACTAGCTGGGTCGTCAATTGGCGAGGAAAGAGAGGAGAAGCTGGAAAAAGATTTACGTAAATTGCAAGCGAAGCAGGAGAGTAGAGAACAGAGAGAATTGGCAAAGAAGCTGTCGTCTAAGGTCGTAATCAAGCGTGAAGCAAGAACCAAGAGGAAGTGTATGATTGCAATTTCCGGTCTTGAGGTTTTTGAAATAGATATGAAAAAACTAGCCAAGACATTCGCCTCCAAGTTTGCCACTGGTTGCTCTGTATCCAAAAACGCAGAGAAGAAGGAAGAAATTGTGGTGCAAGGTGATGTCGCTGAGGAGGTTGAGGCCTATATCCACTCGCTGCTCGAGGATAAGGGACTAAAGGACGTGAAGGTTGAGGTAGTTGACGCCAAAAAGAAAAAGAAGCCAACTACAACCCCAGCTCCAGCCGCATAAATGTTGCATAAGTACATTTTATAGTTATGTGAATGCCATTTTAGATAATCGTGTTACGTGATATACAATTTCTATCGCTGCTGGCATGGAATTGCAGTAATTGTTGGTGATTATCAAGAGAAATAAAGAGTTGTCAAACGGATAAAGAGGATATTCAAAAGTCAATTATGCGACGTGGGGACGATTCGATCGAGTTCGCTTTGGAGACGTGCCTGGTAGGTTCTGGAGTGTTTTTCTCGCGTGATAAAACATTGAACAAGCTCCTCAGTCTTCAGTATCGCGTTCACTTCCATATAATTGAACAGGAAAAGATCAACGTAGCTGCGTGTAAGGTTTTGCTTGGCGAATGCTTGAGGGCAGAGAAGGATCTTGCATCTGATTTGCATAAGAAAGTACTATTTAATTTGGTGGGGATCTTGCAGTACTATGCGAGTGCTCACGAGGAGTCTTCGAATCAATTGAAACAGGCGCAGGGACTCAAAATCGACAACGAGGCATTTGAGGTATTCCTGAACTTGGAAAATCTGTATTATAGAGGATTGTTGGAAAAAGATACAAAATCTGTCTATGTAAAGGAGCTAATGGGTATCGTTCCTAAAATTCCAAAAGAGACGCACGCCCTGATTTTTCATTACATGCAATTGATAATTGACAAGCTTTCTATGAATTGGAAGACAGTACTTTCGAGCTTCCCACCAAGTCCTTTGACTTATTACATTGCTGTACATCTGGATTATAAAGGACATGATGAAGATCTACTGAATATTGGAAAGAAGTATTTGGCAGCTGCGAAGTTTCCCACGGCCGATGAATTCAATAACTTCGATCTTGAAGAATTCCATGCAGTACTTCAGTACTATTTCAGAACACAGAAGTCAAAGATCTCTCAACAATGGAAAGAGGTGATTGTGGGATCGATGTCTAAAACTTTCCAAAGTATGAGAGTTTCAAAAAGTGCCATGTGTTACTTTGCGCATGAAGGTAAAATTCATGAATCCATATTGAACTTTGTTAATCTAGTAAATTATAACAAGAACTACGAGGATCTAAACAATGGTAAGCTTTTTGATTTCACATCCCTAATTCAGGTTTATCAATTTATCCTGACCAAAGCGGCTGGGCATGACATACCCCATATTTTTAATTATCAGGAAACAGTAGAACGATTTTTGAAGTTATTAGAAACTTTTTACGCTCATTATTCTGTCCCTGTGATAAAAAAGGAGGACTCCTTGGACTGGATCTCTAACTGCACAAGACTTGTGCTCCCCAGGATGTTAACAAAACTATTAGCAAAATCCTGGCACACCTTTTACATCCAAAATTCCCAGAGCCTCTCAAAGCTCATAAACAACGATAACAGTTACTATTTGGCAAACTCACTAAGTGCTGATCCAAATAATAGCACCGTTAAATTCCAGTACGCATTTACGTTAGCCCAAAGAAGAGAGATTCAGCTGGCAATCAAATTTACCAAATCTGCTATTTTGGAAACTGAACCGAACAATTATCAGGCTTGGCACTTACTTGCCTTATGCGAGTCTGTTAATGAAGATAAAGATGTGTCTTTCAAAATTGTGTGTTCAGTACTAGAGGCAATGAGAGAAGCTAATGAGGAAGGATCGATAAGCTCTGCACGCGACAAGTGGCAGTATATTCATCTCAAACTTACTCAACTAAGCATTATGGAAGACATTCTTGGTGCAAATGATGCTCTTGAACTGCTACCTGATTTATTTCAGCTGTTTAATAATCTTTTTGAAAAAGGCGAATCTAATATAGGCGCTGCTTCAAATCAAACGAAAGAGTACCTTTTGCAACTATTGTGGCTATTTGCTTCAAGATTATACATGAGTGCGGAAAATCAAGATGAGGCAGAAAAGTCACTTTCAGAATCGTTGAAGGTAGAAGCAGGATTCAAAAATTTGAACAATAATCTTGCGGCGGGGTATTTGGCTTTAGAAGCTGATGGAAACAAAGCCCTTAAGGAGTTTGAAACAGTGCTATTCTATGACAAGCTAAATGTTGACGCAATAGTTGGTATTGCGAAATCATTACTGCCTGACGTGCAGGTAGAATCCCAACATAAATTAGTAAAAATAGGTACAAAGCCTAAACTTAGAAGGGACGGATTTTCTGGTGAAAGAGATAGATCAGCTGCTTTTGCGAGATTGAAGCTCTTATTAGAGCAGGCCATTGAGAAATCGATAGATGCTTACAACACACCGGAGGTTTGGTGGTACTTATCTCAAATATACGAATTGTATGGGGATGCTGACAGACAGGAAATCTCGCTCTGGAACTGCGTGAAATTTCAAGAGTTGCAGCCAATACGTGACTTCAGAAATTGTAATCTTTAATTGTTAACCCTGTCTATAGTGAAGGATTTGCCTGACCTAGGTTATTGGATTTTCATATTTACTGATCCTAGTAAATGTACTTTAAATGAAAATTTCAGAGTTTAAGATACTCATGAATCATTCAAACCTGTATAATAGTTTAAACTGATTTTCACAAAACGTCGCTTCCTTCATTTCAAATTTTATTTGTAATGTTTACGGCAATATTTTATAATGGTCATCAAAATTAAATAAATGCGTTTTGTCTTATCCTCAAGCAAGCTCTTTGAATTTGTTGCAGCAATTGTTCTGTAGCACTTTTCACCATTTACCATTTAGCACGCTCAAAGTTAAAAATATTTGTCGAAACGAAATTTCGTATCGTGCTTTTTTAAAAAAACACCAAAGATCCGGGAACAATTGCTGGCACACGTTCCACAACCATGTCATCATCATCATCCTTTTTGCCGAAATCTTCTGATCTCCATCTCAGAGAGAGAAAAAAGAATTTTGATGTTGATGAGTTGGAGCTTGCAACAGATGAACCCTTCAATGAAGAGAAAGACACGAAAAGTGCGAACTTAAGTAAAGCACAAACTCTGCGAAAAAAGATAGGACAATTTGGCGATAAACTAGCACCCACCTTACTTACTTTGCTAGCATTTTATGTCCGCTTTTCGGGAATTGGAAAGAACCCAGGCGTAGTTTGGGATGAAGCGCATTTTGGAAAGTTTGGCTCTTACTACATCAAGAATGAATTTTATCATGACGTACATCCTCCTTTAGGTAAAATGTTGATAGGACTCAGCGAATACTTAGCCGGGTTTAATGGGGATTTTGATTTCTCTTCTGGTGCTACTTATCCTGATCATTGTAACTTTGTATTCATGAGAAGGTTCAATGCGGTTTTCGGAGCACTGTGCACACCTGTTGTCTACTTCACCGCGAGAAATATGGGATTCAGCTTATTGACAACATACCTCTTAACTCTGATGGTTACGCTCGAGCTCACGTATGTTACTTTATCTAAGTTCATCCTATTGGACTCGATGCTTCTATTCTTTACTGCTGTGACTTTCTACTGTGTAACGAAGCTTCATACCCTGAGGACACAGCAATTCACTCGCGAATGGTCTTTATGGATGCTTTTGTCTGGTTTATCGGTCGGCTGCGTTTGTTCTGTGAAATGGGTCGGACTCTTCATCACCTTGGTCATGGGAATCTACACAATTGCAGATTTATTTTCTCATCATTGCAATAAGTCAATGCCCCGTATTCAATATTACAGACACTGGGTCATTAGAATAATTGATCTTATAATAATCCCTTTTATGGTCTACTTGTTTTGTTTTAAGATTCATTTTGCAATTCTCCACAAGTCGGGCACGGGAGACGCATCTACAAATACTCTTTTTCAAGTGAACCTAGATGGTACTAACATCGAGATGGGGCCTCGCGATGTTCATTATGGATCGCATGTCACGATTAGATCTCATGGTTTAAGTCCTAACCTTCTGCACTCACACGCGCAAAGTTATCCAGTAGGTTCAGGTCAGCGTCAAATAACTGGGTATGGTCACTCAGACGATAACAACATATGGGTTGTGCAGTTTTCAAGAGGTTCAGGCCTTGAAGTTGATGACCAAGGGCTTCTGAATAATGAGAGCTTTCCTTTGACAGACTTTTCCGAAATAAGACTAGTTCACAAGAACACAGAATCTAACTTACACTCCCATGACATCCCATCCCACGTTTCAAAGGGTAACTTCGAGGTATCAGGCTATGGAGATAAAATAATTGGAGACTCAAAGGATGATTGGATTGTGGAAATTGTTGAACAGCTCGATTCGGCTAACAAGAGTTACCATGAGGAGGATCCAAACCTAGTGCACCCTATTTCAACCAGTTTTAGACTACGGCATAAAGAATTAGGGTGCTACCTTGCCACAACAGGCTTAGCATATCCTTCATGGGGATTTAAGCAGGCAGAGATTGTTTGCAAAAATTCTTGGAGTAAACGAGATAAATCAACGTGGTGGAATATTGAGGATCATTGGAACACAAATTTAGATCTTGACGAGGGTTATGTTCCTCCAAAATCTAAGTTTTGGGCGGATTTTATTTTGACAAATTTTGCTATGGCATCTTCGAATAATGCTCTCGTTCCAGATGAAGATAAGTACGATAACTTAGCGAGCGAGGCTTGGGAGTGGCCAACCCTTCATGTTGGCTTAAGAATGTGTGGCTGGTCGAATTTTACTGTCAGATACTTTTTGTTAGGCTCTCCGTTCAACACATGGCTGTCTTCTCTTTCACTTATAATTTTCATTTTCATCATCTCAGTCAAGGCATACAAATGGAAAAGGCAGACATTGAATTTGTCTGAGGATGATTTTTGGACAATTTTTATCCAAGGAATTTTACCAATGATTTCATGGGTATTTCATTATGTTCCATTCGTGCTAATGGGGAGAGTAACATATGTGCATCATTACGTCCCTGCTCTCTACTTCGCAATATTAGTCTTTGGATTTGTGCTCGAATCGCTATTTTCGAAGAGAGCCGCCTATGTGAGGTACCCAGCATACATGTTCCTGTTTGGAGGATGCATTTACGTTTACATTTTGTTTGCACCAATTGCTCAAGGTATGACAGGTACGGGTGCTGACTATAAATACTTGGTATGGCTTCCTTCATGGAAAATAGTCTGAAATAGTAAAAACTTTGAAAGGTCGCACTAAATGCGTTATGAATAATACAATTTTAAGTCTCGACTTAGTCGACTCTTACGTATATAAAAGTACTCAGCAAAGTGGATTCATTGGAGATACGTTGCAATTTTGCCAGATCTCACAACTTTAGCAACTGTCCGAAAAACAGTTTGCTATGGAATAAATACGGGCGGAATGATCCGAGCTGGCGACTCCTAACAGGAGGTTTCCGTTTTTTACAAGCCGGCTCCATCTAAGCCTGTTTATTTTATCTGCAGGTGTGATTTTAGCTGAAAGTTCATGAATTTTGGCAAACGAACTGTCATAAGAGTATATCATTATTGCACCGCTTTCCAGACCAGCAGCAATCACCATTTTACCATTGAAAGCCTTGTCATGAACAGCTAGGGAAGTGACAGGTTCGGTTACTTTCACAGAGCTTTCCAGTATGAAGTCGTTTTTTTCTTCAGAAAATCTCCATGTCTTGATTGTTCTGTCACGAGAAGAAGTAACAAATACTTGTCCAAATTCCAAAGGTGCCCAATCAGCATCCCAGATAATTCTCGTGTGTGCTTTGACGTTCTTATATGCGAGGTCAAAACTGTTGTCGTTCGTATTCCTTTTCCAAACAGCCCATTGCCTATCCCTACTCACACTCAGTAGATAGGTGTTATCTTTAGAAAATCTTAATCTTGTTATTGTTAAATTGTGAAATGTTGGCGTTGGTTTAAGCTGCAACCACGTATCAGTATCTGTGATTCTGATTACAGCATGCTGTAAATTGTTAGATTTGCATGCAGAGGCAACCAACTTTTTATCAGGACTGACGTCTAAGCACGAAATCTCATAACCGTGTCCATATAGCTTTTCAATTTCAGGCCAAAGTGTGTGTCTTTGCAGTTCATCTTCCAGAGGTGGAGTTTGTAAAGATGAGACGACGTCAAATGAAATGTTGTTCACGTCATCTGTCTCTCTAGCATCCGGATCTTCTTCTTCGTCGATATCTTCTCGATTAGTGGCTTTACTCGATAAACCAAGTGCTGGCAAAGAAGCAGACTCCGGCATCTCAGATTCATTCTCTAACTGGATATTGGCAAACTTATTCAATAATTGAGCAACACCCTTGGGCTCATCAAAGGATCGTAAGATTTTCTCGTCACCGCCACTAATGAATCTTGTATTAGTAATAGGCTCAACGCAGATCATGTCATAGCCATGAATCTGAGGTCTTGAGAATTCGAACCAGTTCGACAACTCTCTCTTTTTCCCATTTCCATTTTTCCATTGAGAGAAAAGCCGAGTGGTCTGATCCAGCGATGTGGCTAGGAGGTATTCACCGTTGGGAGCCCATGCAATATCAGTGACACTTTTACCGAATCCTGTCACAGCTAGCGCCTGTTCCCAAATTCCAGAGCAACTCGAGGTCCACATTCTCCACGAGCCCGTTTTACCGTTAGTTAGAATAAAGTCTGAATCGCTATCGGAAAACCACAGGCAAGACCAGAAACCACCAGAAGAGCCTGTTGCTGTCGAAGCACCCTTAGAGGAGAGTTCACCCAGCCTTGATGCACAAACCCAAACCCCCGAGATCTCATCTTGCTCCCAAATCATGACAGCAGTGTCAGCGGTAGAGGCAAGTAGCTGACGTTTGCTCTCATGCCACTTCAAAGACGATATCCAGTCATCATGACCGATAATAAGAGCTTCGAAATTGATTGCTACCTTTAATTCTGGAGTGACATTGAATTTGTACTGCTTATTACTCAAAAGCTTTAGTTTAGAATCGTCCTCATCAGAATTATCAATTAGATTATTTGTTCTGATTCTCCAGAGACGAATGTATCTATCCTGGGAGCCTGAAGCAAGCATTATATCACCTGGAAACTCTTCGAAAAAATCTAAAGACTTGATCCAGTCTTCATGTCCTTCTAACTTGGCGGCTAGCGTAAAATCCTTAGAGCAACCTTCGCTTACAGTGAAGCTGTAAATAAAAACGTCTTTATTAGTCCCACCTATGGCGAGCATGTATCCTTGGGATAGAAGAGGAATTAAAGATAGCGTTAGAGGAAGAACGCCTTTCTGAATGTAAAATTCGTGAGTGCAATGAAATTCGGATTCTTTGAAAGACCAAAGAGAAACAGAACCATCTGCACAACCAATAACGAAAAGATCTTGCTCCAGAACAGCCAGAGAAGTAATTGAATGCTTGTGATATTCGATTGTTTGAACGCACTCTAGCATTTCTTCATCCACAAATTTCCAAATTCTCACTTGGAAATCTTCCGAGGTAGAAACCATCATATCTGCTTCCTGGAAGAATCTAATACATGTTACCTCAGACTTGTGACCCTTAAGAGTCGCGAACACTCCACGATTGGTAGGATCCAGTGGTCTCCATAGTGCAATGGTCTTTCCAGCGCCAAAAGCAACAATTTTTCTCTTCTTGTTGAAATCACTAACTTGAGTTTGCCGGTTAGCACCAATAAAGATGGCCTCTGGAGTTGCCATGATACTATTGAAGTTAGTAGCACCTATCTAGAATAATGAGATGAGCTCTATGCTTGCAAATTTTTTTTTCTTCATGACAGAGATTTCAAGTCACATGAAAAGCTCGGCATAGCACTTTCACAATTAATAAACTGTCCATTCAATGGACTTAACGTTTATACCAGAATTATTTAACTTAGTATATAAATAGGGGTTCGTGATTTGAAAATGTGCAAGTTCTGTTTGCAATGCATGGAGGTATTTGAGTTCAGAGTAAGATCAGTTGTCAGCGTCTAGAACACAACCTTGAGATGCGTCGGAGACCAACTTAGAGTACTTTGACAAGGTACCTCTCGTGTAGCGAGGAGCAGGAGCCTTCCATTGTGATTTACGCTGAGCTAGCTCTTCTGGAGTCACAATTAGATCGATCTTGTTGTTATTGGCGTCAATGATAATCTCGTCACCATCTTGAACTAGACCAATTGGACCACCTTCAGCAGCCTCAGGAACGATATGACCAATCAAAAAACCATGAGAACCACCAGAGAATCTACCATCAGTCAAAAGAGCAACATCCTTACCCAAACCGTAACCCATAAGAGCAGATGATGGTTTCAACATTTCAGGCATACCTGGACCACCTCTAGGACCCTCATATCTGATGACGACAACGGTCTTTTCACCCTTCTTGATTTCACCCTTTTCCAAAGCGTGGATAAAGGCATCTTCGTAATCGAAAACGCGAGCTTTACCCTTGAAGTACGTACCTTCCTTACCGGTAATTTTGCCGACGGAACCACCTGGAGCCAAGGAACCGTACAAGATTTGCAAGTGACCTTGTGGCTTGATTGGGTTTGAAACCGGTCTGATGATGTCTTGACCTTCAGCTAAAGAAATACTCTTGGTGGCACGCTCTTCTAGAGTTTCACCAGTAACGGTCATGGTGTTACCCTTCAAGAATCCTTCGTTGTACAAAAACTTGATTACTGCTTGAGTACCACCGATCTTGATCAAGTCAGCCATGACGTACTTACCGGAAGGTTTGAAGTCACCCAACAATGGAGTTCTATCACTGATACGTTGGAAGTCGTCAGGTGTAACTTTGACACCAACAGAGTGGGCGATTGCAACAAGATGCAGAACGGCGTTGGTAGATCCACCAGTGGCAACAACGTATGTAATAGCGTTCTCGAAAGCTTCCTTGGTCATGACATCACGAGGGGTAATTCCGAGCTCAAGAGTCTTCTTGATGGCCTCACCAATATTGTCACACTCGGCTAATTTCTCCTTTGAGACAGCAGGGAATGACGAAGAGTTTGGCATAGTCATACCCAAAACCTCAGCGGCAGAAGCCATGGTGTTGGCAGTGTACATACCACCACAAGAACCTGGACCAGGACAGGCGTGTTCAACAACGTCCTCACGCTCCTTTTCAGTGAACTCTTTAGACAAGTACTGACCGTAGGACTGGAAAGCAGAAACAACATCAATGTTGTGAGGAACCTTACTAGAGCCGCAAGTGGGGTGACCTGGCAAGATAGTACCACCATAGACCATAATGGAGGGTCTGTTGTGTCTACCCATGGCCATCAGGACACCGGGCATGTTCTTGTCACATGATGGAATTGCAATATTGGCGTCATAATGTTGAGCCATCATAATGGTCTCAAAAGAATCGGCAATAATCTCTCTACTTTGTAGGGAGTAACGCATACCCTTGGTACCCATAGAAATACCATCAGAAACACCGATGGTGTTGAATTGCATACCTTTCAAACCGGCTTTCTCAACAGAAGCAGTGATTCTGTGGTTAAAATCTAGCAAGTGCATATTACAAGGGTTACCAGACCACCAACAGGACCCAACACCAACTTGGGCCTTTGAAAAATCATCCTTCTTGAAACCAGTAGCGTAAAGCATCGCTTGAGATGCACCCTGGTCCTTAGGTTCAGTGATGATAGCAGAATACTTGTTTAGTTTCTTGTAAGCATTCTTGGTATTTGAAAAGTGCCTGCGGCCTCCCGTGAAAGCCTGTCTACTTAGCAGACCCATTTAGATACTATACGTGGTTGAGATGCTGTTCTTGATGATTAAGTGACTCAAAAAATAATGCTCTTTTTCTTATACTGAAAAAATTTTCAGATCTCGTCAACAGCGACACCATGAATAATGCCGAATCTCATCACGTAAGAGCTTATCCTAAAAACGTTATTTAGTGATCGTTACTATGCCAGGATTATAGTTGCCGATTCTAAAAATTTGTTACAGTTTGATTTAGTCTGATGGCTTTGTTTTCTGACTGCTGTCTTGCTCATTGTTTTCGTCGTCTTCTTCGGAGTTATCCTCCTCAGCGTCATGATCCTCCTCGTCCTCTTCGCACGTGGAAGGAACATGGTCGGTATAGGTGCGAGCGAAATCAGAGGCGGGGGAACGGCCTCGGATTGCCTTGATGGGGTGTTCTTTACCTACCAGCTTGGAGTACACTTTCTTCCCAAGGGTCTTGCGAAGTAGCATTTGGCGCACTTCGAAATATAGATCCTTTGAAGCATGGTTCAGGTTATGCTGGTTCTTCTTGAAGTACGAGCGGAAATCGCGTACGTGCTTCTTGAAATCTAGTTCGTTCTTCTTTAGCCAAGATACGTTGAGTTCTTGTCGAGTAGCGCCACGGGCGAAATTGCGCATGAGGTACTTGTCGTAGTCACGAATAATCCTAGTGATGATATCGCTGGTAGAAATGCCATCAGTTCGTTGAGTGGCTATGAATTTGCCCATTTCTTTTATAGGGCGATATATATCATCGCTGTCTGCCGCAGCATAAGGCAAATCATCGTGCGCCACATAATCAATCTTGTGCTCCTCGAGAAACTTTGGGGTGACACACCAGGGAGCATCTTCAACTACCTCATCGACCCACCTGCAATGTCTCAGAGTTTCGTAACGTTGCTGGTCTGTCAATACCGTAAGACCTTTTAAACGGTGTGTGACTTCGTCAGAGGGAACACCACATATCAGCGTGACATTTGGGAAGCATTTCTTACATTGTTCCAATTGTTTCATGTGTCCCAGATGGAATAGATCGAAGACACCATCTGCGTACACCCGAATTGGGCGGTCCGTAGGTGGCAGGTTCAAAGGGAAACCTCGTGGTCTATACTTACGCAGCTCCTCTGGAAGTGCCGCATCTAGTTCACGCTCATGTTCATCTTCTTTTTGCTTCTCTGCGGAAGACTTCCGTCTTCTTTTGGCTTTGTGAGCCGGTTCTTCGTCATCATATTTTGTGTCTTCTGAATCTGATCTTTCCACTGCAGAGGTCTCTGTTGACGCAACATCCTCTTCACGAGACCTTTTCCGATTCAATTTGAAAAGATTGGTGAGCGAAGAGTTGCTCAGACGATCTTTCAACGAGTTTTGACGTGATAGAGGTGCCATTGTACTTGTTGTCTGTAGCAGTGTGATCCCTGAAGTGTTGGGTATTTAGGAAAATTTTGCGACATGTGAACGATGAACCATATTAAAATACAGAAAAGAACCGTTGATGCAATCCCGCTCAATCGCTGCCATACGGTATGTGGATGCCAGTGAACTCTACCAGTGGATGAAACAAGGTGTCACAAGTATGGGGGAGCAATTTCAGGTTATAGATGTTCGTGGAAGTGACTATATAGGTGGGCACATTGCAAAGGGATGGAATTACCCTTACAAGCAACTACGTGACAATGACGACGTGCTACAGGATCTCGTAGATAAACTTAAGGCAAAGGGCGATGGGGTGATCAATTGCGTTTTCCACTGCGCATTGTCACAGCAGCGTGGACCATCGGCCGCAATGCGGTTCTTGAGATGTATTTCAGATGAGGACTTGTCACGATTCCGCGTGTGGGTGCTCAGAGGAGGATTTAATCATTGGCAAGGTGTTTATGGGTCCGACCCATCCGTCACGGAAGCATACCGTGCAGAAATTTGGAGTATGTAGTTATATTTAGGCAACACGCTTTATGATATGGACGCCACTGTCAGTTTCAACTGGGCCCGACATTTCGCCTACTTTAAGTGCAAACGCAGCTTTTTCAAAAGGAGGCTGCATTTCGCCGCGACTGAAGTACCCTAGGTCACCGCCACGTTTGAAAGAAGAACAATCGCTGCGTTCTTTGGCCACATCTTCGAACCGTTCGCCGCTATCGATTTGTTCTTTGCACTTGCTCAACTGCTCGAGTGCCTCTTCTTTAGAGATGGTGATGGGATCTTGACGATGAGATGCGGGCCTTCTAGAGCCGTTGTGCTTGATCAGAACATGTAAGCAGCGGACCTTTACTGGGTGCTCAGAAAGATACTTCTTGAGCGCTTCATGATCGGTTCCTTCGGGCTCTTCCCATTGCGATTGCTTGGACTCTGGGTTGAAAAAGTATTCTCTGCGCTTAGATTTGCTAAACCGCACGGTCCAGGGTGTGGGCAGACCTGTAGACATCCTGTTGTGAGTGACGAGAAGACGAAGGATGGCGTTGCCAGAGTGAAAACCTAATCAGAGTTAGGGAAAGCCACATGTTGCACGGATAAATTGGAAATGGGGTCACGTGGTTGCATTTTCGTTCTGGCATCTGTATCCGTTAAAGCCATCTGTAGCGACTGCCTGCGACTAGCCACTGCATGCAAGTGAAATGAATGTCCTCAATGCCCCTGCTGCGTGTTTTCGAGAACGTGCAGCTCCGTGGGTCGCCTGAGTGATCTGGCGCGAATGTTGCGACGAACATGAGGAGTTTGCGGAAGTCCAGCTCGCAGTCTGAAATATTCGAGTTTGTAGTTTCCAATTGCGTTCGTTAATACTTCGCATTCCTCGACATCTCTCGTGTGTGTCACGACTTACCACCCCTGCCCCTGTGTTTAACAAGAGTACCCTCTATTGGACCGAAAACAAAGATGTTCAAACACTCATTCGCTTCTTGATTTCCACATTGTATCGACCTCACGCACCGATAGTCTCCAGTAGTGAATCATCTGCTACCATTCTCATCTTAGTTGTGTTTTGGTTTACAACAGCCGCCCGTAGAAAGATGAGATGAAAAATTCACGTGGCTCCGGAAAATGACAGCCAGAGTCAAATTTGTCGTTTGGACAAATGGGTCGTATTTAAACTTGATAAGATGGTGAGGCCGCAAGATTTCGGAAATACACTTCATCCATCAATTGAGATATGCCAGCGACTCTAATCGACGGTAAAACAATTGCAAAGGAGATTCGCGGCGAGATCGCACAAGAGATCAAGTCAATTAGGGAGAAAAATGCGTCTTTCAAGCCCACATTGGCCATCTTCCAGGTTGGAACAAGACCAGATTCTACTACGTATGTGAAAATGAAGCGTAAGGCTGCAGAAGAGGCAGGAATTGACGTTATGTTTGTGCATTTGGAAGAAGATGTCTCTGAACACTCTTTACTTTCACAAATCCAAGAGATGAACCATGACCCTGCCGTGCATGGTGTATTGGTCCAATTGCCTGTGCCAGCTCACATCAGCGAGGCCAAAGTGACATCTGCCGTTGAAGCACGCAAGGATGTGGATGGTTTCGGTCCTTATAATATCGGTGAGCTTAACAAGAGAAACGGTAAACCTTTTTTCCATCCTTGCACGCCTCGCGGGATCATCGAGCTGCTGACCAGGTCGGGTGTTCAAATTGCAGGGTCCAAGGCGGTGGTAATTGGCAGATCCGACATTGTTGGAGCGCCAGTTGCAGAGCTTCTCAAGTCGCTCGACGCTACCGTGACGGTGCTGCACTCGAAATCCAAGGATATCGCCTCGTATGTCGCGGAGGCTGACATCGTCGTTGTCGCGATTGGTAAACCAGAGTTCGTCAAAGGTGAATGGTTCAAGGACAACAGTAATGCAGTGGTCATTGACGTTGGTACTAATTTTGTCGACGACTCGAGCAAGAAGAGCGGCTACCGTTGCGTTGGTGACGTGGAATTCGACGCAGCACGTCAATACGTCAAGCTCATTACGCCAGTGCCCGGTGGAGTTGGCCCCATGACTGTTGCGATGCTTATGTCAAACACTTTCATCGCTGCCAAGCGTGCATTGGAAGGCGGTGACAAGCCAGAGTTCGTTCCATTGCCCTTGAACCTAACCAAGCCCGTGCCATCTGATTTCGAGATCTCTAGAGCCCAGAAGCCCAAAGAAATCACGCAAGTGGCATACGAGGCGGGTATTTTGCCCTCTGAACTAGAGCCATATGGCTCCACAAAGGCCAAAGTGAAGCTAGATTTGCTAGAACGGTTATCATCCAGAGACAATGGTAAATACGTGTTGGTGGCGGGCATCACACCAACTCCGCTTGGTGAGGGTAAATCGACCACGACTGTGGGGTTGGCACAGGCGCTTGGTGCTCATTTGAACAGAACGGTGTTTGCCAATGTGCGTCAACCCTCAATGGGACCAACTTTTGGTATCAAAGGTGGTGCAGCCGGTGGTGGTTACTCGCAAGTGATTCCTATGGATGAATTCAACCTGCATGTTACCGGTGATATTCATGCTATCTCGATGGCCAATAACTTGTTGGCAGCAGCCATTGACACACGTATGTTCCACGAGTCTACCCAAAAGGATGCTGCGTTGTACAAGAGATTGGTGCCAAGTAAGCGTGGTTCTAGAAACTTTACTCCAACGATGAAGAGAAGATTAAAGAAACTGGGAATCGACAAGGAGGATCCAAACGACTTGACTCCTGAGGAAATTACAGCATTTGCCCGTTTGGACATTGACCCAGACACTATCACATGGAGAAGAGTCGTGGATTGTAACGACAGATTTTTGAGAGGTATTACTATTGGTGAAGCTCCAACGGAACGTGGGTTCACCAGACACACAGGGTTCGACATTTCTGTCGCGTCCGAATGTATGGCGGTGCTAGCATTGGCCAATTCCTTATCTGACATGAGAGAGAGATTGGGTAGAATTGTCATTGGTGCCTCCAAGGCGGGTGTTCCAATTACCTGTGAGGACATTGGATGTGCAGGTGCGATGACCGCATTGCTAAAAGATGCTATCAAGCCCAACATTATGCAAACTTTGGAAGGTACGCCGGTGTTTGTGCATGCGGGTCCATTTGCCAACATTTCGATCGGTGCCAATTCCGTGTTGGCCGATAAGATGGCATTGAAACTAGCAGGTGTGGACGCAAGTTTGTCGGAAGAAGAGAAACGTGACAACCAAGGTTACGTTGTGACCGAGGCGGGTTTCGATTTTACCATGGGTGGTGAGCGTTTCCTAAACATCAAGTGTCGGTCTTCGGGTCTTGTTCCTGACGTAGTGGTGATTGTCGCGACGGTGCGTGCGTTGAAGGTGCACGGTGGCGGGCCCGAGGTGAAGGCCGGAGCTCCATTGCCAGCTGCATACTTGAACGAGGACGTGGATTTGTTGAGAAAGGGCTGTGCGAACTTGGCCAAGCACATTGCAAACGCGAAGGCCTACAACTTGCCCGTGGTGGTGGCCATCAACAAGATGTCTTCTGACACGGAGCGCGAGCACGCGGTGATCAGAGAAGAGTCGATCAAAGCGGGCGCGGTGGACGCGATTGTGTCGAACCACTGGGAAGAAGGTGGCAAGGGCGCGGTGGCGCTTGCCGAAGGAGTGATCAAGGCATGTGAGCTTCCAAAGCAAGAGTTTAAGTTTTTGTACGAGACAGAGGGCTTGTCGGTCGAGGACAAGATTGGCGCGATTGCAAAGGAGATGTACGGAGCGGGCGAGGTGGAGTTTTTGCCCGAGGCACAGAAGAAGATCGAGCTGTACACGAAGCAAGGGTTCGGCAACCTGCCCATCTGCATTGCCAAGACGCAGTACTCGCTGTCGCACGACGCCAACCTCAAGGGTGTGCCCACGGGGTTCAAGTTCCCAATCCGGGACGTGCGTGCGTCGATCGGGGCCGGGTACTTGTACGCGCTGGCGGCGGAGATCCAGACGATTCCCGGTCTGCCCACGCACTGTGGGTTCATGAACATCGAGGTGAACGACGAGGGCGAGATCGAGGGCATGTTCTAGAAAAGTGAAGGCACGCGGACGACGATTACGTAAAGCAGTAGTTTATTAAGATATTTAGATTTTCAACGCATACAGAGAGAGAGCGAGAGCGAGAGCGGGAGCGAGAGAGCGACGCTAGAAGCGGGCGCGGATCGCGCTGGGTTTGTCGTACACGACCAGGCCCTCCTGGCGCACGGAGGCGACGATGTCGCCGGAGGCGGCGTCGTAGTAGCTGCCGTCGACGAGATGGCGGTCGCCGCTGGAGCGCGGGTTGCGCACGCGCAGCGCGAGCCAGTCGCAGACGGGCGGGCGGGCGTGGAAGTGGATGACGTGATCCAGCGACACGCTGAAGCGGTGCGAGTAGAGCGGGAGCTGGTGGAAGTACGGGAGCGTGAGCAGCAGGTAGGCGTCGGAGAGGTAGGCGAAGGCGACGTAGCAGAAACGCGGGTCTTTCTCGAGCGCGGCGGCGACCTGGTCGCGGCGCACGCGCTGGTAGTAGTCGAGGTGGTCGTGGCGGGCGCGGGCGTAGAAGATGTCGGGCGGGAACTGGTACTCGACGGCGCCGCGCTCGAAGCGGTCTGCGAAGGCGGCGACGTGGCGCTCGGAGTCGAAGCCGTGGGCCACGTGGTTGTAGCGGTCCCAATGGGCGGCCACCTGGTCGCGGAAGAGGCGAGCGGCGTCGACGCAGCTGCTACGGGGGAGAGGGTCCGAGATGCGGTCGCGGTGGAGCGTGGTGTCGGTATCGCCGGTATCGCCGGTATCGCCGCGGCGCTTCTTATCTCCGCTTCCTCCGCTTCCTCCGCTTCCTCCGCTTCCTCCGCTCCCCCCGCCCCGCGCCCGGTGGAACAGCACGTTCGACACGAAGATCAGCCGCCCGTGCTGGAACGCGCGCACCTCGCGGTGCTCGAAGTTGCGCCCGCGGCGCAGCGCCTCCACCTCGTAGCTGATGACCGCTCGCGGGTCACCGCCCACGACGAAGTAGCAGTGCACCGACGAGGGTTCGAACTCCCGCGCCACCGTGTGCAGCGACGCCAGCACCGACTGCGCCACGAGCGTGCCGCCGAAAGTGGCGCGGCCGCCGACGGGCGCGGCGGGTTCGTGCGCGGTGACGAACCGCGTGGGTGACACGGGTAACAGCCGGAGCAATTTTTCTAGCGACGGCATGCGGATGAAAGGATGGGGCGTATATGAGGCCGCGTCGTGATTTCGACGCGCGCCCCTTATATACGCGGTTGGAGAAACAACCAGCGTGAGCGGACCACACACACGAGATGACGTTGGTCGAGGAAGCGACACGGTTTATTCTGGAGACACTGGCGGAGCCGGCGGGGCCCGCGGGGCCCGCGGGCCACGGCACTAACGCCGGGGCCGCGTCGGCCCCGCTTGTGGTGTTCGTGTCCGGGCCGCAGGGCTCGGGCAAGACGTACTCGACGCGCGCGATCCACGCCGGGCTCGAGCGGGCGCGGCCGCAGCTGCGGTGCGCCAGCGTGTCGATCGACGATTTCTACCTGACACACGCGGCCCAGCACGCGCTGGGCGCGCGTTACCCGGACAACGCGCTGCTGCAGGGCCGCGGCCTGCCAGGCACGCACGACATGCCGCTTCTGCGCGCGTTTGTGGCGTCGCTAGGCACCGCTGCAGGCACTCTGCAGGTGCCGCAGTACGACAAGGCGCAGTTTTGCGGCGAGGGCGACCGCGTGGCGCCGCGGTCCGTGCGGTTGCCGCTGGACGTGGTGCTGATCGAGGGCTGGTTTTTAGGGTTTGAGGCCGTTGGCGCACATGCGCTGGCGCGCATGTACGCCGAGGAAACTCCGCGCGGCCAGGCGCTCCGCAGGCACGGCCTGCAGCAGCTCGTGCAGATCGACGCCGCGTTGCCCGCGTACGCGCAACTGCTGTGGGACAACCCGGCGGTGAGTTCGGTCGGAGTGGTTTTAGCCGCCGACGTCGCCAACGTTTACCGCTGGCGTGCACAACAGGAACAGCAACTGGTGGCGCAGCACGGCAGCGGGATGTCGGAGGAACAAGTGCGGAGTTTCGTGGCGCGGTACATGCCGTGCTACGAGGTGTACTACCGGACGCTGGCGCGCGACGGGTTGTTGGGGAACCGGGGGACGCTGGTGGTGGAGCTGGACGAGGAGCGGCGTGTGCGGTCGAGCTTGCGGAGGGGTGATGTGGGAGGAGTGTTGAAAGACTTGAGCGAGAAAGGCTGTTAGAAGACTGTGCGTAGTTAGAAGCGTAGTTAAAGCAATGTAGGTACTGTTAGAAGACTGTGCGTAGTTAGAAGCAATGTAGGTACGTTTGGCATGCTGTGGGCAGATTTAGCACTTTGGGTATTTAGAAACACGGTGCCTACGTATTGTATGCTGTGGTACGTATTGTGTGCCGTGGTACGTATGGATATCCTATAAGCACGTTAGAAACACTAAGCGTACATTTGACATGTTGTGCTGGTTCTACACACTGAGTAGTTCTACACGATGTAAGCATTTCTCCACGATGCAAGCATCTCTCCACGGTGTAAGCATCTCTCCACGGTGTAAGCATCTCTCCACGGTGTAAGCATCTCTCCACGGTGTAAGCATTTCCACCCACTCGAGTGCTTCGACACATTGTGAGTACTTGACCCTCGCTACTGCACTCGCCTCCAGGTACCTCAAACACCCGCTACAGCTCCGACGACAGCGCTGCCTCCGCCAGCTCGCGCGCCAGCGGCGGCGTCTCGTCGTCCGGAGCGCCGATTTCGTCCCAGGGGATAATCCAGCGAGACGGGCCGCGGGTCCCGAGCCGTGTGCAGTGATCGGGAGCTGTTTCTGTTACCCGGCCGGGAGGCCACGTCGCGCACGTGGGTTTCACGTGACTCCCAGTGGCACGTGATCCGCCTTCCACCGCTGCTCTCGTCGTATCCTCCACCACTCTCGAACTCGTCTCCACCGCTCTTGTAGCCGCCGCTGCTGCCGCAGCTGCGGCCTCCGTCGCCGCCCCCGCAGCCTCCGAGATCGCCCCCACCCGCTGCTCCAGCCACGCCTGGCGCTGGGCCACCTGCTGCATGTCCCGCGACACCAGCTGCACCACGTTGCACAGCGTCTCCATCTGGCGCGCGAGCCCCTCGACCGTGGTCTGCACGGTGGCCAGTGCAGCGTCTGTCCGCGCCGTCTGCTGCTGTTGCGCGTCGCCCAGCCGTTGCAATTTCCCCGTCACGTCTGGCGCTCGTAAAGTTAGTCAATTATTCCCTCACGGTTCTCGTAGCGGTATCCAAGCGTTCACTAACCCGTCAAGTCGCGCACACCGCTCGTTACGGCCCGCAGACTCTCGCATGACGCGTGCAATTGCTGCGAGTTGCGGCCCAGCTCCGCGATCAGCCGCGACGACTGGTCCCGCAGCTCGATCGACTCCAACTCCAGCTTCCCGGCCCATTGTAAAATCTGCTTATCCGTCTCGTCCTCCATATACCGCCTGGGCGAAGAGTAATCTGTACTTTGATCGCTTTCCGCCATGTGTTTATCCACGTCGTTGCAGCTTTCTGGCGTCCTCGTGTGACAAAACGATTTGGCATGTTGCGAAAAATCAACCTCATCTGCAACCGTAGCGCTCCAAACTCTCCCACACTGCAAACACCCAATGTCGCCACTGTTGAAGGACTTTCTCAACAAGCGGGTCGTGGTCGTGACGACTGACGGGCAATGTTTCACCGCTTTGCTCGAGGGCTTTGACAAAAACACCAACCTGCTGCTTTCCGACGTGCGCGAGCGTTTCAGCCACGCCCTCGTGGCCTCGTCCTACCTCATGCGCGGAACCCAGGTCGTGTGTTGTGGGCTGTTGTCCACGCAGGACAATCCTGGCAGCACGCTGCCCTCTGCACCAGCCTCCGCACCGGCCTCCGTCCAAGCACCCACCACCGCTCTCAAGGACACCAAAAACAGAATCCCCAACGAGCATCAGATCTGGGAAAAAGTGTGGGCAGCCAAGACCGCCAAATAGCATTCCAAACAAACAATTGTTCCTGTATACGTATGTACATTATAGAAATCTCTGCGCTGAAAACCACTAGCGCCCCATCTGCAGCGACGCTCTCTTTTACACATACTCTTTCTCGGCTCCAATTGCACAGTCGGGTGGGATCCCCAGCTGGTGCATCTTCACGGCCAACTCCATCAGGTAGTCGATCGCTTCGTTGTAAACTTTGGCCTTGTCCACGCTCGGACCCCACACGTAGATCCCGTGTCTTCTCACAATGACCGCTGTCGCAGCAGGATATTTGGCCAAAGCCTCTTGCAATCCCTCCGTCAAGTCCTCCTCGTGCGCCGTGTTCTCGATGATCGGGATAACAAGCGTGTCGAAAAACGACAAGTTGATATCCTTGCCCGTGGCACCATCCCTCTTCCCACTGGGGATCGCTTTGATTTGCTCGATATTGGCAATTCTGAACTCGTCTCCAAATATGAGTGAGCACATCACCGCATGTTGCGAATGCGTGTGAATAACGGCACCAGCACCTCGCTGTTTGTAACACGACAGGAAAAGAGGCGTGCATGCACTGGGCTTGTACTTTTCCGGCGCTCTCAAGTACTTTTCTGTGTTCAAGTCCATTACAAACATGTCCTCGGGTTGCAATTGCTCCTTTTGCACCCCGGACGGGGCAATATACACGTGTGAGGAGTCATTGAGCTTGATGGAAATACCCCCGCCAGTGCCGGTGACCCAATTGTTGTAATAAAACGTCTTGCACAGCGAACAGATCAAATTCGCGGGGTGTCTGGGGTCCGAGGACGAGACAAACTCATCTCTCGATGTGCCCACATTCTCCCCAGCTTTTTCGGCTAGTTTTCCACACTCACAAGGTGACATTTGGCCTGTTTGTCTTGCTGATGAGCAAGCATGGCTCCAAACCGTTGAAATTTTTTTTCGGCTCTGTCTAGCGATTGTTCCATCTCTACGACAGATAAACGCCATGGCAAGCACAAGTAGCGAGGCCAAGAAGCTTCTCAGAGCAATGCTCACTCCTAAATTCGGTTACATATCAGTCTTGAATCATCACACCTCTCTTTTTATCACTCCTCTCTTAATCATCACCCCTCCTAATCTTCATTTTCCATCTTCATCAATCCCCTCTGATCATCAACTCATCAACACAATTAAAAACTAGTCAAACTATAAACCTCGCTCCAAACTCACTGCGGCTTAGAAAAGTTTTCCGTTCCGCAATTCTTACAAATGCGATATTTGATATCGCTGTCAAAGGTCTCGATACCCTCTTTTACCTGAGTACCAAGGTCACGCATTTGAAAATCGAACTCGCATACAACTTCCTTACACTTGGAGCAATACCAACGCAACTTGTCGTGCTGACCCTCAGGTCTATCCTGTTCAACCACGATCCCTACAGTGTCTGCGTAACGGACCGGGTTGTGCGGAACGTTAGCTGGTAACAAGTACGAGTCGCCCTCGTTAATTTGCACATCCTTAAATCTTTCCTCCCCTTCCAAGCTCTCATCTACCACACGCAGTGTCATAAAGCCCTTCTTCTGGTGAAACCATTCCGGCGTCGGATTTACATGGTAATCCGTCCGTTCGTTGGGCCCACCGATAATCATAACGGTAAAACCACCTCTGTGGAGACAATAGTTATTTACCGGTGGTTGCAATAAATGTCCATTCTCCTGCAACCATTTTTCCAGGTTAATTGGCGTCGTGTTAAGCATTTCTGATACTTGAAAAGTGAGCTGATTAAAGAGAAATGTTCTCAAGACTATTGTCAATTTAAGGCTAAAATGACAACCATCACGTGAGTCATCGTCATTTAGGTTTGGCTCCATTATTCAGGGACATCATTCAGTGGATTTGCTCATCTTTCCTATGGCCAGGACATCAACTTTAACTGTATAACTCGTGGTTCTTCACTCAATATCATGTCTTTCCTCATTGCTGACGATTAAGGCGATTTGGCAATTGTAACTGGTTCCCCTTCCTTACATGCTCCCAAGACAAACATAAAGGCATGAGTCAAGAAGCTGAACAGATAATAAGAAGCATTCCCTTGCAGAACCTTCATTCTGGTCTATTCCCACATTCAAGACCGAAGCTTCAACTGCCGTCCTTGTTTCTACCAGAAACCACACCTGCAGAACAGCATCTGCATGCGTGGGTTGAGGAATGCGATAGAGTAACACAAGCGGTGGAGGAACGAGATACCGAAACCAAAAAGTTTGATGATTGGTACAGAGAAAACTACCTCCGCAGACAACCTCCTGGTATGATGGAAAGCACGCTTCTTTCGCCTTCCAAAAGAAAATGAATGTTTACTATTTATTCCTATGTACTTTAGCATGATTCAATAAGAGGGCGTTCTTTCGTAACATTTTGGACTTTGACTCATAACAGACTCTGTCCATCGTATATAACTGTGCGAGTGCATGTGTGCGTCTAGATGGCCTTGGCATCCTTTAGCTTTGCAATCAACTCATCCACAGACGCAACCTTGATACCCGCAGATCTAGCTGGTGGTTCTTCAACCTTGACTACCTCGAGTCTTGGCGCAGTGTCAACGTCGCTAAAGTCTGACAAGGTGAGCTTCTCCATGGGCTTCTTCTTAGCCTTCATCAAGTTTGGCAAAGTTGCGTAACGAGGACTGTTTAGACGTAGATCGGTAGTAATCACCATAGGAAGTGGAGCACTGATTGTCTCCTCACCACCGTCGATCTCCCTGGTTACAGTGGCCCTCAAGTTGGCCTCGTCAATAACCACTTTCGCCGCATTCGTCGCTTGAGGCCATTTCAAAAGACCAGCCAACATTTGGCCCGTGTTGTTGCAATCATCGTCAATACTTTGCTTACCCAGAATCACCAAATTTGCATTCTGCTTTTCAACAACTTTCTTCAGTATCTTTGCGACAGCTAGTGGCTCCAATTCCGCTTCCTTAGCGTCTACCAAGGTGCATGTGTCCGCGCCTTTTGCCAATGCAGTTCTTAGAATATCTTGAGCCTTGGCAGGACCAATGGAGACCGCATGAATCTTTTCCACAAGGTTCTTGTGCTTTTCCTTGATACGTACAGCTTCTTCCACGGCAATGTCGTCAAAAGGGTTCATACTGAATTTGACGCCCGCTTTTTCCACACCGGTGCCAGCCTTGTTAATTCTTGGCTTGATGGCATAATCAATCACCCTCTTTACAGGGACTAGGATGCGTAATTGCTTGCTCATTGAACTGCGTTGTCCTGATTGTTCGTCGAGATCTCGCACCTATCTTCTAAATTTTTTTTCTTGCCTGGAACTGAGTCAGATTGACAAAAAAAAAGTTGATGTGTATTATTCGATGCGATCTGGCATATCGAAACACTCCAGAAAGCTCTACTGGAGATGACTGCATCTCCTATTGTTATCACCGCCATTTCGCATGGTAAAGAATTGACCAAAAACTTTCAGCAAGAGTTTCTTAACTTTTTGAACAAGCTTAATGAATCCAGTGTTGATGAAGAACGTGCTCTTTCCCCAAGAGCCCATGACTTTTACCTCAGGTCCAGCAGCAACATAGAAGTTCTCAAGAACAGTATTTATCAGTATCCAGTGGAGGATGTGGATATCATCGTTCAGGCAAACACCGAATACCGCAAAAAGAAAGGTCTTGTAGTCTTTGATATGGACTCGACCTTAATTTACCAAGAAGTAATTGAATTGATTGCCGCTTACGCACAAGTTGAGGACCAAGTCGCTGAAATTACAAACAGAGCCATGAACAACGAGCTGGATTTCAAACAGTCGCTGGCCGAACGCGTCTCTCTGCTCAAGGGCATCAAAACTGCAACCTTATACGACGAGATTAAAGACAAATTGAAGGTTACAGAGGGTGTTCCCGAGCTAACAAAAGGTTTGAAGAAAACTGGTTGCAAATTAGCGGTTCTAAGTGGAGGTTTCACTCCCTTCGCTAACTTCATGAAAGACACACTACAACTTGACTTTGCTCGTGCCAATGTTTTGGCCACAGAGGCTGATGCTACTTCAGGAGAAACAATTCTAAGTGGTTACACAGTTGGTGACGTTGTAGATGGAGAGTGCAAGGCGAAGACTCTACTAGAATTAGCTGAGGAATATAATGTTCCCGTTGAATCAACCGTTATGGTGGGTGACGGCGGTAACGACTTACCTGCAATGGCGGTTGCCGGTTTCGGAATTGCGTGGAATGCTAAGCCCAAGGTCCAAGCTGCTGCACCATGCAAATTGAATACGAACTCTTTGCAAGATGCTTTCTATATCTTCGGCTACACAGACAACGAGATAGCTGAGCTTCTCGAGAACTAACCACGGTGCGCTTGTCATATCAGGTACTTCTTAAATTTATGTACATACGTTGTGATAGAAACTTTCTTATATATTTTTGTGTTCTTTCGTAATTAAACGTTAGCAGCAATCGTTTGCTTGATAGCAGCTGGGTTGGCACCAACAACCTTGGCAACCTCCTTACCACTCTTGTAGAACTTGATGGTTGGCATGGCAGAAACTTCTTGGCTTTGAGCGACGTCTGGGACTTCATCGACATCAATCTTGTAGAAGTCCGCTTGAGAGTATTCAGCGGCGAACTTTTCCAACATAGGGGCAATCATCTTGCAAGGACCACACCAGGTGGCGAAGAAGTCAACGACAACTAGTTTATCAGCCTTGATGGCATCAGCGAATTGAGAAGCAGAAGTGATTTGAGAGACCATATCGTGTATATTAGATTGATTGATAATTTGAAGCAATCTTTTGTAATCCCCTTCCGTCAAGGCAGCTTCGGTTTTTTATATAATTTTTTTAGATTTTTCTGGATGGGCCAGCCTAAGTAAATAGTTAGTAAGCGAGGCGAAACTAATAGCGAAAGCGACAATTTCGATCAATTCTTTACAAATGCACTCTACGTTGCTACGCTTGAAGCTGACACATCATCAATGGTTTTCATGACCACACTGGCTATTAAAATTGACTAGTTCTTTTCAGTTCTATTATCTTCTGAGAATTAAAGAGACGCCACAACGAGTGCAGTCATTGTCGAACTTGTCGTTTGACATTTTCTTATCTTGCAAAATATCTCTACCAACCTCAATCTTTCAGGCAGTCACTCTTTAATTACCGTACAGTTTTTGAGACACATGCATTTTTGTAGGTACCCCTTGACATTTCTGCTTTGAAAGATGGAAGAAACTCTTGCTGAGAAATGCGGAGCTATGGTGATTATAAAACAGGCTTCTTTATCTCTTGAGATTTAATTCAGTATTAAAAATGTCAATTATTAAGAATATTGAGTATTTAAGATGCTATTTGATCACCAAAGCATTTTTCGCTCATTCCCCAGGCATGAAGCTGACCGGCTTTGTTACATGATGCTCAAGTGCGCGACTTCTCTCCAGTTTTCTTTGAATCAAATGAGTCCAGGCCCTCATCCTTTATTGGTAAGGTTGATACCAAGCAGTACGCTATCGAACCGATCCAAAAGTAAAAGACATTCCTCAAAGCTCCCATGTATGCATGCTTCAGGAAGTCAACTTGATCAGGTGAATAGCTACTTAAATCAACTGATGTAAAGATTTGTGTCTTTAACACGTCTATTTCGCTTTTCGAAAACAAACTGATACCGTTTTGGGTCAAGGTCTTAATGTACGTGTTTGACACAATTGTAGAGCATATTGCTAATCCGATAGCGCCTCCAAACGACCTTAAAACGTTTCGTGTAGATATTACTATGGCTCTATCTTCCCGTGATGATTGTGCCTGTGCTGCCACTAAGGTAGGTTGAAATGTGGCGCCAGTTCCGCAACCATTAATTATGAGCGTTCCTACGACAACACCGAAATGGCATGTTACGCTCCATAAATTCAACAGGCACACCGCAATCGTCCAGAATATGTATCCAAACCAAATGACATAAATGTAATGCTTCGTTCTTGAAATGATTTGACCTGTAATCGTGGATATTACCGACTGTGGTATTACTAGGCACAGTAAATATACGGATGACATTATCACAGATTCTCCACGAATTACTTCAAGGTAATAAGGGATGTAATAAAGACTACTGAAATAAACCATGCCAAAGAAAAAGTTCTGTGAGAGTAAAAATGTCAAAGAGCATCTCGAGGTAAATAAGCGTAGGGGAATCATTGGTAATATAGCCACTTTTTGTTCAATATACAGGAATATTATAAGCGATACTCCACCAATCACTATCATTGAAATGACGAAGGGACTGGACCAGGAATAAAACGAACCTCCGCCACTTACTGGAATTAGTAAAAATATTATGCCTATTGAGCTGAACAAAAAACCAAAATAGTCAATCTTCAAAAGCTTCTCCTTCATCGCACAATCGGGACGAGTGTACGGAACTAGCCAATATACGAGGCCGCTTGCACAAAAACCTATTGGGAATAGCATGTAATAGAAATGTCTCCAAGAGTAATGTTTAATGAAAGCTGATGCAAGGAATGGGCCCAGAGCGTTACCCATACCTACACAAGAGCCCAAAATACCCTGGTATTTTCCTCGATCTTCCAGGGTGACAACGTCCGAAACAATGACCATAGTTAGCGAAGTGATGCCACCATTTCCGATGCCGCACATGCCTCTGAATATATACAGCTGGTAGGGCTTTTGAGCAAATCCGCATGCTAAATCAAAAAAGGCCAGGATTATCATGCAGCCTATAAGTACATATTTCCTCGAGAAGATGTCACTGAATCGACCAAATAAAACCATAAAGACTGTGGTGCTTATCAGAGACGCTGTACCTGCCCAGGAAATTGTATCGCTGGCATCCATTTCCTCAGCAATATAAGGTAGGGCAATAGTAATTCCTGTTTGGTCTACAAAGGAGAGAAATAATGCAACTGCCATGGCAGAAAATACGATGAGCAGGTTTTTGAGCGGTAGAATGTTATCATGTGAGTTCGCGAATACTTGTGAGACCTCGCTGATTGTGACTTCACTAGGTGAATCAGAAGTTTCCACCTTTTCGCTGCTTTCAGGATCTTTTTTCATGCTGATCTCCTCCACTATTTTCGTCTCTGTTTGAGCCAGCTTATTTCCATTCATCACTTAGTGTTCTTTGTCACGTTAAACTCTTCCGTCAAATGTCTTGGCAAAGATGTCCGGCAGCCTCGCATGCCGTTTTGACTCTTAAAACTATCATAGCAAGTTGATAAAGTGCAATGGATGCGACAGTATTTAATAGAGTCTCTGGAATGCCGTTACCGGCCCGTATTGATAAGGTGTGGAAGGCAATCTTGTCGTTGGCACCATTCGGTACTAATATGCTATGTTGAGAAAGAAAAGCCGAACTTCGTCCTTTGTATTAGTACGATCCTTATCATTGATGTCAGTACCTGTCGGCAAGCAAAAACAACTTCAGCAACCTCTGGCTATCTCAGTCAACTATGAACGTGTTAGATACCCTTTCGAATTTCGATTAAAATTTATCATATAAACGAAGGATGTTCCTGTTAGTGAGTTTGCAAATATAGCGGGTGATTTTTTCCCTGAAGATTGTAACATTAACCGCATTTGAACTGACATAGTTGAAGTATGTACAAAGAGACATACTTGGGAACTATCAAGTGTTTTTATGCTTCGTTAGTTTTGTGTAAGAATTTTCGACAGCCGTATTAAGGTGCAAAGCGACTGATAGGAGCTACATATTTTAAGACGGTTACCTGTTGACTCTGAACTGACCTTCGTATCAATACGATGCAGGTATATTACTTAAATACTCACTTATAAAAGTGCTGCACTTTCTATTGATCCGTGGCAAAAGTGTCCAGAATTCTGTAATACGCATATTTTATTCTACGGTTTCGCGAAACACCACTCACTAATATCTAAATAATGAATTATATGAAGTGGGTGCGCAATTGAGACAAATTTTGATAATATTTTCAAGTGCGAAAGACTGTTGTATTACTTATATATTAACAACTATTGTTTGAATCAAATCATTCTCAATTTTTTGAAATGCGGTGTGAATGATACTATTGAACATATTAGAATGACTTCCGTCAATAGTATTTCTGAAACCACGCTGAGAAGTGATTTTTATATTTATCAAACGCCAAAAGGGTTCCTTTCAAACATTATTGTTTTTCAGGAGAAAACCTTTAAATGTTAATACTCTTAATTCTAGGTCTTGATTGCTATTTTTCCTGGCACGTATGGAAACATGCTTCTAAAAGAGTCGCAATATCTTTTCGGGGTCCAATCAATTCAGATAATTTGATATATAAAACTTGCAAAAAGGAAATAACGACAACTGCAGGATTCGAACCTGCGCGGGCAGAGCCCAAAAGATTTCTAATCTTACGCCTTAACCACTCGGCCAAATTGCCTTATTTCTAAAGAGCTATCTTTTTATGACGTCTATACTGACGGATATATAGAGCGTGATAGAATCACTTTGAGGTGCAGTGACTGGGAATGGGATTTCTCAAAAATGCACGTCGTATCTTAAAAACGTCTTTAGTAAAATCAAACTCGCGGGTGTGCAAAACTTCATTAAGGACCCTCCCCTCATGCTTCACTATAATACTTGCTTCATAAAAATTTAAATATCGTTTTTTCACCGGTTATGAATGGCCTTCCTATCAGAAAGACTCTTACAATATTGCTGAGGCATATAAACAAAAAAATATAAATAATCGACACTAATATGATTTGTAGCTCTGGTACACGGAGTTTCGGAATAAACAAATTGATGTTCTGTCCGCCTGGTTAGTAAATTGGAGCACGCACTATTATAAAAAAAGCGTCATGAACATTAAGTGTTACTCAATGCCTAATAATATCGGGGCTATTTTTTATTATGAGTAAAGATGGAATAGGGCTAAGACGGATTAGTGCTCGGTATTCATACAAAACAGATATTTGACCACAGCATTATCTGTGCAGATGTTTGTTTTTTTATACCCACTTTGTATTATTATTTTTTAACAATTTATGAATTGTTCTATCAACTACATATTTAAACCAAAACATTAAAATCATTCTTGCATGCATTAACACAGAACATACTCTTGCAGAATGGAAAATCGAGCCTTCCACGGCTCAAATGAGTTGTACAGAGATATCGAGGCACAAAGACCAGTCAACTCCACGAACGCTTCTCCACAGAGCAAAATACGTCAAAATCAACATTATATATGATAAGCATATTTTAGATATGTTGTTCAAGAGACTGAATCAAGTTCCATTCAATTCGATCCGAAATTAGTTGTATGATAGCATGTTACAATTACAGTCATCTGAAGTGCAAGTGTAGTAGTAGTATCTATTTATTAGGTCCATATCATAATCAACGTAATCACAAGTGGTTTTTGTTCCGCAATCGTGGTTTTGTGATCAAAGAGTAAACAAACATCACGAAAAGGCAATTCTTCAGTAAAGTGGGAGCTGCAATGGCTGAACAGGATGATTCAGACTTTACCGCACTTCCCTTAGGGGAAAGGGCAGTACATAAACTTTGGAAAGCGCGAATGCATGCTTACCAAGAGTTGAACTCCCTGTTTCAAAAATCTTCTACCATGTCCGTCTCACCAGATGTATCTAAGTACTGGATCAATCCGGACCTCTTTGCCACTTACATTACTGATTCTAACGTGGTTGCGCAAGAACAAGCAATATTAGCCTTAAATGCACTTCTGGAATATGTTACTGAATTACCAGCTATTCCTAAATCAGAAAATTTACGGTTGACATGGATTCCCCTTCTTGCAGAAAAAGGGCTTGGTTCGTCACGTCCCAATACGAAGAATAAAACAATTGAGTGTATTCTGCTTTTGGTATCGCTAGATTCCAGTGTACAACAGACAATCGAACTAATCGAGCCTTTTTTTTCTAATAAACTACCGAGACTTGTTGCTAGTTGTGTTGGTTGCATTAATACCATGATTGAATCGTTCGGGCTGATTAACATAAACAACATGCAGTCATTCCTTCTACAGCTCTTGGAACCCATCCCCAAATTATCAAGCCACGCCGACCGGAACGTCCGTTCAAACACAATGAATCTAATTCTCGAAATCTATAAGTGGATTGGCCGTGACCTCTTACAAGACCTATTACTGGAAAACTTGAAGCCAATTCAGCAGCGTGATCTCGATAAGATGTTTCAAAAATATGAGGGCACAATCCCACCACAGTCGCAACCGAAGCTGTTTCAATGGCAAAAAGATCTAGAGAAAGAAGCTCAAGAGTCAGGCCCTGATAAGGACGGAGATACTTTGATGGGAGATCAATTATCAACTATACCATCTAAGGCTGATGCTGATGCATTGGGCTCGCAAATCGATCCATTCGACATTCTGCCCTCAACGTCTATTTTGGACAAATTTCCTGAAGATTTTCAGACGAGGATATCATCCAGCAAGTGGAAAGATCGAGTTGAGGTTTTAGAGGAAATTCTGAATAATTTATTAATCCCCGCAAAAAAGCTACAATCAAAGAACCAAGATTACTCTGAATTTCTGAGAAGCTTAAGCCACGTTATCCAGAAAGACGCCAATGTCCAAGCGGTTACAATAGCAGCAATACTTATTCAGCAATTGTGCCTGAAGCTAAAATCTAATTTCACCAAAAGTTACGGTACTATTGTACTTGATCCTCTTCTAGAAAGAACCAAGGAAAAGAAGCCCTCAGTAAGTGAGGCTATTTGTGCCGCCTTAGATTATATAGCTGAAGTCTGTGGCATTGACGAGTGCTTGGAAGAGACTCTTAACCACATGAAGCATAAAATCCCCCAAATTCGCATGGAGTGCACAAAGTTCTTGACGAGAATGCTCAAGACATGGAAGCCACAATCACGAAATTTACAAGATGAATTCGTTATAAAGATGATACCTGATATGTCAATCGTAATTTTAAAGATTGTAAATGACACGCAACCGACTATTCGGGAGACTGGTTTCGAATGTCTCGCCACACTGATGAAACTAGTAGGTGAAAGGGAAGTTAGTGAAACACTTGAGAAACTCGATAATCTGAAGCGGAAGAAAGTCTATGAATATTACGAGAAAGTTGAAGTCCTCGGAAGCTTACAAGAACGGCCGCCCACACGTTCAGCTACAATGGAAATGGTGCCAAGCATCAAGAGTTCCATCAGCACAAAGTCTTCACCAATAGCCAACCGGCCCGCTAACCTGAATAGAGGCAATCTCCCGTCCTTACGCAAACCTTCATCTACGCTACCTTCCAAGAGAGGTCCAACATCCCCACTTCGTACCGAAAAAACATTTGAGAGTCCTCAAAGTGCGTACTCACGTTCGAAATCCAGATTGACGACTCGCTCCTTAACCACAGAATCGGCATCGACATTAAATCACAGGGCAGTTAACCTTGATATTGAGCTTGATGATCTAAGAAAACAAAAGCAGAAGTGGCTAAAGGAGCGTCAAGAAATCTTGGCCAAGTTCGATAATTTCCAGACGCGCACTTCCCAATTAAGTGAAGAAAACACAATGCTACAGCAGCAAGTCAGCAATTTACAATCGAGTTTACATGAAAAAACACTAGAACTCCGTTCGAAGGACTTGCAGGTGGCACGCTTACAGGATCGTGTCTCTGCGCTCGAAACAGAGCTGGAAGCTAGCTCGAGGTTACCCTCATCCAATTACGGGGTAAGATCGGTTTCCTCAGAAAGGCCATCTTCTGGTGGATTGTCTCATCCTATTCCCGGCACACCACCACCTCGCTTTACAAACTTTTCTGCAGATAGGCCCTCTTCCTCATTGAGTATACAGAATAGGCCTTCGTCATCAGGTGCCCCTGCATCTGATGTTAATGAAAAATTCTCTCCAGTAACTTCAAGAAGGTTTAGGTCGCCAAGCGAGTCAAGTGACGATTTACCGCATAGAGTTAATTCACTTCAGCTGAACTCTGCCGACAAATCCCAAGGATTAAGTAGCACATTCGTCAACGACGAAAGCTGGAGACGGGCTGCAGAAGTGACATCTCAACTTAAAGCGCGCATTGAAAGGATGAGAGCAAAGACGAGGGGAATGAGTAGTGAGATGCGTTAGCCCCTAATGATGATAGATGTGTGGGGAAACGTTGTAATTTTGATAGTATCGTTTAGATTGAAGATATATGAAAAAGGAAACCTTGCATTTTTTATTACTTTTTTCTCTTAGTTCTTCTCTTCAGTGCACTTGCCTTCCGGTTTCTTTTCGATCTCATTTTTTGCAGCCGTGCGTTTCGTACCATCAAACTGGAAGACGGATTATCTAATGCGAATTTCTCTATTTTCTGCTTTACCATCTCTGCAGGCATGATATCAAGACGGCTCATGCTATCTACTATATCAGCAAATTCCTTAGCGTACGCATGCAGCGTGTCATCTTCAGGTGAAAGCTGCTCTATCTTAGTTGCAAGTTCTTCCAACATTGCTTGATGCACGTGTAAAAGTCGTTCCTTCGAATTTAGTAAATCGTTCAATTGCTCTTGATATCTCTTGTTTTTGCGTTGTCTTTCCTCAAATAATGATTGCTGAAGAGTTTGCACTTCTTCGACACGCTTACTGAATTTAGATTTAATCTCCAAGGAGCCAGCAGGGTCCAGAATGTTGGGATTAACGTTGGGGGTTACGGAGACCTCAGAGGGTTGAGCTCCGGGTACCCCACTCCCGGACGATCCTGCTAATGACGCCTGATCTGAATCACTATCCCCATACAACTGCAAAACCGTTCCCTCAAATTGCGAGGGCTTCTCCAAAAGCTCCACCTTAACAAATCTATTGCCGAAGAATGTGGTGGCTGTTTTCGTACACCTGATGGCACAAGAGGGGTTATTGTACTCAATTAGCAAAGTACGTCTCTCCAAATCAACTTTGCAAGACTGGATGGCCCCGAAAGGCTCGAAGTTGCTCCGTATCTCCTCGCGATGGAGCTTGCTTAATGGCACGTTCATCACCAACACAAAAGGCGTCTGCTGTTGTGTAAGGTAGGTCTTACACTTCAAAGCATCGTAAAGCTGGTTGGTGAATTCATGTACGTTTTCCACAAGGCCAGCCAGGTGCTCGACCAATGCTTTTCTAAACGAATTGGGGTCAGTGAACCAGTGATCATCGCTTGCAGAGGTTAACAACTCTATTACGTATTCCTTGAAAAGAGAAACATCTGGACTCTTCAACCCTGACGCATGTTCATCTAGCCATGTTTCCAGGCTTTCCTTCTCGTTTTCAGAAAGGCATAGCACCATAACATTTACAAGAGCTGGTGGTTCTTGTTTATAGAATACATAACTCCACCTATCGGGTTATCGTTCAACGATATCTAACTGTTGAAAATTTTACTCCGCCAAAATCCCACTAATTGCATAAAAAATTATATTATCTCGAAAATGCATACAGCTTATCGCTATTTTCAGAAAATATGCATTTATGCAATTTCGGGCTTGCATATAACTCACCCAAAATGCATCACCAGATGAAAAATTAGGAATATCTGCCGGAAAAAGTGGTGCTAGCATCCAGAATGGAGAGATTTTTGGAAGCGCGATATTTGGCGATTTATTCGTTTTCAGTTAGTGTTGTGTACGTGTTGAAATTAATGCGAGAAGTATAAATTAAGAGCTAAAAAGTGTCTTGTCTTCTATCACCTACTTTACTTATTTCTTATATTTCTCTTAAACCAAGATATCAATCCGGTTAAATTAAAACCATAGAAATGTCTGAAATTACTCTAGGTCGTTATTTGTTTGAAAGATTAAAGCAAGTCGATGTTAACACCATCTTCGGTTTGCCAGGTGACTTCAACTTGCGTTTGCTAGATGAAATCTACGAAGTCCCAGGTATCAGATGGGCTGGTAACTGTAACGAATTGAACGCTGCTTACGCTGCTGACGGTTACGCCAGAATTAAGGGTATGGCCTGTATGATCACCACCTTCGGTGTCGGTGAATTGTCTGCCTTGAACGGTATTGCCGGTTCTTACGCTGAACACGTCGGTGTTTTGCACGTTGTTGGTGTTCCATCCATCTCTTCCCAAGCTAAGCAATTGTTGTTGCACCACACCTTGGGTAACGGTGACTTCACTGTCTTCCACAGAATGTCTGCCAACATCTCAGAGACCACTGCTATGATCACTGACATTGCTTCCGCTCCAGCTGAAATTGACAGATGTATCAGAACCACCTACGTCACCCAAAGACCAGTTTACTTGGGTTTGCCAGCTAACTTGGTCGACCAAATGATCCCAGCTAAGTTGTTGGAGACCCCAATTGACTTGTCTTTGAAGCCAAACGATGCTGAGGCCGAAAAGGAAGTCGTTGACACCGTCTTGGAATTGATCAAGGACGCTAAGAACCCAGTTATCTTGGCCGATGCTTGTGCTTCCAGACACAACGTTAAGGCTGAAACCAAGAAGTTGATTGACGCCACTCAATTCCCAGCTTTCGTTACCCCAATGGGTAAGGGTTCCATTGACGAACAACACCCAAGATTCGGTGGTGTTTACGTCGGTACCTTGTCTTCCCCAGCTGTCAAGGAGGCCGTTGAATCTGCTGACTTGATCTTGTCTGTCGGTGCTCTATTGTCCGACTTCAACACTGGTTCTTTCTCTTACTCTTACAAGACCAAGAACATTGTCGAATTCCACTCCGACTACATCAAGATCAGAAACGCCACTTTCCCAGGTGTCCAAATGAAGTTCGCTTTGCAAGCTTTGTTGGAAAAGGTTGCTGATGCTGCCAAGGGTTACAAGCCAGTTGCTGTCCCAGCTGCCCCAGCTGCCAACGCTGCCTGTGACGCTTCTACTCCATTGAAGCAAGAATGGATGTGGAACCAAGTTGGTAAGTTCTTGCAAGAAGGTGACATTGTCATCACTGAAACCGGTACTTCTGCTTTCGGTATCAACCAAACTCACTTCCCAAACAACACCGTCGGTATCTCTCAAGTTTTGTGGGGTTCCATCGGTTTCACCACTGGTGCCGCCTGTGGTGCTGCCTTCGCTGCTGAAGAATTGGACAAGGAGAAGAGAGTTATCTTGTTCATTGGTGACGGTTCTTTGCAATTGACCGTTCAAGAAATCTCTGTCATGATCAGATGGGGTTTGAAGCCATACTTGTTCGTCTTGAACAACGATGGTTACACCATTGAAAAGTTGATCCACGGTCCAACTGCCCAATACAACGAAATCCAAAGCTGGAAGCACTTGGAATTGCTACCAACTTTCGGTGCCAAGGACTACGAAACTTTGAGAGTTTCCACCACTGGTGAATGGGACAAGATGGCCGCTGACAAGGACTTCAACAAGAACTCTAAGATCAGATTGATCGAGATCATGTTGCCAGTTATGGACGCTCCTTCTAACTTGGTTGCTCAAGCCCAATTGACTGCTGCCATTAACGCCAAGCAAGAATAAGCGTAACGCTTCGGTTGGTTTAAAGTTATATAGTCTTTATAGATACGACGTTATCACGAATATGCTTTTTGATATATAAATTATAGGGAATCATTTTTCAAAAGTTTCACAGATTTGGATCTGTTTTCGATAACAGGGGAAGTTGGCATCCGTTCAGGTTGTAGTTACTTGGTTTTAGCGTACCAAGATGGATTTCCTTTGTGGAGGAAAGAAATGGAATTATCGATCCAGGTACTGTGTGGTTTGCTTGGATTGAAATTTTTCTTAGACCAAAAATTAAATTAATACGTGACTCTATGAATAGACTATCTAAAAGAGTCGATCTTCGCAGCTATGCAAACACCGCCATCTATGCAATACTTATCTGGAACCAGCAGATTAGAAGATCCAACCTAGGAAAGTTTGATAGAACCAGTTGAAATCCTTCCTGCCGTTCTTCATGTTCATCTTACGCTCTTCCTCCTCTCTTTTACCTTCCTCCTCTTCCAAATCGATGGCTTCTTTGAATGTGTACAAATCAACTTCTTCGGGAGGAATAATCTTAGTGCCTTTGATCCACTTGTAGCCAAAATAAGAAATGAAGTACACAGGAATACCAATGTAACCGGTGATGAAATTCTTGTAATCGAAAGTGTGGCCCAAGAATACAGTGAAGTTTTTGATTAAACCGATGAGACAGCAAAAGAAAAGAGCAATGTAAGCAGCGTATGGTTGGAAAGGAGATGCGTAGGAGAGTGTGGATTTGTCGATGCATTGGGCTCTGAGAGCTCTGTCGAAGAAAATGTAAGTGATAAGGATTGAGATCCAACTCATCAAACCAAAAATGGACACGACGTTGACAAAATAGTTAAAGACCTGAGCGGAGCCCGAGGAAACGTTCATGTATGCCAAAAGACAGAAAAGAACGCACAGAATGAGAGAGTAGTAAGGAACACCCCATTTGTTAGTCTTGGCGAAAATCTGAGGGGCCTTGTGGTCGATGGCTAGACCGTACAAGGATCTGGACGCGACATATAGGTCGGAGTTACAGGCGCTGAAAACGAAGACAAGCACACAACCATTGAAAATGCTGGGCAAGACTTTAATACCTGCGTTTTTGATAGCAACGACAAAAGGAGAGGCAGCTGCGGAAGTGGAAGACTTCTTCGCGGTCAGCAAGAGAGGGTCATCGTAAGCGACAGTCATGCCCAGCAACAAGATGGAAATGATGTAGAAAACCACAATACGGTATAGGGTTAGCTTGATGGCGCGGGGCACGTTACGACGAGGATTTTTACACTCGGCAGCAACGATACCACATAGCTCTGTACCAAGGTAGGCGAAAAGGGCGTAGACAAAGACGGAAACGAAAGAAACGAATTTGCCCTTGGAGCCGGAGATGGCCGCGGAATAGGGCTTGAATGCACCTGGGTCGTGGTAGAAACGGAAACCGGTACGGTCATGGTTTGGCCCACCTCCCAACATAATGATGAAAAGCAAAAGGATGAGACCAAGCATGACAACGACTTTCAAACTGGAGAGCCAGAATTCGAACTCACCGAAGAAACGTACACCCACCGTGTTGATGAAGACAATGGCCACCAGGAAGACGGTGATCCAAACACCAGGATTGACGCGGTCACGTGACACCCAGTATTGCATGACAAGGGCACCGGCTGTGAGCTGGTTGGGGGTGATGATGAGGTACTTGAAAAGGTAGGAGTAGCCGACGGCGAAACCTAGGGCAGGGTCACAGTAACGAGAAGCGTACGACGTAAAACCGTCGAGTGGGATGTATGCGGCCATCTCACCGAGACAACTCATCACCACGTACACCAGCATCCCGACGAACGCGTACGCGATCAGGATGGAGGCAGGGCCAGCGACAGCCAGCGACGTACCGGTACCGATAAGCAACCCGGTACCAAGCGACCCACCGATAGCGATCATGGACACGTGACGCGCCTCAAGGTCTTTCTTTAATCTGATACCTTCGTGCTTGCCGTCCTCGACGTTGTGGCAAGAAACGTCATCGCCACTGGAGGCGGGACGGACCTCGAGGCCTGAGCCGAACTTCTCGAGATCGACAACTGTGGAGTCCTTGGAGTACGAGACTGGATTAGAGGACATATCAATTGGGGAACGTGACATGGATGTGCACACAATTGCAACAAACTGACCAGCATTTTGGTCTGCCTTTATATTCGGTGAAACATGAGCGACGCGAGCATCACGTCGCAGTGTTACTCCGCTGGCTGATCACGCACATCAGATACCACACACAGTATCAGCCCCGCAGATAGCAATCGGTAGTAAACTATAATGAAAACACAGTAATCAATGGGCATCGCACTGATTCGTATGAGCTCACAGTGCAGGCGCGCGAAGAAACCATACACCTTGCAGCGACTTGTGCCCGTCGATAACCGGCGCTAGGTTTTGATGCCTTACGTTGCGAAAAGTGCCGCATGGAATGAAAAGCTTCGAGACGCATGCGGTGCCGTCCGTGGTTTGGATCGCCGTGCGTATGCTTCTGGGTAGCGCGGCTGAGGCGCGGCGCGATCGAAAAGAGAGCCCTGGCTGGGACCCCTACTGGGCCCGTCCAGGGCCCTCGAGTAGGGTCCTCAGGGACTCAGGCACGGCTGATAAGGGCTATGGGCGAAAAGATAGCGGGCGCACACGTAAGCGCGATGGTGCACGGGTGTCTGGACGAATGCTTATAAAGACATTGTTGAGAGCGACCAGGTGCAGTTGGATAGGGTCGGATGTCGGCGCTCTTGTGGTTACGTGGTGCAGGGGCGGGCTTCGACATGCGGCCCGCGCACCCACACACCGTATCCGTGCACCACGGGCGACTGAGACACCCACACACCGGAGTATACACACGTGACCTCAACACAGCAACCCACACACCGAGAGACACTGCCACCGTGCACCCACAGCCGTGCACCCAGCCAGGCAGACAACCACGTGACCCAGGCTCCTGGCTCCGGCCCATCGCCCTGTTCAACGTCTCCACCGTCTCCCCGCCCAGTTCCCCGCCCCCACGCCGACTCCGTGGCCCGCAACCAACCCAGCTAGCCCGGCGGCTACTACCCCGCTGGCAAGCCCCCCTCTCAACAACGCCGCCCGCCAACCTCTTGCCAATGGCCCGCCGACTCCAGCCCGTGCGCCGTGACACAACCGCCCCGGAGCTCCAGCCGCGCAGCCGGCCCAGTCACGTGACGCCACCCCCACGCCAAATTCCCGGGACCCTTGCTTCGCTTTCTTCGCGTTCCCTACGCCGCGCTCGGATTTCTCCAGACAGGTACACAATTCCGCTGTTGCACCGAGCGGTCCCCGCGTCCCCGCGTCCCCGCGCCACCAACCTTACTCTGAAGCATCTGGGCTCCGCGCTCGGCGTTCGATGTGCTAGTCCCGAGGGCGTGCCGCTCAAAGCAACTGCTTTAGGCACCTCCGCACAAGGCACTCCAAAACGCGATCCCACGCCCGGCCCGCCGATCGCTGGACAACCGGCTCTATGACCATGACTACATGTCAGCTACAATGGGTTTGTTCTATATAAAATCGCGTGGCTGCTCGTGCAGTGTCGTTGTTCATCCCACTCTCTACCAATGCATTCCCAATCTTCATCCCACTCCGAGCTGCACCCGATGGTTTCTCGGCCGCAAGAAAAATCCGAAAAGTCGTTGCACGACGTAAAAACGACTCATGGTTCCGCGACGCATGCGACGCATGCGTCGCATGCGTCGCACGGTGTTCGAACTTTCCATAATCCTTCGCTGCCCGAGGTGACCCACTCAGACGAGGAAGACGACCACGCGCTCGAGCGTGTGTACACCACAGAGACTGAGATCGAGTATCGTGGCGACGATGACCCAGACGCACCCGATCTGCGTCCCAAGACCTGCATGCGCTACCTGGCTACACGTGCCAGCACGCTCGCGCGCGTGCACAAGGTGTCGTGGAGCAACATCAACCCCATCACCGAATTGCGCAAGATGACATGGCAAAACTGGAACTACTTCTTCATGGGCTACTTTGCATGGCTGTACGCCGCGTGGGCGTTCTTCTGCGTGTCGGTTTCCACCGGCCCGCTGGGCGAGCTGTACGACAAACCTACGAAAGAGATCACGTGGGGCCTGTCGCTGGTTCTGTTCGTGCGTTCCTTCGGTGCCATCACCTTCGGGCTCTGGACCGACCGCTACTCGCGCAAATGGCCCTACATCACCTGTCTGGGCATTTTCCTGGTCGCGCAACTCTGCACGCCCTGGTGTGACACCTACTCCAAGTTCCTGGGCGTGCGCTGGCTCGCGGGTATCGGCATGGGGGGCATCTACGCGTGCGCTGCGGCGACTGCGATCGAGGACGCGCCCGTACGCGCGCGGTCCTTCTTGTCTGGTTTGTTCTTCAGCGCGTACGCCATGGGCTTCATCTGGGCCATGATTTTCTACCGTGCGTTCGAAAATATCGGCAAGAGCGGCTGGAAAATTCAGTTCTGGTTCTCGTGCTGGCTGCCAGCGTTCCTAATCTGCTGGCGTTTGCTGTGGCCGGAGACCCGTTACTTCACGAAAGTGTTACGTGCACGCCAGCTCATCGTCGAAGACGCGGTCGCCGCCAACGGCGGTGTTCCTCTCCCTGCACGTACATTGCGTCAACGCATGCAAGACGCGCGTCGGATGGTCGCCAAGTACTGGCTGCTCTTTGGCTACCTCGTTCTACTGCTGGTCGGTCCCAACTACCTCACACACGCCTCCCAAGATCTGCTGCCTACCATGTTACGGAGCCAGCTCCATCTGTCGCAGGACGCGATCACGGTTATTGTCACCGTGGTCAATATCGGCGCCATCACCGGTGGCATTGTCTTTGGCCAACTAATGGAGATCACGGGACGTCGTCTGGCACTGCTGATCGCGTGTGTCATGGGTGGCTGTTTCACTTACCCAGCCTTCATGCTGCGGACCAAGGAAGCAATGCTTGGTGCAGGGTTCATGCTATATTTTTGCGTCTTTGCTGTGTGGGGTGTTTTGCCCATCCACCTAAGTGAGCTCTCGCCTCCAGACGCTCGTGCACTGGTGTCGGGTCTCACATATCAACTAGGTAACCTTGCATCTGCCGCCTCAGCCACCATTGAGACTCAATTGGCCAACCGTTATCCTATTGATTTTGACTCCGCAGGCAACCCAACCACATTTGACTACGCCAAGGTTATGGCCATTCTCACGGGTTCTGTGTTCCTGTTCACCTTCATATTTGTCTTCTTGGGCCACGAGAAATTCCACCGCGATCTCTCCTCTCCAGTCATGAAAAAGTACATCGCCAGGGTCGATGCCTCGGATGAAGGCGCCCGCGCTGCCTCTGCAGAGTTCGTCTCCTCTCATCACATGCAACTGGAAGACTCCGTCAATGACAAGCCCTCCCAAGAGTTCATCGAGACTGTGCGGTAATAGCTCTCTAAATATTCTTCTACATATGTTTAATTGGAACTTTCTTCATTCTCTAAAAAAAGATTATTTACGAATCGTCCTTGCCTCTCTATATGTGACTTTATCGTCGAACCAACCTATACACATTTCTCGGGTATAAGTTTATTCTACAACCTAGTTTATACTCTTAGGTGCCAATTTAAATGTGAGAATATCATTTTTGCCAGGCTGCACTACGTCATCCTCACCTACACGAACACCGTTCACCGTTTCAATGGCTGCAATTGTTACCTCGCCCATGATGTAACGTGCCACCTTTGTTACTGGAGTCCCGCGCTTCACTAGGAAACAGTCCCGGAAAACATTCTCGCCGTTGCCACCAGTGAAAGAATGAATATTTCTAACCGTATACACAGGAATGAGATCCAAAGTATTAGCTGCTGCCTGCAAGACCTGGACTACACCTGTAGATCCGAAACGGTACAGCACCAAGTCTCGAATATTCTCAATTCTCTGCAGTAATTTATCATCAAGAGGCTTCAAATTTTCGGGGTCGTCCTCATAGGTGTCCACAAATTCAGTGCCTTCTTCGTAGTGAACAAAGCCTTGCTTCTTCAATTTTCTCAGAAAAACCTCCGTAATCGCACTTGCTAGTACAGCCTTTGTATTAGGATACCGCAGCATAATCTTGGAAACATTTTTATCCGCATCTGGATGATCAATTTTGTTCAATGCCAACACCGTTGGAAATTTCTCCATCATGAATGACTTGACTACTTTGGTTATCCATTCTTTGTCCCATTGCTCCAATGGGGGCAAGCCCTCAATTCTTTGCAAGGCTCTTTGAATCATAGGGGCATGGGATCCATAACCACCAAATTGACCTTGTAGGGTATCCACAACGCTTGATTTGGTTGCCGTATGTCTGCGGACGATGGACCCCCATCTCTTCTCCAAATTTCCCTCTATCCAAAGCCTGATCTCATCCTGCAGCCATTCGATATCATTAAGCGGATCATATCCTCGCGTATTTTTGCCTTCTGCATCAGTCGTACCACTGACATCAACTACATGAATCAATGCATCAGCATGTCTTAAATCGTCTAAAAATTTGTTACCCAAACCTCTTCCTGAGTGAGCTCCCGGAACAAGACCTGCCACATCCAGCAGCATTATGGGAATATGCCTCTTACCATTGGTGCACCAGCCGTAATTGGGTTTACACAAGTTTTCCTTACCAAACCTTTTGCAAGCGCAGTCTACTTGCAAGTAGCCTGTTGCTCTATTAGGCTCGATTGTTGTGAAGGGGAATGCACCTACCTGGGCCGAAGCATCCGTGAGCGAGTTTAAAGTAGTGGACTTGCCCGAAGAAGGCTTACCAACGATACCAATTAGAGGATCTCGAGGCATTATTAGAGTTTGCACCGCCGTTTAAGAAAAATGTTCTGAAGTGATGCGATATTTGAAAAATTTAATCTGACGTAACCGATGATAATGGATTTTAAAACCTCTAAAATCAAAATAGATTGATGGAATTCTGAAGCGGGATAATTATGCTGATAATAACGTCTCATTAAGACAACTGCATGGTCAAGAACGCATAAATCAATTAATTATATAAAGTTAAAAGTCATTCCGCAATTCTCTCTTAATGATCCCCTCTGTAACTCAAGTGGTGCTCAGATTCCTCCCTCTCTGAAATTTAAATGCATTCCATTAGACATACTAAGTGATACTTAACTATATATAAGCGCTGGCCTATAAATTAACGCTGTACGAAAGGTCCAAATCGATAATGTTTGACGGGCAGAAATTTTATGCTCTCAAAATGATTTCTCATAAACATGTGAATGTAAATCATCCAAGTAACTCAGGTTCAAATGATAGCCTTGCCTCGTTCTAAGTGGACTTTGTAGCCTTGGCTTCATCACGTTTTGCGTAAATTTTAGCAGTAAAAGGTTCCTCAAACTTGAGGGCCAAAGTGTACATCAAGTTGACAACAAGGGTGGCAAATACACCAGCAGGTTTTCCGTAGTACAGAGATGTACCTAAGAAGGTCAACGTAGAACCCTGGTACATAGGGTTCGCGCAAACGTTGAAAGGAAACGCTGTCACGATGTGGTCCATCAAAATACCAAAGTAATCACCTAAGTAAGTACCTGTAATGCCCAGTTGGTACATAGAAGTGAGTACCAAGACTTGACCAGAACCAAACAAAGCGGCACCGAGGTACTTCACTAGGCTGTAGTCCAACAAATCAGACGTGACCTGCGTTTCTAAACTCTTGTGGAAGTAGTAGTCACGCACAATCCCAAGCCCAAAGATTGTAGCAGCTAACAAGTAGCATCCCCGCTTAGCACCACCCGCAATCTTCGTAATAATATGCGTATTGTATTCTAAACGGGCTGCTATGTTCCAAAAAGTTGGGTTGAACATGATGAAAAACAACGCCAGTTTCAATGTTGGATCATTGGAATCGATTTCAGACACAAATTGATAATAAACATCTTTCAACTGGTCCAATCCAGTAGTAGTTTGCTTAGAGATATCCATGATTGTAGCCTAGAACTGTACAATTATATTGATGTTCAGTGGATTAATTTGAAAAATCCATGTCCTCCTTTAAAACTTGCTCCCATGTGAATTTGCTGTCAATTTCACATGCGGAGAAGAAAGGCATAATCAACTTAAATCAAGATCAGCTTCTTCTAAATGAGAATATATGATTAATAGCGCCTCACCCTGAATGCCGCTAGCATTTGCATTTCAATTTGAGGAAGCTCATCCATTAGTAAATGACTTCATTATCCATTCTCTTTTACAAATCGGGTAATTAATTGAAAAGTGATACTGTCGAACGGATCTTCAGAAGAGGAGTAACATTTGCAACATTTAAGTCATAAAGATGTATCAATTGAGGTTTCGTACAGCTAAATTGTGGACGGCATATCATGTATTTATCGATGGATGTTACTGAAGCTACGTTTGCTTCCTTCTGGCAATATACATGTTATCACAACTCTGCATGTTGTTGCAGTCAGTGTCAACACAACTCAAATGGTTCAAGAAATGCCATATTTATTCACACATAGAACTAGCAAACGATTGGTATCTCGTTGTTACCATTATGATTGGTACTTTAAGCTATGGAGCTGTTCCTGCTATTTCCTCTATTTTAACAGGATCAAGCTTCAACTTGCTTCAAAACTTGGCCAATGGCGAATACCAATCTCTAAATGACATTATGCATGTCCTAACTTTAAAAACCATGGCAATTCTAATCACAGGAATTGGTAGCATACCTATGTGTTGGCTGTCCATATCCACTTGGATGCTACTTGGGGAGAGGCAGGGGTTTCGAATGAGAAGAGAATTGTTACGCACTTATCTGGTTAAGCCACTAGAGTGGTATGACAGCAACGAACAGCTTTCTGGACAATTTACTCAGCTGAATAGATGCATTGAAGAATTAAGAGCAAGTTCCGCAGAATCTTCTGCTATCATTTTCCAGAATCTTGCTACCGTGATCGCGCTGCTGATTACAGCTTTCTACTACTCCTGGTCTCTGACTTTAGTGATTATTGCTAATTCCCCTTTAGTCATTGGATTTGCAGTATATTTCTCAAGATTAATTGAAAAATATGCAGGGCGAGAGAACAATGAAACAGCTGTTGCCGCCGATATATTTGCATGGACCATGAATGGTGCAAGAACAATCAGACTTTTTTGCACGGAAGAACATGAGCTAAGAAGATTTGGAAAGAGCATTATGGGTTGTAAAGATAACTATATCAAAACGGCCTTGTTCTCATCAGCTAACTACGCAGTATTGAGATTCTTGACGCTGTGTATGTTTGTGCAAGGTTTTTGGTTTGGAAATACTATGATTAAGAAACAAAAGCTCGCTATTGGAGATGTGGTTACTTGTTTCTCTGCATGTATTTTGTTGGCAAGCACCCTGAACAACACCTTGCACCAAATTGTTACGCTACAAAAAGGAGCTGTGGCTGTAAATACCTTCTCAAAATTTGTTGGTAGTCCTTCCACCATCGATGAAATTGAAATGGAGGTAAAAGAAGGCAATACCTTTCTTAATTTACTGGAAATGCCCAAAGAAGAATTAGTCAATGGAGACATAGTATTCAAAGACGTGAGCTTTGCATATCCTGCCAGAAATAGTCAACGAGTGTTGAAAAAGGTAAACCTTGTGTTTCCTTCGAAAAAAACTACATTTGTAGTGGGAAAGTCAGGATCAGGGAAGTCAACCTTGGCAAACCTTTTACTTAAACTGTACAATCTTCACAGTGGCGGTATAACGATTGGTGAGCACAACATTGATAGAATAAGTACAAAATGGCTTCGAGACAATATTACAGTGGTCGAACAGAGTTGTGGACTCTTTAATGATACTATAAGAAACAACATCACACTTGGTACTTGTATGAACGAGTCCAGAGAGGGTATTGAGCAGGCCTGCGACATGGCTCTTCTTTGCCCCCTTCTAGATAACCTGGTAAACGGATTGGATACTATAGTAGGTCGTTCTGGGGAAGGTTTGAGTGGTGGAGAGCAGCAAAGGGTTCTTTTAGCTCGTGCAATCTTGAGAGACACCCCTATTCTTATTTTGGATGAGGCTTTAAATGCTCAAGATATCGTAAACCGAAGCTCCCTCATAGAAGCTATCAAAGTTTGGCGGGAAGGAAAAACAACAATCATCTTAACGCATGAGTTAAGTGAAATTTCAAGTTCAGACTTTCTTTATTTGCTCGAAGCTGGAAAGGTAGAGGAGTGTGGCTACAAAAAAACTCTTCTACAAGATTGTTCTAGCAAGTTTTACCAATTACACGAACTCCAGAGAAACTCAGATTACGAGAAGACAACACTTGACCTTCATGACATTCTGCCATTGGAAAACGATAAGAAGGATGATATTATTTGTCATGAAATCGAAGAGATTGTTTCAGATACCGAGACGCCGGTAAATGACAAGCCATCCTCAAGCTTCATGCCCGAGTGTTATTTGAATCCAAAAAATGTGATGAGGAGCTCAGTTGATATTCTTAGAGAGCAGCTAATGCACCCTTCTCGAGAGAGACCTTCAAGTTCGACTTGGAATTCGAGCTACAATCACTGGACGTATTTGGAGAACGAGAACGATCTCGAAGGTAACAGAAATGACCTAAAACCCATGAAAATTCATAAGGTGATGTTAAACATGTATTCAACTCTAACAACGAAAGGTGTTCTCTTAATGGGCCTTTTATTCTCAGTTTTATCAGGGGTTGCGAATCCTTTATTTTCTTTCACTTTTGCCAACCTCCTCAAGGGTATGGTGCCCCATGAGGACGGTATAGGATCTTCTTATTACTTGAGAAAATGGTCTTTAATTGTTTTATCTGTTGCCTTTTGTGATTCCCTCTTCACATTTTTAAAATGCTTCAGTCTTTCCTATTGTGCCGAGTACTGGATTTTGAACCTAAGAATCAAGGCGATGGAGAAGATATTGGGCAATAGCATAGAATGGTTTCGTCTGAACAAAAATGATACCGCAAGAATATCATCATTGGTCTTAAATGATTTACGAGATTTAAGATCGCTGGCATCCGAATTCTTATCTGCAGTCACCACCTTAATCGTAATATCTCTTTGTGGTTTATCATGGTCTTTAGCGTCCGGTTGGAAGTTGAGTCTTGTCTGTATATCGTTCTTTCCCGCATTCGTTTTATTTACTGGTCTATACGGTTCCAGCCTACAGGATTTAGAGACCAAATACAAGACGATAGTTGCCGAACTCGAAAATCACAGTTATCAAATAATCAAGAATATGAGAACCGTTAAAAGTCTTCAGCTACAGGCCCATTTTACCAAGACGTACAAGAAATTCGAAGAGGAAATGTCGAATATTTCCAGGAAACGAGCGATTGCGACTGGATTAGGAGTGGCAATAGCGAATGCTTTGATTTTGGTCACGCAGTCAGTAATAATCTATTATGGAATGAAGCTTGTCATTATTGGTGAGTATAATTCTGCAAAAATGCTTCAAACGTTTACTCTCCTCCTTTTCACCATCATGAGTTGCGTTTCATTAGCTGCGCAAATCCCTGAGATCAGCAGAGGCCAGCGGGCTGCAGCCCACATATTTGATATTCTTCTCAAAAGAGGGGACGACAACTACATCTCACATAAGAGAAGGTATTTGCCTTTCAATATTAGCAAAAAGACACCGCTGGTGAGTATCAATGATAGGAGATTCCCCCACGCTCATGGCTCTACGGAACGGCTAGCTAACTCTCTCAACATCGACGTCTACCGGAATGAGATTGTAGGAATAGTTGGAGAGTCAGGATCAGGAAAAACCACTCTTTGCAACAAACTGTTAGCTCTACATGCAGTTCCGGAAGGTCTGGTTTATATTGATGATACAGACATCAATGCTTGGGACTGTACCAGACTTAGGTCTCAAATGGCAGTTGTTGATCAGAGGCCACAATTTTTTTTTGGATCAATTAGAGATAACTTGACTTATGGGGTTCATCGCAGTGTGGGTGACACTGAACTCTTTTACAACTTGAAGAAGGTTGGTCTTGATGAGCTTATTTACTCTTTCCCATGCAAACTGGATACCGTCTTCGACAATGATTTGATGTCAGACGGGCAAATCCAACGATTCGCGATAGCCCGAGCTTTATTGCGGAAGCCTCAGATTCTTATCCTGGATGAATGCACCTCATCTTTAGACCCACTTCACGCCTATTCCATTACTGAAATCGTGAAAAATAACCTGCGAAACACAACCGTTATACTGGTAACTCATCATGAACAATTAATGCGTGTTTGCGACCATTTAATAGTGCTCCGCAACGGGGCTGTCGCGGAACAAGGCTCTTTTGATCAATTATTTGAAAAGAAGCGCGAACTGCATAGAATCGTAACCAAAGTTAGCGAAATCTGCTAGTAAAGTAATTATTCCCTATATTTAAAGTTGTTACAAAGTTGTAGGTTTCTACAAATGGACAGTGATGTATGGAACTTCCACGTCTTCACCTTGCTTATCGTCAGCACATATCTCAAGAATCATATTTCTAACATGAGATGGAACTTCCTTCTTAGTAACAAGTTTGACAACCTCCGTGATTGGCAAGTTCATGCGTTCCTTCAACTTTTTAGGAGGGAAGAACGAGGCGTATAATAGCGATACACCATATGAAAGCATAGTGATTTCCAAACCCTCTTCATTCTCGAAGTAGTCGATGAGTTGTTTAAGTGTGATATCTCCCTTGATGTCAAATCTGTCCCATATTTTATCGTAGCTTTTATCGTTATATTTGCCTTGAGGAGACGCAATAGGTTCAGAGAAACCAAAGAATGGAAGAGCCAGGTTCACGAAACCATTTTTATACTTCTCAATATCAGTTTGCCCATCTGCCACTTTGTACAGTTCCAGGTTAACCAGCCCAGTTACCAGACCTGTTGTAGTTGCAATCGCTGGAATGATACGGCCCGCGATAAATTTCGTTTTTTGACGATCAGCAGGTTCAATGGAGTAGTTTAGAGCTCTATCATTGGATGCTGCGGTGATAAATTCAATATGATGATTGGTGTCATCATCCTTCTCGAACTCAACAGGAATGAGCTTGAAACCAGCCAGGGTCGAAGCATCTGGCAAACTGGCGGCTAAAGCTTCCAACGCATCGCCTCCAACAGCATTGTCTGCATTTGGATCAGGCTCGTCATCATTAGCTTGGATCTTTACATCAGACCTAGGAGTAAAGGCGGGAATTTCTATATTCTGCAAAATAGACGAGTAGAAGTTCACATCAGGTTCACCATCATCACCTTTGAGGCCATAATTAAAGGCACGCAAGTTTGCTCCACCAACAACGAAGTGGAAGTGATTGGGGTTTGAGATGTCAAATTCGAGTGGCTCTGGTGCACGCTTAGGGCCTGACCAGAATGGTGCCCCTGTGGACGTCTTTGCATCCTTTGGGAAGTTGTACAAAAGTTGCTTAATTTCGTGATTGAACTTTTTCTCAAATTCCAAGCGTGCCCACTTGACACAATCCTCGAAATCATAGGGCCTATTCTTCAAAGAGTCTGAAATCGATTCAAGAATTCCTTTAACATCACCAGCTTGCTTCAATGTTTGTTCCACAAAATTTGGTTGGGTTAGATACATGTTAACATTCTCTGGGGCCTCCGTGAAGTAACCTTGAAATAATGATTTAGCCCAAGCAATGGTATGGTCAATCTTGTTGGGGAAAGAACGTAGCGTACAAAGAGGGATGGATTTTTCCGGTGGATCTCTCGAAGAAGAGTATGACTCGGTGAGATTGGGGATAACGACTTGTGTGTTACCCTTTGTACCAAGTGTACCTGATTCTAGCAAAGGTTTCTTGAAGAAAACGCAGCGACGGTCAACATAAGTACGTGCGTCAACATTGTCCAATGCATTGGTAACAAAATCGAGGTTAGTCCAGAATTTATCATTGAACAGATCTTCTGTTTCTGGACCAACTTTATCTGTCATCGCATGAATCTTGTTTGTTAGATCTGGATTCATAACGCAGACAGCATCTGCAGCGACCTCAGATTTATTTTTACCCACATCTTTTGGTCTGAACAAAAATTGACGATTCAAATTAGACTTCTCAATGGTATCATTGTCGGTCAAGAAAATTTGTCCATTTGGACCCGATCCTAAACCCAACAAAGCCCAGTTTTTCAGCATCTCACATCCAATAGCCCCGGAACCAACCAAAAACACCTTCAAGTTAGCGATAGCTCTTTGAAAGTCCAACCCAAAAACTGCAATTTGACTGTCGTAACGAGAGTTGATAGGCTTGGTGTTTTCTGTGGTTCTGGGGTATTTCTCGGCGTCTGGTAAAGATTCCAAAGAGTCGAAATACAAAAACTGCTTCAGAGGCGTGAATTTTCCGGAACATGCTTTTAGCGCTTCCTGGGCAACTAGGCCACCAAAGAAGGCAATGATACCGGGAATATCACCTCTCGCCTGATAAGAAAGCTCTTTAATTAAATCCACATTGATTTTCACACCTTCACCTAAGACATTTGGTACTTGAGCGGCTAATTCAGAGGCCAACTTGACGACCTCATTAGCGTCTTCATCATTCATAGGTCTGGGAAGCTCCCCTTGATGTCTTACTTGGAACTGATCTAAAGCCTGGAAACCTAAATGTAACACACCAGCTCTGTCAAACTTTGCGAAGTCGGAAAATAGAAACTCCGGTTCTGATAGAGATTGTTGCAAGGTTTTGAAGGCAATCTTTTGTGGCATCTTCACTTGTGTGAAAACACCGCCCTTCTTGTAAGTTCCCATCGACTCCACTGATCCAATACGGAAAGCAAAAGGACCCAAAACTTCAACCTTGTATGGCTTTCCGTCATTCAATTTCTCTAATCCTTCGACTTCGGAAAACTTTACGTAATCTCCATCCTCCAAGTTATGTCTGTTATCGTCAAGCATAGTAATTGTTCCGTCAGGCTCGATATCAGAAACAATACCAGACTGAGGTTCCTCGCCTGTTGGATCAATTACAGTAAACTCATCTCCGAAATCAACGAAAACATTACCAAACAAACCTCTCGTTTGAGTAGAGATGAACTTGATACCTGCAACATGACAGAAATTGTTGAGTTTCACCTTCTGCTCTAATGATACGGTATCGGTGGCAACTACAACTTGATAGTTTAGCAATTGCTTCTCTTCTTGCAGTGAACCCAAGAGGTTAATAGGTACGTAAGCGTTCAGTTCAGCCAACTTCCGCTGCGAAACTTGGTCTCTGGGCTTCCCAACATCTTGCTCGGTAAGGAAAAACTGCGTAGAAAGATCCTGGATCTCTACGCTTGATGGATCGTACAATGTCAAAGACTTAACACCTGCAAGTGCAATGTTCTTAGCAATTTCGACACCCAATCCCCTGAGACCGATAATCAAAACATTAGAGTGCTGCATTTTCAACATGGCCTCTTTGCCTAAAACGTACAATTGACGAGAGTACAGACTCTCATCGATTTCACCGGTATTGGACATCGTAAATTGATTTGTGCTCTAACATGTTGTGAAGTTACTAAAATGACAATTCTTTTTGCCACCGGGGAGTTTATACAAACGTCGCTGTAGACGACTACTCTTATCAACGCACGTTCCTCCATCACTTGTGTAAGAGGAGGCAATGTTTAAGAAGCAAGAACTTTACGGTGGAGCTATTGTCACTGTGATACCTGAAGGTTTCCTTGATGCCTCTATTTTGAGAGAAGTTCCGGATACACAAGAGGTTTTCGTTAACAGCAGAGAAGATAGCGAGGAGAACAAGTTTAACGATGGACTTGGAACAAATGAGAGCGTGATAATCGACCTTTTGCAGGCAGTAGACGAGCCCAATGACCGCGAGGCTTTATCTGTGCATATCCAGGAAATTACGAGCATGAACGGAAGCAATGACTGGAAGTTGGTGCGATATGAGAGTCCAGCGCCACACGTACAGACTTGTATTGCAGTCGAGTCTGCTTACAAATGGGGGAAACGTGATATGAAAGAAACGCTTGTCCTATGCCTTGCACTTCTAAGGCTTGAAAAGGTGCAAACCGATGTTGTTCTGAGCGTGAATGTTCCTTTGGCGGACACTACAGAGATTCAAGCAATGTCCGAGGCAGTAAATGATTCCGGCAACATCCCACCCCGTATACAGGCCGCTTACACGCTAGTGAAGGAGATGGCCAACGAGTTTAAAGTACTTGACGAGTCTTTATTCGTATAATATGATATATATGATATATCAAAATAGTTTTTCAGATGATTTCGAGGCGCGTTAAAAATAATCAACATCGAGTTGACGAATTAAACAGACGGACGAAGTCGCTTAAGGATGGCCAAGGCAAGGAGAGTCAACTGGAAGCGATACGTCTTCGGTATCATCCCTGTACTAGTGTCGGTGATTTTCATTTGGAGGCTTTTAACTACATCAGACTCTAATAATTTGCAAGCGATCTTGCAAAACTTACCAAAGGAGATTTCACAAACGCTTGATTCAGCTTCTTCACACAAGCAGGATGACGCTATCTTGGAGAAATTCGAGAAGCTTACACAAGAGCTGTTGAAGAAACAAGACGAACAATTGAAGACTTTTGAAAGGGAACGAAAGATTTTGGAAAAGAGAATTCAGCAGTTGAAACAGCCTCCAGCCCACGCTACTTTGCGCGAAAAACTGGCTCAGGTTTTTGAATACGGAACAACCAAAAGATTCCCCGCTTTTATTTGGCAGACTTGGCCTTACTCTGACCTAGACGAAAGGATGGACCGTACACTGCAGTCCTACGAGCGCAGCTGGGGAGACAAAAACCCGGGATTCGTCCATGAAATTGTCAACGATGACGCTGTGGCTGCATTGGTGCATTACCTTTACTCTGGTGTGCCTGAGGTAATTGAGGCATATGACGCCTTACCATCACCTAACTTGAGGGCGGATTTTTTCAAGTACCTGATTCTTTTGGCGCGCGGGGGTGTTTACGCCGACATCGACACGGACCCTCTGCAACCTGTGCCAAACTGGATTCCAGAAAATGTACATCCTAAGGAAATTGGCCTCATAATCGGGATTGAGAATGACGCCCATAATCCAGACTGGAGAAGCAATTATGTGAGGAGACTTCAATTTGGTAATTGGATCATACAGGCCAAGCCAGGACATCCAGTAATGCGCGAAATTGTAGCCAAAGTTACAGAGGTTACGTTACAACATAAGAAAGATGGAGATCTCCGCATGAACTTAAGAAATGACATGAACATCATGAAATGGACAGGCTCCGGTATTTGGACCGATGTTATCTTCACGTACTTCAACGATTACGTGCAAAGCGGTGTTCTCAGCAAAATAACCTGGAAAGAGTTCCATGATCTCAAAGTACCAAAGTTGGTTGGAGACGTGTTAGTGTTCCCTCAGAGCTCTTTCAGCGCTCCCGAGAAAGACGCCAAGGAAGGCGAAGGAAACAACAAGGCTCTACACTTTGCTAGACACATGCACATGAGGAGCTGGAAGCAAGCTCCAAAAGTGGCACAGGATAGTTAGCTAAGAAATTTTTACATAGATTTAAAACTCCTCCTTAATATCAGAAAAGCGCCCAAGCTCTACTAAAAACTGGGCATTATTAGACTTTCCTCGTCATTCATACGAGTCTGTTGTCCCTATCTGGTTACTCATCATATAAGGAGAAAGCGCAATAATTACATAGCAAGTTATTGTTTTGTATGACATTCCCACTGGATTGTCAATTTCTGCACACTCAGTAAACTGGGAAGCGTTCGCGTAGCTTCCAATTTTCCGTCTCTCTTATATATGCGTACCTTAAAAAATTTTTCTACTTACGAATTTATCGTCCATAGGGCTGGCGTTCCATTCGAAATACACCGAAACCGAAATTCTTAGAGAATATGTAGACAAAAGAGAGTTTCTGCTACTTAGACATCCACTTCTTGCTTCATTTGCGCTTCTCTTTCGAGTCTCTCTTCAATCTCTCTTAGCTCTTGTTCTCTTTGCAGTAATTCTTGTCTCTTCATTAGCAATTCCTGTTGAACTCTTTCCTCAAATGCTTTCAACCTTTCTTCCTCTAACCTGATCTGTTCTTCACGAGCCAGATAAGTATCTTGGTTAGTGTTTGGATGTCTGCTGCTAGATGTAACGGAAGCAGTATCTCCTGGTGGAAGGGATGACTTACCCGAGGTAGTAGGTGAGCCTGCGTAGTCTGCATTGCCATTGCCATTTACCTTCGATGCAAGCGCATCTCCGGATAGCGCTTCCGTTCTGTATCTCTCGTAAAGAATTTCGTGTGTGTAGTCCTTTAGATCGTTCAGATGTGAGATCAGTAACGCGTTTCTCAAAACTACGAAATCGGAGATGGTGGAATCTTCCACGTCCAATGTGCCCCAAGGGTATTTTCTACCACGTATCATAGTGCCGTCGCCTAAATCGTACAATTCGTTCGACCCAATGATAGAGAATGGCACCAAAGAGCGCAAATACATGTTTGTTTCATAATCCTCGTTGGAGATATCATTCTCCTCGAAAGGAAAATTGTAGATGGGTAGATGGTATAGGTCAATATCCTCCATAATGAGCTTTTTGTTGAGCTTAAGTTCCTCAGGTGTCAATGAGTCGGCCTTGCTGATAACTGGAATTATATTAACCAAGGGACCCAAAGTTTTCATGAACTCCACATCAATTTCCTTTAAACCATGCCCTGTTGGGTTGATCATGTAAAGGCAGCAATGCACACGGCCGTCCTTGAAACGTGGATTTCTTCTCACACGACTCTCCTCTAGCAAGATCTCATCGTATTGATGACGAATATAATCTGAGATCACATTAAAGCTTTGCGAGTTGTCTAAGGAATCACCGAAACCTGGAGTATCTATTATGTTCAATTGAATCTTAACACCTTCATCATCTTCTAGCTCTACAGTCTCTTCACGAAGTTGGAGGTCAATCTGAGTCGAATTGTCGGTGGGCAAAAGGATTGTGGTGGATACATCCACCACTTGTTGACCACACAACGTGTTTATAAACGTTGATCTGCCAGAACCTGACTCGCCTACCACCATAAGAGTGTAGTTGATTCCACGTCTTAAGTTCTTCCGCTTTCTTAACGCAGCCGAAGCTTCAATGATGCTTGCCATTGTACTGTATGTCTTGTTTTGCTTCTTGTGCTTTGTATTTACGCGTTCTATGTTGAGAGGAATTTTTAGGTCTTTTTTTTTTAGAAAATCCAAAAGATCAACAAGCGCCCTACAAGCCTCTTTAACCTTCGAGATGAAAACGCTCAATCGCCTATAAGCTTGTTGGAGCTGGCACACTGCTGCTTTCAACCATATTATGAGTCGTTATCGCAAGGTGGGCTATATTCAACAAGCGCAAAGAATTTCAAAAGAGGCAGGAGAAGTCTTCCCAATCCCAAAGCTGACATTCTAATTCAATACTACACTAAGACCTACTGAATTTTGGCGATCTCAGGACGATTATTCTTGTATAGTTCGTTTGTATATTGGCTGGATTCCGTCACATGACCGGGGACTGGATTTGAAAATTTTTTAGATTTGACTCACAGTTCAGTCGATTAATGTAAAATAGCTGCAAAAGTTGATAACGAATATTAGTAGGAGCATCTGATAGACAGTTTTCTGGTAGATCTAACTTGAAAAGTGAATTGAGAAGAAAATCACTAGAAAATGACGGTTTCTAAGAGTAAGAGGGTCGTCCTCATCGACAACTATGATTCATTTACCTGGAATTTGTATGAATACCTGTGCGAAGAGGGTGCTGAAGTTCTGGTGTATCGTAATGACAAGATCACTGTAGATGAAGTCGCAGGATTAAAACCTGATATTGTGTTCATTTCTCCCGGGCCAGGTCACCCCAAGACCGATTCTGGTATTTCGAGAGATTGCATCGAATTCTTCACTGGAAAAATACCCGTCTTTGGCGTGTGTATGGGGCAGCAATGTATGTTTGAAGTTTTTGGTGGGGAAGTCAATTATGCAGGAGAAGTAGTACACGGTAAGACCTCCGAAATCTACCATGACGATAAGGGAATTTTCAAGGATGTGCCACAAGGTGTAGCCGTCACCAGATATCATTCTCTTGCCGGCTCTAGATCGACCCTTCCTGACGTATTAGAAGTCACAGCTAAAACAGACAGCGGTGTTATTATGGGTGTCCGCCACAAGAAGTTCACTGTGGAAGGTGTTCAATTTCATCCCGAATCTATTCTCACTGAAGAGGGACATTTAATGATCAAAAACATTCTGAATACTCAAGGAGGAACTTGGGAAGAAAATGAGAGGTTAAGCAAAAATGAAAAATTTAAGACGCAAAGCTCTTCTATTCTGGATAGAATCTATTCACAGCGCCAACAGGACGTAGAGGAACTATCATCTATTCCTGGTTTTACAATGCGCGACCTCGAAGCTAACTTTAAGCTTGGACTCGCTCCTTCTGTTCAGGACTTTTATAAAAGGCTAACTTCTCACACTTCCAGGGCGGCTGTTCTTGCTGAAATCAAGAGGGCCTCACCTTCAAAAGGCGATATCGACATACATGCCATCGCAGCTGAGCAAGCTTTGAAATACGCCGGTGCAGGTGCATCTGCTATCTCTGTTTTAACAGAACCTCATTGGTTCAAGGGAAGCATCCAAGACTTACAAAATGTCAGAAGAGCACTAGATAAAGAATTCGCCCAGGATCCTTCTAAAAGACCCTGTGTTTTAAGGAAAGAGTTTGTCTTCAGTAAATATCAAATTCTAGAGGCTCGCTTGGCTGGTGCTGATAGTGTTCTTCTGATTGTGAAAATGTTGAGCCAAACTGAATTGCGCGACTTATATGATTATGCCACGAAAGAAGTAGGCTTAGAACCTCTCGTTGAAGTGAGCTCAAAGGATGAAATGATTAGGGCCCTGGAGATCAACGCAAAAGTGATCGGGGTCAACAACCGTGACTTACATTCTTTTCATGTTGACTTGAACACCACCAGTTCCTTGGTAAGCTCAGTTCCTGAGGGTACTATTTTGCTTGCATTATCCGGCATAAAGAATGGTAGCGACGCAGAAACGTATAAATCAGAGGGTGTGCATGGATTTCTTGTTGGAGAAGCTCTAATGAGAGCCAAAGATGTCAAGGCGTTAATTAGCGAACTAGTTAGATAGTTTTCATCATGAAATTCAAAAGTTTTATCTGTTTAGCAAAAAAAACAAATACACAACTAAGAATAGCTTATAAGATCAATCCTTCTTTAAAATACCAGGCTTGGAAAACTTCGAACTTTGGACATACTTGATCCCTTTGAATACATGTTCTTTGTCGTGGGTTTGCACAGCCACCAAAAAGCTCAAGTCAGTGAATTTGGGCCAATTAACGTATTGAATACCATTCTGGAAGATGAACCGAATGGACCAAATTAAGACTGAAGACGAGAAAAATAGAAAAGACAAGTTTTTCAAGCTTGTGAAATGGCCCTTCGGAAAGAAAATGGTGGCCGCAATGACCGTCAGGGCTGCATAAATCATCGTAGGTACGACCTGGATCATGAACGGTCTTCTATCTGGGAATGGCGATTGAAGGCCAGATTCATATGGCTTGAATTGGCCTAAGAATAAATCATAGCAATCTTGCCGTGGACCATCGCTCAAATTATTCTGATAGTAGCGAGAAGCAGAGTTAATAAAATCATTGAACGCTCCCATAAACGTTCTCTTACCGGTTCTAGTGAAATCAGTTTTCAAAGCACCAGTTCCAGAGTAAGCAAAACTGACTGCATCTGCGTTATCGGCCCAAAAACTTTGAAACTCCAACAACAGCTCCTTGTCATTTTCCCATAAGTGCCCAGGAGAAACCAGTGAAGCGGTTTCAAATGCTTGCTGTAAAACCCAGTGCGCTAAAACGGATTGGACGACATTCGTTCTATCTAAACAGTCCATACAGTTTGTTCTGACAACTGATTCTTGTCTTCTAAAAACCTTCACCGTGGTGCCATTTGCCCCGATTGCTTTGTGGAAAACATCCTTGCTGTCCAATCCCAATGCCTTCAAATGATCCAAAAGCAACTTGACCCTGTGCCATTGCATTTTACGGCATTCATGGTGGAAATCAAAGTAGACATAGTGGATATGAGGATTATCCAAGGCACTTACAGCAGATTCATAAGCATCCTTAACAGGAAGCTCGTGCCCCTTCTGATTGACCAAATTCACGAGATAGTTCTCCCCATAAAGTTTCGCTTGCTGGTCAAAGTGTTTCTTTGTTGCTTCGATTGAGGAGTTTTCGCCGAGCACCAAAGTAGGCTTGTACTTCAAGTTGTTAATCTCACCCCAATAGACCGGAACGGATCCTCTCGTCTGCAGATAAGAAAACAACTCTGCGTCTGAACTAGCTTCCTTTCTGAACACGAGAATCTGCTCAGTTTCATTGAAATTGGCGACATTGCCATCTGAATCAATGCCTCTGCGAAAATATCTGGTGCCCGCTCTGAATCTACTTCTTCTTGTGATCAATCCGATGTTGATAGGTGTTGCATTAAAGCTCGTTTCGATGAACTTAGCATAACCAAAAATCATAGGCTGAATGAAATCATCAACTCGAGCGTCTTCACTTGCTAATTTCTGCAAAGCTTCAGTGACATAATGGTTCCAGAAAAAACGGCTATCAGCAGTCCTCCAAGAAGCTTCCCCTATATCCTCGTTTCTTTGGGCTGAATTGGTTAAATCATAGGTATAAGAAAAGAACAAAGTAGCACTTGACAAATGCATATCGAGCAATGAAAGGTATTGCGACTCATCATTATCTTTTCTACCGTTTTTGTTCAAAGGCAAGATATGGTGCTCAGCCACTTTATACACTTTATGGCCATTAAGTGCGCCCGCATCTTCAACCCTATTAGCAATGACGGCGTAAGAGTTCGTCTTCAACTTAATGATACCTATAAGAGCAGCAATCTTCCGAATATCACCACGCGTCGGAAAGGTAGCAGCATCCACAATTCGAACGTCCTCTTCTTGGGGTCCTAGGTAAAGAACAGAATCATTTTTAGAAGACGTCGATGCAATCTTAAAAAGGACTTTGTCCCCAGATTGCGAGTAAAGTAAGGGTGCTGGCATTATTTTCTCACGTTGAATCCGTTTCTCTTGTCTTTTTGTTTGAAAATACTTTTTTATAACTCGAAGGTATTTCTCCCTTCCGTCGTACAGAGAACGAATATAGTGAGAAACAATGCATAAGCTTAGCGCCACATTGAAAGGACACGAACAAGATGTTCGTATTGTTGTTGCTATCAATGACCAGCTCGTAGCCAGTGGCTCACGAGACGGCACTGTTCGAATCTGGAAAACACATGATGACCATCATGTTTGGGAAGGTGTCGTACTTCATAAAAGTGAACAGTTCGTTAATAGTTTGTGCTATGACGAAACTCGTCAGTTACTCTACTGCGGAGGTCAAAATAAGCTAATCACTAGTCTTTCTCCTTTTGGGGGTATTGATCAAGAGTCTGAATTCATATTGGTAGGCCATGAAGGGAATATATGTAACCTCAGCTGTGATAAAGGGCTAGTCATGAGCAGCAGCTGGGATAAAACTGCAAGAGTGTGGAATAAGGGGATATCTGAATATGAATTGAAGGGTCATTCTGCTTCGGTTTGGGATATCAAAATGTTGCCAGAAGATGGATTTTTTTTGACTGCTTCAGCTGATAAGACGATAAAGCTATGGCACAAAGAAAAAGTACTCCAGACATTTACAAATATTCACAACGATGTTGTGCGACAAATAGCGATTCACCCAGATGGTGACAAATTTGCCAGCTGTTCAAATGATACGACTATTAAGGTCAACGATCTAGAGGGAAATGTTCTCAAGACGTTTTCAGGGCATGAAAGTTTTGTTTATTGCGTCAAATTTGCCCCTAATGGTGACATAGTTAGTTGTGGGGAAGACAGATCTATTAGGATTTGGAGTCCCGAAGGAGAAGTTAAACAAGTGATAAGAATTCCTGCTGTGTCAGTATGGACCATTGACATTCTGCCTAATGGTGACATAATCGCAGGAAGCAGCGACAATGTGGTAAGAATATTTACGGAGAATAATGACAGGTACGCCACCGATGAAGAGCAACTTCAATTGCAAAAAGATGTAGAAGAAACGGCGATCAATTCAAAAACGATGGATTTTGACGAATCTAAACTTTCTCCTTACGAAACTTTAAACCAACCTGGAAAGGAGGGCCAGGTAGTGGTAGTAAAGAGTCCAGTTGGCGTTACGGAAGCGCATCAATTTTCTCAAGGTCAATGGTCGAAAGTGGGAGATGTTGTCGGTTCTGCTGCAAATGATCAAAAAATTGACTTTGACGGCGGGAAGTACGATTTTGTTTTCGATGTTGACGTTCAAGAAGGCATGCCACCTCTTAAACTCCCCTTCAATGCTACAGATAACCCATATGAAGCAGCTGATCAGTTTCTATCGAGGAATGATCTTCCAACTGAATACAGGGAAGAAGTGGTCAGATTTATCATCAAGAATACTGGCATTACAACTTTTGGAGAAACAAGCAAAGATGAAATATCAGATGTCAGGCCAATGAAAGTCCTCCCGGTGAAGTCGTATCTGGAAATCAAAACCTTTAACCCAGATGCCATTTTCAAAGGCATAGTTAAAGTGAACAGCAGCGAGAAAACATTTGATGATGAAGATCTAGCGGCTATCGGCGCTGGTCTTCACAACATCAATGACAATTTTGAACTACTATTTGCTCAGGCTTCTATCATGCGCTCTTCTTGGTCCAATAAAACAGCCGCTTACGACATACTGAGGTTGATTGTCACTAAGTTACCCAGCGCAGATACGATAAGTGAGTTCATCGAGGAGGGACTGGATTCTTCTAAGCCAGTTTTAGAGATGTTAACAATAAGAACATTAGTCAACTCTTTCAACAATACAGCTTGGGGTACAGACCTTATGTCATCGAGTAAAGTCTATGAGTCAATATTTGAAACAATCGATGTACAATATCCGGGGCTTCAGCCAAAGCAAACCGGAAACTTGGCCATTAGCATTGCTTCTTTAATTTTCAACTACAGCGTTTTGGTCTTGCATAGTCAAAATCTTGCGATAGTTCCTATTATTGCCGATACGCTCAATAATAAGTTCGGGCCTTCCGCATTATGCCAAGATTCAGAGGAAGCTTCCTACAGGCTTTTAATGGCTTATGGTAATATTTCTACGGTAGAGCCAACTCTCAAACAATTTGCACCATCAGTTTCATGGATTAAGCATGTACGTGGCAGGTATTCCTCTATTGCAAGATTCCAGGATGTGCTCCATGACCTATCTATTTTATAATCAGGGTAACCATTATATAAAAATAAACGATCTTTGAAAAGGTGTAGAAGATTTGAGAAAGAATTCAACTCAGAGTAACATCGAGGAATAAATATGTCCGTCGAAGAGTCTTTGGATAGTATAATTGGCGGACAGGTATGAGTAAACAATTAAAAATGATCCGTGCTGATTTTATGCTAACTTTGGTTAAAGGAAACCCGCCATAGAGTCACAGTAAGTTGATAAGTTCCCACCGAAAAGCTGCGGCCCTTTATTAACAATTCTTCAGAAATACCGTCGCCGTGACCTAAGAAATGGATTAGCATCTCGGATTGGCACGAGAGAAACTCCATATCGTGATCTGGATCCCAGAAGAAGCAAGAAAGAGTCAGGGATTGAAACCGAACGTCCAGCCTCAAAAAAGCGTGCGCGCATTCTGAACATACCTCTCGAAGTATCGGATTATACAATTGAAGATATGGTAAAAGAAATTGCTAAGCCTATTTATTCAAATTTTTATGATCACAAGGAGGGCAGAACAGCCGTTTTTGAATTTGAAGATCCTGCTAGCATTGAAGAAATAATCAAAAAATTGAATGGGAAAGAGATGGGCAACCAATCTTTGGTGGTAGAATCCTTCGAATCGCAAAGACGGCAAGATCGCCGCGCTCAACGTCGCGGGAACCATGGTTCGAGACGGGGTGGAAGGGAACCCAAAAAAGAAAAGGCAGAAAAGCCCACCGTAGATCAACTAGATGCCGAGCTAGAAGCATATATGAATAATTAAGCAACTTCAGTCGTTAGAGTTTTAGATCTGTTTTAAATTTCATATCATTAGCCGAATATATTCATCTTTTATACTGTATATGACAAAACTGTACAAGGTCATCACGCAATTAAAGCACACAAATGTAGTTTTATGATTTTGAGTTAATTTAGTGACCGCCACCGCCAATCTCAATAGCTGGTGCACAACCTAGACTCTTCTTCAAAGAACCATAAATACCGAATTGCAAGGAAGTCAAGGTACCAACCATAACCAAACGAGTAGGCAAACCAGCGAAAGAACCGACGAAACCAAGCTGCTTAGCAAGCTGGGCCAACAAACCGATGGTTGATTGACCTGGGGCCTTCTTGGTCTTGTTAACCTTAGACAACAAAGTGTCAGCAGGTTGAGAAACAATGGCAGCAGCCAAACCAGCAGTCAAACCAGATAGCAAGTTTAGACCAGTAGTGGTAGTTTGAGACAAGCTCTCCTTAGGGCCAGCCATGCCGAAGTACACTTCAGCCGCACGTTCAAACACCAAGAACTTGGCGATATTGTATGGAATTTGCTTGAACAAAATTGGGGTGAAACCAGCGTAGAAAGAGCCAATACCTTCCTCTCTCAAGATTCTGGAGAAACCACCGACAAGACCGTTTGCGAATTGAGGTTGAGACACCAATCTGATTCTGGTAGCTTCCAAAGGACACAAGGCAATGTCAGCAAAGAATTCAGCAATAGCAGCAGAACCAATGTAAATGGAGTTTTTGTAGTTGACGGCCTGTTCGTAACCCAAAGTGTCAATGAACAACTTCTTGAAAACTTCATAACCACCGAACTTGAAAGCACCTTGAACAGAGTAACCCAACAAAGTTGGACCGAAACCAGTCAACAAGGCACCAGCACCCTCAGCAGAGATAATTTGCTTGAAAGAAGCAATCATACCTCTGTTGTAAACAGTTGGTTCCAATTGGATTCTGGTCTTAACCACATCGATTGGAACCATCGAAGAGTGGGTAGAACCACAACCAATAGCACCAGCCAAAGCAAATTTGGCGTAGTCGGAAAGAGAGTATTCTGGGATGACAGGAGTAGACATTTCCTTTCAGCTGTTATTTGTTTTGCAAGAGGTGAGGCGTTAAATCAAGCCGTGATATTTTATACCTACGGACAGAGTCGAGAAAAGAAAGAAGATAGATTAAAATTTTTCAGAAGTTGCAAACGATGAAATTTGATTGGCTGAAACTAACCACGAAATTTTACATCATAGCTTACAAACCTTAAATCCAGTAGAACCGAAATTACCACCAATATAAAACATCAACAAAAGGAAAAGGTTGTAAGATAGGGGAGGCCCTGTTGCTTTCATATGTATAATGTAGGAAAGTGATGCTCTAAACCATAGTTCGCCAAGTTATGAAGGATCACCGAACCAACAAATAAAGCTCATCTATAACGTCGACAATACACCGTGAAAATGAGATTTAGGTAAATACCCCACATGCTAGATAATTATGCGCGCTTGTCAATAAAGAGCGCCGCATTGTGCAACTAGTGTAATTACAGCCATTGTTCTTTTAAAATCCAGTGGACAATCATATCTAGATTGCACCGCGATTCGAAGAGAATACTTAAAATTCAGAGCTTGCAGCTCATCGACTTCACATATACAGCAATTGGAGAGTGAAGTCAATTTTTCTGCGTAATTTCTTGAACGTGTGCTAAATGCAGAAGTTTTAGGCCCCTCAAGACAAGCTTTCATCTCACTGTCTCAATTGAGGTTTTTACCAATGATTGTAATGGTAGCTCCCCCAGCCTAAAAACACATGAAATAGCTACTGCGTACAGTTATTACGCGTTTTAATAAGGAAGGTATTGACGATGTCTTAAAATGCTTAAAAATCCATTCGTAATCCGAAGGATATGGCCGTTGAATCTCGTGGGGAAACAAAGTCAATTTACATGATAGTGTTACATGTGGGGAAAAAACGCGCTAACACTTTGAATAAAGTTATGGTAGAAGATATCTTCTATATATAATATACGGACATACCAGAGGCCCTCAACCTACATCACAATTGCGCTGAACACAAAGCACAACGATATCATTAGGATATTTTTCACAGAGCTATGAATTAAACGACTGAACGTACAACCTTCTTATTCAGCTCACACTCCATTTGAAGCGCAACTGAACACAGTTCCGTATGCATCATCTTGATAATTCAGAACAATGCTATCGATGGCCGCATAAAGACCAGGTCCGAGGATAAACAGACCTATTAGGATCAAGGCAATCGCAATATAGAGATGAACCTTCTCTGCGCGATCGAGCGACGCATACAGATTATGTTTTCCATATTTTAATTCCTTCAATTTAAAGTAAGCAATCCCCCAAAACACGAAACCAAACCAGCAATCGAATAATGAAGACATCAAAGATAGCAAATCGGAGAAAAATGGGATGACTTCAGCGATTATGAATGCACCAATCCATGTTAAAGTAAGTAATCCAATCCAGGTCAACCATCCCGTGGTGGTGTGAGTGTAACGGTGTTTTGAGTTTTGAAAAATGTTGTGAAATAAAAATCTGGAGGAGACATTAGCGTAAAGCGCGCCAACAAACAGAATAGTAGGGATAGCAAAAGAAAAGGATATGATCTTATACTTCCTGATTAGGGACCCAAAGGCGGGTGCAGTGATGTAGTAATTGCCCACATAGACATACATGATGGCACCTGCTAGTGCAAAAATGATCACCTCGGCAATTGTGGTTATCCACAACACTTTCTTGAAGTCCCGTGGATTCTTCATCTCCGAAATAAATTGTGGGTAAGTAATCTGGCCAACAAACGTATAAACGATGTTCAAGAACGCCCCCATCCCCTGGACAAAAGTTGTGCCCTCTGCCGGAAACGCTCTGAAAACTACCCCAGTTCCATCATAACCTTCAGGATGGCTCTGTACGCCTGCGAAAATCATAGCCAACACAACTGCGATGAACATGGTGATAGCGGAGAAATACCCAATCAACGAGAGCGAATAAAAAGTTCTGGGGATTGAGATGACAAGGGAGATACATGCCACGATTACGCCGAAAGAAACCGAGCAAATCGAGTGGTTGGTCACAGTATTCAGGTATTTGGCGCCAACAAGAACGTGCAGCCCCTGTATCAGCGTGTTGTTCGCGAGAAAGCACACTGCAGTCGCGTACCAGGCCCACTTTTTGCCCCAGAACAGGTGTTGCCCGATGTCGCACACGTTCTTCAAGTGAGGAAACTTCTCACAGTAATTCAGGATGATCAGTCCAGTGTACAGCACCGTGACCGCGACAAAGACAGTCAGAATAAGCCCCGGAACCAGCCCCAAGACCGAATAAGACCACGGGAAAGACATGATCGCCAGTACGATGTACTCAGAAAGCATCAGCCCCGTAGTGTGCTGCCAAGAGCATGTTCTGTACTTGATGTCGTGCTCTTCCTCGTCTTCAAACGCAGAAGAAACATACTTATCGCTATCACTCAGAAGAGACCGCTCCTCTGCCAATTCCGTGGAACTTAAATTAGTAACCCCAGTAGATTGCGCCTCTGCGACTTCAACATCCTTTCTAGAGTCCTTATCCCGCTCATTCTCGTTCTCGAACATGACGCTAAGCTTCTAATAAATTCTCTAGATCTAGACTTGGCACAGCTTCAATAACTTAAGACAGCATTCAAGATTTTATACAAAACCTACTAAGTTCAATTTACCTGCTCGAAAGACGCCATGAAGACAAAAAGAAAGAATTGGCTCCACACCAAGTGCAATTTTTTTTGCTTAGTTCACCACATCTTCCTTTTTCATACTAATCTCGTTGTGCATGCTTTACGGCATTTATTGCGATTGACAGAAAGTTATAGGGTCCGGGCTTCGCCGCAGAAAGGGCCGATTAGTGCGGTGTAGAATTCTACGGACGCATTTTAACACGTGGTAGCGTCTACGCTCGTAGTATATACCGTTCAAGGTTGCTCGTTTATAGCACTGAAATGACAAAAAGTCAAGATACTCTTGGCACATTCTTTTTGCCTGTGTACAATATGATGTAGTCTGCCATTAGCCTTTGGAACTCCACTTACTGTAATTGGCGAATATCGCCTGGAAAACTCACGAACCCCACAACTTGCTTGGCAATTATAGTAGGACGAAACCACGTGACTTTGAGACTTTCGAAAGACATTAACTTCCGTGACTTCGAATACGGCGACGAGAGATGGATTGATGCCGTGGCCAACCGATGCAGTGGCCAATCGTTGCGTATGATATTGTCGAATTATGGAGTAAATATGTAGAATTGTACTGGAATTTGGAATTCCTCGGGCGGTGTCTGTTTACGGTTGGATCGTCATTGAGGTTATTCGGGCTGGAGTTGGTAGGCCATCGACGGATAGGTTTAAGGCTCTTTTAAGAAGGCAGATCTTCAGCGCGTCTATAACATCTGGAAACCTGCAAGCTTACGCTTCGTAGTACTTGCTCAGGCACAACGGTTGCAAGACATTGAGTCACATTGAGTCATTTCGCGTTCTTCCCTTGCGGCTCTTTGCATTGCTGATATACGATGCAGCGTTTAACAATAAACCTGTTCAATAAAATTACTTGCATAGAAAATGACATCTACTTAGCTCAAAAAATTTAAAGGACCCTTTCCAGGCTCCTAATGCGAGAGAACCTCTCTTGAACGAAATCAACAAGCCTTCCTATAGTTGAAATGCTCATTCTTTCTTGAGTCTCAGGCGCTTGAACTTCAAAGAAAACCACTCCGCAATTGGATCATCATCCTCGACATCAATGTATTCTCCCTCCTTGATGTTTGAGTGCGCAATTTCATCCGTCAAAGGCGGGTCTCTTAGACACAGGGAGAAGAACAGCAAAGGGGCTGTGAAAACCAGAGCCACCAATGTTTCCAACCGTTGGACGTATTTGTAGGCTTCAACGAGGGCTTCCCTTTGTGGCGTTCCCCAGGTGTATGTGACAATGAAAGTGTAAGGCTCCTCGTAAGCAGCAGCGGCCAAAGTAGCGTCTCCCATGTGTTTAAGGATTTGCTTATACAGTGTCTGGGTCCAAATTGCACCAGATACTGAGCTTCCCACAGCAGAACCTATCCTGTACAAGGTATAGTTCAAAGCTGTGACAGTTGCCATGTTTTCGTGCGATGTCGCGGATTGGACAGAGACATTCACTGGATAGGTGAACATGGTGGTCCCAAGACCCCAAACACATAAGGCGCCAATAATACCAGCATGCGACTCCTCACCGCCTCTGAAACGGTAAAGTAGACCCATGCCCACCATCCAAAGGGCACAACCAAACACGATATAAGGCTTGAGCCTCTTGCATCTTGTGATGTATAGAGCGAAGAAAGGAGACGCAACCACAGACACGAAGGATGACAATGTGCTGATTCTGGTTGCCGATTTGATCGATTCATTCACCGCAATGATCATAACAGTGTACAGGTAATCTGCCGCCATGTAATATATGAAGTCAATCAAAAAGGAAATTCCCATAGCAGCCCAAACACCGCGATCCTTGACCAAATCAAATGGGACGATTGGATCTCTGGCCCATTTTGATTCCCAATAGAAGAATAATGGAATTAAGACAAACCCAAGCACAAAAGGACCAATCAAATGAGAGTTGTTCCAGTCGGATTTGACACCCCCAGCAAGAGTCAGAGGAGTGAGAATGCAACCAAGTGAGGCACACATCAAAAGAATACCGATAGAATCGAGCTTCCAAAATAATTCAACCAGCGTCTTGACAAGTCCATGACTCTGGAAAAAAGTTTTTTCTTCATTCAAAACCTTCCATTCAGTAGTTTTGCGGGCTTTCAACCTCATGTGTAACATACACAGGATAATTGGAATACATGACAGGGGGAAGATAAACGCCCACATTCCAATATCCCATGACCAATTATCCTTAGGGTCTGCCCTAGAAGTAATGTTGCCTGAAATCCAGGTATTGATAATAAAGGGCCAAGTGGGAACGAACTGGTAAAGGAGTCGGTATCTCAAAGAAGAGAAATCAGATAAAATTAGCAGCAACACAAACAAAACACCAACATAGCCCACATTGTAGAAAACTGACCCAGCACAATAGTTTTGAATGTTGTGGGCTTGTGATTGAATGATAGTACCCATGACGTAAAACACAACTGCAGTCAGGAAGATATAAAGTCTTCCGAAAACATCAGACAACCTAGCATAAACGAGTTGAGCCGCAGCACTAACAATTGCATTGATAACATTAAGTGTAGAAATCAGGGAGTGCTCTTGATATGATGAAGCAGCATAACTTGTGTAAACATAACGAATGTTTCCATCCAAACCATACCCATATCCGCATAAGAATGCAGAAAATAGTAATATAGCTTTGAAATACCACGTATTATACTGAGCGGACATGATCTCCGATTTTCTGATTGTAATGGTCTTAGTAGCCCTCAGCCTATCTTCAATTACGACACTCTCAGATGGAAGTCCCATGACCTTCTCATCATCGACCATCCCAGTGACGGCTTGCTCTTTCTGAGCAGTACCGCCAGAGAAGGAAGTTCTATCATCTTCAGCTAGACCAGGCATTGTGATGATGGGTACAACCTAGAATGCCAAGGAAAAAGTCAAACTGCGCTATTCATTTTTTTATACTCTTCATTAGTTTTTATTTTACGGGTGTTCCTGCAAATAAATGGGTGCATTGTTCGCGGTGCGCACTTTTTAAAGGAGTAAAATGAAAGAAAAAAAGTGTCTATACCAGTGACAACCAAATATTTCACTAAGATTTGCGCGCATGATCAAACGGTGAAGCATTTAACTGCGTTATAAAGGCACAGGTTATTGTCGTTTTTCACAGACTAAAGATCCGTTTACGTCAATCTGTTCGAGAATGAAATTTCACCAGTACCTACCCAAGTTCTACAGAAACTATTAGAATCAGCTCTTGCTCAAATGAGATGTCAATAGGGTAGTTTAAGAAACAACCGAACAGATGAGATCCATCTAATGCCAAGATTGAGTCGGACAATTGCATGCCAAGCGCTTCAATAATAGCTTGTCCAAGCTAAATATATGTTGCTAAATCTTCATGGGTTAAATATGCATATTGGTAGTGAAGGATCCTTGTTAAATCACTTTGCGTCTCAGAGGAAAAATCGTGGATTTAATTATATATGCAAGCGTTGTCCTCATTTTTAACCGTGGCTCTTGAAGTGATGCCTTAGTTATATTTTAGACATTAATGCTGCTCATTAAGTAGGCGTGCGGTAAATTAACTCTTCAAAATTTTACGTTATATATCTAGGTCTTTTCACGTGTTATTCTGTGAACCATTTACGATTTCGGACTGGCAAGGTCGAGAAAGTTCATCCTACTGACTAGTCCATTAGAATGCAATGCCTTACCAACTCGTCTTTTTTCCCCTCCAACACTCGTACATAACGATCATCACGATGTGTCTAGGCTTGGCTTGTGAGTTACCTGGTAACGTATATTGTCCACTGAGTAATTACCTGTGATGAATGGGTAACTCAGTAAGAGTATCATATTTAACGAATAAGTAGCCTGAGCATGCATCGTTAATGATTACCTCAATTAATGATAATTATGGTTCGCTTACTCCTTAACTGAGATTGGCTGTACGTACATTCGTACTTCATCTATGAGCAAATATCCTGAGTGCCATTTGCATTTACGGTGTTCTCATACGGATAAGTGATGATAGAATCTTCTTCTACGCTTTGAAGATGGGCTTTTTCGAAATCACTAGGTTCTAGCGTATGAAAAATGCCGAATACAAGTACTTACGGCTCAAGAAGATGTTTGGAGTAGTTTTTATTGTAGCCAAGAATTGGCGAAGCTCAGTTGAATGATCCGAACTGTGAAAATTTCGGCCAATGATTATTGTACTTTCGAAAATGATATGCCTGAGTCGTTTTCGATCTTTTTTTCTGATCTTGCTTGCGTGAGAAAACAACTTGCTTCAGCACATGTACTCGGTTTTGTATAGAAAATGGACAGGAGTAGCTTAAATGACCGAGGGGTTTATAAGGTCTGCACATACAATCACTCTAGAACCCTCTACCTGTTCTATTTGAAACAGAAACTTATGATTCTCAAAAATTTCAATATTTCTCCCTCCTACCCGCGGAGTGCAACACCGGGCGACACTTCAAAAAAATCCATTAAGATCTTTTTTCACAATAGCTTACCACAATCATAGTTCTTGCTTGTTTTTATCTATTTATTACTTCGATTTTAAATATGAGCCGATAGAGAATTTCGAAGTTTAACCGCTTAATTAAGCCAATTATGAAATGAGCTAATTGAAGACGTTCGACTCGATTAATCAGACTTGCATAGCTCCTATATTTGAACGCTGGACTAAGAGCACTGGAAGCATCTTGGATGTGTTAACAGAACTGAGGGAGCTTTGCTAAAGGAATTTGCCCTTAAAATAGCATATGCCATCCGTAGTGATGTTGAGCAGGCATTATCAACACTGCTGCATCATTCACTTATTTGAATTTTTTGCCACTCCCTTCAAGCCTTTTAAACTCTATTCTAGTGTATCGCGATCATCTTCCCAATGATCGCAAGTTTCATGTAAGACTTTACACGAGAAATGGGGGTTGCATTAACAAATGTCGAAAGCCACCCCCAAAATTTTGCAACGTTGCTATACCTTCTTGATCTGTATTTCATCGTCATGACTGCACCGTGTTTTAAAGTTTGTATACTTGATATTTAAAGAGGACTTTTACTATAAATCAACATGCTGAAAGAAGCAATTGATAACTCCAAATTGAATTGTCGAGTCGATTCTGTATCTTCATTTTTCCTCGTCCGATCTTGTCATAGGGTATCAAACTTACTGATTACCGAAAGTGCAAGAAATTCAAAATATGAGATGTTATGACTGTGATCGTGATTGCAATCTTACAAACTATAAGCCACAAAGTTCCCACAATATTTCAAATCATTTCAAATTCATGATGAAAACACTCAAGAATAACACTATTTCAGTTTTAAATACTATGGAGCGGCTTTTTATCTGAACGCAAAAGCATTTGGTAAGTAATAATATAAATTCACAAGGTACAAGACACGCTTTATTGGCAAAAGGTTCCTGTTTAATGCTAGAGAATCATAGAAAAGATCAAATATTTGTAAAGGCGTCTAAAGAACTAAAAGACAAAAACTTTTTATTTGCGTAAGAGAATGACAAAACATGGATATGCATCCTAATCATTGTAGCAACAAGCTAGCATTGTAATTTTTGGTTTTGTAATCCCAGTAGAAAGTCAACTCGGTTTGGTTACTGGTTTTCTCGATTTCACATGAGGAGACATAGTTGGTGCCATTTAGCCTGCTATTGGCGTAAGTAATGAAGTCTTCAAATTCACAGGAGAAACCTGGACCACTTGAGCACTTTTCGATTGGAATAACGACGTCATTAACAACGTATCTAACATAAGTTTGATTAGAACATTCGTAAAGTTGAGTGTAAACTCTAGCACCTTGTGGAACCATCCAAGACTTGTGGTAGAGGTGATTCTTGATTGGAACATAGGATACTGGAAGCTTGTTACCGTCGTCAAACAAACCAACCGCAGCCAAGTAGTTTACAATGTTAGTGTCATGGGTGAAACTCAACCACACCTTTTGGTCCAAAGAGTCGCTTTGCTTCAAAAGTTCAACGGAGGCGTTAAAATTAACAGCACCAACAGTCTTTCCCAAAGAGTTACCTGGACCATCCATGTAGTAACTCGTCAAGTCATCATAGTAAGAGAAGTAAACTAGCTCTTCGGGCTTAAAAACTTCACAAATCTCACTGTAACCCTTAGCGTTAACTTCATAAGCACACCACGAGAACATGTTTAGCGCATCGCTGGTGGTCAAGTTCAAACCTTTGTTTTCGTTGTTCAACCTGGTGGCGATGTCCTTCAAGTAAGCAGTAGAGTAGTTAGCGTACACAGCAGCGTTTTCTGACTCGTTGTACACAGTACATGAGTTGATTGGGGTCAAGGTGTTGGCACCACTGCTGATATTTTCGTCAATAATCTGCATACTCACATTGTACTTGTCGCCCAAAGCATCAGCGAAAAACTTTGCAGTGTCGTGAACTCTCTTAGAGTTAGAGGTGAACATAGCGAATGAAGTGGTGTCGTTCAATAGGTCGCTGTATTGGTTCAAGAATTCGCGAGCATGAAGTCTGGCATCCTGCTCACCAAGATAAGGGTTGATAGGGTCCAAAGTGTTCTCCCACGTCGTAAGCTCTTCGAAGTTGTCAGAGTTTGGAATGAAGAACTCATAACCGTTGTTCAAGAAAGCCAAAGAGCCATTGGCGGCCGTCAAGTTGGCCATCTTGGCATAAGTAGCAGCAATCTTGGCACCAGTGCCGTTGGTTGGGTATCTTTCACCGTGTCTAGCAAACAATTGAACTTGCTTGATGGTACATTGTTCTGGCACTTCCTTTGGAATGCCGTAGCTCAGAGGGTATGAAAAGTGGGGAGCGGAACCGGCCAAGTAAGGGAAGAGATGTTCTTGCGTTCCAATGATATCGATATCACTGTCTTTCTTCCATGGAAGAGTAGGAGCGGCTTCAACCAAAGCAGCAGCTAGAAGGACAAAGGGAAGCGCAACCATTTTTCAAGATGGATATGGTCAGAATATTTTTCTTCTCGATGATTGAGCTTACTGACTGCATCGTATCTTCGAGTATGCTCGCCTTATATAGCGTGTGCTCATGAAGAACTGATCTCCATTCATCCCCACGTGGAATTGGGAATACTCATCATCAAGCTACCTAAATGGGTTATTCATTCGTTTAGCACCTTAAAACTTCATATCAACAAAACTTTGTCTCGGCACCGGAGTTCCCCTAAATTACAAACACGTGCCGGAAGCCCGACGTTGCCCAAAATTACCAAGAATTGAGCAAAGAATGCAACTTTTCCCCGCTTCGACTTCCATTTTGGACCTAAAAAGAAATACTAAGCTTCTCGGCGAATTTAATCTCCAGTGGAGTTTCCCGTGGAACGCTCAATACTACGCCAGGTGATGCTTCCGACTGGCAGCAATGATTTCAGGCACAACTAATAGTTGAGCATTTTACCCGACGGTATGAAGCAAAAAAGGCGCCTGAATACTCATGAAAAATTGTATTTTCACCCAGGAAACGTGCTTAGATGGCTCGAGTTAGGTAAGCTTAACCAGGTTGGTTAATTCAATCCGCCGAGTCGGCATGAGCATTAGATTGCTAATTTTAATCATAAGAGGCATCTCGAAAAAAAAACATTCTGCCCATAAAATTATTTCATGGCTCAGCAATGACGTAGCTGGTGTCCATCACAAGACCACAGATGCACTCTCAAGGTGTGCTCGAAAATATATGTGGGCAGCAATGGCGTTCCGTTTTTAGTTCAACAGGATCGGGCACATTCGTCGCTGACGATATCACGGATCGTTCCCAATTGTGAGTAGCGGTATATAGTTGGAAGCTAAAATGACCGTAATATTAAAGAGATCATGTCTCTCTGGTTAGAGAAGTTCTGAATGAAAACTGTACGCGCAGCTGTCTTTACATTTAAATGATCTCTGGAAGGTGCTGTCTTGGTGAAGTCCGGCTATGTTTTCGTAGCGCTCATCGAGCTTTCGCCAATGAAGTACATACTACACATGTTTGTGCCGAGCGATTAAGGGCTTGACTAAACGACAATGTCGCTTACTACTTGCAATAGCTGACCACAGTCCCGATTATATCTGTTGGTTTATGGAGAAAATGCGCTAGCGCTCTTAAGAGCCATTGTCAAGGTTGTAATTATTTTATTGAGAAGTAACTACTCTATAGGGAACGCGACTTTTCTTTTTCATTTTGTGTATAATATACAAAAACCACTGATAGCATTCATCAATCAATGGTCTGCTTTTTGAACATTTGGAAGAAGCTGTAAGGACTTCTTGATAGCTTCGACACCCTTTAGAAGATCAGTTTCGGAAATCACCAAAGGAGGAGCCAATCTGATGATGTGATCATGAGTAGGCTTTGCAAGAACACCTTGGTCCTTCATTAGTAGACACAAGTCCCAAGCAGTTCTTCCGTTTGCCTTAGTAGGGTCAATAACAATAGCTCTCAAAAGCCCTTTACCACGAACTTCGGATATTATGCCATTAGATAGCTTTTGCAACTTTTCCAACTCAGTCTGTAATAGGTCACCCAATTTCTGAGATCTTTCAACAAGGTTTTCATTCTTAACAACTTCTAATGCTGCAATGGCAACACGTGAAGCTAGAGGGTTACCACCATAAGTAGATCCATGAGAACCAGGTTCGAAACAGAGCATAATGTCCTTGGATGACAACACACAAGACACTGGCAGGGTACCACCAGAAATAGCCTTACCTAAAAGAATAACGTCTGGTTTAACATTTGGCGTGTGCTCGTAACATAGCATTTTACCTGTACGCGCAATACCTGTTTGAATTTCATCACAAATGAAAAGAACATTATACTTCCTACAAAGCTCTTGAACCTTGAAAAGATAATCCTTAGGAGGAACCACAATACCTGCTTCACCTTGAATTGGTTCTAGAATAATAGCTGCGATACGATCTCCTGCATTTTTGAAAGCTTGCTCAACATCTTCGATAACACCGTATCTCAAATATTGGTCAGCAGTACCCGGGATTTTTGCAGTTGTATTCTCCAAGAATGGACCGTAAAATTTACGACCATCTTCTTCATCAGTAGATAGAGAAATAGCTCCAAAAGTACGACCATGAAAGTTCCCCTTAGCACCTAGGATGATTGCTTGATTGTCAGGTACACCTTTCTTCATGTAGGCCCATCTTCTGGCAAGTTTTAACGCTGTTTCAACAGCCTCTGCACCTGTGTTCATAGGAAGAACCATTTCATAGTGGAAATATTCTGTGACATACTTTGCAAAGGCTGCAAATACATCGTTTGAAAAAGCTCTTGAAGATAGAGTCAACTTCCCAGCTTGATCAACAAGGGCTGAAATAATTTCCGGATGACAGTGACCTTGGTTAACTGCAGAATAAGCGGACAGAAAATCAAGGTACTCCTTTCCTTCGGGATCCCAAACTCTAGCACCAGAGGCTTTGGAAAACACAACGGGAAGAGGATGGTAGTTGTGGGCAGAATATTCTCTCTCGTACTCAATCGCTGTCTTGGAGGAAAGATTCAAATTCACAGAAGACATTTTAGCGGCCTGCACTTTAAAGCCAGCTAACGTGCATTTGTTTGCAACACGTGCTCTCGACAATTGACTTCTCAAAGAAAACATTTTAACTCCAAGCTGATTTAGTCACAGCAAGATGGGGTTTAGGATAAAGAGATTGAGAAGCTCTCTTTTATACCGAAACTTTTACACTGAATTCATCATTCGATTGATCAGGAGATTTCTATGTCTTCACTGCCGTTTCATTAAGATAATGGTCGCTGTCGCTAGTGCATAGGGGTAATATATGAACGCATTTTCTAATTTTCGTCGAATTATACGACGAAAAGAAGGCATCGGAATTAGCTACCCGAAAAATAAAATATATTAACACTAAAGGAAAGATCAACCTAAGTAATTACAGAAGGCTTTTTTTTTTTGAGATTCACCGCCCGGAATGATGGGCCACTGAATAGACTCATGCAACATTTTAGTATGGCTATCAAGGCCATCTTGATTTTCCTTAGCACTATGCTACTGCTTAAATTCAGAAATGGATCTGAATGCTTGATGCACTGTAATGGTTGTTCACTTCGTGACCTTTAATTTACGTTACTCGCTGAATTTTCATACTAACAATAATGAAGCAAGGCTCGAATAAATTCTGGGTCTGTATATACCCTCGTTCCTGTACGGATGGATGCCTTAGTAGCATAAGGGATGGTTAACGTAGAACTTGGCATTCCTGTCTTGTGGTGGAACATGGCGAAAGGAAGCCATACAATGCTTCAGGCATAGATAAACGTTTTCATTTCATTTTTTGTGAAAGCATTTGAGAATGTTTAATTAGTGAATTGGTATCTGTTATTACTATGTATCAGTTTTACGAACGAATTGAAACGTTTGGACGAATCTAAATACATTTGAAACCATGAAAGCACTAGCTTCTATGATGTCAATTGCACTATAATAATGCGAGTGGGAGTAAGAAAAGAATTCCTGCTTTGATCTTGTTAGCAGCACCTTCGTAGGCTGATACTGACACTAGCGAAGAAGTTGAGCTGCCAGAAGTTTGTGTTCCCACAACTGGAGTAGAAGTTATGCTTGAAGCTGGAATCAAAGTTTCCTGCGTTGATGAAGTCACCGTGGTACCTTGGTTAGAAGGAGCGGTTGTCAACGATGAAATGATTGTAGTACCAACAGGAGAAGGTCCTTCTGTGGCAGAAGTGTAAGGGGTGCTAGGAGACTCAACAGTCTCGCTGCTAGAGCTTACAGAAGATGTTTCAATCGATGGCACACATCCGTTAGTGCAGGTGGTGGTGTAGACTGTAACATGGCCAGATAATGTAGTCGTCACAATAGATTCAGTCGACACAGGTCCAGTGGTCTCCGCAGTGGAGAGTTCGCTTAAAGGACAAGTGGTAGTATAAGAAGTAATTTCTCCAGAAACGGTGACAGTAACTACAGTTTCGGTCACACCAGTAAAGGTAGTAGAAACTGGAGCTGAAGAGGAAGCCTCGGCGGAAGATGACACAGTGACCGTTGAAAGTTTACCAGAGTTGGTAGAAACAACACTTTCAGATTGGGATCCCGTGTTCGTCGTTGAGGTGGCAGACTTAGAGTTTTCACTGAGAGGACAAGTAGTAGTGTAAGTTGTCACAGTACCAGATACCGTAGTCGTCACCAAAGTCTCACTACTAGCAAGCGAAGTGGAGAAAGAACTGGCACTTTGAGAAGTCAAAGTCGACGTAATTTCCTTAGGTGCGGTGCTTGTTGACTTGGATTCTGTCGTTGGAAATTCCGTGCCGGATGTTGTCTTACCAGTTTCGAAAGAGCTTTCAGATGTGGTTGAAACAACGGTTGACACAGTTGATGAAGTGGTTTCACTTGAGGTCTCGTATGGTGTTGAACTAGTGGAGTTCAAAACGGATGTGGTCGTTGACGAAAGTGTTGTAAAAGAGCTCGATGAAACGCTAGAGCTCGATGTTGATCCAAACTCAGAAGAGGTAGTGGTGGACCCGCTAGAAGAAGCTGGTGTGGTAGGTGTTGTCAAAGTAGAAGACAAGGTAGGGGTGGATCCGCTAGAAGAAGCGGGTGTGGTAGGTGTTGACAAAGTGGAAGAGGACAAGATAGTACTCGACGTGACTGGAATGGTAGAGCTTGAGATGCTCAAAGAGCTGGAGCTAACAGTGCTGGCCGAAGTTGATGAAACAGCAAATGAGCTTGAGCTTGTCGTAGCCGCCGTAGTCGAACTCAAAGTAGTTGAGTTAAAAAAGCCAGGAGTAGAAGTGGAGGAAGTAGCGCTAGTCGTAGCTGGTGTGGTCGAGCTTGAAGCGGTCGAAGAGCTAACGCTTTCAGTAGTTGACGACGTCGAAACAACGGAGGACGAAATAGAGCTGGTTGTAACTGGTGTAGTCGAACTCAAAGTCGTGGTTGAAGAGTTGAAAGGCACAGGTGTTGTGGAGGTTGAAAGAATAGAAGTGGAGGAAGTAGCGCTAGTCGTAGCTGGTGTGGTCGAGCTTGAAACGGTCGAAGAGCTAACGCTTTCAGTAGTTGACGACGTCGAAACAACGGAGGACGAGGTAGAGCTGGATGTAGCTGGTGTAGTCGAGCTCAATGTTGTTGATGAGTTGAAAACAGAAGTGGTCGTTCCTGGCAAAAGCGTGGTAAAAGAGCTAATTGAAATACTGCTAGAGCTCGAAGTCGTCGATGGAATCTCTGAAGAGGTGGTGGTAGACCCGTTGAAAGGAGCAGGCGTAGTTGATGTTGATAGAGTAGAAGAGGACGAAGTAGTGCTCGAGGTGGCTGGTGTAGTTGAGCTTAAGATGGTGGTAGACGAGCTCGAACTAATAGGGGTTGTGGTAGAAGAGACAGTAGACAACGATTCAGAAGACGATTCACTTGATGTTGAAGAAATTGAAGTGGAAGAGGATAGTGGTGTAGTTGATACAGTGCTGCTGCTTGTCACAATTGTGCTCGAAGTGGTAGAATTCAAATACTTTGTCTCACTAGTGGAAACGGTAGATGTTGTTGAGAACTCAGTACTCGAAGATGGGATGATCGAGGAAGTAAAAGATGACGATCTTGACTTGGACTTAGTACACTTAGTTGTAGAAGAAGCTGAAGTACTACTAGTAGTAGATGAAACGGATTCAGTGGATTCAGTGGTGGTGCTAGAAGGAGTAGAAGAGGTGCTGCTAGTAGTACATGGAGTAGTTGAACTACTGGCAGTAGTGGATGAAACTGATTCAGTGGATTCAGTGGTGGTGCTAGAAGGAGTAGAAGAGGTGCTGCTAGTAGTACATGGAGCAGATGAACTACTGGCAGTAGTGGATGAAACTGATTCAGTGGATTCAGTGGTGGTGCTAGAAGGAGCGGAAGAAGTGCTGCTAGTAGTAGATGAAACCGATTTAGTACATTTGGTTTTGGTGCTAGAATGAGCAGAGGAAGTGATAGTAGTGGATGAAACCGTTTTAGTACACTTGGTTTTAGTGCTAGAAGCAGAGGAAGTGCTAGTAGTGGATGAAACCGTTTTAGTACACTTGGTTTTAGTGCTAGAAGGAGCGGAAGAGGTGCTACTAGTAGTGGATGAAGCCGATTCAGTAGATTCAGTGGTGGTGCTAGAAGGAGTAGAAGAGGTGCTGCTAGTAGTACATGGAGCAGATGAACTACTGGTAGTAGTGGATGAAACTGATTCAGTGGATTCAGTGGTGGTGCTAGAAGGAGCGGAAGAAGTGCTGCTTGTGGTAGATGAAGCAGAAGTACTGCTAGTAGCAGAAGAGGTGCTACTGGTTAGAGCAAACGATGAAACAGAACATCCAGAAACGACCGAAGAGCTAGCACACTGCAAATTCCAATAAAAGCCTGGTGAGTCAGTTTGAGAGTGACCTTGGTTATCGTAGTTATTACAGCCAGTGATTAAATCAAAAGCAGTAGCACCGTAATGCCAGTTTCCGGAATTCGATGCGGTTGAGCCCTGGAGATATTCATATTGAATTTGGAAGTTAGGCATCCACACTTTAGAACAGTCCTTCGTATCCGCGACACCGTAGATTCTGAAAGTAGCATAGTAGTCTGTTGGATCATCGATCAAATAAGTGTTTTCATTGTGTCCATATAGTTGGAAGGTTGATCCGTCAGGACTGCTTACTCCGATAATTTTTAAAGACCATAGATCTTCGATAGGAATACTTTCTTGACCGGTCACGTGAATGGTGATATCATATATGTTGTCCTTTTCCCATGCAACGGAAGTAACCTCGATATTGTAAACCATTGTACCAGTGTTGGAGGCGTGCCAAGTAAAATCGAGATTTGGACAGCCATTAGTAGGAGGACATGAAACAGGAACAATGCTGTCCGAGGCAGGAACAAAATTAACATGTGATGTACCCACTGCAATTTGCAGAAGCGATAGAAACGCCCATAGTGACCACATGCGAAGCATCTTTATCTTATGTGACTTGACGTCTTTCGTAGTGTGTACTAAATGAGTCGCTTACTGACCTTTATATACTCGCCGGTCACTCTCTATTAAATCCAAATAGTTACTTTTTATCCACAGTAATGAAGATTATGTTATCATTTTGAGCAGTTTACTTGCGTCAACCTCAATAATCTAACTTCGATGCTATTCAGTTGAGTGAGTAGTGGTTTTTCGATGCTGCGAGCCTTCTGGGTCAAATTTGAACAATATGCAGAATTGTGGGTAGAAAAAGTTTAAAACACTTCAGAAGACCGTCGCTTCGATATTATTACTTCAATGTTAGAAACCATCTCTCGACCGTACAGCTCGAAGAATGTTAAATGACTCTTGGTAATTGAACCATTTTTGTCGAGACGGTCTCCAATAGCTTCTAAAGACGGTCTAAATGTATAGAATGCTAGTGGTACAATGACTGAACTAGTAAAACGTGCAGAAACAGCTCTTTTGTAATCATGCATGACTAAATATGCATGCAATACATGCACGGTTAATTTCTAGAACGACGGTGCGCGTCTGATGTCAAATATCACTTTTGACGTACCGTCTTGTTTGTTATTGCGGGCTAGCCGAAATAGTTAACCTCTCTTCCCTTTTCAAACTGTTGTCAATTGTTTACAGTCTATGCACATCAATTGGATCGCACAACGTTGGAGGCACTTCGATTATGTATCCTATAGCAATGGTAAATACGGAGTGGAGTTTTGTTTGCGGAACAACCCCTCGAAGTATCGCCTCGGTAGTCTGTGCAACCCTAAATGTTCAATAAATTAGAATTAACCATGTTACGAAAGACTTCGCACACTGTCGAGAATGTTAGTAAGCCTAAAGTGGGACTCATCAAGCAGACGGTAGTTTCTCGAATGATCAATCGCAGGGGGACTGTTTTCATTTAATGAAGTCTTTGGCCAAAGAAAGGATATACCTTTACCGTCTGCGGGGTTTCATCAGCGGTTTGTACGTCTATTTTTCCAAAATGCCAAAGCAGAGTAAATACACGTAACCACACCCATCTATGAGGCAAAGGATGAACTTTTGCAGAGAACACTTAGGCAAGACAAGGGTATCAATCTCTCCCATCTCTCGAAAAACTAATTTCTTCGAAAACGCATATTGACTACACTTATTAGCGCTTTTCAAGATTTATTGTGTTTTCTCTGAATATGTTACAATCGAAGACAATTTATTTTTACAATGCGAAAGGTCATGTTATTAGCAGGTATCAAATACGGTTACGTGAAGATTATACACTCAAACGCAGCTGATATCTTAGTTTTCCATCTCGACAGAGATGTTAGTAAAGAAAACGCAAAGGATGCTGCAAATTGTGATGACGAAGGTGTTGAAGCACCAATCATTCGTCAAATATCTATCATTCCGTGATAATAATAACGGCAGGCCTTAGTGGCATAGTTCCTTCTATGGTGCGGTGGTATCCCCACACCGTTCTGTGCCCGGAGTAAAGCTTTTCTTTTTATTGTCCTTGATGTTTCAGGCACGAACGCACCGTTCTAGATGAAAACCAAAAAAAATGATCCGTACATGAATGCAGAGGGGCATGTAACCATATCATGACGTACAAATGAACATTGTTTGAAAAAGGTGCGGAAAATTTTGCGCACTCGAAAAAGTTCCTACGCGACTTACATGAGCCAGGAGTAAATTTAGGGTTTGACTGTACCTACCTAAAAAAGGAGCACAGGTGCAGAATAGTTGCACTTACAGCGAAGATCATAGCTCTGATATGTAACTTTTATTCCGCTTGAACTTTTGAGAAGGAGGCAGTGTGGTGCTTGGTTTACATTTCAACAGACCCTGCCTGCGATATAGACAAACGGCTGTGTCTTGAAATCTGGCGATGAATAGTAAGAAAAAAGACGTGATCATAAATAAAATATCTTGATGGTCACACAAATTCAATGCCTCTTGTTCCATACACCAGAGGTCTTATACCCAAGTTCCAAGGCCTTGAGTCTAAGTCGTTATTCCATCTTTTATGTAAATGTTTTCAGAGTTACTATGGCGATTCTAACCCAAAGACTGTTAATCATTCAGAAACTATTCCCTATCCTTGTGAAGATAACAAAGTATACCTGCAGAAACCTCATTACTGAATAGCGTTTACGATCTTCTTTTCTTGCTAGCACTTCTTCGCGGCCTAGAATGATCTTTTCAGCTGAAGAATTCTGACAGTTTAAATTAAAATTGCTAAGCAAGAATTTAAGGTTTTTTCAGTGAACTATTAAAAGAGCACAAGCTACGATGTAAACAAAAAACTCCGCTATATGAGAAAACTCACATATGCATACTACCAAGACTCAATTTACTAATGTAAAAGAAAATAACCCTAATGAAACGTAATTGAAATTTAACGATAATCTATCAGATCGTCTATGCAATAGGCTAAAGCAAGTGTTCTCCTTGTAATTAAAAAGCTCTTTACTTTCTTTCTCCGTTTATATACTTTAGGAATGATTGTTTAGACTTGATTCAAATATTCAAGCAACATATAAAGATATATTTTCCTTGAAACTTAAGGCAAATCAAGTGTTTTCCTCGAAAACCATCAATTTAAAAAGAACCTCGTGAAACACGGGTGTAGCAATTGTTCTTATCTGCAACCTAATGCAAAAGCCTTCCTTTCAACCTAAAAGGTGACATAAAATAAAATCATGTGTTTAATAGCTTTCCATGCATCTGCGTAAAGTAAAAATCAAAAGAGTTTCACGAATTCATTACTACCACCGGGAAGGAATAACATACTAGCTCAGGAAAAAGACCACGTATCCTAAGTTTTTCACTTTAAATATAATTTCAATTACAACCTAGAGTAGCTGCTAAGCTTGCCAAGCTTCAAACTTATAGTTCGAATTTGAAACGTTGAGTTTCAGGTGATGATGACAGACCTTAAAATGTTGCTTAGAAAATTTGTTCAGGCTAATCACGTATTATTTTCAGCTCATTTTCCTAATGAAATTAACACTAAATCAAGTGAACACCTGTCGATCGGCGAAAGGTTTATAACCATTAAGAATTCAGTTAATGTGGCTAATTATCCAACCTTCAAAGAGTTATCCAAGCGAAAATATTCTGGATATGAGAATTCTTGTTTGTTCTTCAAATATTTTAAATCACATTTTTAGTACGAAAGTTTCAACCCATGGATATTATACTGAATAAAAGTTATCTTGACCCAAAACTACATATGACATCCCAAAATTTTGTTGTGGCACAAATACTAATTGTAATACAGGAATTTTGTAATAACATGCGATATTTGTCTTGGAGAGTAATTTAATCCTGATTTTCGTTTACAAGATTACCTTGAAGCAAGGATGATATATTGTTATGATTTGTCCTTCCATAATCCCCTAGCATTCTTTTTAAATGTATGCTTATATCACTCTTTAGAAAACCCATGAGATACTCAATGATTTTTTCCCAACCTAATACTATGTGCTACCAACCGCAAAACCTGTTCTCAGTTAAAGCAAACTTCGATTAAGAGAAGACAAGCTCACGACTGTACCACTTCAATTCTTTTTATTTTCTGGAAGACAAAAACGATAGAAAGTTATCAACCCTGTATGAGCAGTAAGAGTTGTAAGATCTTCTCTGAGTGTCGAGAAAAATGAAAAATAAATTTGTTTCTTAATAAAACCCGGCATATGCTTTTGAAATATGAAATCGAGTTTTAGTTAATCTTTTTTTGGGATTAGTATTTGAAGAAAGCGAGCTTCAAGTTCAACAAAGATTATTCCCTATAATTTAAAAATTCATCGAGAAGTTGTAAAGATTGCACGCGCCATAATCAAATAAAAGTAAATATATTTAATAAACGTAACTTAAATGGAAAGATACGCGTGCTAACATATCAATTTCGCGAGTTCCGCTACCGCATTATCTGAGAACTTCATTCAAAAATTAGATCACGCGTTGGCGATGATTATACTCAGATCTTCGAATCATGTCTAGTATTTATTTTGAAAACTAACAACAGTCGTAGTTGTACAAAACTTTTGAAAAATCTTTCTTCTTCAAATCTTCTTCTGTGATGAAAAAGTTTCCCACTCCACCATCTCCCCATTCGCAGTCAATTTTATCATCACTATCAATTTGTAAAAGCAGGTGAGTAAATCCAGAAAGTTGCTCCATTTCACCACGAGGGTCATTCTGCGCGAATCCGGGATAACCCGCAATTTTATGCCCCAAAGCCGCGTCATAACACTTATTATAGAAATCTTCAAGCTCTGGCTTCCATTCATTTCCCTTTATTCCGCAATCCTTCTCCAAGCGGAAGTCTCCAATACTCATGTACTCTTCATCTTTCGTGAAAGTCAGCTTTGCTTCGCAACCACTGAAGATTGGAAATTCGTCTTCTTCTGATAGCTTGGCGAACTCGAAGTCCTTCTTCAGCTTATCCTCATCTTTTATTGGTTTCTCAAAGAAGAGTGCTCGAAAATTTTTCTGCTCATATCCTTTACCATAGTCAAACCCATAAGAGTCATCTTTTACGCTTAAGTAAAATTGAAGAATACCTGATGTTGGAAAAAGTGGTAATGTAGGTATCTGCTCGAAATTTATTTGGGCTAATAGTTTCATTGGGTGTCCTGTTTCATCACAAGGATATTCTGCGTCAAGTGGAAAGTAGGGATCTCCACCAAATTTGCAGTCAAAACGGCCAGTTGATCCTTTCTCTGCCGTAATGCGAATGAATGGTCTTAAAGTTTTTTCAATCCTTGGCCGTAGACTCTCATAGCATTCAGGCAGTTCAAGTACTTTCCCCATATCTCCGACCTTGTTTAGATTCTATAGTGAACGTGGAACTATTCAAGTTGCAACAATTAATTTCTAAGAGCACAGAATTTCTAAACGGCGTATTTCTCAAAAGTTTTCAGCTGCCTGTATACGGTAGGGTCACAGACCCCCTTTTTTAGATTTTCTGCGTTTTAGGGTGCAGGTCCCTTTTTCAAGCACGAATTTCAATGGTTCATCTATTCAGCCGTCCTTAGAAAGGCTGCAGGCTTAAAAGAGAAAACGCCGAACTAAATTTTTACATTTTTTTGGCCTTCAGAATTTGAGTTCGGTTAATGACGCAGTGAAGAAGCAGATTGGTAAATTTGGGAGTCATCAGTAAAAGCTATGGAGAGTTAAGGGATCTTCAAGAGATTCATAGCTAGATGTTTTTGCATTTAAGTAGACAAGCTCTAAGGGCAGTATCTCTATTCTCGGAGTAAGTTTGTTATGCCTAAATTTTCCAAAATAATAAATGCTGGATAATCCAGTTCTGAGAGAGTTAACTCAAAGCCCACATTCAAATATGCTCGAATATTTAATTTGGAATATAGATCTACGTACCATTTAAAAATGTCTGAGCTTTGGATGAATAATTAGTATTGTGTATAAGACTGCCGAAAGAAAACTATGTTTCACTTCCGGAGAACATGAAACATGATATTGTACCTTTGGATACAGACAGTTTATTGTGCTACGATATAAACTGCATTTAGGTATTAGTGTGGCAAATAGTACAGCAAACATTACAGAGGTAATTAACTGCAATACAGTTTCTCGCGTGATGCTTCCGTCGAGTCTAAGTAAATGAGTATGTATTATGAAGACACCCTGCATGAAATATTCCTCTGGCAGTATGTTGGATGGCAAAGCTAATTCTAGCCCTTTTTGACTTGATTAAGTAAAAGAAGGCACCATACCTATTCGAAGATGAAGGGTAAATGAATGCTGAACAAAAACATAGCATTGTGCATGTAAACATGATAATAGAACATCCTATAGCAGAGTTTACGATTAGATACTGTCTATAGAAAATTCTCGACTAATTATGGCGAACTGAAATGATCCTTTATCATTAATTTCACAGCTTCAACAGCTGAAACAAAATCCAATTGTAGAAAAATTTTAAACCGTCAACTGCAACTCAAAGTTTCCATCCTATAATGTCATAAATCATGGGTAAGCTGCGACAATAATTTCTTCTAGCTGATTGAAAAAGAAAATAAACAGTTACTTGAAACGATTCATCGCCACTGTAACTATAATAAAGCTTTTATGCATTCATCTCAGATCTATAAATATAAGCAGAAAACAACTCATTGGTAATTTATGAGCACTTGAAGAAGTTTTGTATTTTGTATGATCTGGTTCTTTAATTAGCTTTTTTTCTTTTTATGAATACCCAATTCAAAAGCGCAAAAGAAAAGCCATCAAGTGAATTAGATTCCTGTATACTTAATGATTCTATTATACTAAGATAATGAAACAGAAACATAGGGAGTACTTTGCAATTTTCAAGCTGTTCAAAATTGGAGAAAACCATTGTGCTTAGCCATCTGTTTCAAATATGCAACTGACGCTAGTACGGAAAATATGTATCTTCAAAGAGAAAATTCAGTTGTCACAACCTTTAATTGACTAAAAACTCCTTAGAAAGATATTAATACTCACATAAGTATCTCCTGAAACATAAAAACAGCAAATTAAACCATTTTAAATGTATTTTCTCTACGGTGATGGGCAGATATATAAGCTGCCTAATAGAAAACAAACTAAACAAACTTATTATTCATGAAGTAGTTCTTGGAACTCGTTTTATACTTAAAACAACAGTAATCTCATGAATTTGAGCCTCAACGATTCACAGCGAATCGATTATCAATGTGTTTGTTGAAAGAAATGTAAAACCTTTAGCCATCTCATTTCCATTACTCAAAAGAATTCTTCTCTTCGTCGTAAAACGTAGTCAAAACATGGGTTCATAGACAAATATAGTTCATAGCATTTTATGATTATGGTTGAATGTCAACAAGAGAGCTGAAAGCTTTTTAACAAACAGGAAAGCAAATGACTTCCGAACTATGAAATTCAGGAATAAAATGTAGTCAAAATAGCTACCTAATAAAAAGTGGCTTGCCATAAGCACTTTCGCGCCACAAAATTTAAAATCGTTTATTTTTTATAAGTGTTGACTTTTTTTATTCGAAAATTATACTAAAATGGGGAGAAAATTGTCTGTAATAAATAAAACTCTCAGTAAAACAGTATTTCATACTGGAAGAATCCATGACAAGGCTTCATGTTGGTTTTGAAATGTTGAAGTCTGATTTTTGATGTAATTTTAGAAATTTGCGTGTATATGTACTGGATTGCGGTGATCACTAAAGTTTGTAAATTCAATCATGGATTTCAAATGAATTTTTGGAGAGCCTTGAAAATAACTCGATTCCTAACTGAAGGCTATTTAAGGTGATTCGAATGCTAGATGACCTCCCATGAACGGTACATATACCTACAAGTGATTGTTACAAAAGTTATAGAAATCCTTGCTATCGGTTTTCATATAATTCGTAGGCCTTTGACGTTTACTACTTGTGAAAACAAGAAGATGAAAGCAATCCACCTGAATAAGCATAAAAAATCTAAGTTTAAAGCTCCGTGAAATAAATAAGTGAATGAAAAGTTACACAATCTTCCCTGAAGACTGAGGACTCCAAGATGAGTCCTCGATTTTTTCAGCACGTATTTCAACCATTGAATTCTTTTTGTTTTCTTCAGACGATACAAGTTGAGCTTCATTTCCAAATAATACTTCGAGGTTAGTGCCCTTATCTTTACCAGAAATCTTTTGATAAAACTCGTACAGAGTTGTCCGACTTTCATAAATTGGATAAAATGTGATATAAAGGAAAGCAATGAAAAGCCAAATGATACTGACCACTACCCAGCCCTTAAAGAAAGATTTAGACATGATGTATTTTTGACCATACATTGGAAAAGGAAGCACGAAAGTAAAAGCCACCCATATCGCGAAAACTCCAACACTAGCCCACTTGAACGCTTTATCCAGCCTTAGTTTTGTTTTTTCGTCTAATTGCATTTGCCTTTTCTCTTGAGGGGTTGCGTCGTCTGCTACCAAAAATTTCCCTTGAAGATTATCTATTGAACTATCGTCAGGAAATGCAAAACCGCAGATCATACAAAAAAGGAGAGTTGCTCCAAACGTGGAAAAGTTGGCAATGATTGTGGAATTTACAAGGGAAAGATTATCCTTATTAATTGCGCCGTAGAAATGCTTACAAGCAAAAGCCAGCATCCGAGACCCGTAAGTGAGCCCAATGGCAATGCAATGTAGAAACAGTATCTACTCATTTTTGGCCAGAATAAGGTCAGTGTAATTCCAACAGGAGCGGCTCCGAGGATAATACCCACAAAAGTGAGAATCCACGATATTGTGATACCAATGTAATTGAACATAATAGTTAATCCAGCAATGAAAAGAGCAAATGTAACGACGAAAAAATGAGAAACTCTAACAAGCTGATTTCCTGTGGCATCTGGCTTGATGTAAGCTCTATACACGTCATAGGTCATGACTGAAGAGAAGGAGACGAGCTCGGCTGAAAGAGATGAGGTGCAGGACATGAAAAGAACCAAAATACCAGCCGCAGCTCCAGATTTGCCCATTAAGGCATAAAGCCCATAAAGAAGAGGCATACCCATATTCACTTCAGCTGTAGGAATAGTATTTGGATATGTTGGAGAAACAGGATTATTTGTTAGAGCAAGAGCGGCAAGAGCCGTGCCTAATCCAAAACTCCAGGGAATGATGAACCAGCATAAGGAGCCAATAACGTAACCAGAAATTGTGGACATTGGCTTAGCAGCAATAGCCTTTTGACCGTAGGATGGATCCGCAAAGACAGTTGCCCAGCCACTCATAATTTGACTCCACGCCAACATCACAAGACTCTTGTTCGAGAAAGTCAAATAACTACCATCGTGCCCGGCTGAAGGATGAGTTTTGGAAACTTCGTGTAACAAATCCCACATTTTACCTGTTGATCCAATGTAGCTTGAACTTGTGTAACAAACGAGAAGAGAAACGATTATTACCAAGTAAATAATAACTGTATGGATCCAGTCGCTCAGAAAAGTACTTTTAAGTCCGCCCAGCATGGTATACACTGCAACACTTACAGGAAATAGAAAAGCACAAGCCACAATATGAATATCAGCAATATGCGAAAAAGCTTGGGAACAACCTAGTAAAAGCATACTAGCGATAATGGTATTCGTGGCACATGAATAAAATAGGTAAATGCAATGTGCTGCCTTTCCGAAACGAGCCTTAACAATCTCCACAATAGTATGTGCACCAGTCGCTTTTCTTTTCATCTGTAGAGCAACTATCGTGAAAAGCATCGAGTGACTAATACCAGCAATACCATACCAATAACCACCAGCGACACCGTATCTATAGGTATAGACACAGGAAGAAAGAAGCGTACCAGGCCAGCACCATGAAGAGACTACCGCAGAAGATATCAGACCCGATTTGATTGATCTTGAAGCCGTCGAAAAATGCTCTGAGTCCTGAACTTCTCCCATATATTTTGTTAGGACCCTAGTTACAAAAATCATAATGAGGGTGAATGCAGCACCAAGGCCAACAACGAAACCGTAACCGTAACCTGCGTCTAATACTTGGACCATGAAAGTTATACTTTGAATTCAGTGATTGATTGAGATTCACTAATAGGTACCTTGCGAACAGTGAGGGACAAAATGATGATTAATTTATGTTAAAAAATGTACAACCCATGATGAAATTAAATCTTGAAAACGAATCTCGGGTATACGCCGCCTTGATCTCCCTTTAATCGCAAATAGATTAATTCTTGAAATGGACAAAAGTTCCGAAAGAAAATTGTAGTTGTTAGAATTATTTACAACCATTTGAGAGTATTTTTGCTAAATTTTACAAGTATACGACAATCTCTTACTCAAGCTTTCCAGATAAGATGAAAAATATGAGATTCTAGAAAAGAGATAAGATAATTTCCTTTGCGCACATTGATTGGTTGTCACCGGTTTTGCGAGAGTGTGAAAAAACTCCTATCGTAATCGCGTGAGTGAAATAAGTGCTGCACGTTTGTTTCGTGTAAGATTGCCCCTATCTCTAATAATGAACTGCTTGGCAGGTTTTCGCCAAGTATTTGATTATCACTGATAACGAATGATTATGTGCTGCTTCTTCTACGCCGATGTGTGCATTTCAAAGCATGTGATAGCTATCATTGTACTGCAGGTTTCAACAAGCAGCCAGTGTTTTGACAATTTAACATACCATAAAATGGTTCACTAAATCAATTGTTTGTGGGAAAACTATTACGAAGCAAGATTAAAATGTCGATTGTATCATTTAAAGTTTCGGATGATAATCCAGTTACTGAAAAGACTCTAGCAGCTCAGCTAGCTAAGCTCAATGTATCACTTCATCCTGCCGAGGAAAGCGAATTTCGGAGCTTTTTAGCGGCCGCTCATGAAACCGCTAAAGCAGTGGAGGAAATGGATGACTACACGCCTCCAACAGACCTCGTGCGTTTCCCAAGGAAAAACTTACAAGCAATTATGGCGAAAGACAAACTTGGGGCCTGGGTGTATAAATTCAGTTTGCAGGACACGGAAGAGAATAATGGTCCACTATCAGGTATTTCCATCTGTGTTAAGGACTGTATTGGTATTGCAAAAATTCCTCAAATAATGGGTACTGACTGTTGGGAGCCTTGGACCCCGTCTACAGATGCCACTGTGATCACTCGTCTCCTTAAGGCGGGTGGTAAAATCATCGGAACTTCAAATTGCGAACAGTTATGTGCATTTACAGGGAGTCACACTTCATGCCTTGGAAACGTGCATAATCCGTACCTTCTTGGACATTCCGCCGGGGGAAGTAGTTCTGGATCTGCTGCGCTCGTTGCATCTGGCCAAGCTGAGATGGCATTAGGTGCGGACCAAGGAGGAAGTATCAGAATTCCTGCAGCTATGTGCGGCCTAGTTGGCTTGAAGCCCACTTTTGGCTTGGTACCTTACACCGGGATAACCAGTAACGAGTATACACTCGATCATGTGGGGCCAATGACCAAAACTGTGGAAGACAATGCCAAAATGCTCCAAGTACTGGCTGGGATAGACGGTTTCGATGATCGTCAGTGCGGGGTTCCTGAAGTACTTGAATATGAATTTAAGGAACACCGAAAGCTAAAGATTGGAATCTTGAAAGAGTCATTCGAGAATCCCTTCTTAGAGATTTCCATGAAAAACAAAATCTTGGCTGCCATTGAGAGATTCAAAGAACTTGGCTATGATATAGTGGAAGTATCCATTCCGATGCATACACAAGCTCCACAACTCTGGTCAATAATCGAAAGAGTTTCGGGACTTCATAGCCGACTGGGAAAAGCTAGTGGGAGACGCTTATATTCTGATCCCGTGTTTTTCAAACATACCCATCCGTTGGGTGATCATTTCTTCTCCAAAGCGCCTGTGAATGTTAGAAATAGTATTATCAACGGCTTATATTTTGAGGAGAACTTTCCAGGGATTTTTGCAAAGGCTACCAATTTGGTGCTAAAATTACGTGCAGAGTACGACAATGCTCTTTGTAAGGTAGATCTTCTAATAGCCCCCACGACTCCTTTTGCTGCTCCAGTCCATGGTCCTCGAGAGGGCTCTCCAAGGGAACAGGTTAGTAGTACCTTCGGAATAAACACCAACACATGCCCTTTTAACATATCCGGACATCCCGCGTTGAATTTGCCCATAGGATTTTTGCCGACGAAGGATTCATTATGTAAGCTTCCAGTTGGCATGCAGATTATTGGCAAATACTTTGACGAATCAACCATATACACAGCCGCATATGCTTGGGAACAGAAATTTGATTGGCATTTGAATTAGTAAGTTTTGAGAACTTTTTGTAGAGAAATGTCAGAAATGCTTATCATCGTCCCACTTACAAATGTATATTGTCTTTCTAATTATTTTTTTAACTCCCAAACCTTCTATGGATAATAAAACTTTCCACTTAATAAACGACGTTATTGCTACATATCCTTTGAGAATAGTTGGAATTTTACCACCATATCTTTTAGAAGAGTGACTGAATATTAAGTTCTGAGAATATTTTACCTTTTGAGGGTATATCAACTTTAATCTGTACTGTATGTTTTATAATAGTCTTCGCGCTTAGAATCTTCATCGGAGAATACCCTTATAGGCATAGCTGTAACCACACCCCGAGCGTTGGAAACTAAGAAATTATAATAAAGCAGGTCAGTTTGATGTTGTCGCTAGTTTTTAAGGTGTCTACATCGTTATTAGTGATGAATACCATAATATAATTTAACCAATTCATTTGCGGAATGAATAGATTTCATTGATCTGGCTGCAATTATATAGAGAGCCTCCAATCATTCTCATTAGAGCAAGCAATTTGACTTGCAGCTTTCTAGATCGATTAAACAGATAAACGAAAGGTTTTAACGCAGATGGGACCAATGAAAAGGTGATAATAATGTGCGAAATTTGTTTAAATTTGACTAACGTAGAAATGCGTCCTCTCAGATACCAGGAATCTACTCAAATTTTGTACGATGGGCGGTTGAACCGCCATACTATTGCACGCTGCCACCCTTTTACCGTTCATGTTTCACATTTGCCTTTGCCAGCCCTCTTCGGGTAAAATGCCAATTTAATATTCATTCGCTTTCAATATTTAAAATAACTGACATACGTTTCCATATTCGAATTCAAAGTAGGTTTAAATTCTAGCATCAGGAAGCGCGTAGACTAGTGAGAAAACATGATGAACTGCAATCTCTTGGGACCTTAGCGGAAACAGCAACTCTGCATGTGATTTTCAATCATTTTAGATTTTTTGACGTACTTGATACTAGCTTTCCTGTTTTGAAGAAATCTCGGCTTCGGACCGAAGTATCTCGGAAATCAGTGATTTGTTTTTTTGAGATTAAACACATTGATTAGATTACTACTTGGTGATAACAAAATATGGCGGTTATCTTGCCTGTTTTGAAAGAATCTCGGCTTCGGACCGAAGTATCTCGGAAATCGGACATTTGTTTTTTGGCATCAAGCACATTGATTAGATTGTTACTTGGTGATAACATAATGTGGCGGATATCTCTAAGCACAAGTTGCGTTTTTGCTCCTTTATAGTCATCTTTAGATAGGAGTAGAAATGAGTATCACATTTTATAAGGAATGCTCAGGAGGTAACAATTTCTAAGTAAACGAATTTATTAACATTTGATACATCTTCGTTTTAGGTTTGTATCATTTATTACGAGTTAGTTAATGGCATTTTTTTCGAAGCAACTATTTTTAGTTTGTACAAAACTTCTGAACGTATAACTAAATTTCAAGAACATACGATGCCATCTCCCAAGCAGAATATAAACCTACTAAATGAATTCTTAAAAGCTGTTATTCAAATTTCTGAAATGCTCTAAACTCATTAGAAGGTGTTTGTGGAGAGTTTGTTGACACTTAAAACATTTTTCCCGATTTTGTAAACTAGTACGGCTTAGGATGTAAACAAAAAAAATAGCTAACGAGTTAGAATTCTAGTATCCCAGGTTTTAACCAGCTTCAAAAGCAACCATAAAGATATATAATGTATTATTAAGAGTTTAGTCTGTAGGAACGTGACTAATTTCGCTACCCTAGGGGTGATCTTATTTTACGGGAGACGTGCCATCTTCAGGCACTCACTCGACATACTTTGATGATGTCGTATATTTAATAAAGAAAAAAATCACCATAATAAATCTCTAAAAAACCTCTTATAGCATTTTGAATCTGAATTCACCCAACTCAAACAATGATAACCTTTTGACCTAATTTTTTCTCATGAAATACGGATAAGAATCCAGAAAAGACTCTGTAAGGGCAAACTGTGTTATTAAGCAAACAACCATGCATATAATACCATTTACTTGGTAAACAAGGGTAGTTTTCTAATTTATTTGCAATGGAATGAATATTTGAATTTAGGAATATTACGGGATGTATTCTGTTTGAAGATATTGATATTATAAACATGATACTACTCCATATATGTGGGTAGAGAAGTTTAAGAACACAGAGGAAGAAGGCAAACAAAATAATGTTGGATACCTCATCCTCACAAATGAATTCGGCCTGTATTGCTATGCTGAATATTTATATACCTTGAATAAATGGATCAGGCGTCACCATATACATAAATTCAATGAAGCAATGTCCAAGTATCTTCATTCTTGATGGAATTTTTTTTAACCGTGAAGGTTGATGAGAAGAGCAAAGCTTCGGCAATTGTAAGATAATGACACCAGAGGTTATAGAAGAGGTATATAGTAAATATCCACGTTCATAATAGTAAATAAGCAGCAAAATATATGCTGAACTCTAACCAGTTGAAGCGTGAAGCAAAAGGTGAATGACTGCTATAGGTGTAACTCAATTGCTTTTAAAGGCCACTCCACAATGCCCATCTGATAATCAGTATAATGGCCATGATAGATTAAGAGTGCTTTCTGTAATCTTAATATTGATTGCTTCTGCAGCTGGTGTATATTTTCCCCTTTTCGCCTCATCATACTCTGTAATAAGACTGCCAGAAAGATGCTTTTTCTTCGCAAAATATTTTGGGTCAGGAGTGATAATTGCAACAGGATTTGTTCATTTGTTAGAGCCAGCAACAAAATCTTTGGGAAATCCTTGCCTGGGAGACTTCTTTACAGAATTTCCATGGGCTTTTGCGATTCTTCAGGTTGCAATATTCTTACTTTTTCTTTTTGACATTATTAGCCATTTCTATCATGATCCAGATCAAATCGTATCAGATACCCAAAACAACGTACATGATACTAGTGAGTCGTCAAATTTATGTCACTATAATCCAGGGTCTGAACGTTACTTCTCTGATTACGCAGGAAATTATGGGTCGAATTCCGTTTCAACTTTAGTTTTCGTTGAAAATAGATGTAAGGAAAAGATTCTATCTCTTTTCGTCTTGGAGTTTGGGCTGATATTTCACTCCATTTTTATTGGGTTATCATTAGCAGTTGCTGGTGATGAGCTAAAGACTCTGTTAGCGGTATTGATATTTCATCAGCTTTTTGAGGGTATGGGGCTGGGGGCTCGTATTGTTGAAATAAAATGGCCATCTGAAAAGTCAGCCACACCATGGCTTCTTGCACTTGCATTCAGTATAACAACTCCGTTATCAATTGTAGCTGGTCTCTTCCTTCGAGAAAGTTTTTCCCCAGGCTCGAAAAGAGCCCTAATAACAAGCGGGGTACTTGATGCTTTCTCCGCAGGAATCCTAATTTACACTGGGCTCGTTGAATTGATTGCCAACGAATTTTTACACAATGATTCATTTTTGGGAGAGAATAAATTGAAAAGTATGTTGAGTGGGAGCTTCATTATGATATTGGGTTCAGCTTTGATGACCATATTAGGCAAATGGGCTTAAAATTTCTAACGAACTTGCATACGACAATTTTCTATCACCTCGGTTTACCGGTGAATAACTAAACGTTTGCTCGTTACGCACGCTAGTGGCTTCCAAAATAGCTGCAGCCAAAATAAAAAAAGAGCGCTAAAAGTTCACGAGGTCGTTGAGTAAAATAGTCGAGGACCGTTAACCTATTGTTGCAGAATTGTTTTCTATACCGGGCAGAAATTATTTTTTTGACCAAAATTTCCATCAAACCACTCCGGAGTCCTCAACTACAAGAGTCGTGAATTAGTTATCAATGATAAAATAATGGACTAGGCAGGTGATGCACCAAGCTCTAATATCTTCATCCCCCTAAGTGTGATATAAAGTCTAAGCTCAAAGGCGGGATTAGTCAAAACAGGTGTTTTATCGAGATTGCTCCACCAAAACGATTAGACTGATAAGCCTGAACAATTTCTTCTTTCATAGTTATAAAGCCAGACTTGAACTAAGTATTTGGTGCATTTGCTAACGGCGTGACCTGCCATTTTCTACTTATTAGTGGCAAAACTAGCAAAAACTTTGCAAATTTGTACGCTGAAAATGTGTAGAGAAGCGGCCTGCTTGCTTAAGAATTGATATCACCCCCCTGGAACAAATATTTAATTTTCGCTTCGCCAAGAAACAATCTTATGCAGAGATTCTAAAATATAATGTAATCAAAAATCTACTGAAACCTTCTATCGGCTAATATTTTCCACTTACTCTGCTTAGCAGCTTTAGTCTTTGTCTTTGTCTTTAATAAATAATCTCAATAGGAGAATTCATCCCAAATGAGAGTTAAGCTACTTATGAAGATGACGAATCTAAGGTAGTTCACATAGACAAACCACATCATATGGCCTTGAATACTTTAGATTTTCTTAAAGTTGAACAACTTAATCCTATACTTATGCGTCTGAATAGCCTTAATAGGTAGATCGCCTGGTGAAAGTCCCCCGGATACATATGATGTACGTACAAAGTGACTTAGATACAACTGAAGAGTGAATGATGAGTCTGATGGTGTATTATTACGATTAAAATAGCGTAGCTCAAAGGTACGTTATCAGTCCAGCTCGAGCATCTATTTGAAAAATGGACCACTAATGAACCTGAATTGCAGTGTACCTTTCTAAGATCAAGTTTCATTATCAAATGGAACTGGTTCTCAACAGTTTCTAAATGGCGGCAAAGATCATACCGAGAGGTTTTTAGTCAGAATTCGACATTCAAGTACTGAAAATATTGGTATAAGAACAGAATATACTACTGAAGATGCTTAATTTGGTATCCTTGGATGAATTTAGTATGTTTTCAACGAACTCTTACACCCTAAATATTTAACTTAACAGCCCGTAACTTCTACTATCGGAAAAAAATCTATACATAACTACTTGTAGATGATGAATGGAGCGATGAAGTGTAATCAAGATTATATAATAGGCTCACAAAACAAGATTGGCAAGTATTTGCTAAAATTCATTATGTCATAACTTTGATCGAGATCATTCAGATATAAGCGCCAAAAGTTTGTTATGAAATATCTGAAAGTCCACGCGCCAAATCTCAAGTTCAATAAAGCAAGGCTATATCTAAAAAAACCACGCATTATGGCCTCGTGAGAAATACTGAATTCGTTTTCTGTCACTTTGTGCTTCACAGACGTTAACGTATGTTTTTATGATTACTGAAAAAGGAAAGATATATTATTATAACTAATCTGAGAAAATTTTGGCAAAGTTAAATTGTTAATCTTGATTAAAAAGGACATTATTCGAAGATCTAAATCTATGGGACTACGAGAAAAGATTAACCCGTACTCTCAATTAGACTGAAGTTAAACAGATACAAACGTTCATATTTGATCGTTATTATTCCGAATGTATCCAAGAAATGCATAGGGTAGCCGAGTTCACGCACAAAGTTAATTACATAAATCATGCTCAAAATTCTGATATTAACCAATTTTCAAAAAAAACTTATCACTACCTTCTCTTATGCCTGAAAAAAGTGCTATTAACAAAATTCAATGTAAATATTCACCACAGCACTATTCAATCTAGATTCATAGGGTTTATTACCATAGAGCTTCGTAATAATAACTGGAAAACTAGGAAAGCCCGGGTTGACAATAGTGAATTTTCAGGGGGTAAAATTTGTCCAGGTATTATCTTTATGACATATAAAACCACACGAAAGTATCTAAGTTCCATTCGAACTATGCCATGTTATTTATGTGTTCGAAAAATATAGCTATATTTAAGAAGGGCAGCCAAACATTTTCCATAAAGGCATGAAGCACTTATAAGCCATCTATATGGTCATGAAATGAATGGTGAACCAGAAACACATGCTTTTCGATTCTTTGGGTTAGATATATGTACGTAAAAAAGCGGGAAGTTAATCTAAGAACCTTAGCCGCAGCCCATAATGAAAGTTGAATAACTCAATATACGACTGGCTTCATTTAATTATAGTCTTCTTTTTTCTAAAGCTCTTCTATGTTTTGATTTCTGCTTGCGCAGAATATTCCTTCCTTACTTCATAAATTAATATTGATTTTATTGAGCCTGTAAAAAACTAGCAAGAAATTTAATTCAAATAAGACCTTAAACCTTCTCATGGGCTATACGTGAATGGAAGTCGTTGGATACACATGAGTCAACGATGCTTACTGTACCTGATCCTTGGAGCTGCAATAAAAAGTTTCTTCTTTCAGAAGCAAAATCCTCAACTTCAACCCAGTGCTCAAAGAAATGCGAAAAATCAAAGTAAGAAACGTTTTCTGGCATACCTGGGACAGGCCAATAATAACACAGAATTGAGTAAATAACAAAGGATATAAGCCATCCAACAAAATAATTTAAACGAAACAAATGCATTGCACCCTCAGGAACGGTTCCTCCACCTACAGAGGCGATAAAACCTGGAAAGTTAGGGACCATTCCAAGAATATACGCTACTAGAGCTCTCCAGTTCGTGCCGTAGCGATTACCATACATGTAAAAGGAAGTTGGATAGTTGGTATAACAGTGCTGTAAGGCGACAAGTCCCTTTCTCACAACATAATAATCAGCAGCGACAACGCCCGCAATAGAAGAAAGAAAAACTGCATAGGCTGATAATGCAGTTGTGAACTTTGATGAAGAAGCCATTAAGTTCCAAGGGCAGATGACTAATGAAATGATTGCACAAATATAGGAGCCCCTCCTGATGTTAATGAATTTCGGTAACAGTGCTGTCATGTCAGTACCTGCAGATATTGAGTTGGAAGAAACATTTGTGCCTAACTGTCCAATAGCGAAAGCGAAGGAGATAAGAAAAACTCCAGCACGGGTTCCTGCAGTCTGGTGTTCCAAGAATCGTCTTAATATATCCAATATTGACCAATAATTTACTCCATACATTGTGTATGCTGCAGATGTTGCCAGGATTCCCAGAAGAGATATTATTGAGTAACAGAAGGGCAAAACAAAAAATTGAGAATAAGTTGCAGACTTGGCAGTTTTTGCAAACCGGGAGAGATCTGGTACATTCAAAATAAGGGTAGCGAAATTATCCAATGCACTCATAATCGATCTAATTACTGCCCAAGCCAACGCCGATCCCTTCAGTTCTATTTTGTTTAATGAACCTAATGCTAGATTTCCATGGGATCTCTTCAAAGTCCAAATTAAAAATGCGACTGCGGCAACAGGTGTAACAGCTGATTTTACCCTAAACAAATAACGTAAAGTATGGGGAGGCATTAACAAAACAGGTAAGCTACAACCCCAGAAAAGCATGAAACACATAAACTCATATGTGGTTAGGTTTTTGTTGGAAATGGTGTCTTTGATTCTTGTGCTCAAATCGTTACCGAAAATCGATTCCAACATAAGTTGGACACAATCTCCACCAATATACGCTAATGTTGAATACCACACACAAGCCATAACCACTCTGTTTAAGATGATCCATGAAGAAAAGTAAATACCAAAAGACATTCTTGATGAGATGGGAAATGAGATATGGTAAGAACTGCCAACCCTTGAGGCGAGAACCAAAAAAAATGCCACAAAGATATATCCAAACCAGACGCATATCCAAGTTTGCCACCAATTAAGACCCAATTGAAGACCTGTTGCTGATATTTGCCATGTATTTACGTTAAAACCACCAGCAATGCGGAAAAGAACGAACTCCTTCCAAGACCAAACTCTTCTTTTTTCTTCCACCGGTGCTAAATCATCATTAAAAAGATAGGATTCGAGAATCCCTTCCGCACGAACGTTTGAGCCATTATGATGCTGCTTAACTTCTAAAGCACCCAATAATCTTTGCCACCTGTTCTTGGCTGACGACGTCTTCTTCTCAGTAGTTATTTTGGATATTTCAGAGATTTCGTTCACTGAGGTTGCTTTTTCAGTAGCTGTTTTCCCTCTAGAAACTATTGAACTTCTGTCGTTTGCAATCATACCCTTATATTTATAATTTATCCGTGTTTCAAAGGTGCTCGATTATAAATTAAGACCACTATATATACATTTATTGTGAAGATGGTCATAAGGATTTGATCCTTTGCACAAATAGTAGACCAAACAACTGAAGAGCATCTTTAACGGATTTAGTGATTTCTGAAGCAGATAAGATAACCAAGCAAAGTTTAGTCTTTTTTGCCAAGGAATGAACGACGCGCATGCAACCAAATCCTGACTTATTCTTATCGATGTATGGAAACTTGAAAACTCCAACGGAGAATATAAAAGAAGGTTTAAATCTCTATGAAACCTTATCATTATCGCACCATGTAAGGTTCGTCTAAACAGATAATTAGCAAAAAAACATTCGAATCTAAGGGTTCAAAGACTTACTTGCCTAAAAGTTAAGATTTAGCCTATATCCAGTATGGAAAAAGAAATACCAACTAAATGTACCGAGGCAAAAAAAAACTCAAGTAAGCAGATTGTAGGGACTCTCGAGAATTCTTGATGTTTTTTTGAATCATACGATTGATATGATTGGAATGGAAAAAGAAAACAGAAATTATCCAGAATAACTGCGCTATACGATTAACTTACACTGCTAGCACAGCGTCATATGAATGTTTTACCGTGTTTTGAGCTTTTTGACGAAAGTGTGATATGTAGAAGGAACAACTAAAGAGAGATAAGCCCATCACTGGCCAAACAGCATATTGCTATTCACAATCTATTGTTTCTTTAATGACGAGCTGCAAAAATATAAAATTCTGATAATGATGTACTTAATTTTTTAGATATACTCCCTTGTGATTTCTTCTGTCTAACCATTACTCCTCGACTAGAAGCAAAGAACTGAAATCGAAATGCTATGGATTTATTACCTTCTCGTTTTATTGAGTTCGCTTGCTTCATGTTTTCCCACCACAAAAGGGAAAGAAGGATTGGCGGAATTACTTTCCGAAAATCAAGTTTTGTCTGACAATGATATCATAAGGAATATCGTTAATGAGTTGAAGTCTCTCTCTTCTGGGAATCTTTCGGTCTGTGATCAATGTACGACAAGGTTGGCTATAGGAAAATCATTAAGTATACTCAAGCCTGACTTAGTTTCTCCAGTTTTTACACAATGGTGCATTGATACTGCTTACTGGTCAAACTCCACCTGTATATCTACTTTCAGTCGGAACACAGTGGACTCAAGTTATACTGGCACAAATTTCGGTCACATGCTTTCACTGATGGATCCTTTTGGCTATGATGGTCAATTATATTGTCACTTTAAAGAATCAGGTCAATGTCCAAAGCCATTAACACCTAACGTCACTCTTTCAGACAAGTGGCCTCCAAAGCAACCAAAGCATAATGTGGCACCTGAACCTAGCTGGAATGACACATTTAATGTTTTGCACATCTCGGATTTTCACGTGGAATTAGATTATACTGTAGGGAGTGAAGTAAACTGTACAAATAGTATGTGCTGTACTCCTCATTCTAAAAATAAGTTTGCACGGAAGACTGAGAGCATCACTGAAGGTTCATTAAATTCATTCTACAATTCAAGCTATATTGACGATACTTTTGTTAAAGGTAGTTATATCGATGTGTTTAAAAACACTTCAGTGTGGACACCTGCAACTACTTTTGGATCTTACAACTGCGATGCTCCAGAAATCTTAATCAACTCATCGATGAACTCTATTGTCGAATACATGGAGAAGAACTCCTTAAATTATGATTTTGCAATTTTCACAGGGGACCTTCTCGATCATGACGAAATAAAGTACACTAGCTATGATTTAACAGTTGAGTCTGAAGAGTTAGTCTTTAGGGATATGAAGGCAAAGCTGAAAAATATGCCGGTTTACCCGGTATTGGGGAATCATGACATGTTTCCATATGGTGAGCTAGCCCAAGAAAACCACGGATTTTCAAATTTGTTCACATGGAATGATGAGCTAATGGCTGACCTATGGCAGCAATATGGTTGGATTGATTTTAAGGCATCTAAATATGCAAGAAAGCATTATTCAGGATATTCAGTTGAAACAAAACGGGGATTGAAGATTATTTCATTGAACTCTAATACTTGGTACTGGAAAAATCACTATGCATACTGGAATGCATCTCAACCTGATACGTTTGGTCAGTTCGAATTTTTAATTAACGAGCTAGTAGAGAGTGAGGAAAAGGACCAAAGGGTATGGATTGTCGCTCATATACCATTTGCAACGGACTCGCTACCTCTACCAGCAAACTTATTTGTTGAGATTGTTGAGAGGTTTTCTCCTTATACGATTGCCGGAATCTTTTTTGGGCATACTCACTTAGATCAGTTTGAGGTTCTGTACTCAGGGTCCGGTAAGGACTCTAAGACTATAGAAAATGTCTTGAACCATGCGTGGATCTCGCAAGCAATTACGCCATGGATACAAAATAACCCATCTTGGAGATATTATACTGTGGATAAAAAAACGTTCTCAATTATGGATGCCTACAATTTCTATACAAAGTTGAATGAAACCTATACTAACGAAGGGTCTGAACCAATTTGGGAGTTTGAATACTCTTCAAGAGAAGGTTATAACATCGACTGGCCCAAAACGTCACCACTGAATGGTACTTACTGGCATTTAGTGGCTGAGAAAGTGAGAAACTCCCCCAAATATAGGCAAATCTATAGAAATTACGCGATGAGATTTTCTCCTTTTGTGCCTAATTGTTTTAATTCGACAGATTGTGAGAATGACTACTGCGTTTTGACTTCCTTTACAGTTGATGAATATCAGGATTGTATTGAAAAATAAGCTCTGATGGGTATATATGTGGCTTTCATATGGTTCTTTTGGCATCTTTCAAGTTTCAATTGCTGCTTATGTAAGTTTATATCCGTTTCATGAGGATATGCTTGAATGAATACTAGCTTTGTAGTTTGCAAAACTTTTTAGCGCTCCTCCGTTCAAAATCTGTCAATCAATTGAATGATAATTCATGCTGAATGTGGAATCATTACTTCAAATTATTCAACTAACAAGGAGAGATCTATCTTAAAACATCACACATAGGATTGATCTGGAAGTTCAACTTGTCGATGAAGTCTCAAGACAGTACTGTAGAGAGGACAGTTGATCTAATGAGTGCTTGCGAGCTTTTTAAACTTATCATGAATTAGACTAAACCTCGTGAAAATCTGTGACTGAGATTGCCCTTTTAAAATATATCACTGAAAACTTGATAAATTCAAGCTCTGAAAACAGTAGTACTCATAAGTGAAGAGGATATTGATATTCAGAGACGCAATGTTAGCCTTAGCTCAAACTTCACTAACATTCTCGTATTAGTTTGGGCCACGGCGTTAGTATCTGTAGAGATATTACGAGGTGCGTCCATTCGTTCGGAGATAAGACACCCATACATCAAGAATAAGGTTCCGGTTGCTCCGTCCGGATGGAGCGTATTCTTGATGTCTCGGCCCGCTAATTGTAGGATCCAGCGGCTAACCTTCGTATAAGCATCACAAACGCACTTAATTTGCTATCTAACTGCTCAACTATACAGAAAGGTCGCTTAATTCTGAAGAGCGGCCTTATGGAATTTATGGACGTCTTTCCCCGTGGATAGGCGCTAGAGGGATGCCAATTGGCGCTAATTATTAGTTCATCAAGAGTTTGAGTGTTTATCTTTCATTTATCAAATGAATTTGCGCTGAAGAACTATATATCTGAAGAGAATTGTACGAAAAATTGGTCATTATTCTCTGAACAGTAAAAAACTATATCGGTAAATGTGCGTTGACAAAGAGCATTGTAAAGTAAGTGATTTAGAAAAACAATCAACTGACCCATCAGAGTTCCCCGATACCGATTCAAAAGTATCAAAAATTGGTAAGGTTGCATTTATTGACCGAATCGCAGCTAAACTTAAAGTTGAAACAAAGGGGATTGAGCCTATAACTGATGCTGAAAAAAATGATTGTTCTATCCTGGGTTCGGCCTCAATTTGGTTCTCCGCCAACATGGTTATAGCTGCCTTTGCTTTAGGTTGTTTGGGGCCAACAGTCTTTTATCTTAACTTCTGGGAGTCAACAATCACTATCATTTTCTTCTCAATTTTGGGTCTACTTCCGGTTGCTTTTTTCTCTGTATTTGGGGCTGAATTGGGGCTAAGACAGATGATATTATCTCGCTATCTTTTAGGTAACATTACAGCGAGAATTTTTGCGTTGATAAATGTTATTGCCTGCATTGGTTGGGGTGTCGTCAACACTGTGGCTTCCGCACAGCTACTACATATGATAAACCCAACTGGCTCTAGGTGTCCACCTTGGGCAGGATGCTTGATTATATCCATTTCAACTATTCTTATCACTTTTTTTGGTTATAATGTTATCCATGTTTACGAACAGGTTTGCTGGATTCCCAACTTTGCCGTTTTCTTGGTCATAATTGCACGCTTGAAAATATCTGGTAATTTTGTCACTGGCGACTGGGTAAGTGGAAAAACGACTGCTGGAGAGATTTTATCATTTGGCGGTATTGTGTTTGGTTTTGCAGCAGGCTGGACTACATATGCTGCAGACTATACTGTATACATGCCAAGATCAACTAGTAAATTGAGAATTTTTTTTACTATGGTTATTGGCCTAACATTACCGCTGTGCTTTACAATCATTTTAGGCGCAGCTGCGGGAATGGGAACTTGGAAGAGTGATAAGTGGGCAGAAAATTACAATAACGAGGGAGTTGGAGGCTTAATCTATGGTATTCTAGTTGAGAACTCTTTACATGGCTTTGGTCAGTTTTGTTGTGTTCTTTTAGCTATGTCTACAGTGGCAAATCTTATCCCTAACATGTATTCCATAGCCTTAGGAACTCAAGCACTTTGGGAGCCTCTAGCTAAAATCCCTAGAGTATTTTGGACTTGTTTGGGAAATTTACTGACTTTAGCAATTGCCATCCCTGCATACTACAAATTTAACACTTTTATGTCGAATTTCATGGATGCTATTTCATACTACTTAGGAATCTACATTGGAATTTCTTTGAGTGAACATTTTTTTTATAGAAAAGGATTTAAGAACTACAGGATTAATGACTGGAATGATTGGAACAAGTTACCAATTGGGATTGCTGGTACTGGTGCTCTCGTTTTAGGTGCCGTTGGTGTTGCTCTGGGAATGGCTCAAACCTACTGGGTTGGTGAAATCGCTGCTTATATTGGAGAATTTGGAGGAGACATTGGGTTTGAGCTTGGATTCGGATTTTCAGCACTAACCTACAATATATTGAGACCTATTGAAATCAAATACTTTGGACGTTAGGATGAACGTATCAATTTTTGTTTTTGATATTTTGAGTTTTCCTAAAGGAACCGATTCATTTGAGCCCCCTCGAGGTTCATGATATTTATATTTGATTTATACTACGGCTGATCAATATCGAACTTATTTTAAAAAATTTCCCTAAATCAATCGATATATCATGTCAGCTATTTACATAGATAAATGTACGAAATAAGAGGGTTGATGCTAACAATGAGGAGTCACTAGAATGTGAAAAATATATATCAGTGACAGATGAAAGCGTCGCCATGGATGCCATTAATAGGCGCCAACCCAATGGACAATGAACAGCTGAATGCCATTAAATCTTCTTGTCTTACAAGGTTTAGTGTAAATTTAGAGGGATTAAGGACGAAAACCTGATTATTTAGACTGGCACAACAAGCAATTGTGTGTGGATTCAAACCCGAGTAGATCATCTAGAAAAGTTCGGATCATATAGAATGTTTGCGGGCCTAAATCTCAGATAAAAGAAATTTTCGAAAATAAGCTTCTTAAGAGCAGCCAGTGTCACGTAGAACGAAATAGTATTTTGCTCACCTAGAATCTGGCCTAGTCTGCACGTTTCCTAGGCCAATTCGTTGTTTTTTCCCGACTCCGCTTAGCGCTGCATTTTAGTTCCCTTTTCGATGCGGCGAACAGCATGCCGGGTAACTGATGCCGCGAAGAAAAACAAGTATCATTTCAAACAGAAAAAACTAAGAGGGGCCGCGCTCTGCGGAGCGCGGCCCTTCTGTTTTCTCGCCCAGAAATCGCCGTACGAATCCCGTGAGCCGTCAAACCTCCGAATTTTTTCGATGACTGTCTCGCGCTTTCTGCTGATTTTTTCCCCAGACCTACGAAAAAGAAGATGCCGGGGAACATATATTTCATCCTGCCCAAAACTTAAATATTGTCGAGTAAGCGTGCGATGTAACCTAAGCAGAAAATAGACTAGGAACTTTCCCGGCGTATTCAAACCCGAGTTGGAGTGCCTAGAAAATTCGGAGGCCTTGCAAAATTGATTTGTTTTAGTTTGCATACCCAGAATAAAACAAAAACAATGCCATATTAAGTAATGCGATATGTTCCGAAACTGGTAATAGAGACAAATGCGGTATTGTTTAAATCCCAAAATTTTAAACCTTCCAAACACCGCTGACGGATGAGTTACTTCTAAGGTACATGCATAGTGTAGATCAAATCACGTCATGGCAAACAGTAAAACGTGGATGAGCAAGAAACAGCAAAGTAGGTTTCAGAACGTTAAGTACAGGGACCATGAAACCGATCTGTACTTGCACCAAGTGGAATTTGCCCGGCGGATTCAAACCTAAGATGGAACACCTAGAAAGCGCTGCATCGTAGAAAGTGCTTGTCAACCTAAATCTTGAAAAATGGCATTTTGCGAAGCTAAACATGTCAGCTTTACAATGTTTTGCAAAGCTAGACTATAAGAATGTGGGATTTTGCAAACCTAACATATTTAGGTTTGCAAGAGAGCATGTGACCTGCTATACCCAAATAGGAAATGTAATGACCGCCTATTTAGGTAATTTTGCTGGGGTTGCATGCCGAGCCCTCAGGATGTTGGAGGGATGGTTTTGGATGATCGAACTCTAACTGCTTCCGAGAACGAGGTAAAGAATTGCCGGTCACTGCTGAGTTTGATTCCTGAGTATGCAAAGAAACGACTGCTGCCACTAAGCGGGAAAGCACTTGCTGCTCTTCAAGAGATTAACCAGGGCCACCCCCCAGTATGTGCTTCACTTTCTGGCCGTACTGCGACAAATGCAGATACATTTACTAGGTCCGCAGTGCGACAATTTTACTCCGGCGCGCTGGAAGTTTGTGGAGGGAATGGGAATGGATCAGAACCCTTCAGCTCAGGAAGTCACTTTCAGAGCTCTGTGTCGATATGTTTTTCTCAACACTAGTAAGGGACAAATGGTTGCGTTCAGAGCGTTTGATAAGTATCTACATCGCAAGTACCCAACGACATTCAGTTGCAAGCTAAGCTTCCAGCAATTACGCCAGGGTATGGTTGCAATATCAAGAACGTACGTGAACAAGAATGTGACCACGGACCTGTACGAATCGATGGTACAAGAGATTATGTTTGGCCATGCACCAAGTGGAATTTGCCCGGCGGATTCAAACCTAAGTGGAACACCTAGAAAGCGCTGCATCGTAGAAAGTGCTTGTCAACCTAAATCTCGAAAAATGGCATTTTGCGAAGCTAAACATGTCAGCTTTACAATGTTTTGCAAAGCTAGACAATAAGAATGTGGGTTTTTGCAAACCTAACATGTTTAGGTTTGCAAGAGAGCATGTGACCTGTTATACCCAAATAGGAAATGTAATGACCGCCTATTTAGGTAGTTTTGCTGGGGTTGCATGCCGAGCCCTCAGGATGTTAGAGGGATGGTTTTGGAAGATCGAAGTCTAACTGTTTCCGAGAACAAGGTAAAGAATCGCCGGTCACCGCTGATTGATTCCTGAGTATGCAAAGAAACGACTGCTGCCACTAAGCGGGAAAGCACTTGCTGCTCTTCAAGAGATTAACCAGGGCCACCCCCCAGTATGTGCTTTACTTTCTGGCTGTACTGCGACAAATACAGATACATTTACTGGGTCCGCAGTGCGACAATTTTACGCCGGCGCTGGAAGTTTGTGGAGGGAATGGGAATGGATCAGAACCCTTCAGCTCAGGAAGTCACTTTCAGAGCTCTGTGTCGATATGTTTTTCTCAACACTAGTAAGGGACAAATGGTTGCGTTCAGAGCGTTTGACAAGTATCTACGTCGCAAGTACCCAACGACATTCAGTTGCAAGCTAAGCTTCCAGCAATTACGCCAGGGTATGGTTGCAATATCAAGAACGTACGTGAACAAGAATGTGACCACGGACCTGTACGAATCGATGGTACAAGAGATTATGTTTGGCCATGCAGCAAAGACAAGTCTTCAGAACTATGGAGTGGATAGTTTTTCGTTGAGGTCTGTGAGCGGAACAACCGCAACCTACCTCCAAAGCCGCGCGTCCACCGAGTGGCTGGAATGGATAGGGTTTGAGCGGATAACGAAAGTAGAAAAACCAAACAAAAATGCTAGATGGGGTGCCTCGTTCGGTTCCCATTAGATGTCCTGACGACCTGAACACAGCCGGAAAAGAAGTGTATGGAGACGATTTCCAGTTTCGTAAAGGACAGTTTTCCGTGTGCGTAGAGATGTACTTGTCAAACGTGCCCTCGCTCGCCATAATTGCCCCACCTGGGTACGGTAAGACGGTACTATATCGAGTTCCCATGAAGGCGCTGCAAGCGAAGCCTGATGTAAAGTACGTTTCCTTTGTGTGTGTTCCATACACTGTGTTGGAAGCGGGAACACTAACGCGGATGAGAAACGGGGGACTGCTAGCCAACAGTATCAAGTTCTTTCTTGAGCGGGGGTCATGACGGTATTTCTGACGTATACATAGGAACATACAACGACGTTGCGAGCAATGAGTTTGCTTTACAGATTCAGGGGTGGGAGTCCATCTATGGATCGAGCCCAGCAAGCGTCTACTCCACGCCTGGGGTATCTTGTGATTGACGAGTATCACAACATCGAGACCGAGGAGTATAGACGAGAGACGTTTGAGCCCATGAAAAATGTAAACTTTAACAAGTTTGAAAAGGTGGTCTTTCTCAGCGCCACTGCGACAGAATGGGATAATAGTAGGGCTGCGATGTGCCGGTTGGGATTCCCGGGGGTGCTTGAGGATGGAGAGCACTTGGTTGCGGAGTGTGGCGAAGGTACGGCGTTGATGATGGATTTCAAGACGAAGGTTATCGACTTGGTGGACAAACCGCCGCTCGGCCATATCTATAAGGATATAGTAACTTCCAAGAACTCGCCCAAGGAAGCCTTGGAACTACTAAAGAGTCTATTTGCCCTTGAGCCGCATGCCAAGGCTATTGTAGCAGTGGGCCGCAGGGCCCTGGTGGAGGAGCTTGCAATTGAGTGGAACAGACATTTCAACATTCTTTGGATCCACGGAGACTTGTCATCGGAGGAAAAGACACGGCGAACACAAAGGTTTATCAACGACGGGGGTATGCGTGTACTCATTGGAACAAAGCTTGTGTCCGAGGGAATCACTTTCAAGGAACTGTGAATGGTTTTAATCACAGATCATTTCCTTAAGTTAGACGAGCTCAACCAGTGCGCGGACGTCCCAATGGGTTCTGTTCACTGGTTTTGAATAGTGACGAGCTGCCATCACCAAGACAAAGGGAAGGGGATGGTTCGATGACATTGGACTGTATAACGTCACAGATCCGCCAGTTCTATGGTCTGGTCGAAGCCTCACCCGAACATATTGGTTGCTGTGATAGAATGGACGGCCTGGAGGCGGATACATGCGATCTATTTCGAAGGGTCAAGCTGGGAGTGTCTAAATGACCCTCCGATGACCTTGCTGATGAAACACAACCCACAAGAAGAGATATTAACATCCAGCGAGAAAAGGCGTTTCTGCGAAGGCGATTCTACGGAGTTAATGGGTATACCACGGTGTTTCAGTACTTGCAGATGGGTACCGAACAAAGTCAAACATCTTATACTTGTACGGGGTGGATATCAAGTTTCTTCCACCGGGTGTAGTTCCAGACCCGCGATACCTGTTATGGATGCGAGCGGTATCCCGATGTGTGTTTGTGTCTGAACAACGGGCCCAAGTTGTCTCTTCGTGGTCTTGCAGTTGAGGCGCTAGCGTTCAAGAGAATGATATATTCGGACAGCGATTACCGTATGGTTATAGACAAGATAGTTCACACTCAACTGGACCTGGTTGCGTTCCTTAAGGATTTTGACGAGCGAAAGGGGGAGCTGATGGTGCGATTCCGTATGAAGTATGCAAGTTACCTGGAGCTGCTATCGTCGGGAAAGGTACTGAAGATGAGTAGGGACGCGGCGTTGCGGGAGTACCGTTTGTACTCTGGATTAGAAATAAAGAGAAAAATACTTTTGAGTTGTGGGACAATCTCTGCGAGAGGCAGATGAGTATATTGGAGTATTTTGGAAAACATGAGGAGAAGAAAAGCGCCGAGCTGTGGAGTGGGAACAATTTCGAGGCGGTTATCGAGAATGAGAATAGCGCTTGGGAGCTGCGGCGGACGGGACCTCTAGCGTATGTTGGGCCTGAGTATATATCTGCGCAGTTTGGATATCGTGCGCAGGAAATCAAGAAGTATGCGTACAGAATGTCATGGGAGATGGAGCAGAGAGAATCGTTGGGATATGACGGTAGCAAGACGCCGAGATGGGAATTATACCTGATGATGCAGATCGGGTTGTTTAACAATGAGACGTTTCGACGAAAGTTTCATTGGGAGGTGCGGGAGGTCCCTGAAGTGAATGTTCTGCCACACTGGTTGCGATTGCAGAACGTATTTGCGGAGCTACCGGCAGGGGACTGCGTTCCGTTGTACATGTACAGTGCGGTGTTATTCGGACAGGTGCGTAACTGAGCTATGTAAGATAGATATGTAGCTAGTGCGGTAGGACTATGGTTTGGACTGTGGTTGGACTGTGAGCGTGAGTGTTCCACGTGAGAGCTGCAGACTGGTGGATGGGTGGTTTTGACGCGGTAGCTGCGCCGGGTAGGGTGGGCGAGGATTGGCAGTGCGGGCTGAGGCGAGGACGATGAGCAGATGTGTGTTATAAGCTGTAAAGTACGTGATACATAGGTCTTGAACCGTCTAGTGTTGAACTGATTACCGAGCGTTTACCGAGCTCACCGAGCGTTCACTGAACTCAGCGAGCTTTCTTGCGAAGTTTTGTATTTCAAGCAGTAGTTCTTCTCGATTGGAAGCTTGAAGATTAGTCCTGTAACCCCTCTAGGAGGTAGCCGAGAAGCCCACGGTAGAGAGAGTTCGTGTTGTTGTGCTAGTTGCGATATATTCATAATAGCGCCACAGGTCAAGTTCCTTGATCTAAACTATTGGAGTCAGATGCGTTGTATATAGTGTCATGTTTACGTGAGTGACCCAAATGGTCATTGTGCTCAATGTAATGAGTGCCTAGAATAGTATATATCTTGTTCACCATCTCAAGAGCAGTTTTGGAAGCAGGATACTAGTGGCGTAGTGTTTAGATCAACGACGCGTGTGTATCAGTGTGTAGAGGACCTGATTAGTCAATTAAAGGTATGGTTCATGTAACTATGCGTTTAGACTATACTACAAGCCATACATTATGTTTCGTTCTTCTCTCCCCAATGTGTAATCTCAATTATTGTTTCGAGAAAAAAGCCCATTTCTGGCCTGAAAGACTATGCAGAATGATAAAGCTTCAAGTCGTCTGAGACCGCCAAATTTCTCTAAAATGTAAGGATGTAGGTACGGATGTTCAATGGTGTAAGGAGGGATGTGGGGATGTAGGAGGACCCGGTCATGTGATGAAGATGGAAAGTCGAGAGGGAATGGTCATGTGATGAAAAGTCGAGAGAGGGGAGCTGGTCATGTGATGGAAATCGAGGGAGACGAGCTGATCATGTGATGTAAAGTCTGAAGGCGAGGGCGGGAGCTAGTTTTTCATGAGCCGTGGAAGCAGCCGAGAAGAACAATTCCCAGAAGAAGTGAGCGCAGTGCTCAGGTGGCGGATAGTTCATAAAATAAGATTTCAACGATGTATGGCTATGTTAGAGGAATAGGAAAATACGTTATAAATATGGATTACGAAAATAATGAGGAGAAGTTATAGAGGGAGGTAGGTGGAGGGCGGTTAAGATAGGGTATCGTAAATGTCTGGATAGTGGATGCGTGGAAAGGAGGATCTCCAATAGTGGGTGTTCTAGGAAAGCGAGAGCCAAGAGAGTGAAATTGAAGGAAAGTACGATCCCAGGAGATGAAATGCGAGAAGCGATGGAAGAAGTAGGAGTAGTGATGGTCAAGGAGAATGGGTATTCGAGGAGAGTGGGTATTCGAGGAAGCGGGTATTCGAGGAAGCGGGTATCCGAGGAAGCGGGTGGTGGGAGCGGTAGGAGTATGGATGATTGTGTCGTATCAAACGCGATGAAGCGAGGAAGATGAGAGATGAGAGCAGGGAGAGGGAGGGAAAATGGAAAAATACGATAGGTGAGAGGCGGAGAGGGGAATATGTTACGAAGGTGGATTATTAGAGTTGGTCCGAATGCTAAAAGTACAAAAGCAGTGAGCTCTGGAGGAAATCAACGAGGGAGTCGGATCAGCTAAAATGCGGGAAGAATAATTTATGGAAGGGGGGGTAGGTGAAGAGCGGATAGGAAGGTATGTTATAGAAATAAGTGAAGAGAATCTATTTGAATGTTAATATTGGAGAACTAGTGGTATTTGGAGGGATTCGTGGGGAATATCGGATGGGGTAGTAGCCGTATGAAGTGCGGGAAGGGGGAAGATGAGAAGTGGATGGAATATGTGGAGCGAAAATGGAAAAGGAAGGTCTTTGGTGAGCCGAGAAGCAGGTATGTGATGAATATTCGATGGAATAGCGGGTTTAAATATTAATATTGGAGAAATAGCGGAAATTGAGGGTTATCAATGGAGGTATCCGATGTGTTAAATGCGGAAGAATATTCATGGAAGGGGAAGAGTTGGATAATGGATAGGAAGGAATGTTATAGAGATAGGTGAAAAGAGTCTATTTGAATATTAATATTGGGAGAGTAGTGGTAATTTCGGGGAAATCGATGGGTAAATTAATGCGATTATTCGATGGGGTAGCGGCCGTATAAAATGCGAAGCAGGAAGGAAGATGAGAAATGGAGAGGAATAACGTCAAGCGAAATTGGAAAAGAAAGAGGTTGGTGAGTTGAGAAGGAAGTATGTGATGAATATTGGATGGAATAGCGGGTTTAAATATTAATATTGGAAGAAAAGGGGAAATTGAGGGAGATCAATGAAGTATCCGATGTGTAAAATGCGGAAGAAAATTATGGAAGGGGAAGAGTTGGATGGTGGATAGGAAGGTATGTTATAGAGATAGGTGAAGAGAGTCTATTTGAATATTAATATTGGGAGAGTAGTGGTAATTTCGGGGAAATCGATGGGTAAATCAATGCGATTATTCGGTGGGGTAGCGGCCGTATAAAATGCGAAGCAGGAAGGAAGATGAGAAATGGAGAGGAATAACGTCAAGCGAAATTGGAAAAGAAAGAGGTTTGTGAGTTGAGAAGAAAGTATGTTCTTGATGGATATTGGAATAGTAGATCTCAAATTTAAAATTGGAAGAAATGAAGAAGTTCAGCGAGATTCGTGGGGGTTATTCCATGAGGTAGCGGCCGTATGAAGTGCGGGAAAGAGAGGATGGGAGATGAGAAATGGAGTGGAAGAAGGTCAAGCGAAAACAGAAAAGAAAGATGGTGGTGAGCGGGAAGAGGAATATGTGATGAATACTTGATGGAATAGTAGATTCGAATTTTAATACTTGAAAAAAAGAAGAATTTGAGCGAGATTCGTGGGGGTTATCCCATGGGGTAGCGGCCGTATGAAGTGCGGGGAGGATGGGAGCGAGAAATGAAGTGGAATAAGGCGGAGCGAAAATGGAAGAAAAAGATCGTTGGTAAGTCAGGAGAGAAGTATGTTCATGGTGGGTATTGGAATAGTGGATTGGAATTTTAAAATAGGAAAAAAGAAGAAATTGAGCGAGATTCGTGGGGGTTACCAGCTGAGGTAGCGGCCGTATAACGTGAGATGTTGGGATTGGAAGCGTCGGATGGGTAGAGGGAAATCGTAAGTAGAATAAGAAGGATGGTTGGTGAGTTGAGAGAGGAATATGTTTTTCATACGTATCTAATTAGTCGATTCGAGTATTAAAACTGGAAGAAAAGAAGAATTCGAGGGAGATTCGTGGGAGTATTCCATGAGGTAGTCGCCGTATGAAGTGCGGGGAAGAATGGAGTCCTTATGGGTGGAAGAAGGTCAAGCGAAAATGGAAGAGTAAGGTCGTTGGTGAGTCGAAAAAGAGGTATGTTCTTGATTGGTGTCGAAATAGTAGATTTGAGTATTAAAGTTGGAAAACTAGTGGTATTTAGAGAAGATCAATGAAGGTATCCGAAGTGTTAAATGAGGGAGAATAATCATGGAAACAGGGTGGGTGGAAGGCGGATAGGAAGGTATGTTATAGAAATAGGTGAAGAGAGTCTATTTGAATATTAAAATTCGAAGAAAGGAAGAAATTCAGCGAGAATCGTGGGAGTTATCCTGCGAGGTAGCGGCCGTATAACGTGAGATGTTGGGATTGGAAGCGTCGAGGAGAAGTGGAGGGAATAGGGCCAAGCTAAAATAGTAAAGGAGTATCGTTGGTGAGTTGAGAAGGAAGTATGTTATTGATGCGTATTGGAATAGTAGGTTTGAGTGTTGAAATACGAAAAAGAATTGTATTTGGAGGAGATCAATGATGGTATGAGAAGTGTTAAATGCGAAAGAATATTAATGGAAAGGGAAGAGTTGGATGGTGGATAGGAAGGTATGTTATAGAGATAGGTGAAGAGAGTCTATTTGAATATTAATATTGGGAGAGTAGTGGTAATTTCGGGGAAATTCGTGGGGGTTATTCCATGAGTTAGCGGCCGTATGAAGTGCGGGGAGGAGGAAGATGGGAGATGAGTGGAATAAGGTCAAGCGAAAACGAAAAATAAAGGTCGTCGGCGAGTCTAGAAAGAAGTATGTTCTTGATGGGTATTGAAATAGTAGATTCGAATTTTAAGTTTGGAAGAAAAGGAGAAATTGAGGGAGATCAACGGAGGTATCCGAAGTGTAAAATGCGGAAGAATAATCATGGAAGGGGAGGAGTTGGAAGGCGGATAAGTAGCTATGTTATAGAAGTAGGTGAAGATAGTCTATTTGAATATAAATATTGGGAGAGTAGTGGTAATTTGGAGGAGATTCGTGGGGGTTACCAGGTGAGGTAGCGGCCGTATGAAGTGCGGGAGGATTAGTTTCGATGGAAGAAGCGAGAGGGAGTAGAAGAAGGTCAGCCGAAAACCAGAGATGAAAGATGGTTGGTGAGTCGAGAGGGAAGTATGTGGTGAATACTGGATGGAATAGTAGATTGGAATTTTAAGAAGAGAAGAAAGGGAAATTCAGTCGAGATTCGTGAGGGGTTACCAGGTGAGGTAGCGGCCGTATAGAGTGCGAGGAAGTAAGAAGATGAGAAGTAGGATGGAATATGTGGAGTGAAATTAGAAAGGAAAGAAGTTGGTAAGTTGAGAAGGAAGTATGTTCTTGATGGGTATTGGAATAGTAGATCTCAAATTTAAAATTGGAAGAAATGAAGAAATTCAGCGAGATTCGTGGGGGTTATTCCATGAGGTAGCGGCCGTATGAAGGGAGATATTTGGATTGGGAGCGTTGGATGAGAAATGGATGGAATAACGTCAAGCCAAAATAGAAAAGGATGTTAATGAAATAGCTGAGAGAGGAATATGTTCTTATGAGTATTGGAATAGTAGATTTGGGTATTAAAATTTGTAAAATATTGGTATTTGGAG